AAACCATCGGTCTGGCCTCCGCACGAGATAGAGTTGAGTCGAGAGGAATTATTACATGTCATGCGAGCGTCATCGGAAGTTTGCGGTTTCAACAAGAATGTAAGAAAATAATCTGCGTGACCAGTCCTGCTCCGTGATTGTATTCTTGCGCGAGAGTTTGAAAACGAACGTGATGACCTATACTCGAATTGAAGATGTTAATTTAGAGCGTACGGGAATTCTCTCCACCACAATGTATTGATGTAAGGAAAGATGGGGTGTGAACTATGTCTAAGGGTAACGTATGCGGGGGAGAGGAAGTCATGGAAGTGAAGGGGGAAAGACAAGATGTCGACATGTCACCAGTTGCAAGCCTATATCGTAAACGGGTGACAGCAAGACAAACATAAGTAAGCGCGTCGTGGTTATGTGATCGTAATCGTGGTAAGCAGCAGGCTTACACTGAGTAACAAATGACCAAGTTAAGATAACTTGTTTGATGCCTAGAATGCTATGCCTGAACAACACTGTATTCAGGTAAGTAAGAACTTGAGTATAAACCAACTAGTGACTACTGGAGTAAGAAGAATGCTCTGTGCTATAAGAGCAACAATTTTTCTCTAGAAGTTCAAGTGGGCTGCCAGGGTTTATATACTAAAGAAAGTGGGAAAATTTAAATAATAGAAAAGAGCCTTTAATAGAAATAACAATAAGAAATGACTCTGGATAAAACAAAAGAGAGTGGGGGATAATAAAAACAATAAAAAGAATAGAAGCCTACCTCTCTATTGTCCCTTTAAGTGTCAGGCATTAGTCAGCAAAAATGTTCAAGTATTTCAGTGACTGAAAACAGACAGAGTAATAATATAAGCAAGCAGTTGTGAATATTTGAGTATGATATATGAACATATATGAGTGGAGGGGTCGAGCAAATATGATAGCAAGTGCAAGGAAAACTATCTCGTGAATCTTAGACCAATGTTCTCTTCTCACTAAATCTCTCAGTGTCAGCTTCTTCCTTGGTCTTCAGCAAATGCAAAGTCCAACCCATAAGCTTTGCCATAAAGATGAGCTTTGGCATGCATGACCTTGACAGCTTTGACTTTGGCTTTTGTAGCCTTTTTATTGGCTTTGGCCTTACATCACTCCACTTACCAAATGCAATATCTAGAAGTATTGTGTTAGTTATGTGATATTTTATATTGTAACATGTTACCCATGTGTTATCTGCCCCACACTTTAGAATGCAATGTCACCATTGCTGGCTATCAAAGAGAAATCAGAGAGTAAAAAAAGAACTTACACTTAGAGCTTTGTCATCAAATAGTGACTAATGTGGGGTGAGCAATGACAGGCAAAGCATTTGAGGAAGGGAATTTTGAGATAAGTAACATTGATAGTCACCATAACAGGATTGAAGACCATTCTTTCATACTCCTGTTCTGTAACCATTTCTCAACATCATCCATCCTTCAATTTGAACCTTTCCTTTGCCCAAAATCTTGTTGATTGTTCTTACAAAGAATAGACCAATGATTGGGTGTATAATGGCCCAATTGTTCAGGTCGAAGCATGCATTATTAGAGACAGCAGGTTCCGGAGAAAGTAAGTAGTGAGTTGGCTTATTATACTTGTGATGGAAGGATTTTTCATTGAGGATGAATGTGACATTAAGATTTATGTCTGGAGACATGGACAATCAAAGTCTCCAGCAATTATGTGCAAATTAGAAGAGATGATGTAAGTAGGAGTTTCATAAGAAGGGAACAGCAGAGAGAGTGCAATATAATGACAGAGATAGCAGTTAAGAACATGATAACAAAGTGAGAAATGACAAAGAGGATATGCAGTGAAGACCAAAAATGATGACTAAGCACATGACCATGCTTATATTGACATCAGAAGAATCAGAATCTGAGGATATATTTAAGTGATCAGAATTGCTGAATCTATCTGCATCTAGATCTTTCAGATCCAGATTAGATGGTACATGTGGCAGGGATAGGAGTAATCAGAGTGCTGCAACTGCACATCTAAGAACTGTTTTGTCTAATTCCTGCAACACATATGATCCTCTATGTCATTTTTAACATATCTGATTTGGTCCAAAATACCTCTGGCTATAGTTGTCTGTCAGACCTGCATCTCACCTTATGTTACACATTAATACTAATCTCCTGGCTTTAATACTTTCCACTGGAGTTTATATTTGAACCACTTTTCAATCTGATGCTTCAAGTGCAAGACAGATTGATTCAATAAATAATTGATAGAGCATAAGACAGATGCTGATGTGATAAGATCCTTTAAACAATCAAATGCTTCTTATCGCCTATCATCCCATACAAGTTCAGCATTCTTTTATGTTAGTTCAGTTAGTGGTCATGCAATCTTGGAGTAGTCCTTTATCTAAATGTGCATTATACCACATAATCCTAAAAATCTCTGCACATTCTTTGCAGTTTTCAAAACTGGCCAGATAAGAATTTTATTTACTTTTGAATTTCTGAAAGTTATCCTTCTGGGGTGCATGTTTGTCCAACTATAACTGCATGAGGTTTGCATAATTGAGTCCTAAAGATGGAGAAGGTAGTGCCTGCATGTCCTATACAATATATAATTGCCTAATTTTTAAGTTTTCTGATAATGTCTTCGGCTTTCCATTTTCTTGTGTATACATAGTTTTTGGTTAGTAGGTGGGTAAATTATCAATATAAACATTTGTAATATGAGGGATGTCATTTTGTAAAATAAAAACCATATAATTCTGGAATTCTGAAGAAGAGTTGGTGAAGCCTTGAGGTATACAAGTGAGTCATAATAAACTGAGTGGTAATAGGAATAATGTAAGGTCAGGACTTTTAGGGTCAACCTTGCATACATTAAATTCAGAAAATAAATCAAAGACTGTGTAGCAGGCATGTCCTGAAAAGGGTTCTACAAAGTTATCTAGAATGGATGGAACACCTGCATCTTAAATAGTTACCTGATTAAGTGGCTATAGATCATGGACAATCTGCAGTTTACTGCTCTTCTTAATTATACAGAATGATCATGATTGATAAGATGATTGGCTAGATCCATAAGTACCGGCTGCAATTTTATCTTGGAGAAGGGCAACTACCTTTTTTTTAATTCCTGGGGGGATAGAGATGTTAGAATAGGTCCATAATACATGCAGTGACTGAAATAATATAAGGAGTAAAATAATCTTCCTTAAATGTACCTTTATCTTCTTCACCAAAAGTGAGTGCCTTTTCATTAAGCTTGAGAATATGTAAAAAGAGCTTTTCTTCTTCTAGGCTAAGAAATCAGTCTTTATTAATGTCCATTAATGCACACCTCTCTGTAGTAAGCTTTGCGGTAGCAATAAATTCAGGTGAAATCTTAGGTAACTCTGAAAGTGAGTCAAACTGATTCTCAGGAAAGCATCATAGTACATGCACATGCTCTGGAAATACTCCTTGTACTGACTTTACCTTTTTATCAACTAACTTATATGCTCCAAATTTCAATGGCACATTATTTAAATAAGGCTAACCAGCAGAAGGTATATTGAGGGTTCCTAATGTAGTAGTACATGACATGGTTACATAAGATACTACAGGTATAAAATTTCTGTTGAAGGAATTGAGAGGTGGCATACACAAAGAAGGAGTGGGGGGTTGATAACAGATAACATATAGGACTGGGTATACTTAGTGATAAAGGATTATGAATAGTTGAAAAAAAAGGAGGATGATGCATAGAATTTGATGGGGGGTTCTGCTTCCTAAAATGTAATGTTTCAATCTGATAGAGTTGCAAAAGAAATTGATTGATGATGGTGAACTTACATATTCAATGACTTCCTCTGTGATGTCATGCATGGTCTCAATGAGCTCGTGCATCAGGTTCTTACACTTGCATTCTGACTGCATGTGGTTATTATCCTCATCCGTTGTAGAGGAGAATTGTGTGGAGCACTGGAATGCATTGGAGATGATTGAGTATGAGAGGTCAAATTGATGCCAGAAGAACACTGTGGCTTTTTGACAGGTGAGAGAGTAAAAGAGGCAGGCTGCCAGAGTACTAGAAAAATACTTAAGAAGAATATACTATTGTGTCACACTTCTACATATCACAAATTCTTAATGACTTAAGTGAACTACCTTAGAAGAGACTTAAGAGAGAACTAGAAAGTTGGGGGAAAAAGCTGTTTTTGTAGGAGAACTGAACTCCTTAAATATAATTCTGCCTGTTCTGATGCTTTCTCTGATTTGTTCGCTCGTGAGTGTATGTAGAAAAGAGTAAGAGGCTATGACAATAATGATGCAACCGTCTAAGTGACTGCCAGAAAGGGAAGGAGAAATACTAAGAAAGGAAATAAAACTTGGAAGCCTTGTCTGCAGTGACTCATGCTTTTGCGCATCTTCTGGAATCCTTGCATTGAGAGCATAGGCATTGTGACAGAGTAGGGAGCACCTCATTTATGATTGCATTTCAGGCCCCCAACAAAAATGGGACCCTTAACTGTACTCTGCGTGATTGCTTCTGCTCCTCTCAGCTTGGATCCTTCGGTGTTGCATCTGCATGAGATAGAGTCGAATGGATACATACATAGAAGAGCTATCGAGAGAGAAGAAACAGGAAAAATGTTATCAGACCATACCATTCTTTGCACATTGTGAGAGTCTTAGGTGACATCACCTATCATGAGATTGTTGTACTCTGGGATAAGACAGGCAACAAAGTGGTGTGCAGAGGCAATAAGCTTGTTTACTTTTATCAGCTGCTTAGTTCTGCTTTAAAAAAAATTGAATGTCTGGCCATTTAGTTCCCATTTAATGGATGCCTTGCTAGGGATCTCTTTATTAGTTTTCCAGACATTCTTCCAAAGAGCCTTCAGGCGACTAAAGGGCCTGGATATAAGAGTACTCCGATCCGTGCAAGCAATCAAGTGCTTAAATTCTGCAGAGCACCTGAAAATTAGAAAACATAGATTATAATGAAGAAATTTGTTATAAAATCTTATGCACACATTAGCAGTGGACAGCATTGGTGTTGGCGCGCATCTCAGGCACCAAAACATTTGAGAATGCCGAAGATGATGGAGTAACTTCTGTAGATCTAATTTCTTCCAAATATGCGATAGGCACAACCATATCAGGAGAGATGTTATCTTTGCTGATGTCTTCCTCATCATCTTCATTGCCATCACTACCTCCTTTCTCATTGCCTTCGGCTATGGCCAGATCCTTGTCAGCTACTGACATGTCATCACTTTCCACATTGCCTTGGTCTCTTTTGTTTGTCTCTTCAACTTCAACTTCAACTTCATCTTCTTCATCTTCTTCCTCCTCATCCTCCTCATCTGGACACAAATGCCAAAATGTATCCTTTTTTGGTAGGGCAGGTACTGGCATGTAACAGTCATCCTGAAGCTATGCCATATGCACAAAAATTGATCGGAATATATACTGCCATCTTGCACAGAGTTTAGAAAATACGTGAGCATCACAAAAACAGTCGATCTCGTTCTTTCTAAGTGCAGAAAAAAAAAGCCCAAAATTCATAGGGCAACCAAAGTGATGTTGAATTCCTGGTGTAGATGTCAACAGTGCAATGCACAAGCAATAAGAATGGATGGCCAGTTGTCCCTCATCAATTTCTTTTACTGCGAGGCATAAGATAAGAAAGTTGAAAAGACTATTGTGCGTGTCCCGAACTTGCTGCTGCATATAGACTTTGATGTGCTTTATGGGCTTCATGCACTTCTTAAAGAAGTAAAGATGCAATCACATCAAGACACAGATTAATTGTGTTAATGGAAGCTTGTAATGTGACAGGGTCGTATCCTGAAGATGCTGGTATGTGAACTTAGTACTAAGATCAAATACTGTAAATACAATGCAGAATATTCCATGTGAATAGGCATGCTCAATAGTAAGCCAGTCACGATACATTTTATGAGAGGATTCCACAAAATTGTCAGCTTGTCGCAGGTACTCTTAAGCAAGCTTGTGAATGGCTGCTAGACCTCGCTCTAATGCCAATTCTGCATTACTTGGGTTTTTGCACAGGTGGTATTTGCTGGGGTGAGCACAAAGATTAAGAAGAGTAGCAAACTTGATACCTTGATCAAAGCTAGATGATGAATCTGTGGACCTTTGATCATAGCACTACTCATTGAGAAGAGCTGGATAACCCATATCCTGTAACTATGGTGCAAGATTTTGAGATCCTTGCATGCTTTCTGGTTCGAACCATGGATAGCTAGGTTCTGACGAAGGGTGTTTGAAATCTCCTTGTGGGATCCAGTCTGGAACAATCAGTACATGGCCATTGGACATATTGCATATGAAAGGAGTCAAGATTGCTTGGCAGTACTGAATGTATAATGGAGTGCCCTGAGGTGGTTCAGTGCAAACTTGCTTTCTCCCTGCATAAGATTCAAAGGTTGCATAATGCTCCTTCATCGATGTTTCAGCTTATTTATTCATGCAGAGCACCATCCAATTATTGCATGAGTGGCACCAGAAGCACTTGCTACAGTGAACTCCTTTTGAAATAGGTGCAGATAGCTCCAGGTCTTTAATTTCTGCATTCTGAGTCATCGCGATACCATAGAATTTGGAAATGTGAGAAATGATAGAGTTCAAATGGGTTTTCTGCAATGCCTGCTTAAACTGAAGCCTATTAAGCTGCTTGCACTGATGTGCATGGGCTGTGTTGCCTAATCTGCGAGCTTTTGTAAGATGACAGATGAAGTCAGAGAGTGGGACAATTGCCTGGTGTATCCGGCAGAAGAGGAATCCAGTTTTATGGTGAAAAAACATGCCAAAGAATTTCAAAGTGGCACAGAATGGACTAGCAGAAGTGCTATTGTGTCCATATAATTTTTGGCCCAGAGAATACTGACTATCATCACAGACCCTTAGGGTTAAATCTGGGGTAGAGGATAATCCTAAAAGGATGACAGTCTCTTTTGAACATTGTTGCTTGAGATTCTTTGGATTCCTGCGACTGCCCATGGTGATCAGTTGTTTCAACTTTGTCTTGGATTTCAAGGGGGACTTGCAATAAGCATCATTCAGATCAGAGTCCAAATTCATATTGAAAGAATCTGAATGTTCGAAATTGGAATGTATGAAGAATTCCTCATCCTTGCTATTAACAGCAGCCTCAATTTGCGACCTGCCATTGTTGTACAGAGGTATCCTTGGACCAGATATGGTGCAAAGTCATTTTGATCTTCTTGGTGGAACCTCCGGCACTAATTCTGAGCCTTTGCTCATGTGAATCAGAGAGTGGTCGCTTAGTGAGAATAGTGAGAATAGTGGAAATAGTGGAAATAGTGGAAATTTGAACATGCAGTATGCAGCTGTAGTGGCCACCATTGTATTACAATTGCCCACAACACTGGGCAGGCCATTGTGCACAACTCACTAGCTATTGTAATTGTAATAACACTGAGCACATTATAATACAATGGCAATTACAATGCCAGCCACATTGTAATATAATGGCAATTACAATGCTGGCCACATTGTAATTAGAAAGAAGTGTTCACAGTTAGACTTAAACCCCTGACCTGATGGCCGGAGTTTTGCTTATGTAAGCTACACAAGATATGTACTTTACCACTACACTATTGATGTTTGCTGTTATTTCAACCTCAATTGTATATAATGAGTCTGTCCACTACAATATAATATACAGGCTTCTATTACAAATACTAACACTTGTTACTGTTCCTTTACATAATATTCTAACTCCTTATTTCTCATTATCTTTCTTTCTAATATCCTTTTAAAATATAATGCACATTCTAATATTATATCTAATAATATCACTTTAAAGTATTAGAAGAAGAGTTAAACAAGTAAGAGAACAGAAGTAGACACTATAAGAGTTAAGAAAGGAACAGTAACAAGTGTTAGTATTTGTAATAGAAGCTTGTATATTATATTGTAGTGGACAGACTCATTATATACAATTGAGGTTGAAATAACAGCAAGCATCAATAGTGTAGTGGTTAAAGTACATATCTTGTGTAGCTTACATAAGCAAAACTCCGGCCATCAGGTCAGGGGTTTAACTCTTGCTGTGAACATTTCTTTTTCTAATTGCAATGTGGTCAGCATTGTAATTGCCATTGTATTACAATGTGGCCGACATTGTAATTGCCATTATATTACAATGTGCCCAGTGTTACTACAATTACAATGGCCTGCTTAGTGTTATGGGCAATTGTAATACAATGGTGGCCGCCACTGATGCAGTATGTTAGATGATAACAAACTTGCAGTAGCAGTAGTGGCAGTCTGGTGGTGTCGCGGCCTGCCATTATTTATTATTACAGCATCAGACAGAGCTATCCTCAGACCAGATGCAGTGTGATGCTGTTTTGACTTCTTTGGTGGACTTTCTGACACAGATTCTGAGTCATGCTCATGCAAATCAGAGAGTGGTCACTTTGTGGAAAAGGTAGGGATTGGGACTTCTTGTATTTTAGAAGATGATGCCATCTGAGAGAAGTGGGAGAACTGTTTTCTGATATCAACATGTGTACTTCAAATTCTGCAACAGGATCCATGTAAAAGTAGCATTTTCTCACCTTGCTCATTGTAGCATGATTCACTCAGCGTACAAAAATGCATTCACAGAGTTGAACCGGGACCAATACCAATACTGTGCAGGTTAACATGCTCAGGCAGTAGGCCACCAGTTCCAGATGTTAGGAAGTATCTTCCAGGATTGACATGGTGGGAGATAATCCCCTCCATATCCAGTAATTCCAGAATAGATCCGACATTGACATCCGAGTGCAAAAAATCCTTAGTTCCTATACGCAAACAGCATCATTCACCGAAGCTTCTGAGTCAGTGTCATGAAGCACAGGATGTACCCAAAGTAACAACACTTCTACTCAAGCCTCACTTCAGAAGACCCTTCCGACCTAGCTCTTAGCTTCAACATAATCTATATTGTGTTATAGCTAAGAGCCTCTCGGGTGTCAGACAGACCATGGTACCAATACATGTCCCAGGGCATTATATGAGATTACCTAGGGCAAAGGCAGGGCATAGGCTGGTCCAATGGCACAATTATCATATGGAATATTCTATAGTACTAGGACATTGATATTTACATCTCAGTATTACTGGTGACAGACGTGTAACATGTTTCAATATAAAACTCGCATAACTAACGCAATACTCTAGATATCAAGCTTAGCAAGCAGAGTGATCCAAGGCCAAGGCCAACAATAAGGCGATGAAGGCCAAGGCCAAAGCTGCCAAGGCCACGTGTGCCAGAGCTCGTCTTTATGACGAAGCTTATAAGTTGGACTTCGCATGCGCTGGAGATCAGGAAGAAGTCAATGCTGAGGAATTCAGAGGGAAGGGAACATTGCGGGTCTAGAATTGACAAGGAAGTTTCTTTGTACTTGCTAGCACGCTTGCTCAACCCCTCCACTCATGCACGTTCATGTATTATCCTCAAGTATTCATCACTGCCTGCTTGCGCTGTCTGTTTTAGTCACTGAAATGCTTGGTAATTTTTGCTGACTAATGTCTGACACTTAAAAAGGACAATAGCGAGGTAGGTTTCTATTGTCTTTATTATTTTTATTATCCCCCACTCTCTTTTTTTTATTCAGAGTCATTTCTTATTGTTATGACTCAGACTCCTATTATCACATTTTCTATTGTTATTTCTATTAAAGGTGCTTTTCTATTATTTAGATTTTCTCACCTTCTTTAGTATATAAACCCTGGAAGCTCACTTGGACTTCCAGAGGAAACCTATTGTCCTAAAGGTATAGGACATTCTTCTCACCCCAGTAGTCACTAGTCGATATATACTCAAGTTCATACTTACCTGAATATAGTGTTATTCAGGCATAGCATTATAGGCATCAAGCAAGTCATAACTCGGTCATCTGTCAATCGGTCATCTGTTAACTCAGTTACTTATTACTCGGTCATTCTCTCTGTCTTATTATAAGACAGTCTTTCCCTCTTACTCACACACACACTCTCACACTTGATTACTACCAGGTAACCAAGCGATTACTACATCGAATACACTGAGGATATTTCCCAACTTTGTTCAAGTCTGGTGACCTCAGAAGGATTTTGTTTTGGTTTGTGTTTTATCCAAGACACCATTCTCGTCTGTCACTGGTTGTCCCATAGTGCCAGGGGTACATAGAAATGTCTCACTATTAGTAAAAGATGTATTTTCAGGCTATTGTATGGTAGTTTTTTAATACTTTATTCTACAATCATATTGTATAAGCTCTAATTATAAAAACAGTGACTAGAATACTGTAAATAAGTGCCTTATTTGCACTTTATATATGGTGAAATATTTATAGAAAGCAGGATATCTCATATCAAGTATTGTGTATGCATTTGTAATGTTATAAAGACAATATTACTATTGGTAGCATATACAACAACTTTATTAGCTCATATAACAACTAAGACAGATCAAACAACAATGTTTATTCTCGTGTTTTAAAATCAATTTTACATTTTCTGATATAATGTTGAGACTAACATGATATAATCTTTGGCATATAGTATGTATCATAGCTATACTACAACTTTCACTAAGTGTCTCAAGAAATAGAACAACTCAGTCTACTCATATACTAGCAAAGGAGATATATTCTTGTCATGTCTCCTATCATATACTGTATTTGAATGAAAAAAGAAAGGCATATGACCTAAGACTTCAGTCAAGTTACACTCAGAAATGCATTCACTGAATAACACCTTTGTATTATGGGATGTCCCTTTATGTGATGGGATATCCCATGTAAGGACCTGTCACTCTTAAACCTTAGTAATTCAACTGTTAGTATAAATCTCTAGATAATTATAGTAGTTTAATAGAAACTTCAGGCTAAAGAAGAGACTAAATATCTGTGAATCTTAAAATCACATCTTAGGGTGTCCTTAAAATGGGAGATCTCACCTTATATAATATGCAAATAAAGTGCTTGTTTATATCACTATAGTCACTGTTTTTATAATTAAGGCTTAAATAATATGATAGTGGAATAAAGTATAAAAAACTACACATACAATTGCCTGAAAATACATCTTTTACTAATAGTGGGACATCCCTATGTACCCCTGGCACCATGGGACAACCAGTAATACTGGGATATAAATATCAGTGCCCTAGTACTATAGGATATTCCATATGATAATTGTGCCATTGGACCAGCCTATGCCCTGCCTTTGCCCTAGGTAATCTCATATAATGCCCTGGGACATGTATTGGTACCATGGTCTGTCTGACACCTGAGAGGCTTTTAGCTACAACACAATATAAATTATGTTGAAGCTAAGAGCTAGGTCGGAAGGGTACTCTGAAGTGGGATGAAAGTCAAGGATTACTGTAATGCCCTCACTGTGGGATCAGATGAGCTCTACCTTAGACAAAAGGAGGCTCTTAATAATCTCATGTAGTTTGCAGAAGGGCAAAACCATCGACTAACCACCAAGGCTGCTGCAAAAAAGGCAGAAGCCACTTATAAGGCTCACATCGCAAAACTTGATGATGGTACTTCTCCTCAGCCCCCTGACTCCATTATCATTTCTGCGATCATCTTTATCACTGATGACAACTGCTGGCTGGCACCTGATGCGAACTGGAAATGGGCTGATGAGTCCACCAAGAGTTTTGCAGATATCAAACTGACATTCATGGGTGCTGCACCCCCTGTGGGTCATCTCATGATTGCCGAGGATTTCAATGTCCTGCTTGCCAATTTGCAGAAGTTACAGGATGAAGTACAGTTCATACAAGCTGAATTAAAGCAGGAAATGCTGATCACTAAGGGCGAAGAACCATTCCAGATTTAGAAGGTGAAGTTTTGCCACATCGTGTTTGAAGTGAGTGTCTCACCTTCAAATTCCATGAAATCTAATGTAGGCCCTACTACAGAAGGTCAAGAATGCAGGGCAACAGTCTCAGCCACTCGCATTGCAAGACAACACAAGCAGTGGGTAATGTTCTTGATTTTCTACCTTACTTACTGACTCCCTCACTTTTAGATAAAGCGAGCACTGTTCAACCATCCCATGCTACTCAAAAAGAACGTGAATGTAACTAGCTTCACATCTTTCTGCATTCCTCACTCCTTCACACAGCTGGCCCTTCCAATGAACACCACCTGCCTCCAGAATGCTATATCAATGCATGGCCTGCTCAAACCACTGCAGCAAAGGAGGCTCTGAAGGAAATGTAAATCACACACATTGCCCATTGCATCGAGGCCTTCGACATGCATAGGGAGATTATTGTGCCCTCAGCTTACAACAAAATGTTGTGCAGAGCACTATTGTGTGCTTTTGTATGACACACTTTGGTTTCAACGACAAGAAGGACGTCTATATTGCTAATATTGAATCTCTGCGAGTTCTCATCTCCCCAAAGCCCTCTGGTCCCATCACACTGCGTAAAAAGAGAGTCCAGCACATGAATCTGTACACTCCACTGTGGAGTCGCCAACCAAACAGTTGAGGACTGACAACTAGAGTAAGTATTACATTTTTCTCGCATTCATGTTGACTGAGTGCCACTGCAGATGAGTCCCCAGGTAGCATGCTTTTTTTCACCAGTCATTTTTTTCCAATGTGCCCTATGTAGTCGTACTACTAGCCAATGCTCCTTTTGTAAACTTCACACAGCACGTTGATAATCCATTTGTAACCCAAATACAAAGACGTCTTCCTGCAAGCAAGGTCTCCACCGATGCAGTCAGCACTTCCCTTGTTCACTCACAATGACACAATTAAGTCCTGAGCTCACATAATTGGTCACACTGTGATGAAGGCAGCCAAGAATGAACTTTCTTCGCCAGATTGACAGTCCTGTCATGCTGAGTCACATGGCCAATTATAGTCCATTTATGGTTCCTCCTGCCTGATCCATCCACACATGAGCACGAGTCCTCAGCCAGCCTTGGTGAATGAAAAAAAAATGTGAGCGGACATGCACATGCTGCATGCAAATGTTGGTGAGCCGCAATGCAGTAGATAAGGCCCTGGCAGGGTGATGTGAGTACTACAAGTAGAGGAATATATACACAATAAACTAGGTACAGAATAAACTAATGAGATCATAAACTAAATATATGGGTGCCAGTGGCCACTACTGGTGGGAGGTAGCACCAGGGCTTGATGGGGACTTGGAGCTCATTGAGGGGATGTAAATTTGAGGACTGTAAATTTGTCAGTCAGCTGCATGTTTGTAGGGGGCCGCAGTATGGTCAGCTGCATGTTTGTGGGAGGCCACAGTATGGTCCTCTGCAAGATTCAGCCCCCAGTTCAGCTTGCTTCGGGTCATCAGATTTACAGTTCCTGGTGGGTGCATTGACAGTCCAGCAGGGTGCTTGTGGGGCCTCCACCTTTGGGTGATGCCCGGGTGCCTGTCTTGGCTCCCCAACCCTCCCTACTAAACATGCCCCTCCTTCCTGGCCCTCCCTGGCCCAGAAAAAGGGCAGATATATTTGACATGCATACCATGTGCCCTCTTGCCACAGTTTCTGCCTCCTCCTCCCACCACGGTGCTACTCCCTCTCGTGCGCCCCTCATGCCCTGCCCTTCGTCTCGCGGCCGCTAGTTCCTGGGGTCACTCTCGGCACGTGACGCTTGTAGAGTTAGACGCCGGTGGACTGACAATTTGGCGGTCATCAGCCTTTTTACCTCTATCTTACACTCAGAATTGTCAAACATGCATTGGAGTCCGTTCACCATTCTACCACTACTTTGGGGCAGAATTACACACACAACCTGTTCCTGATTTTCGATGCATGCGCAGAGGAAGCCTCGAGCTGGTAGACGATGTTATTCGGATATCTGGACCCCAACTCAGCTGACAAACACAGAAATGTCGCTCGGAGTAACATACAGTGAAGCTATCGTCCGGTGTCGCACCATTTGCAAGGTGTGACCCAGCTTGCCTTCAACCCTGCGTTCCCTGCGCACAGCGGTCAGGACTATGTCTGACTCTGAGCAAGGGGAGATACACACTAACCGGGTACAGCTGCGGCGTAATCATGTTATCATGCGATCCTTGCGAGTAATGTCACATGAGCAGTGCCGAAATAAATAGTGGAGACCTGGAGGTTGGCATTAAAGTCTATTCCTTCACCACCTCTAACAAACAGGTCATTTCCGCGACCACATTAAATGCAGAAAGGGAATATGCATACGCATAAGGCCAGTCCGTCGCACCAGGGAAGTTGTAGGATTCCTCGTCGCCCAGCCTACGAGGTGGTTGCTATCGATGGACTTGATGTACGCCAATATCTCCTCTACCCATGTCGTGTTCGTCGCCGTGGTGCAATCTTTTGTCAAGAAACTACATTGCCCGCCGCGCATCAGCCGTTATTCGACTCAATATATGGAACACTTGCATACCCAGTGGACGGCTCGTTCGCAAGTTCCCAGCCCAGGATGCCCGGCTCGTCCACGAAGAGGCCCACGAATGCGGAGACATAGCTCTTGTATGCTGCCTGGCACACCATCATTACTTAAAAACCAGCGCACCACAAGAAGAGTCCCGACAACTCACATACCTCATACAGTCATACTTGGCTATGCATCTTGTGCATGACTGGACCGGAAACATCGAGAGTTGGCGAGCATCTTGTCGGACCAGCTGAAGAAATCAATGTCGTCTGACTGCGAGCATCGTGCACTGCGATACTTTCGCGATACCTCATTCTCTATTAAGTATACCTACTGTCAATGTGTCAGAGCCTTGTCAATGACTCACCCCAAACCTACCTGTTAACGTGCATCGGAAAATCAGTCGCGGGATAGTAAGAAATAGCTAAGATACTAATAGACAAGATACAACATGTATAGATCTGCCAGGTACACGTGTCGACGCTGCTACGGATATGATATCACATTACTGGGTGTGGACAGGGCCGTCCGGCTCTGCATGAAAGTGGTCAGCAAGAGACACGAGGTGGATGGAGGCGACGCACCTATATAGTCAATGTCGCCGCCCTGGAGTGACTGGAGCTGCGTCAAGTATCCCTCAGGAATCTCAGCGGAGAAACCCTGCAAATATATACCGGGTCGCGCCAAACGATCAGTGAACGCAGTGAGGACGGTAGAGCGACGCGACGCACCTTCAGCAGCGACTCGAACTTCTTGCCCACTACGCCTCCTGACGTTGCTGTGCGTTAGATGTCGGGATATGCTGGGAAGAGATTGCGGACGCACCGTTGGTAGTGATATCCGCGGCGACGTTGTTGATCTTTGAATCTGAGACATGGTCTTTGAAGACGACGATGTATTCTGGTGAGAGTGAGAGAGTCAGACTGGTTTCACAGGCAGTTGAGGGTGACATCCGCAACGACAGCGGTGGCCACCCGGCGCGGATAAGGAACGGACAGAGAATTACTGACTTCCGGACATCCTGAGTAATCGAGAAATTGTAGGGTTCTGCGGTGGCGGTTGTGGTGATGATGGGATGGGAATAGAGTGAGAGAACGGAGAGAGATGGCTGCGGTTAAGAGGCCCTGGCAGAGTGCCACCGAGGCTGAATTAGGCAGGTCTCAGACGCGTGACGCGATCGTGCAAGCGCCCAACGCGTCTCAAGACGCGCAGCGATCATGTAATGCGCGCGGCACCGACTCCGACGTCCCACAAATAAAGTAAGAGCTGACTCGAGCAATCGCCGTCATGCGCTGACCTTGCATGCTCTTTAGAGTCTGTCTCTTGCGCTCGTACACTCGTGCCATGCCCGTTACCCGCGCGCAGAGCGGTGCTACGTCTAGAAAGGTAGCGGCGGCAGCTACTCCCGAACTCGTGCCCGTCGTGGCGAAAGCACCAACGAAGAGGAAGGCCCTCGCTGCGGCTGCCCCTAAGACGCCGTCAAAAAAGACTCGCACGTCAAAGGCTGAATTCGCTGCGGCTCCAGCAAGCGCCCCGGTTGTGCTGTCCCCACCGCCCGCCATTGGAGATGCGCCGGTCTTCGTTCCCGCCGTGCTCACGTTCTCCTTCGAGGACGCCAAGCAGCACCTCATCGCCGCCGACCGGCGTTTCGCGGACGTCTTCGCGCGCCTCAAGTGCAGGCCGTTCGAGCATCTCGAGAGGGTGGATCCGTTCTCGTGCGTGCTCAACTCGGGGCCCGACTGTCTGAATTTGCCAAGCTGACGATGCGTACAGGACGCTCGCTGACTCTATCTTGTGAGATCCGTGCCCTGTGCGCTTGCATGCTGATGCGCGTGCTGATAGTGTTTTCGCAGAGGCCAACAGATCTCGTGGCGCGCCGCGCGGTCTATCAGACATCGCTTTATCAGGTTGTTCGACCCTTCCCTCCCTGAGAAGCCTGTGGAGCACGAGTATGTGGCATGTCGTTCCTGTATGACGTGTATCAATTGAGGTTCGACGAGGCACATTACTTGGTTCCCTTCTGCGCACCAGGTCATCAGTATGGACGTTGTGACGCTCAAGAGCGCGGGTTTAAGCACCAGGAAGGCCGAATATGGTAAGCGGAAATTTGGTGACAATATCGGGACCGCGAACACTTCTAAAATCTGTGCTAGTACTTGACCTGGCGGCGAGGTTCGCCGATGGACGCTTGTCGACCGAGAAGTTGTTGGAAGCGGACGATGAGGAGCTCGCACGAATACTCATCGAAGTGCGCGGCATTGGCAGGGTGAGTGTCATCTACTACGAGGAAGACGCCAGCTCTGACGCACTTCTTCCGGGTATGCAGTGGACTGGTGAGTCTACTGCGGACCAGTCACCCTCGGATACACATCTCACCTTTCTCAGTTGACATGTTCGCGTTGTTCTCTCTGCGCCGCCCCGACATTCTGCCGATAGGTAGTTACAATTGCTATTACTCCGTGCCGAACATCCTGATGTATTACCGCTGTGCAGGCGACCTTGGGGTGCAGCGCGGTGTCCTGCGCTGGTTCCTCTCCCTACATTCACCCTCCTACTCGGTCACTCTCGCGGCGAATAAGCTCCCCAAGAATCCGGAAGAAGACGAACAGGAGACCGACGGCCCGGAGAAAGTGGACCCGAGTGCGAACGGCAACACAGAAACTCTTCCGTCGACGACGGGAGCCAGCCGTGCGCTGTCGCCAGATGCGTCTTCCGTGCTTCCAGCCCCCGCTCTCCCGCAGACGCCCGTGAGGAACGGGAAAGGTAAGGCAAAGGCAAGTGAGGGAGACGACTCGGACGACAGCGCGACGGTGCTGCCCCCGCCGTTCACGCCGTCCATCAATAAAACGCTGCACAGCCTGAACGCGAATGGTGAACCCCCGTCGCCGCCGCTGCCGGAGGGGCTTACTCCAGCCGTCATGAAGAGTCGCCTGGATGGGAAGAAGAAGATTAAGTGAGTGGTACCACATCACAGTTGTCAACGCGTTCGGGTTCGCTGACAGTGCATCTGCGCGAAAGGGGCGCGCTGTTGACGCCGAAGGAGATGGAGGAGCTGACGGAATGCTGGAGGCCGTATCGTAGCGTCGGTGCGTTCGTTTAAATCGTTTACTGTGGAGCGCGCTGAGCCATTGTTCAGGCGTGTATTATATGTGGGCGTTAGCGGAGTCGCCGAAGTGAACCGTTGTTGTGTACGCGCGATCGGTGCTAGCGATGTATCGACGATCTGGATACAACTTAGACTGTCCATCCGCAGAGTCGTAGAGGATTCTGCTCTGTTCGGACACTGAGAAGGGACTCCCATTGCGCGTGCTACGTGACTGCGAGTGAGCGCTAGTGAGGGATGATCAGTGGGAACCGAGTCTGTCCAAATGCGGAAGGTCCATCGGACGCCCTTGGAAGTCTCTGACTGTGAGCACGCCTGGCAGCTGGAAACACCACTGATTGCAACTGTGCATCTTCGACAGCCATTGCAGACATCCGCTGACTGATAGAGATGGCCATCTCTGCCTCGCAACATACTGTATATGTATTGCGTGGCAACGGTAGGTGAGAGTGTGAGGTGAGTTGGCCAAAGCAATATACGTGCTGTCGATCGAGACGTCTTGGAGCGGACGCAGTCCTGTTCACCTTCGCGTGATCGACGGCACCGCTGGAAATAAATACGCACGGGCCTCCATTCCAACATCCCCTCTTCCCCCTTTTACCGCCCTGCACCTCTCGCGTCACCCCGTGCAGCCATGGCCTCCGCAGATCTCCCGTCCTCCCTCTTCGCCGGCCTGTCCCCGTCTTTCGACTCCCTCTCCCCTCTAATGGACATGGGCGACGCCTCTTCCGACGACGGTGAACCCCTCCACACTCCCCTCACTGAACACGAGCACCACCATCCCTACGATGTCTACCAGAGCCACCACCCGCATTTCTCGCCTGGCATCTTCCACCCCTACACGCCCAATCTCGACCCAGTCGTTGGCGGCGCGAAACCCGAACGTAATCCGCCAGTTCTGTCTTCTCTTCCGTCTCTCTCTCCGCTTCTCGGTCCCTCTCCTCCTAATTCCCTCACACACGTGCAACAGGATACCTTCTTCCCGGCCTTCTCGTCACCCCCCTATGCGCTAGACCTGGCGAATGCGTCTCTCGAACTTGGCCATTTTACCCCTAGTTACAATACCCACACGCTTGACCCGGGCGCCTCCCCATTCACTCCAACACGGTCGCCATTGGACACTACCGCTCCTGTGCTCACGTCCTCCTCGGATCATGCCGGTCCGCCTATAGCCAACCATCTACCTCCGCTGCCTGAGCTGTCTGTACAGGGCCTCGGAAACGGCCCCCCGGATGACGTACCGTCCCTTCTGTTCTCTCCCGCTGACCCACCCCAACCCGCTCGTGATGATGAATCCGCGGACACCTTTGAGATGCGCGGGCGAATGTACAACCCGCGTTTCCCTGCGGAACACACGCTCAACCCGTTCTTCGTGCGGACGTACCAACTTAGCGATGAGCTCGGTGCCGGTGGGTATGGTTTCGTCATGACCGCGACCCATCGCCACGGCGGAAACGAGGTCGCAGTGAAGTTCATCATCAAGGATAAAGTCCCCGAGCATGCGTGGTGGCAAGACGAGATGTTTGGCAGGATCCCGACAGAGGTGATGATCCTCAGCTTGGTCGATCACGAGAACATCGTCAAGTGTCTTGACCTCTTCGAGGATAACGTGTACTTCTACTTGGTTGGTATCTGTCTTGCGAACTCTTATGACGCAAGCGCTGACGTTGTGTCCAGGTCCAAGAACTGCACGGTTCCCCGTGGGTCTCCAGGAAGAAAAAGAAGGTCAAACAGATCACAGCGCCGGGGAAGCTTGTCGTGCCGTCTCTATCTTCCACTCCGTCGTTGACACCATCAGCATCGTTCGAATCGACGACGGATTCCGTCCTGCATACCCCTCCACAGGTCTGCATGAATGTCGACACCTGCGATTTATCGGCGGCGGCGGGACCGGATCCTCTGTATATCAACGCGCTGAATTCCCTCCCTGAGAACCCCCTTGTAAAGAAGACAGAGACGCAGCCCTTCTTGCCACTGCCCGCCCCGCAGGTCCGCCCGAATTTCTCGCGCCGCCCTTCACATGACCTCTTCGAATGCATCGAGCAGAGCAAGCACAAGAGGCTCTCGGAGAATCAAGCCAGATATATCTTCGCGCAGGTCGTGGAGGCTGTATATTACCTGGAAAGCCAAGGGATTACTCACTGTGATATCAAAGACGAGAATCTCGTCGTGGACCAAGATCTCAAGGTAGGTTTGGCGTCCGTTCCGCCGGAGGGCCTTGGTGCGCGGTTCATTATCGGTTTCTGACACCAATACTCAACAGGTCAAGTTAATAGACTTCGGCAGCGCCGTCGTCGTAGACCCCTGCGCACCCCGCCCGTACTACACGCTATTCTTCGGAACTACTGCGTATGCTGCGTCCGAGATCCTCCTCAAGCGGCCATATCGTGCCCCGCATGCGGAGATATGGACGCTTGGCGTGCTCCTCTCCTATCTCCTCACAGGTCATTCTCCGTTCCCCACCGAACAGGACGCGATCGACGGCCGGATCGTCCTCCGTGAGTCGTCGAGGACGGGTGCGGGCCGGCTCAGTCGTGCTGCGGTCGGGCTCATGGGCCGCTGCTTGGAGAAAGACCCGGAGCGCAGGGCAGACATCACGGAAGTCAGGGGCCATCGCTGGCTGCAGGGCGCGCTCGAGCGGGACGCGTATGACTGAGGTGGTGAGGTTGTGCTCCGGTCGCGTCTTTGCGTTTTCTCGTTTCGCCGTTTTGGACTCTACCTTTTTTCGACCTTCCTGCATATCCCTGCGCGTCGGACTGGTATGTGGACACTCCTTTCACCTGCATTTTCATCAGTATAATCGGCCAACCCCCTCGCATTCACTCTTCATTCATTGTCGTACCTGTCTGTCATTGCAAGGGCGCTGGCTCGTCTGTGCCAAGGCTCCCGTGCCCACGTCCATTCCATTTCACCCCCTCTTTGCCCTCCGATGGGGCTCATTGCATATCTCGCATTCGTCGGCAGCTGACAGCCCCTCGTGTCTCTCACGTCATTCATGTCTTTGTATAGGAATGTAGACTGTAGCATTTTTTTGTAATTGTACTGTATGGACCGCACGTACCCACCATATAGTTTTGTTTGTATTTGACTGATGTACGAGTTTGAGTGGGTTCTACCACCCGAATTGCTATGGATGAGTTGACGGAAGTGTAGTATTCTGTACGCTTTGGATCCTCCAACGATATTGTCTCGAATGCAAGGTTGCGTTCTGCGCAAGTTAACTTCTAGATGCCTGCAATTGAGCTGGTGGCGCCGGCAGCGCTCGTGTCCCCGGCTTTCACCGGCTGCGTCAAGTATCCGCTCGTCGTCACAGTCGTCGAGCTCCCATATCCCCGTCCATCATGTCGCTCGCGACATACAGAGCAGCAGGTATACTAATCATTGCCTATGTTCGTGTGTTGTCGACTAACACCTTCCTCGTCTATTCCTAGTTGCTAACGCTGGACGACGAGCCGCTCTCCGCCCAGCGGTTGGTGTCTACGGTTCGTCTTGACCCAGCACGCCCCACTCTCAGCCATATTCATCATTGGTCTGCGAGCAGCGTCTCGCCAGCTGCACATAACGTCCCCCGTCTCCTCTCCTACCGACATTCCGACTTCCTCCACATCTGCGGCCAATCCCATAACTGAGATCGCAAAACGCGGCTCGAACCAACTGAGTCTTGAGCACCCCGCGAACAAAGCAGGTGCGTCTGAAGTGTGTGTTGCGGGATTGTCGGGAAGGCTGATGTTCGTTCCCGGGTTTCCAGAGTATGTGCTCTCGACGCTGGACAAGGTGGTGAATTGGACGCACCAGGGTTCTATGTGGCCTGTGACCTTCGGTGTGTTGTGCCTCCCAGGCGTTCTCAGTACGTTCTGACGCGTTCTCGCTGCGCAGGTCTTGCTTGTTGCGCTGTAGAGATGATGCACATGGCCGCTGCACGGTATGACCAGGACCGACTCGGTGTCATCTTCCGTGCCAGTCCCAGACAGTGCGATATCATGATCGTCGCGGGGACGCTGACGAACAAGATGGCACCGGCGCTCCGGAAGGTGTACGATCAGATGCCCGAGCCGCGTAAGTATGCAGCAGGCCTTGGTGGGGTATGCGGTCTGATTCCCTTTAGGTTGGGTGATCTCTATGGGCTCCTGCGCGAATGGCGGAGGGTACTACCACTACTCGTACTCCGTCGTCCGAGGTTGCGACCGTACGTGCATCGTGCTAGACACCTTCTATTAAATGCGAGTCTGATACGTCCGACATTGTTCACAGGCATTGTGCCGGTTGACATCTACGTTCCCGGTTGCCCTCCGACTGCAGAGGCGCTGCTTTACGGCATGCTGCAACTGCAGCGGAAGATGCGGAGGAACAGGAAGAGCACGTTGTGGTGAGTACGGCAGTTATGGTCCTCAGAAATGGTTCTGAACTTTGCTGCTACTATAGGTACCGAAAGTGATGACGCCAGTGAGGGCTATAACCGTGACCGCACTTTTCTTTCGGAAGATTCGAAGTTGTGGTAAACGTGGTTGCGGGTTCTGGAGTTCTGGGCACACTCAAGAAGTAGTGGTAGTAGTGTACAGACATTAATGTCAATCGTGGGCTGGAGGTGTCATATCGCTTGGCAAGGCTTGGAATATTGATCTGGATGGTACCTTGGGGTTGCGGTGAATGCCGCGGCGGGAAGTCATGCGGTCACGATAGCCCGCGAGTCCAGCGTTGCTTTCTCCGACCAACATCGTCGACCGGCCTGTTGTCGCCTTCCAACTCGAGGTCAACGCCTCAATTCACGTCTGTCCTTCCGCTCTCGACAGCCCAAGACCATCTTCAACTTCTCAACAGTACCTTGGCCTTGCTTCATCCTCGATTGCAGCTACATAACCAACACCGCTCGCTGCAGTCTCCGTTAAATTTGTGCATATCCCCTTTCACACATTCTCTACTGTATATCTTCACAGCTGTGCGCCTGTTAAGGCCGTCTCTGTCTCCTAGTGTTAGGTATGGCGACCGCATTGCAGCTTCCACCCCCTGATACCGGACTCGCCTTCAACGAGGTCGTCACAACGGGACTAGCCGCTCATGACTATCCGAACGCGCTTAATTTCGCAGATTTCGACCTCAAGGATAATCGCTATCCGTCACTCGGTACTTCCTGCAGAGTCACGCAGTACGTCAATTCGCCAGGAAGGTATTCCAACTCTGCGGTGGACCCAGTCGCCTTGAGCCCGAGGCATCGGAGCTGGATCGACCGTCCCGTGCCCAACAGCTCTGCAGGTGTGTGGGTGCCCGAGAAGCTCATGGAGCAGCAGCAGCAGCGACAGGCCGAACAAAGTGCTCCTCTGCAGGGGCCATTGCCAGCCACGAACCAGCAGCCGCAGCCGCCTATGCCAAGACCCGAAGACACGTTATCACGTCCCATGCAAGGGAGCCCCTCGCGCCTCGCTGAGCGTTTCAGCCGCGACGAAGAGCTGCAGCGCATTCCCTCGAAGGGCAGTGACAGCCCCCAGGAGATGGGCCAGCGCACCTCGAGTCGCCGGCCGTCACAAGACCAGTACGGCTCGTTTGTCCCGTCCTCGCCGCGCCATCCGTCGTTGCCAGTCGCGGGCTTCGGCGCAGGTCCCAGCTCTTCGCCCATCGTCCCTGTTTCTGCTGGACCATCTTATAACCCGGCGAACATGCAAATCCCCATTTCCCCAAAACCTCGCGCGTATGCGCAACATCCGACTTATATCACGCCCACACCCGGTGCGAATGTGTATGCTCCTCCACAGGTGCCGAAGGAGGAGGTATGTGTTGAGTGTGCGATGCGTGACCAGGACATGGCCGATGTCGACGTCGCCAGTCCTGGCGCTTGGGAACGGGACAGCGACGTGTTGTACGATGAGTTGATCCGCCGGGAGCAAGAGGATGAAGCAGCGGGGACCCCTCCGTCGGAACATCCGAACCGACCTCGAGCTCGTGGAGGGCGATTGACTGAGGAGAGTCTTCACCTCTGGCTCAGCTTGGTCAGCATTCGTTGCATCTTCAAACAACTTCATGTCTCATTCATCTCTGATACTAGAACCCCAAAGAACCTTCGTCAAGACAGCAAACATTGGATCAGTACGTGAGGTCCCAGCGCACGCTACTCGAAGCGGAAGTGCTCGCGCATGCTCGTGCAATGCGGGAGTCTCGTCAGTTGGACGATAAAGTGCGGGATGCGTGCTCGCAGCTACGGCGGTCAGCGTACGACCTCAACGTCAATCCAAAGCACGCAGAGGATGCAAGCGTCAAGGCTTCTCGCTCCTCTTCCATGCCAGGTGGTGCTGTGATTGCGCACACCCACGGCCACAGCCGTGATGTGACATTACTTGAAAATGGAATGATTGTCGAGCATGTTGACGTGCGCAAGGAAGAGAAGGAAGAGCGCGAGCGCAGGCGGAAGGAGGAGCGTCTCGAGAGGAGCCGTGTCAGGAAGTCGTCCCGCGGTTCTGCTATCGACGTCACATCCGTCTACTCCATGCCTATACCCAACCAACTGCCTAAGACGGACAGCGGATTCTTCTCGGGAGCCAGGGCGAGCGAGTCGCGGTATTCGCAGTCGTTCTCGCCGCGGCCTAGCAGCGTACTGACAACGGGCAATGAACGCCCATTAACATCATTGCGAGCGACCTCGCAAGCCTCGTTCTCCGATATACAGAGCATCGGGTCGACATCGTCGCCTAGGCGATCCCGTTTCTTCGGCTTCAAAAATCTTACATCGGGATTCAGAAGCCAGGACAGCCTTGCGCCGTCAGGTAGCATGGTTGACATGCAGTATGTATTGTTGCTACCTCAGGGTGACATAGGCACTGATCGTCCTTCAGTATCGCGCTGTCTCGGGAGCAACACTTCTTCGAGGCGCATCCAGAGTTGGAGCAAGAGTTTGGCAGCAATGCGCCAACTGTCCGTTTAGCCGATGCACCACAGCAACCTGGCGTATTCTCTGAAGTCATAGATGCCCCTTCGAGCGCGGTGCCGAAGAAGAAGATTGGTCTGAAGAAAATCTGGAAAATTGTCACTGGCTCTAAGAACAGCGGTCGTACAATTAGTCGCGCAAAATCACGGTCACTTGATAGAGCTGAAGATGATTTGCCTTTGGCACCTCCCCCTCCACTGTCATATCTGGTAGACCGTGAGCAGCGTCTCTCATCTAGACGACACGTTTCCACCCCATCTCTTCCCTCCTCCGCATCACCTAACGCAATGTCGCCGTACGCTCCTTCTCCACCAACAGCGCCATCTAGCCTCGTTCCTTCGCCGTCGTCGTCGCGTCAGCCTATTACTGAGAAGGAGAACTTGAGCGATGGTCGCAAGGACAGCGGGAACTATGAGACAGACCATGACCACATTCCGTCTGCTGATGTGAACTCCCCGGAACAGGATCCGCGCGGGCGGACAACGCACAGCTCCTCGAAGACCTTATCGAGTTATACAGGGCCTATCACACCAGTGACGCCCCAGTCAAATAGGCCTCAATCGGTTGCGATTCGCCGCGACAAGTCTCTGCCTCCATTGCCGGGAGAGTCCTCGATCGAGTTCCCCAATCATCCCATGCCAGATGCTCGGCCGCAGACTATGTATACTTACGACCCTCTTATGTCTTCCTACGGAAAGGCTACTTCGCCCCAGTTACTCCCACCGCAAGCTCCATTCCGCTCCGTCGATACTCGGCGACAGTCGTTTGGTGGTATGGCATCTCAGCCACATCCCGCCGTTCGCACTCTTCCCGCAAAAGCGGCCTATATGCGAGGCCCATTGAATGTGCCGCCGTTCCTCGCTGAGGAACGATATGGCGAATTCGGTGTCTCGCATCTCTCACTGAACCAGTGGAACAACGGGAAAGGCCACTTACGCCCGGTGCAGCCACAGGCGAAACCCAAGCAGCGGCGCAGCCGGTTCGGCCTCGCATCTCTGTTCGGCAGGAAGTCGCAGGATGCAGAGAGCAAGGATCTGGCTGGCGTCGACGCTTCGCTCCAGCCAATAATTACCCACAGGACATCGGCGTCGGGCGAACATTCTGCTGGCTATGGTGGCCCTGGCTCAGCGCACAGCAGTACGGCTATGCGGATGTCTGTCACGTCACGGAAGAATATCGCAGAGCTCGTCGACCAAGACAACGAGTTCGTCGCGTATCGGTACCCTTCGACCGACCAACGCTTCGACCTGCGGTAGACATTCGTCGGCCGTTCATCATAACGCAGTAGATCTCATGCATACACATAACGATATGGCTCTTCCACAGCGCCGTAAAATCCATGTTGTCGTGTACTTCGCGACTCATCGCACCTCCACGCGTGCGGCGTCTCTGCACGTTCACGTTCTTTCCCCGTGTTTTGGATTTCTATTGTCGCATCTCGGATCGTCTTCCGTCCCCTGCTCATACATATTGAGGACTGCGCTCTCTCCATGTCCATGTCTTGGTCTTGCATTAGTGATAATTTAAACGGACTGTACCCTATAATTCAGATGCTCATTGTACACTCACTGCTTGCACACTGCATCGCTGCCCATAGGCCGTAAGATACAACCCTTACCCAATTCTCAATAATCATCGGCTCTCTATTCGTTCTCTGTACTGATGTATATTGCGTCTGGTTTGGAGAGTCGACTGTCGGCGAGTCTTCGGCAGAGGTTCACGTGATGAAGACGCGTCGCGTCTCTGTGAATGTGGTGACCTTCTGTCGTCTCGTCCAGGTCAACGCAAGTACTTATAGTGAGCCCTTGTCGTCATCCTTTGGCCATCCGCTCAACCCTTCCTCTCTACACCCGAAGCTTTATCATCGAAAGCCACACTGAAATGGTTAGTTACTCTTTCTGGCATGATGCAGACCTAACTTTTTCTCTCAGGCTCCTCGTGGACTCTCCGCCGAAGAAAAGCGCGTCAAATTGCTCGAGATCTTCCATGAGACCGTGAATACTATTGGTTACCAAGTTGGTTGAATGATGGGGGCTGAAATTTACGTTCCAGAAAGATTTCTTCCAGGTTTGATCGCCTTTCCCGTTAGATGGTATTCTCGGAGCCTCTAGACTTACGTTTATGGGATATCCACAGCTAAAAGAATTAGAGAAGCTGGGACCAAAGATGAAGGGAATCGGTACGTTTTTAATTGTCTTTGCATCGTCTGCTGGGCATGCAGTGGTAAAACAAGTGTTTTATAATATACTTCAATTTTGCATGCGTTTGTAGTATCACAGTCGGTCAAGGAAGTGTTGCAAGGCCTCGTCGATGACGGCCTCGTGCAAGCAGAGAAGATTGGCTCATCAAACTGTGCGTTACTATTCATCCCTCTGCTAATATTATGGACGAAGTGCTCAGTTGTATGCGCATATATGCAGTCTTTTGGAGCTTTCCGTCTCAGAGAGGAGCCATGGTTCGTATTTTTCAATGTCACCGTGCTCTCTTGATCACACGAACCTCACTTGTCTTTGTCAACAGATGCAAAACCGTTTGAATACCGTCAAGGAGAGTCAAGCTGCGCAACGTGCCCAACTCGCTGAAATACGCGCAGCGATTGAGGCTGAGAAGGCTGCAAGGCCTGACAGTGTCCGTCTCTTCTCATTATTCTCTGATGTAGTGAAGTGCGCTCCGATTGTGAGGATTACTGATATCATATGCGTGCGCAGGCCGAGCGCAACGCAGCACTGACGAAGCTCGCCGTAGCTAATAACGAGCTTGCAGCTCTGGAGAGTGAACTCGCAGCATATGGGGCATGCGATCCCGCGAAGGTAGAAGAAAAGAAGCGAGCGGTGACGCTTGCGAAGGAAGCCGCAGTGCGCTGGACCGGTGAGAGGCGCTTTGGTGCACGTAATCGTGCGATGCTGACGTGCTTTAACGGAGACAACTACATTCTGCTCCTCTCGTACTTCACGCGTCAAAGCTGCGTGGAACCTGCTGAAATCAAGAAATATCTCGGCGTGGACGATGAATACGAGGATATCTGCTAGTCGAGGACTCTGCTCTGCTCTGGGACTGTACTTCTCTCTGTGCTGTGCTGTCTTCTTCTGTATTCTTGGGACTTGGCTTCGGCTGTAGCTGTATTGATCGCGTAGCAAAATCGAGGGAATCGCGATGCGTTACTTGTGACTTAAGCACGTGAGCGACGCGTCGCGTTGGTACGGGAAGTCAAGAGTCGATGACTGTAACCTCTCTTTAGCTACCTCAGAAACATATTCAGGCAAGTGTTACGTTACTTGTGAGGAAATGGCTTCTCAACTTTTTGCAGATTTCTTGCTGTCCAACTGTCAGCAATCTTCCCAAAAGTCCCCATTCCTGGAACGAGAGGAAGTTCTGGAAGTGAGCATGTATTGACATGTTGTGTTTTTTTAAAGGTTATCTCAGACCGGTTTCAGCTCATGCTGCACACTTATTCCACCAAGTCTTGCTAACTAATCAGCCTTAATTCTACATAAGGCTATTCACTGGCTGGCTCTACTGTGTTGGAGCCATAGATATCATCTACATCCATGCTGAAGACATTCATAAGTGCACTGCAGGGCACTATATCCGTATTGCTCACTCTGCTCACTGGATATGCCTCTGCCCACCAAGGCCTCTGCAACAGGAGTAGGGTCACACAAATCTGAGGCTTTCACAGACTAAGATTTGACTGCATTTGATGGTATAATTTCTTGGCATGATCACTTTGGTGACTGTAACCAGACTTATCCTGACTTTACCTGACTACGGTGCCAAAATTTTGAAACTCGTTGACTGCAGCCCGACAATACCAGACTTCACTTGACTTCCCATTTTTATAAGTGCTCACCGTGGATGCTCATCTGTCACTGCACCAACTTGTACGTGAAGCTGCTTTGTGATGGGGATTTTTTAATACTACATGCTGCAAAATCTCAATCACAAACAGCTCCCTCTTGGCACTCTGGCAGACGGCATCCTTCCGAGTCTGAGTTTCCCGCCGTCGAACGGTTCGTGTCGCCCGTTATGCATCGAGTGCGGAATGCGCGGAAGGACACAGCTGTTGGTTCATGGGCACGTTATCCTGAAAGCTATCAGGCTTCAGGCAATTCGTAGGATGTGCTTTGGCTTACTTCATGTACGTGCCTGCCCGTGATCTCCCAGCAACTCAGCTTGTATGGTCGCATTTTGCAAGTGCTCCCCTGCACGATGAAACCTGGGTATCAGTGCGACCTGGTTCGCTCACAGGTGATTTGACTCCCGAAAAGGGCCGGCATGTAAAGAAGCTCAGTGTATAGATCCACCATAGAAAAGATGGGAATTGGAAATTTCTATGGTACCATTGAGTAACCGCCGGCGTCCGTCGAGAAGAACGGGCACTTCAGAAGTATATAGTAGCAAGTCTATTCAGATTTTCGGACGCGTGAAAAATATACCAAGGCACACATACAAGGAGTTCTACAAGTACACTCGCGGGCCTCGTCTTTCACACACAGCACGAAGTCTCTGCGGATCCTGTGCGGCAAGTAGGCCAGTCTTCTAATCATCTGATGGGAAGGAGAGTTCCCGCAAGTCTTGCAGGGTGAAGACGCGGGAGCGGAAGGTGTGATAGCCTAACTCAAAGATGCAAGCATTCAGGCCTCAGGCACGGGAAAAGAGAACACGAAACTCGCGTAGTATTGAGAGACCGAGCATGATTGTTGACAAACCACGAGCTGCTGTGAGGCTCTGTGAGGGCCTGTGTGGAGATAACGGGCATCCAGCGACGCGCACCCGAAGCGCGTCTGACCCCCAGTGGACTTCGTCCGTAGGAATGGGGTGCTTGGGCCTGATTCGAGCATTGCCAAAAGTCTATCCGCACCGATGGTTGGGTGCATGGTCATAACTGAAGCTAAAGTGACTGTACTTAGTGCCAGGGCACACGCCGCGCAGATACAGTAACAAAGAGCCTCGCACACGTGAGATGCCATAGCCAGTCGTCGGTCCCTTTCCGGGGAAACGCAAGCTTGGGGATTCGAGGCCGAACATAACACTTGGCACGAGGACGGTGTTCGTAGGTGAGGAGAGAGTTACGTATCACGGAACAAATCTTGGGCGGGAAAAAGAGGGCTGGGGTGGTTGCGGCTCCCCGGGCATGGAGTATTTAAGGCGTCGAAGGAGAAACGGGGAAGAGGAACATCAGGTGAGCAGAGATGCGAGGCTCGCATTGGATGGAAGCGAGATCGCCTCGCGGCATTCGAGTGCTCGTTGAGGCCAACAGTAGCATGACAGTTTGCACTAAGAACTGAATACAGTCAATGTCTAGCACAGTGTGCAGAGAATACGAGACGACAACGAAGGAGAACGTTGATCAGCGTCGGGCAGAGGAACCAGACGGAATGGCGCCCTAGAGTAGAAAGTTCCCACGGGTGGTAGCGATGAAATAAGACAGCGACGGAAGTCCCCTGTGCGGCGAGTGAGCCGTCCACAATGTCTCTGTCGCCCACAACGTCGACCGACTACGACCACCCGCAAGGAAAGCGTCGCAGGACGTCTTTCGCCAGCACCATCACCCACGCCCAGGACATCGCCTCGCCGCCCCAGCTGCCCGCAGGCCAACCGCTCACACCCGCCGGCCACATCCCCAAGCGCGGCGCCCGCGCATGCACCGCCTGCAGGAAGGGCAAGAACAGGTGTGAAGGAGAGGTTCGTCCCTTCCTACTGCCCCTTCCAGCACCCGCTTATATCCCCCCGCGCCGCTGTCCATGGCCCGTCCTTCTCCGCCCGGCCCGGCTTAGGCTCCATGTCGTCGATGCCAATTGAGCGGCACCCTTTGCGTCTTTGAGAAACCAGAGAAGAAAAATGTACAGCCTATGTCAGGCCCCAGCATCGAGTGAGCTCCCTCTTCTTCCTGCCATCACTCACCGACGCCCATTTTTTAACCCTCATCAGACGTCTTTCCCGCTTGGAGGGACAGTACCTCGTGAGCGCCCTGTATCTCATACATCCTCGTTTCTCCCCACTCAATCCAGTCTTCTGAATAGGTCATGCAGAGTCAAATGATTGGCATGCAATCCTCCCTCGACCGCATCCTCTCTGCAATCCAGACCCAAAACCAGGCAACCCAAGCCATAGTTCAGTCCGTGTACGCCAACGGTGGCGGCCCGCCCCCAGCACCGCCGATCCGAAATGGCGTCGACATGTACAGCTCCTCCGGCCCTGCTGAGAGCTCCTCTCGCTCCGGGCGGGCCTTCCCCCCGCTTCCCGGCTTTGCCCCTCCCGTAAGGCACCACTCTATCCTGCGTGCTCTTCCATGTCTCACAGGGCATGACAGCCTCACAAGTATGCGACTTACGGCATCGTGCCCAGCACTGCGCCGTCGTCCGATGACGAGTCAGAGGACACGCTACCGCGGTCCACTTTGAATGCACCCATCGAGGCGCTCCAGGGCCTTGCCAACGCCGCCGCCGAAGCAGCGGCTGCCCCCTCGACGTCGCCCCCCAGGTGAGCTCGTTGACGTGCGCCAAGCCCCTCCTCTCACATGACGCTCTCTAGGGTGAAGAAGCGCAAGAGGGCCGAGCCCACCCCACGCAACGCGTTTCCTCATGTCGTCGAGAAGGTCAGTCACACGAGATCTCCCTCGGTCGATTGCTTCTTGACACCGTCCGCAGGGACTCGTCTCCGATACCGAGGCCCGAGAGCTCTATCACATGTGCGTGTTTGTCTCGAGCTTCGTTTCAGGTCGGTGCGGAGCGCTGAGGGCGACCCGTATATTCACCCAGATTTTTCTCCGGATGCCACTTCTTCATACCGGTGTTCGACCCGAGTTATGACACCTACGAAGCGCTCATGGAGCGCACGCCGTGGACGTTTGACGCGATCCTGGCCATTGCGAGCAAGATCAGGAGCGGGACGGGCCCGCTGAGTCCGACGTTCTACAAGTGCCTCGAGGAGGCGCAGGGCATTGCGCGCTCCACGCTCTTCGGGCCCGTGGTGCGGAAAGAAGCCGTCCAGGGTGAGTCCCTCTGCGCAAGAGAGCGTTGTAACCTGAATTGCTCCTGTGCGTCGCAGGAATGCTGCTGCTGGCCGCATGGAGCACGAACGGCTGGCTGCCTAGCGGGCATGCCATGCGCATGGCGCTCGACCTTGGGCTGCACCGCGCGCTGGAGAAGCTCGCGGACGAGGGCAGTAAGAAGCGCACGGAGGAGGAGGAGCGTAACCTCGGTAAGCAGCCGGTAATTCCTTCCCGCCGTTCGCGTACTCACACGATCGGGACAGTGGTGTCCGCGCGCATCTGGCTCTGTCTGTACTGGTTCGACCACCAGTGCGTCCGTAGTTTACTTTGACACGTCCTTGTCGCTGATGTGGTCCGGCAGGATGAGCCTGGGTACAGGACGGCCGATCGTGCTCCGCGACGAGAGCTCCATCAAGCATTGTCGCATCCTGCTCTCCCATCCCATGGCTTCGCCCACCGACGTGCGCTTGATATCCCAGGTTGAGCTCATCATGCAGAAAAGTCCGTCCGGTGCATATGTTCTCCTGGGCAGAGCTGATCACTTGGGGATCGACAGCCCAAATTTACGAGACGCTGTCTCCGCTGAACGGCCAAGTGAACCATAACACACTTGCCTTCATCCGGCGCGCGAATATTGCGCTGGACAAGTGGTGGTCCGATTGCGATGATTTGCATCGTGTGTCCTCGTTTCCCAATGTGCTTTATGCCTCGTGATCTTTGACGTGTGTCTAGGTCAAACCATGGACGAAGAGGCGCTGCCGCGCAAGATCCTCGCGGGCGAGCTGCATTACGCCAAGCTGTGGCTCGTCTGTGTCGCCCTGCGTGGTGTGTCGTGGGACAAGATGCCCTTCGAGCAGCGTGAGCTGGCATTCCAGGCCAAAGACGCCGCCTCGAATTGCCTCTCGAATTTGCTCAATTCGCCTACGTACAGGTAGGTGTTTATACCGCTATCGCCGTCCTTCCGTTCTCTGAGACGCCGTGCAGAGCTGCTCTCAGGTATGCGGTGCATGACAGCTTGGTTACAGCTGCTTTCTCTGGTCTGTTCTTGCTCAAGATGGCGAACCTGTTCCCTGCGGAGCTGGACCTCGGGGCCATCAGTGTGCAAGTGGAACAGCTCGCTCAGCTACTCTCGGAGGTTGCAGCAGAGAGGTATGCCATTTCTCTTGTGGGTGATAATGGCGCTACGTTTCTAAGATTCTTTTTTCGCACTAGATATGCGCTCACTCTTCGCATCATGCTCGCCAGCTTGCGCAGGAAGGTCGGGATGACGCCGCTCCCAGGCGGGCCCGACGCGCTCATGGCGCCACCGCCGCTGCCGCCGTACCTCGACCCGTCCATCGTGTCGCCGCCGCCGTTCACGATGGAGGAGCTCGGGCTCGGCGCGCTGCCGGGGCCTGGCGGCGGCAATGCGTTCAGCCCGTCCGCGATCCCGCTGTGGCTGCAAGAACAGGTTAGCTTTGTCTGGACTTCGTGCGCGGGCCGGCTGTGCTCATCACCCAACCCCGCGCGGGGGCGCGGTTCACAGAGCTTGACCGATCTCGGGCTCCCCGTGAACGGATCCGATGGTATCTTCCTACAGATGGGTCACCCGAACGGGTGGATGGGCGACTTCCCGCCCATGCCGGAGGCGTGGTGATGGACCGCCGTGCGACGGACGGGGATCAGCTGGCAGAGCTTGGTTGGTGGATCGTTGTATGTATCTCTCTTGATCGTTTGATCTGCTGGTCTTCGCTTGGAATTATCTCCTCATCGTTCGGGTATAAGTCCTGCAGGATGTTCCTTTTGCTACGGTATACGAGTAATACCGAATATGTTGTGTTTCTCTCAAACATCATTTAGCGTGTCAGCATCACTTTCGCGTACATTCGACTCGCCGCGCAGGGTTTTCCCCCCGTCGGGCGCGCAAGTAAAATTCTGCTCGGCTAAGCTTTTTCTGCTGGATTGCATGTTAGGCCAGTATCTACGACATATCATCTCTACACACGCGGAATCATGGGAACATGGAGCTCGTCTCGTAGCGGTTGTTCTTCATGCAATGCAAAACATGGCGTGCCATGCATACGGGATACATGCTCGGCCGGGGCCCATATGGCGGCGGCCGGCTGGGGTATGATGCTCCTCCCTTCTACTCCTCGTCGCCGCTCTCTTCTTCTTGCTCCTGCAAGAACTGGGGACGAATTTCAGCACGCGTGCAGAGGAGACGGTGGCGGAGGAGGGGACGTTACCTTCACGAGCGGCTGTGTCGCCTGCAGGAAATGCTGCTTTCCCTGGGCCTTCGCGCCCTTCTGGTGCCAGTATATGATAGCTTGGTCGGAGATACAATCCTTGTTATACAAAACCTGCCCGCGTAGCACGTCAGCCGGTCATCACACAAAGCAGCACAGCGCGGGGGCACGCGACGCGACGCGCCTTCAAAACCTGGGGAAACGCCTTAATGATACGTGTGTCTTCGTACGAGTACACTTGCACGGTGTTGATCAGCGCCACTTCCGTCTTGGCGCCGTTGCAGAACGGCTCGATGATGTCCGCGAAGCCCTGCAATGGAAACGGGGGGGCGTGAGCGCGGCAGCAGAGATGGGGAAGTCAAAGAGGGAGCGGTGGCGCACCGAGATTTCGCGCAGCGCGAGTGCCTCATTCTGGTCCTGGCGCGCGCTCCACTCGATGGAGGAGATGAGGCCCTGCCAGATGCACTGTATGAGCTCCGTCTCGGGGAGCGGCTGCTCCTCCTGCCTGCTCTTGATCGCCGCGACGATCTGCACCACCAGCAACGCATACACACACGCACGTCAGCACTCGTGGCAGAACACAGAAGGGGAGGGGAGGGGACGTGCGGACCTCGCGGTGCGGGAGGTCCCGCTGGAGCATCTCCTGGAGCGCCTTGATGACGCCGTCCTTGAGGGACGCGAACTGGCGCTTGGTCCACCAGTCGGCAACCTGTGGGAGGCCCGCGCGGCGGAAGTGCTCCTCGAGCACGCGGTCCTCGCGCCGGTTCGGCGGGAAGAACGCGAGGAGGTCGCGGATCCCGCCGCGCTTGAGTGCGCCCGCGAGGTGGTCGATGGACTGCTCCGCGAGGCACGCGCGGAAGATCAGCGTGATCACCGTCACCGACAGGTCTGCGCGCGACCCCGGGGGCGGCGGGTCAGTTTGGGTCGGGCGGGGTAGGGGAGGGGGTGGGGCGCACCGTTTTTCACGAGGTGGTCCTTCGTGAGACTCTGCAGGCAGCTGGCGCTGGCGAGACCCTGGGAGATGAGGAGCCCGATGGCGATAGCGAGCTTCTCGCGCTGGGGCTCCGTCCAGCGGTTGATGTACTGGAGAATCGTCGGAAGGGACGACTCCTCGAGGGGGCGTTGGAGGTACTTGTACCTGCGGCCACTATGCATCAGCACGCAGCCACCATACCGCGCCGAGACTCGAATCGCGGCGGGGAGCACGCACCTCCTGACGAGCTTGTTGACAACCTCGACGTGGAGCTTCAGGTCCGCAAAATCGGCAGGCTCCTTCGCGGCGACGATGGAGAAGGCCGCGGGGGGCACTTCCTCCTCGACGTAGGAGCCGCCGGGCTGGAGAAGCCCGCCGGCGAGGAGGATCTCGAAGAGCGCATCGGCATATTTGAGGAACTCGAGCGTGGAGCCGGCCTGGACGAGTTTGTTCGTGAGCCCGTCGAAGTCGTCTGCGGGCACAGTCTCGAGGTGTTTGTAGAGCTGGTCGCGGAAAACTGGCGGGCACGGTCAGCTGGACGCAGAGGGCGGCGGTGGGGGACGCTGCGTACCTGCGGGCTCGTGCTTTGCATGGGCCTTGACTGCGCCCTTTCGTGCTCTGATTCTGACCCCCTGCAACGAAGGCTTGGGCGCAGCTGATTGCTGAGACATCCACAGGTGAACCCGAGATCGATGTGGAACAGGTCAACAACGCGACCTCCCACATCCTGCGACTCGGTCCCTGCCGGTCGCGATCATCGTATCTCTCATTTTTCCATCTCTTCGCCTCATACAATCGCATTCAGATAATGTAGGCTCGGGCTCTTGGCTACGATTACAATTAGCTACAGTGTCCGGTGTACGTGCATGCGGAACGACAGAACTGCGACCCAGAGAGAGCGAGAAATCGACGACACAGCGGAGAGCGGGCGCGTGAGCGCAACACCAGAGGTATATACGTATACTGTGCACTCATATTACTATCGTAGTGCAGCGGAACAAGAACTGACACGAATCCCTGCATATCCGTCAGCATAGCCCTGCTCTTCGAAGAGCGAACCGACGTACTAAGAGAGAGAGAGAAAAAGAATCACTGGGACGCAGACGTGCTTTCGGGCGGATTCCTGAATCGCACGACCAGCACGGTCATATTGTCTGTCGAGTAATTCTTGTATGCATGCTCCAACAGCTCCTCTGCCGCCTTCTTCGGCTCCAGCAGTGTGCGGACCAGATCCACAGCCGCCTGGTCTTCGACCACGTCCCAAAGCTGCGAAGGAATCAGCACACGACCACATCACAGAAAACAGACAGCCGGCGCACCCCATCACACGCCAGGATCAAGAACTCGTCCTCCTCGCTCAACTCCGTCTCGGTCGTGTAGGGCGCGCCGACGACGAACTCCTTCATCGAGGAGTCGCCGAGGCTGCGCGTGACCGCGAGCACGCCGTTCACGCGGCCGCTCATGACGAAGCCGCCGGCGTCCATGATGCGTTTCGCCTCCTGCTTGTCCGAGCCCTTGTGGTCGTACGTGAGGCGCACGGCTTTGCCCGCGCGGCAGAGCACGCCGCGCGCGTCGCCCGCGTTCGCGCAATAGAGCACGCGGCGGATGGGCGCGGACACGGATGGCGTATAGGCGTTGGAGTTGGCGCTGGCGTTGGCGTCGTCGTCGTACTGCGACGCACGGCGCCCGCCGACGTCGCCGAGGGACCTGAGGGCGTTCTTGAAGCGGCTCCTGCCGCTTTTCTTGGAGTCCGAGGGGCTGACGCGTCCCGTCCCGTCGTCCTCGTCGTCCTCTGGGGGAACGAGAGGGTCGAATCCTGGGGGGAGGAAGGACTGGGTGCCGTCGGGGCTCTCGAGGCGGAGGAAGGCGGTGACGACGGTGCACCCGGAGTGCATCTTGCCGTCGGAGGCCTCGGACATTTTGGAGAGGCTACTGTCGGCTTCGTGGAAGCACTGGTTGAGCACGTCGGGAATATTCGCTGTGGGGTCCTTCCTGAGGACGTTCAAGAGGCACTAGGAGCGGGGGTAGGTGTGGAGCTGTGGCGGAGAAAAAGCGGGACACGCACCTGAGCGAAGTTATGACCACACCACTCTGCGGCCTGCTTTCCTGCGTGGCCGTCAAAGATGGCGAAGAAACCCTGACCGCGGACGCCGGCAAAGGGGGCGACGATGGAGTGTGCGTCCTCCATGGTGCGGCGGGGGCCCTTAGAGTCGATGACAGCGCATTTGAAGGAAAGAGCTGGTGGCAAGGAGAGGTCGGAGAGGATGGAGAGACGGCTTATGGATTTGAAAAGCATGAGGAGGGTGAGGACGGGGTAAAAGAGGAAGAAAAGAAACTGACTTGTCGGGGGACGCTGCAGTGGCCGCGACATGGCACGGCAGTCAGCGGCACGTGGCGGGCGAGGTCAAGGACACGCACCGGGATCGCTGGAGGCAGCCACAGGAGACATCGTTTGATGGGAGAGATATATAGCAGAGGAGAGAGAGATGGAGTCGAGTGCAGAGGCGTACGGTATAGATACAAGCACCGTCCGTCGGCGGGACAACTGCCCCGCGTCATGGCACGTGCCCCACACCCACAATAGCAACCGAAAGTACAACGCCGCCACCGTGACCTGTCCCATAATATTTTATGTGGAGAAAATATACCGCTTTCGGCACCGACGCGCTTGTGTGACGTCACGCTCCTGCAGTGCTCCTGCCCGTTCGATCGCGTGTCGCCAACTTCGATTCCTCGATGGACAGCATGAGCCGCTCGTCCTCCCTTCTGCCTCCACCACTCCCTCGAGTACTCTCTCTTCATGTCCTGGAACACGAACAAAACATCGAATAGCCCCGACCACAGGTACCAGCCAGTCTATCAGCCAGGTCCCACTCCCAATTACGCAGAGACTTCCTACGCGCCCCCGCCACAGCCTCCGTACGATCAAACCTACGGTGGAGGCGGATATGGAGACCAGAAGTCGCCTTTCGAGGGCGACCGCTTTAAGCCAAGGCCGAGGATCAATGACCCCATATTCCTCATATTTTTCATCCTCCAGGCGAGTCTCCTTCAATTCGCTTTTGTGTCATCGCTCTAAGGGACATGTTTAGTTCGCTGGGTTCACGGTTCTGTCTGCCATCGTCATCAAGCAGTGGATAAAGAATCGCGGCCTCGGCGGAGGCATAGGCAGCGGAGACACCGGCAACGCCGTCACCCTCAACTAGTGCGCATCGACCCGCCGTGCAGAGCATTGACATCTCCCTGATCCTCTTTATTCAGCCATACCGTTATTCTGTTACTTCTCGTCACCGCTGCTGGGCTTGTGCTCGCGACCTTCTACCTCGCCCTCACCCGCTACTTCACCAGGATGATCATGCACATCACCCTCATTCTCTCCATCCTCCTCAATATGTACGTCTCCGTTAATCGACTGAATTGCCCGCAAATAACTCTCGTCCCCAGCGGCATATGCATCTACTACTGGATCACAAAGTACTATTGTCAGTCTCCAGCATTTTCCATCTGCGCCTTAGTATTCACTTTCTCGGTTAGCCGGCGCGATTATATTCACGATTATCGCCGTACTATCCATCTTATCGTACTTCGGCTTCCGCTCGCGCATACCCATGTCTGCGCTCCTGCTCCAAGTAGTCATGGACGTCTCCAAGCACCACTGGAGCACGTACGTCGTGGCGTACGTCTCGCTCATCTTGCAAGCCGCTCTAAGCGTGTATGTGGAGCGTAGAACTTCACATAGTGAGACTCGCTGACGTGTGTGCAGATGGTACACGTTTACTGTCATCGGAACGTAAGTTGCCGCTTCGCTGTTGCCCACCCTTCTCTGACCCACCGCTCGTTTCGGCTCCAGCTATGCAAAGTGGACTCCTGGAAGCCCGTGTAATTTCTTTCCTGCGTCATGATGAATCCAGTTCGCTGAATCCGTGCTGGGAATAGCATGTAGCTCCTCCTGCTCGTCTAGCAAGGTCGCGGGCCTGATCTTCTATGAGACCTTTTCCTACCTCTGGACGTCGCAGGTCTTCGCCAACGTTGCGCTCGCCACACTCGCAGGCGGTCCCTACGGCGGTAAGCCGCGTGCCCACATCCCCGTATCTTCTGCAAGGATCTCTCACTCATGTGTTGGCGATCTCAGCGTGGTACTACTTCGGGCCCCGCGAGCAAGGCCTTATGGTGCGCACCTCTTCTATTCCATTCGAATCACCGCGTTCTCAATACCCTAATCCCTGTGATTCTTCCGGTTCTGACAAGCGTAGCCCAAGCACCCTGCGCTCTCTGCGTTCGGCCGCGCCTCGACGCTCTCGCTCGGGTCCATCGCGTTCGGCTCGCTCATTGTCACCCTCCTCGACCTGCTCCGCCTCATCCTCAATGCCGTGCGCAATAACGCGAACTCGCAAGGACATCGTGAGTCCCCGCTCGGATGCTAGACTGCTAGAATATGTAAGTCTGTCGGACTGACGGCGAGTGCAGCGGTGGAGGTCATCCTGGCGCTCTGCGCGGAGTGCTTCATTGGGTGCATCGAGTGGGCGGTGCGGTACTTCAACAGGTGCGGTTTTTCCTGTGCTTTGTTCTAATTTCGTGGAACGGTGAATGAACGTCTCGTGTGGCGGCAGATATGCGTACATCGAGATCGGTGGGTCTCGCTCTTCGCTATTTACTACGCCGTTAACGTCCGGCCGACGCTGGCGTTCTGGTTGACAGCGCTGTATGGCAAGCCGTACATCCAGGCCGCGAAGGATACGTGGCGTCTCTTCAAGGATCGCGGGATCGACGCGCTGGTCAATGACTCGCTCGTCGGGATGAGTACGCGCGCATCCTCTTAGCGCCAGGCACCAAATCTGACTACACATGATCGTCAGCGCTGACCTGGGGCGCGTACGCGATCGGCCTGCTGTGCTCGCTCTTCGGGTACCTCTACTTGCGTTGTGCGTGCCCTCACCACCACTCCTCCTCTATGGATTCGTGGGTGGCTGAACCGATCGTATGCTGTAGATACTCACCCGTCGTATAACGCCGACGGGCAGTACACTGCACCCGTTATGCTCTTCGCGTTTCTCATCGGGCTGCAGTTGAGTGCGTCGCGTCCTGGTGTCGCGGTTGCATGCTGCCGCTGAGTTGACAGTGCCTAACATAGTGCTGACATTGGGTGCTGCGATCGAGGCGGGCGTGTCGACGATGTGAGCTGCCGTAAACACGCTCTTTTGTTCGACGGCGCTGATATGCGTGTATCTCGCGGTTACAGATTTGTCGGGCTGGCCGAGGACCCACAGGTGCTTGCGATGCGTGCACCGGAGCTGTTCGGGGTAGGTCTTTCTTCTCCTCGTGTATCGTGACGTCGTGATGGAGGGGGTGCTGACCTCGATATCAGTTTATTGCGGCGAAGTACCCGCAGGTCACCCAGGGCGTGCCGCGGGTGTGACGATGCGCTTCGTTTGGGTATGCTCAATTGTGGGTGCCTGCGGCGGACCGTATGTCATGCGTTGTTCGCTGCTCGATAACGGCTTTCGTTGTTTTCTTGGTGACGTTAGATGTCTTTTACGACTGTATGGTATATGGTATACTCGTGGTGGATTTCAGCAAGGCGCCAACGCGGGACTCACCGACGATGTCAGCCCTGGGTGTGTACGGGTCCCAATGGCCGCGCGTTTTCCTTGGCTCTCCTCCGGAAGCCTGAGCGGACCATCGTTTCTCGCTGTAAACTACCCAAGTTTGACGCGTATTTATAGTTCTGCGTACCCGCTCAAGTAGTTTTCGATCTATCTGCTGACGAGTACTACGCGTACGCGAGGCACCGAGGTTGAGTTTGAGCTAGAGGGGCCTTGGTGGCCTCTCACTGATGAAATATTGCAAGTGCGGCGTGGATTCTCGCGCCTCGTGTCGCGCCCACGTGATGCATACACAGCAGCAAACAGGCGCCGCGTGCGCCAAATTCGGCGGCGAAACGCATCTGCTTGCGGTAACTAGGTCGTCAGCGAAACAAAGGAGAGAGATCGCGAACATGTCCGCCACTCCAACGACGACCACCCTCACCACTACCATCATCACCACCACGACCAACACACCCACACAGGCCCTCCCGAACGCTAGTAAAGGCAAGATGGCCGCCGTCGCCGCTGCGGGCAGGAAGCGTAAGCTCACGCTGATGAACGGAGGTGCAGACGGCTGATACTGATGCGTTCGCTGCGATACTCACGTGTACTATTTCAGAGGAGCTGGATCTGCAGCAAGTCAATGCGATCGCGCCCGTGCGGCCCGAGGTACGTCGTGAACGGCCCCTGGTCTGATACGCGCCGCCTCGTCTCATTCCCGCGACGCGTCGTGCGCATGTAGGTCGTGGAGGCGATGAAGTTGCGCATCATCGAGGTGGGCCTTGTAGTGCGTGAGGTTCTGCGCGTGCTGATCCTGCGTACCCAGCTCGAAGACCAGCTCGCTGCGAAGTCCCCTGCGAAGCGCGCGCGGACGATAGCGGCCGCGGATGTTACCATGGAGCTCGAGGCGGGTCCCTCTACCACGCCCGCTTCCCTAACTAAGGCGGACGAGAAGAAGCGCAAGATCCACCTCAAGAAGATCTTCGACCGGTGCGTGCCCTCTCCCTTACCCCCAAAGTACGGTGGCTGCGCATGGCTGATGGTGGCGTTGCAGGCTGAAGAAGGAGTGCAAAGCGGTCTCGTGCAAGTTCCAGGGCGCGCCGAAGACGATCAAGATCGAGGAGGTGTTCGAAGTCGACGAGTTCAACGCGATCTTCGCAGGCAAGGGCAGGCTCATCCAGCCCACGCCGGAGAACAAGCCGAAGAGCACCGTGACCATCATGGACTTCGTACGTGCCCTCGCACATCTCGCTTTCGCGTCACTCTCTCACACATGTGTATACTTGCTGGTGCGCTTGCAGAACACCGCCCAGGTACAGGTGCTGTTCGGGGACGAGCTCAAGGCGCTCAAGGGTAACCGCTGGAGCCGCGGCGGCGTCCCCGTGCGCACGTTCGGCGCCGGATTTGGCGGGCTCGGCTCGAGCTTCAGCAAGTCCGTCAAGCAGGGCCCGTGCGACGTCGAGATCCTCAGGCTCGACGTGAATTACTCCAAGAACGGCATGAAGTGCACGCTCAAGTTCGATGTCGGCGATGTCGGCGACGGTAGCGGGTACGACAGCGACGAGTGGTACTAGTGGCGTATCGGAGTGCTTAGATATGAGACCCTGCTCTTGCTGTTGTTGGGTGCTCTTGGTCTCTTGTTTTCTTAAGCTGAAGTATGTTCGTAATTGTCGGATAATTGTTACGGTAGGCCATCTGTTGATATTCGAAAGGTACAGTCCTTTGTAGATAATTAGCTATGCTCCTCATATGATCATCCCTCTCAGAGTCAGAGCTAGACCACGTTAAGGTTCAGTATGATACAATGTTGCTTTGTTCACCACTATCTGCTACGTAGGGAGGCATTCGTTACATCGCACTAATGATACAGTTCTCTGAGAGCGGGAAACCACATTGTCCCAATCACCTGTCCGTAAGTATCGAACACATTCATATAACTAGCTATCATCGACAGCCCCGAAATATATAGCACCTCACGCCCCACCGCACATCCTGCCCGATCCTCTTCCCCTCCACGCGCATCCCGCATATGACAGAGACACTGAGGAGGAACATCCCGAGCGCACCCGCCGCCATCGCATGTACTCCGCTCAGGATCTCTCCTCCCATCCTACCGCATAGCAGCGACGAGCCCAGAGGGCCCGCCAACGCACCTACGAGCGTGTAAGATACTAACACCAGGAGCGAGCGCCACAGACCCAGCTGTCCCGACGTCTCTGCCTCCTCCGCCAGGTCCGCCTCCAAGTCGGTAGTGTGAGGTTTTGCAGATCTGTTCAGAGTTGCGGCTTCCTCGTCCGGTTGGCGAAGCAACTGCCGCTGCGCATGTGCGACGCATCCGAGAATGAAGACTATTAACGACATTGGGATGGCGACCACGGCGCCACCGACAGCACCGGCGGCGATCGTACGCCCGACGTCCACTGCGTATGCTGCATTCAGCGGCCAAGCGACGTGCAGCACGACGTGCCCCAGCGTGAGCCCGAGGCACACTTGGAAAGCGCAAGATGCTGCGGACACCAGTAGATGGGCAAGCCAAATCACCAGAAGGAAGAACAATATGGGCAGACGCCTGAGGAAACTGAGGTTGACGTCAGAAACACCGCGGTGAGTAGCATTAATGCTGCTGGGGGGTGTGCTGGGAACGTTGGTATGCGCTTCGACACGCGGCAAGCTCGATGTCTTCTGACATGGCAAACGGGGCAGGCTGGGCGTTGTGCCCACCAGGGGCGGCACAAAGCGTATTTCATCCTCTGGAATGGGCTGAGGGAACCCTTGAGTGGTATACAGTGGCGAAGCTATGGTAGGCCCGCGGAAAGGCTGACGCAGGACAAACGGTGGAGAAGGAATAAGAGGCGACGGAGGGAGTTCCATGGGTGCTGGTCTGGGCGGAGGAGGCGGAGAGGATGGTGGTGTAGAAGGACTGTCAGGTCGCACATGATGCTGGGAGGGGTGATCATCCGACTCGACGGGGCTTTCGACCAGCTGGTCCTGTTCGAGGATGACCGTAGGCTGCTTGTCGAACGTTACGCGCAAAAGGCCGCCCAGGCGTTCAGACGGTGCTAGACAAGGACTGTCAGATGTGACGAAAATACGATGTGATGATGCACATACCTATGTTGTGTTGTGGGATAGCAGTGTTGTTCTGTGTCGGAGCAATCATCATGGACTAAGATGCACGAACCGTTGGGCATGCAGAGGAAGACACATCCCAGACGGTTCCTATATATTTCTCCAGCAGAAAGCTTGTCAAACAAGAAACAAGGAGTTCTGTCCGATTGTAACCAGGGTAGCCGACAGACATTGATGAACCTGATTTACAGCCTGAGAATCTGGATTTAGGCACGGTGAATTACTCACCATTGACATCTAAAAGTTGTTGTAGCTCTGAATACAACAGACGAAATGTACTTGGAAAGTTGAAACTCGTTGTACAATCACACGGCTTTGTGGGTGCCTGTGGGTGCTAGCGTCTTTCTACCTGTTTTAGTATGTTGTCTCGGGCGCTTACCGCCGGCAGAATCCACGCGGGCGAACAGGCTTCGCGATAGATTGGAAGAAGCGCCAACGACGGCGCGATAACGGGCTAAATACAAAGACAAGGCCAGAGTAGAACAATAGCCACGAACTATATTCCACCGATTTCGAACGGCTCTTAGCTATATTGTGCATCGGAAAGGTACCTTCGTGCTCGTGACTTGAACTTACATAACTCCGTAGCCTTACCGAAGGATAGGTTCACAACAGTTCCCCATGGGAGGAAAGAGAGAGGAATCAGTCACACTGCACTGTGCGACGCTGGCCACTTTCAAGACGCAGTAGGAGTACGCTACAAAGAATGATGATAACAAGACATGGTCATAATGTTTGGGTGGGGATTGAGTCAAGTGATTATGAAGTCGGGTCGATCATGCAATATTAGACCGGCAAGCGGCGATACGTACGAGTCCGTACCTTCTCGGGACAAATGAATCATCGGATGAGAAGACTGTGCGTAACAGCGAGTGCGCACACAGACGCGCACGCGATGAAGCCTAGAGCGTAGCCCGAAGGTCCATTCTCCACGCTCATGGACCAAAGCTGGAGAAACCGGTCAGCTAAATGGCATGCATACGTCGGAATAGACGTACAGTCCCGCCAAGAATGGGTCCAATGAAACGTGCAAGGCTGACTATGCTCTGCGCGACGCCATTGGCGTAGCCGACCATGTGAGGCGGGGACACTGGTAACGCATCAGAGTAAAAATACACGTGAACAAAGAGACGGCATACTGTAGTTCAGCAGGACGGCAACAGAAGTGAATGTGAAGGTGGCCCCACAATAACGTATAGCTCTACATGAAACATTGGTAAATATCACTGTAGACACTGCATTCATCCACCTACGTGCTGAGTGCGAGTGCTGCGAATATGAATTTTTTTTTGCTAAATGAGCGACGGTGTTGCCCAGCGGAGCAAACAAACAGCCTACCAGACATCAGAACTGGATCTGCGTCGCCGGTTGGGCCGGCCATCGGACGGTATAGAACGACAGAAAGGTATGAGGGTATGAAGAGCAGAGAGCCAATGCGGAAAACGGCTAGATGCGAGAAGCGACCTCTAGGAGGACTGAGACCAATGGTTGGTCAGTTAAAACACGATGCCACTTCTAGTGGAACCCACCCGATATTCCTATGCGAGAATCATGGGTACCACATGACTTCAGACATCACAATGCACTCACGGGTATAAGTAAAACTGATAGGCAATCTGCGCCAGACACATCAATGCGACTGGTTGTCAATTGTACTTGGTCAGTGCACAGAGTTCATGGACATCGAGCACTCAACTAAGCTGCGAGAAGTGGCCCGCATCCAGGTTCAGACCGCCCAATGGGTATTTGCTGTGAACGCACAAATTCATTCGTCAAACAAGGCAAAGTGAAAGCGAAACTAAAAAAGACTCACGAAACAAGATAGAGATAGAACACCTGGTCATGAGTGGTTGTATGCAGCGCAAGTAAGCCATATTGGATGATCACGAGCACAGGCAACTGCGATAACAGCGACGGTTCCTTCGGTTCCTCCGCGACGTTTTCGACACGCTGGGACTCCAATATTGGAGGCAATGGTGCGAGAGGTTCATCCATCGGTGGGAGTGGCTGTTGCACTTCAAGCACTGCGGGAGGTGGACGCACACCGGCATGCGCAAATATTGATGCAGCACCGGGAAGTCGACGTGATGCAAGATCGGTGGCGGAAGGAAGTAGGGAGTATGTCGATGAGCGGCGTCGGATGGCTGGAAAACGGCTTTTGGAGCGAGAAAGCGAACCACGCGTCCTAGGATACCGACCATCATACATCTGCTTCATTTGAGGGTTCGAGACAGGCAAAGACCGCGTCCTGTAGAAGCGGTTGCTGCGGTTGGCAGGAACGGAAGGGATCGTTCCAGACACATCACCACCATTCCCTCCGACAATCTGCACGAGTTCCTCCGGACCCTCATCGTCCTCATCGTCGTCCGTGTCCGTGTCGACTTCTGACTGTGACTCGAAAGCATCCTCACCGTCGACACTCATCGCAGCGGCAACCCACAAGTCTGCAAGATTGTTGACCGCGTTTTCGTTCGCCATGACCAACCGATGTGTGAAGCTGCGTTCGCTTCTGGCATCCATGGAGGACTGCACGCCCTCTACGTCGCGTCGGCGGCTGAACAATATGGCCCTGCTTAATCTGCGCGTCGAGCTGCTGCCAGGCCTCGACCTATAGGTGCCACTATACTCGTACGCCAACCCACTGGTCTGCGGGAGTGGTTGATACCTGCTTATCCTTGATGGAGTCGATAACACTGATGCTGGTTCGTTTTGAAATAGTAAAGGTGACGTTGGGCGCTCCTGCATGTCGGAAATATGTCTGGGAAAGTACCCAGAGGGCCTCCCTCGGAGCGAAATCCGGAAAGAACCACGGACAGAGCCATAATGAGCATGGCGTGATGGGCCATCGAGAAGGGACGTGGCCGAAGTCACTTCTCTTTCCTCGATGCTCGCAGTCTTCTCTAGAGATACCAGGTTGGCTCTTTCACGAGGCCCACCATCTGGTCCAAGGAAGAGGCACATGATAGAACCTAGCATGTCCATTAGGAGGCCACACATCCAAATGCAGCACGACACGACTTGCCTGTGAAGGTCACTGACGCCGCGACACCGCAGGGAAGTAGGTACGGATATTTGACGAACAGCGGTATCCGCCCGAAAACTGACGGCCATTTTGCAGCAGGAGATTCGACTGCGTAGAAATTCAGATCAATGGCAGTCGTGCGGTAGAAAACCTCACGCACATATTCCTCCGATGACGGCTCCAGCAACACCACCCATACCCCAACAAAAGCTGTGACGGATATGAGCAACGCGCATTTACCATCATACATGTGGTACTAACCCCAGAATGGCATAGGCTCTTCCTTCATTGCTCTGGTCCGTAATAGTCGTGACGCAGCCTCGCGCAACACCGATTGCACCGGCGAAGACACCCTGCATCAGGCGTATTGCCATCGCCTGTTGCAAGGACGAGGATATACCAAACAGAAAACAGGTAACGGCAGTGCCGAAAAGCGATATGAATAAGACGAATCGCTGCCCATACCTAGCCGCTATTGTCACCTGTACTGCGACATGAGAAGACACCTATTGGATTGAGCAGACACGTACCCAAAGCAAGGAGGTCAAGAACTGTGTCAGAAAAAAAGTTGACACTGAGGATGAAATGAGTGCTAGGGAACAACCTGCTATGAGGGAAAACATACCTAAAATTCCGGTCGAATATCCAGTGCGGGATTCGTCAGAGAATTGGTTGAAACCTGAAAAAATGTTGAGTCTAAGTCTCGGAAGACATTTTACTCACAAAGAAATGCGCACCTTGGACCATGAAGAGAATCCAGGGCGCAGAAACGTTCGCCGACAGGAATTCACCCAACATAGTCTGTCGAACCATGTTAAGCTATGTCCTGACATCGAGTTTGGCAAAGTGCATCACGCATACAATCGACAAGACAAGCATTGAAAGGACGGGTAAAGGAGCAGCATACTCTTCACCCGGCTGTTGCAGCGCACTTGGAATAGGCGGTTGGGCCGGTGTGGAAGGAGGTGGCGTGCAGACTTCCTCGTCCAGCATCTCCCTCCATCGTCCAACAAGACTTGAGTTTTTTCGGATGGTATTAGCGAACAAAACGCGTCCGGGTCGACGCTCAGCATCCAGATCTTGATGTGGGCCTCCTACCACTGGGAGAAGGCTCGCGTCCACGCCCGACGCGTCATCACGCATCCCAAGTGGTTGTCCGGCCGTTATTGAGACGTTTTCCGGTAGACCGTTACTCATTGCGCAGGGAGAAGAAAACGGGCGGGGAACGTGCACTGGCGGGATACGAGGAGAGACCTCATCTCTGCCACGAGAAAGGATTAGACTTATAAGTCTCACTGGATTGGAAAGAGAGCGTATTGCGAGTGGTGGTAGATACTGCAGACGATAGCATCGCAAGGTCCGAGCAGGAGGGCGGATACATCGAAGACGGCTGTCTGGCGCTGTCAGTGTCACCGAGGTTGACCAATGGCAAATACACCATCTGCTGACGTAAGCACGGGGTTTATGCTGGACGCGACTACTTTGTAAAGGCCGCATGCTGAGCAAGTGCTGGGCTCCATTCTTCCGACACCACCACCAACCGACCCTGAAACAATGCGGAAGACTTCTTATGTTGTCGCCTTTTTCGCCGTCATTGGGACCTTGGTCCTGGTAAGTCTTTTGCGGATTTACTGGATCCTTCCTGACCGTCCGACATTTCGAAGAACGTCATTTCTATCCAACGGCCCGACTGGTTCGCACGGCGCGCATCATTGACCCATGAGCCTCTTTGACGCTGCGTTGCAGGCTGGTGGTTAACAACCCCGAGGTCCTCCGTTCCAAGACCACTGTGCGATACGGACTGACCCAGCGCTGCGAGCGGCAAGTGATCATTATACCCGGCCTTCCAGATGGCAGCAAGCTTGCGTACACCGACTACAAATGTCGTCCATTCCCCAACCGCGTCACCGACCGCTGCGAGAAGGAGGAGAAGGCCTTCTGCATGACATGGAGTACCGCTAGTTACCTGAGCGTGCTCGGCGCCGGCTTTGCAGTTGTTTCATGCCTTGCCATACTCTTCGGCGTGAGCACTCATTCAAGGAGGCGAAGAATTTGGAGAGCTGTAGCAGGGTTGACTGCGTTGCATGGTAAGTCCGAATGCTCGACTCCTCGTCGACAAATTTGAGTTCAACCATTGCTGTGATAGTTGCCTTCCAGATTGCAGCCTTCAGTGTTGTCACGTACCTCTACAGCAATTCTCGCTTCCCCACGTTTGAACGAGCTAGGCCCGGTATGTGTGATTGTAACAGGGGTTCAATTTGACGTAGATTGACTCGGATGCAGGGCCTGCCTACATCCTCAACATCCTCTCGTGGATATTCGGCATTATCGTTACTATCGGAATCCTCACAACTGGTATCTCAGCGAGCAAGGGCCACAGATGGGCTGCCGGCAACAGAGCGTACCAGCCTATCCAAGGATGAAGCCCTGCATTTACCTTTCTTGACGTCCAATGCCTTCTACCAATATCTCTACAATTTATGCATTATCCGATGTTCGTTTCCATGGCCTGTTTGTTGTCATATGTGTACTATACATTACCGATTGTGCTATGTAGTGTCGTAGTGTTGTCCACGTTCACAAGAGAAGAGTCACTAGGACGCTGGGATACTACTCCAAAATTTCCAATAGATCACCGCTAAATCAGTAGTCCGCTTCTGGGTAGTCGACTTGGTCGTAGAGCCTCAGAATTTCGTTCCAATCACGCTTTCTCCTCCTACGGAGAGAGAAATATTTTGCACTTCCCGCCCATCGGCCTCTTACCCTCCCCTTCTCCCTGCCCCCACTCTTAGCGAAATGCTGCTCGGGATCCCGAGGCAGCCCGAGGGTGTCGACGGCCAGGTCCATCACGCGTGCATGGAGGCCTTCGCGGACAGCATGCGCCTCGTGCAGACGTGTCTGGCCGACGATGAGCAGGCGCACCAGCGTCACGAATGCACGGAAGGCGGATATGGCGTCTTCCATCCACCGCAGCGACATCCACATGCAAGCAGGTACCGCTGCCGCCGTGACGAACGCGATGGGGAACGTGAGCAGCATTGCGCCGACCCAGACGCATAGCCCAGAGATGAACCCGTAGGTCAGCTTGTACTGCGCGATCTCGTCCCAGGTGTCCCAAATGGGCCCTGTCCGCTTGAATTCGGAGACGCCGATGAAAGTGGTGATGAGTACGGGTAGCCACAGCAAGAGACCTGGGATGGAGATCGAAAGGAGGAAAACGGACCACCAGAGCCGCACGGCGAGGCGATAGATAATAATTCTCCGAGGAAGAGGTCTGCGTATCCGGTCGTCCTTAATGCCCCAGCGAACGAGCTGGTCTTGATATTCCTTCACGGGGTCAGACCAATTAAGTAAAAGACGGGAAGTCGAAATACTACCTTCAGATCATTCCCTAACCCAATAATTTTACCGTCTTCAATAGCCACTTGCTCCGCCGAAACAGTTTCACCATCGCTGCTGCTAGATGCACGCGGAGCTTCGGCCAGTTTGAAAGCCTCCAGGAAAGTTCGTACTACGCGCACATAGTCACCTAAAGTCATCGTGGTGCCCAGCGGCGCGTACATCCCCGCAGCAAGCTTTGCATTGCGAATAAGTCCCCATGATGGCGCATCGAGAGTCCCAGAACTTATTTGCTGGTGCATCCGAGCGGTCAAGTCCCGAATCCTGTCGTAATTGACTGGACTCAGGAGTTCCGGATTATCCTGCAGGTGGGTCAGAGAAGTCCTAATCGCTGTCTCATTGCTTGATCTAACCTTCGGTCGGAACTTCATGGGCGAGTGGAATGTTACCAAGACATCTGAACGGAAATGCTGTCTATGCCTGCAATGATAATATGTTTGCCTCGAAGATGACGGTTGCATCTAAACCTCTTACATATACGTTATCGAGCAAGTGAGCACCGATAGTTCAAAGTCTGGGTTGTTGCGATTGCGTGATAGCACGTCCGACACAATACGAGCAACTGCACGTCGGAACGGTGAGCCTCAAGGCTGCAGCGTTAGTAACGGATAAAACGGTACAGACCTCCGGTCTTCAGAGGAGCAATGGTTGGGTGATATCTGCTCATACCTTCGGGAAAAAGGCAGACCGCATCACCATACTCTAGAGCCTGTTGACGAGTGGCGTTCACCGATATTATTAGTTAAATCACGGAAAAAAACTGCATACCTCGATCAATTTGAGCATGACCTGGGTGTTATCAACTTGTCCATTGGGAGAATCTTTGCGGCGTTTTATCGGAACAGTTCCAGCAGACTCTATGAGCCAGCTGGTGAATGTCTGTTTCCCGAACTGAGTGGACTTCGCTGTCAGTCGTAATAGATTGCGTCTCTAACGAAAGTAAATGGAATCCAAGGATGTCAAAGTCTATGCCGATGGAAAGCATACCCTGGTTGGTATAGCAGTGACAAGGAGGCTAGATGAGCAGGATAAGCTCAGCCGAGTAACGTGCACACATTGCTCACAGTGCATCCGTCAGCGAATTACTATGGTTCGCACAGACAATGCTAGGAATGATGCACGTGAGGTGAGAACATGATTTCAAAGGAAGCTACGGCACCATGGTTCACCTCTTGGAGGTATAAAGTGCGTGTTCTCGACCACTATGGTTCCATAGAAGATTTTGAGAACAAATTGGAACAAAAGTCTGTATAGATAGTCAGCAATCACTACCGCCGAACCCCCAGCGCAGAGACTTGTACTTGATGAGAAAGTACGACCAGGAAGTCGCAGAACCCTGAGGCATGGACTCGGGAGTGAGATCACGGTCACGGTGAGGGTGGCCCATCAGCAAAAGCGGGGAATATATATAATTGTATAGCTTCCATATATGGGCCGTGAAAATTCCCATGGGGGAGGGCCGGAATTTCTGACCCTGTATCTGAAATCCCATTTATGCATACCCCTTAATTGGCCCGGTCACGACGTTACTGAATTTTCTTGCAGCCTCACTCAAAAAGGCACGGGGGAAGAGACGATCTACCCCGCCAATACATCAGCCTTCACATCGCTCCTGGACTTGTCGCTGCACCATGTCCGACGCTCTCCAGCTGGACCTCTCCAAAATCAGGCCGCACACAACCTCCTCCCTCCCCCACCAGAAGGCTCCAGCCGTTCTCCTCCAGGCACTCGAGTCCACCTTCCGTGAACAGAACACCGAAGCCTCTCCTACAGCTTATTTCGCTGCTCTTTTGACCACTCTGGATGGCACCTTACAGACGGCACCAACATCCGGTCCACCCTTGGGCGATGGCGATGTTTTACCCGCTGTCTTATATCTGTTTGCTCTCGTCGCACCGCACGTTCCACCCCCAGTGATACGCTCCAACTTGACGACACTTATCTCTCTGACGTGTCCTCTTCTACCCATAATTTTGGGCCATGCACCGCCATTGCGATCGCAGCTGGGTCTGTATAATGCGATTTTGCGATCTCTCGAACGCCCACACCTCGAGACTCGGGGCCTTCGCCAGTCTTTCGTGTTCATCCTGCGCCTCTCACTGGACCCGCGACCCAAGGTGCGGAAACGCGCTGTTGAACTGGTCAAAGACGTACTTTCTGCTCCACCACCTCCCTTGCTGAGACATCCGTATGCGGAGCGTGCCGCAGACTGGGTTAGCTCCGCTTTGGCAGAGATCAATTCTGGAGGATTACATAAATTTAAAGGAAAGAAAGCAGAGAACGAAGGATCCGATACTGCGATTCACCTACTTGCCTTCTTACGTCCAGTATTGCCCACCCTTCCCCCGGCCGTGAGTGAAACTTGCATTCGTGTCGTTTATTTCCAAACCAACTGAATGTGTCAGTCACTCCCCCTTATAACAACGTCTCTTCTTACCTTGCCTCGGCTAGGAAACCCATACCTTTCTCATTCTGCGTATTCTATCCTTGCCGACCTGCTGGCCCTGGCGGTGGACGACCCCGCGAACAACATCCAGCAACAGCTTCACGAAGTTATCAAAGCTATGTTGTCCATTTCGTCCACTAAGGTAGATCCTACGTTTGCCCCCGCGTGGGCGGGCGTACTCGGCAATGCCATGCTTGCCTTCCATGCCGCGGACGCAGAAGCGTGCGCTGCAGAGGTAGGCAAGGTATGGAAAGCGCTTTGGCCTTTACTCGAAGAGACGGATACTTCCACCAGAAAGGCGGCGGCGCAGGCATTGGGCATGCTGGCGCAATGCTTCACCCACTCCTTCATCACTGCGACTATCGTAGAGAGGGGCCAGGACGAGCATAAATCCGTGATTGGAAGGATCATCTCTCAAGTGACGAAGGCCCTCGACTCGTTGACGTTTGCTCGCTCCATTCCAGAGTTGCTAACAGTGATATCGTGCCTCCTTGCTAATTTGCGGTACCGAGGTGACTCACGTGCGTCTCCAACCGCTGCAGAGTTGCTTCTTCTGCCTCTGGTTGCGTGTATCGGTGAACGAAGAATTCAGAAAAATTTTGAGCACAAAGAGGCTGCGGATGCGACGTTGGGCACGGCGATGTGCGTTCTCGGACCTGAAGTGCTGCTCCGGGCTCTTCCTCTCAATCTTGAGCCTGCGGATAGGTGGGCCAATCTATGCTCGCTAAGCACAGGGCCTAACGAGCTTCATTACTTACTAGGCTGGGTGGCCGCGAACCACGCGCTTTCTTGCTACCCTTGCTCTCCCAACCACATCCATCACCACTTGGGCATTTCGTGTCGTACTTCGTGCCCCTCACTGAGCGCATGTTTGATTTGCAGCAAAAGGCCGAGACGGAGGGCCGGCAATCTGAGGCCAAAGTATGGAGCGTGTTGGTAGAACAGATTTGGAACGGTCTTTCTGGGTACTGCTGGGGTACCGTAGACCTGCAGCAGGTGCGTTTTTTTTCGCCTTTTTCTGCTACCGAAATGGGATTGATCTTACGAATCAGGCTTTAACACACGAGTTCTCTCAGTTGCTCTCACAGCTGCTCTACAACCAGCCTGAACTGCGTCCCGCTGTCCTCAAAGCGCTCAAGGTCATGGTAGATTCGAACGTGGCTCTTGCATCAGGGGAGACGACCCGATTGCCCGAATCGGTATTAGGAGACGCAATCTCTACTGAGGCTGCGGCTCATAATGTCGCGTTCCTCCGCTCTCAAGCTGAGAGCTGGCTCGCGGTACTTTTCAACGTATTCAGCAGCGTGGGCAGGGAGAGCCAAGGCATGGTGGGAGATGTTGTCAGTGCATGGACTGCCATTGCTGGGGAGCAGGTCGGTGGATTTTCGGCTATTAATTATTAGAACGTGGCGTTGATGTCTTGTTACTTCGTAGGAGATCACGAAGGCTTACCACAAGCTCGTGGAGCTGTTCAAGCAGAACTTGAGCGAGTCGCAGCCCTCCCATGGAGCAAACAATGCTGGTAGCATCACTGCAGTGACTCAGGATCTCCTTTTACTCCTCCTGCCACATCTTTCGTCTGTTGACGCGACCGCTCTTTTCGATCTATGCCTTTCTGCTGAGGTTCTGGGAAACAGCGATAACGGCGTGCAGAAGCGGGGTTACAAGATCCTATCCAAGTTATCCGAGAATCGTAAAGTAGAGATTCGCGTGGATTTAGTCATAGAGCGGCTAGAGAAGAACCTTGACGGCTTAGCCGCAGCCGCGAAGAAGGTGACTATATGTTCGAAGTCGTTAATCCACAATATTGAAATGGGCGTTGCGCAGGACCGTTTTACTCTGTTGAGCCACTTGGTTCCTCTCATCTCTTCAGCACAGATGCATATCATTTTGTCGGTCATTCCTGAAGCCGTCTTGGGCACAAAAGAGCCCTCCGAGAAGGCAAGAAATGCTGCGTTCGCCTTGATTGTCGTCATGGGTCGAAAGATGTCAGAAGGGGGACTTGTGAGGCGAAACATTTTGGACGGTATGGACCAAGATGGTGCTGATGAAGGTGGAGAAAACCAATTCACTTCAGGTTCTCTGTGACACTGACACTGATCTCGCAGTCACCGCGAGTGTGGAAGAGTATATGACGATGGTTGCTGGTGGGTTGGCGGGTGCTAGTCCGCACATGATCAGCGCCACGGTCACTGCAATATCACGGCTGGTATTCGAGTTCAAGGGTACGATTCTGGAGAGCTCATAGTCACGCCTGTTACTCATCGTCATTTGGCAGATTCTATCTCTCCCCAGATGCACACTGAAATTTTTACAACGTTGCTTGTCTTCGTGTCATCAGCGAATCGAGAGATCGTGAAGTCTGTACTCGGATTTGTCAAGCTTGCGATTCATACCATGCCACTGGATTTGCTTCGTCCGCACTTGAAGGAGCTGGTACCTGCTCTGTTGCGATGGTCCCACGATCACAAGAACCATTTTAAAACGAAGGTTCGACATATATTCGAGCGAATGATTCGCAGGTTTGGTTTCGAGGAGGTGTATTCCTTCGCAGGGGAAGAAGAAGCGAGAAAGGTGCTTTTGAACATCAAGAAGCGCAAGGATAGGGCCAAGAGAAGGAAAGTTCGTGAAGATGAAGACGAGGATGAGGTACTAATTTTTGCGAATATTTCGGAGTTTCTTTCACCTGATGATTGCATAGGAACCAGCACCTAAACCTGTTACAGGTGATGCATTCGAAGATGTCTTGTACGGAAGCGAAAGCGAAATCGAAGACAGCGACGACGAATACGCTACTGCTCAGAACTCCCGGGGCGCTAAAAGTCACAATACTGGTACGCGACTACGCGTGGATGATGATGAACCAATGGATCTTCTCCAAGGCGCTGCGTCACGCGTCACCAGTATGTCTACTTGACAGTCATGCGCCTTAGTATGCTAATTTTTTGCAGAAGCCAGTTCTAGTAAACGTCGCAAGCCGGGCCAGGATGCGAGGCGCTATAAGACTGACGAGGGCACTGGCAGGATGGTCATTGATGAGGAAGACGGCTCAGATGAGGATGATGCGAATGCCGCTGCGGACGATGCGTATCGCGAGAGTTTGACATCTGCAGACGGCTTTACACGTGGGCCCAACGGGCGTGTAAAATTCAATAAGGACAACAAGAAACGGAGACGCGGGAACGAGGACGCGGGAAACGAGGATGTCGAGATGGGTGATGGCGAGTCGCGTGTTGCAACCAAGAAGAACAAGAGGAGAACAGACACGAAGCTCGGGCACGAGTTCAAGGCAAAAGTAGGAGTGACAGATAATATGTTGATATGCGATTGTCTGACAGGATCTGCAGAAAGCTGGCGGTGACGTCACGAAAAATGGTGTAGAGCCGTATGCCTACCTGCCACTTGCGCAGGCGGCGAAGAAGCGTAATCGTGGTTCGCGGGTTGGGATTGCTGGCAAACGATGATGTCGTACGCAATTGAAGTCAGAGTTCTTGTTGCTTCTCCATCTACTGAGTGTCTTGACGTTACTACTTCGCCTTGTTCCCTGCTGCTGTTATCGGGAGGTGTATAATATATTGCCTATTGACTCTTTGGCAAGTCAGTGCAGGACAAACGCTTCTCGGACAATGTTTGGGCTCGCTTCGATAAACCCTGGCTAAGAGCCGCGCAAGTGTGGATTCCATTGGACCTGCTGTCATCCAGTTTGCTTCGTTCCGAGTCATTTCGCTAGAAATGTCATGAAAGCACTGGTCTGATTGTTTAATGGTGTGTTTCTGTCACGCCAACATCAACAGCTCATTTTGACACACCACTCGGGTCCAGACAGACAGTGACGCTAGTGTCTAGGCATGGCCCTGTGGCCCGAAGGGTCTCTCCTAGCTCTTCTTCAACCAGACACGAGTAGGTATCTGTGCTTCCCACTTTATGTTCGATCACCCTTCACTTGATGTCGCCAATGAGGTTCAGGGTGGCAATATGGTTTGTTGTGTCGTCCCGCCCATATTTGAGTCGCAACATTTCTGACTGCTAGCACCAGCGGAGGCGGCATAGGTGGTCTGTCACTAGCTGTGGCTCTGTCGAAATACCCAGATATCCAAGTTGACGTCTACGAGGCTGCGGGACGCTTCAGAGAGATCGGCGCGGGCGTCATGATATGGTCCAGGACTTGGAGAATCCTTGAGCTCCTTGGAATGACCTCCGACTTTTCCAAGATAGCACATGCGCCCCCGGACGGATCCCTCGGTACGCAATCCGTGCTACTGTTACATCGCATTCATACACGCGGCTCTCCGCACGTCCGTAGGAATTGGCTTTGATTATCGCAAGTCAGATCAGCCCGAAGAAGGATCACGTTTCCACCTGTTTGCGCTTCCCTGTGAGTTAGAATCTCCTTCGAGGCGCACGTGCTCTGATTCGATTAGTAGATGGCTGCATACGTTTCCACAGGGCACATTTCCTTGATGCTCTCGTGGATCGCCTGCCGAATGGCGTTGCTCACTTTGGCAAACGTTTGCGTTCCTATTCTCACGGAAGCTCCCAAGACTCCGTCGTCCTCCATTTCGCAGATGATTCTTCTGCGGAGTGTGACCTGTTGGTGGGTTGCGACGGTATCAAGTCCGTGGTCCGTCAGAAAGTGCTCGAAGAAATATCGTTACCGCCCCATTTCGCAGCTGTTGGCTTGAATGAGCCAGTATGGACAGGAACAATTGCCTACAGAGGTCTTATCCCAGTTGATCGTCTAGTTCAGAAAGATGGGTCGGGACATAGAACCGTTGAGACTCCGATGATGGTGCGGGAAATGTGCTCCCTGCGACTCTAAGCTACTAATCTGTCAGTTTGACAGTATTGCGGTAAAAACAAGGCATGTTTGGCTCTACGCGATATTCGAGGCATATTAATGTCGTTTCGCAGCATGTGGTAAGCTATTCCATCACTGGAGGAAGCATAGTCAACGTTGTCGCAATGAAATCCGAGCCGGAAAACGAAGGTTCTGTATATCACAGTCCTTGGGTGGCTGATTGCACACAGGAAGAGCTGCTGAACTGCTATACTGATTGGGAACCTGAAGTCCTAGAACTTCTAAGAGTTTGTATTTAAATGGCAATGATTTTCTGTCACACCTGGGTGCTGACATGATACGCGACGATGGATTCTGTAGTGTGTTGAGAAGCCTACGCGGTGGGCAATTCATCAGTTACGCCCATTACCTGCATATGTTACGGAGAAAGTCGCTCTACTTGGAGATGCTGTACGTAGTTGGTTTATTTCCCTCACGATATTGTGGTTGAATCAATGTCCTCTCCTCGTCAGGCGCATGCTATGGCACCTCACCAAGGTGCTGGAGCTGGTCAGGCCGTAGAAGTAGGTCAGGTGTGCTCTTCTCGTCGAAATACTAAATGGTGCTATAGGATGCCTATGTTCTTGCCGAACTGCTTGGTCATCAATCTACAACATTGTCTACGCTTCCCTTCACACTTAAAGCTTACCAGCACGTCCGTCTTCCCCTGGCCAACCGTGTGCTCACTAGTTCAAGCGAGTCTGGACGGATGTACGAATTCTGGGGAACATTCGGCGATGACCTTCAGCGAGTGGGTCGGATGATTGAGCGACAATGGGACTGGTTGACTGAAACCACGCCTGAGGGAGAGGCACAAAGAGCAGTCGTCTGGATGGAAGAAGCTATTAAAGCCAAGTCCCTTTCGCGCAAATGATACTGGGATAAAATATACTTTATTCTACCTTACTGTTTCCTCTACGGTATGCGAGTCACGAGGAACTGAGGTTCCGCGAACAGTGCCAATTAATGCCTCAGGAAAACACATCTCGCTGTAAGTGTACGCACGGACTTAGTATGACTACTACTGTACTATAGGCTAATTGTCTTATTCCATCTATGAGTTCCTTTCAACATGCAAATCGCCTCCTTTTCCCATTAGGACGAAAGCCAGTGCAAACTAGCTCAGCTGCCAGATGAATAATAAGTATTGGATCATGACCCTGTGCTAGTGCGTGACACGATGCGCACGTGACATTGTGACTGCGCACGCGAGTCAATGGCACGATGTGCTGCTGCTCCTCCTGCCCCCTTCTGACCTCAAATCGCTCCGTTTCGGCCTCAAAAAGTGAGAATAAGACTCAGATAAACCCTATCTCCCTGGCAGGGAATCGAACCCTGCTTTCGCGCGCTACCGGATTCAGCATTACTGACAGGCGCGTGTACTAACCAATATACTACCAGGGATTGGCTTTTAGGCTCAACTTTCATGCTATCACTCAATTGTGATCTCTTATATATATATATCACAGGAAAGGTCAAACTGTCTCTTCCCTGCAAGACGGAACTGCTTAGTTGTCTCCCGGATTTTTGTCCAAATCACACTGACTTTCGTAGAATTTCTCTCACACCAATAAAGATGCAGATGCAAATTATGTTACAGAACGCGATACATCCAAGACTACTGCTGTTTAAGCTTCTCAACCAGCTCCGGAACAGCTTCATACAGGTCCGCGACAAGCCCAGCGTCCGCGACCTGGAAAATGGGCGCATCCGGGTCCTACGGGACAGGTCAGAACAGCAAAACATAGACGAAGACAGCAATAATCAAACTTTGTTGATGGCGACAATGAGCTTGGAATCCTTCATTCCAGCAAGGTGCTGGATGGCACCGGAAATGCCAAGGGCAATATACAGCTCGGGCGCGACGACTTTGCCGGTTTGACCCACTTGCAGGGAATTGTCAGCGTAACCAGCGTCAACGGCAGCGCGTGAGGCGCCGATAGCGGCACCCAGGACGTCTGCCAGGGGCTCCAGGGTCGCCTTAAATGTTTCTGCATTTTTTAGGGCACGACCACCGGATACAATACGGCCGGCGACGGCGAGGTCAGGACGATCTGACTTGGTGAGATCGGTCCTGATGTGCTGTGTAGGAGCATCCGCAAGCTCAACGGGATCCAATGCCTCCACTTGCACCTGGGAACCATCCTCTGATGGCGCAGCGGAAAAGGCAGTCGATCTGACGGTGAAAATTTTCACACCGATAGATGACGGTGCACGAACGGTGGCTATTGCGTTACCAGCGTAGATGGGCCGCGTGAAGGTAGTCGCATTGGAGGAACCGTCATGCTCGAGCGAAGTGATGTCTGATATTGCCGGCACATCGAGTTTAGCAGCAACGCGGGGTAGCAGGGATTTTGCAGACGAAGAGTGTGCGGAGACAACATGCGTGAACGGCGTGCCGTCCGACAGAAGTCGCTCGAATAGAGGAGACACGATCTCCGGGACTTGCGAAGAGTACGCGGGAGAAGTGGAGTGAAGCAGCTTGGTCAACCCCTTCAACCTGCACTGGTATTAGTCTTCCTCTGGTATTCGCAAGGCATGCAGTTCAAACTTTACTTCTTCGCCTTCTCGACGACGTCCGGGACCTGATCCGGACCACCGATGACAATCCCTGTCACCTCTCCTCCCAATCGCCTCGCGGCAGTGATAGCGGACAGAGAACCAGAATCAAGGGCCCCCTCACGATGTTCCAAAAACACGAGCGCGTGAGGTCCTGGTGATGTTGCGTACGGTCTCAGTAGGATTCTGTGAGGAATAACGCAACGTGCTCGTAACATGATGGCCCACTGAGCGTAAACGAGCCACAATAACGTTCGCAGTGACCGTTGGAAGGATGAAATGGCGAACTTGACCAACTTGAATGACTTGTGTGGTTCCCGGTTACAACGGATTCCGGTCCCCAGATCACGTGCTTGACACCGATCATGGCAAGTACTCGCCGCTGGCAAGCGGTCGCAGGACCCCGGATTATAGGTGAACAACCCTGATCCGGCGAGCCCAAAAATGTCTAAGCGCCGAAACCCGAAAATCGACCTTTGTGTCTGGATGAAATCAGGGTGAAGTGCCAATTTCCCCCCAAATCTTGTCTGGATGGCGGCATCAGGCTCCTGAAAGCGCCATTTTGGCGCTCGCCGAGGGCTCTATGGGGCCAAAATGTCTGCACCAGCACCAGGCTTTTCAAAAAATTTCTTCCAAACTGTCTGGATTATATCAGGGTTGTGCGTGGATTTCGCCCAAAATTTGTCCGGATGGCACTCAGGGTTCCCCACCTATAATCCGGGGTCCTGCGGTCGCGCTCACCAGTCGCTCACCGTCCAAGTTTCCAAGTTTTCTACCCGACGCACCCTAACACGATCCTGGACGGCAGTCAGACAGTCTTATCGGCGTGGACACCGCCTCCTGTTGGTTCGTCGCTTCGGATCCGATCTACCATAGCCCAGAGTCAGTGGCGCCGTGATGATGGCAACTGTCAATAACTGCCACTGCGGGTTGATGGCCTGGCGCGTGAGCCTGGCATAGGTTTCTGCCGAGTTTCATGGTGGGGTTATTGGAATCGCTTCAAGAACTACTCGGTACCCTTCGTTCATTCCTTTGCGTCCTACTGCCATCGATTCGATGTTCCAGTGTTTGCTGTTGCTCTTGTCGGCACTTTCCCTCGTCCATGCTCAGAACACTGGCAGTTCTCAGACATTCTACCCTGCTGCTGTCCCTTTAGCCGTTCGCTCCCCATATTTCAGCGCCTGGTTGCCAACCCTGAACACTTCACTCCCAGTATCGAATACATGGCCGTCCTTCTGGGCCTTGAATAACCCTGTACGGAACATTTATGCTATCTGTCTGATGCTGCCGCGTCCTGATGAACGTAAAGAGTCCAGTACTGGGTTGGGCTGGTCATATTAGAATCGACAGCCAGACATACAAATGGCTTGGAAATGCAAACGAGCCCTTCAATGTCTCTAATCTCACTAGCACACAGGTTACACCCACTCGCACAGTCTTCTCGCTACAAGCAGGTCCGATGGATTTGACCGTCACTTTCCTTAGTCCGATAGAGGTATGTCGTACCACGTTATTTTTTCCCGGAAGATTACAGAGAGGTCTTAGCCCTCAGATTTGGTGCGGCAGTCGATGCCCTTCTCTTATGTTGCGCTAGACGCAACATCGAACGATGGAAAGCCCCATAATGTTCAGGTGTATTCGGATATCAGTGGAGGTTGGCGGTGTTATCAGCGGTTTCCATCGCTAGCTGACAGAGCATTACAGAGTGGCTGTCAGCAAATCGTACCCAAGTTATGACTTGGAATACCACTCATGGAGCTAATGCTATATACCATACATTATCTCTTCAGTCGCCTTCTCCTATGACAGAAGATTCCGGGCAAGCTGAAGATGGCACTGCAGTTTACGCCATGTCGACTGTTGGTGACCTAATTATTATCGCAGCGAAATGAGGCTTATCCAACTACAGAGTCTAAACCCGACATTCCAAGTCAATGAAGATACAACCTGCCGTGGACAATTTGCGCAATCCGGTAGTCTTACCAACGAAGGAGAGGGTTCAAATGTTCACGATATTTCTACGTAAGTGTATCAGCTGGTGAATGCGTCATCGCTACTTAGTTCATTACCACGCGTCTCACATGTAGTCCATGGTTTCCTGTCTTCGCTCTTTCTGCGGATCTTGGAACTATCAATTCGACATCATCTCCTGTGGTTTGGGCTATAGGCTTTGTCCGCGATCCCTCCATCGAATACACGAACTCCACAGGCGAGACTGAGCTCCGAAGTCCGTACTACCGGACACAGTATGATGGCATCGATGAAGTGGTCAGCAAGTCCTGCTCAACTCGTGGAACAGTAGTACTGATGACTTGACAGATCGAGGCATTTCTATCTGACTTCTCTAACGCACAAACGAGATCTGTCACGTTGGACGAGAAGATTCTTCAAGATGCATCCGCTATATCTGCAGACTATGGCGATCTCGTCTCTCTGGCTGCTCGCCAGACATTCGGGGGTATCGACATCACTGTTTCTAACGGGACGGACGGACAGTGGAATACCACGGATGTTAAGATATTTATGAAGGACATAGGGACGAGCGGGTAACAATCTTTCGTATCTGTGCAGCATAAAGTCCGATCTAACCAGGCAAACCTGACAGACGAATTTCTCCAGTTGAAGTGCTCTATGCTGCGTTCCCTACCTTCCTGTATCTCAATGCTTCGTACGGAAAGCCGCTTCTTTCTCCTCTGCTCGAGTTCCAAGATTCTCCGCGTTACACGTTATCTTACGCTGCTCAAGACCTTGGTAAGGTTGACCATGGGCGTACTCGAAGAGTGATTAACCACGATTACGATGCAGGCACGTCCTACCCTGTCGCACAAGGTGATACTAGTCCCAACCAGCAGGGAGTAGAACGTTCGTATCAGAACATCCCTTGTACGATCGTTCACTGACATTTGCTCTAGAGTCAGGAAATATGTTGATCATGGCTCTGGCGCATGCAAGAGCCACTGGAGATGGATCGTTACTTGGCGAACATGTACGTATATCCGGTGTCTACTGATTTGAGTAGTTGACGTCGCATCTTCAGTATGGTTTGTTCAAGCAATGGGGCAATTATCTTGTCAACAACTCAAAGACACCCATAAATCAGTGCGTTTCTTTCTCGGTGTATCTTCTCGTTCATTGACAATTCTGGATCCGTGCAGGATCTCTGCGGATGATCAAGAGGCTGCGAACATGACCAACCTGGCTATCAAGGGAATCATCGCTATCCAAGCCATGTCGGAGATTAGTCGGGCTGTTGGAGAAAATGCTGATGCGCAGAACTTTGCAGTGCGTTCCCTTCGTCTTGTTGCGATAAATACTTCAGCGTTTACTCTTAGAATAACGCGGCCGCGTATGCGGCTACTTGGCAATCATTGGCGGAGTCTGCTTCTCAAAACCATTTGTTGTTCAGCTACGGAGAAGCTAATTCTTGGGCGCTGATGTACAACTTGTATGCGGACCTTCTATTGGGCACTCGCCTTGTCAGCGAGACGGTAGGTTACCATCACTTAAACTGTGAAGTATCCCACTGACATCTCAGGACTAGGTATACGATCAACAGGCCGCTTATTACGAGGCGTTGTCCCAATCCAATCGTGAGCTTCATTCTCTACGCACGTTTGCCCACGTTGACGCGCATTTGCAGCGTATACATTCGGGCTACCGATCGACAGCGACGCTGCAACGAAAGGTAATTCCGGTAGGTTCTCCGAAGCACACCACACCCGTTGCTTTACTGACAGTCCAAAATAGCATGGCTGTTGTTCACAGCTGCCACGTGTCAGAACACATCTGTGCGCGATAGCCTGGTGGCGATGGCCTGGAAACACGCTGCGTTCAATCAGACTGCAGCAGTGTTTCCCACTACTTATCTAGTGGATACAGGGGCGGGAACTAGAGGTATGGCTAGGTAAGTGATTCTACTCAGTGGCTATTTCGGACGTTGACATGAAATCATCAGCCCCGGACAGGGCGCCGTATTCGCACCATTGGCTCTCAAGTGGGTCTTCACAGGAACGTGTTGTATCGCTAGCTGACTTGTATCCAGTATCGCCAATGTTACTATTGTAGTTCCCCAGGCAACGGGCTCGAGTTCCACCACGAAGCACACTATCAACGTGGGAGCCATCGTTGGTGGTGGTGTTGTCGGTGGCATTTGCGGTTTGGCCCTCGTCGCATTGGTGGCCTTCCTGTATCGGCGGAGAGCTCAACGTTTGAAACTGGGAGGCTTTGAGGGAGAAAACGTTGTTATCTATGATCCCACTCAAGAACCGCTCGTACACCAAGTGACGCCGTTCGCCCCTGCTTCCCGGCCGCTACCGAGTCTGCCGGTGGACTCTCCGACGGTCTACTCATCAAAGGCGAGAGAGCATTTGGAAGCAGGCCTTATGGCTGGACCATCTCCAGCTTCTTCATATACTTCCACTTCTCAGGCACCCTCCAGCAGGGAGCCACCAACCACATTTGGCAGCGACACACAACCTGCCACTGTGTCTAGTCCTATAGTATCTCCGTCAGACGTACGCGACCTGCGCGCAGAAGTAGAGATCCTGCGGAGGGTCATGCAGGACATACACGCCGAAAGATTGGAACCACCTCCCGGCTACGTCGGGTGAATACGATTCCAGTACCATTACGTCGCCTAACTTCGAGAGTATGGTCGGGCTTTCTGCGGGCCCTGCGCTTTTCTTCGGTGGTTTCAGAGCAGTATATAAGGCGAGTCCTACTTGTACGGTCAAGCTATAATACAGTATGTGGGTTCTATGTATCGTATCACCGCGTGTATTTCCCCAAGTCAATTCTCAAAAAGAACGGCGGTCTGACGGACATCTACTGTGCGATGAAAATCAGAATCCAGGCTTTCGCTAGCCTTATGCACCGCCCTTCCGAGATTCGTGTCCAGTATTATGTTATGTATTGGCCTTAAGAACAATGGGGTCAGACTGAGATTGTTGCCATCCGGTAAAATGTCTTCATTTCGGCGCTTGGTGAATACTTCATTCTAAGCTATCACGTGAAAGCGGATCGGCTTGCGCTGCGTTGCAGTCTCCATTTGGTCTTCATCTCCTCTCGACCTTCACTCTCAACCTATCCACTGCTTTCATTTAGAAAATGTCTCTGCAAGGCCTCATCTCTGGTTCCGAATGCGCAGTGCCATTCAATCCGTTATCTCAGGTTTTGAAGCATGCGGAAGGTGACCGTAGCCTGCAACAAGTGCGTTTACATTACATATTACACTGCAACTGCAAATTCAAGTCTCTGCAGGACAGGATTGCCGGGCCCTCTTCCTCCAAGGTGCGTATATCGTGTAAGGTTGCAAGGATCTATCCCGACTATCCCCCTTGTAGCTTCATCATCTTCCGAGCACGTCGTCCGCCCTTGGAGCCGAGCGTGACTTAGCACTGGCACGACAGTTCTTTGATCCACGTACTCAGACGCCAAACCCTGGCGCGTCCTTCAATGCTCAAGTCAATTTCACTCCTTCACAGGTTACCCGCATGGACCAGGAGATTGCCAAGGGTTGGAGTGATGTGAATTCTATACAGAACGTTATGTTTCGTCAAGAGATTGGCAAGCCGACGACGTCTGGTTGGGCGAGCGAGTTCAGCTCGACTTCTCGGGTATCTCCTGGCCCTCAGCAGGAGCAGAGCATTTCTCAGAGACCTGACAGTATGGAACAAAGCTTTTGTACTTATCACCGGAGGCTAACTATCTGTGTAGTACACCAACGACCATTTATGGACTCCAATATGTATGGAGGGTCGATGTCTTTTGGAATGTACAACCCGAATATGCCCTTTCTGCAGAGCAATGACAACGGTAAAGGGAAAGGCCGGGAATTTGACCTCGAAGCAGCTTTCGCTCAACTTGACGCGTCATTTGCGACGGCCCAAACAGAAGGCGCTAGAATAGTCGAAGTCGATGATGTCGTATCTGAGCCATCTGAGAGCACACTACCCCAAGATCTGCAGGAAACAGATAATACCTCAGTAAAGCACAATACTGATTTCAATAGGTGCGTCTCGTTCATCCACCACCAAAATCAAATATTTGGAGCCTTATGCTCAACTTACTATGCCAGTGTATGGGATGAATTGCAGAAGTCGAGAACCCCTCCTGCGCATGAAGACATCGCAAAGTGGGAAGCCGAGTTCAATCAACTAATGTCCAGCCATCGTGAAGACGGCGACTATGACTACGGAGAGTTCATGCAAAATGCATTTCATGACGGTCTTGTCGACGAGTTTGGTAACCGTCTAGGCCAGGATGCGGACACGATTAAGTTCGACGACAAGGGATTGCCAATATTGGAACCATACGTGTTCGGTGTGTAATTTAGCTTCACATAGGCCAGACGGGCAACGTATGAACTAAACCTACAAATCCGTGCGTACAGAGCCCAATAACAAGTATCTAGATCCGTCTATCGCACCACGTTCTCCGTTGCGGGAAGCCAAAGCTCTCCTTGAGCAGAATGGCTCATTATCGGAAGTGGCGTTACTCTTAGAAGCCGCGATACAACAGGGCGAACTGGGTACGGGCGGTTATGAAGCTTGGATACTCCTTGGAGAGACGAGAAGCATGGACGAGCGCGAGGAAGCTGCGATGCGCGCATTGACAGAAGGGGTCAGGAGGGCAGAGCAAGCAGGTGCCTCCGGCGAGGGCGTGATGGTGAGTTTAACTTAATGTCAATGTTTCTTAACTTACGTCGTGTACGACAGCCGTTGGCTATTGCGTTTACTAACGAGGGAATGGAAAGAGCATCCCATACTATGCTTCTTCGGTGGCTCCAAGCTCGGTTCCCTTCCTACGAAATACCCCAGGACGCTTGGGACTCGCTGTCCCAATCAACCTGGCACTCACACGAGCGCGCCAAGGAAGTCTTCCTGGACATTGCGCGCGATCAATACAGTCAAGGGGAGATAGACCCAGACGTGCAGATGGGACTTGGGGTATTGTTCTACACAACCACCGATTATACTCGAGCGAAGGATTGTTTCGAGACCGCATTGACTGTCCGCCCGAAGGTGATCCGACACTTACACGTAACGGAGAAGGCTACTGATCCTCTTCGTGTCTAGGATTATCTCCTTTGGAACCGAATGGGCTCTTCGCTCTCTAATGGCAATGAACCGGAGAAAGCCCTAGGCGCCTATAGGGAGGCCCTTCAGCTCCGGCCCACTTATACGCGGGCTATTTACAATGTCGGAGTAGCATGTGCGTGGCCGTACGCTCCGTCTCGGTCCGCATTCAGGAGCTCACCCGATCTTCAACTTCGCAGGTGTAAACATAGGTGCACACACAGAGGCCGCCGAACATTTTTTGAGTGCGTTGGCCATGCAAGAGACGTCTGGAGGTACGAAGAGCGAGCACCTGTGGTTGACGCTTCGACGAACGTTTGTGTCCATGGTGAGCGATTTTCCCTCTTAAATGTAGCGCGTGTCTCCTGAGAGGGACCGCAAGGGACGACCTGATCTTGCCGACAAGGCGAATTCGTCGACAAACGTTGGGATTTTCCGGCAAGAGGGGTTTGATTTCTAGATAAGTCCCTGTGATGAGTTCGGTCGTACTTGGGTCGTGCGTCAGATCCAGAGTGTACGAGTAAATTTTACTCTGAAGTCCATTGCGTGATCACTATCGATGTGACGTGACACATGTCCCTTTGTGCGGAAGACCAGTCGGTCCGCATTGTATTCGTGTAGGTCATGTTACTGTAGCGTATTTTATCAAAAACGAAGTCCAGAACGGATGCAAAACTGAGAGTATCCCCCCTCTTTCGTTTGAACCGCTATGTCTACAGGAGACGTTGAGATGTTAGCCTGTCTTTCCTGCCGAATTTGGTTTTATACTAACCGCGTTCCTACTATAGCCACACGGTGCCAAAGGCCCCTACGGCGGGCAATGTCAAGCTCAATAAGATCTCCAGTACCTTGACCCAGGACAAGGTGCGTTCTCTCCATATTTGAATGAATCGATGGCTTATTTTTCGATCGTGCAGGCAAGGGGTGGTGCCCAGGCTATGTGTGAGAGCAATATCCTGTCCGATCTGAGGACAAGTAATAATTTTGGGTAGTATATGGCGCGGGTTTGACGGAGGAAGACATGAACAAACCTCAGGTGCGATGAATTGTTTCCCCCGAGTTTTCCTATTTTAACGCTCCTATGTGCAGATTGGCATCTCCCCGGTCTGGTGGGAAGGTGGGTTTGTCGCCGATCCGAACTCTGGCCATAACTGAGCGCAGTGCAGGCAATCCTTGCAACACCCATCTTGTGAGTTTTCTCGAACAAATATACAATTCTGGCCCTTATGTTTGCATTGGAAGCTTGATCTTGCCTTCAAGGTCAAGGAAGGATGCAAGCAAGAAGGTCTTGTCGGTTTGACGTTCAGTACCGTCGGCGTCAGGTATGCCACATTGGGTTGTTATATCATTAACTGACCTATAAGCCAGTGATGGAATCACTATGGGAACTGAGGGTGAGTATTGTAGACAGTGTCCATTCTGATTATCGACTGATCATTGCCCGCATGCATTAAGGGATGAAGTATTCGTATGTGGTCTGCGGAATTACCTCTACACTGCTCGTGCTTACACCATGGTAGCCTGCCGACCCGTGACTTGATCGCAGATTCCATTGAAGCAGTATGTGCGCTGTATTTTTAAAGGTGCTTCATGATTCTGATGGAAATATGAAGGTTACATTGGTAAATGGACCGCTATCTCCACGTTCAGGACCGAAGAATTCACCAAGTTGATTAGGCGCAATACTACGATGGTAATATTGCAATCCCTGGGTAGATATCTTCCATGTGATTGCCAGAGCCAGAGCCCAACAAACCTTCTCTAGATGCGACAAGAACATGCCAGGTTGTGTCATCGCTGCCGTACGCCACAACCGGCCTACCATCATCGTCTACGGAGGCACCATCCGGCCCGGTGTCCGGAACGTGGATTGTCCTGCGCTGGGCCATAAGAAGGGAGACAACATGAACATCGGTGATGCCTTTGAGTCTTTCGGTACATGGCGCCTGTATGACATTATATGATCGTCGGTTGTTGATTTGAGGCATCTAGGCGCCTACACTGTCGGCAAGATCAACGAGGAAGAGCGTTTCGATGTCGTCCGCCATTCCTGCCCTGGGCAGGGTGCTTGCGGTGGAATGTTCACGCGAGTAGCCCTGTTCATTTCCATAAGACTTCCTATACTGAAGCCTACCCTAGTGCCAATACCATGTCTAGCGCATTGGAGGTGTTGGGTCTGTCATTGCCCTACTCGTCCAGTATCCCCGCTGTGTACCCCGGTTGGTTTTCTTGTCCTTCGGTGTCGTACAGCATCATGATGCGAACGGCATTCAGAAAAGGCTCAGGAATGCTTCAAAGTTGCCAAGTACATGAAGAAGCTGCTTGAGCTGGATCTCAAGCCGAGGTAAGAAAACGCGCAAATTTAGAGCGTCCAATTTACTCACAGCCACCTTGACCATAGAGATATTCTGACTCGCCAATCTTTTCTGAACGCTATTACAATTGTGAATGTGCTGGGAGGTTCAACGAACTCGGTCAGTTTAATTGCCGCCGTGTTTAGCAGGAATGCTCACATCCGTCAATGCAGGTTCTCCACCTTCTGGCGATGGCAAGAGCTGCCGACATTCACCTTACCATTGATGACTTCCAGGATATTGCAGACAAGACACCGTATCTCGCTGACTTGAAGTACGTTCAGCTATTCTGAAACCGCATTCAGCATATTGAGCTCGGATATGATTGTAGGCCCTCTGGGAAGTATGTGATGGAGGACCTGCACAAAGTTGGCGGTATTCCTGCTCTGGTCAAGTACTTGTTGAAACACTCCGACCTCATCGATGGTACCCAATTGACCGTTACTGGAAAGACCCTGGCGGAGAACTTGGAAGATGTTCCTGAGCTTGACATTGATAACCAAGATGTCGTCAAGAAGCTCAGCAGCCCCATCAAACCAGTAAGTGCATCCGTTTACCCCTTCCGACCAGTACTGACCCGACCTCGCTCCTAGACGGGTCATCTCACTATCCTTCGCGGCAACCTTGCTCCAGGAACTGCGGTCGCAAAACTCACGGGCAAGGAAGGAACTCGTTTCGAGGTGCGCTCTCGAACAGTAGTTGATTCCTCGTCACCCTCTTACCATCCAGCGCTTTTCAGGGCGTCGCGCGATGCTTCGACAGGTGAGATAATTAACAGCACGCTAATTTGGTACTTCTGATATGCGTGCTATTTAGCCTCGACGGTTTCTACCCTGCCCTGGAAGCAGGAGAGATAAAGGAGGGTACGGTGGTCATCTTCAGATATATGGGCCCTAAGGGAGGACCTGGAATGCCAGAGGTTAGCGCACAATAGGTCTCAGATTGTGCGCAGTCTAACATTACCTTATTCACAGATGCTGGGTAAAAAAAAAATTCCTCACCGTATCGAAGCATTGAGCTAAGGCAGTGTAACAGGTCCCACGGGCGCACTGATTGGAGCAGGCTTAGGCGGTAAGACTGCTCTAATCACCGACGGTCGCTTCTCCGGTGCTTCTCGAGGGTTCATCATTGGTACGCCATAGTCCATGAATATGCAGGTGGGTGTGATTGACTGCACATCCCTACCAGGTCACGTCGTACCCGAAGCCCATCTTGGAGGCCCCATTGCCCTCGTGAAGGACGGCGACAAGATTGTTATCGAGTCTTCCACCAGGACGATCAACTGGCTTGTCAGCGAAGAGGAGCAGGCCAAACGTAGAGCTGAGTGGGAGGCAGCGGGCCCGCGCGACTTCCGCTTCAAGCGGGGTATTCTGTACCGCTACGCGCGGGACGTCGCAGTGAGTCTCCTCGTCTTATCCGGGTTGCACAGTCACAGCTTATTGACTTCACAATTCAGCCCGCCAACGTAGGTGCGTATTGCGACTGATGTACAAGTACACTGCTATTAGCGTGCAGATTGGGATGGAGTCGGTCATTTGTCTCCATTGTATAATCATCTGTAGGGTGGTATATAGAAGCAGAAGAAATCGCATGTGTGTTACAACCGCAGTCATTCATTCTAAATTGTGAAAGCGTGTAATGTGTCCTGTGTCAACAGCATGTTGGTATGTAGGAATTCAATAGAAACGGGTGATCCTACCTTAAACAGATACATGAGCGATGTACAAGGGACATCAGTAATGTGGCGGATAATTGCTCCGCTCAGGATCGTGAGGCGAGAGTGGAAGTTCATCCTCCGGTATGTTTGTTGGTATGGGCGGTGACGAGTCTACCACAGTGAAAGCTCGCCAGGGCATAGATGCAGGGTTTACAGCTGGTGGATAATATACGGGTTCGCCCGCATTTATGCTCTTCTGGTTGCGAGCAAGCGGCACGGTCTTGGCGCGTCTAGTGTTGTCGAAGTCGTCTGTAGCAGGATCGTCTCTGTACGCCACCTCCCTCGGCTTCCCAGCACCTTCAATGATTGCAGGATCGGGAGGAATTATGTACGCTTCGGGCTTCGGCACAGTGTCTGGCAGCTGCCGATGGGTTTTCAGCCCAGCCCTGCGAGCTCTGTTCCACCTTTGTCTTCGCTTGATGAACCACAAGATGAGCCCCACAATCCACGCAACACCTATGCAGCTGCCGGTAACAGCACCCGCGATGGTTGGCATTGCTATCGAACGGCTGTGCAGCGAATAGAAACATTAGGCGATGCACATGATATTAAAGATGCAAACATACCGGTCAGAAGACGTCTCGAAACGCCCTGTGGGTACTGCCTCGTCCAGAGCAACCGACAGTGCGGGCATTGTTCACTAGGACGAGATTCCGTCGGTATTTGAATGCATGTTGAATTAAGGTTAGTCACTTACCGCTGCAACAAGATACAAGAACGATTGTGAAAAATGAGGGCAGCGACTAAAACCAGACCCGCTGGGGGAGAAGAGGAGGTGCTGTTTCATTCGGCTTGTCGCGACTCGTGAGTCCGTCATTGTGTTAGTCACGTGCAAGGCCGAGGCCAGCGTCACTTGTCAGTGAGACTTAGTCTTACCCACTGCAAATGTCTACCGCCATGGCTGCCCTGTTCTTTTGTTCCCTATCACTGCAAATGCCTGTTCATCTCCAACATCGGAAGCTTTCTGTGGAAGACCTTTTTGAGCGTCGACTCATCTGACGGCGAGACGCCGAATCAATGCCCGAGGCTACGCTACAGATGGGCTGAGTGTCAGTCAAAATGTTGGTGTTCCCATATCCAGACTTCATCTTACCGTAATTAGCCCTCAAAATCAACAATGCAGTGTCGGACATAACTATTTGTGCCAGATCACAGCTAGAAGGCTCTGCCTCCACTGTTTCATTCCGTCGCTATCACTGGGCGATGCTAGCCATCAGTGATATCGATGTATCAACCGTTGCAGACGCTCTGCAATCGTATATGAGCTGTCGCAGTTGCGTGGTTCGTGCCATTCAACTCCCGTAAACACTTGTATCTTCTCTCTGTCAACCACACAACCTACACCTCTTCAGGTTCGTACTCTCGGGAAGCGTATACCGGTCCAGCGTGTCTCAAAGATAGCGCGTAGCAGCTGCCATGTCATACTCCACCGGCTTTCCACAGGGTCCTGCGGCAGGTTATCCTGAGCCTCAAGGATACCCTGCACCCCAGGGCTCTTTCCCACCGCCCGGAGCTCTAACCCCTGATCCTCCTCAGGGTGCTTCCAGTAGTGTCAATATTACGGGCTCATACGAAGGCATCCAATTCAAAATTGGCCATAGAGATAGCAACGCTGTTCTTTATTGCAGACTGCAGCCTGGATATGAGCTTCTTTCCAGGCCAGGCTCGATGGTGGCGATGGACGCTAGTGTACAGATTCAAGGCAAAGTGAGCAACGTCGCCTCACTGCCCCTACGAGAATCGTGCTAATATCTACGCGATAGGTCAATTTCAGGTTTGTGTTCACTAGACATTCATGGCTTGCGTGGTGTTGAACAAGAGGGGTCAGCTTCAAAAAAATGTTGACAGGGGGAGATGTGAGTCTAGTCTTTACGTTAGTATAACCTATTCTGAATCTTGCCCGATGTCAGTTGGCTTTCTCGCACTTGTTTGGACAAGGAGAAGTCCTCCTTGCTCCAGAGACGTGGGGCGACATCGCCGCAATACGCTTGGACGGTAGCGTCCCTTGGTTCTTCGGAAAGCATGCCTATCTGGCGTCAACTCGTGAGATCGTGATGAATACCAAGTCACAAGGCTTGGGTAAAGCGTTTTGTACGTTCCGCAATCTCGACTTTCATGGAAAAGTTATTGACTTGGTATTTTGCAGTCTCTGGTCACGGTCTTTTCACTGTTCAAGCGACTGGGGTGGGCATGTTGTTTGTCCACAGCGTAGGTGCTATCATTACTCGCAACCTTCAACCTGGGGAGTCGTGGGTCGGTAAGCAACCCGTCAACGCCCTAGTCGAAAGATGATGCGGTATTCATAAAGTAACTAGTGAACAACGATCATCTTGTCGCTTGGAACTGCCAGTACCATGTGGAGAAGATCCAGGCTGGCGGGCTATTGTCTACTTTGAAAACAGACGAAGGTCTCGTATGCCGGTACGTCTTTCCCGTTCCGAAATTTAGCGTTGTATCCTCATCATCATCATCCTTAACCTTTCGCATCATCTAGGTTCCAAGGACCTGGCACTGTGTACATCATGTCGAGGAACCCTGAGCAGTTGATTCACTGGATCGCAGAGAAGCTGCCAAGTCGCGATTGAAAAGGATTTCAGCTCTACGACACATGTATCAGTATGGATATGTTATATGTTACGACCCTGTTATATATGAGGCTTGGAAGCATAGAACCTGGATGGCCAATCCGCGTATCACGTGTAGACGCGTTGGAACTTATGTGTTAATATTAACAGTGTTATGATCGCCAAGAGGCATGCACCGGCAAAATCCGAGACACAGGGTAGGGGGGGGCTCCGAGGCCCTTAACCGGAAAATATTTCCACCTAAGAAACTGCTAGTAGGAGGTGAGTAAAGGCTTACTCTCATGAGTTCCATGCCTTACAGGTGAAACCTATCGCAAAGGAGAGCTTGCAATGCGTATCAGGGGATGGTGTTCGGCCGGCGGCGGGGGTGCGGGGTCGGGGTCGGGCGCTTAGTGGGTGTGATGTCGGGTCACAGAGGTAACAGGTGACATACTTATGTAATCCTTTTTTGTAGCTCCTCTTTATGGCAACCACCTTCCATATATAGGGCGTGGGAAATTCCCACGGGGGGGGGGGGCTTGAAGGTCCTTAACTGGATTTTCTGACCTCGTGTGCGGAATTTGATTTGTGCATGCCTCTTGATGATCGCGTCTCCACTACCGGGCCCCCGCCTCATGAGGATCAGCTTGTAGTTTGCCTACGGGAGACGCTTGGCCTGGCCCGAATCTGCCTCGCAGCATGTCTTTTTCAAATACAGCAACGACCACTTACCACCTCGTCAAGTATTCTCGCTCTTATCCTCAGCCTTCTGGTGCTGTCGGCCCCGAAGAATGGCAACACTTTGTCAATCCGATCCTACGTCTAGCACTAGACGTGAAAAAATCGCCAGGCGGAGATCTTGAGTCCTTCCGACTCCGAGTATTGTGGTCGTTGGACTCCCAAACTGATTCTGCGAATGCAGATCAGCGAGAAGTGGTCTTTGTAAGGCTAAAATACTCAGGAAGGGTGGAGATTGACGATAAACGTCTAACACAGGAAGACCTTGAACTGCTGTCTTTTTCGTCCTTACCGTCATCTATAAGCCAGGGATCAACTGCTCAGGGCTTGCCCCTCAAAGCCGTCTACCGCGACGCTGTCGTTGGCGTCCGCTACCTGCATCCTCGCGCCTATCCACTTGGGACAACACCGGTACGCAACCATTACTGATCCTTGCGGGTACGTCTCTCAGGAAGCGTACTACCACAGACATATCGACGTTTTCAGATTACCTTCCAATCTGCTGCATCTGCAGCTGCCTTTATTGACTCAATCCGCTTCATTTGCCCTTGCAAGTTGACTCCTGCTCCTGCTCCTGCTGTTCGGAATGCGACGAAAGCCACCACAATGACGCAGCCAGGATCTGTCTCCTCTATTGTAAATTTACGGCTCAAGCTCAAGTATCATCTCACAGATGCTGATCAGATATACAGCCCGCAATGACTCAAGTTCAGATTTTCAGCCAAGTGAACGCCAGCACTCCATCTCGGCGGGTAGACACTCCACTTCGATCCTCAGCCACCATATCTTCTCCATGGACTATGCAGGATGATCTTAGCAAGCCCTTTCACCATCCACAAAACTCGTTGAACCAACACGCGACGAGTCTTGAACAAAACCGTGCACAATCCCACCTTGCTGAAGCACCTCCGCAGTCTGCCGCCCTTGCTCATCAACGATCTTCTATCATACCTTTCGTCTCCGACATGCATCCACCTTCCAGACCATCTTCTGCGATAACTGACTGCTCGGGCCTTCCGACTGATCCCGGGGCAGACTCCCAAGCAAGACCCCTCGAAAGGTTGGGCGCATATTACACCTCGTCTCTACCACGCCATGGCAGCCCGAATTCTCTCGTCAGCTCGGACCCGCCTTCTTCTGCTGTCACTACTACTCGGAATATGGCGCCGCCTGCTGCGCCTTCACCTATTCTTGTTACTCTTCCATCTGTCCACGCTCCCAGCCTAGATCCAAGCCATCCTGCCCCGCTCAGCGCTGATTCCGAGAAACAAGCCTTCCTGACATCTCTAAACGAAATACCGACATTATACAATCTTCCCCGGAGGGATCTCGAGAACCTTGTAGCGAAGGTAATACGCGAAGAAGGCTTCGCGAAACTGGTACGTTGTCGTCTCAACCATGGTGGGTCAATGTTAGCTGAACTCTCCAGCTTGAGGATCTCGACTCGATGTGGAGGGTCAAGGGCTTCGTCGGACGTTCAGCTTTGTAGAGGAATACCTGAATAGAAAAACACTGTACAAATTCTGTGAACTCGGTTCAGATATGCGTCAGGCCCGGTCAGGGAACTCGCTGCACAAGATTTAATTTGATCATCGCCATCGTTGCTTGACTGCTGTAATGCAAACATATTTAAAAACACGACATTCCAACGTGTATCTACGCGGGTTGTACAATAGCAATAACTTTCAGGCGAACGCCTATACGTCCGCAGTACCGTGTCTTATAGTGTCCTACAACACATCTAAGCAGAATCTAATGTATCCACGAAAGTGCACGCTGCAAGGGTAATCCCAGAATGGTATATGAGCATACCAGAGCAGCTGCTAAGGCGCCTCATACCCGCAGTCCGGCTTTATAGCCGACGACTGCCCTCGTAGCATGAAAAGCAACGCGCGCGAAGTGCAGGAAAGCCCACGCAACACCAACTAGAATGAACCGTCAGTAAGTAGCAGCAGCAGTTACGAGACGATCAGAAAACTCACTGAGAAGAATTGGAATCCAGAACAGCACAAGCATACGGTCACCTACAATGCAGACAGATGAAATTAACAATCCGCGAACTCTACAGCGAGTAGCAACTTACTCTTCTTCTGCGACCTACGGGAGGGCTTACGCGCTGGTCTATACGCATAAGCGTTAACTTCCTGTTCAGGTATAGGCATGTCTTCATTGTATCCAACATGGCGAGCAACGACTCTGTCGGCGGTTGCGGACGAAGCACCCACAGAGGGTAAATCGTCTTCGCGTACTTCGACTGCGGTAGCATCGGTTCCTTCAGACCTCGGTGTATATGCAGGAGGCGGAAACTCCGTGGTTTCCTTCGCTGACATGGAGACTTGCGTCATCCACTTTTCCCAGATCGCTCGCCAATCCTGAACAGTAAGCATACCCAACCATGCTTGACCATTGGTGCCTGGAGTTCCTTCCGACTGCACTTCCCCAGCGCGCTTTTCGCCAAAAATAGCCGACAAGGCAGGGATCGGTACAAATACTGGGAAGACAGCAGGCATTTGGGAAAGAGCATTCCACGCCGGAATACCCGGGATACCACGAATTTGAGGTAAGTGAAGAGGCGGTAGGTTTGGCATATTTGGGATCATTCCTTGGGGGTGCTGCAACTGAGCCAAGGTACGGAATAAAGTCTCCATGAATGGAGCGACGGCCTGCTTCTCGTCTTGAAGCTTCAGCTCCTTCTTCTCCTCTGACTTCTGCGTAGCTGCGGGACGTTGCTCCGTGTCCTTGTCAGACTCAGCAGGAGGATGTATAGTTTTGCGCATCCGGTGGAGGAACTTGCGAGGATGATGACGTCTTACCTGCTTGACCTCCACTTCGTCATCGGTGTGGTCCTCCACATCCCCCCAGGCCGATTCATCGTCAAGACTGTCATCAGCATCGCAACCTTGGTCGGTGTGGCCACTCTCGGATGATACAAAGTCGAAGAAGCCGGACGGTGCAATCTGCGCTGGTGTCTTACCCCACGCATTGACAATATCAAAGGATGCACCGGCGTCAGTGAGAATCTTAGCGCATTGAGTCGATTTCACGATGGCTGCTAGGCACAGAGCGGTGCAACCATTCCTATCACGAGCATCGACGTCGATCTCGTGAGATACTAAGAAGGATACGAGGGTCGGGAAGTTCAAGAAGGTTGCCAGATGAAGCAGAGTCTGCCCACTTCCAGACTGGTGGGAGATGGAAGACGAAAGCGAAGCTGTTTGTACAGGCACGGGAACATCAAGGATGGAGAGGAAATCCAAGATGAGTGATTCAAAGTCGCCGTTGTCACCAGCACGGCTAAGGAGAACACGACGAATATCGAGAGATCGCGTGGCACTATCATTAGCAAGCTGCATGGCATCACTTGCTGCTATGCCGCTTCCGGAGTCGTTCGAGTCCGTGTTGCTCACAATACGCATGGCGACATTCCGAGCATCCTCAATCTTGCCGGTCATCTTCAGCCCTACCACTTGCAGAGCTAGTTCCATCCTGAATATCATCTTATTAGTAACACCAAATGCACGCCAAAAAAGGACCAAAAAACGCACAATGCTCTATCGGTCTCATCGGTGTATGCAAACAGGCAAGCAGGAGTACCGTTCTCCTCTTTCGGTATGCCATCGAACCAGACCGGAACAACACCCGGGTTCGTACTGGGTGGCAGTAGACACACCAAGGTGTTGTCACTCCAGCGTTGGGTCGAACTCGCTGGTGAACCACCAAAGACACAGTTTAACTGCATAGAAGTATGGAAATTGGCGCCTAGCACAGTCACTTCGATTCCACCGTACGTAGGACCAGACGACGGAATCAGACGGTGTATCCTTGGGGGAGGAAGACTCGAAATTGATGGAGGAGGGTCATGCTTAAATAGTGTAAATGACATTGACGGCGGTCGAGGGACGTTCAAAGTCTGGACTGGATTAAGGGCCAATGGAATCGGCGAGGAAGGAGTGGTAGGTAAAAACGAGTTTGCCAATTGATCAAGCGAGACGCTCTGGACACTAATTTGTGAAGGTAGACTGATATCCGGATCGAACCTTGTTGACGACAGCTGTCCGACAGACTGAGAAATATCGAATACTGGCTCAACAGCCGTGGAGGCTGAGTGAGTACGACTGTGATCCAAACGACTTGACGTGAGTTGTCTGCTCGGGCCCGGCTGCGAGAGCACACTTGACGCAAGAGAGTGCAGAGGGGACGTTGGTCTGCTCACGAAGGTAGAACTAGGTGTTTTAGGTGAATCCAGACTGCCATCGCTGGTGTTTTGGGAACCTCGGCCAGCACTGCGGCCAACATCGTAAGGCTTAGTCCGCTTCTTGGTGCGGTCGGATCCTTCACGAATCTTCCGCTTCGTAGGTCGCTTCTCTGAGTCGCCTGCAACCCTGGAAGACCGGTCAATCTGCGACCTTTCGAAACCACCCAACAGAGTGGCCGACTTGGAATTGACGCCTGTGCTCTTGTGGTCGTCGGTGATCATGATTGGCCTGGTTGTTCCTGTCCCCACGATGCGTCCCGTGCGGTCCAACATAGAGAAGTGCACGTTGAACCCCACCTTCTCCCGATGGTGACGGCAGTAGCAAGTGATACGCAGAGGAAGGACCACCGAACCAGTGGAGAAATCCATTACTTCAGGGCAGTTGAATTGGAGGAGATTTGAGGTATCTTCGTGTTTGCCTCGCCCAGGGATGGTCCTAGCCTCATCCGGAGAGTCTGAATCAGAACGAGCGGGCCTGACACGCGCTGCAATTTTTCTCGCAACTCTCTTTGCCTATACAAAGACATGAATGAGAGTTAGAAGAAAATAGATAGCATATACGGACCTCTCGCGTTTGACAACTCGCGCAGCAGGTCACAGGAGTATGAGGAGAAGATGCACACGTCACTTCGGCCGTAAGATAGAGTGTGTCGTCTACTTGTGTTTCTAGGAATGAAAATGTAAGTAATTAGGAATTTTCGTACGTTGTTGAAGATACGCTCGCACTCACCGACTTTGCCCTCCTTACGCGTTCTCCTCTTGGTGGAGGTGCCCTTGGGCAATCTGAGCCACTTCCAACTTCCTACTCGGTCATACTTGAAGGGCTCTCCTGAAGACGCGCTCGCATGAGCTAAGTCGACGGTCAATCGCACCTGGGTCTCAACCCGAGATTTGGTACCGCCTTCGGGGATGCTGGGGATCAGGATAGGAAGACTAAGACAAGCGTCATTAGCTGCTAACGATAGAAGTAAGATAGCCTGTGACGTACTTGTAGCATGAGTCCTTCGACGGATAGACCACACGCTGTGCAACGATGGAGGGATCTCTGCGAGGTTGCGAAGGTGGGGGAGGGATCGGCTTCATTGAGCCCGAGCCACGCGGGCGCGCAAGTAAATCGGAGATTTCGAGAGACGATGGCGACGATGCACCAGAAAGAGCAGCAGAATCGGGGGACGGGAACTTGTACTCCTGAGCGGGCGGGGGAGAGCTGCTACGGACGGAATGTCTGTTGCAGCGTCACACGTATGCCAATTAACAAGTACGCACTCCTCATACGCAGTGACTTGCAACAAGTCCTCTAAGTCCAGGATTTGTCCTTGCTCCCTCTTGTCGTTGTCGAGGAACTGCGCTTCATCTCCGACGAGAAAGCCGGACGATAGTGAATTACACCAAGCCACGAGCTCCTCCTGAGTGACAACTGGTTCGAGCGTGTCTGACGAATCTGGTGTCGCTGGTGACGGTGAAGGCGATCTCGAACAGGCGGTGGTCGACGAGGACGACATGGTTAGGAGAGACTTGGGGAGCCGTCCAGGCGCGCTACAACAGCAGTTTAGTGCTTACGTAACGGGAATTGTATCTCTGGCAGACTCGGATAGCAGCGGTATAACGTTCTTATATTGTCGGATCGGCCCACGCTCCCGGCGGTCTCTTCCCCGGAAAACATGTCTTAGAACGAGAAACATTCTGGTTCGTATCAAAAGCCGGAGTGATACATGCAAACTTGACATTTCTTCGTGAGGATTGCCTCGCTTTCGGGTGCCGCTTCCCGGTTCGGTTAGCCAGCCGAACTGGTCCCGAACTGGTCCCGCTCACAAGCTGCACGTGCCCTCTCAACAAGAAACGCGTTGCAGCGCGCGGCTCATTATACACCGCGACGCTCTCTTTCTCCTCTTTCTGCTTGCCATGAAGCGAGGCGCAGAAAAACAGATCTCAAAGGACGACGCGGACGATGATGATGTTGAGGTGCGTTTGCTCGCCTCTCTGCCGTTGCTTAATGCAGATGGAAGGTGTAGGAAGTTCCGCCACCCGAAGGTTTCAGGAAGGCAGATGAAAGTGTGCTAGCGACTAGGAAGTACGTGTAGCTTTATGCCCACGAGTCTCGTTATTTATGCGCGTGGTGTTAGAATTAAGGCTCTCCCTAAGCGGTCATTAGCGGGAAGTGCGGCGACGTCCCCTTCTCCATCTGCTCCTCCTACCCCAGAGGTATGTCAGCGGTGACTGTGTCAGAAAGTTTTGTTGTTAACCGAAGTTCATCTTACGACCTGCTAGCCTTTCAGCACACCCAAATTTCCTGGATTTTCCGGATTTGGGGGAGCAGCATCCAACTCTGCGCCTTTCACCTTCACTGCCAGTCCCATATTGTCAGACTCCCCTAAACCACAGGCAGTTCCTACGACCACTGCCTTCTCATCTTACTCGTCTGCTTTTGGGACAACAGCGTCTACATCATTCCCAACAGCGGCAGCCTCGGCATCTCCTGCCACAAAAGCCTCCGGGTTCATGTCAGGCTCGTCGTCTGCCCCACCTTCCCAACCTACATTACCGAGCAGCCCGTCCTCTGATGCAGAGGATGAAGAATTCCGGGCCGAAGTAAAGTTACTCGTTAATTTCCGCGGTCTTAACATCTCGTTCTTGTCAGCGGTGTCCAAGGCCATCGAGGACGATCCATTCACTGATGTGGCAGACCTGGCGGAGCTATACAAGTCTTACCGCGTGTCCGTCCAAACAGAGTATGACGCAAAAGTTAAAGAGATCCACGGACTCGATACCGTAGCAGGTGCGAGTGCGGGTCCATCATCTGCGGAGGCTACCTTCGCGAGCAAACCATCAAGCGTTACACCTCCCGTGACGTCACTATCCCAGAAAGAGCCCACCTCGATGCCCACACCCCCAGAGAGTTTTGCGGGATTCAAGCCTCTCTCAGACAGTGCATCATCCTGGAATACTACCAGTGCTAAACGCGAAGGTGCTGGTACCACTCCCCCGACCGCTCTCTCCTTTGCCAGTCCTACGCACTCTCCAGATGCTCAATCATCGTCAGGGCCAGCACCTCCGAAGTCCGCATTTGTTTTCGGTTCTTCTGGCTCATCACCAAGCTTCTCTGCAACACCCGAACAACCCACATTCACCTTCAACCCCGCGCCATCCTCACCGAGCAAGGGGGATACTAGCTCTTCGAGCATTTCGGCATTTTTTGGAGCGACCAGTTCGCCATCCGCTTTCTCTAGTAATTTGTTTGCGAAGCGGGCAGACGAGAAAGACAGAGAGGTCGGCACAGGAAGTCTGTTTGGTGGCCCATCCGTGTTCGGTACTCCGGAGAAGTCTGCACCGGGCAGCAGCAACAGCGCCCTCACGTTCGGGTCTGGTTCTCCCAGCAGGCCGTCGGTCTTCAACGGCCTCAGCAAGAGCAGCGGGAGTATAGGCAATCCTGTCGGATTTGGATTCGGCAGCCCACCGAGGTCACCGGATCTGGAGGCCTCAGCATCTACATCTACATCCACATCCACGGCGAAGCTCCCAGGATTCTTCTTGGCGCCGCCTCAGACCGCAGAGACCAGCCGCAGTAGTAGCCTGGAGGCGCAACCTAGCACCGGTTCCATTGGCTCCATGGAAGGCACCCCTGCTCCAGACACGGAAGGCGAAGGTGCAGAGCCTGCGCAAATCCTCATGTCATCATCATCATCCGTCCATGACCTAGAAGGAGAAGGAGAAGAAAATGAGGAAGCAACGCATGAAGTTAGGAGTAAGGTTTTCAAGATGGTGAAGGACAAGGACGGCAAGGACAAATGGAGTGATATGGGCGTAGGCGAGTCAAATGTCCGCCGTGTGTTGGTAATGGTCTGATTGCGAATTGAACAGGTATCTTGCGACTGAAAAGGAATAAGTTGACTGGTGCTCGCAGGATGTTGCTACGGAATACTAGCACGGGCAAGGTCACCATCGTACGTGTTTCAGCAACGTGGTGGTGCCATCTACTGAACTGGCCATTCGCAGAACTTTAAGCTCTACTCGGGCATGAATGCTTCAGCGAAGCGTAACATGGTCTCATTCATAGGACACGACGAGGGTACGGCGACGCCGTTCCGGGTACGAACGAAAACAGAAGACCAAGCCAGTGCCCTGAAACTCGCTTTGGATCGCGAGATTGAATTCGTGCGGGCCAAGTCGGACACGCCATGATAGATGTTCATACACATGTTATATGCATATGATTGATACATGCGCCGCGGACTCCGGGTTCGTGAGTGTGATGAATAAATAGGTGGTCTACGTGACAGCTTACACCGACCGTCCAAACGCAAGAAGTGGTATCAATACGTCCACTCGCATAAAACCTACTTGGCGTGGAAGTGACTCTGCGCATTGTGCCATGTCGAATAATGCACGAATGCTTCGCTCAACAGCATCTCTATCTCATAGTCTGTCCATCCTTGTGTGGGCAAGGACTGCAAGAACATGATTATGCCCTACGATGAAGCGTAAGCCGAGAGTGGGTGTATTGCACATTGACGGTACCTGAAAATCCATCTCTTGCAACTTCTTACTCCACCTGACCAGAAACGCAGAACAGACATAGAGATGGAACTGCGAAAATGCATCTGGACCTTCGGCCTGTTGAAGAATCAGACAACGAATGTTATCGGTCGTCGAATGTGATCATTACGCACCAGATAGGTATCCCACATCCGGATCGTATTTTGCACACTGATTTCTCGCATCAAGAGACAATTCATCCAACGGAAAGCGAATTGCATGAATTCGACATTCTCCGCTTCTAGATGTGCCGCTAGCGGTGCTACATATCAACACGGCCAAAGTATACCGTGAGCGGAAATCGCGAATAAGAGCTGAACCGGACATACGATCAATGCGCGCCACGAGCTCTGCCATTCGTTTAACGCTTCGTTGAATGCCAGGCTGAGTCGCAATATAGTTATCCTGGATCCCATCAAGTAGGCGAGAGAGACACCAGAAGGTGTCCGCTTCAATTGCGTTCAAGATGTTCCCAGGTAAGAGCGCCGGGTCAAACTCTTCCGGGTCCGAATCTGTTGAACTTGTAGACGATGATGCTGAAAGAGTGGGGAAGAAGTAGCCTACCGATGTATGCTGACAGGAAAACTTGGAAGAAAGGCGTGGCAAGATCGTTTATGCCTTGTACATACCCGCTAGCGGGGTGTCGGATCGCCCAGACATAAAGTATCCGCTCCAAGCTCTGACTCGAACCATCAGTATGATATCACTGAACATGTACGCTCTAGGGACACACTCGCTGAGTGCAAGCCTGCATCCATAACTGTATGCCTGGCCTCGTACGAGGAACATCAATCTCAATTTGGTGCCATATTTGCTGGTCAAGGCCATCCCGATTTCGCGCAAAGGCAAGCTCCACAAGCGACTGATATTCCTGTCGCTTTCGTGCAAGAGTAGATGAACGGAGAGGTGCAGGTAAAGGGAGATAGCCCTGCAGACAATGTCAAGCAAGGCAAGCCGTCGAATGTATGGCGCGTACAAGGAGTAAGGGCCATGCTACTGGCCGAAGGTCACTCGGCACCCCGTTCCATGCAAGTTTCCGTAGTTGCGCTTAGTAGAAGATATGTGGATACTGGACTTAATTTTTGAGCTATGGTGACACGCACCCATGTTAACATCCTCAGAAGTAATACAGTCAATGAATCTCCGGCGCTTGTTCGTTCGTATTGAGCGTTCGCGATTCAACTTCTCAGAAGCAGAATCGGAGGGTGGTGAATCTACTGCCGAGCGGGATTGGGAACTAGATCGTTTCTCAGGGCGCGAACGAACGAGATGCGATGGATCTAACTTTTGGATGAGGGGCGAATGCAACGCTAGGAGAGGCACTGAGTGTACCGTTGACAATTTCTTCAACGTCATCTCGTATGGAACCTTGATCTTGCCTGGGTTTATGGTGGGGTATAGCGGTGCGCTCTAATAACTCTGGATCTAGGTCACCAATAATCATGTCACCCTCGACATCATCGTATGTATTTGCTCCGCTCGGCTTGGACGATTCGCGGGCATCGAGACTACCTCGGTGGGCGGTCGTTTTCGAGACCATAGTCCAACCATTCTTATGGGTGGATTCCTGTCTCGGCGGATAGGAGCTAGGACTCGGAGCATGGACATGGGTATATGAGAAAGCTAGAGTAGTGGATGAATTATTGCGGACTGGCTTGGGAACTGGTTTCGGAGCGGTGGTTGACGATCCGGCATTGGAAGGGCGTTTCCACGTAGCAGAACTCTGAGATTCTGAATCCGAGGCACTGTCCCAGGCATCATCCTCGGCCCAATCTGTAGCAGAGTATGACGAGAAGCGATGGGATGGATTCAAACCAATGTGTGGACGAGCTGGTGGAGGACGAGCAGCCATGGCGCTGTAAACATGGTCGCGCACACGGTATGCACATATTGATTAGAATGAGGATACATAACTGGGAAGAAGTCTGGCGTTGTCTGGGCTGAAATATTTGAACTCAGGGAGCACTGTTCCCAGCCCATTCATGCTCCGATTGTGTTCTAGACGGCAACCGACACCTGGGGCAACCGGGTAGACTGGGCCTGGGCGTAACGCGTCCATGATAAAGCGCCCCAGCCGCACGCACTCTCACTCAATCTGAACTATGAGTTACTACTATCCCACCACATATTCGACCTATCCTACGTCTTTCGCGAGTCCGTATCGCTATTCTTCCGCCTATAACCCATATTCTCTATCCACCATCCCCTACTCGGGGCTCGCGACGACATATCCTTCATCGTATGCATACGCGCAGCCGTATGCGTATGCATATCCATCATACCCTCAGCCATACTCATACCCGCAAGGATACCCGCAAGGATACTCGCAAGGATACCCGCAAGGATACCCGCAAGGATATTCGTACCCTCAGACATATCCTTTGCAGCAGCCATACCCGTACATCCCTCCATCTCCGAATCCTCCGACTACTATCTACTTGCAGCCCTCACACACGCACCGTCATCATCACGAGGGACACCCGCATTCTGATACGGAGTCGATTCATTCTCACCACTCTCACCTCTCCCACCTCTCACCATTCCATCACCCATCTCCGTACCCATATGCCAGCTACGGCCAGTCCGGATATCGATTATAATCCTGCGGCCATGCATACCACTGCGACGATCCGTCGTCAAAAATTGACGTTTGGTTCGCTCCCTGGGGAGGTATCAGAATGCACATGTCGAGCTCACACATCATGTCCTGGAGGTCACCGTCGGGTTTGTCATCGCTTTGGACAGAATTACTTGCGTGCGTGCACTTTCTCCCTTCATTTAATCATGTATCCAACCAAGCAGAAGCTGATGTGCTTTTCCGTACGGACAGGCGCTAATGTAGGCGTCTCGGACCTCAATTTCTGAGCCTTTCCTGTCGTACTACAGTCCTGTATTACTAGTTAATGTCGATATCTTCGTTGTTCTTCATTGCTGTGGGTGGCTTTCCAGTTGTTTTTGTTTGTGGCTATCGACTAAGGTACATCGTCCCTCATAGGTTGTCATGTAGCACTGTGAGTTTGTCCCCTGATCAGCAACTCATCTCGTTGACATTTATCTCATAGACACTGCTGTATTTTTTTGTACACCACAGTAATTTGATACCTCGTGATGCATATATTGCTCGACGTTCTGCCCTTAGATGTCAAACTATTTCTGAGGACTTGGATCAATTCATTGTCCGTTGTTCTGACTCCAAAACTGCCACGTACAACCACCCTCGTTCGAGCTTGTCCGTCGATTGGCGTGTTACAGCCTTCTTCCAGAATACTGCGGCTGTTCTTATGAGGATAGTTAGGCCGAGCTCACGATTCGATTGTATGTGCTTTTCCTGGCTAAAATGATGAATGTACGTCTAAGCAAGTTATAAGCCATTTGTCTCTCACGGACACTGCGGCTCATTGGGAGGTAAGCATGTTATAATAATGGTGTCATCCAGTGGCCCACGCAATGTATCCATAGTTAGTCTTCCTCGACTCATGAACTTGGAGCGAGCGTACACGTAACACAGCCAGATCGGCCGCAAACAGAGTCCAGTTAGGTCTGGGCTAGTTCGAACGCTCACCGACACAGTCATGAAAGAGTACCGAGGTGAGTGGCAGAAAACTCGCCCTTGCACTTTACCTGTGCCACACCGTGCTCATGAACTATCACCCAGCAGCGTATTGCCCCTACCCTCCCCCGCTACTGCCGTCGACCGGACATACCGCGTATGGTGAACCCTCCCATGGTTCTACCCACCTGCCGGGCGAGGCTCACCGTCGCGCCGAGAGCGAGCATGGTCACTCTCACCATTCCCATCGCTCTTACTCTCGGCCTGTTGGCTATCAACACGGTAGCAGAGTTCCCGCAGGATCCTATTCAGTTCCGGCTTATAACTACCCCTTGAACTATGACCAAGGGAATAATGTGAGTCATGATGTTGGGTGCTGATGTCGATTGAAACTTATCGTCGTTCCGTGTTCCGTTGCAGCACCATTCACAGTACAATACAGCCACGCCGACGTACTATTCTCGGGGGAATCCCCACTCTTCGGGTCGTCATCACTATGCCTCTTCAACCGTTCCGCAAGTTATAAACCTCAGTGACCCGTCTCGGCAGGTATCGCTGTTACGCTCCTCCCTTTCCTAGTAAAACTGAAACCGACATCCATCCAGCATGGAAGTGGCCACCACTATGTCGACACACATCCGGCTGTCGGCACAGATCATCTGATATTCCCACCGCATCACCATCATTCAGGGAACCACACATCGGGGCAACACTATCATAACCGCAGTCCCTATGTGGTCAACCTGAACGAGCCACTGCGAGCTCGCCACGTATGTACTCGCCTCGAATACTCTATAATAATACCGTCGAAACTAACTCACTTTCAGCCAGGCCCCACTGTAGGCGAACGTGTTCGTCGCTTCTTCGGCTTTCCCCCTGAACACTACGCGAACTACGTTGATGTTCGTACGGGACACTTGGTCGACTGGCGTGGCAGGCCCATATTCCAAGTATGATTTTGGTCCCTTTCTTCGACGGAAGCTACGCAACAGCTACGAGTTTACTCGACGATGCTGACCCCTTCCTGACCCCTTCCATGCCTGAGCGACCTGATACGTCAAACCTTGCTCTGTCTGCATACCAGGGTGCTATTCGCAATCAAAATGTCGTGCAGTGTGAGCAGAACTTCTTCAGTGAGATTATTGTACATCAATTGATCGGAAAGGCCCGACAGAACAAGATTGCAGTCTACGTAATTTTAATATAAGGACAAGTCGTAATGTAGGTGCTGCGTATACCGATACCCCACGTACAGTATACACAGATAAGAAATCCTAGTACAGTAAGGCTTCTGAGCCTCGAGCTCATCATCAATTTTGACAAGTCGATCGTAAAGAATTTCTCGATACGAATGCGTGGACAAAAGGTTTCCCGCAATTAGCGGACCAGTTCTGAAAGCTCAGAGAGAGGAGAATTGATGTGATAACACTATCAACAGTCGGCGAGCACACTACGATAAGTTTAGACAACATCTGGTTACAATATGTGCTCAGAACGTCATGCAATACCGCGCCACAGAGATATTAGCTCAGCGGTAGAAATCCTCTTCGCACCATCCGTACTGTCGCTTCAGTTTCTTGCTGAACTCTTTCAGTAATATGGGATAGAGCGTGGGGTCGGGGTGTGCTACAGCCAAGTGGAGTCAGTATCAGGTAGAATATTTCTTTGAAAATTTGTACTCACGCCTGTGAAATGTGATGGGCTAACAAAAGAGTTCATCGCTGCGCAGATAACGAAGAAACTACAATCACTCACCACATCTCGAGGATCTGGAGGGTCGAAGCGGACGCTAGAACCGGCGGTACTCGGATCATATTCAAAACCCATTTCACGCATGAGCTGCTTAACATTCTGCTATCAATATTTTAGCGACAGCTGAACAGATCGCTGACCTTCAAGAAGCTCTCCCACTTCATCGGCTGAATACCCTTTGTTTCGTCCTCGGAGGTACCCAATAACTTGTGCATGTCTTCCCTTGCCCGCTTGGTCAACCGCGAGAAGAAACTAAACTTGCTGCCCTTCTTCGACTCCTCCGCCTCCGCATCTTTTTCCTTGTCCTTAGATTTGTCTTTCCTAAACCGGCTGAATAGGCCCTTCTTCTCTGGGACGGGAGTCAGGGGATCCCGCTTGGCTTTAACCTTGGCCTTCTGGTTCATGAGACCTTCCCTCGTGAGGTAGGAGTGCGCTGACTGCGCAGTTTGAACATGAGAAAGTGGAACGTGAGGCAGTGATGTGGTCGAGGCATTGACAGCAGGAGGTTTCGCAGGTGTTTTCGGGGCATTGAATTTCTTTGTAGACGACGGTGTATTGGCTTGGCCGTTCGCTTTACTCGCTTGCGTAGGTGGGGTCACAATGACCGGCGGTGCTTGGACAGACGTGGGCTCTGTTGCCGCACCATTTGCCACGTCCACAGGTTCCTGCCCAGCAGCCGCGGTAGCCGATTTCTTCTTCTTCTTGGGCTTCTTTTTCTTTTTCTTCGCGGCGGCGGCCAGTTCCTCTTCATCTTCTACGGCCTCCACCGTTGCCTTTCGACTCTTCGGTGATGCTATTGGTAAATAAGTATAAATGAGTAACGACGCTAATCTAAATGAAAGGATGCTTACGCGCGGGTGACGGTGGGACGGGAGTAGGCCGTGGAACAGCGCCCGTCTTTCCTGGTGCGAATGGGTGTCGAGGTTCGGTGCGAGGAGTAGTCTTCAAAGTCGGATTGGAGGAGAACATGCGACCTAACACGGCCAGAGTATAACGCAAGGACATCTGCAGTCATTCCGTCATACATACCTCTGAGAGAACCCAACAACTTCAGAAATGGGTTGCCCTTCCTTTCCTCAGCCAATGCTTCAAACTCCGGAGCAGGACTCTTAGGGTCGAAGAAATCCGGAGTGGCTGCAGCAGTATCCATAGCTTCCCGCAACATATCACGAAGAGCATCCTCCTCGTCGGTGTCGTATCCGTCTTCCGACCCCCCAGATTCGTCTTCATCCTCGTCGTATTCGTCCTCGTCATCATCACTCTCACTCTGGTACTCGCTCGAAGAGTCAGAAACAGATTGCAAATCCGGCATATCTGCATCGCTATCGTCCGCGGGCCCGTTCATGATAGCGGGAAGTCTGCGACCCTTCGAGCCCATGCCTCTACTACCCTTGGATTTAGGGCGACCGCCATCAGAATCGGAGTCGTAAGACTTGCTGTTACCAGAAAATCTGACTGCATGCCACTGAGGAGCCCGATGTCGGATGTCTTTCAACTGCCACAAGGAATCAACATCCATGCCGCAAACGGCTTCGTAGTTCTAATAGTTGCGCCAGAGCAACTGTTCATCAGAGCTATGATAGTGGAACTGATCAGACTCACTCACCCTGTCCACCTGCCTCCACATATTGTCCAGAACATGGCGACTTTTAGTTTTCTCCAGAGGAAATATCATGTCCGCGTAGTTCGCGTATTTCTCGGAAGCCCTTGCAGAGAAAATTTGAGCATCCGCCCAATCCTCAAACTCCTCAGGCATCTTGCGCGTCTCCTTCTTCCACGTTTCCCCTTCAGGACCGAGCAACGGGCTCTCCAGCATCTCTAGGAGCTGCACAATCACCTAAAGAACGATATCGGAATGAGGACCGTACAAACAACCCACTTCACAAGCCACGGGCTACGCTTGGAAATACCTACTGAAAGATCTCCGACTGCATCCCAGACCGCCTGAGGAAATAGCTTTGCATCACGAGGAGATTCTTCAATTGCTTCGTGCAATATCTGATACAAGACCTGCCTAGGGATAGCTGATTCCGGAAGACATAGCTCGACAATTATGGAATCGAGGAAGGACTTGTGCACTGCCTTCAAACCATCCCAGTCAAAAATATACTCACGCTTACCGTCCGCTACTTGAACTTTGAAGTATTGCTCGTAATGGGCTGACATGGGGGTAAGTCACCAGCAATATCGGTGAATAGGCTGCATACGTGCTGTAGTAGCCAGAAGCGCAAACTTCGCTTGAGCGGCTTGAGCAAGTGTGTTGACGATGTCATAGAGAACAAGATATCGGCCTCTGAAGCCAGCACTCTTCTTCAGCTGAGATTTGACGGGACTGTCCTCAAGTCCCTCCTCGGCCAAGTCACTCAATGTTTCTACCACCAGCCTCCAGGCAGCTGCCATCATGTATGCATTGTGAATCCTGAATGAGCACACAGAAAACAGATAATTGTCTAGCACTCCTGTGGCTTGTATGTCTGACATAACAGCCGCACCTGGATGCTACAACTGGGACAACCTTATCGCGGCTTCGTAGAGGATCAGGTGCATCCTTCCCCAACCGCGGCTCACGGGCCAACACCTCGGTCTTAATTTTGTCGTAAAACAAATCAGGGTCTTGCAAGTTGCTGATATCGTCGAGTTGCGCTAGGATCCAGCGCCGTTAAGTAGCAGTATATGTGGAACCGGATGACGATATGCGTACCGCTGAGCTGAGAATCACCCATGTTGATGCATCGCTCGAGCCTAAATGGGGTGCCCAGCGCTTTCTTCGAGCGTTCAATGAGATCCTCTGGGAAAATATTGCGGTAAGCTAGGGGCGTATTGCTCGACCAGAGCTTACCGGCCAATAGGTCAAGCTTCTCTCGACCACTCATCTTCCCCATGGCCATTAACTCTCCCGTACCACGCGCGCCATATTTTCCATTGCGAAGAACAAGTGCGCGAGCTGTGGTCGGTTTGTCCCCGTTTTCGTCTCGCTTGGTCTGATTCTTCGCAGAGAGATGCCTTGGGCCAACCGGTACAAGATCGCGAGAAGTGGAATGGGCGGTCTTGGCTTTGGCTTTCTCAGGAGGCATTTATGCACTGCAACAAAGACAGATGATGAATCCAAGCTTCAAAGTGCAAATCCAGGAAAGCAGAGAAGCAGCCAAATTCCAGGCGCTTGTGACTTGTTTGGCGATGTTGTCGACAAGTTGTCGAGGCGACAGAAATGGCAACGTGAATCATTAATCATCTCTCACACGACTCAGTTTGTCTGAATCTGAATGTCCATGCAAAACTATTTCATGCTTGCCCGTACTTTGGAAATTTGGGGATCGGTAGGTCGAGCTGTCGGAGACGTAGCCACAAAATACCAGGAGGTATCAGCACTTTTTGCTCTCTGACGTCTGCGTGCCTGCCGCATCACAAGCATCAACCTGAAACATACCTTGGGCTGCATTCTGTCGTGGCTGTGTGGAGGGAGACGTGATGATTTCTCAATGACTATGCATAAGAGCCAGAGCACTAACACGGCGTCTCTCCGACCTACGTGCTGATTTACGACTTTCTTCTCTGCGAGAGCCTTCTGTTTCTTTTTCTTTCTTGGGTTGCTGGTTCTACCATTGAGCCTTGATGGCTGCTTTTAATATTTCAGGTTAGCTCTATGACATCCGCGCATGATACCGCTACTAAAGGTGCACGCAGTTGACGACAGCTCTCCTTTAATTACTTACTTCCCTCTTAATGCGTGGATTGACACTCCCGCAAATGACACACTAGCTGCTTTCTACGCTCAATCCTCATTCCATGCGACATCTGTTGGTGGCGCGTATGCAGAGTTTGCGTTCAATGGGACCGGCATCTGGTTGTACGGCGCTCGAAGGCCTGATTATGGCTCCTACACCGTCTTGGTTGACAACAATGTCGTCGCTCACACGAATGCTACAGCTGCTAATTCTACGGTGGGGCAATTCCTGGGTGGCACCTCGAATTTACCTATGGGTCAACGTAATGTTGTCTTGCGCAATGCTGGAACTGGTCCAATGGACATCGACTCCCTTGTTCTTGAAACGCAGATAGGCTCAACTGGGTATGCCACCGCTCTTTCCTGAGGCATCGGATCCTGACGCAGCTCAGAGATTCTGTGATCACTACAAATATCGACGACTCGAGCTCGCGCTTCACGTATACGCCATCCGTTAGGTGGGCTCTAGTCGACGATTCGCAGTTCTACAACAATACACTGCAGTGAGTGTTGTGTCCTCTTACTACAGTCTCCACGCTAATACGTGTAGTGCAGTTATTCTGATGCAGGCGGGGCTCAGGCGTCACTCTCCTTCTCGGGTGATGGTGTCGCTGTATACGGGACTGTTTCACCCCAACATGGAAACTACACCGTTACCTTGAACGGTCACATCTCTCAGATCATCAATGGAGGGGCCGATGGCTTCGTACGGCAGTTGCATGCGCAGGCACGTCTCCAACAGTGAAGTGGTTTGATCGCACACACACTGACGTCTTTCATCAGACATTACTGGTCGGTGTATCAATCTGTTGAATACATAGTGACGAATTCTCTTAATTCTGGTCTTCGCGCAGTTCTCCGCAGAGAATCTAGGCGCTGGAATGCACTGTCTCGTGGTAACTGGTAACTCCGGACAAAACAACACAGGACACTACGTGGACGTTGACTACGTAACTGTGTATACGGCGTCCAATAGTTCGGAGGCAAGTGTCACCAGTAGTGGAAACGTCGCCGGTATGACTGGCTCTAGTGTTCCCACTTCAAGCAGTCCCAATCCGTCTGGTACAGGACAAGATGGTGACGGTTTCAACACTGGACCTACCCAACCCAACAACAATGTGTATGACGGTCTCCTCACTTTAATCTACCGTCTCTGTTGACGATGGTACCTAGTTCCATGAAGCCTGCACCCGGCATGTCCCAAGGTGCTGTAGTTGGAGCAGTTCTTGGCACCATCCTTGGAGTTGTTATCCTGCTCGTTTTGCTGTATTTCTTCGTCAAGCGGAGGCGCACGCGTTCCGTGGGGAAAGATGCTCCAACACCCGCACTTCCAATACAGGATCCGGATTTAGAATTGGGAACGTACGAAGTCGGTGATGAAGAAGATGAGAAGGCAGCAGACTCGGATATTGTCGTTTCGGAGAAGCGGATGACAACTGCCTCGATGGCGTCTCGATGGTCTCAGGCCTCATTTGAATCGAGTCCAACACTCAGGCCGCCTTCGCACGACCCGTCAGTTGGTATGAAGTTCGAAACCATGGGACCAGGCCATGGTCGTCAGGTGTCGGAAGCATCGACGTTCGTGGAAATAGCTGATATGTATCGCTACTCGAGGCCAGATCTGGAGGTCCCTCGCGATGACCTTCGATGGGAAGATGCAGAGGTAAATTAGTATCTCGCGATGTGGCATTGCATCGTCTCACCGAGATCGTTCAGCCAATCGTTCCACCTCTTCAAGTCCTTGCGGACAAAGGCCTCAACTGAGAGGATGCTACTGATGTCACGGACAAGATCCTGAAACACGCTTCGATGTCGATGTCACGGTCATTTTCTAGTCTATTTAAGCTTATATCTGCTGTCGCTGTTGTCAGGTTGTGTTTCTTTGCAGTGGAATAATTAATGACAAGGTGTGAGTAGATCTACGTAGGTTTGCGCGTAACGCGCGTATGGTCGTGACATTAATTCCTCGACATGGACTCGGACCTCCTTCTCTCGGATCGACTTCAGTGTCCCTTGATGCTTACTTCTAGTAGTGCTTGCATGTGTAAAGCGGTGGTTTTTGTCATTGCTATCATTAACGAGCACGTCGGTCGCTGCAGTTGTCAAAAGCCAACTGTTGTGACCGGGGTGTCACGCATTGTTGTCCTCGCGACGGGAGATGTCACGGGTATATGAAAGCGGCCATGAACACACTTTCCCTCATTGCTGTGTGCATTTTGTTCCTTCGCTCTCCCATTCACCTTTCCTTTTGTTGGACGAGCTGAGCTCGCTGGTCCCGCTGGTTTCGCTTCTTCTTTCACATCAGAAGCTTACATCTTCTCCGTTTGAGTTACTCTTTCTCTCCGGAGCGGTGCTCGGTATCTCGCCTGTACAACAAGTGCACTTCGTCTCGCAGATCTTCGACATGGGAAAGCTGGTTTGGCACGAGTATTCTCGCTATGTCTCTTTGACTGCGACAGTTTGTAAGTGTCATAGACCTTGAGATTCAACAGAATATAACCTTCCGGTGACCCGTCGCCAGACACTGTGTGGGCCTCGTTTTTCGCCCTGTATTTCCGCAAGTTCTTTTGGGACTTCATCGGAGGCACTGTTCGGGACCCCGGAGGTATCCAGTGAGTACACTATGCTATGTTGTTTGGTTCGTGTGCGATTGTAACGCGTTGTTAGGCCCTCACCGAAAGTTGCGGTCTTCATCACCCTCATCGTGAAAGTGCCTGTCATACCAATTATCTCAATGTTATTGGGTTTTGCGATGATTGCTCTGGAATATCCCGCACCATTTTTAAAGGGAACTGCGCTACACAGGAGTATCATCGTTCGAATCATAGCGTTAATCAATCAGGCGTTTCTAGCTGTGTTATATTATGAGGTGCGTTCTGTGTAACTGAACCTCAAACTGTGTCACGACTCCTTGTGACAGGGAACAAACGGGGCACTGTGGTCCCTCGTTGCCGCCATATGTTATACGCGGGCATTGGCGCTTGGAGAGGTCATGGAAGAAGCCAAGAACAATCGTGGAAGAGGCGGGCAGGCCTAACCTTGATATTGATTCATCTCTCACAGATGACTGGGTTCATCTGAGTTCATTTCTTCATTCTTTACTTTGACAGTCCTTTCATCTTTCGTTGCTTTCCTAGCCAACATGCACAGTTGACTCTCTGTACCAGTTACTACTACACTCAGTATGTTGCATCCGTGTTTTCTTGTACATTTGGTCGTATATATGGCGAATTATTGTCTGTACGCAGTCCAGGACTGATGTGCGATTGCCTTTGGCATTGTGGTTGGCCGTGGCCATGCATGAGCAGTAATTAATACTTGAACGTGCATGTATATTAGATTTGGATCCACTACATATGTAGATGATCTCATCTCGATCTCGTCTACATCGTGTTCTTTGACTGTCCGCCTGCCGCCTTACCCATCATCGCGTCCCATCACGCTTTGTAGAGACTGCGCACGTCAACTTGATAACAAGGAAAGACCAGGGAAAGACCAATAATTGAATCTGCTCTGCCACGGACGCCCGACTGCGATGTCTTCGCACTCGGCAATAATCGCGAGTTTATCCGACAACTTTGAGCGAGCTCTCGCCTCTGGAGATTTGCTGTTTTTCCCCTCTACAGTGTACAAACATAACGATCATGGCATAGAGGTTAGCATTCTTACTTGTCTCCTCACTTCTCTCGGTGAGATGATAGAAGCTGACAGGTAAATGCAGTTCGAGATACGCCTCTGTACAGCGTTGCAGCAGAAACCGTCACTCCCGACGCCTCACTTTGACCCTGCAGCAGAAGGCAAGCCAGTCGGGAAGGCCCATAAACCAGATCCCTTTGCGCCACCCTACATACCCAACTTGTACCTTGGAGAAATCCGAGACGAGGAAGATGATTCTGAATATGTGATTCTGGTTCGTGGCGGAGTGCTTATAGATGACGAGACTTGGGCATTGATCGCGAAGTACTCTCCTACGGTTTCCCTCTGCGTCTGGTAACAGTTGAACAAATACTCTGTGGTGCCACACCATATCCTATTAGTCACAAAAGGTGCGTGTGCGAATGATAGTCCTGATCGCGGGAGAGATGATGCTCACTGATTTTTGGTTTCAATCAGAGTACAAGTCCCAGGCATCACCACTGCTACCCGCAGAGCTTGCTCAAATATACACATTCCTTGTTGCTGCGCGCCAAGCGGGTCGTCACTTTTTCGCCTTCTACAATTGTGCGGGACTTGTTCCTGTTCCGCTTGTCTCATCGGTCTTGACATGAAGCTTTTGCTTAGGTGGAGACCTAAGTGGCGCTAGCCAGCCTCATAAACACGTGCAGTTCCTACCTATAGAGGATGACGGTCCTCCAATAGAGCGACTAGCAAGGTCGACATCAATAGAGGTCATAAGTGAGTCTCAGTCAGCGAAATCGACCGATAACTCACACTTCATTCCCCATAGCTCGGCCCTTTTCACTGACCACTTTGCCGTACGCAAATCATGTGCGCAGGTTGCCCTCGAATCTAGCTTCTGTTCCTCGGAGTGACCTCGAAGGAAGCCTTTCCGATGCATTCCTCTCCCTTCTCGATCTCGCTATCTCTACGATACGGCACGACGGCGATTATCCCCCCGGTTCCCCGTCATACAACTTCGTTCTCACGCTCGAGCACATGCATGTTATACCCCGGCGGAGAGAACACCACGTGCTGCAGAAGACTGGCGACCAGCTGAGCGTCAACGCCCTTGGCTTTACTGGGTTGTTACTCGTGAAAAGTGAGAAAGAGCTAGATGCGGTCAAGATGGAGGGTGTTGGGAAAATATTGAGAGATGTTGGACTGGAGAGCGTCCATGAGTTACAGCTGGAAGAATTCTCACATGAAACGGACTGATGGGCCTCATCTACTGGCTTCATACATCCGAGCATAATGTGTCACAGATATCATTTTCACTATTGAACATAAGATAGCGGGACCATTGACGACGAGTTGGTTAAAAAAGACTCGTCCGATTTGAACACGTCTATACAACCGAGTGGAACACACGTTTACTACACGTACCACTGATGTTAGAGCCGCGATGTTGAGGGTTCAAACATTCAAATTTACCCTTTGCAATTGGTTGCTGCGTGCCGCCGACGTTCCCGCTCATCTAGTCAACAAGATATACGCTGTTTTATCCAAGCGAAACCTAGCGGTACGATACATCAAGGAGTGAAGAAAATAATACAATATGACGGGAAGACCAGATATTGTGTCAACACTCACAGGGACTCAGCGAGACAATAAAGTTTGAATAAAATAGTGAATTTCTGAGTGATTGCTGGCGTAGAACTGAGGGCCATTGCATTGAGATTCTTTCTATTGGTGATTGGAGAACCACTGAAAGATACTTATACCCGCGGCGATATTCGAAGGAGTGACTTCCGGAAGGCTATCGCATTACTTGTTCTCAGCTGGGAACAGTACGGCGTAACGTAGGGGCGAACAGAGTCCACCACATGCTCTGAGCCATATCAATGGCAACAACGGACCAAATTTGAGGACATTATGGGCAGACCTGCGCCAAAATGATATACGAGTTAACGAAAAACTCGCGGGTATGGGGATTACCTCTGTCCAAGATCATTTACTGGGGGCCCTCCGTCATGGTTGACTGGGGAAGAAGCAGGGCCGCGTCTCGTGAGTGGAATATTCGTTCGAGGAATCTATACGTCTCAGATTTGCCAATAAGGAAAGATCAAATACCTGTTACTTCAGGTTCACCGAGACTTAGCGCTGACATTCGATTTCCTTCTCATTTTCTTTCGCTTCCCAATTCGAGACCGCAATACGAGATCCACACATGACACAGATGGAATGTGACCTCGCTGTCTGTCAAAAGCTGATGGCATCGTGAGCGGACCCCAATTATCGCCGTGCATCACGATTCGAAAGTGTACATGCTGGCAAGTGGGGATCTCAAAGTCATCGCGTCTGCTGCTGCTTGTCAATGATCCTACACTTGAGTAACAGGTCTATACGTACTATGGCATATCAGATACAAACGGAGGTCACCCACGTCCAGCAATCGGAGGTATCCAAGTTGAAGACGCATGCGGTTCGAGCTGTCATTCACGCTTCCGGGATTGTAAACCTGTACACCCAACTGTAGCGTTCCACCTTCACACAAAAGAGAGAGTGAATAAGTCACTTGATCACTGCAACTGTAAAGAAATACATCAGTAGCTCATACTATCAGAAGGCTCCGACAGCCACGCGGAAATGTTGTGTGCTTTACGACCAGGTTAGGCGTGGATCGGCCTTCAGCGCTGGTCAGGCCTTCAGGAATAGAAGTGTTTCGCTGTTGATTCAGGCCATATGATAGGGTCCATGATAAGTATTGACGATGAGACCGTCAAAGCATCGTAAGGTACTTACTACTCACTCGGTCATGAAGATGCACCCAATCAGTGTACGCTGTAAGGAGCCTACGGTTGTCCTATATATAAACTTACATACCGGACCTGAGAGAATAGAAGTGCAGCTGACAGGGTTCGCACCATTGGATTTGCCACTACCCACCTTGCACGTTCACATGAAGCCTGCGCGAATGTATGGAAGTGACGGAGTGGCGTCTATTATGAAAAGCTGCTAGCCGAGGGCTGCACAGGTCATCTCCAACGGCCGGTGGCGGCGGCATCATAGTCGGGGGCATCATCATCCTGTGAGCTAGTACATAGCCTGCTGGAAGTGGAAAGTTGAGACTGCGGAAGAGCCACACGCGCGAGGCACGTGAGAAACGCGAGACGCGTCTTTGATCGAGTGACTTCCGAGTCAACCGTGGCACTCTTCTGTCCACTCGTGGCGGCAGATCGCGAGAATATTGTTCTCTTTCACTCATTTTTTCTCCATGGCAGTATACCTATCACGACTCTGACTTCCAGGGGAGTCAGTGCATCAGTCACTGAAAACACTAATTCTTGTAAGTCTGTATTCGATGCGTTTCCATGAAGATGCATGGAGTGGTGCACCTCGGGCACAATTGGCGAGAAGTCACTCCTGCCTGTGCCTGCCGTCATCACGGGTTCCACAAGCCGGTTCTCACAGCCTGTGCTGGTCTGCCCAAGACGTGTATAAATGTCTTGATAGCCTCTTTCCCTCGCAGGAACACGCTCATCCTCCTGCACCATTTCTAGGTGTAGTACTCCAAGATGCTTGTGCATACACCCTTCCCCGTTCTGGTCATTTTTATGGGCTGGCTCATTGTCTCTGGACATGGCTCGCTCTGCATTTCCCCTCTTGTTGCCGGAAATTCGACGCCCAGCCAACCGTTCTGGTTGGAGGACATGGTACAAAGGGGAACGTCTGCCTTCAACGCTGACCCAGCGACATATCAGGTCTACCGCAACGTCAAGGTATTGCACCATGTGATGCAAATATAAACTGACCGTTTTGACTGATTGCGCATGAAGGATTATGGAGCAACTGGTGACGGTGTAACGGATGACACTGCAGCTGTCAAGTAAGTACTCCTAGTGACGCACTTGATGATGTGACTCACCGGAGAGGTGCGTAGCTATGCTATATCATTTGGCGATCGTTGTGGTGAAGGTTGTGGGTCTGCTACGTGAGTGATCAAGTTCGATGCGCTTGCGCCTGTGTTAATTGTTCCTGTCCGGATGTAGTACTTCTCCAGCAGTGGTGTATTTCCCGCAAGGGTGTGTCCAATCATTCGCTCTCACTTTCACTACCAACAGCCTCTGGTATCTTAAAAGCACCTATTTGGTCTCTGAACCTATCATCGCGTACTATTATACCGTGATCGTCGGCGATGCCAAAGTTCCTCCAACCATCCTCGCAGCTCCCAACTTCACAGGAATTGCAGTTATCGGTATGCTGATATACTCTATACTCTTTTGCACGTCTGAACTTTGCATCTTCAGATGCGGACCCATACGATGCATATGGCAACTGGTATACTAACCAGGACAACTTGTGAGTATTCCGTACCAGCACGGTTTAAATGGCCCAAGTGACGCCGGCACCGTTCTACGACTAGTTATCGCTCCGTGCGGAACTTCGTGATTGACCTGACGCAGATGCCTGCTTCTGCCTCTGCTACTGGTATTCACTGGCAGGTTTCACAAGCCACCTCCTTGATGAACCTCGTTTTCGACATGTCGACTGAACCTGAAAACAACCACCAGGGTGAGCATCGCTGTTTATAGTCAGCACACTTTCTTATTCTAAAAATGTTGCGTCAGGAATTTACATGGAAGATGGGAGGTAAGAGATTAGTTGGATTTGTGCATACTCAGTTCATCTCTCTACCATGCTAGCGGTGGCTTCATGGGTGGTATGTCTGTCCTACGCAGAGATTGGCCCAAGATTCACGACATTGTCAGACATGGTTTTCAATGGAGGGAAATATGGCCTATGGGTCGGCAACCAGCAGTCAGTAATTGTGAAGGCTCTTCATATTTACGTTTGTGCTCATTCGAGAGCCACTGTAGATTCACTGTGCGGAACATCACTGTGAATGGCGCCAACACTGGTGAGCCCGTTCCGCAGGCGGAAAATGTGGCACTAACGGAAATTCGCTTATTATGTTTCAGCGGTAAGTGTCACTCTGAGGCCAAGCACGTGGTCGACACCAACTGATCTCTCTCCACAGGTATACGGGCTGTGGTCTTGGGGCTGGACCTACCAGCGTTCGCCATCTTCGACGCATTGTATTTGACTTTGCTGACTCCATTACTCTAGGCATCAATATCAACAACTGTGAAGTCAGTTACGGTTGTTAGGATTATTTCATGCTGACTTTGCTGAATCATTTGCCAGATAGGTTTTGATCTCACAATCGGCACTGCGAATGGAAGCGCTCAAGGAATTGGCTCGGAAGCCATCATCGATGCAACTGTCACTAACACACCAATCTTCGTTCAACGATCTGCAACGAGCAACCACACTTTGGATGGTTCACTTGTCTTGAGTAATGTTCAGCTCGACAATGTGACTACTGCTGTCGGTGTCGTAGGTGGCGAAGTTTTGGTTAGGAAAAAACCGCATTCCCCCGGAATATTTCTGAGATGTTACTTTCCAACAGTTGGCCGGTGGCACACTCAGAATCGACGCATGGGCGCAAGGAAATGTCTATGCCGGATCAAATCCAAATGGGACGTACACTCAAGGCTATATCGATCCTCTCCTCAAATCTCCTGTTGTGTTGGATAGCACGGGGAAGATCTTCTCCAAGGGCCATCCCCAGTACGCTGACTACTCGGCAAGCCAGTTCATGAGTGTGAAATCTCAAGGTGCGGCAGGTGATGGCCATACCGACGATACTGCGGTCATTCAGAGGGTCTTCGACGAGGTTCGCTTCTCGACTGGACTTCGGTGTGCGGCGAAGTGATAATTTCGTTATTGTCAGTATGCTGGATGTTACATCATCTATTTCGACGCCGGAACCTACATCGTCACTTCCACGATCACTATCCCGGCGGGTACCCAAGTGGTCGGCGAGGCCTGGTCGACAATCATGGGAAGTGGAGCGTACTTCCAGAACATGGATGACCCTCAGGTCGTCGTCAGGGTTGGAGAGCCTTACTCATATGGCCTCGCTGAGATCACCGACATGATTTTTACTGCCAGGGGGCCAGGTACGCGTGTGGTTATTCGTCCAGTAGAGCAGATAATTGATCTAATCTTGCAGCTGCCGGAGCTATTGTTGTAGAATGGAATGTCCACGACCCTGCTGGCCAGCAAGGCGCCGCCGGAGCCTGGGATACACATATCATGTCAGTAGCGCCATTCCGTCATCAATTATCACGCTTACTGGATCTTCCTCCAGTCTAGGCGGCAGTACGTCGGATGTATCGTTCAGGGAATTCTCCGTGCTGATTCACTTTCAGAGAACGGATCGGATCTGCAGGCGTACAACTGTGCAGCTGTGTACTATGACGTCAATACTGAATGCTACGCCGCTTTCTTGGCATTGCATCTCACACCTGGTTCCAGCGCGTATCTTGAAGTGAGTGTTAGATTTGACTGTCAGCGCTGGGATTCTGAGATACTAACGATTTGGCCCTCTCGTAGGGACTTTGGGTGTGGTTGGCGGATCATGACTTGGATTGGCCAGGTACACGATTTACACTCACTCTTTCATTCTCGAAAACTCATTTAAATGGCATCCCAGGCAACGCTCAAGTCAGCTTGTACAGTGGGCGCGGTATTCTGTCAGAATCTCTCGGACCCGCATGGTTGATCGGAACTGGTACGTCTTCTCGTTTTGACATCTGCCAGAAACTGACTGGCTTCCTATAGCCTGTAAGCATGGGCGACTTGATATGATATCCAAGTTTCTCAATGCAGCCGTCACATCTAGCTGAACACAACGTCATGTACCAGTACAGCCTGGTTGGTGCGCAAAATCACTACATAGGCACCATGCAGACGGAGACGGTGAGCGTGGTTTGTGCTAGCACAGTCCAATGAGAATTTGATGAGACATGATTAGCCATATTTCCAACCGGATCCCGCTCCGCCTGCTCCCTTCACTCCGAACCCGGCTTACCTTGATCCTGAAGCCTGGTTTGGAGCAGCCCTTGCTCTCCAGATCTCTTCTGCGGAGAACATCCTGGTATACGGTGAGGTTTTTGCTCCATCTTTGTCACTGTGTGAGATCAAGTAGCTCATGTGCTGCATAGGTGCTGGTTTCTATAGCTTCTTCCAGGTCAGCTGTGTTCGTCTGCCCGGGGACCTAAACGTGCACTGATAGACGGTGGTTTCAGAACTACACCCAAACCTGCGAAGCTACCTTTTCGTGCCAGATGCAGATCGTGAACGTGGACACGCTTACGAGTGTCGGCATTTACGGCCTCCAGACTGTCGATAGCACGTACATGCTCAGTGTCGACGACAACGGGGTTATCAGCTATACGAACAACAGGAACGGCTTTGCGGAGACGATTACTGCATGGACGCCATGGGCTTGATATACCTGCATAGAGATATTTACCAGGACGCAGAAGGACTTGAGGATCTGAATGGACGGACATTCACTAGATTTGTATCGAGTTGAGCACGTTGTATATGATGTCTGCGATAGGTTATCGAGACGTCTCGCTATCTTGGCATTGTCAAACACGATCCGTGGCGTACGCTGGGCGCGCGATAAAAGCAGATTAAATAATCTACTTACGCCGGACGGGATGCCCGGCCAGGAAGAGGCGACGGACTGCCAGTCTTCAGAGATCCGCCGCGATGGGCAGCGTGGGAAGAGCAACTGCATATATCCGGGGAACCAAAATTCTTTTCGTCTCCCTCGCCTCCTCTACTCGCGCGAACTCTTCGAGCACAACGCATCCTGCACCCTCTTGATCTATGAAAGTCTCCTCGCTAGCTGGGTACGTCGTGTTCTCTCGTCAGTGTTGTCGTGCCGCTGCTCGGTCTTTTCAGTCTAGCTGACCTCACACTCCAGCCCAACAACTCGTATCAACATTCTCTTCGGACCACTTGCATTCCCCCTCGTCGACACCGACAGGCCTCCTTAGAACATCCTTGCTCCACACCCCATCGGCAACGCTCTCGCAAAACGTTGTCTTTCATGGGATAATTGCATCGTCTGAACACTCGGGTCCAGGTCTCCTGCTCTGGCCATAGCGTACACATATAACCCGAACAACACAACACAACAGATAGTACCTCACTCTGGGGCTTTTTTTGTCTGAGACCCCTCCAGCACTCCACCCATCGCTTTTGCCAGGGATGATCCACGCACTCAGGACACAGACTTTCCTTCGTCCGTCTAGCCGTCCTGCCTCTCCACCAATTTCTACCCAAAGTCAAGACCCACTCATGGATCGTACTGCTCGCCCCCTCTCGAAGCTTTCCTTGTCCACTTTTAGGCGGGCTTCACCGTCGCTAGCCACTGGACTCACATCGCTGCCGCTGACTGTGGCACAGGATGGGTCATACTTAGAGGTGGTGGGCCTGAAGCTCAGTGAAGCTGTGACGAAGGCGTTAGCGCAGCCCAGTGGACCCGCTGCCCCACACGAGCAGCTTGGTAGTAGACGACCAATCCCTGCAGGACGTGGTCGTACCCTCGGCGCTCTGATTGCCTCGTGAGTATCCAGCATGTTCGCTCCTTCCAACAGTTCTGACACCACTTTGCAGCGAAATGAAAGCATCCCGTGAGAATTTGCACTTGCATAGAGCGCTCATCCGGACTCTCCATCGTCCGCTGTCCGTACTTCTCACGAATGTTTCGAACAACGTTCTTCCGCTTCTCTCTTCCCCAGCACTCTTAACTCCGTTAGCGCCGACGCCTCAGGCACCGACTCTTAACCCTACTCAGTTGCATGCACTTGGCTGGGCGACCTTCGCTGGGGAGGTTTTGGAAACTTTTGACGAACTTGGCCTAGGTCTTGACACTGATATGAGGGGCGACGGTTTGAAGCCCGTCCGGGACGGGCTTCTGTCCGTCGTAAAGAGGGTTGTCGACCCTCTTATGTCTGGTATCAAGAACGAGATGACGCCTGTCATAGACGCACTGGCCTGTGTCTATCCTGCACCCCTTACTCCCAGTCATGGTCATGGTTCTGCGGGAGGAAAAATTTCGACAGGCGCCAAATCGCCTATTCCGCATCCATCCATTTCAACGCTCCAAACTTTGGTGCCACTTTATTCACGGACGCTTGCTCGTTGTGCGACATCCACGACTGCAGATACCATTCTTGCGTCTCTGCTAATCTCTCTCATCTGGCACGGGCTCGTGGCGCTGTCCAACCGTCCCAATTTGAGCACGTCGCCGCCGGGTTCCCCAGCGGTGACTCCGGCGGGTTTGAAGTCGAAGGACCTCATACAGCGTAGTTTGTCGATCTCACCCTCGACCCCCCCTTCCAGCCGGTTCACGTTGAAACTACCTCCGTCACGCCCTCCGTCACCTTCCACTAATGTGGGGGCGAGAAGCACAACAGTAGCTGCGGATGCTCGTGCGTTGTATGACTTGCTCAACATGCTGCCGCGGCCGTCCGCAGACAAGGAGCCCACGCAGCTTGCGCGCGAAGTGGTCGATGAAGCGTTCGAGGCACTAAATGCTCTCGCTGCTTTGCTAGAATTTGTGCGATCGCAAGCTCAGGTCGCGCGCGGCAGGCCTGGCGGGTCCCCTGCGGATGCGTGCAATGTGATAGAGTTAGGACGTGATTTGGATGTCATCACGACAGACCTTCCGTTGCTCATCGCACTGCCTGTCCTGCTGCGTGCGTTTGTGCCTTTGCCTGTCGAAGGTACCTCTGAGCATGAACACAGCGTGGCATCCCTACTTGGCTTTTCCGAAGAGGATTACAGGAAAGGCTGCCTGAGCGGGTTTGGGCGTGCAGACGAGTGTGCGGCTGCTGTAGGGCAGCGCATGTCGGATGTCCTGCGCGCACAAGGCAGTGTTGGTACCATGGTGGCTCCCGAGCGACTGGAAGTCATCGTGAGTTGGATCGACCGCCAGGTTGCTGATGTGTCTGCTGATCATTGACTATCTGTGGCATACTGGACACGCGTTCCAGTGGTATACTTTATTCTTCCTATCTCATTATCCTTACTCCGACATGTTTCTTCCGTCCCAGTACTCATTGTTCGATCGGTGTCCGCAGGACTTTATTGTCAGAGACCTTCTCGCGTGGTGCTCACCTCGGCATGTCCGATTTCTATCGCTTGCTGTACACTACTATCTCTTCATTCTGCGCGTAACTTATTCGTCATATTTTTGGGCATTAATGCGCAGAATCTTTGCTCAGGCACCTGTAGAGATAGATCTATCTGTTGTCGGCATATGGATCTTGAATTTTTAATAAATTGGACTGATCAGAAGGACGTGCGGCGCAGAAAGTCTATGTTACAAGGTGCATGTTACTAGATCGCGTTACTGATTCCTGCGAATCGTCTCCACTCATGCATGCATCTACCATTGTCATCAGCACAAATCAACTTCCGAAGCAAGGATCAAACCTCTGATTAAGACTCATCCACCAAACTTTGCCAGCCGTCGTTTCCTAATCTCTTCTACGCTCAACTGTTCCTCAGGTTCCGCCGCACTACTTGATTCCGCCTCGGACTGCGTCTCTGCGTCTTCTGTGTCCTCTTCCGGTCGCTGTGGAGTTGCCGTACCGTGCGGAGTTTGCTGCTCTCGTGGCGTGGAAAGACTGGACGCGCCGGAGCTAGGAGGCAGTGGTCGGATCGGAGGACGGGGACTGGGAAACCGAAAATCTTCTGGAACGCTCTCCAACGACGCCTTCAGTGCCGCCTGCAGCTCCGCGTCTTCGTCGTCGTACACTCGCGCGCCGTACGAGGAAGACGGATGTGGTATCCGGGGCGGAACAACAGGCGGCGCATAATCCTCGTCGTCCATGTCCTCGTCCTCGTTCTCGTCAGCGTCAGCGGCCTCACCTTCATCCGTGTGCTGCGTGGCGGGTCTGTCTCTGACCCTAGCTTCAGCCTCGCTCTCCTCAATCGCGCGCCGGAGCATCTCTTCGTAGTCATCGTGCTCCTGTACGGCCTGAGGGGGTCTGTGCGCAGCGGCCCATTCGACCCGTGCCGCCTCCTGTTCATATCCCTCCCGGAGTGCCGCTTCTTGCTCGCGCCGCATGCGCTCCATGATGGCGCGGTTTCGAGCCATGCTAGCTGCCACGGGATCCATAGGCGCGGCGTCGCCCTCTTCGTCGTCCTCGTCGTCTACTGGTTCCAGCTCCGGAGGTTCGCCATGGTTGTAATACGGGTACTGCGCCGCGGGAGGTACACCACGGTTTGCCTCGCGATAGGCTGACGACGATGAAGGCGCTGATGAAGGCGGATGGAGAAAATCGTGTGGGGAGCCCGTGAGCGATGCCTGTAGGGCCGCCTGTAGCTCCATGTCCTCGTCCTCGAATCCATGAAGCGCCACTGACGACGGTGGTGTTCTGGAAGTCGAAATGCGGTTTCCAGAACTTGGGGCAGACGATTCGGGAATTGACGCCGCCAACTCATCGGCCTCTGTGCGTGGAAGTGCAAGGGGTCCTTCAGGATCGGTCTGGATTACAGCAAACACAGAGTAGCCTGGTGGGCGAAATTGAGTCAAAGACGAGAGTAATGCATATATGCTCAGCGTACCCTCAGCTTCGGACTGTTGTAAGACCATGCCGAGATATGTGTTGCTGATCCACTGCGGTGCTTCCAGGAACGAATTGAGGTTGAACCAATGTCCTCCGCCAGAATCAGCGTGCAAGGGAGCGGGTGAAACGTGCCCGAAGCGGCGCAGAGTAAGCCAGTGTTGCTCATGATTGAGTATGAAAGCCATCTGCGTCCTGACATGATAGTGCAAGTTGATAAAACGTATTTGGTTCGGATTTTATAGGACGTACTGTGGAAATTGTTGGTAAGGGCGCATGGCTTCGCTTCGCCATCGGATGAGTCTAGACACGCAAACTAATTAATACGCGATCTAAGAGGTAATAAGAGGTGGGATGCATACGTAAGTCCCCACACTTGCAGCGCATTCTCTAGCACCTGCACGGAGAAAAAACCTAAGAGGTCCTCAGCTTGCTGGAAGCCCGATATCAACAGATGAAGTATACCTGTATCGTCCATATTCGTGCTTGCACGTCCACGGTCCGCGTCATAGCTCTCTTCCAAGGCATCTAGAGATTCGGCTATGGCTGATAGATCAGGAGCGGTGAACTAACCCCAGGCATCTTTGAGCATCTATAGCCATCGGGAAAAAACTGGGAAGAAGTGAACTAACAAAATTTCCCTCTGTATCGAATCAGTCCTTCTCAGGTCAATGAACACGTTTTAACGGCATCAGGTGGCGTACGGAGGAGGTTGTTCAACGCATGTTGAGCACATAGCATCGACCCTGGCTGCTGTTTTTCATGGTAAATGACGGGAATAAGAGTGTCGAGAGAGGTCATGGTGGTACAAGAGAGATATCTTGGGAACTCAGAGGGAAGACGAGGACCTAAATACTGGAGTCCTGTCGTAGAGTCACGGTGGTGGCTGCCTCGAGTGACGCGTCGCGGTACGCGTAACACGCGGTGCTCAGGGTCTTTACTAATGTCGCGTCTCTTACGTAAGTTGGCTGACGGGGTCCTGTTACCTTGGACTTCTGGACTGGCGGCCTGTGTACCGTACACAGCGGTGACCATCATCTTCTCAATTCTCGCAGCCCTGGAATTGTGTCTCTGAACTATCCGGATGATTCTACGGCGCACTATTCGCGTATTCGCATACACATTACTTCAGCTCTTCTCGTTAGTCTCTGCTCAGGACGATGGCTCGCCATTCGACTGTCACATTACCTCTGGAAACCTGAAGTATGACTTGACTGCCTTGGCTGGCGAACACACAGTGTCGCGCACACGAATGTCCCCACCAACTGAAATGATTGACTCCGTTGCATTCAACCTTTGCGCGGATTTGCAGCAGAAGGATGGAGTCGGTGCCCAAGACCAAGTAAGTCGCTTAGTTGCGGTGCAGTGCATAGCGCTAATCGCATACGTCCCGTTCTCGCGGAACTTTCAGTGTCCTTCAGGAACACGAGCATGTCTCACCAAAACAAATCGCAAGGAAGGCGAGGCAGACCGAATATTTGCTGTTATTCCTCTAGCCAAGTCATCTACCACAGACATGGCATATACTTCCCTTACCTGTGCGTACAGGAGTCGCTCATTCACATCAATTGCTTACGCCATGTGCATCAGCACCGCAGGGTCTCTGTGTTACCTTCAGAGGGCCATCATATCCCGACCCTACAAGCAACGACCTGATACCCCAAACTTTTAACCTGAAACTACTGTGCAATCCAGAGGACTCTGGACCATCATTTGTATCATACAATCGCTCTGATATGTCGGTAGAGTGGAGCGCACCTGCTGGTTGCCTTTTGGGCAGTTCGCCGGACGCGCCGTCAGAAGACTTGCCAGGAGGAGATGATGGCAGCGGAGATGATAAGAAACAAAAGTCTGTTGGATCTGGCGTCGGTTATTTCTTCCTATTGTAAGTGGACTGCATTTATCTGTGTGCTTTCACGTTCTGACTGCCTCTGGAATGGATATCCAAGACTCTTCCTCTCGTTCGCAGCCTATTTCACATTGGGCGCCTACTATAATTACTCTACATACGGTGCCACAGGGATGGATCTCATTCCGTATGCCCTCCCGCCGTCTCGTTACCTTCTCGAACTGACCCGTTTGGCAGACACCGTGACTTCTGGAGGGAAGTGCCATACATGCTGAGGGATGTCGTCTCACATCTATGTTCTTCTGTACGGTCACGTCAGAGTGCCAGTCGAGGAGGCTATATAGCCGTTTGAGGCGATGTACTCAGAGCGCGTGGTATGCGCAGTCTCGAGGTTGGCAGTGTCGGATTCATCTTTGGTATGCTCACTGTAATTTTCGGCATGACGGTTGGTAAGTTCTCAGACGGATGTGAAGTCTATGCTCGACTTCTCGAAGCAGCACCTCGAATCCGTTGCCAGGCACTCAATACAATTTTGACGCAGCGAGAATCTTGACGAATTCGAAGGGGGTCTGCCTCCCTCTAGCATGGGTATGCTCACCGTGCTGCTGCATAGGTGCAAGTGTATTTCGTAGCTAGTCTGAGTATCGTGCAGCATACTTGTACTCAACGACAGCTTGACCCGACGGAATGAGATGGCATGATGGCCCATTATGTACATATCAGAAGCCTAGTAGAAGCATCGATATCACCGTGACTAGCCAGCCGTGTCGTGGGACCCACTTCAAAAGCTGGGTTGGGCGCGAGTCGTAAGCCCTCTTTTTCCTCTCCGCATTTCCCCCAGGCTCGCGGAGAGATCAGAGAAATGGGCAGGTGGGGTGCTTACCTCGTCACCGTCGGTACTGAACCGGGCGTGTATGACTCTTGGTGAGTATCTTGTCACCGTGGGACGCGACGTCAGCGAGCTTGATGTAGCTGATGAGTCGGTGCGGACCGCTGTGCTGTATAGGGACGAGGCTGCTGACCGAGTGATGAATGTGCCCGGAGCGATATACAAAGGATTTCCTAGCAAGCAGGAGGCTCAAAATGCATTCCGCAAGGCGCAGGCGCAAGGGAGAGTCAGGGCGGTTCAAACCGGCACGAACATCTATCACAGTGTACCGCCGCCCACACAGACGGCAACGCCGACCCACAGCTACGCGGCTCCCTTCACCCCGCCTGGTGGACGACTTGCGCGCGCCACCAGCATGCAACCTTCCAGTCCAGCCTCTTCGTACCATGGTGCACGCACCTCGTCTTCTCCTACGACAGGAGTGACCAAGATAGAGCCCGGCTTCTCCAGCCGGAGTGTGAGCGCAATGAGCTCTCCAGCCTCACACACGAGGTCTCCCCAGAGGATCGTGCGGAGCCGCACGCTCGATGCGCAGGTGCAGACCTACAACCCGCCGACCTCGCCTGTGCCGCGCTCTCCCGCCACCCCTCGTGGCAGCGCGAGCTACTGTACATGTCACTCGACGTGCCCAAAGTGCCACCAGCGTTACCCTCCCGAGCTCCGGTCTGCCAGCCGTAGCCCGTGGACTGGCCCCAAGCATGAGCATCGCTCGCCTCCGCGGTCACCCAAGCATGAGCATCGTTCGCCTTCACTGACACCGAACCTGACGCCGCTCGTCGGCCTTGGGCTGAGCCAGCCCATGCATGCATCGAACGTTATGTATGAAGCTGGTCAGGACCCGCGCTCACCAGTGCATCGCACCATGCTCATTCCCGCGAGGTGAGCGTAGGACTGCCGTTGTCAGTTGCTGCTTTGCTCTAACAGGCACTGCGCGGTATGACAGTGTTCCCATCTTCAACAGACCTTCTCCGCACATGTCCATTGACAGTGTGCTGTTCCGGCACTAAATAACACTTGCACGAATCTTTTCTCGCCGCTTATGGAGCGAGAAGTCTCTGTCCGCGTGTGTATTAGAACAATGAGAGACTGTTACGCGTTGCTTATCAAAGAAACTCCGTAGATGTACCTCTATCACCCCTGTTGTGTTCTATGAATGTTTGCTACTTGTAGATACTGTAATTCTTAGATGTGTCGGCAGCAAAGAATAATGCAATTTCAGATGATACAGTAATTGCTCCACGAATACTGCTATAATTACGACCGTTATAGCGCGGCAAGAACTTGCTAGAATTTACTTTGACTCAAGTCCATGGACGAGCTTGATCTGTACATGTTTCACAAGTCAGTGTGCTGCGCATGCCCAAACCCTATTGAAATGAACTGGACTGACCTCGTCCTGCGTGATAGTCCTCAACTCGCCCGGGGCTGCAGCATTTCCCATGATGGCACTCGTAGCAATGTTCACCACCCGTCCCACGGCGCCCTGCGTCGCGATCCAGTACCTTATTTCCGAGGGTACGACCTCGATGAGAGCAACGCGTGGGTCGTGTTGGTCCCCCTTATGGATACCGTCTCCGAGGTCCCCGAACCACGCCGCCGTCCTGCCAATGCAAAATCACCCGGCATCAGAACCAGATGCTCTCACGAGAAGTGTAAACGTACGTGGAGCTCCAGTGTTTCTCGATCTTCTCCTTGTCCTGGGAAATCTTCGCGATGCCAGCGTACGACGCCCAGTTGGTGGAAGACTCGTCGTAGAAAGACACGTTCACGTGCGCGTCGTTCCCGATCTCGTCAAACTTCCCGGAGACGCGGTTTGCGATGAAGCAGAGCGTGACTTGAGAAGGAGAGAGAGATACTGTGATGGTGCTAATTAGTACGCTGCGACTACGGGCATATAGTCCGGATGCAAAGTACTGACGGCCAGCGGGCACCATTGCACGCGAATGGAGGGCGCCGTTCGGGCTCCGCGTGGTGAGCATGCCGGCCTTGACGCTCTTCACGATTTTCCGCAGCCCGTCAACCTTCTCCTGGAGAGTCAGATTATTGTTCTCAGCCTTCGCGGTGTAAGGGTCAAGGTCTTTGTTCGACATGGCGATCTGTGATGGAGGTTGGGGGAAAGGAGAGCTCGTGCGCGATTGGATAGGTTGGTCTTATATATACTCCAGATTCGGTGGGCTCCTTTTTGGATGACGTCGGAGGAGACTTCGTGACGTCATCCGGTTCCTCAACAGTTTGCATGCCAAATCGGGCAACACTATTGCCATAACAAGTTACGCCGCAAAGACGTTAAGTACTTTAATTTAGGTGCACGTTATAAATAGAAATGAGTAAGATCAGAAATACAGAAAGTAAGTTAAAGAAGCAGTAGGAGTACTTACACTTCATTACCAGCAGGCGCCCCTTCGAATACCAAACCCACAAAGAGAATCCTCTGAACTTCAAGAGTCTGAAGAGTCGTGAGTCCCAGCTTATTCATAGGCCGGAATACTGTAAAACGTGACATAGGATATCAATTGGTATGCATTTGTCTCTGCACGATGCTTCGTTGTGTCCCTTACTGCAGATATCACCGTCGATTCGCCGAGGGCTCGTAATACTCGTGCACGCAGAACACTCCGACATCCTCTAGAACGCAGCCAAACCTACAGACACGCATATTAGCTCATCGAGTCATGAATATCTGGGACAGATGTCCGCAATATATCCTTCTGACCCTGCCCCAGAGTTCTCGTCAGGAGGACGTGACACGAGTGCCTGTGTAAGGTATATCTGGTCAGCCGAAGCATCCCACTTTGTCAAGATGCAGTACGAGTGAGAATTCACCATGCGGTCAGAACCACAGAGCGCTCCGCCCGACAAGCCGACAAGGTCACTCAGCGCTCTGAAACAGTACGCGGGCCATGCTCTTCGATACCACTCCACAGTAAGCGACATTCGCTCGCACGACTCGCGCGCTCTGCAGATCTGCACGGCCTTGGAAATACAATCGCGAGCCCAGGTCAAGTCCCCTTTGCAGCTGTCCAATGGGTACTTCTGATTCGCGCCGAGGGATTTCCACCTCGTGATAGCATGCGCATGTTCGAAGTTCCGCCCGGGAGTTGAGATCTGAGAGGCCGTGACCAACGATGACGATGATAGGGTGAAGGACGCGTTCTCCCTATCGTACCTCCTTTCCCGTACATCGTGGCGTGAAGTTAGAACGGCCGGTACCACTGCTTGCTCGCTACACTGAGACGCCTGAGTGGATTGGCCTTAGCAATCGAGCCGATCCGAAAGCCGCTGGTGAGGTGGAAGCCTCCCACCGCGAGGCACCTTCGTATTAACCTTGTGGGTAGCCACGTCATGAAGACAAAAGGACATATTCCTGTTGACGTCATGGCATCCACCACGACATGGGCACAGGAAAAACCGTTTTGTTTGCATCATTTGCAAAGAGAACAGTGTCAGGAACCGCCTGACCTGGTATGACGGCTTCGAGAAGACTGACGAAATCACAGAGCATCTTGTCGTCAATATGTCAGATAAACATATAAGACAAGGAACCCACTTAGTGATACATACATACAACCGCGTTCCTGGGCGTAAGTGCGGACTCTGTAACAATTTCGGCCATGCAGTATGAGTGTGTACGTATGCAGACTAACTTTGCTTACAGAGGAGGCACAAACTCGGGGCTGCCGCTATTATTGTGGAGATCGGTACGTTGCACAAGTTGGGACCAACTGCCCCATCACACGAGGCTGCGTATCTTGTGCGCCTCCCAACGGAAAGTCTAGACTGCATTGACCCAAACCACCTTATCGGCAAAGAGTTGCTGCACAGAGTGTTTCGTACACTCGCTTAGACTAAATGCACCGATGATGCTTCTGAGGCTTGGTTTTGAAGGGTGTCGGGTGCGTCGGTTTGAAAGCATTTCAAACGATAGCCTCAGGCTCGATAGGGAAGAACCGCTTATAACTGATTCATAGCAAACAATCTTGTGCAGCACAAGTCAACGGTCCGGCAGGAGGATATCGACCAGGTACGGGTGGTGGAGGCGAATATGCGGCACCGGCAGGCAGGACCCCCGACAATTGGGGAAGGTCCCTGAGCCAGTTACGGACAAATTTTGAACTTTCGAGAGCCTCATGCCTGGTATTTCGCGTGGCCGCCGCCTCAGAAGCGCCCAAAATTACCTTTTAAGGGTTAGAAACTGAATGAGGAGAAACGCGGTCCGGGGAGCAAAAAATGCGGTGAGGCCTCATTTTTCACTGACATTTTGGGCCAAAAACGGCCTTTTCCCAACGGATATTCTTGCCCTCTCTGGATCAGGCCTATTCACCAATTGTCGGGGGTCCTCGGCAGGCCGGAGAGGTTGAAGAAAATACAAATGCAGTAGCGAGAGATGGATGCGAGATCCGGCGATGTGGCTGGGAGAAGTAAGTACAGTTCGGCTAGTCCATCGGCTAGAGAAAGCTGTACAACCGAACGGCGCTTGTTGATGTCCACCTTGAGCTCACGGCCCTTTGCCGACTCGTCCAGAGAGGCACAGCTCGATCCCGTGCTGGAGTCACTCTCACTTATCTTTCCAGCTGCAAAATTAGGCTCGTGCTTTAAAGATATGGCTCATTCTCTCGAGCTCCTCCTCTGCCTTCTCCACCATCATGCTCTCTTCAGCCCGCATCCGCTCCTCCGCCATTCAATCTCCCACAAATTTCACAAAGTCAGTCACTAGGCTCGCATCGTGAGTAACATCTTTACTTTATGTGATCGACTCCGCGTGCATATACGCGTGCTCCGGTATTGTTATACCCGCTAGTCAAACAATCTGCATCCTCATACACCGAGATCGGGTCTCTCTCCTATCTCCAAACATCGCACTCGGCCGGTCTGTAAATATGCATATCGTCAATGGCTTATATCATTCGAGTCATTCCATTCATACAGGGTTCTGACCTCTTATATCTCCACCAGCACCAGGAACACCTCCCGAGACCACTCCACAAACCTTGCGTCCTCGACCCGCCATCCATTAGTACTCCCTCCTGTCTCAGCGACAGTAGCTGGACCACGTCACGCCAGAATGGCTTCATCTCTCGTGCAATTTGGTCAGCAGTATGTCACCAAGGGACTCGCCCGTACCGTGGATGCTGTTATCACCAAGGGTGAAGGGTCATACGTGACCCTTGAAGACGGCCAAATGATGCTAGACTTCACTTCCGGTATCGGTGTGACTAGCTTTGGTAGGCTTCTCATCACGAGTTCATTTGAGATTACCACGAACCTGTGATACAAGGCCATTGCCATCCCAAAATCAGCGGTGCCGCGGCTGAGCAGTGCATGAAGCTCGTCCATGGGCAGGCAAGTCGCACCCTTCGTCGAGCCTGTCTACTGTTGACCTTATATCGAAACTCCCCTTTGCAGTGCAGCATTGCTTTTCATGGGCCATACTTAGAGCTAATCAAGAAGCTCCTCCCGATGATGCCTGACCCATCTCTTAATTCGTTCTTCTTCTGGAACTCGGGCTCAGAGGCGGTTGAGGCAGCCATAAAGATCGCGAGGACTGTAACTGGTCGACAAAATATCATCGCAATGCAAGGTACGTGCAGCTCGGCTATCTTATCGATCGCCGTCTTCGCCAACCAATAACGGAACAGGCGGGTATCATGGACGAACCTTTGGCGCGATGGCCGTCACGAAGAGCAAGACTGTATACAGCGAAGGTGTCTTCCCACTGATGGCACGTATTAACGTCATTTCCCGCCGGACCGCCCGCTGACACTCTTACACGCGATAACAGCCTGGTGTTTACACTCTGCCATACCCATTCTGGCACCAACTTGGTCTTCCTCCTTCGACGCCAGGCCCGCAGCTCGCCGCTTACTGCTTGAATCAGCTCAATCTTTTACTGGCGCAGCAGACTGCTCCCCGTGATACCGCTGCCATCATTATTGAGCCGATCCTCGGTGAGGGCGGATATGTTCCTGCCCCGCCCGAATTTTTGCAAGGCTTGCGGGAGGTATGCGACAAGGAGGGTATTCTACTCATCATCGATGAGGTTCAGTGTGGTTACGGACGAGCCGGTAAAAATTTCGCCATCGAATATTCGGGTGTGCGCCCGGACATCATGATCATCGCGAAGGTTTGCCATATCAACTTATTGTTTCTGACGAATTTCGAATCTGGTGATTCTGTAGGGTCTTGCGAACGGGTTCCCGCTTAGCGGCGTGATCAGCCGGAAGGAGTTAACGGACAAGCTGAAGCCCGGATCCATGGTAAGTCCCACGCTCTGCTTCGTGCAGATACAAAGAGAATAATTGCCGCCGACTACCTCAGGGTGGAACGTACGCTGGTAATGCCGTTGCGTGTGCAGCTGCAGTCGCTGTCGCCGACGTGCTGAAGGAAGAGAAGGTCCTCGAGAACGTCAGTGCTCGGTAAGTCTGAATGTTTAAATGTCCTATCTATGCTCTGACTGCTCGCGTTAGGTCCGAAGAACTCTTCTTCGCGTTAAACGCTCTGCGGAATAACGCGAGCCTTGCGCCCAGCATCCTCGATGTACGAGGCGAAGGCTTGATGGTCGCTGTTGAGTTCGCATCCCCGACTGGGTCGGGACCGTATGACACCTTCGTCAATCCCGCTGTACCGAAGAAGCTGGCAAGCCGAGTAGCGAAGAGGTGTGTGGAGAAGGGACTACTCATCCTCACGACGAGCGTGTACGAGGTCATCCGGTTCATTCCTCCGTTGAACATTTCTAAGGAGGATCTGGCAAAGGGCTGCAACATCTTTGCGGAGGCAGTCGAGGAGGTTGTGAAGGAGGGTTGACCTCACTGACAGACCGGGTCACCCAAATTGAAGGAGATGCTGTGCATCGAGGAGAAGTATGTTACGAAGCTCGCTATAGCCTATCATCAGCAATATGTCGAATACAGCGAACACACGCAATGGAATCGAATCGGATGTAAATCTACAGTGTGTGAAATTGACATATTCGTCAGGTATATTATTCCAAATTTAGTCTCTTTTGGCATTTCCGGAAATCTGTGCTCGGGCCCAGCCAATGAGATTGTTTGGAGATCCATATAAAGTCGACAACGATCCGAATCCGGCTAGCACGCGTAGGCTTGGCACGATTGGTCCTTTCCAGATCCCGCTCACAATGTCTGCGCGTTGAAACCGTACTTACTCACGCACCGATCCTCGTGGTCGTCGTGTTCCCGAATTAATTAAGCTGCAAGTTCCCACAGCTAATTCTATGTTCACTCTCTTTCCCGGATCGCGCAACGCTCTGAAACCTGGCTGCCACACGACCGTCTCACCGTCACCCACACCCGTGACAATGGCCACCTCGGCGGCGATTTTGACTCTGTGGCTGCGGCTCTGCGTGCTACAGTTCTTGTGCGGCTTATGCGCACGCGTGCGTGCGTACATCCCGGCGATACCGACGAACAGCACTGCGCTTGTGGGCAGTGGAGGGAACACCTCGTCGCACCTCGATCTGCAGTGGTACCCCATGGCCTCGTACTCTGAGCAGGTCTCGTACCAGCTCGTGGGTGCGGGGAGCTCGGGTGTCAGCAAGGTGCGGAACTCTCGTGTTCTGCCAGTACTTGATGTTGTTGGCTTCATGCCTCGTCTCTGAACAGGGCGCGCTCGTGCACTTCTCCGAGACGAATTTAACGACGAACGACTTTAGTGAGTCTATGTAATCGTGGTGGCTGTGTCGCTACTGACCGTCTTTCCGTGTGCTTTCGTGGGTTGACGTTGGGCAGCGACAACGCCTTGGATAGCATTAGTATCCTGTGACGGCAATGCAACGAATGCGTCGCAAGAGGCGGATATATTCACGTTAGCAAATCAGCGAGGCGCGGTCTCAGCGGTGAGTGTACCTGTCCTTGGTGTGACGGTTCGACTTTGATAGGCCGCATTCATCTAGCTGCTTTACTCGCTACAATCCCAGTCCTGCACCATCAATCCCGATTACGCCGACCCCGCCAATTTCAACCAGATCATGGATATCTTCACCATGGAGTCGCTCGCCACAGCGAAGTACATACCTCTTAATCTATCTCACCTGACGTGCGGTGATAATATGATATACTTCTTTGTCAGCGCGATCGAGGACCAGTTTAATGCGATCAATAATACCAAGTACTACTATTTCAACTCAACGCTGCTGAATGAATCCTTCTCCGCTATTAACGACACCATTGCCACCGGCGATGTCGGCTCTGAAGGGTACGTGTTCGCGACCCTCATAGCGTACAATGCGACGGATCCTGCCCCGTCCGATGGCCAAGGGCAAAAGTCGTTCTCCAGCAGTTCCAGCGGCGGGGGGGCCAATACGAGCTTGGCGATGTACGTAGTCATACTAACATCAATCTAGGTAGGCTCATGAGAGAATTTCATAGGATCATCCTCTATGCTATCACTGGCTGCGTGTCAGCGTTGTTCTGTGTGGTCATTGCATCAGGAGTACGTCTCCGACTTGGTCGCGATTTCATATTCCTCAGATCTTACATCCGCTCTTCCGTAGGCAGTCCGAGCGATCCGCCATCCCGAGCGATACGGCCCGCGTGCAGGCGACGCACCAGGGTTCGGCGCAGCGCAAAGCAGAGCGCGTGGGCTCACGCGCGCGATCCTCGATACGTTCCCTGTGGTCAAGTTTGGAAGCTCAGGGCACGAGGAGAACGTGCGGCCGAAAGACGTCGAGTCTTCGCCTGTCGATCAGCCTACTGCGGAAGAAGCGGAGGATTTAGCGCATGATGCGATGCCGGGCGAGTTTGCGCTGCAGGCCTGGGAGGTGGTCGATGGTGAGTGGAGGCTGAGCAGTCAGGGACGGAAGAGCACGGATGAAGAGGGCGAATCGTCTGTGCATGGCCATTCGGGTGGCACTATGGAGGACGCCGAGGGGGAGGAGGATGTCACGACGCCGGGCGCAAGCGCATCAGCCTCGGATCATCTTACGCCCTTACCACGTCCACGCCCACGCCTTCTCACTCGTGAAGGTGCATCGACTAGCGGTCGTGCGGAGAAGGAGGTGGTTCCTGATGCTATCGGGCGAGAGACGTGCCCTATCTGCATCGTGGACTTCGAGGACGGTGATGACCTGCGGGTGCTACCGTGTGAAGGACACCATCGCTTCCATCGCGAGTGCGTGGACCAGTGGCTACTAGAGCTGAGTAGCAGCTGCCCGATTTGTCGGCAAGGTGAGTAGATCATTTTAGTCCGTTGCCTCCCAGCTGACCTTGTGCCACAGATTTCCATGCGCTAGAGACGATGATGGCGCGTGACGATGAGCACCTGGAGCTGCCACATATGTTCGGGTCTGCACGACCTCTGTCCACGGCAGCGGCGCGTTTCTCGCGGTACCTGCGAATTGCTCGGCGGAGGCAGGTGCGAGAGCGGGATGACGGGCATGGATACGACGTGACGGACCCTCCGATGCCCTTGGCGTCGGAAGCGCGTGTTTGAATGTGCACCGTCAGTTAGTTGTATTTGTTGTCTCATCTGTGTTGACCCGAGTTGTACATGTGCGCAGGGATGGACAAGCTTTGTTGTTATGTGTACGTATGCGTGTACGATGTATTTGCGGTGCATATAATAATGCTAATGTCGTAATTATTTGCATGATATTCGCCCGTTCTAAGTTCTGGAAACCCCCGAATTTTGACTCCCCACGTCAAGTCAAGATCGTGGGCCATGATCTTGGACAAGTGGGGTATGGGTGACGCGTCGCGAACGGTGAACGACACGGCCCCCAAGCGGAAACGCGTCATGCCCGGGTGATGACGTCGTCCCACTTACAGGCGCGTCATATTGCGCGCCCTCTAAGGGGGGACCTCCCGCCTATATAAACCGCGTCGGTCGCGAATTATCGCCTCACACCTTTTCCCCACTTACCACCACTCGTCTCTTACCACCAATCCACTGTTCACCATGTCCGATACTGGCAGACAATCCTTCACCGATAAGGCTAGCTCCGCCATGAAGGTGAGCACCCCGACGAATGCTCGCTGGCGCACACATGATGACGCGTCCATCTGCAGCCCGACTCACAGAAGTCGACTACCGAGCATATCGGCGACAAGCTCAAGGGCACCGGCGACTCCATCGCGTCCTCCCTCCAGCCCCAGGTAAGTCGTGCGGCATTTGTCTGATCCAACCTCTCATCCCTCAATCCGCAGAGCGAGAAGTCGACTGGCCAAAAGGCTGGAGATGCCTTCAGCAGCAACTCTAACGAGAACGAGGTTTGTTCCTGTCCCGATGTATATCCCCGACGCTAACTTTTTTCGTTCTCATCAGCCTTCCATGTTGCAGAAGGCGAAGGACGCTGTAGGCCTGGGTGATAATAACTGAGTCACTCTCTTTGAAGGCGGTATGCGAACTTTAGGAAGTGATGCCGATGTAGTATAGGCTTTGTACAATGTGATGTTCAGCGGTCTTCGTGGCGCACCGATGTGTTGCGGTAGAGTAGCCTCGTGTAGCGACGCATTCGCGCTAAACCCTTTTAAGTAAGTTTGAACTTTTGCCAGTACTCTCGCTCAGGCTTGTGCGCCATGGCCTCTTGGAAATTGAGTGGTTCCTGAGCTCGAGACAATTAAACTTTCCATTGTTACTACTCCTATAATATAGGCCGAAAGTGAGAAATCTTATATAGCCAAGTTGTACTTTCCATCGATTCAGTTTCGGGTTTCACCTAGCAGCTTCAAGTTGCTGTCTATTACGAGGTCAACACACGGCGAAAACAACTCTCTTATGTGCGTGAAACTACGACATGCTGGTTTCATCCTTCCAACGCGTCAAGCTTCCAAGTACTGTTTGTGCGTCCTCCGGTGGTGTCATCGATGGGGCCAGCCTCCTCGGTCTTGTTGCTAATTTGACTGTCCCAGCAGGTGCTTGGTGAGTTGTTCATCCAACATGTCTATTGACTTGTGCAATTCCCGCCGTCATGTCTCGAGGATACGATGTCTCCTCGGAGATCTACTCTCTGTATTTGCAGCCGATGACAAGGGCAAGCTCGGCAACCCAGGATTCAGAATCTCTATCGACACCAATGGACGAGCTTCCCCTCCGAAGGAACTGCAAAACACGGGGATTTGGTTCCAGTAAACTCGCTGTCGACGCCGTGCGCATACAGTCGGGAACGCCGGACGTGTCGCAGTGCCACATGAGAGACAGGCCGTTGGGATCACTCTCTGGGATGCTTCGAGGCGATACGGAGCAGCGTGATTCTTACTTTGCTATCCGCCTGGATTCTGCTGCGGATGCCATTCCACTCGCGCGGAGGAAAACCACGAAGGAACTGATTGGGCGATATGAATCTATGAGTTCGCAGTCAAATCCGCGTAGCACTAGACCCTTGGTGGATGGGGCGCGTAAAGTGATATCGCGGCTTCCCTCAGGCTCACACACTACTCGCGGTGTGCGTGACGAAGGCCGCTTCAATTTGAAGCCACCACCTAGAGGCCGTGCCGCCCCTTCATCCGACACGGTCAGCACTCAGGATGGCTCAGGATCTAGCCCGAAGCCGGACAAGAAAGACAAGGGTCGCTCGCCCATCCGACAATCCCTTCGTAATCTCTTGTCGGTCTTCGGGAGGAAGAACAGATCTTCTGGAATTGCCAGGGAACTTCTCGAGCAGAACTGTGTTGCAGATCTTCCAACGATCCCAAGCAATGTTGGGTCTTCTGCGTCACAGGTACTACACAGCTCAGTTGATGTGTCCGCGAAGCAACTCTCAGTTCCCAGCAGCAGAGACGAGAAGGCGATTTGCACCACTCCCATCTCTCCGAGCTCCGAGCTCTCCGGGCCGCTCCTCTACCTCTCTCGGTCTTCCTCGCCTACTATACACCCTGTGTGGACGAACTGCAACGCGCATCTGCACTCCAGCCACGTCCTCGTCACCTGGCATACCGCGCAGGGCAACCCGTCAACCTCCATCGTCTCTTTCACTCGTTGTACTGACGTACGCTCGCTATCGTTGAACGACCTCGCGCCGGAAGAGAGGGCTCTACTACCTGGGAGCCCAGATGTGGGAGATGTGAAGGTCTTTGAGCTGCTCTTCGAGGGAAGACCGAGGGAGAAATTTGCTGCGCGTTCGGTTGGGGAGCGGGCGACGTGGGTCAGCACTATCTGGTGAGCAGACCCTCGCCTTCAGACTTGATTGTTAGGTAGCGACTTGACGTTCTACTAGGGATGCAATTCTTCAGGCACAGGAACGGAGGACAGATACTTCCAGCATCGTTTCCCCGTTACTAGAGGCTACGCTGAGCGCAGGCACTCGTACAAATGAGCATGTTCCTGTCATTTCTCATCCCGGAGACCGCAGCCTTCTCCCCAAGCTCGCCACCCTTGCGGTTAGCAATGCAAGCCGATCGTCTCCCCAAAACAAGGAGCGCGACCTCCCCGAGCTTCCCCCTTCCGCCACTCCGCCTTCAATGTCCCCAGTCCGCTACTCTTTGCATGATCCATCGAAGTCGCCATCGTCTATCCGCGCTTCCCTCTCCCCCCTCCCTGTGCCGCCAGCGACACCAACCGCGCTTTCTCCTCTCACGTCGCACCCCTCCACTCCGTCTCGCTCGCAGAGCCCGTCTGTGCGCAATCTCGGCCAGCTCTCTATGGTTAAGCAGCGTCTTGCCCAGCTTGAGCGGACGCAGGCTGATACCTCCTCCGGTGCAAATCATACTCTTACGCCTACCGGCTCGCATCTGTTGGTCACACCCGTACATACTCGTGGTCCGAGCACATACTGCGTTCGCGGCGCCAGCGAATCGGCGCAGAGGCAGAGCAGTGCAGCTTCTGCTTTGGGTGTTGAAGAGTCTATCGTTGCATCATATAACACCTCCAGCCCTGTGTCGCCGCTGTCAATGTACTCCGGCCGCCTCACTTCGGTCCCTTCTGAAGTTGACACGCTCAGAGCACGTATAGAGCTCGAAAGCCCCGTGGCAGCAAGTGAGGCGGGGTTGTTTATGGAATCCACTCGAGGGGTCGCGATGTTCTCGCCGACTTCGCAGTACTCATCTGAAGATGTTCACGAGGTTAGACCACCGTTTCTATTCGGTGCTCTACGACAGCAGCCATCTCATGAAGCTGCCGCGGGATCCGCAGAGGCCGAGCCAGTGCATATGGATCGTGGCCGTGAGCGCGGGTCGGAGCCTCACTACGACCGGGATTCACCCCATGGAGTTGCTGCCAACGGTGAAATCCAGAAGCTCTTAGAGGGCATCGACCAATCTGTCAAGTCTTTGGAAGGGCGGTCAGAGATGTCGGGGATGAATCTAGGAGACGTGCGCACCAAAGTCAGCACCATACTGGAGGAGCTACGCCGGCATGCTGCTGCGCAGGAGGGACGTGGTGCTCCGACTGTTTCGGTCGATTTTTCCAATGTCATGGACGAGTTAGACCAGATGCGCGCCGAGCTGCGAAGTGCGTCATCAATGAGGGCACAGGAGATCGAAGAACTCCGGGCAGGGCGAGATGTCGCTGAGTTCAGCGAGCTGAAGAACATCGGTCGATCGGTCGTGCCCGACGGAGGCCCACACGTCGACTTGTCCGAATTGCACGCAAAGTTAGATGGCTTGGCATCTTTATGTCAAGGTCTGCAGAATGATTGTCATGGTTTTCACGAAAATACTGGAGACAGTGACAAACCGCAGAGCGAGGAGGTAGGTCGTCTGTTGTTCTATTCAACGAAATTCGCCTAATTTACTAGCTTCAAAAAGATCCAGGAGATTCTGATGTTGCTCAAAGATGCCCAACCTCAATGGTCCACGCAGAGTGAACAACAGACCGACAATATCCGGTACCTAAATGAGCTCAATTCCGTAAGTCACTATTTCTCGTCTGCTGCATGGTGTCGTGACGCTTCTGTCCAGTGGCTGGAAGCCTTTGTCAATCACGGTACATCTCAGATAGACGGTGTAGTCGCAGGCGTCCAGCACATTTGTAGGGAACTCGGTGTGGTTCCGGAGGCGCAGGGTAATACTGAAGGTGGTGATAGAGAGGGGCAGCCTGTGAGTGGTGTGTTGGCTGATTTACGCAGCCTCCTCGCCGAAGCCAAGGGTCGAGAAGACGATTCCGCGACACTCCATGCATCAGTGAATGGCCTTATTGCTGCTGTGCAGGAAGAAATGCGGAGAAATGCGGAGGCGCGCGACGTGCTCAGTGAGTAGTATTTGCGCGCCCCTCAAGCTTTGCGCTCATTTAGTTATAGCCACCGAGTCGGTTGTTGGATTGATAAACCGCCAGCGGCAAGATCATGAACGCATGCTGCGAATCCTTGGAAGTGGTGAGTATAAGTTTGACTTATGCGCTTCGTCCGCGATCTGACCTTCTTCCACAGAGCTGTCCAATGAGATCCGCGGCGAACGTCTGAGGTTTGTTGAGGCTATGAAGGAGGCTACAGCAATCAATGTCCAAAGTAAGCGAGCGGTGTGAAGTCTCGGACATCTCTGAACGACAGGATTACAGTTCACGTCGAGGAGTTTAAGAAGGAACTCACGAGAGAGGTGCTCGCGATGACGCAAGAGGTCGGGCGCTTGCAGAGGGAGCGTCAGGCGATGGAGCAGCAGATTGCCGACTTGTTCGCATTCTATTCCAAGCAGAAGCAAGCTGGAGGAGGGGTGAGTCTCGCGATTGAGTTCGTGAGACTTTTTTCATCTTCCCTTTGGCAGCAGCATGGTTCCCATCGACCCCGTCATGCCGTGCAAATGCATATGCGACAACAGAGCGCACCTCCGGTTCCGGGGGGAGTACCAGTTGCTGCTCATCCCATGCGTCGACCTCTGCCGAGCCCTACGACGAGACCAGGATCATCTTACGGCTGAGAAAACAGGATGTCGATACTTCTTTACATAGTTCCGGAGAATTTCACAATGAAACGACCTAATATTAATGTTCCGGAATCCTGGCTTGGAATATTTGACCTTGGACATTTCTTGACTCTTGGACCGCATGCTCTGCGTCGAGTCTGCGACCACTGGACTGAAAGTTTGTGGGGTTAGGGTCCGGGCACGTGAGACAAGTATCCGGCATTCTCCGACAGCGACTGTTAGACAGGCGAGTACCAAGTACACACATCTCAGAAACATGTCTGCGCTTCGTCTTGTGTCTTCTGCGGCTCGGAGATCGACAAAAACGTTTGCCACAGGCAGGCGCGGATATGCGGAGGCGGCGGACAAGATCAAACTTTCTTTGGTCCTCCCTCACGAAGTTCGTCGAAGTCTTTACGACGCAGTCACGAGCAGTTGACCCTCCCATCTAGTCCATTTTCTCCTCTACAGATGTCGTACAGGTGAACATATCCGCTGCCACCGGAGACATGGGTATCCTCGCGAACCATGTACCATCTATTGAACCTCTCCGTCCGGGCGTCGTTGAGGTCATCGAGTCCAGCAATGCGTCAAAGAAGTGGTTTGGTGAGTATTTGCCGCCATTGATGTACTTTGCATCCTCTTTGACCCCTCTTTACCAGTCTCCGGCGGTTTCGCCACGGTTCACCCCAACAACAAGTTGACCATTAACGCCGTGGAGGCTGCGTCGTTGGACAGCTTCTCTGCTGAGGTAAGGTCAATGTACGCCTGCATGACTACATGGAGCTTATTTCAATGAATTATGGTCAGGCTGTTCGCGCCAACCTCCAGGAGGCCTTGAAGGTTGCAGCAGGGAATGGATCGGAAGAGGACAAGATGGAGGCGCGCATAGAGGCGGATGTGTACGAGGCGTTGCAGTACGCGTTGGCCTCGAAGTAAAGTGCGTGTAAAAGTGTGCTTGTATGGGTATTATACGATCCCCAAGGTACCTATGCCATACCACGGCCAGCTTTCCACCATGTTTACACCAATTTTACACCCCTGAAAGCGATTCGGCCGGTGCCTCACCGGCATTTGCCGAGACATAGCGCTCGGGAATCCCGTCTCCCATCAAAAATGAGCTTATGCCGTTCATCCACTGAGGTGGCACATAGACGAGCAAGTTGTTGAGTAGTCTGCTACTAGTCGTTGTCAGACCCACACACATTCTTTATTTTTGGTCGTCTCTCCTTCAACTGTCACTCATTAAAATCCGCGATGAGGCAGCCTCGGTCCTGGGACGATGAGGATCTTCTACAGGATGAACCACTCTCGACGCTGTTCGCAGTCCATAGTGCGGATCTCCCCAACAGACGCGGCAGGGGAAAAACTGATTGGTTTTGCGTAACTCCACGCGCTGATTTTCAGAAAGAGGCGGTGAGTGTAGGTGCAAGTGCAGTCGCGCTAACCATGATTACGATTGACGCGTTCTGACGCGTCTTATAGGGAGCGATACAAGCTTGGTTGAGGCTGGCATTCGCTGCAAGCCCGGAGGAGGAAACGTCCGTCCAGAACACTCTCGTCCTCGCAGACTCTCCGGAACTGGAGATTTTCATCGACTTCTATTGGCGCCTTTACAACGGCGACCGCGATGAGGCCAAACGGTACCTTCTGCAGGAGCGCAAGTCGCGTGGTTTTCAATATTTCGTAGACGAACGCGTCTGGGGGTCCGGCGCACATGCTCGTGTGCTACTGCCTGTCGGTTCCGATTCTGGTGCACATGCAGGCTCTCCTACCCACCACCGGGGAAATCGTCGGAGACGCCCAAAGCATTTGTCTCGTAATGCTGAGGACGCGTACGATGCTGAGGTTAGTGAAGGGGAAGACGACAGACCCACAAACGAAGTTCCTCAGCATGCCACTACTCGCGCAACCCCAGACAACCTTCATTCTTCTTTCGAACGTACCGTTGACATACCCATTCCGGATGCCCAGCTACTGCTCTCAGCGTCTGCTCAAGTCATCGGAGTCGCGTATGGGCCTTCTTCACCTCTCGAGAAGCAGAACATTGGTGAAGAACAGAGCAACAAACGTAAAGCTATCAACGAACAACCTTCTAGCTCTTCCCACTCTTCTTCAGACGACATCCCTGTCTCGCAGTTTGCGTACACGGCCTCAAGAGTTGTATCAGGTGTTGCCCCCATGAACGACGCTCGTACGAACGAAGACGATCCTTCTTCGCTCAGTGAGCTCACATCCGATGAATCTCTCAAAGAGGACGGTCCTCCAGCTGAACAACTCGTATTTGATGTCGAATGCAATGCGAATGGCGCAGGCAGGAGGCGAAACCCCGGAAGGACTGCATCCAATCGCCAGAATCTCACAAAGTTGATGGAGAGGGAGACCTTGTATGAGGCAAAACTCAAGGAAGATTTCTTGGGCACTCCGAAATCGCAGGCTCCTTCGGATGCTAAGCACGAAGCACTCAAGAACAATCTGAGAGAGAAGCCACAGACAAGGTCTACTAATCGCAAGAAAGCGGCGAAGAAATCGAAGGTCGCTAATATAGGTGCAACCCTCTCAGCGATAATAGCGCCACCTAAAGCCACGAACCCACGGAAGAGGAATGCGATCGCACCGCAGAAACCATGTTCCGCAGTTCCATCTCCTGCAGCGGACGCAGCGACCTCTGCTATATCTGTGCCGGAACAGCACCAGAGCGACAATGTCAAGGGGAGACTTCGGAATTTCCCTTCTGCAGCTGTTGACAAGGTTCGCGTGACTCGCTCTTCAGCGAAGAAAACTGCCAATAAAAAGTTGAAGGATGCAAGGCCAGACGTTCCACTGGCCGGTCCTGCTCAAAAACGTCGTCGCTACAGGGATGCTGAGGACGGTGGGCACGCGACACGTCCAGAGGAGGCCCAGATGGCATGCAGAGGAGGAAGGGGGTCTTCTTGTCGACAGCAGCAGGCCGGTGTGCAGTTACAGCCTCCTGCAGATGCTGTGCCTGAGCATTCGGAACCCACCGTTGGAAATTCGGCGATGCAGTCCGGGATACCTCAAGCTGGACTGGGGTCAGAACCCGAAATTGTGGCTTCGGAGGATGTCACTGCTCCTCGCGAGCCTCCTTCCATCGCTAGGCGGACACGAAAGCGACTCCGCGAATCTCTACAGAGTGCCGACGTCATCCAGCCGGTCACTGACAATTCTCAACGACTTACAATCAGACTACCCAGAAGATCTTCCAAAAAGGCAGCGCATGTGCGACTTCCTGTACCGCTTGTGACCAAAAAGTCCAATCAGCCGCAAACGTTGGACGAAGTTGACAGTGTCATTCGCCACGCTGCCAGCGAGGCGCTTTTGCACCATGCGCTCAGTACCAACGTAGAACATGGAAGTGACTGGGAGGGAGGAGCGGAGGGCGAAGACGAACACGAGCAAGAATTGGCGCAGGTACCGGCAGATAAGTCATCAGATATAGAGCTAGTACTTCCACTGGCGTCAACCGTTTGCGCATCCAACGAGATACACGATGCCCGTCCGAGACCTCCCTTGGAGATCTTACCGCCTATCTGGGCTCAGGTTGGTACAGTGATCCCTAGCGTACCACTCATTGCTGACACTATTATGTCTACAGTCCCGACAAGAAGTATGCGAAGCCTTTGACTGGTTCCGTTCATATCAGGGTGGTGTTTATTTCTTGAAGGACATGGTGAAAGGTTACTTGTTGAGCGCGTTCTCGTCAAGGTAAGAATGCAGTTATGCTGTCTACGTGTTGTAATCGATCCAGCACTCTGGTTCTAGCCGCGATGTCTTTCATCGTGACGGACGTCTGATTGTCTCTCATGGGTGCGTCGATTATTTTATGCGTCTACATCGACACTGAGTAAGTCCGTACTACTAGTGGAGGGAAGGCGGAGAGTATCCATACGAAAGGTGGGAAAAGCACGGTGCAAGAAGCAAATGATCAGCTAGCAGAAGACAAATCGGTTCGAGCGCTCTTGAATACATTTAGACTGCAGCGTCCAGTTGTACTCCTTATCGACGATAAGTACAAACTTTTTCCGTATGATCTTACAGCGAAGGGATACTCCTACGTTGTGCTCGGCTACTATCATATTAGACATGCATGGGGTCCGTTCTTTCCTCCCAAATGCCCTGACCTAACTGACGCCGCACTCAGCTGAACGCCAGCCTGCAAAAAATTCGAGAGGTTATGTTGTTCGATACAAGTTTGCCTTCCGATGGTGCGATCAACAGGGTGACCCCTGGTGGATCCCATCTCAGGCTTGTACGTTATTTCACGCCACCTAAAGGTTTCGCATTCTTACCAATACGGTGCTGCTCATGCAGCGGCAATATGCGAGCTAGTACTGGCTAGTGGTATGCTCCTGATCGTAGACCACACGGTTTCCCGCCTTATGTTGGTTTGTCGTAGATGATAGTACAGCAACCGTGCCACCCTCAATGTGAGATAGGTTGCCTGGTGTGGAGGTCTTTGTGCTCTAACTCATTCCATGGCCAGCTCTGTTGAAGATGAAGCTACCAGTCGTGTATGCTCACGGTGCAACACTAAATCTCCTCTTGTCTACGATGGCCGCTGGATGTGTTTGACACCGAGTTGTACCGCATTCTGGAAGACATCGTCAGGTGTACCCCCGTCCATGGGATTGGCATACTCGGAGAAATTCCTCGAGTTGCTTCCTTGTCAGCATGAGAAGTTCGATGACCTCCGACCTCCCGTGCCCGCTACAAAAGCGCAGAATGGCGTCACAACGACTCGTCTTTTCTGCAAGGGCTGGCACTGTGTGCGATGCGGCCGGTTATCAAGCAGGTAAGGCTCTTAAGCTTCGTCGTGATTATGTCTCTCATTAGGTAGATACAAATGGGAACATTGGGAGTGTGCACATTGTGGGGTGAGTAACCATTTCACCCGCTTCCTTGGGAGAAGTTGAATGGTTCCTTTCTGTACTCAGGAGACTTACAAGGTGATCGGGAGGTTTCGGGAACCGAAGGAGTTCTGGTATCAAAAGAACATGGAGTCTTACATGCATCATTTTGTCGGAGAGGATTCTGGTGGGACCAAATGTCTTTTCGGAGAGGATGTACCCTCTCATGTTTAAGTGTCTTTCAATCCTCAGGTATCATCCTCCCCCACATGCAGTTTTACAATCACGGAGCGGGTTTTCTTCCTTGTCATCATTATATTCTGCCATACGGTCGGTGAGTTTCAGCGCGACCTGCCATACCAATTTGCGCATTGACCTTATATCCCAGTGGACATATATACCTTATTCTTGGCAGTTCTATTGCAAACCGGGACGCCGATGCTATTTTCAGAGAATATCAGGAACAAGCGGTTGGGGGGGAACTTCTGTTCCGAAGGTGGCCTCTGAGAAGCGTACGTTCTCTCTTCTATGAAACGCACTAGAGTCTCATAAAAACTTTAGCACAAATGTATGCATGTTGGTACATCCACACATTCTTGATCTGATCATGACCACAGGTAGGGGTACCCTGTTGACCAACTACTTCTCCCAGAATTGTAAGCATGCCGTCGGTAATCCTTTCAGAATTTTGTATTAACTGGTTGAAATCTTCCAGCTGGAGAGCCATACCAGGTGCGCATCATGATCGTACAGTGAGCCCTAGCTGACAGAGCTGAAGTATGTTGGGGGCGCCGATAACACGGTCGCTTGGGACAAGGCACCTTCCGCTGTTCATCATGCTCTTGAGTTGATCCAGGGCCGAATGCTAGATGCTCTAGATCTGCGATCCCAATTCAACGAGGTCCTCAGTGCTGCATACATGGAGAAACAGAGAATGGCCGTGAGTACATAACGTTGTTGTAGGACACATGGTCAAATACTCTTCCTCTAGTTCCACAGCGACAGCGAGCGAGGATTAGGTCCCACTGTTGCGGCCTTATCCCTCGGTTCTGCAGCGCATATGTATTTCCGTCTCCACTCCCAGTATGACGACAAGCCGGGAAATGGATCAAGCAGACTTGCTCTGAAACTCTTTTTGCGCCATGTAAGTGTGTATGACAGAAAATCTACTTTGTCTGAATATCTTTTGACCAGGGTGACGTCGTGGTCATGCAAGGCGAGGGAGTCCAAAAATTCTACGAGTACGTTTGTACGAGAAACGGTGAGGTTTTGCTAACGCAGATAATACAGACACACCGTTGTTCCCTTGAACTTCCGTATCGCTGCAACCGCACGTTTTATCGGACCCGAAAATCATTGATCACTTTTCTGTCGCTGTCCGCATTTCTGTCGCTACCCGTTCCGCTCACTCTGAGGGTGAATGCATTCTATTCATACTCTGTCGCACTCATCCATCGTTTGATGTTTTCCGTGCTGTGCTGTCATTACTCTCTGTCATACCAGCATTAACGTATACCTAATCTACACATAAAGCTTCTGGCATTAGCCCAGCTAATCAGTGCCTTTGAAACCCTGGAAGTACTTCTCGCGGAAATCCCTGTGGGCGGGAACATGTGCGCTGACAGCTCTCTCCAAGTGGTGAAATGAGGGTGGTGGGTACTGCATCGTTGTGTTTTTTTGAATTGTGATTAGCTATGTGGGTGTGAATATCGCCTCCCGCTGAGACCAGCAAGTGATGCACGCACCCTACGTCCCCACGAGCCAAAATCCTGCAGCGAGTTGGCGACGATCTCCATGCCTTCGCACAGCAACGTCTGCGTATCTAGATCCTCGTATTCGTCTGTCACAGTAGGAAGGAAAAACACGAGTCTTCCACGAGCTTTCAGCATGTGCCGTGCCAAAAGAACGAGATCGGATGCGAGAGCTGACAGTTCGTATGGTTTGGTTGGAGGGATGTACGGTTGGTTATCTCTGAATCTCTAGTAAGCTTGTTGCAGCGGCATTGGGATTATTCATCCTCACACACGCTCAAGGTCATGTTCCCTTGGCATGGTTTCTTTGGGAGGCCTTAGAGGTCGATCCTTCTTGCCTAGCCTCTTAGCACCGGCCCTTACACCGTCTGGAATAATTGTCAAGAATCATTGAGGCTATGGTAAATGAGGAAACATACAGGGCGGATCCGTTATTATTGCGTCGAAAAGGCTGCCGCATCTCCACGGGTTTCGTGTCACATCGAAAGTGAACAAGTCGACGATGCGATCAGCTACGCCGTACTGGGCGGCAGCGCGAATGATACCGGGAGGCTTTACTATACAGAATAATGGAGTCCTGGTTTTCGTGGAGCTGTTGAGATATACTCACCTTTGCCTCGCATCTGTCGGCCGTCTATGTCTGATCCAAAAATCAACGCACCGAAGTGTGCTGTAGTCTAAGCAATTATTAAATCGATCACAACGACAAAACGAAGAGTATACCCCTTACATAGGTCATGCTGCCAGTACCCACGAATGGATCATATATGAGTTTGCCTGGTGAAGCCTGAGAGGAGCACGGTTAAGACGACACTTCAGTGAAGGTTATTTTAAGCACGGAAACCGACGAGTGTTTGATTTGCCATTAGTAGAGACATTTCGGCCTCCATGGTTGTATTGCCATAGTAGACTCGCTTCTTGACGTCAAACTCCTTGATTAACATACGCGCGGATCCTTCTTCCACCTAGCACATAGAAGCAGAAGTTTGCAACGGGCACCCTGACTGTTCTTTCGAGAAGACATACCAACCTGCCAAACCAAACTTTTCTGAAAGTTCCGTCTCTTTCGTGCTTTGCACGAGATGTAGTACCACGAGGATCATGATCTGTAGAACAACATGGAGACAAATTTCTTAGCAATAGATAATAACTCTCCACTTGACCACTGCGTACATTCTTCGAAGCAAGCGAATGTGACTTCGGGATTTTTCATGTCGATTTTCCCCATCATACGCATATAGGAAAAACTCTCAACGATCTCTCGCTGACGTGACTGGGGTATTGTATGATTATACGCCGACACAAAGAATTTGAAAGATGTGTCATCGACATATTGGATCCACTGGGGCTGACGAGCACGGGTCTGCTCATGCAATTCATCGTATGTTCGACCACTGCCGTAATACTCGTATACAGATCTGAAAATTTTTCAGTTGGGGAACGCTAGCGCATCGAAACGCTCACTTTACAAGGATACATCTCCTAGCTAGAAGTTTCGCATGCTCCGCGCTGGCAAGCTCCAATACCAGAAATGGTCGAGAGCTATCCACATTTCGGGTATGAGTGGGGAATGTGATATTAAATCCATACAGCTCTGCGACCGAGAGCAGCTCAGGTATCCTAAACTCATCGTGTGCTTGGGCGAAGACAAACAAATACTGGGAGCTCATAGTCTGCGTCGCCGAGTTCATTGGCGTCAAGTGAGCAAGCACTGAGATGTACCAGGAAGGAAGGAGAAATTGAAACTCAGTGGCTGTTTGGCAAGAGCTTTGGAAATAAACAACCATCCGGCGCTACTAAGTGACTGCGACGTTCATTCTTATGGGCCAGCCATGATGGCCACTGCTGACTTGCTCGAGCTGGTCCAGGAAGTCATCGCATCCATAAAACCTGACAGTGGTACTATCTCTTCTTGTGCCCGAAGGTTGCACGTGTAACCTAGGTGTACTAGATCGCGATTATATGGCAGAGCTACGATTCTTCTTCCCAGATACTCTCTTACTCTCGGCCTTAGATCTGATTGACAGAGAAAGCGGTAAGATCTGCTCATATTTTAAATATATATTATTTCTGATACCTTCAGCTCGCAGTCTTAAAGTATGTTACGCCTTGGGGGAGTTCTCGCTACGAAGTTATTGGTTCTACTGCGATGTATTCCGTGTTTCCTGGACTTCGCACCTCGAAATCACGCTTGCAAGTGTACTGCACATGTCCGGCATACTCCTACTCTGTACTAATCTCGGAGTCGCACCTCATGGCAAGTCTTGTTCCTCTACATGTGCTTTATGATACTCATGTCGCTACCTTTTTACCGCATGACTGCGCGCAGTGCAAGCATGTCCTAGCAATTCTGCTAGCCGAGCGGCTGTCAAAATGTATAGAGCGTCCTGTTAGTCAGGACGACCTCGCATCCATTGTTGTTCGACAGTGCTCCTAGATGGCATTGTGTCAAAGGTCTGCTATATATTTACTGAGGATGTAGCGTAGACTATTTGATGATACAAGGAGCAGATTCAGTACGAACTAAAATGCAGCGGGCGACAAAATTGTCGATTCAGTGAGCGAGGAATAAATCATGGCCTCTACATATGCAACGTCTACCCATAAAACTTCTTCGCGGGAACTGAGGCATGGACTCCGTTATCCTTCTCTTTCAGAGCGGTTCCTTCTCCCTCGACACGCTGGATTCTCCACTGAAGCAGAACCGCGTACTCCTGGAGACGGTTCACGAGTTCACCTAATTCCTTCCTGTTTGGCTTGGATGCGCTTCGTGATCTGGAATGCATCCTGTCGTCGCTCTCTCCATCGCTCTCATCCTCGTCGGATAAGGTATCTTCGTCGGAATCTAGATCTGATAGAGGCGAAAGCTCGCGAGAGTCGTGAAGATTGTTGACATTAGTGGAGGAGTTGCTCGAGCCAGCACGTCTTGGGTGGTCCTCGCCATCGTTAAGATGGGAGCTGGAGGCCTTCGATGTGGTGGTGAAGCCGTCGTCACCGAGCCGACACTCCTCAGCGATCCAGCTAGCGACCCTCCTGACCTGCTCTGGCTCCCAAAAGCCCCACCAGCCCTCGTCTTCATCTTCGTCTTCATTGTCGTCGTTCCCGGCCTTAACCGCATTTCTGGGTAAGCGGCCCCATACGGCCACAAACCAGGACCACCGTTGCATCCCTTTTCTATCATCCTCTGTCATCACTCCCCGCTTCCGGCTGACCTTGATTTTTCCTTCCTTACCTGCAATTACCTGCAACGCGGCCTCCCTCTCCGCCATCCCGGGCGTCAGGGCATAGTACACCCTGCCCTCGTGGTCCTGACCCAGCGGGCTAAATCGTGGTGTACATGTGTACAACGCCAAGCGATGCGCGTGCTCGATGCCCTCGAGCTTTTGCCTGTGAAATTCGCGCTGAGTTTTAATGAGATTGCCCTTTGCCGTTGCCTCCAAGGTTTCTCTTTGATCTTTCCACCTGGTCTTCTCTTTCGCGGTGCCTTCTTTGACGTCCTTTCCTATGTCTTTCTCCTTGGTGGCACTTTGCTCTAGCTCCTCCCGCACTGTACTTGCATCGAGAGCCAGTTCCAGAAGAGCTGCAATGACAGGAACGAGCTGTGCAGACATCGCGATGTACGGCACGATCTCTACGTTCGTTCCTTGTAGTCCACTGCGCGTGTTGTGGTACGTGAAGCTCGCTGGAGGAGGAAGTGGGTCGGGGAACATGAGTCCGAGGGCCTGCCGCAACGACATAAGCGAACTCCAGATTCGATTCAAGCTCGCACCAGCTGTGCGAATCTCTTTCATTGCCGCCTTAATCCGCTTCCCGAAGTCATCGTTGCAGGTGGAGCTACCGGAGATCGCAGCCAAAAGACTGAGTATCAGAGCCTTGGCGCATGGCTCGCTGACCCATCCCACTAGCTCTTCTTCCTCGGCATCGTTGACTGGAGTTACAGGAGGTCCTAGCGAAGTGGAGATTACCTCCAGGTCCTCCAGGTGTCCCTTGGCGATGTCCAGGATAGGGAAGAACCGGAGGAAAAACTCGCGGATGTCCATCCGCATCTCGGCTGCGGTCAGAGTCAATGTCGTGGATACACGAGTCCATGTCGGTTTTGGCACTGGCTTCCGCGCCATGGGGGCTTTGGGCTTCGTCGTACGAGGCTTTCGCTTGACCTCCTGGGCGAGAGGTTTCACGCGTGATTTGCCCAGTTGTGTATTCTTCTCTTTTCCGGAGGACGAGGAAGCAGCGTTTATTTTCGTGGCTCTGGGCTTCTTTTCGTGCACGACTTGTCGACCCAAACCGGGCAAATTACCCTGTGATATCATCGGTAAATCTAATGCCATCGCTTGAACAGTTAATAAAGTTCACCATAGCAGAGGGATTGTCTGCGAGCATCTGAGCAGCAGAATCTTTGCCCGCTTTGCGAGCTATCAAGGTCAAGTTCCTGCTCGACTAGTCAATATGACTAGACTACAGTAAAGAAACACATAACCGACCCTGTAGGTTGGAGACCTTGCGCCTTGCGACAATTGCGACAATTACATTCATCCTTACACTTCGGGCATCTAGTGAAACTCGATCAGAGGAGAACTTCGGCGTCAAATGCGCATACATACTGAAAGTAAAAACCTTCTCCAGAAACATGCTTTTCCTTTTCGTTCTTACTCAGGCCTATTTCACCGGCCTTCTTGATATCATCGAGTTCCAGAGCATACCTATTCAACAGACAGGCCCTACAATACTTGGCGCCACACCGCTGGCTGTGGAGTTTCAGTGGTTGCTTCTTTGCGGTGCATTGAATGATATCTACGCGCGTATGTCATCATTGAGCCAGGACGCATTCATTAGTGAAAGACTGACGAGTAACGACACGTTTCTTGTTGCATTGGTGGCAGTAAAAGAGTTCGTCGTCTGTTTCATCGGGATAGTCCAGGGAGAGTGTAGCAACTTTGACCTTCTGGGCCGCTTTGCCCTGATCTTGAATCGAGGCATGTACATTGTCGGACTTGGGTGTGGCCTGGGTAACAACCCTGGGCTTCTTGGAGTTAGAGACGATAAGTTCCTCACGTCCAGAGATCTGACGCGACGCGTCTGAGAGCTTGCGTTTGTTCGGGCGAGAGTTAATGCTGCTCAGGCTGGTCAAACTACTGTCGCTCGGCAGGGGCGTAGGCTGCAGAGGTGCGTTCTCCTTGAGGCTACTCTCGGATGCATGTTCTAACCTCGCGCTACGGGTGGACGAATGAAGAGGAGAAGGGGGTATGTCGACATATACTTGACGCCTCTTCCGCATGAAGGAGACAGGCTTTGACTTGTGAGAGTGTGTGGCCATGAAGAGTAATCGTGGTTGCGATTAGCGATGTGAAACGAAGCGCGTCGCGGTTCGTCAACATCACATGCAGCGCGTTATCACGTGATATATCAGGCCGGCCCTAAACGCCCAAAAGTTTCGCAGCCACCTCACTCAATCAGTGCAAGCTACACCACTGTTGTATACTTCACGGACACGCCTACCTCTTCCCAATCAAAATGGCACATGCAGACCACACGCGAGATCCATGGTTAGTCTGGCTTTGTCCTGTCTGTATGCTGCTAAAAGATTTTTTATCCTTGCAGTCCGTGGGTGATCCTTTCTGACTTCGGGAGTGCGTTCTCAATGGGCGCCATTGGCGGTACAATCTGGCATGGCATCAAGGGTGCACGCAACTCTCCAAGGGTACGCAGGGTTTCGCCACTCTATCATTAGTGCTTATTTGGATGGCTATTCTACTTAGGGTGATCGCTTTGTTGGAGCGCTGTCTGTCATTAAAGCCCGAGCTCCTGTCACTGGCGGTAACTTCGGTGTCTGGGGTGGTATGTTCTCTACATTTGACTGTGCTGTCAAGGGGTGGCGACAAAAGGAGGACATGTGGAATGCTATCATTTCTGGGTTCTTAACCGGTGGATGTCTGGCTGCGAGAAGTGAGTTATTGTGTATATTCTTGAATGCACGAACGCATATCTTGAAAAGGGTCAAACGCTCGGTCGTTAGGCCTAACTTCCTCGTAGTCTATTTTCCTTGATCGAGAATGAAAACCCTGTAACGTGTTACTGATGCGCATTCCAGGTGGACCCCGTTCAGCACTCAGTTCTGCCATCGCATGTGGTATTCTACTCAGTGTCTTCGAAGGCGTAGGCGTCCTCTTCTCCCGCGTATTGAATGAGGGCACGCGGCCTCAGCTCCCTCCGAGTGAGTCATCGATTTTGAGCCTTCATCCCTATCGTACTGTGCTGTTTTTGACGCTCTTCACCACAATCTTCTTTCTACCGCGATGATTCTCAGTCGTTGGTGACGTTCACTGATACACATGGCTTTTCTAGTGCCGGAGTCGATGCAACCACAGTCATCATGAAGTTGCTCACTGTTTGGACACTAGATGTGCATTCACTGTTTTTCTATCCTATACACTGCTCATCCTTGTCATCGTAATTTCGCATCACTATGTCGTCTGCTCAGGCTCTCCCACATGCGCACATACTCAAACGATAGTGCGATCTCTGATCAGAAACCATGCTTCCAATGGTTTAGTCTGATTGCGTCATGATTTCTACATTTTCTTCGCGATCTGGACCGTACAAACACAGACGTCTGAGGGGGACAGCCGAAAGTTGTAGTGGATTGCAAGGTCTGTGGCGCCTGAATCAGACTTCGCATTCATTCGCATCAATCCAGTGCAGTACAAACTTTATTTTGTTAAAGATTGCGAGGACTGCATTACATGGTGATACGAGGTACTCCAGAGATCAGTTAGACCGCTGCAATTCCTCTTCCAACACGGTCACTTCGTATTTTAACTCATCTATTTTATCTCGCCTTTCCGCAGCCAGCTGTTCCAGCCCGGAACAGGCTGTTTTTGAAACAATAAGCACTCGATCGTCCATTGTCCGGCTCAACGTTGTCTGTAGTATGAGCCAAGATCACAGGAATTTACCCGTTAGCAGCGTCCTCTTCCGGAATGAGTACGTGCACGCACTTTGAGATCCCTCGCAAGACCTTCTCCCACCCTATCCCAATCCTGCCACCACCTTTTCTTGGCCTTCTCGAAACGGCCTGCAGCCCACCTCACTCCTGCGACCGCACCCAGCATTCCGACGGCAATTGCGGTTTCCATCTGCATACCCATGTCAAAGAGTCCGAGCTGACCGGCCCAACCAGCCCAGGCGACACCTAGCCCCGCGAAAGTACTGCCGACCATTCCCAGCACGGTCTGCTGAGCTGCTGAGTGCAACCTTGCCGTGGGGAACCTCAGCTGATGCCGCCGCGAATGTAAGGGCGCGGTAAATGCTGCAGCATCCAGGGGATAGGCAGGAGCAGAGACAAGTTGTGATAGAGTGTTCTGGAGGACTGGAGAGCAGAATGGCGAAGGTGAAGGCAAAGACGCAAGCAGCGCCATGCTGGACGTTGTCAGTGACTGCTGAAGAGCGGCGAGGCGTCCGGCATGGAACGTGAGCTTTAAGAATGAAGATCAGCTTCACGGTAGAAATTGCTGGGGGAAGTATGTGCTTACCTTCATCTCTAGATCCTTGCACCACGCCCTGTCAATTGCACCACCGACAATCTCTCTCACATCGTCGACCCTCCATAGTAGCCTCCACCACGTCAAGTCATTCATGACCCGCTCGACGTCTCTCTTCGCGACGTTCACAGCTCTTTGAATCTCGTCCTCCTCACCATTCTTTCCTCCTGGGGCGCCAAATACCTCTAGGCCTACCCTTGCCCTAGCCTCTTCCACTCGATCCTCCAGTGTACTCACTCTTTCTGATATTTCATCCACTCCACGCACGGCTCGTTCCAGTGTTGAATGGCACGCAGACAGTGAGTCTTGAATGAGCGCTCGGGCTGTTTGCGCATGTATGGCAGCGACAACGTTGGATGCTGCACTTTTGGATGCTATGACACTGGCAATTGTCTCTGTCAGACTTGATAGGTTGGATCCTTCGAATTCGTTCTGATATTTCTGCACGGCGACGGGAGAGGAGGGCTCTACACTGATAACTCGAAGGGCAGTGAGTGCACGGGCCGCGTCGATGAACAGCGTCGGTGCGCCGTAACTACGGAGGGACTGCACATGCCGCGAAAGTGCTACCGAGGGAATAGGCGATGTCACCACTAGAATGGCATTGGGATGATTCAGAGGGGAACTCGAGGGTGAAGACAGAAGGGAAGGGAGCGGTGTAGAAGTGGGATTACACACGACGATGGGAACATCGGCCGCAAGCAGCGCCTTCGACGTAGAGAGATCTCCAAAAGACCACGGATCATGTGTAGGAGGTCTCAGCTCCAATACTTGGATCGGGACGCCAAATCGCTGTAACCAAGAGGAATGAATGCTGAGGCTACCAGAGGCCGGTGATGGAGCATCTCTATTGCGAGTAAACTCTGAAAAATACGAAGAACGGTAGTATATATGCGTACTGGATAATCATGCTGCCTCTGTCGTCGGGCATCGACTTCCATCGAGTCCGGACGCTCTCCTTCTGTGATTCGGACGCGAAAGGCTCCTCCAAGAGAGCTGTGACCAACTCTTGGGCTCCAGAGAAGTCATCACACCCGTACACTTGAGGCGCAGATGCGGTGATCAACTATCATAGTGCAGGCAACCAACGGACCAAGAATTCCTTACCCGCTATACGAATGACATTTGCCCGAGTCGGAGATAAATCATTGTATGCGCTGGCTAAAAGTTCATGCCAGAACTCAAGGGATTCAATCCCAGGTACGCTCTGTTGCCCCGACGGAAAGATACGTGGAAGTAAAGACCTAGTCTTGTGCAGGACAGTCAAAGTGTGCTGGTAGGCAACAGAGCCGTCATCGGGTTTCACTGCCGCAGGTGTAGCTGTTGAGAGGGCTGCCCATGGAGTAATTCGTCCGCGACTGAGATGAACGGCAACAGTCTTAGGAAATGAAAGAACATCACGGTAGCGGTAAGAGACCGAGGGAAGAAAGGATGGTCTAAGAGAGTAGACCAGACATGTCGGCATGGATGTTTACCAGCATGAGTTTCGAAAGTCACTACATTTGAGTCTAAATAATCCGAGTCGACGCGCGCGCACAGTCATTTACCGAAATCAAACAGTGTTGTTCATTGCAATGGTGGAAAATATAGAGGTCCATATAATAAAACAACAGGGGCACTTCCTCGACAGCAGTCTACGACTCGGAGCTCGTGACAACAATCTTCGGGGTAGCTGGCACAGGCGTAATACGGGCAGTACGATCCTCCTCTTCGGCATCACTGTCCTCGCCAATGTCGAATAGCTCTTCGCGCTCATCCCACACGTTTCCCAGATGAATGCGTCCTGCATCTGTCTTACTTCCCCGGCCGTCTTTGACGTTTCTCGAGGAGCTGGAGCTTGGTTGGTAGTGCATTGGTAGAAGTTGGGTGGCCTCAACGTCACCCTCATCGTCCGAAGGAACGGGTTCAGCATCTAACGGCGTGTACAAACGAGAAATCTGCGTTCGCAGAGATTTAGCTTCCACGGCGAGCGGTATGGATGCGCCTCCTACCTCGCGTCTATGACGGTAATACCGCTCGAGTTGATAGGCGATATATAGGCCCAGACTGGAGCCAAGAAGATTGGCCTTCATCACAAGGCGCGTTAAATGAGATGAACGTGGTTGCAATCCGAATCAAAACACATACTGCAACATCGCCGACCTGGAATTCTTTGTGCTGGTAAGGAGAGATGCATTGAGAGCAAGGTACGCACGATACACTTGAAGACATACCGGAAGTAAAGACTGTATGAATTCACTCATTATTCCACCAACGAAGAAACAGATGATGCCAGTGAAAATTAAGGGTGAACTCCGCCAGAACCATATTCTTCGTGCATCTCTGTGGTTATACGTCGGGGTGGGGAGAAACGCCCATAAGTTATACGCACTGCAGTCCACAGAACCAGCACTGACTTACTCCTCAACATCAAAGATGAAATAGAATATTCCTGTGGCGAAACCCAGGCAGAAGAAATGGAGGATCTTGTCGTTCAATGGGAACGAGTGTGATAAATTTGTAAATCCGAGAAAGGCTAGCAGAATCATGACGAGGGACGTGAACAGCAGGAACCACTACAACCACCAGCATTCAGACCGTCTCTCCCAGATTATTCAAGCGGAAACATACCGGTCGCAAGCGGACTGGCACATCGTACTTTGGGAAGTATACTTTGTGCGAGCGCATGATACCCTTAGTGGACTTGCGCCAGTATTTCCGCGCATTTTGCGATGCCTTTGACCAGAGAGTGTGGGGGCCGCCAATTGTGAGACCTCTTTCTGAGCCAAAACCGTCCCGAAACATATAGTAGTACTTTTGGACCTAGGAGTGACTATATAAAGGCGCTGAATTGTTAATGGTAGATTATAGTCGGGCCCACAGTGTCGGAAATGTCGGATAGCAAGAGAGTATGGGCGGCGGTGGGTGCGACCGGCACTGTGGGCTCCTGATGGAGGCTCCGGCGTTATCTGATAACACCTGGCCCATGAATTGATTAGATCTATTTATGCTTAGCTTGATGCTAAGTGGCGCTGTCCGCAAGTTCCTGCGCGGAGCCATGTCCTCCCTTGCATCGTTGCCTCTCAAGAGATTTTCAACCTGTGAAATCTCCGATGCACTCATTAAAATTGGCCTCCCACATGGAGGCCACATCCCCGATATTCGCATGATATCGCCTCAGTCTGGGTCAACGCGCATATGTGGTCCAGCATACACCGTGCAAATGGTCATGAAGTCGGACACAACCTCGCCCAGCCTCACTGCCCATTTTGTTGACACTGCTCCGGAAGGCTCTGTAATTGTCATTGATGCCCCTCCTCGTTCAGTGTTCCTATTACCTCTAACGTGATGCATTTGCTCACCATGCGATTTCACCCTTGCATGATCCTCCTTACCTCGGACGATTGTGCATGCTTGTCTCCGCGATATTCAGATGCAAAGAACGCTGTCTGGGGTGGCCTCATGACGGCGGGTGCGAAGGCACGGGGTGCCCTTGGTGTCATTATCTCCGGGCGTTGCAGGGACATTGCCGAACATCGCGAAGCTGGTTTCCCTGTCTTTTCTAGGGGCCAATCTACGTTGGGCCAGTCGCCGTTCACTCGACCATCCGCAGTCAACATTCCTTTGATAATTTCTCCTCAAGGTGTGAGTGGGAATGATCCGGAGGCATTTCCTGCCGTGCGAATCGAGCCGGGGGATTGGTTGATTGCGGATGAAGATGGTGTGGTATGCGTTCCCACTGGTCTGGCAGCCAAGGTGGCGGAGTTGGCAGATAAAGGGAGGCAAATTGATGTGAAATGCATGGAGGATCTTGTTGCTGGTGAAGGGATTCAGGAGACTTTCAAGAAGCATAGAGGAAAGTAGGCTGCATTTGCACGGATATCCTGAGGATCGACCGTTGAAGCGGAGCGGCTACGACTGCCTTTGGGAGACTAGCTGTATTCTGTGCGGCCAACTACTAGACAAATTGTACATCCCTCGCTAACATCCCCCCAAAAAAGAAAGAAAGAAAATTTGAGGCTACTCCGATCCAAGCTATACCCTGATGGATTGCATGAAATCTATGTAGTACATGTGCAAACATGTCAGCCCGAGTCTGAGATACACGTCCAGATTCTCTAGTTGCTGATGCATCTTGGAGAGCAAACGACAGCGAATGAACTACCTCGATGTCTGTCGGGGCAGGGCACACATAACAAATAATAGCTCGTCACTCTAGTCCTGTGTCGGTAAAAATCCAGGGGCCTTCCTCACACCCCGTTCACTGAGAACGATGTTAGTGAGCCACACAGCGCAGTGAGTACGTGTGATGCTTACATTTCGTCCGCTGCCACCATGAGGTCGTAGTTGATTTCCTGATTCACGACGGAGTCGAGCTTATATGCAGGGTGAGAGCGCACGAAGTCGCGTACCCATGATGCGCCTGTCTTGAGAGATCCTAGAGGCGGGCAATGTCAAGTCGAGAGAGTAGAATTGCAGTAGAGATACAAACCGTCTGATCTGCGTCTGATAAGATCCAGATACTGATCGAATTGATGTCGTTCTTCTTCACTGACATCCAAGGTCTCAAGGTACGCATACACGAGAGGGATAAGCCCAGGAAAAGTGTCAGTCTGAACCGAAGTCTGTCAGATTGCTCAACCTGCCGCCGATATGATTTGACTCGCCTTCCCGTTCATGATCTCTTGGATAGTCATCTCAGTGTATTCATCCTCAATCGATCCATCAAGAACGCCATCCTCCGGCTTAGGGACTAGAGGAAAACAATTGCGGAGAATTCTGTCCTTCTTGGGTATGCCATTGGTACGGTGAGGGTCCACGGGTGTAGTAGCGCCAGAAGAGCAGACGCTTGAAGATGGCGACACGTCCCCGGGGAGGATCATGGATTTGCGGAAATAGAACTTCTGAGACCCGACAGCATCTCTCTTCTGTGCTCTTGCCATGTTTTCGTCAACCTAACTCCATACTGGTTCAATAAGTGATGTCATTACATCAGGTGAGACATACCTTCGATATCGGGATGTAAAGGTTCAAATTGTGGCTGAGGATAGCGCGAGAAAGGAGAACAACGAATATCGCAAAAGCAGCGTTCTCAAAGTCTGTCATCTGGACCTCCATGGAGCGGAATTCAACCCGCCAACCGATGGAAGTATTCACCGGAGGTGGCTTGAACCGGATAGTCTGCCAATTAGTCGACTGAATGTTCTGATAATGTGGCTTAAGGAATTACGATGATACATCGAAGTTGGCGACATACATACCTCGAAGTGGTCGTTACTGGTGGTATCATCTTGAACAATTGTCTCTGAGAAGACGACGAGAGGGTCGCGGATGAAGAGGTGGGCGATATGCCTCGCGAGCAAGTTGTCAATGCCTTGAAATGGGCGGGGTCAAATGTCACAGTTGTAATAGTGCACGCATCACACCATACCGTGCTTTTTCAAGCGCTGGAAGATTGCTTCGTCATGCGGGGCGTCAATGTCATTGTACTCCGGGCGATTCAACCAGCTCTCCGATATGTACAAGCTTACACTGCCATAGCGGGACTTCGGAATTCTGAATCTGTCATGCTTCAGAGGCTAAACGATGATCAATGTCTCTGACTTATATTGCTGATTAGACTGAGATACCTTGAGTCCACGTTCCTCGTCTGTGCGATCGTCGACGCTGCCTGCAACGACATCCCAACGACAATCCACATCAGCAATATAACCACGCCAGAGGGGGCTAGCTGCGGTCAATGCCAGCTGCCACTAGAATCAGAAATCGTTCATACCGTGAGGAACATGGCGACACCCACCATAAGCGGAGCAACAGGCACAAGCGCATCGTACAATCGTCTCGCCTCGGCAATATTGCAAGACTGGAACGTGATCTGGAGACAGCTACACCCCATGCCGAATGCCATAGCGTCCATATAAATGTGATCAATCAGGGCAGCACCATTCTTGGCTTCTGTAGAAGAAATGGATCGTCGCTTCACCAAATGCAGAAATTTCGGTAAGAAGTCACTATACCGGCATCTTCTGAATATATGCTACGCTGCCAGGGTATGGTTGGATCGACAAACGGACGCGGAGTATGTTCGTCGATGAACAATGGAAGATTGATCGCTACCTTGGAACTGCGTCTCCGCCGGATGTTTGCGGTCAGTGTCCTACACAATATGTGAGCAACTGGACAAGTTTCGGGATAACCATGGTACCAACGGGAAACGTGCATGAGGGTTTGTGATTTCTTCGGGCACAAAAAGACTATGACTTGAAACCGCATTCTTAGGATCGAAGTAAGGCTCCGTGAACACTCCAGGGACACCCAGTCGTGGGTACGAAGTCAACGTGAAAGGAATCTCGTTTTCCTTCAAGTACTTGCGAGCCAAATGTCGCCTAAATTAGGGACAGATGTCAGTTGGATCACAAGTAGAGAATAATTCACATACCGATAACGCATATTGCTCTCTACTGAGAGGAGGTCACGGAGACATCCGGTGTATGGGGCACCAGGAGTAGATTCCAACATGTAGCGGCCATACTCAGGGTGGAAAGTAGGTACGGAGTCCCTGTGGAATGTAAATGTAAAATAGCGGTTGGAAGAAATATCCGAGAGACGAACGCCTTGCTAGCATCGGTAGCGATGTCGCTCACGATGGCCTGCAATTTCGCTAGGATCTCGGTCTGCCGTAGAGAGAGCTTTGCATTCTTCTCTTGATCGTCGAACTGAACGACCATGTATTCTATCTTCGTAGCCACACATGCCCAACCATTACATCAGAGAAACGTCCTGAAACGAATACAGAAAAATACCTCGTCGCCCCACAACAGTTCATCTCCACATCTATCCTTGAGACAATCCCATATGTGCAAGAATTGCGTTATTCCATGGGTCCTGACGTGATCGGCATAGTGCTTAGCCTCATCCCATGAGAGAGGCGTCCCAAGGAATAAGAGGCCCATCCTAAGTGCGTAGTCGAAGGCTGCAGTGGGTGAGGAGAGCGCTCTCGCACTCAGAAGAATAAATAGGTAGAAGGAAATGATGATGACAAACTCAGGCCTCCAGATCGCACTTATCAATTTCGGGAAGAAAGTTGTTAGCGGCCAAAACGCCGGTCCGATCGATATAGATGCGATTATGACTCCGGGTTCTCTCGACATGCCCTTCTATACCGTCCGTGGTCGCAGCATCTCGTACATCCGTGCGGCCGGAGAGAAGGTTTGCTGTGAAAGTGGCTTGCTCTGTGCCCTGTTTTGTCCTGCGCAGCGGCACGTTGCGAACTCATGATCAATACATACCGTGAAGAAGTTCTATGGAATATGGCATCGCGGAATCTCGAGCCAAGCAATATCGTTAAGTACGTACGGTTAATTCCGACACACAAGGAACTCGATGTGCTACAGCTGAAGTTCGAGATAACCGAGGCTACAGAATACGCCCCGATACGCCCGCCTGGAGTACCCGCGTGCCTGGTTACATCCTGCTCGTGTGCGTAATCGAGGGGATCGGACAAGGATCATCGCGTACACACGGCCTTGATCACTACTATCCGTTGCTTCCACTTGTAGTCCACTTCAGCAGGATCTTGAGGGCCAAGAGGACGTGGCGCAAAGCGCGTGTCCATGCTTCCTCCTGATTGAACTGCAATTTCACTGAAGCCTCCCCAATTTTATCTTTCACGATCCTAGGCAACGGAATGAGTGACACACTACAAGCGAAACACAAGTACCGACTGATGTGGGAAGTCCGTTTGAGGATCTTGAGATTTGACAAGGTCCACAAGTTGCTTGAGACAATCCAGAAAGGCAACCATGGCGAAGTCAAAACGGCGATTGTGCAATAATCTCCCAAGATGAAGGTCGCCTGAACCATAGAGCTCATACGCCGATTTGTCTCCTGTTGTACGTTCGATACGAGAGAAAGACCCCATCGGGATGAGGCGATAACTGGCAAAACGTCATAGATCAAGAGTTAGTTGGAACGTCTATACCGCTCACTTCTCAAAGGTGTAGTCAAGTTTCCTGGCGATGGTGTACAGTAGCAGTAGTGTCTGGCCCCAGGCCGCGTTAATTTCTGCCCATTCCACCTGAAGCAATGGTGAGGGTCAATGAACGAAAGAGTCACGAGAGGAAATACTTACAGGTACACCAGGAACCCTACCTAAACGCAGACCATTTATCGTGCCAAAAACACCCTCATGGCCGACACAGAATGCATCATTATAGACATTGGTACGTTCAAGTTTCTCAAGGGTAGAGGAATCTGCGGAGTACGCTGCGCGAAGGGCGGCTAGCTGCGAAGCTTGCTCATCTAACTTCAGTAAATGAGTGTTATGTATTCTCCAAAACCTTTTTAACCCTGTCAATAACAAGAACGGTAAAGGTGACACAGGTACTGACTCCGCTTCCTCCTCCTCTAACGCCTTCTCTTCCAATTCGAGCGCCTTGAGCTCCTCATTCAACTGTTCTCGTTCCCGTTCGGCAGCTTGAAGCTTCTCGACGGCGAGACTTTCTTCCTCCTTGAGCTTTCCTATCTTCATTTCGGCTTCTTCTTTGCTCATGCCATCACCTTCACGTTCTTTCTCCTTGCGGACTTCCTTCTCAAAGGCAATGTACCCATCACGTTCTTTCTTGGTCTCTTCGAGTTGCCGATTTAGATTGGATAGCAAATTGTGTGTGCATTCAGAGCATAAGGGATGATCAACGTCAGTGCGGCTTGATAGCAGATTGAAAAGGCGCAGTGTAGAACGAAGATGGTGCGAAAGAGGGGATGGATTTGGCTGATTAGCAGGCTCTTGAACTGATACTGGTACTGTAGCGGAATGATTGCCACCCCGGGGCTTTGTGTAGGACGCCCTCTTCGCATGAGAGGGGAGAGGTTCAGGTATATTCCGTATGACGCTATCTTGCAGAAGTACAAAAGATTCGTTAGGAAGCGCGGGCACGCTCTGTGGCTGCTTCCACTGGGCACGAGGTGACAGTGTACAAGGAGAAGCTGCTCTGCCTTGGGTAGATTGCTGCCATGCTGCCTTGACTGATGCTGGAGACGGAAGCTGAGCCAGCTTCTCAGCTTCCGAGGCTTGCCTTGCATTACTTGTAGGGACCGGCGGCAAAGACGCAGCTACCATATCATACGCAGACGGAGACAGATCGACGAGTGATGCATCGAGCTGCTCACTTTAGTCGTCATCGCGGTGCACATAGCTAAGTACTCACCTGCAAGGACTTCTTGCACTGTTGACACACTAGATTCATTTTCGCATCCAACCGCCTAAAACGACTTATGGAGTTCTACAAATGGGGGTGAGGAATATGAGACAACCCACATGCTGAAAACCGGAGGACCGGAGACAGTTGCGTACCGTCGTTTGTGCCACCCAAGGAAGTTGCGGCTGCAGGAGCTGGCCTCGGGCATCATCATACCTCGGGGATCATAGCTGAGGGTGGTGGCTGCAAGCCTGAACAAGTACAGCCAAACACGCACATACAATCGTGTCAGTGAAAAAAACGTATCGACGACTCTCGACGACTGCTCCTTCCTCACGTTCACATCGTCTCCGGCGAACATGCCTATTGAATGCCCAGGGCGGGCGTTGAATCATCCTGAGTTGTGGGTTTCTCTTTCTTTAATTTTCTGATCTTCCCTCTTCCACCTTTTCCCCCCTCTTTCGCAATGACGAGTGTTGAATTCTCAACCACAACTGGCACCTCTTAGTCGACTTCGTCGCGCTGTTTTTGAGCATTGCTCTACTGCGTGTCACTGACATGAATGACCTTCTGAGCGCATTCCATTAGTTGGTTTCTGTATCACGTCCAGTGTATTTACCAATTCTCACAGGCTCTGCGATAGCAAACCGAATCGATCATGTGTGCCTCGATTTCCTGTAGGATAAGGGCGAAGGGCGAGTTTATATGGTTGGTCTTGGCTTTAAGGAATTCCGGCATGGGAGTATCACCAGGTCTGCTATCTCTTTCTTAGTGCACTGTACCATTAATAGATTATCTTCCCTCGCGTATAAATCGTCTGAAGACTGGGTGGCTCGGTATCTGTGCTTTAAATTCGAAGTACCTACACCCACCCTACCACGCTCAGGAAGTCACGAAAATGGTGCACTGGAAGGATCTCGTTGCAGAGAAGAGGCTGCGGCAAGAAGACTCTATTCCTAAGGAATGGCTAATTTCCGTTCCTCCGGATTCGGTGCTCGACGTGAGGAATGTCCCCCAGGAATGCGGCCGCCTCTCTGCACGAGAATTAGACATCACGAACACCGTGGATGTCGCGGTCCTTTTGAAGAAACTTGCTACTGCTGAATGGTCTTCGGTTGAGGTTACTACCGCTTTCTACAAGAGAGCCATCATTGCTCAACAACTAGTGTGTTTTGATTTATCCGCCGTGAAGCTCATGTACAAATCTCTTCCAGGTTAATTGCCTTACCGAAGTCTTTGTTGATCGGGCGCTTGCTCGCGCGGCTGAGTTGGATGCGCATCTGAAGAGTACTGGGAAAGTCGTCGGTCCCCTTCATGGTCTGCCGATATCTCTCAAGGATCAGATATGCATTAAGGGTCTGGAAACTGTGATGGGTGAGAGGTATTTGTCTTCGCAAATTTCTTGTTCATTCTCGTTTTCCACAGGATACGTTTCTTGGATAGGAAAATACGCTGAACGGGACGCAGTTCTTGTTGAGATTCTTAGTGAGAACGGTGCCGTGCCATTCGTCAGGACAAATGTCCCCCAAACACTGATGGTGAGTGCTGCAACGAAACGGCGAGAGCCTACATCTATAATGCAGACGCCTAGTGGACGGAAACCTTCAATCACGTCTTCGGCAGGACAGTCAACCCGGCGAACCGTTCTCTGACCTGTGGTGGTTCCTCTGGCGGTGAAGGTGCGCTCATAGCGATGAGAGGAAGTTCTCTCGGTGTCGGGTCTGATATCGGAGGGTTAGCAAATTTTGGTGTTGTCTCCGCGCAGGCGTTAATGTGTCCCTTCTCAGCTCCATACGAATTCCCTCTGTATTCAACGGGCTATTTGGCCTTCGGCCGTTGTATGGGCGCGTTCCGTACGAGGGATGCGTGAATTCTATGCTGGGCCAAGACTCCATCCCATCCGTGCTTGGCCCTTTGTCCAATAGCATCAGTGGGGTCAAGGTCTTCATGCAAGCTGTCATCAACAGTCGGCCCTGGCTCAGAGATCCTCTTGCCGTGAGGAAGAAGTGGGACGAGGATGCTTATGCGCTTGCAGAACACGGCGGTGGGCAGGAACTGTGTTTTGGGATCATGTGGAATGATGGCATTGTCGTTCCACATCCCCCGGTTATCCGAGCCTTGGAAACCACGAAGCAGGCGCTCCTTGCTGCTGGACACAAGGGTACGTTGAAACAAAACGTTTCGCGTGGTGTCAAGTCCAAATGATATGAATCACAGTCATTGATTGGGAACCATACAAGCACTCGGAGTTAGGTGCCTGCATTGTCAGTTTTCTCCGTCAGTCGCCTTTCACGTATTTTTTGAGCCGTGATATTAGTCTGCAATTTGGAATGCCGGGGCGGCTGAGGATTATAAAGTCGTTACCGCACTGACAGGAGAGCCTGTTATCAGCTCCATGAGCCCTGATGAGGATGCAGGTCCTGTTTCAAGTTCCTTCCGACCCGCGGACGACGGGCTCTCCGCCTACCAGCTCTGGCAGGTTCAGAGCAGGAGGGCTATATTGCGCAAGGAGCATCTCGACCACTGGGCTAAGACTCTGGAACAAACGGGCACCGGAAGACCAGTGGATGCTATCATTTGTCCTGCCGCACCGTACGCAGCTCCTCCACACGGTAAAAATTTGTACGTCTTTTCGATCACCTTAAGCAGTGCTACTCGATCTCAAGGTCGAATTTCAGGAGTGCCAGCTATACCAAGGTGTGGAATACGTTGGACTACCCGGCATGCATTTTCCCTGTCACGAAGGTCGATCACGTTCTGGATGTAAAGAAACCTGCGCATGAATTCCTGAGCGAGGAGGATCAAAGGAACTATGAATTCTGTACGTATTTTGGCTTCTTCGTAGATGTTTGCAGACGCGATATGGGCCGATCTTCCTAGACGATCCCGCAACATTCAAGAATGCGCCGATTGGTCTACAACTTGTTGGACATACACTGGAAGAGGAAGTTGTGATTGCAATGACCGAGATCGTGGACGCCGCACTTAAGTCTGCGGCAGGGGCCGTCTAGTTGCAAAGGCACACTGGATCCACCAAACAATGTTGAGAGTACTACGTAGTACTATATTTGTAGAGTCATGTAAAAGTGGAATTCTTCGCATATTGGTTGGGAATAGCAACGCCGTTGCACTGGTAGTAGATCTCCGTCACAGATTCAATCAAGCAACTTCCGTTACACTGGCACGTGATCTGGCGCGTCTGCCGCCTTCAAGCGATCCAGGGACCAGGGTGACTCGGAGTTCCAAGCTAATAGCATACCCGGTACTATATCGGTAACACGGCTTCTTCAACGTTCAACTGTGGCTCAGCTTCTCTTGAATGAAGCCACAGTGCCCTGTTTCACCATGCCCGATAATGCTCATACTCCGTCGGATGTTCGGGAGCCTAAGCCTTCACCAGACTCCGAGAGCCTTGTCAAGCGTCTCGCCGGTCCCTCTACTACAAAAGCTGGGTCAGTGAGATTCCGGATGTTGCATCACCACGAACTTGACGGTATATATATGAACAGACTAGCCAAAGACCAAAGTGAGATCAATCGTATCATTGCAGAGGCATCTAAAGGATCCAAGTTCTACGAGGTAGGGTCTGCATTATTTGCGAACGTAGCATCACGTTGACAGTGCAGTATCCAGAACGAGAAGAGGAAGGATAAAGATCTCACGGAAAAGATTGCACATATATTGAGTCATCGTGACGAGGTTCTGAAAGGTGTTGACCTCGGTATGTTGCGTCTCGCTGTGACACGCACATTGACAGGGCACTGATGGTACTTCGTCGTCCTGCAGAGAAGGTGGAACAAGGGGTGGATCACCTGGTGAGTTCATGCTCATTTCCTTGCCTGGGACCTTGCTGACCATACGTCAAGCTGGTGAACCTTGAGGCTAACCGAGACTTAAGCCATACCATCGTCCATGTTGATATGGACGCATTCTACGCAAGCGTTGAGTTATTGGATAACCCTCAGCTGAAAGGCAAAGCATTCGCCGTCAGTATATTCAATATTCTGGTATTGCCGATGACTGATGATTTCACTTACAGGTGGGACATGGTGTCTTGACAACGGCCTCATATGAAGCTCGGAAGTATGGCGTACGGTCAGGAATGCCAGGTAGACTCACCGCTTTAGAAGCTTCTATGACCGGATTACTAAACTGCGTTTATAGCATTCATCGCGAAGAAGCTTTGCCCGCATCTCATCCTTGTGAACAATCGCTTTCAACAGTACATGACAATGTCGAAGAAAGTAATGGACATATTCCGTCGTTACGATCCTAATATGTGCGCAGCAGGCTGTGACGAAGGTTATCTAAGGCGAGAGTCTGTGTATGTTCTTCCCGAGGGCTGATGTCTGACTTGTACATCACAGCATCACAGCATATTGCGAAGAGCACGATGTGACTGCTGAAGAGTGCGTCCAGCAAATGCGCGACGCCGTTTGTGAGGAGACCAAACTTACTGTGAGCGCTGGTATTGCTCCGAATAAGGTATTTTCGACTGTAATCATCTTTCCTTCGTATTTGACATTATCATAATTATTCTGGTGTAGATGCTAGCCAAAGTGAGTCGTCCAACCGCCATAAGGATTCTTCTCCTGACAATCATCAGATATGTTCAGATAAAGTACCAAGGGCCTATTATTCTCATCCCAGTCAAGAGAGCTGAAGTGGCTTATAGAACAAACCAAATGGGCAATTCAAGCTTGAGTTCACGCCTGTCGCTATCAAGGCATTCATGCGAGACCTTTCTATCCGGAAGGTGCCCGGAGTTGGCCGTGTCAATGAACGGCTGCTGGACTCCATAGGTATCAAGGTATGGTGGTCTACGTTGTGAAGCCATTTAGATTTTTTCATCGCAAGCACTTTTCAGACTTGTGGCGACATCTACACACATCGCGCGGTCCTTTCTTTGATGGACAAACAGTTCGGACTGCAGTTCCTCTTGCAGACGTATCTCGGGATTGCGTCGAATGCCGTTACTCCCGGCCAACGTCAGGAGAGAAAGAGCATCGGTGCTGAGCGGTGTGCACATTCATTCAATGTTTGCTGTCTGATGTCTTATTGTGCCACCTCTTTGTGTGATCTACATCAGGACGTTCACCGCTCTCAGCGATAGAACAAAGATTCTGTCGAAACTAGAAGAAGTCGCTGCAGAATTGGAGGAAGATATGGAGGGCAATGGCTGGACGGGGAAGACGGTGACGCTCAAATTCAAGTTAGATACTTATCAAGGTTGGCATGACATTAATTGTTTCATGCACGTAGCCGTGTGTGTTCTGATCGTCGCATCGTCAGTCTTCACACGTGCAAAGTCCTTCGATAGGTGGATCTCCACCAAAAAGGAGGATCTCTATGCTGTACGTATCGGTTATTTGTTCCGTAATTCAGTGGTTATTCTTACGAATCACCCGTGACAGATTGGAAAAGAGTTGCTTACGCCAGAGCTGCCTCTGACAGTCAGGCTGATCGGTCTCAGGGTAACCAAGTTGAAAGATTTGCGAGCTGATTTGGATGCAAGGCCCGGAGGTATCAAACGGGTACGTTCTTAGCACGGCTGACGGGTAAGTAGTGATTGACTCACTTTCCTTGACGTCTCTAGTTCTTCGAAACTGCCGCTACTGGTTCCTCAGCAACAAAGAAACGGAGGACTGAAGCTGACACCGACGAGGTCGCACACGATGTATCTCCGTCTCATACACCGGATGGATATGAGGACGCCATGCCAGGATACCATGAACATGTAGATATGGACGGTGAAAGTGCAATAGGCGCGAACGATCAATTCGATATGAAGGACGAGGACGACGATGTCATTCTTCATGACGGCGTAACCTGCGATGAGGCTCACGATATCGATAAGCAAAGGGTTCGTCCGCCGCACTCAGCTCCAGCTTCTACGTCCGCCACTAGGTCTGCGTATTTATCTACGCCAGGGAAAGCTGCGAAGCCTGTTTCTACAGCATCGGCAACGCCACGCGATAGGCATCACAATCCGGCAAAGGCGGCAAGATCCTCGTCCTCTCGCCCAAGCAATCGTCCTGCCTCTACCCCCAACAGTGGTGTTCATGCACAGATATGCCCCGTGTGCAACAAGACCATCGAGACGGACAATCAGGGTTTCAACGCGCATATCGACTTCTGCCTGAGCAAAGATGTTATTATGGAGGCTCAAGCTTCCACATCTGCGCGGACATCTATGCAGACGACGTCGGCACGTAAGAAGAATGATGGAAGACGGAATGGTAAGATGAAGCCTGGATGAACGTGGCGAGGTCGATGTACTTGTGTGTTTTTGCTGATTCGGAGATTTTTCTGGGACCTCGTGCAGGATCTGTAGCCTTAGATCTACGTGTATTTCTATCGCTTGTTGTCTGTTATACCTCTTCACACCCAACAGACGGGACATGTAGTTGTGATCGCTGTTGCACCATATCACGCTAACAGATAAACATTTATTTTGCTGACTTACGCGAGCCTGTGCAGTGAGAGCGGTGGTAGTGTGAACGTTCTACAGCGACTGCCAAATTTGGAATAGGATGAACAGATCAACCGATCACCCTGGCGTTCAGTAGCGTTGCCCGTTCGAGTAGCCCGAGTCGACCAGCGGGCACCGGCAAGGTGTACAGGTACTGTATTTCTGCATTGGCGAGCTCTTCGTATTCGCGAACACGCAGGCGTTGCCGATGCTCAACAACGTTGCGCGCTGACGTTTCACCTGGCATCCCATGATGGTCATTGGTGGACTGGGGCACACATATGGGGTCAGACCCTCCAGGCCTCACGTTGCCGTAAATATCTCCACTGGATTGTAGCCGATGGGGCAACTCGGGAGAGGACAGCTCCGTGGTAAATGCCATTTGACCCCTTATCTGTTCTCGTGGGTCGCTGACTCGTGTGCTTCCTGTCTCGATTTCCGAACTCCAGTTGGGCTGGTTGCCCTGGTAAGCCCATTAAGTTTCCGCCGCGGCGGCTCAATTCAAGTACTCTTCGTAGAATTGAGTGGATCCTCAGCGAGGCCCGCCGCTATCGAGCACTCTCCCAGTTCTGCGTCCAAATCGATGTCGTTATCGCCCGAAGACGCGATGATGGCAGACGCACACGTTCCCTGACAAATTCAACTTCAAATTGGAACGAACTGGCTTGGTCACTGATCCCACAGAACTTGGGCAAAGTGACAGCGAGCCCAGACTGTGCACCGCATGACGCCCCGATGACACCCTTTCCCCATCTGAGCGCGGGGTCCCTCGTATCGTGATCACCCGAGGGCCAAAGCAGGTCTGAGCAATCAAAACACTGGCAGGAGGCCGCCATATCGGGATCAACGCCAGCCCACCCGCAGGCACCCACTCTGATATTACTGCGTTCGCACCGCTGCCACAAAAGGTCCACTAGAATAGCAGGCGAGCATGCGGTGCGCCGACCTGCATGGTGATCGCCCTCGCCGCCGCCGCCAGCCAGCCTGGGTTGCGGCTCTCCGTTCAGGCGGTCTCTGCCAGTGCGTCATGTCGGGCTCAGATTGCGATCCGCGGCGTCTCGTCGTATCGTATCTCTATCTGGATTCCTCTTCCTCCCAGCGCAAACGCGCGTCGAGAGACTCTACAGTAATATCTCTGATATGCAGCACCGAGCGGCCCCCTGCGGGGACACTGGCACCGGTGGTGTGATGCACGCCGCATCAATCGCAAAGACACAGACGCGCGAAGAGCAGTGCACCTTCCACTTCCCCATTCTGACGGGAACGAAGGTGGGTCACGCCGCCTTCTCGGTACATACACAGTTTGGACAACGCGGGGGCCCAGTGCAGAAGCGCGAAAACGCGCAGCCGAGGAAACGCTACGATTGAATTGCGATAGCGTTTCGCGCCGCCCGGTGGAGATATGCGGATAATAGCTGGCTGGCCGGCCTGCAGCGAATGGCCTTCGCGTGCGCAGCACACCGGCTCAATCCCAGCCGGCTCATCAGAACGCGTCGGCGCATCGTGCATAGGACCACAGTGGTAGCGGTAGCAGCAGCAGCCGAGTGGTCCCCTTGCGCTCAGAAGCATGCATCGCATTCTGCGCTGCACCCGGCACCGCGCAGGGATCACGATAAGCATCACGATACGCACCCCCTCCGGAGATGGGCGCAGTCGCAGGGAGCGCACGTCGGGCTCGCTGAGGAGCAGTCAGCGGCGCTGACGCCCCCCCGAGCGCGATCCCTCATCGACGCCAGTTCCTCCCAGCCGGCCCCGGCGCATCGTGCATGGGACCACAGTGGTAGCGGTAGCAGCAGCAGCGCCGAGTGGTTCCCCCACCCCGGGCTAGAAGCATGCATCGCATTCTGTGCCGCAGGGATCACGATAAGCATCACGATACGCACCCACTCCGGAGATGGGCGCGCGCGTCGGGCGCCCGTTCCTCCCTCGACGCGCGACAGACGCCGCCGCCGCCACGCACGCCGAACCACACCGACGGGCGACGGGCGGGCGCGCGGTGCGGGTCGCCCAGGCCCGCGCCGGCCCAGCTCCGCGGACTCGGTGCGCACGCACTCACGATGGCCGCGCTGGTGCCGGTCTGTCGACGGGGGGGCCCACGCGCATCCCGCGAACGGTGCACTACTGATGGCACCGCAGCGAAGCTTTCTGCACCGGCCCCTCGTTCGCACTTGCCTAATTACACGCGCGCGCACGTGGGCGCGTTTATCGATAGGTGACAGGTGCTGCGGATAAGTAGCGGTGGTATACTGGTTAGTCTACAGGGACACAGCGGCGGTGGATGCATGACAGGACAGGGACACGAGAGAAGAGACGCGGCGGCCCGGCAGGGGGGCGGGGTGGCAGCGATAGCGGAGAAGCGCATGGCGTGGGCGAGGCGTCAGGGCGTCCTGCGGCCACTGCGCTCTGTGGAATTGCTCCTGTTTTCCCACTCGTCTTCGGGGGAGAGGCGTGCGGCGCTCGCGGCGGCTTCGCTCGTCTGTCGACACTCGGCGCCGCCGTCGGAACGCCCTGTGGAGGGGGAGAGGGTCAGCGTAACCGGCGCACGGTCGAGAGGGCGTGGCGGACACGTACAATGTCTCTGGGCGCGGGGTGCGTGTTAGCAGTTAGCGAGGATCGGATTATGGAGTGTGTGCAGGGCACGTACGTTGAGCGCGTCTAGCCTGCTGAAGTTCTTCCCACAGCCTTGACACAGGTGTCCTTGGGATCTCGATGCGTGGAGTGCCTGATGCCTCCTGTGGGGCAGAATGCAGTGTATGAGCACGGTTCGATTCGCACGGGCTGTGGACGCGAGGGGGGGGGCACACGTTGGGGGAAGCGAATTGGAGTGATACGCACCTGCAGTCGTGCTGGCGGGCGAAGCCCTTGTTGCAGCCGGGCCACTCGCAGAGGAAGGGCCGCTCGGCGGTGTGGGAGCGGAGATGGCCTGTGACGGGGCGTGGCAGGCAGGGCGGTCAGGCTCGGGAAAGGAGGGGGAAAGGGCACGCGGGTGAACGCACCTCGGAGGTTGAAGCGGCGGGTGAAGGTGCTGCCGCAGCCGGGGACGGGACACACAAAGTGGGCCTCGTTTCTGCGGCGGCTGGCGCTGGCGGCCTGGGTGGCGCTGGTGGTGACCTGCTGCTTCTCGACCTGGAGGATGGGGGGGAGGCGCGGGACGGCGGTGGCCGAGTACGGCTGGTGGGAGGCGGGGGCACGGGTCGGGGACGCGGTGGGCTGGGTGGACGGGAGCTGGACGCTGTGATAGAGGTAGGGGTCTGTGGACGCGCGGCGGGGCGTATCTGGGGAGGTGGGTCTGAGGGAGTGCCGCGAAGATGCAGGAATCGGGCGAGACGCGTGCGGATGGGGAGTCGGGAGCGAATTGGCGTGGAGAGGCCAGCCCGCGGACACTGGATAGTCGGAGGAGGTGCCCATGGGGTAGCGCGACTGGGAGCGGGACGAGGAGGGCGAGGCGTTGGGCGGCGCTCGTGGGCTGTCCGGGTCAGAGCCAGGCGGGTGGTTACAATCGCGCGAGAGAGAGTAGCTCGGGTGGAGATGGGGCATGTCGGGGGAGTGGGAGGGAGAGTGGTGGAGAGAGGGCAGAGAAGAAGAGGGACACAACGCGGCGGGGTGCACTTCCATGTCAGAATGTGCACAGACGCTGAGGTGCCTATCCGAAGCTTGTGCCTCGGGGAGCGCTCGCTCGCAAGATAATCTTCCTCGGTGGCTTGCCCGCGGTATTTGTACGCAGGGGAGTCGGGGAAGAGGACATCGAGTACAGCCACTCGCCCATATATGGCAGCGCCGCCGGCACTTTTCCTGATCCGCCCTCACACACATCCGCGAGCCTACCCTGGCGGCCGCCTCAGCGCTCTACCGCTCCTCGATCTCCCCGGTCTGATATCGCGTACTCCACACAAGCTCCTGTCGCACCTCGGCCTCGTCTTCACCTCCGCCGTCCATCCTCGTCCAATAATTCGTTTCCATTACATTCGATACACCTCTGATTCGCCGTACGCAACGCTACAATTAGTGATACAACCATCCCCGCGCGTCATCGCTCTATTTACTTCACCGCGTCCGTAAATGTCACCAGATGCGCATCCAGCAGCCGCCGCCGTCTCATCAGCTCAGACTCTGATATCGTCTGCCCCGCCTTCCCCGGCGTCCCCGCCCCACTCCTCGCAGGCGACGGTCGCCCTCCGCTCCCCGTCCCTTGCCCGTTCGCCTGCGACGGAATAAGGTGCAACAGGTCAATCCGCTGCGTCGGCGTCCCCTCCCGCACCCCTCCCTCCATCCCCGCTCCATCCCCCCGGTGCGGGCTGTGAGACTTTCTCGCACCCGCAGCCGGTGACCCAGTCCTCCCCGCCTTCGTCTTCTCCTCGAGCTCGTGCACAGACGACGGCGGCGACGACCGCTTCTTCGGCGAAAACGTCAGCAAGTCGTCCGTCTCCGTCTCGCTCGCAGACACCGCCCCCTCCCCGTTCGGAACGTGCTCCTTCAGCTCGCGCCGCACCGGCGACCCGCGCTTCGTGCCCGCCGACCCGTTCGCGCCCTCGTGTCTCGTCGCCGCCGCCGCCGCCCCCTCCCTCTTCGCGAACGCCTCGTCGATCCAGTCTCCAAGGTCGTACAGCACATCCCCCGCCTCCCGCATCAGCATCGGCATCTGCAGGTACCCGTGGCTCCAATCAGAGTAGATCTGCATCTGCACCCAGTCCTCGTCGCCCTGCCCAGCGAGCACCTCGCCCTCGCGCCGCAGCGCCCGCAGCGCCTCGTCCGTGTCCGCATCCCTGACGCTCATCCGCAGGTGCTCCCCGAACCGCGCAGCCGGCCCCGCCAGCGCGACCTCGAGCTCCTCCCGCCGCGCGCGCTTCGCCTCGCGCACGCGCCCCGCAAAGATCACCGTGTCGTCCACGAACGGGTCCTTCTCCCCGCACGTCATCAGCAGCGGCGGGAACTGCGCCAGCAGCCCGCTCGGCGCGAGGATCGGCGAGATGCGGTAGTCCGTCGCGAACTCGGGGTTGCGGTGCGGCCCGATGTACAGGATGGCCATGGAACGCATCTGTCAGATCCGACCAGTCGGACGCATCAGTCACCGCCAAGCGACGAACGCGACGAAACAACCGCTCACCATGCTCGGGGAGATGATGCGATCCTGAAAATACCCAGTGCGGCTGGTCATGGTGAGTCTGGTGCCGAGCGGGACGTTCTGCGCCGCCGCCGCCGGCAATTGGGCAGCGGCGGCCTCGGCCGTGCGCTCTGCTTCCTCCTTCGGCCCGTCGAGCGCCGCCTGGTCGTCGAACTGGAATCGCACCCTCGCCTGGAGAGGCTTCTCCTCTTCGCGAGTGGGCACGACCGTCGCCGCGTCGTCCTCCACATCGGCCACGTCGCCGGGCTCCTCGACCGCGGAGCGATCGCGGTGCGCACGGGCCTCGGCCTTCGCCGCCTTGACGCTGACACTCGCGCGGTGCGGCCGTCCACTGCTGGGCCTCTCCGCGGTCGGGGACCCCAAATTGCGGATCGTATCCCGCCAGCTCTTACGCCTGCGCAGCTTGCGGTCGCCGACCATGGACAGCGGGCTGATGTGCCCCAGGTGGTCCTTCTGCTCGACGAGCCCGCGGAGGTGGCCCGTGGACTGCTCCGTGCGCAGTACCCGGAGGTTCTCGGGCGACATCCACGATGTGAAATTGAAGTCCAGCGTCGCATAGTTCAGCATCAGCGCCACAGGGTGCGGCACGACGATCTGTGTCTCCAAGATTTTCAGCATGACGTTTACGGCGATGTGAGCGCCTCTGAAAAATATAATCCGTTAGCAATGACTGGCTTGATAAAACTGCGAGGGACTGACGCCGAGTCTCCTGAGAACACGACGTTGAACTTTGCGCCACTCATGCCGATGAGCTGGCCGCCGGTCTCTACCAACACACGGTACGCATCAAAACACTCATCAATCGCATAGGGGTACGGATCTGTTGGGAGCGAAGTTGCAGTGAGTATCCTCCATCATTGGCGCATATCACGACCAGAAACGTACACTCCGGCGCCTTGCCATAATCAATGGACAGCACTGGCTTGCCGGTGCGCACCGCCCACATACGCAGACGGTCCTCGTGATGCTCTGGCGTCATGGAGATGAAGCCACCTCCGGGAAAGTCGAGTATCAAATCAGTCGCGCGCGCGAGATGATGTTCTGGAGGAGCGAAGAACAACCAAGCCACTATAGGTCGGGTATACGTCGAGTCGCCAGGGCGGGGCAGGAAGAGCCGCCGGCGGATTGTGACCTTTGGTAGATGAGTGATAGCGCGGATCTGAGATGGATCAGTCACAGACGAGACGAGCGGGGAGAGTGGGGACATACATAAGGATTGGTTGTCTTCTCCCATGTGGTGCGGAGCATCTCGACCGTAGGGACAGCGCGGAATTTGCGAACCTGGTGACTTGGACGTCAGTAATGCGAGCGTAGACGATGTGGGCAGAGACAAACCTTCTCATCGGCCTCAGTAGCATATATTATGTAGTATAGGGAAAACAGAACGGAACAGAGGTCTTTAAGCCATTTCGGGCGTATGGTCATCGCGGTAGCGAAGCCAGCGTCGAGCCCGGTAATGATCCATGTAGCACGGTAATAAGATGGGGAATACTAAAGGCAGAAGTCAGCAAGCCTGAGTTGCGGGAGTTTACTCGGTCTAGGCTCACTAGATTTGCAAGAGGTTCTGGGGCTGGAATAGAAAGCGGACAGAATGCGTGAATTTTCGGTCAGATATCAAGCGCAATACTCACATCCAAGACCTAGTATCTTGTCGAGATGTCGAACGGCATATACGCCGGTCAGGGTGCTCACAACAAGCTGCCAAGGCGTGAAGCGTTCTGCAACGCAGGCTCAGACGCCGTTGGGGGAAAACGGGGAAAGCACTCACTCAGGACTCTATTCGCACGTCTCATCCATAATATAGAAGGGCCGTTTGGATTTCCATGGAGGATGCGCCACAGCCAGAAGATGATCACGATGAAGACCTAAAAGCAGGCGTTAGACGTGCGGAGAAGGGCAGAAGGGGAGACGGTGCGCACCTGGGAGCGCTTCCAGGACGGACTTGGGCTGCCCAGGAGATGGTCAATCATGGCTGTGGTGGGAGAAGGAGCCTGGCGAGTGCATGAGGGACTTTGTCCAGTACATGAGAGGCCAGCAGACGCATGTGATTGTTTCAGCCACCACAGAGAGAACGATGACTGATCGGGACTGACACACCGACGGCCACCTGTCTACTTTTGGCAACTCAGTTCCTTGATCTCCCCGCCAGCTGTCTCCTGCCAGCAGCACTCGGACGCGTGAATTAAATAATATGGTGCACGTCGAACGGATCCCGTTGGATCGCTTTGCGGAGACGTTCTCCACAGCCATCGGTGCGCACGCCCCGCCTGCAGCCAGCTTCCCTCACGCCGATCCTGATTTCTCCGCTATCGCAGAACTCTCCAGCGTCGCGCTCGGAGGCTGCGTCGTCTCCGTCTCCGACGAGTTCTTCGCAGACGCCTTCCATCTGCTGCTCGTGCAGGTGCGTGTCCCATGCTCGCTCCGCTGCATCCAAGCTCCGTGACACCCGCGGCAAGCCTGCGCCCAGTCTGCAGGGGCAGTTCGGCCCGAAGGGCGCCCTCTACAGTGGCTGGGAGACCCGCCGCCACAACCCGGCCCATGACTGGCGAGTACCTCCCGTCATGCATCCAGTGAACCTCGTCCATATGAATCGCCAGGTGCATCATCAAATTGGGCACCACCGGCTCCGTCTTCGGCTTCGACGTCGATACCGCTCACTTCAATGGTGTGTCGATCATGTGCGCCCGTCCACCCTGCACGCAGTTCTGAAACCACGACCCAGGCAACGAAGCACCGCAAGTGTCTGTCGATGCGCTCTACTCCCCCGACCTCGCACCGCAAGCGGACGATTCTCGAGTGAGTGAGGCGTTTCCGCGTGCTGCCCAGAATTGCCTGATCGCTCTGTCGCAGTGGTCAGAAATCCTGCCAAAGGTCGCTCTGGGTCCCAGCTCTAGGCATCTATTCAAGATCCCACCATCCTCCGGCGTGAACTATGTCAAGTTGAACATGTATCCTGACGGAGGAATCGTATGCCAGATCTCCCCTCGAGCATGCTAGCGATTACTGAGTAAAATGCTTCACATCTCCAAGGCTCGGTTCCGCGCTTATGGTCTAGTTACCCCCGTTTATCCTGCTGCCGACACCGCCTTCGACCTAGCCCACGTATTTTCGGGTGGTCGAGTGGTGTACACGTCGGATCAGCACTTTGGTGTTGGATCCAACCTCATACTCCCTGGACGAGGTATGTCGTCTCATAGAGAATAAGTAAGTCCATCTGGTCTGATTACTCGCCCCAACACAGGAAAGGACATGGGTGATGGCTGGGAAACTAAGCGAAGTCGTGAAAAAGGCCACAAAGACTGGGCTATCATCAAACTGTCAGTCCCTAAACAATCTCTCCGCACGGCACATTTCGTCAAACCCGCTAATCCCCTGCACCCCTCTCGACAGCGGCGCCGTCGGGTATCTGACGCACGCGGAGATCGACACCGCGCACTTCAAGGGCAACTTCCCCGAATCGTGCGAGCTGCACGGCGCGCGTAGCGACGATCTCGTCCCCAGCACCATACCCGCGGAAGAATGGATCCAGATCCTTCCGCGGACCAAGCTCGGCCCGCACCGCCAGCACCACTTCCAGCTGCAGAACGTGGACGGCGTCCCGATCTCGCACGTCAGGATCACCATCCACCCCGATGGAGGTATCAAGCGCGTCCGGCTCATAGGTACGCGAGCGATCGGTACCCCTTCCCCAGTCGGCAACGCAGCAATAGTGGCTAATATTACCGGGGGCGCGGTTGTGGACGCGACCGCGACTGAGGCTCCGCCGTCGCTGAGGGCGTCAGGACCTGTGATCCCGGCCTTGCCGCTTACCCCGGAGGCCTTCGCGCCATTCGGCCAGGTCATCCAGGCTTACGCGGACGTCAATGCGGTGCCCTCGCCGCGCACGACGCGCATCACGGGCGCGAACCAGGGCACGGCGGTCAAGTTGCACAAGCTCGCGCAGCTAGAATCGTCATACCCTCCAGGATCGGGCGCCTCGTCGGGCTTGTCTGTGTACCGCTGCAAGCCCGTCGACGTGCGGCCCGGCGGACAGTGGGAAGTGAAGTTACTCGAGCGGCACCCGTGCACGAACCAGGCGTTCATCCCCATGGGCGCCGGCGCCGGGGACGAGGCGTTGGCCGCGCCGGGCACGACTTACCTCGTGGTCGTGGCGCAGAATGGGGAGGACGACAAGCCCGACTTGGGCAGCATGAGGGCGTTCGTCGCCTCTGCTGCCCAGGGGGTCGTGTACAATACCGGCATCTGGCGTGAGTGCGTCCTTACACATCCTGAACGCTGACTCAAACTCTGTGTAGACCATCCTATGGCTGTGGTGGGCGCGGTACGTCGAGACGCTGTTTGCGAGATGTGATAGTTATTGACTGCTTCGTCTAGCCCATCGATTTCACCTGCGTGGAAACGCAGGTCGGTGACGGGGCCGCGCTCGACTGTGAGATTGTCGATTTGGACGGCTCGTCTGGGTATCATAGAGTTCAACTCCCAGGACTGTGAGAGATTTACTACGTTGTGCTACAGCAGCTGTATGTTGGATTATCAGTGAACACACTACGAAGTTTTGCGCAAGCATACGCAGTCGTACTGTCGGCGTAAATCAAACTGTAGCCGGCCCCGGATAGTTGAAAAGGCACCTCGGGGACAAAGTGCAACGAAGGATCATAAACTTTGCGGTTGACGAACTCGGAAGAGAATCCAACTGAACTGTTCAGCCACTAGTCGAACGTGGGCGCGAGATTCATCTCAGATTGCGTTTGGTAGCACGTGTTTAGATAAGATCAGAGGCTTTTCATCTGCAGATGCTTTACCATCTCGAATCTCCTGTATATTTTTCTCTGCCCTCTTCCCGCTCGTAGGCTACACGCAGCCACCGCCAGCTCAAAATATGGCGCCTCTGAGCTCAATCCGCACCTCTGGCGACAAGATTGAGATCGTCAACCAGCTCCTGCTGCCACACACAACGGAATTCATCGAGATCGACACCATCCAGCAGGCCCACGATGCGATCAAGTCCATGAAGGTGCGTGCAGCGACCTTCCACAGTCCTCCTTGACATCACAGAGCGCAAGTAGATCCGCGGTGCACCCGCCATCGCGTCTTTGGCCGCACTCTCAATCGCCTCGCATCTGTCGCGCGCGTTGCAGGCCTCCCCGGCGCCGGAGTTCCTCTCCTCGCCGAGCGCACTGAAGGAACACGTCGAGCCACAGCTCGCGCTCCTGTCCACGGCACGTCCCACTGCAGTCAACCTCGGTGCAGCGACGCGACGTCTCACAAAGACGCTCGATGCTGCGATCGATGCGGGGAAGGACGCGCGTGCGATTGCGGCGGACCTCATCGCGGAGGGGAGGAGGATAGACGACGAGGACGTAGTCCGGAACAGGCAGATGTCGAAGTGGGGCGGGGAATGGCTAGTAGAGCGGGTGAAGAAGACGGGTGCGACGGGTGCGGATCTGAACGTCGTGACTGTGTGCAATACGGGGTCGCTGGCGACGTCGGTGAGGCCTTGCGTTCCGCCCTGCTGTGAGCATGCTTACCGAGGGCTGCATCTCTTGTAGGGATACGGAACCGCGTTGGGACTGATCACTTACCTGCACGAGACGGGGAAGTTGAAGCAGGCGTATTATACCCAGTCCACACCTTATCATCAGGGGTCGCGGTGAGATAATTTGGAAGTACTTCGTATTTTGAGTCAGATGCTGAGGTTCGGTATGTCAGACTTACAGCCTTTGAGCTCCAAACGCTCAAAATACCCTCCACTATGCTTTGCGACAGCATGGTCGGCTCGCTATTCCAGCATCACGACATCCACGCTGTAGGTAAGTGCCTGGATAATCATCAAAGTGAGGTAGACTGATCCTAGTTTGCTCCGGCCAGTGGTTGGCGCAGATAGGATAGCTAGGAACGGGGATACCGCGAACAAGGTCCGCGCTCTCTCGACCTCTGTCTTAAACTGGGGCTCATCTCGCTCGGAAGGTTGGAACATATAACGCAGCCGTCCTTGCCTCACGACACATGATTCCATTCATCGTCGTTGCGCCAATAAGCACCATCGACCTGGACGTTCCGAACGGCAGTGTGTAAGTCGTCTCGATTCCCGCCAATAAACGTCGATAGTCTGATCCCAGTGTGTAGTATACCTATCGAGCAGCGGCCAGCTTTGGAGGCATGCCTCGTGCGCGGTGCCCTCTATCCACCGACTACCAACGCGCAAGGGATCAAAGAACAGGCTACGGTGATGGTGACACCATCTGACCTTGAAGGGGTGTACAATCCAAGCTTCGACGTGACGCCTTCGGATCTCATCACCGCTATTGTGACCGAGAAGGGCGTGGCTGTGAAGAAGGATGGAGAGAATACCTTTGACTTGACAGAAGTTGTATGATAAGACCTATTCTAGGGTTAGGTCTAAAGTTTGGTGCTTATCGACAGTCGCGATTTGCTCCCGACATTCAAGTAGATGTTCTCAACTGGAATATTGTTTGCCATATTTCTGCTCTGCCGAACATCAGCGGGAGTATTGGGGTACCTGGGACCTGGCCATATGTGAAGAAACATCATTCACGACATGTTGAAACATTGAATGTTGAACGTTGAGAAACCAAACGATGCTTGGTTCAACACGAAGACCAGTTTCGCAAGTGGCTTGGGGCTCGGAACTGCGACGCAGCTGCTGAAATCACAACTGCGAAGGACGCGGTGAGTCTCTCGTAAACGTTATGAGAAAAGCTTGGATGCCCGGAGCGAGGTCGGCATAAGAATAGTATCGACAGGGTTTGCTGGTATGATCGGCGTGGAAATAAAGCATCACTATGGAGACCTACACAATGGCTATGATCCCCGAGCAAGACCATGATTATGCCGTCGCCAGCTCAAACCGGATCGGTTCGGAGGTGGAACTCATTGAAGGATGAGCTTTGGGCAAAGTGCTACATTGACGCGAGTTTTAGACAGATCAAGGAGGCAGAACTGTCATCGAAAATCATTGAAAGTTTCGCAGTCGTTTTGTGCTGCGAACCACTCGCTTACTCGTGTGAGCTCGACGGTATGGCAACGACAACTTCCTAGATTATGTAAGTCGATCGCATACACGATTTTGAGGAAAGAGTCTAGCTTCCCCTAGCTCCTGGTCTCGCCAGTTTACTCCCAACATGAGCGACGCTTCGTCTATACCATCATCTCCGCACATTTCCACGTCAGCAACATCCCTGTCCCCGTCCCCATCATTATCGAAGTTGACTTTGCAGCCTGAGGATGTTTCTGAGGCGGCAAAGGCGGAAGCCGCCAAACTAAAGGCTCAGGCGAACAAGGCATTCACCAGTATGCAAGCTTTGCACGCGCAGTTTTTCTTTCTGATTGGTATCTCGTTGTCTTATCCATGTTTGTGTCCACAGACCACCATTTCAATGATGCCGCCGACCTGTACACCAAAGCCATCGAGCTGAATCCCACAGATGCGACTTTTTGGTGCAATCGTGCTTACACGCGCATCAAGTTAGAGGAACATGGCTATGGTCTTAGTGATGCTAGTATGTATGGTCTACGTTCATATCAGAGGCTTATAATCCTCATCATCGGACTGCAGATATGGCGATAGAGATAGACCCGAATTATGCTAAGGCATATTATCGGTGAGTTCGTATGTTTTCGTGTCTCGGCCCCTTACCTGAGACATTATGAAAGGCGGGCGACATGCTACCTACAGACGCTGCAATACAAGAAGGCGATAGCGGACTTCCGCAAGCTGCTCAGCCTGGAGCCTCAGAACCAGCTCGTTCGTACCCAGCTTGATAGTACGCAGAAGATCTTGCGGAAGACGGAGTTTGAGAAGGTGTTGTAGATGCATGAATTCACCAGACTTTTGCTGAGAAATCTAACAGGCCATTGAAGTAGAGGAAGAGGCAAATGCTGCCGATAGATGTTATCAGATCATTTCCGAAGGTGTGTCGTATCTGGTTGATTTGAATGCAGTCCTCAACCGGCTTGGGTGAAGGCGGCTGTGAGTTAGACAGAGACTACAGCGGCCCTAAATTGCCGCTCGTGGAGGAGGGTAAATACAGTATCAATCACGAGTTCATCACCGCTATGATCCAGTGGTTCAAGGATGGTCATTCCCTACCCAGAAGGTACGCTGCGTAGGATCTTCCCAGGCGTTGTATCTGATTGTCTTTCTGATTGTCTTTTAAGGTATGTCTGGGAGATCATATTGAATGCACACGCACAATTTGTCAAAGAGGAGAGCATGGTAAAGCTCAATTTGGAGGAAGGTATGACCTGCGATGTCATTGGGGATGTCCACGGTGTGTACTCAACCCATTCTGATTGCCCTAATGCTAAGATCGGAGGAAGGTCAATTTTATGACTTGCTCCATTTGTATTCTTTGACCGGGGAACCATCTGAGAAGCACTGTCTACTTATGAATGGCGACCTCGTAGACCGAGGTTCATGGTCAATTGAAGTCATCGTCACTGCACTTGCATATAAATGTGGGTTTTATTCACATTTTTGAATCAGAGCTGACCCATCATGCTCGCATTAAGGGTTGTATCCGAAAACCATGTACATCAACCGTGGTAACCATGAAACAAAGGAGATGAACCGCACTTACGGATTCGAGGGCGAGGCTAAGCACAAACATGGTGAACAGACGTATAAGGTGCGTTGCTTCGCCATGTGAACGTCTGCACCTTAGTTTACATTCACTCTAGCTGTTCGCACATGTTTTCACTGCAAGTGAGTTTTGGTCGGTCATGATTACGCTGAGTAGCGTCCTGAGAATTGCTATATAGTGCCCCTCGCGACCTTAATTTCTGCTACCAAGCCACCATCAGCACCTAAGGGCAGGGTGATCCTTTCTCCCGAAGGACGAAAGCGTTACTTCGTTGTACACGGGGGTCTTTTTAGCAAGGATGGGGTTACTCTGGAGGATATCCGCAAGATTGACCGTATAGGCCGCCAGCCGGGGCAACAAGGCTTGATGTGTTCGTGTTTCCTGAACTGTATTCGCTCACACGATGCTCATGTATCTCGAATGTGTAGGCGAGGTACTTAGTTTCCGTTGACGGATACGCGTGCGCCGGCTGATATCTCTACCAGTTGCTATGGACAGATCCGCAGGAGCTTCCAGGAAGAGGCCCTAGCAAGCGGGTGAGTATGATGGGCTGTCATTCAAATTTAACGCCAATTGCCTTGGTGTAGGGTGTTGGTATTGCGTTCGGACCTGATGTGACGCGAAAATGGTGCGAAGCCAATGGTGTCACTGGAATAATACGCAGCCATGAGGTACGACAAGGCGAGTAATGCTGACTGTCTACTATGGTAGAGGCTCACCATGATTATAGATGGATTTGCCATCGAGCATGATGGCCTGTGTACAACTGTACGTTATTGCATCATGACTTGTCACCCAGTATCCACTGATTGCCCGTTGTTTCAGGTCTTTTCGGCACCGAACTACGTGGACCAAGCTGGGAACAAAGGGGCATTTGTCAGTCATACATATTTCTTCGTGATGCCCTACTGTTTTACTGATCTTTTCCTTTACGATCAGATCCGCATTGATGCTGCTGGATCGCAAGAGTACACACAGTTCGACGCAAAACCCCACCCCCCATTGAAGCCCATGGCTTATGCCTCTGGCGGCCTGGCGAGTCTGCTGATGTAGGGAGGGTACCGGTAATGTTGTCATACTTGTAAGATGCTCCAGGCGAAGATGAGCATCTGACACAACGGCATATAGTATTAGGACTCAAAGAATAGTGTTTTGTGTATCTTATTCACAATCCATATGCATGTGTGCATTAAATTATTTACATCCTAGAGGAAAACCTTCGAGGATTCATGGCAGACCCTGATCAGACTAGTGCTTACACTAGCTAGCGCTCGTGCACTTAGCGCTCTGCTTCTCTTGTCCAACGCCCACCACATACTTGTCACTTACCACACGCGTCTTAACTCCACATACACTTCCTGGCCACCTGCCTTCGGGTGAATCGTTTTGAAATGGACAAAACGAAGTCGAAGCTGGCAGCTTTCTTCGATAACGACGACGAAGAGTCATCGTTCCCAGTGCGATGAATACGACCTTCTTTTTCTCTCGTTCACGCTTACCAACGGCTGTGTGTGTCCTAGCAAAAGGAGATCGACGATCAGAAGCGCTCGCTATATACACAGGGTACTGTGCGCAAGTCGAAGAGGGAGAAGGAGAAGGAGGCTGCAGAAGCTAAACGCAAAGAAGAGGAAGAGAATGCTGCAAGAGCATACGCGGAGTTCCTGGACGCCTTCGAGGGGGAAGGTGTGGATAGGAAGAAGAGTGCTTCAACTTTCGTGAAGGCCGGTCAGAGTCAGCCTGTGTACACACCTTCTCCGAGGAGTATGAGTACCCAACCTCTACGAGGATTCGAAGAGGATCGTATGGTATGTGAATTGATGACTCCATATCCACATGTACGTCTGATACATGGTGGTGGTCCCGAATAGCCTCCATCACCGCCTCCAGTGGCACCCAAGCCAAAGGGCAAACGGGCTATGGATTCTTTCCTCGAAGAGATCAAGAGGTACACTTGTGTGACAACCTAGTTGCAGGGACATGTGCTGATACGCCTTCCAGAGAACAAAGGGACAGAGAAGCGAGGCTTTCTCGCCATGGTGAGCTACACAGAATGAAGGGCGTGTACATGGCGAGTCTGACGCTCGTTGTAGCTACGCAAGGCAGATCTGTAACGTCAATTGCAGGTATGAAATCGTCGTTGGGCCAACGTCCTGGCCTTACACATTCCTTTATAGCATATGAAGGCCAGAGTGGCAGCAGGGACAGAGGCGATCCTGAGGTGTGGACGCCGTTTCACCATTCATGTCTCCTCCTGATAGCTGCTCTCCAGACTTCAAATGTATTTGTTGCGAACCTCCCACCATATGTCAACGAACAAAGCCTCGGCAATTTCTTTGCTCGTGTAGGACCAGTTGGTTCTGTCAGTGTGTCTCTATGTTTACAATCATTGCCGGTTCGACTGACATGACGTTACAGGTGAAAATCATGTGGCCGCGTGGTGATGCCACTATTGGCCCTGGCGCCGACATGACTGCGTCCCGCCGCAGCAAAAATGCAGGCTTAAGTGGGTTTGTGTCGTTTATGAAAAGGAGAGACGCGGAAGCTGCACTGCGCGAATTAGATGGTTTCGATTGGGGTGGCTCAATTTTACGCGTTGGCTGGAGTAAGGCTGTGCCTATTGCCGCTAAACCTCAGTTTGGTCAGTCTTCCCTTTCATTTAATAACGACCAGGTTCACGCTGACGTTGACTTGGCACAGTTGCGAGGAGGTCAAGGTCGAGGTCCATGTCGAGATCACGGTCGAGGTCTCCCAGAGGACATGGCCGTTCTCGAGAACACGAACGCCGACGTTCAATTTCACGCTCTCGGTCTCGGGATCGCAATCGGTCCAGAGACTTCCGACATTTACGCAGTCGGTCATGGGGCAGGAGTCGCTCACGTTCTCGTTCGCGCCGCCGCTCCTTCAGTCGGCCCCGCAGATTTGACAGTCACAGCCGTTCGCCACGCCGTCGTCATTCTCGAAGCCCTATGAGTCCTGAGGAGGAGGAGGTTACGGAGCAATTCATCAGGACTGTCGCGGGCGAAGTGCATGGACATGATGCCGAGTATGAGGATAGCCTCCGAGATCGGGAACGAGCGAATCCAAAATATGCGTTCCTGAGCAAAGACGTGAGATTAATTCCATCCTGCTATGTTAACCTCATTCCTGATTTGACTGACACCCGTACAGCATCGACGGTACAAGTTCTACCGCTCTCTGGTCGAGCGAAAGGAGTTGGAACCCGAATTTGACGACGAAGTTAGTATACATCCACATCAGTAAGAGAGATATCATGAGATGCTTACCCTTCATCCAGGGCTATAACTCTGTTTACTCCACCGACTCCGCTGAAGAATTCGAGCGGGAACGGGTTCGAAAAACTGAGCTTGGTAAGCTGGCTAGGCGCAGGTTTGAGGCGATGCTTCGTGCAGTCTCTGGTCGGCGTGGAGAGATCGCACGATGTATGGCATTCAGTCTTGAGCATGCAGAGGCTGCTGCAGAGGTATGCGCACCACTCCGATATGATTTTGCGATGCAAGCACATTTTTACAGGTATCCGACATCATTGTTACTTCGCTGGTGGTGGACGGAACTCCCGTTCCTCGCAAAGTAGCTCGATTGCACTTGATTTGCGACATCTTACACAACTCTGCTGCTCCATTACCTATGGCTTGGAAATTCCGACAAGAGTTCCAATCCCGTCTAGGCCTTGTGTTCGATCACCTCTCCACTATCTACCATTCGTTCCCCGGGCGCATCACAGCAGAGACGTTCAAAAAGCAGATAATCGCTATCGTGGACATATGGGAAGACTGGATCGTCTTCCCACCTGACTTCACCGCGGAGCTCCGAGCCAGGTTAGAGGGATCAACTATGCAGGAAGATGAATCACAGCCGGAAGAAGTCGTCACCGAAGTCAAGGAAAGCGTCGTGGACTTCTCATCGAAGTTCAAAGCGATATCCTTCAAGCCTGCAGAAGAGGTGGCAGCACCACCTGCACCTGACATTGGTGTTGACGATGGTGAGCCTATGGACGAGGGCAGTGATGTTGACGGCGAGCCTGTTGCGGACGACGTCGATGGGGAACCAATTGCTGATATAGACGGCGAGCCAATGGATGATGTGGATGGTGAACCGATCGCCGACGAAGAGATTGATGGCGAACCTATGGACGATGACATAGATGGAGCTCCGGCGGACGTATGATCTGCATACTTTCAATATGGTGTTCTTGGTTTGTTACTGTATGCATTGTGTATCTTGCTGGATGCATTTATTATCATTATCATTGGGGGTAGTAAAGCAATGCACGAAAACACAGTCATGATGGTATATCCCTATAGGTTGTTTGTAGTGGTGACCATAACCTTCCCGCCTCTTGTATCATGTATTGTCCAGCAATGCCCACTTGAAGCTTTAAAACTAAGCATCTCGACGGCCACGAGGGCGGCCCGACGAGGTTTTCAGAATAGCCTCTTTTGCAGTCTCGATAGCAGATTCAGAACCTAAGCCCGATATTAGTGACCCCATAATTCAATTCCTGGTGCAGACATACCAATGATAGTGATAGTACTGTCTTCGCGACTGACAGTGATATCAGCGCCGCTCTCGTCGCGAAGTCGAGCCACGTTGGCACCCTTCGCTCCAACAAGCCTGGGGAAGGAGGACCGGTCGGGAAGAGTCAAGAATCCAACATGTGTCATCTTTTCAGCGTGTTCGATAGCCTCCTGGGTGAGCTTCAGAGCGCGGTCCAAACCAGTCTGATCTCGCGCTTTCAGCGTCCACTCGGAGTCACCCTCTTCAGCGTCCTGGAAATTCGGCACGACTTGCCAGTCTACCCCAGCGGCTGTAGTGTCGTCCGGGTCGTCGATACGGGCCTCTGATGCACCGGCTTGGGGTACAGGGTGCGGAGGGACGGCAGGTTTCTTGGGATGCAGAGACTGTTCAACCTGAACACCGCAAGACCTAAGACTGCGGAAGAAGTTGCCTTGCTGTGTCACGGCATGGTGGTATTTCAAAGGCACAGTAACCGTTGCAGTTACCGCCCCTGGGGCAGGGGGCCTGACTTGGCCCTGGAATCGACAAGGTTTCAGACACGCCAATGCAACATTCGGTATATGAGCTTACCTTCAACTCTTCCAGCGCCTTCTCACAGGCAGCGCGAGTACCAGACACCTTCACGAGGTCAGCCGGGTCCACACCAGTCAAGTCCGCAGTATTTTCCGGCTCGCCAACTTGGTGGTAGGAACGGGAACCAGGGAACTGCACCTGGACACCGGTGCGTGCTTGCAGGTCGTTCAGGTGCTGACCTCCTCTGCCGATCAAGGCGCGGTGCTGAGCAGCAGGTATCTCAACCCCCAGCACCACACGGTCTCGCAGAGCAGCCACAAGCTTCTCGAGCTCAGCTTGCAACTTGGCAACCAGCTTGGGTTCTCCGCGTATGCGAACCTCGTCGGATGGCTCGCCTGGACGAGGGCTTTAATCAGGCGGCTCAGTAACAGAACTGACAGATCGAAAACTTAGGTCAGGATACTCACAACCGGATGAGACCCGCCTGAGTCTTCTGATCTGCGGGGCCGCCGCAGCGTGCAATGAGCTCCTTCAGGCCTTGACCACCAGCTCCAATGATTGTACGATGGAACCGGCTCTCCACTTCTAGAGTCACAGTCGTCTCTTCCCCGACCTGGTCTGAGATTTCCATGATGGCAGCCTTAGCTTCAGATATAGCTTGCTTAGTACCGCGCACAGTGATGTGAGCAACTGCGCCATCGTCAAAGGCCTTGTCAACGTCAATTTGAGCACCTGTGTTGTCCTTGATCTCGTTAATCGTTGCACCAGATCTGCCGAGAATGCGTGCGACGGAGCGAGCAGGGACGGTAAACTTGATAACGTTGTTCGACTCTTTCTCAAATTCGACCGCCTGTCAAATGGATTTCTCGGCACTGTCTCTACTTGCAACACTACAAAGCTACTCACGTCCACGAGCTCGGACTTGGCACTTGCGACGCCCTTCTTGCCACCCTTGACAAGGACCTCGTCGGGCTTGAGCGGCTCGCGGGTCCTGCCCTCACCGTTTTCTGCTGTCTCGCGCGGGAAAGTGATCTTGACGTTATACTTTTCCTCCAGCCGAAGGACGTACTTGCCACTCTGACCGATGAGAGAGGAGTGATACTGGTGAGGAATCTTGAGCACTTCTGAGGTCTCATCCGCCTGGAAGGTAGAACCTGATGAGCTCATACCTTGCCATTCTGCGGCTGCAAACTCACTAGTCTGTCCACGTGGCTCATGATGCGCCTCTTGGCCTCTTCCACATTCACTTCGCGGCCTACAATCTGCGCTACGACGTCAACCATCCGCGTTTCGTGTTCTTTTGGATGACTTCACTGACCGTGACCTTGGCTTTCTGGTGAACAGCCTTCTTCTTCCGGCCACCGTCTTTCTCTTCCGCCTCGTCTGAGAAGTCGATCTTGACACCGAGAGACTCGCGCATCTTGTTCACGCCAGAACCATGTGCACCAACAATGCGTCCAACGTACTCTCTGTCGATCTCGAACTCGGCGAGCTATACATGAAGCATAACGGTCTCGGTGAGGATTGCTCAACCAAGAGATTGAAAGAGGTAGACGCACGTAGCTGCTCACGATCTCGTCGTTCTTGGCATCATCGACGATCTTGAGGATTTCCTTGACGGCGCGGTCCACATCGGCGCTCACACCGCGAACGACGATGATATCTTCGTTGCTTGGATCACCTGCCTCTGCACCAAGCTTGATGGATAGTGTCTTGTCCTCGCCGATGATCCTGCGAGGCACCACAAGTGTGAATTTAGACTGCACGAAGGAATATGAAGATGCTTACGCGTTAAGCGTAGTATCGTGTTTGCCGACAACAGCTTCGTGCCATTTCTTCTCCACCGCAATGGACTGTGTCTTCACGTCCGCAGCCGCGCGGGCCATGCTGAGCAACTCTTTCTCCACATCCTCGAGATTCTTGGTCTTCTCGACGGGGGAAGGGGATGCGTTCGGTGAGAAAGGGTCATACACGAGCAGAACCGAGGACCGCTCCGCTTCCTCTGGAGGGAAATACACGAGGACATTGTGTGCGTCATAGAAAGCCTTGATTCTAATTTACAGTACACGACGCTCCATTATCATCCGCAAGCATCCCAAACTAAAAAGGGCACGTACTTTTTGGCATTCTTCGGAGAATTGATGATACGATGCAGAAGCCAATCAATCGCTAGATCCTTCGTGGCGCCGATGAGCTTCCCAATGAGCTCCGAGACCTGCCTGACGGCGGCATCGACCGCGGGTTTTTCACCCACGATATCAAGGTTGAGTGGAGAAGCCCTGTCGATAGTTGCCTGAGCCGGTGTATATACGGAAACTCCTGGGTGCGCCGTGCTGAGAGTCTCCGCATAGTTGATGTGGGTCATGTACGAGAGCAACTGACGGGAAAGAGCAATCGGTCCAGGAAGCGGGAACTCATGAATATAAGCAGAATTGGCTTTCTCCATCACCGCCTGCACACCCGCACCCAAGTCCGCACCTCTTCCCCACACGATAATCTCTTCGTTCGATTCCTCAGGCTTCGGGACGATCACAGCACACTTGCTCTGAGTCATGATCTCATCAGCACCTTTCTCAGAGAGCAGACGATGTTGGCGCTTCGGCAGCGTCAGCTTGAGCGAGGTGACCTCGGTGGAAAAGAAGGCAATAGCAGAGCGGATCGCGTCGACAACGCGACCGACAGCCTCACGCTCACCTTGCACGGTAATTTCATGTGCGGAGGCGTTCAGCGTCAGTGTCACACTGCCCCCCTGAGCTGCAGCCTCAAAGATACTGCGGCGCGGAACAAGGAAGGGCAGAACGTGCGACGGGATGTCACGCACGCGTTGAGTGCTGTACCAACGTTTCGACGCGACAATCTCGGCCAACAGAGCATGCGCCTCCTGGGCAAAAGGCTGGGGACCAGTGATAGAGACGGGCACGGTAGGCTCTTCGTCCTCGTCAACTGAACCAGGGAGCGGAGTCACAGTGCGAGAGGGTGAGTGTGATCCGCCATTAGCGTGTCCGTTGGAAGGGACGGTGTCGCGACGCGGAATGTCCACTCTGACACCGGTCTTTTCACGGACCTGCTTGAGAGTGGCACCCTTAGGACCAATGATAGAGGCGATGGTGGAAGCCGGGGCATGCAGAACGACAGTAACCTATAGGCTCGTGTGAGTGGCAGGAAGGCACTAAGCGACAGCCAGACATACGACTGGACTGAGCAAAGCCAAGAGACTGCGTTTGGCCTTTTCAAGATCCTTCTGAGATTCTGCCCTGGCGTGGAAAGTGGTCTGGCGCGATCTTTGGTTGGTAGAAGCCTCAAATTTGACTTTGCTGTACTGCTTCATGACCTGCTTCATGACCTCACCGAGTGACGCGGGTTTGCCATCCTTGTTCGCAGCAATGTCTGCGATGGAGATGGTGAACGTGTCAGAAACGCCAGTATGCTTGACAACAGTAGGCTTGATGCGAGGACCCGAGGCGGCGCCCCAGGCAGAAGCAGCAGGCTTGGTCACCTGGGCTGAAGGCGCAAGGGAAGGGAAGGCCTCTTGGGAGTCGAGCTCGACGTTTGACAGAGAAGGACGAGGTTCAGCCGGGGAGGAGTCGTGCAGAGCAGGAAAGGGGTCGTCTGCTCCTTCGAGTTGGTGCCTCCTCTGGAGGGAATGAGCATATTATATTGAAGGGGTAGTGGAGGGTCCTCACCTGGAGGTCTGCAGCGGAGAGAGACATTGTTACAGGAAGAGACGGGTGTCCGGAGAGCACAGAACCTGTGACGGAGAGGAAACCTGGCGACGAGCACGAGTTCAGGCGTGTATGTCGCGACGAGGAGGAGATGGAAAGGAGGAAAGTGCGGACGACCTGCAGCTCGTTTACGTGGTCCCCGTGGGACAAATCATCATTTATTCAACGCAATTCAGCCGGCCCTCCCCGCCTCCTTTCTCCCAAAACATATTTCACGACAATCGGCTTCGCCTGCAAGGGCATCAGCCAATTATTCGAGGGTCCGAGAGAGGCCCAGGCAGCATTTCCGCGTACGAAGAGACATCGACGGGACTGGACTGTTCTCGGGCAGACGGTGCTGATGCCGAGTGACACGACTGCACTTGCCATATACTTCACCTCTCTTCCGTGACCACCAATTCTTTCTCCTACATGTTACCGCGGCATCTCTGCGCATTACTGCTTGGTTTTCTCGTAGACCACGTTCGGGTGGCACAGTCCCAGTCGTTCCTTGACAACAATATCCTCACACACGACCAGGTACAGAATGTGTTAGAACACAAACCAGCGAATGAGCCCTCTTGTCAGCAATTTGTGCGCTTCCTTCTACCGCTGGCGTGACATGTATCCTGAGCTTTTCTGCAGCCCACAGGCCCTATAGACACTACTCTCTGCGATTACGAGACCATCGAGAGCGTCAATGACGAGTTGTACACCCAGCTCCATGAGTTGGTCGAGACACCTTTCTTCAAGTACTTCCGCGTACGCCGTCTATGGGATCGTGTATGCACTTTGCAACTGACCATCTCATGTCAGGCTGACCTGTATCGCGAATGTCCGTTCTGGCAAGAGAATGGTCTCTGCGTTAACAGAGAATGTGGAATAACCACCGTAGATGAGGTGCGTACGTTGTGGGACGTCTGTGCTTTACATCTACTTAGACACAGACCAGAGTGAGATACCGGAACGATGGCGCGCTGCTGCCCTGAGCAAGCTAGAGGTACCTCCCGATGTTGAGGCTAGTTCAATTCCTTCTGTGTCGTCGGAACTTAGTCTCACGTCATTTTAGCCGAAATATCTACCAGGCTGCTACTATCGTGATTCTGACTACTGCTTCCTCGATGACGTGACAGGTATGAGACCCGTCTCTACGCTTCATCCAGACTTACTTTGGCCCAGAGGGCGACTACATTGACCTCACCCTCAACCCGGAGCGCTTCACAGGCTATGTTGGCCCATCCGCTCACCGCGTCTGGTCCTCAATATATCAAGAAAACTGCTTCGGTATTTCATCGAGTTCGTCGGCGGACGGCGACGCGCTGAAAGTGGATGATGCGGAGAGTCCGAAGGAGTGCTTGGAGCAACGGGTGTACTACAAGATCATCTCTGGTGAATGTTCTCTCAGGAAGAGTTCGTGATGCGTAACTAACGTGGTTAGGCCTGCACGCGAGTATTACGACGCATATATGCCGTGATACTCTTAACCAGACCACGGGAGAATGGGTGAGTGCTAATTGTAATTCGATGGCACTTCATTCAGGCTCATTTTTTGTCTAGGGACCAGATTTGCAGTGCTTCATAGACCGCGTTGCAATCCACCCCGAGCGGCTCCAATACATCTACTTCGATGCTGTTCTGCTTCTTCGCGCAGTAGCCAGGCTTGGGCCGTATCTCTCTGCCTACGACTACTGCGCTACTGAGACACGCGAAGACGACATGGACACTCTTGAACGCCTGAACAAGGTCATCACCATTGCGCAAGCTGTGGGCAAATTTGACGAGACCGCATTGTTCCGAGGCGAGAACGCGAACGTATGCGTTTCGCTCTCCTTGTTATACAATGTCGCTGACTGACTATGTTTTCGCTCTCTAGACATTGAAGGAGGAGTTCAAGGATCACTTCAGGAATGTCACGCGCATCATGGACTGTGTGGGTTGCGATAAGTGCCGACTCTGGGGCAAGGTGCAAACGACTGGACTTGCGACCGCGCTCAAAGTCCTCTTCGAGCTTGACGAAAAGGCGTTGGAGTACGTCTCTGCTCTCGTGCTCTCCTCTGGCTACTGCGGATAACTAACGTGAATACTAATATAATTACTTCCCTTAGCCCGCAAACGAATACAAATCTCTTGCAACGTTCCGAGGTTGTCGCTCTCATTAATACCTTGCATCGCTTTGCGGAGAGCCTTGCCTCTGTGCATGACTTCCGGCAGATGTGGGCAGAAACCCACCATGAGACTCAGCCCGAAGTGATCACCGCCTCTCGGGGTGCTGCGAAGGTACCTCCTCACTGTCCAACAGTTCATCCAAGCTGGTTCTAATGATCTCCTTAACTACAGCCCCACCGCTCTCCTGCCGCAGGCGCTGACGCTTTGCAAGATGCGCAGTACTTCCTCGAGGAGCTGCTTGGCCGTGTTGCGTGTTGGGTACGCGCGTGCAAAAAGGGGACCGTCGGTTGTGTTCAGGGACTTCTGGACGGTGCGCGCAGCGTTCTGGAGACGCTAGAAAGCATGTTCCAGGTTTCGGGGAAGGACCAGGTGCCCAGGAGCGACTTATAGTGGTTCGTGACCTTGAACTTTACTTGTAATCTAGAGTGTGCTATATACTACAGGAAGATTTACATCAAAATCTGTTCTCCGGTTGTCCGAGACGGCGGTAAATACCATGTGCGGTTCTCTGGCGAGAGTGAGTGTCCACGCGTCTTTCAGGTGGATCGCTCTCAGCACGCGCCACAGCTCGCCCGGATCTACACGCGGATCTGAGTATGTTCGTATGGCTGATATCGTACGGCCCATGTGCTTTGCAACTTCTTGCTACGCTTCCTCAACAAACGCTCAAGCATACGAGGGCTCAGCATGATGCGAGAATGATATTGACTTCGCGATTGCCACAAACTGATGTTGAACTACCGGAACAGACGCGCGGCGTGATGTCGAGGCGTATGGCCGCTGCACCTCACGCAAGAGAAGCAACGCCAGCGAACATCCCATATGCATGGTGCCATGGGTTACGGTGAGTGGTATAGCCGTGCATGTGTGGTGACGAAGCGACCTCGGAAGCGCGCCGATATCTCTGGCAGTATAAAATACTGATTCTGGTCGCTGTTGCAAGTATCAACGAGTTCGATGTTGCAAGCATCAACGAGTTCGATGTTCACCTCCCATCTTTCTTACCCCGACACCATGTTATCTGTCTGTACTCTAGGATTATTAGCACTGGCTGCAACTGTCTCCGCGGCGCCAGCGCCCATTGCGGCTGTACCGAGCAAAATCTCCTTAATGTCGTGCAAGGCATCCAAGCGTGACATTGACGCTATGCAAAGAAGATCGTTGTCATCAGCTGGTGTTCCCCTCGAGGATTATTACTCTGGCACAGACCTCCAGTAGGTATCAACTTAAGCTGTTCACAGAAGAGTAATTACTCATATTTCGAACGTAGGTGGTATGGAAATATCTCAGGTCAGTACAATGACTTGGACCACTATCAGTGAGTGGAACGAGGTCATCTCTGTAGTCAGAACACCCCCCCAGACCCTTACCGTTGTGTTTGACACCGGGAGTGAGACGCTTGAGTTTGCGAGTGTGTACCGTATCCTAGTTAGCACGTCTCAAATCTGAATGTTTCCCGTAGGTACTCAGTGCAGCACATGCAGCAACCAAGTACGATTCGACCCGTCCCAAAGCTCGATATACGTTGACGAGGGCCAAACCTCGACCATCGATTTCGCGACCGGCATCGGTGTCAACCCGGTCGAAAGCCAAGATGAATACGAGCTTACGCTTTTATCTGGCAGAGATACTGTCACTGTAGAGGGGCTTACGGCGACAGATGTGGAACTGTATACTATCACAAAGCAATCGGCTGCTTTTGATATCGACCCATTCAGCGGCATTCAAGGTGAGGTCTGATACACTTCAGGAGAGGTTCAGCGTAAGTGAACTGAAAGGACATAGGCATGTCTTCCCAGGCAGGAGGTTTCTTCTCCGGGTTGGTTCAGCAAGGCCTGCCATGTGAGTTGAACAAGTGAGTCTTCAAGAGGTTGTATTATGACCAATTTGCCAGCCTTGTTCGGCATGTACCTCACACCCGAAGCAGTTGGCAATGCGAAGCTGACGATTGGTGGATATGACAACACAAAATTCCAAGGTGAATTCTCCACATCCATCTAGGAAGCATTCGCTGACAGGGAACACCTACCAGGCGACTTGACATACGCCAGCTTATCCGGGGGTAGCGGTGGAACTTGGTTAATTACTTCCAATCAGATCACCGTGAACGGTCAGACGTCCTCGCAACTGTTGAATGAGCAACTTGTCATCTTCGACAGTGGAACCAGCAGTGTCGTGCTCGACAAAGAAACCACTGAAGTAAGTTTGCAATTCTTCTGCTCATCTCACTGAATTAACTGTCTGCCTGCGTGCAGGCCATATATGCTATGATTTCTCCTGACATCAAAGCCAACAGCGAGGAGTTATGGAATCACTTGCAGCAAGATCGATAGCCTTCCCGCAATGATTGACATCCTGTTCACCTCCCAAAGCGGCGACCCGTTCAACCTCACCATACCCAGCAGTGAGTTGAACGTGGGCCCGTTCGAGAATGACTCATCGTTGTACCAGACGTTGATCAATGCCATGGAATAGACGGCAATTGTGGGTGGGAGCTTGTTGAAGCATTACTACAGCGTCTGGGATATAGGCAACCAGAGAATGGCTTTTGCGCCGAATGGTGAGCAATCTATTTCCATTCCATACTGGAAACCACTGATATTTTGTCCAGGTGCATAGATTCAGCCAACTGCGTGGCCCGGTTCCTGTTTGTAATCGTAGCAGATGTGACAGAGGGCAGATCTAGTACTAGTAGCTGTGACTGGATTTCCTACTAGTATGTATCGATCACGAGAAACAGAGGGCCGACGCGACTTACATAGCTCAGGTACGTAAGGTGCGCCTCGTCACGTACTACGAATGAGTAAGTAAGCGAATCGAACGTGCGCAGAGGAAGAAATGCGACAAGTACTTGCGAACTACATACTACGTATCAGGAAGGTGTCCCGCGGCACGGGCAAGTGATCGACGCGTGAGAAGGAACTCGTTCGGGCCATGCCAGTTGTGTAGGATCACTTACTCCTGTCACTTCGTTGTTGCCGTCCTCCCTCGCGACCTTTTCAACCTTTTCGTCACCTCCGAGCTCGCTGCACTCGATGCGTTTGAAACCACTTCGCTGACGATGATCATTCTCGACGAAGACGACGACCCTCAGCAGCCTAAGCAACTTTCCGACCCCTCCCAGCCCGTCGTCCGTGCTTCCACGCCTACCCCTTCCCTCCCCGACTACGAAGCTTCACAGGCCCAGCACAACAGGTGGTGGCCCAACCGTTCCAAGGCTCGCTTTCGGCGTGCCGCCCTGTATGCTCTGGTGATCTATTTCGTTCTCACTGTTGTCATCGGCGTGCCGGTTATTGTGGTGGTGAGTATCCCCACTCCTCCTTTTATGCATGCACTTTAATGTGCCTCTGAATGCACGTCAGAAGTTGCGACATAAACTGTATAAGCACCAGAACATACCACCACTTATCAGCCCATCGTCTTCCTCAAGCCTGATAGTGGTTGATAGCGAAACGCCGTTGTTCCAGTCTTCTGCTGTAGAGTGCAATGCCTGGATCGGTCCAGGTTACCATGATTCCGGCCTGATGCGCTCAGAGTGAGTAGTCCTGTCAGCATTGCTCACATTTCTTAACCTCGGATGCAGTCTGCAGTACACGATTCCCCTGGATGGCACAGTCTTCTTGCAGTCCAATCTATCATACCAAACGGCCGGTGCTGAGTTGCAGGAAGTTTCTGGCACTCTTCTCGTGGACATAAACGAAGATCCTACAGTAACCGATGCCCTTGTTGCCGTTTCAATGCGTTACTCCGATATCGGAATCAAGAATAAAACAAGTGTCTGCTTAATGAACGTCTCGGGAAGCAGTAACGGTCTCTACATCTATGTAAGACTGACCGTGCGCAGTCCCTACTTCTCTGTTCTCATATTCTCATCAGGCTCCGCACAACCTAACATCCCCCGAGACACTAATATTCAATATCACATTACTGTTCCCTCAAAGCCCCTCTCTTTTTGTTTCGGAATTCGTCACGATGCTCCCTCACTTCAACCAACATTATGCGTTCATATCCCCCCGTGTGACCTTTGGTGAAGTGGACATCGGCGGGCCCATGTCCACAGTGATTGTGGACGTGCGTTAAATTTTGGCCGTCTGATCCCCGTACGCTAATAATGGTGTTGTACTAGTTTCTAACAGCTTCGACAATCACAGTGAAGAGTGCGTTGGCTCCAGTTTCCGGGACATTCAATGCCTCAAGTTCTCTAGTGCTGGACACCGTATCTGCGTGCGTGACATGCATTAAATGGTTTCTATCGCTGACATCACGATAGTCCAATATCCGCCAATATATCCCTTTACAACAGCGGTGCCTTCAGACAAGTCACATTCCTTGAGTTGAACACGGGCAACTGGTGAGGCCTTATCAAGGTTCTGTTTCGTGTACTGGCTTGCTGATACTATCTGTATCAGCCCACTTGTGGCCAACGTCACGTTGTTCCTCAGCCCCACCGCCCCACCCGCCGTAAAAGCGCCGAATTTTATTGCCAAGGCAGAAACCTTCAACGCACCACTTACCTTTGATGTTCAGCATGATGTTTCCTCCCCACCCTCCGTGATCCACTTGCGCGCAGAAAACAACCTTGGTGAGGCACTTGTGAGCGTCGACAACAAGTTTGCCGGAACCTTTGACGTCTCAACAACGTTCGCCGAGGCCTCGGTCACGCTTAGGGACGCGAACTCCACACAACCAGCGGACTTGGCGGCTACGTCAGCATCATCGGCGGCGTCGTCAACGCCGTCTGCGAGGAGTCTCGAATTTGACGTCATCTCAGGTTCCAGCCTAACAGGATGGGTGGGGACAGGCAAGAGACCTCCGGTATCGTTCAAGCATCCATTTGGTCGCGAGGGTCGTGTTGAAGTGGTATCATCCCTTAGCGCGGTGACATTGTTACTCGGCTCGTAGTTCTGGAGGCTAGAAGATGGACAAGTAGATGCATATATTCACCTGTAGTGTAGTGTACATTAGGACTATTTTTTCCGCGCTTACTCTGTCATCAGGGATACTCATATAGAAGTGACTTTGACACTTCAGAGCAGTCCATCAATGCTGGGAGTATTCACGAAATGCAGAGAGGTTTGCCGCAATGCCGACTATCATCATGAACTCCTGATGACGCGCCCTGTCAAATAAGCGCCCAGTGCGAGGCCAGTATTCCGAATTTCGTGGGTAAGTCCTCGATGCCAGTACAAACGATGCCAGAAAATCCCAGGTCAATCACTTTCCATCTGATGCTGATGACAATTCCGAATTCGCTGAGCGCAGGTTGTACCTTTACAGATATTTGCGGGCGGGTGGCGGCAATGCAGTCAGCCCTTCGATTGCGTGATATCCTCATCATCGACACAACGAGCACATAAAAGTTTATCTCGACCTGCTCGGCATGCACCTCATCTACTATCTGACCTCTCCCTTCACGGGAATCCAATTGTTTCGATTGCATTGCGCTCGTCTACCGAGTCGTCATGGCTAACTCTCCCCATGGTAGAATTTTGAAGGTATGTGAAGTTGCAGCGAAGCATGACGAAAACAACCTTATCCTGTGGTGACGTAGGATCTCGTAGCGCGAGATGAAGCCCTCCGAGATTCTCTGCATAAGGAAACAATGACGCTGCCAGATATTGTCCTCACCGAGGTATGATTGATCCCCGTTTATCTGAGTTTCACTGATATGTACGCACATTAGCGTCAATTATGCGACCTGGAGCTCATCACTAACGGAGGTTTCAGCCCTCTCGAGGGGTTCATGAATGAGGCTGATTATAAGACGTGAGTTGAGTTGTCGGTCCTCGTGAATTTTTTGTTCATCCGCTTTCAGTGTGGTAGACAATCTCCGCCTCGCCGATGGCACACTCTTCCCTATACCTATCACTCTGGACGTGTCTCGGGAAGATATTGACAGTTTGTCGATCGCCTCCGGTTCGCGCATCGCTCTTCGCGATCCTCGAGACGATGAAGCACTTGCAATCATCACGGGTATGACACCCAGGCTACCATTAGTCGTATAATATTCTGACGTATTCATTAGTGGACGACGTGTATCTGCCAGACTTGGTGAAGGAGGCTATCCAGGTCTTCGGCGCTGACGATTCGGCACATCCGTCCGTGGCCTACCTTCGCACAAAAGTGAAGGAGTACTATGTCGGTGGCAAAGTCCAGGCTATCCGAGCACCAACGCATTTTGACTATGTTGCGCTTCGATGTAAATATTCCTTAAACCACTCGTGGCTGGTCGCTCACATCGCATACGGCAGATACCCCTGCCGAATTGCGTGCACATTTCAAAAAGCTTGCATGGCGAAAGGTCGTCGCTTTCCAGACGCGTAACCCGATGCACAGAGCACACCGTGAGCTGACAGTACGAGCCGCTCGCCAGCTCCAAGCCAATGTTCTTGTTCACCCCGTCGTCGGACTCACGAAACCTGGCGATGTCGACCACTATACCCGTGTTCGTGTTTACGAGGCCATCATGGCTAAATACCCCAACGGTATGGGCCACCTCGCCCTACTTCCCCTTGCCATGCGCATGGGCGGTCCACGTGAGGCCGTCTGGCACGCTATCATCCGCAAGAATTACGGTGCGACACATTTCATCGTCGGCCGTGACCATGCTGGCCCAGGAAAGAACTCGCAAGGTGTCGACTTCTACGGCCCGTATGACGCTCAAGACCTCGTCACGAAATATCACGAGGAACTCCAAATCGAGATGGTGCCCTTCCAGCAGATGACCTACGTTCCATCAACAGACGAGTACATGCCCATCGACGCGGTCCCCAAGGGCATCCAAACGCTTGATATTTCGGGAACAGAACTGCGCAGACGTCTGAAGACTGGAACTCCCATTCCTGACTGGTTCAGTTATGAGTATGTGTCGCGATCGTTTCCCAGAACGTAGCAACTGAACAGCTACCGCAGCGCTGTTGTGAAGACGCTACGAGAAAGCTATCCTCCGCGCTTACAGCAGGGTTTCGTTATTCTGTTGACTGGCCTGTACAACTCTGGCAAGGACACGATCGCCAAAGCGCTCCAGGTTTCGCTCAACGAGCAAGGTGGTCGCAGTGTCTCGTTACTCCTCGGCGAGAACATCCGTCCAGACCTCGACGCCCGTGAGTACTGAATCTTTCCATCTATACAAACACAATTTTATTATCCCACTGTCTATCCAGCATTCAGCTCTACTGCGGAGGAGCGAGTGAAAAACCTTCAGCGTGTCGGGTATGTCGCGGCCGAACTGGCACGAGCAGGGGCTGCAGTTATCGCTGCACCTGTCTCGCCGAAGCAGACTGCTCGGGATGCCGTGAAGGATCTCGTCCTCCGCACCGCGGGTGCCGGCTCCAACTTCTTCACCGTCCATGTCGCCACACCGCTGGCGTACTGCGAGGCGACCGATCGTCGAGGTGTGTATGCCCGCGCGAGAAACGGGGAGATCTCGGGTATTGCAGGCGTCGACGAGGAGTTCGAGGCTCCCGAGCGGCCAGACTTGTCCGTGGATGTGTCCGTGCAGAGCGTGCCCGAGATCGTACACTGTGCGTGGACGTCGTTGTCTTTTTGTCCTTGCATTCACCCAACCTGTTTAGACATCGTGCTCCTTCTTGAGAAGAACTCGTTGTTGTAGGGTTGATGATCTTCGCACTCGAATTCGCTTGAAGCGAATCTGCTGGGAATGTTTCCTATAGACTGCATTGGCATGATCATCTGATGTTGACTTGTAGCAGGAAGCAGCATGTAGAAGCATAGCTAGACGGTTCGCATTAGAGTATCTGTTTTCGACGTCGAACTGAATGTCGTTACGAGATCGCAAATGTGCGCTGCACTGGATGTGGCCGGTCGCCGGTCGGAGTCACTTCGACGGCGGCTGTGCCGGGAAGGGAAGGGAAGGTACCGCGCAAGGCGCAACAGTTTTCGGAATCGCTTCGAAAGTTAGACGCAGGACCCCGAACATAGGTTCGACCACCACCTTGACGATAAGACTCGGCCAAGACTACATAAAATCGTTGAGGCTACTGCCTCACCCTACTACTAAGTACTACTAGAATTCCGAGCATTCTTCTTAGGCTGCAGAGTGTCGATGCCACCCTACCCTGCTTCAGATTCTCCTGCATCTCGATGATGAGCTGGATGATCGGGATCGCCCGCAAGTCGCCCTCGTCTGTTGTACGCTCGGAGGCCAGACGGTATGGGACATTGTACTTCCATATGGTGCGGCACCACCTGGAGGTCATTACATATTGGACACAGTGTGCAGCGCGGAGATAAAAATATTTGCGAGTTCTTGGATACTCACAGAGTACACCAAAACTGCGAGAGGATGAGACGCGAAGTGCCGCGTTTCAAAGAACGCAGATTCGCGTTCGCGGGCACTGGCGCCGCAATGTAGATCTCGACGCTGATAAGATTGTTTACGACCTTGCTGATAAGAGAGCTGCCTCACGAGCCTCTCCTCCCCAGGCTCCACTACGATATTCAAGGTAATGAGTTCTCAGAAAGATGAAATGCTTCATACTTAGTTCAGATCCTGTATCAATTTTACAAAACATGTAGAACTGCGCTCGTACCAGTGCGTCTCAAAGTTCTGATCAAGGACCCCGGCTACCAGTTTGGGACGACAATGAAGGTACCTTCGCCGGCTGCTCGGCTGAACGCCCCCCGCGGGTGGTCAAAACACTTGGCAACGGGTTTGACCAACAAAGATTATCGTCTGTCACTGACATTCTGTCATACCTGTGCAGCATTTATTACAAGGCCACGTCGGTGCAAGGTACCACTTTTTTCACCCTTTTATAATGATGTTCTTGTCCTCATCTCTTCTATTGTACCTCTCATTATTGCTAGATGATTTGGCGGTGCGTGCAGTCCGGATACCGATCTCGGGGAAGCAGGTGCATCGCGGGTGGTGGGAGGGCTTGACAAGGCGCACGAGCCTCTCCCAGGGAGCGAATGTCGTCGACAGCTCGGACGTGAAGTATTTCGCGAATATCACTCTGGGGGGGAGCCCGTTTCAGGTCCTCATTGACGCGGGCAGGTATGTGCGCCGGTGCGTTCTAGACGTCCTTCCATGCTCATCGGATTGCCTAGCTCGGACCTGTGGGTAGCTGGCAGCACAGCGAACACGCAAAACACGGGGAAGAAGGCATCAGTTGCTTATGCTATTGGCGATGCTACAGGTACTTTATGGGCGCGGGTGTGCCCCACATCTTCCATTGACGTGGCGATTTGCTCACAGGGCCTATTCTCACGGCACAGCTCGAGTTTGACGGATACACGGTGGAAAACCAGGCGTTCAGTGAGCCCGCTTTGTACGCACCCTCTACGCAGGAGACTGAACGTACCCGCAGTTAGTGTCCCTGTAGATGATTCCCACCCCACAGGCCAAGGGATCATCGGCCTCGGGCCCAACAGTGGCTCGCAGGTGCACGCCGCGTTCAACAACGCGTCGGGGGACGCGGTTCTCGACAATATCTTCCGCCAGAACACGTCAACGCCCAACTACATGACCGTCCTTCTTGGGCGCTCCGTCGATGTGGCAAATCCGTACCCAGGAGAGCTCACGATCGGGTCCGTCATCAGCTCATACGAAAATATCACATCCCAGCCCAAGCTGCCCGTCTCGCGGGTGTCGGATACGGTTGGCCAGCATTGGTTGGCGCTGCTTGACAAGGACGGTGTTGTTGGTCCGGATTGCCAGCCGATAGAGGTGTCGTCCACCGTGGGTGGGCGGGATCAGCTCACCGTTATGTTCGACACGGGCTTCACACTTCCACAGGTCCCTCCGTACGCATCTCCTTTGATGTGTTTGTGATTGCATGTTGATACAAGCCGTTGCAGGGCTGTCGCTGGTGCCATCTACGGCAGAGTGCCTGGTGCGAAGTTCGCGAATTTCACGAACACGGGGCCTGTGTGGACGGTCCCGTGCGATGTGGAGCTGAACGTCACGTTCAAGTTTGGGAATGTTTCTTTCCCAATCAACCCCCTAGACACCAACCTGGACACTTTAAATGAACTAAACGCCAACGGAAGCACGATCTGTGTTGGTTCTTTCCAACCCATCACCACTGCGTCGTCGTCCAACTATGACATGATCCTGGGCATGGCATTCCGTGCGTGTTTACACATTTTCTGGGATTATACATGCTCACGCGCAGACGTGATCAGTGCGAAACGCATACATGCTGATCAACCTCGGCGACTTTGTGGACGGATCCACGTCGCAAACCGCGCCGCCATACATCCAATTACTGCCCACGCTGGACGTGCCGCAAGGACACGCCGCGTTCGTGAAGGAGCGCCTCGGAGGTGTGGACAACACGTCTTCCTTCCATCTACTGCCCGCCCAACCGATCAACAAAGGGGCGCACGGCAGCTCGGGCGCAAGCGTGGTCAAGCGGTACCTGCCGTATATCATCGCGGGAAGCGTCGTGCTCGGTGTGCTGCTCATCGCGTTTGTGTGGTACTGTATTGCGAGCAACCGCGGCAAACATATGTACCAGCGCCTACAGGAGCCCGTTGAGCCTGTGCCGGTCGGGGTCTATCAGGAGCAACCACCTTTCACCCGTTATCAACAGCCTCACCGTCGCCATTAGTTTGTCCGAGCAGACGTCGCATCTTTTCTGGATCCACATGGATCCACATGGGACCATGCATATCGGGATTCTTATATTAGTTGCTGCATATACTGATTTACTCACAGTACTACAGAGGACTTTCGGTAGATAAATTATTGTACTCACATAGCTTCACTTTATTCTGCATGGTGGATTGTCCGGCAATGGTTGACAGATACCACCCTGCATCGCTGTTTGATGTCACTACGGTGACCCTCTATGCATGGAGTCTGGCAACAAGGCTGTTGTGGATGAGCTCGCCGTTATACAGTTCTTGCGCATGATGTCACATGGAGCGCTTCAAGAGTGGCTCGCTCAGAACAAGGTACAACCATCAATACAGTGAACCATGTCGGTGAGGGCACACCGGTTCTATCATGTTGCTCGTGTAACTGAGATATTGACTAGGAAACCACTGTACAGCCAGTCTCCCGCCCCAGGAAGCGCAGACTTCCTCGCGCATATGGATACGCTTTCAACTGGGCCATCCTCGCCCCACTTGCCAGGGAACTTGATTTCCCGGACGTAACGCTCTCAAATCTTGTCAACACCTACTTCAGGTTTCGCTTCTACCTAATGAATACTTGGGATGTTCCGAATGAATGCTTCCGGAACCTCAGTACGAAGGGCAACTTGACGGTGGGGGTGGTGTTTGCCGACAACTGTTCACGCAAGCGGAAGAAGCCGGATGAGGATCTTGTGCAAAGGGTGAAGAAGGCAATGAAGATGGAAGAGGACCCAAAGTGGTATTATCTTGTTTAGTAGGCATGCAGTGTGCTGTACAACGACCTTCATGCCAGTGGCCTATACCGTAATGTGGACGTGGTGGCTGTGATTTACTTGTTTTCTTTCTCAATCGACTGGGCACCAACCTGGATACTTTGAATGAACTAAACGCCAACGGAAGCACGGTCTGTGTTGGCGCGTTCCAACCCATCACCACTGCGTCGTCGTCCAACTATGACATGATCCTGGGCATTGCATTCCGTGCGTATTTACGCATTATACATGCTCACGCGTAGACGTGATCGGTGTGAAACGCATACATGTTGACCAACCTCGGCGACATTGTGGACGGATCCACGTCGCAAACCGCGCCGCCGTACATCCAACTACTGCCCACGCTAGACGTGCCGCAAGGACACTCCGCGTTCATGAAGGAGCGCCTCGGAAGTGTCACGTCCTCCTTCCATCTATTGCCCGCCCAAACAATCAACAAAGGGGCGCACGGCAGCTCGGGCGCAAGCGTGGTCAAGCGGTAAGCTCGAATCTGTTGAACCTGTGCTCGTCGGGGTCTATCAGGAGCAACCGCCTCAACCGCCTTTCGCCCGCTATCAACAGCCTCACCGTCGCTATTGGTCTGTCCGACCAGACGTCGCATCTTTTCTGCATCTGTATGGGACACACGCTTATCGGGATTCATATATTAGTTGCTGCATATACTGCTCTACTCACAGTACTGCGGAGGACTTTCGGTAGATAATTGTACTCATGTGGCTTCATTTTATTCTGCGTGGTGGATTGTCCAGCAATGATTGACAGATACCACCCTGCATCGCCGTTTGATGATGCAACCAGAAGCGGAAGAGGACGTCGAACGCTGGCAGGGCAATGCGCACGGCAAGACGTAATGTGTTAGACTGTGCAATGCCTGGCGCAGAAGGCGCTCGAGCGGCACGGAAGCTCTACTCACTAGCGCAATCTGCCACCATCAACGGGCGCGCATGCTTCCGTATGCTCGCCGCCAATGCCTGGGAACTTCATCCACGGGCACCTCAACCGCCGCCGGGGCCTGGCCTTCTTCCGGTATCGATGGGCATGGTGTGCGCAGCCTCGGGAAAACGTGGGGGTGACTTTATCGTGACAATTCATCGGCTTCGATGCCCCGGGCGCGGCTGTGGTGCGTGAGCCGCGATAAGGGGGGAGGAGCGGGGGAGCGAGCGAGTGGACATGGGATCTAGGCAGGCTAGGGTTGTGCTGGGAAGAGCGGGGGTGACGAAGCGCGTGACTTGCGTGACGGCGACGAAGGGATTGACAATTGTGTTGCCGGCGCTGGCAGCGGCGACGACCGCTCGAGAATGGTCTGCCGAGTGCCGCGCAGGATGTGGGCCACGCGGGCCGCCAAGGGCACAGCGTGAGCCGGGCGTCCCACGGGTGGCACCTGCGAGGGGTGATGGCTGATGGTCGCGGTCGCCGGCGAGCACGGCGATGGGAAGAAAGGGGACGGAGAAGGGGAAGACGAGGAGGAGAGAGAGGAGAAGAGGAGAGAGGGGAAAACAAGGACGGAGGAGATAAGATGACGGTCGCGCGGACTGTCGGAGTTCGCCGCCACGGGCAGTGACGAGCTCTGCGATGGTGGCCCGGCGCACGCGTGCGAACCGAGTCCGAGCTGGGCTGTCGGCTCTGGCGCTCGTGGCCCTAAACAACGCCCTCTCTCCCTCACCCATCATCCTCTCCCTCTCCCATGCTCTCCGTCGCCGTCGACGACGACGACTTCCACACCATGTCCCCACTTCCCTCTCCCGCCCTCAACGGCGCCCACAGCGACACCGACAGCACCATGCAGATGGACTCTGACATCGACGTCCAGAGACTTCCCGACCCTGACGCAGACGGCGAGGAGGTCGATGTCGACGATGCTCCCCACCTTTCCAACAAAAATGCAAGTGCGTCCTCATCTTACCTCGCCAAGCGTGCCGTACGTCTCTTTCTCTTCTCTCACCCCCTCCCCTTGCTCACCGCCACCATCGTTGTGCAGGTCAAGGACGAAGATGACTCGGTGAGTGGGCCACCACTGTTCTCATTCGTCGTCGCCACTCATCACCCCGACGTCTCGCAGGGTTATGAAGATGACCCCGATGACGATGCCGACAACGAAGACGAGGACGCGTCGTACGCCGACGAGGAGTACGGTGCCTCGTCTTCAAAGAAGAAGGCACCCAAGAAGAAGAAGAAAGCTCCCTCGAAGCCAAGAGGTATGTCTTTCCCTCGTCCTCCTTTGTTGGCGCTCATCCTCCTCGTGCTCAGTGGTGGCCCGCCACTCTGCTTCGGACTCCGACTCGGATTATGGCTCTCGCTCAAAGAAAAAGAAGAAGCCTCGTCTAACTGCAGACGAACTCCGCGTATCGTCTCGTAATGGCAAGACTCCCAACTACGTCGATGACTTTCAAGACTTCGAGCAGTTCGAGGATGACGTTGATCCTGGCACCTACGTTGACGCCACGGCCACCTTCAAGGAGGAGGACGAGATCGAGTCCGTCCTTGGACACACCAGAGACGAAGGGCACGAAGGTGATCCCGAAGACAACTGGTATAGCAACATCGTATGTTACATCGTGTTAATTCTTGGGAGTTCGGTCTTACAGCCTCTTCAGCGATTCCACATTAAGTGGAAGAATTTCTCGCATTTACACAACACCGACGAGACATACGAGTTTTTGAAGCGTTTCCGAGGCCTAAAGCGCGTAGACAATTATATCAAGCAGTGGAAGGTGTATCAAGAACGCCTTGCCTCTCCTGACCTCTCCCAGGAGGACAAGGAAGTGCTTCTCCTGGACAAGGAGCGCGAGAAGGAGGAGTTTGAGACTTACAAGACTATAGAACGAATCATCGCCCACCGCGAGACGGACACGAAGCAGACAGAATACTTCTGCAAGTGGAACATTCTAAACTATGAGCACTGTACCTGGGAAACGCTGGAGGAGATCAGGCCCATTGCGAAGGAACAGATCGACGCGTACAGGCGTAGGGAACTCGAGGCGAAGTTTCCCTTCAAGAGTGCTGTCCATTCCAGGTACCAACGACCAACATTCAAGAAGATCAAAGAGGACCCGGAGTACCTCGCTGTGACAGGTGGCGAGCTAAAAGATTTCCAGCTTACTGGGCTCAATTGGCTGGCCTACCTGTGGAGCAAGGGTGAGAACGGTATCCTCGCCGACGAGATGGGTCTTGGAAAGGTTTATATCATGATTCTCGTGTTCTGTGTCCAAGGGTGTTGACGATCTCGTTGCTTTCCAGACAGTCCAGACTGTCGCTTTCCTCTCATATCTCTTCCACGAGCTGCGTCAGTACGGCCCATTCCTCGTTATCGTCCCTCTCTCCACCATCACTGCGTGGCAGTTGCAGTTTGCAACATGGGCACCGGACCTAAACGTGATCACATACATCGGCACAGCAGCTTCGCGGGACGTGATCCGGAATTACGAGTTCGGCGCGTCTAACAAGAAGCTCAAGATGAACGTTCTGCTCACGACGTATGAGATCACACTGCGGGACTCGAAGGGGCTCGGTGACATCAAGTGGCAGGTTCTGGCTGTCGACGAGGCAAGTATCGGGTACCTCCACCTCGCAAGTGCGCACACGCTGACCAGTCTTGGGCGTTCTAGGCACATCGCCTGAAGAACTCAGAAAGCCAGCTGTACGAGGCGCTCTCATCGTTTTCCGCCGCCTCGAAGCTGCTCATCACGGGCACGCCGCTACAGAACAACGTTAAGGGTCTGTGCTTGCCTTTCATCGCGTCATGCTACTCGTTTCACATCTGACCTCCATCTGTGACTCCGATCAGAACTTCTCTCGCTCATGCACTTCCTCATGCCCGAGAAATGTGAGTCGCGTGCGGACTCATTCATCGACATTGCTGACATCATAGTTCTTGTTCGCAGTCCAGCTCACCAACGAGTTCGACCTTACTGATGTCGACCACGAAGAGAAGATCAAGGAGCTGCACAAGCAGCTGGAGGCGCTCATGTTGCGCCGCCTGAAGCGCGACGTGTTGACGTCTCTACCAACCAAGAGCGAGCGCATTCTGCGTGTCGAGATGAGTGCCCTGCAGACGCACTTCTACAAGAACATTCTCACGAAGGTCTGTCAATTGTGGGTGATCGTCGCATGACGTGCTTTAATGCGTCTTCTTTAGAACTTCCAAGGGTTGGTCAAGAGCTCGAACGGCAATAACAACATCAGTCTGCTCAACATCGGTGAGGCTTGCCTTCCAATGCTGTTCTAACATTTCAAGGCTCACATTGTATTTAGCTATGGAGCTGAAGAAAGCGGCTAACCACCCGTATCTCTTTGACGGTGCCGAGACGCGCACAGACAATTCCGAAGAGACACTGAAAGGACTTGTGATGAATAGCGGGAAGATGGTGCTTCTCGACAAGCTACTAGCGCGTCTGCGCGCAGACGGTCATAGGGTCCTTATCTTCAGCCAGATGGTTCGGATGCTGGACATCCTTAGCGACTACATGAGTCTCCGAGGATACCAGCACCAGCGCCTGGACGGGATGGTTTCGTCCGATGCGCGGAAGAAGTCGATCGCACACTTTAACGCGCCTGGTTCGCCTGACTTTGCGTTCCTGTTGTCGACGCGCGCTGGAGGGTTGGGCATCAACCTAGAGACGGCCAACACTGTGATCATCTTTGATGTGAGTGACGCCCCTGTGGCGCGCAGTTGTTGCAGCCTGTTCGACACGCGCAACACGTTGCTAATCCCCCACTCCACAGAGCGACTGGAATCCACAGAACGACCTGCAGGCGATGGCACGTGCGCATCGTATCGGGCAGAAGTCGCATGTCAGCGTTTACAGGTTCGTGAGCAAGGACACCATGGAGGAGGATGTCCTCGAGCGTGCCAAGAAGAAGATGGTGTTAGAATATGCTAGTGAGTGGTCGTGCCATGCGGATTCTACCCGCATCTTCGCCTCACGCGATGACGACTGACCGTACACAGTCATCAACCAGATGGACACGACCCAAGCGCACCTAAGCTCGAAGGCGAATATCCAGACAAAAGACACGGGGAAGACCAACGACTTAAGTAAGGACGAGCTCCACGCCGTGTTGAAGTATGGTGCGCAGAAGATGTATGTCCGCCTTTGTTCTCGCCCCGTCTTGCTGCTTATCGTCCGTGGCAGTTTCGACAAAGATGACAACCAGCAGAACAAGAAGCTAGACGAGATGGATCTGGACGATATACTGAACCGCGCGGAGCACCACGAGACGATGGATGCCACCGGTGAGAGCGCATCTCTCGGCGGCGAGGGCTTCCTGGCCCAGTTCGCGAATGTCAGCGACGTGAAGAACGACATGAATTGGGAAGACATCATCCCGCTGGAGGAGCGGCAGCGATTCGAGCGCGCAGAGGATCAGCGGAAGGTGGAGGAGATTGCTGTTCAGGCAAAAGACCGGAAGCGTACACATGCTGCGGTCTCCTACGAGGGTATGGACATGGAACACCCTAGCCACGCGCCACCGGCTAAGAAGGCGAAGAACGCGGCTCCACAACGCAAGACCGGTGCCCAGAAGGCGATGGAGCTGAAGGAGCGGGATGTTCGTGTACTGATCCGCAGCTTGCAGCGGTGGGGAGACATGGAACAGAGGTTCGATATCATTGTGAGTGGCCTCCATCATTCATCTGTATTCGCCCAGGTCGACTAAGGTGGAACTGCTAGGTCACGGAAGCCAAGTTGCAAGACAAGAACACAGATTTGTTGAAGGACACCGCTAGAGACATCATCGCACTGTGTGAGAGAGCAGTTAAGGAGAACGAAGCGGAGAAGCGAGCCCGCATCGAGGCCGGCGAAACATTGACCAACGCACAGAAGAGCAAGGCTGTTCTGGTCACTTATCAGAACGTCGGCAACATCAATGCAGAGACAGTCCTCTCCCGTCATCGCGACTTGCAGATTCTGTTCCAGTGCTTGGATCCCTTGAGCGACGACGTCTACAACTGGTCATTACCCATGGAGAACATCCGGCCAACCCTTAATTGGTCAGGTCGATGGGGCCCTCAGGATGACTCGATGCTCCTGGTCGGTGCGTACCTCTACGGCTTTGGCAACTGGGAAACGATGGCGAAGGATCCGAAACTTGGCCTTGAGGGGAAGTTCTTCCTCGAGGAAGGCAAGAAGGGTGAGGATACGGCGAGCAAGCCCATCCCGAATGCCATCCACCTCGTCCGTCGAGGTGACTTCCTGCTGAGCCAGCTCCGAGAGTGGGTTGAGAAAATCCGTGCGGTAGAGATGAAGGTAAATCGTGCGGGCGCCCATAGCGTGCACTTGTCGGTATCTCCGCCGCCTCTTCCCGTGTCTGCTACGTACACTCATGGCTTGAAACGGCGTGCGGAGAGCGAGGCTGTTGCGTCGATCGATGAAGGGAGCACGAAGAGACGGAAACGGCGGCCAACGCCCACGTTCACCGATTCGGAGTCTTCAGACGAGTGGTATGTTCATTTACTTTGATTATGATTCGGAGTCTAACATTATCTCTTTCAGTCCGTCCATGGATGAGGATGCGACGAAGGAGTTGCTACGCCCCGTGAAGAGACAGCTTGTTAGTAGGAGATCATCGTCGAATTGAGAAGCAAAACTGATTATCTCAGCAGAAAAACTTGAAGTTGTCTGGCAGCGACATCCCGAGAGACGATAAGGTTGCCATACTTAAAGAGTCGCTTGCTGCCATTGGCAAGCGCATAGAGTCGATACTTGCTCAGAAGCATGCAGCTGGGGAAGATCGAGATCGATGGCGCAGACATCTGTGGACGTAAGTTCGCGTCACTTCTCCATAATTGTTCTGTGTCTCACTCTGTCGGTCAGATTCGTCACGTTCTTCTGGCCTAAGAGGGTGAAAGCGACCAAGTTGGAAGAGATACATGCAAAGATGGTGATCAAAGAGGGTGCTCCCCGAGCATCCTCGATGGATGGTCCCAGCGCACCCAAGAAGCCTCGAGTCAGCACCAGCGCCAGTGGCGCTCGCAGCAGCGGCGCGTCGCTCCCCTCAGCTTCAACAGTCTCGTCGCATACAAATGGGAAGTACCGGTGACGAGCGTCCTATCTTCTGCCACCTCTCTCCTCAGTCTATTGTCTGCCGTCTTGCCTCCGACTGTATTATTGTTCGTCCACCACCGAGTTGGTTGGTGATTGGACACTCGAGCCGCTGCTGCCCAGGTTATACCACAATCATACCGGACGCTGGCTAGCACGCTCGCTCCTCGTTATCGTGCGCTCTCCTCTCATCTTCTCGCAAGTGTCCATACGCCGCATCACATTATGTTCTGTCCCCATGCTTGTTGTGTATATCGATTCCTTTTTTTGCATCTGCAGTGTCGAATTGACTCCTGATCATTGTTTTCATATGCGTCTGCATCAGTAGCGCGCCCGCAATACACATACATCCATCCTGTGTAGATCATAGTAATACAACAGAGACCCACCGTGCTTACACTCACATCCAGTGTGCATGCATTTCCCTATATACATGGCAAACCATTCGCAACTCTGTCCTTCGAGACACTGTACCGTAGGAGTTCCCAACACAGCCAACTGCATTCAAACAAAGCAACACCCTTCCCGACGCGTTCTATGTCTCCAGGAGAAGCCAATGCGAGACTGACGACTGGACGCACGCGATCCACTAGGGCCACATCCGGCGCCGGATAACGCGCATGTCCAAAAGCTAAACTTCGACCCCCACACGGCCGGCCAATCCACTCTAGGTGCTATCCCATCGTACGCGCGTACCTCGACTGACTCCACTTGCTCTCGAATATGTAACACTTTGTCGTGAGGATATTGATTGATGCACGGCTTTTACAATGGTCGTCGTCGAGATATAATCAACGGGTTACATTGATACTGCAAGAAGAAAAGATGTAATAGAGTGAGTTTCCTGATATACAAACGAGTGAGAGGAACGAACAGAATTGAAATTCTGTAGCTGAAAGGGAAGGAAACAAGGACTTGGACGTACTCTCTTCCCTGCACACGGATGGCAGGCCGCAAAGTGGATGCCCCGGAGCTTCGTTTCCGAGAGCGTGTCGTGCCCACTGTAACGCTAACAAGAGGTGCGCGCTCGGCAGGTTCAGCAGCGGGCGCAGGTGCTGGGTTAGAGGAGGATGTTGTCCGATGTCGCGATTGCGAGGCGCGACGATGAGAGGAATTTCCATTTCCCGGAAATGGGACAGATGACCGTTGGCCGGTTAAACGCGCAGCTATCATTCACAACAGAAAATGAGTGCTCTCCGAGGGTGATGGGGCCGATGACTGCGCGGCCCACATACCTTCAACAAGCTTCGCGTCGGCTTCGCGGTGGAAGCTCTCCATGAGCGCGGCGTACCGCTTAACCTGCCACGCAAGTTGGCTCGCGCGCGCCGTGTTTCCCTGGCTCAGCGCCCACTTGCGCTCCTCTTTGAAACGGCGGCGTTCCGAGTCGGCGAGGCTCGCGCGGGCGCGCAGGACGGCGATAGCGCGCTCCTGCGGGGTCATCTTGTTCTCGGGGTCGATAGATGAGGGGACCGACTCCAGCGATATCGACGGGGCGGTACTTGCATAGGTGAGTGCGGGGGTGAGCGGCCGTACCTCAACTGGGCGCGAATGCCGCTCGCGGTGCCCGTTCCCGTTCCCGTTCCCGTTCCCATTCCCATTCCCGTTGCCATTGCCGTGCCAGTGTCCGTGGCGTGCGCGGTCCTGCGTGCTGCGCTCGAAGGACACCAGGCGGAGGCGTCTTGCGGGCTCGTGTGTGTCCCGCACTCGGGTGCTGCTGTTCGGTGTAGGGGCGCTCTTGGGGGCGTACGCACCATTTTCGAACACGCGCGATAGCATGTCGGTGCCCAGGACACCGAGGGCAACGCCTACGACCGTGCAGAGGCAGCGCATGACGTCGGAGTCGCTGAGGAAGTCGAAGACGAGCTTGCCGCCGATACCGGCGGCGACGAGGAGGGTGAGCTGCGGGAGCTCGGTGAGGGCATGGTAGAGGAGGACGCCCTGGAAGAGGCCATTGAGGAGGCAGTCGGAGGCGGTGGGGAGCTGGTGTGGTTGGAAGATGAAGGCGTTGAGAAAGATGCGTGCGCCGAGAGCTACAAGGAGCGGAGGGGCTGTCGTTATCGGCATAGCAGTCTTTCGAGATCATGCGGGCATCAAGGAGAAGGTGTCTCCAGCTGCAAGCAGGCGACTAGCTCGCTGCTTGGCTCGGATTCGGCGACTCGAGGTCAACGAGGAGGATGTCGCAGGCGATGAAGACCAACTCAATATTTCCAACTCGGACGCGAGGCTCCCACGTGTGCACCGTGATGGCGAGCCAAGACAAGACAAGTGTTCGAGTATGTTTCTCGTCGGACAGAGCACGAGAGGGATAGAATTCAGACTACTACAGAATACAGCATGAGCGCACTAGTCCTCTGTGTCCACATAATTCGCCATCGGGTCCTCAGTCATCCGCCGGTGCATCCGGTACGCCTCTGCAGCAAAGAATCAGTACCCAGCGCAGATGTCAGAGCGAAGAACGACATACCAAGCTCCTCCTGAGTAACCTCCCCACCCTTCTGCCGCTTCCCATACCGGTCGTCTCCATCCTCCCCGCGCGCCTTCCGCTTCCTCTCCTCGCCGATCGCCTGCGCCAGCCGGTCCTTGTCCAGTGAAACCTCGCCCTCTCCCAGCCGCTTCTTCGAGAACAGCTCCTCCGCCTTCTTCTTGCGATCCTCTATTCGATCGTCTTGTACTGGCTCAGGCGGCGGCGGCGAAGCCGAATTTGACGTCGCCGATGCAAGGAGGTTCATCGCACTCGATGCTCGCGCTGCTTCGATACCTGCTTGGCCAGTGCAGTAGGAAAGGTGGACGGAGGAATGACAGCAGCCATATCCCCACTGTCCCGATGTTTGATCGTACCAAGAGCCCCATATTTCTGTATGGTTGTTCACATAGACTACCGAGCCAGTTAATGTCTATAAATGCAAACCGAGATAGAAAATACGCACCATCCTCGGCATACTTCGAACGCGCCAAGGTCCGCTCCTTGCCCTTGATGACCTGGCCCGTCCGCGAAAACTCGAGGTACTCCTCCGTCTGGCCCTGCAGCAGCTCCTTGGGCGCCTTCTCGAGGTACTCCTCTCCGCCATACTTGCTCAGAATGCTGTCTTTCGTCAGGTCCTTGAGCTGCTCCTTCTTCTGCTGGAACTCCTGGTGGAGCAGCTGGCCCTGAGTTGGGTTCGCATTCATGTGCACATCATTGCCCCGTGCGGCGGCGGTCCATGCAAAGAGCTGCAGTTGCTGGACCTCGGGTGCTTCACCCGAGGAACGGAGAAAGTTGTCTCCAGCAAATATCGCCTGAAGAGAGCATCGGAAATAAGTTCAAGGATAATCACTGAGCTCACTCACCTCTTCCGGAGGAACGTTCTTGAGCGGGTTGTCACGCATTGCACGGGTTTTTGGGTCGTAGTATGCACTCTCAGGATCCAAGTTGATGAGATACTTCGCAGTGTCCTCCCGAATGCGTAGGTTCCGCACGGTGATACGGGTCTTCGTGTCAAGCTTCTGCCCAACCGCGTCCGCCGCCTCCGCATACTTGTCCTGATCCTCGTCCTCCTCGCTGCTGCTCCCAAAGTCGTCGTCCTGGTCCTCCCCCTTCTCCTTGACAGCATGAGCGACCTTGCGAACGGCAGCCAAGTCAGTCGTCGTCTGCTTATCAATCTGCTCCTCGCGCAGCTTCTGCCGCGCAGCCTCGACGGCGGCGTACTCCTCGTACACATGCTTGTGCTCCTCGGGGTCGTACCCGTTCCACCTGTCGCGCTTCGCGTCATACCCGGTGGCAACGTCCTGGACGACCTCGTCCGGCAAGATGTTCTTGTTCGTGAACTTGGCGCCGCGACGGCGGGGCCTCTCGAGGCAATCCTGCTTCTTGTGGGTCATGGCCCCGCAGTTCTCGCACGCACCCTTGCGGTACTTCTTCGCAGCAGGACCGGCCTTGGCGCCGCGTTCGTACCAGTTGTCGAACTTGTCGGCGGAGCGGTCATAGTCTAGCATACGCTGGTGGCTGAGGGTGGGCGCGCCAGTGTCGAGGTACCATGGTACTTGGGCGATGTATTCTGTGACACGGGTGAATAACTGCAGAACAAGAGATGGAGGAGCTACGCACGAGGGATGTGAGGATTGATAGCTTTGCCCTCCTCATCGAGGGCAGCCGGTGCTGTACCTGCTTTGCGAGCAGCATCGAGATCCTTTTGCCGACGGAACTCTTCACGCGAAAGCTTTCCAGTTGCTGAGAAATAGGGTTAACCGCATGAACATGTATACAGAGGATGCAACAAACCTGATGCGGAAGCCATGGCTAGTGAGGAAGAGACACCAAGCGCGCACTTGGGAGAAGCTCAGTAAGCTAAAAAGGATATTTCCTTTCACGTGAGAAAACTTTAACGACGATACCCTATGACAGTGACGAGATTCGAACTCGCGCGGGAAACCCATCACGGTTTTAAGTCAGAACCTAAACGTGACGCCGTAACCACTTGGCTACACTGCCAACGGCAAAGCTGCATTTTTTGACTATATGATGTTAACAAATGAATTAACTGGGTGCCTTAATATCCACGGCTACTGCATACGGGGCGCGATGGACAAAGCCTCCCACCTCAGTGTCATCCTCGACCTGTCTCCATCTCAGTGGTTTTTCTCTGCCCAGCTTTCACCCGTCAATCCTCACCCTCTCACCCTAAAATCCTTTATCTCCCAACTCCTCGTTTTCCTCAACTCCCATATCGCATGTAAGGATGAGAATACCCTCGCCGTCTTTGGCGCACTCCCCGGTCGCAGGTCACTTTCTCCCGCCTTCAGCTATCCATAGTTACTGAGTCGTATGTGTAGTGTGATGCTCTACGCGTCCGCGAACCCCGTCGCTGAAGAGCATGTCGAGGTCGCAGACGCGAACACGTTCCGTCCTTTCAAGATCCTCGACTCGACTGTCGTCCAGTCCATCCTGGACCAGCTTGATGCCCTCGGAGACCCGGAGGAAGAAGGTTCGTACAAACAGCTATACTGCTTGTGTTGCTACTAAAGCGTCCACTTACAGCACCTATAGGTCTTGTTGGGGCGTTGACCAAGTCCCTTTGCTGTAAGGCGCGTCTCATACCACCGTCTTGCACCGCTCACACCAATATCTCAGACATCAACCGCATAACTTCCCCGTCTTCCTCATCCCCAGCGCGAACAGATGAACAAGCCCCTGTCGACCCGCGCATCCTCGTCCTCTCCGTCTCCCCCGACCAATCCTCGTCGTACATCCCCATCATGAACTCCATCTTCTCCGCGCAGAAGCTTGTACGTTCTGCCATTGCCCTCCTGCGTATGTGACACTGACCTGACGTACTTCCCGACTTGTCAAAGAGAGTAACGATCGACGTCTGCACGATATACGGGCCGGACAGTGTATTCCTGCAGCAGGCGGCGCACCTCACAGGCGGCTCGTACATGCGCCTCGACCGTCCCGACGCGCTCCTGCAGTACCTCATCGCAAGTGTCCTTCTATCCTTCCCTCCGTGTACTCGCTGACACGCCATACGCGTATAGATGTCCTTCCTACCGCCGCCGGCCACCCGTCAGCTGCTGTCGGTCCCGACGCAGGATAAGATCGACTTCCGTGCGGCATGCTTCTGCCATAAGAGGATCATCGACATCGGTTTCGTGTGCTCCGTGTGTCTGTCGAGTGCGTAGCCTCGTCCCACTCCTTCTCTTCCATCCTCTCCGAACGCAGCGCGGCTGATATACTCACTTTACGCAGTATTCTGCCAGCCGGTACCCGTTTGCTCGACCTGTCGGTGAGTCCGTGTAGTTCTTGCATACACCGCTAGATTTGAGCCAAGCACGTCACACCCCCTAGAACGAAATTCCCCATCAAGACCCTTCAGCGACTGAATGCTTCCCGCCCCACCGCCATCCCCTCGCCCCCGCGGAATACGTCTGCACCTGCACAATCTCTCCCACCTAACACGCTCGGCTCCTCCCATTTGATAGGCCAGAATGGGGCGGCGCGCACCTAGTTCCTAATCTCGGCCTGTCACTGCAAGTTTGTATGATGCCAACTTTTGTTCGGCCTCGTCCTGTCATGCCCTGCATCATATTACTCCGTCTTGCCCCATCTTCTGCAAATTTGCCCCTCGGACTATACTTAGGCCCCACCTGCGGATCAGAATCAGCGTGAAATGATTGCAGCTGAGGATGTCCACCAGGCGCTCCGTCATCGATGGCGCGCTCATCAGTGACTATCCCCGTTTCCTGGTGGACGGGGTGAACGTTCACCACCACCCCTGCGGGAGAAGTTCCGGTCTGTATCATGTCTGGGTCGGGCTCGATGCTCCGCGTGCTGGTCCGATGGACAGACGTACCTGTATTTATCTACCTCTGCAATAGACGGTGTGATTGCACCAGAACATGGTTTTGAGTTTCGTGTGTCGTGATGCCGTTGGGATGTATCAATTGCGCCAGACCGTAGTGAAGGTTCATCTGCATTCAGAAGGTCCGATGGGACGCGGACATACATGTCTTCGCCCGTGTCAGCAATAGTAATAGAGAATTTTATTTTGCCGGAACACTGTAGGCATCTTCAATGACACTTGCTGTGCATCGGTGGTTATTGTTCGAGCGAGAGCAACCGTCTGCAGTCCGGAACCAGTTCGGCGCAGTTCGAACAGCCCGAAAATATTGTGATCGCAATGTCATTTCCACCCATAATACACTCATCATACGGCGTCCATAGCTAAGGCACCGTAATGGGTAAGAATGGGAGGGAGCGGCGGTGCCTCAGAAGTCACGCTGAACCTGCAACCATCACCGAACCTAGTCCATCACGCTCCTGCATTCCAGAAATCTGCGGGAGCACACCTTTCTTCCACACTTTTCCGCACCTCCCACCCATATCCCTTCCTCACATCTTCCTCCCACCGCCCGGGCGATCTCCGAGTCAGCACGGTGGGCTCGCAGGCTTGCTCCGTGCCGCACTCCCGGTGAGCGACCCAAATATCTAGGCCGCGGGGCGGGCACCATCACTCCGCACTCCGTGCGCGTTCGTGGGAGGCTCGTGCTCACGCTCGCTCGAGCGGCAGGGAAGTGATGTAGATGGGGGCTCCAGCGACGTGTGATAGCTCCGCGCGCTGATGTCGCAGGACGAGGGCCTGCAGTGCAGAGGATAATAACACAAAAGCAATCAGCTGGTGCTTGGGGTGGACTGTAGGATATCGTCGTACCCTGGGCTTCGGATCGAGCGAGGACGCGTAGGCCACCGCCATGGTTTCCGTGGTGAAAGCGCACCAGAGGCGGGCTGTTATTGTCGATGAGGGTCTGCCAATCCCACGCGGATTAATTGAATAGACTCACCGGCGACGGTCCTCGAATCGCTGCGCTCCTTCACCAGCAGTAGCACACCCGCCTGGGGCGATTGCTCACCGCGGCGTTCGCAATCCTCTGCTCGGCGAGTCACTTTTTTCGCCAACGGATAAAAGAAGACGTAAGGGTGGTACGTACTGTAGAATTCGCCTAGAACGCGCTCGACGACGCTGTGCGTGTCATCGTCGGACGCCGCGACTGCGTCGCCGAGGGTCTTCGCGAGCATTGAGCGGATAATGTGTTCGCCTGTGCCTTTATCGACAAAGCGTATTAGACATATAACCTGGGTGATGAACGGAACCAGAGACCAGAAACGCTGCAGGCGACGCCGCGAGGCCCTTCTCCATTCTCTCGGTCTTTTGCCCAACAGCCCGCACCGTAAACTGCGGCCTGGCAATTCAAACGACGTGTGATGGTCAGTGATGTTCGTCACAATGAATTATTACCATACCTCTCCAACGCGTCCCGGGTGTTTGAGCAGTAACCCACCGCTGGAGCCAGCATTTCATTGAGCGTACAGGCTTTAGACAAGGTTCAACAATGAGTCTACCTTGATACCCCTGTGGAGGTGTTGCCTTCCGCGTCAAGCGCGACCGCGCCCACGGTATCTTGGATAGCGCGTAGGCTGTCTGCCGTCGACGGACTGATGGGTGAAGTCGAACTTTGCTCAGACGGCACCGCTTCGTCTGACGGGTTGCCAGCAATTGCGGAGTCGAGTTTTGTCTTCCATTTCATCCATTCTTCCTTCGCCCGAGGAGAGATCAACGATTCTGCAGACACAGTTTCAACGCCTTTTGATTCTGCGAACTTTGTAGCCCCGTCGGACACAAGCAACCTGCGCAGCGAGCACAAGAATAAGCGTCGAAGTAGCGGGAATGTACGGAATGAATAATAGGCGTGCGCACAGCGGTGGAATTCTTCCCAATGGGTCCGGTACGCGAGAGTGCTCTAAGACGGCTCGAGCAGCCTTGATTGGATTCTTGAGCCCTACATTTATAGGGTATAAGACTTCAAGTACTGTAAAATCACGGTGCGCGAACCAGACACCGCCCCGACGCCGCCAAAATCGCATGTTCGCCCATCCATGACTGCCGCATCACACTCGACCGTCCCGTTGCGGGTCAAATTGGAGCCAAAACCTGGCCAGGAGAGCTTCGGTGACAAGTTCACTGCGCGGACGCCTAGCTGAGAGGGTGCGGACCTGCGTTAAGGCACGGGTCATCCTCGAGAAACGTGATGCTGTCTTCCACTACTTTGAGAGCCGGGTCACCGGCCTTGAGAGCGTCAACGGCGCGGGTACATGCTCTGGGTAAGGATAGGGTAGGGCCGCGGTGACCTGACCGAATATCGGGACGTACAGTTTGAGGGCTTTCCTGAGTCCCTTGTCAAAGGACTTCGCGTGGGTTCCTGCGCCGCCGTGTAGTGCAATGAGATAGAATTGTTCCGCCATGCGTGAAAGCGTACGCAGAATTTGAGAATACTCAGAACGCGGAAGTTGTTTGAAGTGGCGTGAGCGCGGGAAACAAACAACAGCACATAACGCGTCCACATTCGCCACAGACGCGAGTCGTTCTTAGAGTACTGACGCACTCAACTGATCTTTGATTGTTCCAATATCGAACTCAGCAGATGGCCTATCACGTCGGTGTACTTCCTGACGGTCAGCCATCAATTCTTGCTACTCTCTTGCAAGTTCATGACCTGTGGCTTTGTGTAGATGTCCTCCAGACATTGGTCGCGAAGCTGAACCGCGACAGTGCAGAAGAAGAGAACAGCTCAGAGGGACTGCGTTTCGTGAGACTGCCTCACCCTAGAACGGGTAATTTATCCAACTTTTGACCACAGCATGCTGATTCGTTGAGCTGTCGGGTCATCAGGCATTCCCTCGTTGTTCCTCCCGTACCAGACACCTGATGATTCGAAGAGCTCCCTACTGGAAGTTCAAGCAGTGTCTCCGCCAAACCCGCGATCTTGGTTCATGTCTCATGGAGAGATTTTGGACGGTACGTAGGGCTCGGTGTAGGGCCCTGGGGATGTGCTGACTGCCTGCTAGACGGCAAGCTTCTCGTCATGACTCCCATTGATCCTGCTTTCGTGCTTATTCCTATCTTGCAGTGCATACATCCGGTAAAAACACCCGTTCTGAAATATCATCAACTGATTGATTATTTTTCCAGATTGATGGAACATCGAATAACTTCCGTACCATGGAAGATATTCTTGAGGAAGCGGCTGCGAAGGTAGCCGGGAAGAGTTCTGCACTCGACTTAAAGGATCCATCGGCTGTTTGCTGCGTCAATGACATCCTCCATCTCTTGTCTTTTACATGCATACAAGGCGCGATGAAGCACCTATGCGAAGTAAAAGGTGTGCTTCAATGCGCTATGCTTGGGAGTTCGGTGCTGACTAGCTCGCCTTAGAAATAACCGCAGACATCGTCGTATATCGATACACGCCTGCCAAGGTGCAGGACTATCTAAGGTTGAAAGTCGGTCGCCTCGCCTCGCCAGAAATCTTTGAGGGCTCGCGGACGTTGACGCGCAATTTGGCCAAGGAGGGACTGATGGACGACGGGAAGGAAGCTCTCTTGGAATGTCAGCTCGCTTTCAATTAATATCTTTAGCATCGTCTGATGCAATGCATTTACTAGCTGGTCGCCTTCGGGGCGCATGCAATCTCATCTCGCATTATATCTCTCAGGAGCTGCACACCGCCTTGCTGGCGTCATACGAGTGAGTGTGCCTTGCTAAAGACATTTGGAGTGACGTGCTGATCATCCTTCAGCTTCACTGCCCTAAATGCACATCTTAAGGCTGCAGAGCAGGTCCTCGTAGCGCTCACTGCGGAGAACATGAACAAGGCAGAGAAGAAGGAGAATAAGATAAAGAACGGTGGGGCGGCGGAGAAGAAGCGGAAGGGGCAGAAAGGGTCGCAGGGAGTGGAGAAATTGAAGAAAGCAAACGTGAAGGGGATGGCTCAGATCTCGAGTTTCTTTCAGAAGTCGACAAAGTAGAACCTCCCGTTGTCGCCTGTGCACGCGTGAGGGAACGCGTCGCGGACATTGGAACTCCGCCAATTCGCATCCTGTCACCGACGTTCATGTTCGTTCTCGCCGGCTATTACTAGTCCCTTGTTCAAGTCTGACTGTCGGCAAAGGACCGAGACAACTAAGATGTCGACCAAAGATACATTCGCAAAGCAGTATATAGAACGCAGTGTGCAAACGGACATCCTAGCCCAAATCGTCACCCCTCCTTCGCCAACTCTCTCCACTCGCATGTCTTCAGTACTTTCAAGAACCTCAGACTCTGTAGCCGCCGGGCACTCGCCAAGTCCCAGCCATTCGCGTAGCTCGACGCAATTCGACATAGAAAGCGCATATAGCCAGACCACAGACGGCTCTAGCCCAACACACTCGTTCTCAACCACAGCCCGTACGTACAAGCGCCAACAGATCGCCTTCAACAGGCCCTCAAAACCCTTCAAGATCGCCTCCACAAGATTGGTGTCGCTTCCCGAGACCGTATCAGCGTTCTCCACAAAGTCTGCCTTGCAGAAGACCGCGCGCGTGGTGTCGATGCCCACATCGCTGGAGGACCCCAGCCTGCTTTCGGACGACTTTGATCTGTCTGCACACTCGGGAGAGCCATTCATATCCGAGGACGAGGAGGGCTCGCGTGTCCGTGTCCATTCCCACGCGACGGACACACCGCACACGCCCTCTCCGCCATCCTCCCCCGAATCAATACTCATAATCGCGAACAAGAACTCGCTCTCTGAGGGCTTTTTGCGACATAATATACGCATCGAGGAAACGTCGACTCCGCACCCCGACAATGAAGGTTCGTGTTATATATGGTAAATGATTGCTACCTCTGTTCTGACACTGAGAATCAGGTTGGATCTCATGGGCGAACTCTCCACCGCGTCCTATCCCTGCTCTCCATGGTCCGCTGTCACTGCCATATGCGCGTTGCCCTTCGTAAGTTGCTTCTATCGATTTATCGTTCGATATCTCACCCGCGTCTTCTTTCATTAGCGGTGCTGAAGGAACAATCATAGACGAGCAAGACCATTTGCCTCGTATTATTTGGGGTCTGGAGGGCGAAGATAATCCATCCAGCCGTCCTCGCTCCGAAGCTGTACCATCGCCGCAATACGCTCCCAATCCACTTCCCTCTCACTCCGGACATTCCAATGTTCCTCCGCGATTCCAGAATGCAAATGTCAGAATTGAGGTTGAGTCAGGTTTACGCACTCAGAAGCATAATCCCCAGGAACTCAAACGGACACCCGTCACAGCCACCCAGCCTAAAGTTCAAATTCCTGGGTCACAACCTCAATCTAAGCCTTTGGTTCTGCCTCAATCCCAGCAAGAGATCGTCAGATATCCTCTGCGCGGTCAAGAGCCAATTGATCTCAGCACCATTATGCATCAACAAGCTGAAGTCGCTAGCACTGGCTACCACTCGGACTATGATTTCTACAGGGCTCGCGCTGTGGGTTCTCTTGAGCACGATCTTCATGTGCACGATATCGGCCGTGAGCTTGGTATCGACTGGACTGCGGCTCTGCTTGCTCAAGAGAATATGCGAAAATCTGGTTACCTGTCTTCTACTGGCTCTCACTCGCTTAATGATCACCGGGACAACCACAAGTCTTCTACTCTTTCAGGCGCATCTCCGCTTTCTCTCGAATACCTTGCATCGTCTCACTCTCCCATCGTCCTGGAACCGCCCAGTCAAGTCAAGTCTCGCAGCACCGCTCCGCACCGCCCGTCTGCGCTCGAGATTGCACAGCAGTACCGTCAACAGCAATTACAGCAGCAACATCAGCATCAGCAGAGTTTACTGCCTACTCCTCCGAACTCTTCGTCGCCTATATGGTCCTCGCACTTCTCGCCCTACCAAGACACTCTGATCTCTCCAGAGCTTCTCTCTGTTCCTCGCTTGTCAAAGCTCTCACCTATAGGGTTGCAATCCAATACCGCTTTTCTACATCCTGAGGTGACTCAGCAGCTACGGTCGTCCCTTCAAGATAGGTCACATGCATCTGGTCTCCTCGGTCGCAAAGGTAATTCTGCGTCCTTAGCTCTACCCGCTCGCATCGAAGACGATCCCGTGCGAGTTCGTTCGCTCTTGCCCGATGGTTCGAACACTGTTGTCTCAAACACCGTCTCGAGTTACCTGCACTCTCAGACCCGCAAACAGCGAAGTACCGCTCCGGCGTCGCATGTCGATCGTTCACCCACAGTACCCAGACCGCCGCCGAACACGCCCCTCAGCACCGTCTCCTCCCCATCTACAGCAATACGCAACAATCATACCCAGACTCAGATCCCGATGGCCACGCCTCCTTCACCGACGTCTCCGAAGCCGCGGCTGCGCAGTATCACCCAGCAGCATGCGCGGTCCATTCCTCTCGCCCGGCTCGTCCAACGCAGGCTGTCCTCTGTCCCGGAAGAGGACGCCGGCACCCATCCTGACCTCAGAACTTCGTCCTCACCTGTCCCATCCTTGGCGCAGAGGGCCCGCAGCTACTCGTCGGGCGAGTCACCGGTACCTCCAAACGTCATGTTCTTACTGTCGCCGCCGTCACCGCTCCACGTCAACACGCGGTCCCCGAGCCCCATCCAGCCGTCCCAGAGCAACGCCGCCGACAGAAATGAGGCAGGCTTTTTGGATGTGGGAGTTGGCTCGCACGCGACGGTGAAGTTACCGGGCGGGGGAAGAGCTGACCGTGGGCGCGGTGTCGGCCTTAGTGTAAGTGGGTCTGGGTCTGTGCAGCATGACAGTAAGAAGGACGTGGTGAGGGGACAGGAGAACCATCGCGGCCGAGGATCGAGGAAAGGAGGGCGCGGGAGAAAGGGCAGAGGCGGAGGTATGCAGCATATATTCAATGGATCCGAGAGGGTCGACGGTGGATTGATGGTCAAGTCTTGAGGTGAGTAGTTGGCAGCATACCTGACTTGTGTGTGCTAACTGCTTCATATTCTCATTTGCAGATTTCCCTATCTGTTTTGTTCTGTATTCGTTCAGCGTCTTCACCATGTTTTCGTTTGTCCCAACTGTATTCGTAGCTGTCTTCCGCGACTCCTCTTCAGTTTGTATTCCCACTCTTCTCCAGCATGTCCCTGTTTATCCATTGCAACATACTCCCCTCGGCTTGCGGACTCATGTATCGATAGTCCTTTGGGCTCATCAAGTCATCCTTCTTTTTCTGTCGATTACTTTACTAGTACTGTAATATTAATGACCCCACTCGATAATTTGAAACGCTGTATCACTCGCATTGTTATGTATCGTACTCCATAATCGATGATCTTCATCAATCAGGGGTTGCGTTTAACAACCTGTCACCGCGCGCTGTCCGACCATGTCACTGCTCACTGCCTCCCAACAATTGATCTCTGATGTGCGCAACATCATACCGGCACCGAAGCCACTCATCGTGGGTCCATATGGGCTCAAGCACACTACGCACCCATATCACAATCAACCAGGCAACGCACACCAGAGCGAACGGTAAGCTAGAAATTCCAAGGAGGAGTACCCTACACAAAGAACTTTCCAATAACACAAGCAGCAAATATTACGCATTACAAGACTGTGCTACAGTTCAGAACTAAGTAAATAACCTGAGACAGTGTCCGACAGCCCGTCGCGCCGTTGGTACGTGTATTTGCGTGTATGGATGCAGAGTGCTCCAAGCGCGCCCCGCCTGAGGTGTCCAGACCTCGGATAGAGCTTGGAGCCGCAGAGTCCCCGTATGTAATGGATAGCGAAAGCGAGAGTGAGAAGAAAGAATGGGCTGTAGAGTGACATGTGGTGCCGTGGGCGATGAATATATGTATGTGCATGGGAGGGTGTGAGTGAGTGCGATGATCGAATATGAATGGACAAGCAAAAAGAGAGTTAAGTTAGGGAGAAGCCAAATTAAACGTGCAGGGGGATAGCATTCAACACTGGGTTGCGTGGGCGAGACCGGTACGGTCATGGATTTGGGCTAGTGATGGATATGGACCGGGACGTTATACAAGGGCAGAGGGATGGCGGCGAGAGCTTGGTAACTCTTCTGAGATACGGAAGATAAGGAGGGTGTTTGCGCGGCGGGGCCGCGACGGCCGCGAGTCAGATGCCCGCAGGAGGTGAGTCGGAATTCGCGCCGACGTTCAGGCCGGCCATCGCCGTCTCCAACGACGAATGCTCGCTCCGGCTTGAGCTCGGACGTGAGTTGCTGCGCGCTCGTGTCAGTCTCGCGCTACAATCCCAAGGCCGAAGGGAATGGAACTGATACGCACGTGTCACTCGACTTCCTGCTCTTGGGCCAGCCCCAAACTTTGCGCATCCAGTACGCCATGTTTACATCGCTTTGCATTACATTCACTATCCACGGGTGCGTGAGCATGTCCTTCGGCGTTGGGCGTGCTGCAGGATCGCGCGTGAGTCTGTGCAAAAGGCCGTGATCAGTCTGCAATACGACGAGATACAAACAGCGAAGACACATACGTAGCTTTAATGAAGTCCTTCATCTCTGGACTCCATGCTATGTCTTCCTCGTCTTCCAACTCCGGCGGCTGCAAAGGGCGAGCGGTAAGCGTCAATTCGGTGACGTAAGTCACGGTGTGAGACGCGCACCTCGTTCTGCGTGATGTGCATCATGAGCTCGATCGCAGCAAGATCGTTTGGGAAGGGAAAACGATTCTGGACCAGCTCAAGGAGGGAGATGCCTGTTGACCACACATCGGAGCGGATTGTGTATTCCAAGCCGGACAGGCGTTCCGGCTGATCGCAGCACCGGACATCGCTGATCAGCGCGCACTCGAGACGGAAATGAAGGACTTACCGCCATGTAGAGACTAGTACCGGTGAAGGTACCAGCGATAGAATTCACGAGCTCGCCAGAGACACCGAAGTCGCATAGCTTCACGATGCCTTCGCGCGTGAGCAGGATGTTGGGCGGCTTGATGTCGCGGTGTATAGTCTTCTTCGAGTGAAGATATGCGAGGCCCTGCAAGATCTACGCATCGCGAGCGTCAGTGAATGAGATGGTTGCTATGTACATGATACGTACCCCTTCCGCGAGCCGCCCGGCGACCTTCTCGCCGACGCGCCCGCCGATCTCGCGCATACGCTTCCCGACCGATTCGAGGCTGCCGCCCTCGCCGTATTCCATAAGGACCTTGACCTCTCTGGAGGATGGGGACATGTACGCGCCGAAGAAGTGGATGATGTTGACATGAGATGTGGTAGAGATGATGCGGATCTCCCGCAGCAGTTGGTTCATCGGTGCCTCCAGCGTGGTGATCGTCTTGCGGGCCATGACGGTGCCAGTGCTGCGGTCACGGACCTTGTAGACGGCGCCGCCTGCGCCCTCACCGAGTCGAGCGAGCTCCTCGAGAAGGTCGTCAGACCAGTGATCGAACTCCTCAACGGTTTGGCGAATGTTATCAATGGAGACAGGCGGTGGTGCTCGTGGACGTGGTGAGATAGTGACCTCTGGTCGCAGTGTGAGTTCCCCCGGGCTATCGGTTTGACCATTGGAGTGTGCAGTGGAAGATACGGGCTGTGTCTGTTGGCCACCAGCGTAGCCACCGGCGAAAGCCTCCTCTGTCGATATGCTCTTGAAGTCGAGCTTCAACTTGAGACGGGGTGAAGCGACCGGCGGATGGGGGTTTGGCATGTCAAGAGTGAGTGTGGGTGTGGGCGATCTCATGCCGTTGACTGAAGGAGGTTGGAGGAGACTGCTGAAACTGGACGTGCTGCCGTTGATGCTGCCATTAGAGTCTCTGTGTACTTTGCGGACATTGAGGGGGGCAACCTCGGGGAGAGAATAGTGTGAGGAGGAACGCTGAGGAGAGGCAGCGCGCTGGATGTTGCGGGGACCGAGAGGGCGAGCAGGGCCAGCTGGGTGCATCATGGTGGTCGACAACAACTGCTCGGGGCGCTTCACACCTTCTCAAAGCCACTTACTCTACTGCCAAGCACGTGACCACTTCCCCAGTCTCGAGCCATAGCGAACGTACGGTGTATTCGTAGTATCCACGCTAAGTCACTCGATCGATGGGCTACCTCCTCCATGTGTCTACCACGCCCTCCTCACCCGTCCCATGCATGTTCTTGCCTCGGCAGAGTTACCACGACAACCCCCGCGTCCTTTCGCTCTCCCATCCACCTCCAGCACGGCCCGCAAATAACGAAAGGGCTCTCCCCGAGTCGCACGTCACCGACGATGGCAAATACCGCGGGCACCTTGTTGCACGCTCGGCAGATGTCCAGCAAAGGCGGTGTGATTTGTGTGGTAAGAGGAAACGCCGCGTGGGGAGGGTCAGAAGGATGGTGCAGTCTAGGTCGGTCCGACACTCTGCGTGAATACGAATGTAAGCAGCACATGAGTCTGTCACGTACCGGATCTCGTCCACGACCACCAAATGTTCGCAGTTGCCTGCGTGCAGCAGCCAGTAAGGCTCATGCAATCGGAGGGACAGGGACCTGAACGATGTATCGTGCATGGTGGGACCCCTTTTCAGGCGTGGTTCGCTATCATCACCCTCCTCCTGCGATGCATTCACCATCGCAACGAGTTTGCTGGAAGGCACGCGGTGTGAAGATGGGTTGTTAGGATGCTGCAGCTAATCGTTGACTTACTCGGAATAATCCTCTGCACTCTGACCGTCTCCGTATGCAACACCGTCGATGCAAATCACACAACCGGTGCTTTCGTCCGTATCCGCTGATGTTTCGTAGCCAGCGATTCCGCCGTCGTCGCCTACACACTCCTTTGGGATCTCACTTGACCAGCAAGGAATGACGTCAAATAGGTCGCCGATGGTCTGTGACGACAACAGGACATGCTGCGAGGAACGGGAATGAAGGCGGTTTCCCCAAGGAATCCTGTTGTAGATCGTGACGAACACCAATGCTTCACGCGTGTCCGCAGAGCTGCTACCCACGGCGAACTCTTTCTATCAAGAAAACGCGTAAATACGCGAGCAACTCGCACCGACTCTTGAGGACACGAACCGTACAAATCAGTGTGTTGTGATCAGAATGCTTGGGTGGTCTAATGAACGACGCAGCATTGATCGTCAGTCTGCAATTATGCTTAGTAACACTCGGGCCACTGCAAACTATCTAGACTTACGGCCAGCTCTTGAGCTGAATGACATCCATCTTCATCCTCAAGGCCGTGACCTCAGGATGCTCCTCAGCCGGTTCCGTGACTGCCGTCCGTTTCCTCTTCCTCCGATTCGACATATCGGCAGTTTCGTATATCGCATGGACGTCAACATCGTGAGACTTGGTTACGTGGGCCACGAGACGCGGATTATTGTACACATCGAGCAGAGTGTTTTGGAGGTCGGTGACACTGTTCTAGGGCGCATGTCAATGGAAGGTGATTGGAGTAGATGCAAGTTTATTTCATATAGCTGGACAATACGCCCAGACTGCCACACGACTTCTCTCGCCAAGGATAGATGACATACAGTCATCGACGCTTGACGAGAGGAGGTGGGTTAGACTAGAGTGTGTTCCGAGAGATTATCCGTCCGGAGATAAAAACGTGGCGCACCTACACTCCGCGGTTATCGCAGCCTGCTCATCAGACGAAAGATTCGCCCATGCCTGTTTCGCGACCCCGGAAGAAGAGGGAGCGAACAGCTGACATGGTGGCTGTTCCTGTTCGCGCAGCGCAGCGGACTGAACGAAGTCCGAGAGAGATATGTACTCCGAAGGAGGTCCGAACAGAGATTCGTGCGCTTGACCTTGGCCGAGATTCATGAGGGGAAGTGAAAAAAGAGCGGGACGTGTGGGGTTGGACCTTGGGGTCACGGTAATGTCAATAGCCTGAGCGCCTAATGAAGGCGTTTATCAGCGCGCTCGACGACGACCAGCGCCTGCAGCCAGAGCCGTCCTCCTGAGCAGTCCGTTGCCCATGTTGTCCTCAACCCGCCTTACTCTCGTCCGCAGCCTTCGCTCCCGCTCCCCCCTCGCGCCAGCACACACCGCTGCCCTCTCCTCCTTCTCCGCTCGCCGACCCGCTGTTTTCCCTGTGACAGCATTCAAGGCGAATTCCCGCAACATGTCTAGCCATGCAGAGTCCGCCGTCCGCCCCGAGCCCGACCAGGTGCTCCAGGACATCGCAGACTACGTGCACAACTACAAGATCGACTCGGACATAGCTTTCGAGACGGCGCGACTTTGCCTGATCGACACCATCGGCTGTGGTCTCGAGGGTTTGCGCTTCCCCGCCTGCGCGAATCTCCTCGGACCAGTGGTCGAGGGCACCGTCGTTCCGAACGGTATGTGAAACTGCTTCAAATTTCATACCCAGGACGTTTTATATCCAACATTTTTGCCTCTGCAGGCACGCGGGTCCCTGGCACGAACTACCAGCTCGACCCCATCCGCGGCGCTTTCAACATTGGCACCCAGATCCGTTGGCTCGACTTCAATGACTGCTTCCTGGCCGCAGAGTGGGGCCATCCCTCCGATAACCTCGGAGCCATCCTGGCCGTTGCGGACCACCTCTCCCGCAAGGGTGAAAAGTTCACCGTCCGCGACATCCTCGAGGGGATGATCAAGGCACATGAGATTCAGGGCGGCCTCGCGCTCTTGAACTCCTTCAACCGTGTCGGCCTGGACCACGTCGTCCTTGTCAAGGTCGCGAGTACCGCGGTCGTGTCTAAAATGATGTCAGTAACTCCGTGTACAGGGATAGACCCGCGTTATGCCTTCGTAACCAGTTTTTTTGGATACTCATGACTACCCCAATTTCAGCGGTCTTGACCGTGCGCAGACAATTGATGCCATTTCGCAAGCATGGGCGGATGGCCAGTCTCTCCGTACTTATCGACACGCACCCAACACTGGCTCACGCAAGTCATGGGCGGCCGGCGATGCCTGCTCACGCGCAGTGAACCTTGCTTACCTCGTTAAGAAGGGTGAGAAGGGCATGCCGTCGGTGCTCACCGCCAAGACTTGGGGCTTCTACGACGTTCTCTTCAAGGTGATATTTTCGTTCCGCTTCCTCGCGCCCTCGGTGCGTTCGAATTCGTGACCAACCGCGATCTTTTCGTCCCAGGGCAAGCCTTTCCAGTTCCAGATGCCATACTCCTCGTACATCATGGAGAATGTACTCTTCAAGATCTCCTACCCTGCCGAGTTCCATGCACAAACCGCCGTGGAGGCGGCACACATAATCTACGGCAAGCTGAAGGAGCTGGGCAAGACCAGTGACGACATCAAGAGTATTCGCATCCGGACACAGGAGGCGGCCATGCGCATCATCAACAAGAAGGGGCCGCTTGACAATTTCGCCGACCGAGAGTGAGTATAATCGCGCTGACGCCAGTCGCAAAGCGTCCGAACGTCCTTGAGAAGTCGGTGAGCTGACCACTTCCGCTCCAGCCACGACATCAACTACATGGTCGCGTACCCGCTCATTTTCGGCGAGCTGACGTCGCAGTCCTACACGGACGCGTCTGCCGCGGACCCGCGGATTGACGCTCTCCGCGCCAAGATCGCCTGCGTGGAGGAGCAGCGCTATAGCGTGGACTACCACGAGCCGGCGAAGCGCTCGATCTCGAACGCGCTGCTCGTCGAGCTGAACGACGGCACAGTCCTCGACGAGGTTGAGGTCGAGTACCCCGTCGGCCACAAGCGCCGTCGCGCCGAGGGCACCCCGCTCTTGATGCGCAAGTTCCAGAACCATATCGCGCCGCACTTCGACCAGGCGCAACAGAAGAAGTGAGTGTCCCCGTCGCTCGAGTCCATCGCGGAGCGAGCAGCTGCTGATCCGCGTGCCTTCCAGGATTTTGGGAACAGTCAACGACGCGTCAGGCCTTTCCAAGCTTCCCGTAGACAAGTTCACGGACCTCTTCGTCAAGGCGTGAATGCGGTTCGGCAATATAGTGCTGCGGTGGTTGGTCTTGTTGTCGTCTTTGGGTGCCGCTGCTTGCCCATAAGCATAATGTTTTGTGCGGGCAGTGATGAGTGCTAAAAATTGGAAACCTCTCGGGTCATCTGGAGCCAATGCGGTTGCAGGCACGCATTATCCGCCAATGTACATATTAGCTACTGCGTTCTCAACGGAAGCTTACAGTCATGCTGAACTCCTGAGGCCTGAGTTGATGCACTTGCGACCCTGCTAGTCTGATCTCGCCGGTGCGGTATTTCGGGGAGATAGAAGCAGTGGTGTGCGAGCGTCTCGACTATTCCGAGGTCCCTGGACCTCAAACTAGCGATATATTTCTAATGTAACTGGGAGTTGAACTGAGGTGAACCAACATGAGCCCTGGGGCCCCCGCGGTATTTGCCACTCACCGATGTGAAAGATTAATCAAGCCAGACAAGCCGGTGTCAACACTACATCTTAATATCTTGACGATGACACGAACACGATGATACAGTGTGTATCAGCATGTATGCGCGAATGAGAGGACACGTTGGCGCTGCATTCAGTGCTGTCGACGGCGGACCGACGACGCCGACGCAGTTGTGGCGGAATCCCGGTGCGTGACAGATGCTGCCCCAAGCTATGCACCCATTGGACACGAATACAGAGAAGGGAGGCCGCTGAGTTGTTCCGGGAAGCTTCGCTGTCAGGTGAACGAGAAGGGAAGCTGATCTGATTCGCATCACGATTCCTCTGTACCACTTAGGGCAAGGGAGGGCATGCCTTACGCGGGAGCAAGCACTGTTCGTAGTTATTTCTTACAGATTTCACAGAGGAGAGCACTTATCCGCATATCCGCGAAGAGACGACCCAACGATTGGCACAGTCGTACACCTAGTTGGATGCGTTGGCAAAGTGCGAGACAGAAGACTGGTCCTGTGCGGCGCTGGCGCTGGCGAAGCCGCGGACGAGACCAATGAGCAGAGACCGAGAACAGATGAGTATCAACTAAAACAACAATGCACAGTGAAAGCACCGAAGTCGCCCAGCGCCAAAATGACCCGAAACTTTATCTTGAGGTGTATGATCATGGTTGTTCGGTATAGCGGCCCCTGATCGTTGCGGCATGCACCCTCCATATACTGCAGCATTAAAAGTCAAGAAGGCAGGAAGAGAACGCGCAGAGCTTCAGAGAGTAGAAGGGAGAACTATGTTCTCGATAATCCAGTGACGGAAGGATCGTCTGTCTTGCCCCCGTTGGCTACGAGGTCGAGGGATAACATCTTGTCTAACGAGGACAGAAACAATTATGGGTATCCTCGGGCGTCGCTGATACTAAGACATTCCTCCGAATGATGTGTAGGGAGCCATGGCCTTGGGATAATGCCTTCACTCTAGTTCGAGCTGCGAACATGTATTATTGCTATATTGTTGGTCGTGGTCGTTCCACATACCCGGTGCTGAAAGAGGTGGATTCACCGTAACGCTAACGCGAGGGCGAAATTCTAGATCTGTCACAATGTAGTGAGGATAGGGCAAAGACACGCGCGTTGCGCACCTCGGTTTTTTCACGTATAACGGCAGCACATAATACCGCGGACACTGGGGCTGAATCATGTTTCCGATCTAGTCCATATTTAGGCCACTAGTAGATACTGTATGATCGGAGGCAATGTCACTGTCCGGCGGAGAACACAGAACACAGCGCCGGTGTGAACCGTTTTCTCCATCAAACTTCATGATGGGCCCAGCACGGGAGTGCTGAGCAAATTTTTGACAGAACCAGCACGTAATACGGCCGCGCAGTAACGTGAACTCTTCATATGTACTTACTGCCGCTGCAGACTTGTGTGGGTCCTCAGCGAGTCGGCGAAGTTCCTCTGGATGATGCATAGTAGCCGACAGCCGTAACTTCGCCGCTGTACTACCCCTGCTATCTGACGTATTCTACACGTCTCTGGGTGATTGCGACGTACCGCAACCTCAGGCTGATGCTGACTGCAGACGGTTGTGTACTCACCTGTAAGCAGACGCCTTGCTCGAACCTCTAGCGTCTGATTCACGATCCCGCGAGGCTCTTGTAGGATGATCGGCGCAACGGTTCAGGTTGCGCTGTAGCCGACCAACGTTACAAGAATAGCTGAGAGATCTAGAGAGGAGATAGAGCCGGGGTATGCGTACTCACGTCCTCGCCTGTGATAGGCGGCGAACAGCAATGTGTACTGCAGTAGCTGAACTTCAAGAAACGCCGTCGACGATCGAGATGCCAACGGACTTGGAGCCTTCAGTATTTGTAGCCGACTTTTAGCTCCCACCTCACATGGTTTGACATTGAACGCGTCCTCCGCCCTCTGTTCTTCATCTCGCTTGGCCGGCTGGCTGTCTGCACGCCAGCGGGTCTCGCTGCTGGTCGTGAAATGCTTACCATCGTCATATCTTCGTCTGACCAAGACGGTGCACACGTATTGAAAGATTTGCGGTCATTTCTGATAAACAGTATGTCACGTCTGCGGCGGTCCTGGTCCTGGAATACCGTGCATCAAGAGAATGTGTCTTCTGCGCATCTTGCAGGCAACATGCTTGGAACGTGCGTATCTAAGAACACTGCTGCAATTTGTTCTATCGTTGGTGATTGGCGACTATAGGATGGTCCTGTCAGTCCGCCCCGACGTACTGCGGGTCAACGCTGTCGTCCGAACAGATTCTTGATGGCCAACATGATCACCGGATCGTCAATTTGTCCGACATATGGAGGCTTTGAGCGCTCATGGTTAATGCCGGGCTGTTCTCACTTCGGGGAACTTCGTTCTCATGCCTGATGCATGATGCCCATGAATTCGATTCCTTGATAAGGTTCGTAATCACCATTGTTTGTCCATTTTTAGGTCTAACGTACGAATGAGGCGTTCCTTTTGTCCTGTCCTCTCGTGCAGCGAACTGGGTCCTCGAACGATCTAAACCGGGGATCACGACCTATCGTTATGTCTTCCCACAACATTGCAATCCACCGCTGGAACCGGAGATAGCAGCTGTCAGGCGACCATTTGGCCATTCTTCGGCTTGATGGCTGCGTCGTGGCGCAGAATTTGAGAGACGACAGGCTTTCTCATCGATGAGGTGCCTACCGCACGAGGCCAGGGTCTCGCAAAATTTGGTGCGTGTACTCCCTCAAAGCAGGTAACTAGGCTAACCAGAAGAGCACGGGCATAAGAAGATATTTGCAGCCGTCGGACACGAAGCCGGAGCCACCTGCCAACTTCATGATGACCCTGTTTGTTGTGAAGTAAGGCTTCGACGTCTTGACATCGAACCAAACTACGGTCCTATAGGGCCCCTCAGTAGAGATGATTACTTATCTGTGTGTCTGTTGGTGAGGTAAGAGGTGCCCCTTACTCCGGACAGTTGATAGGAACCTCTCCGTTTGGCAAACGTCTTTCACACTCAATGAATGTGGATGCCTGCGAGGAGAGTGGGCATACGGTGTCCAGATTATTTGTATGATGTGGTTCTCGAACTTGCTGGCTTCACGTCGATTTGACAACGGAAGTCGCGGTGTCAGTGCGTATCTTCTGGCATCCTATGGCACTGCCCCGTTGAGATGGCCTTGAAAGCATTCTCATATGGTTCAAGGCATTTTGCGTGCGATCCCGAAGATTTGGCAGGTTGTGGGTGTTCTGGTTCCCTCCCTAAAACGGTGGAGATAATGAATTTGACAGTCCTGGGTTCTACAGCTGGACACGCGCCATCCTCCGTTCATCCAGAGAGGCCGCGGGATATTTACGTTACGACTCAGTTTGCGCTTGCTTGGCCCAATGTTCTGATGAGGTGGTGTCTTTGTTGACTGGTGTCACACCACCGAAAGCCTGAGTTAGTGTGACTGCCGCATCACAGTGAGCCATGGATGGGGTGAAAAGGCTTTGTTTTTTTTCTCTTCTGGCGCTGCAATTTGTTCCCATGGGACTTTCGAACCAAACCGGAACAGTTCGGCGTGATTAGCAGCATCAAACATTGGCCCTGACAAATATAGCGTGAGAAATGATAGTGTCTACGCTCTAAGGAAGAACTCATGATCTTCTTTGGACATTGGGCATTACGTTCGGTGTTCTGTGGGGGAAAATAGAGAATACATGAGGTGGGTGAGGGACAAATATTAGCAGGCGGTGCAAGGAAGTGCCGTGGGCGGAGGCAAATGAGGGAACCGGCCGCAATTGGTGCTGCGTGGTGTTACGGAGTACACCGTCGCACGACCTGAGAAATCCGAAATTTCCATGTCGTCTTTCCCTTCACCTTCAGATCCAGAATCGTGATTCCCCCGATTTGCCATCATCCGCAACAGCAATCAGCTCATGCTCTCTCCTTGTTGGTTTCTCTCATGACCGACTTAAAGCATGGATAAGTCCCGACTTCCTCCTCCTCACCACAATCCCCCACAATCCATGGCAGACAACATGCATTTGTCCGTCGCTCTTGCTTTCCTCCCAGACGCGTGCTGACATACCTCCAACTATAGCCAGGCCAGCCATTATTCCCAGGCGTACTTCGTCCCGCCCCAGGTTCCGGGCTCCATGCATGTTGTCGCGTCGCCGCCACGGCAGGATACCACTGCGCAAAGAAAGCGTCCAAAATATACCCGCAGTAAAACTGGTTGTCTCACATGCAGGGCCAAAAAGATCAAGGTCTGTACTGGCTAACGTGGCACACCTCGTCGACGCTAACCTCACTACAGTGCGACGAATCAAAACCGAACTGCATGCGCTGCACTCATGGCCAGCGGGAAGTACGAACGCGTCCATAGTCCGTGACATATGCTTGACCTGACCTTTTTGCAGTGTACGTGGCCGGAAGGTGTGCCGCCGCGTAAGAAGACCGTACCGAAGCACGAGCCTGCGCCCGAGCCCAGTCTCGATACTGGTCTGGATACGCGACCATCCACTGCAGGTTCGTCGGGGATGTCGGAGACGTCTACCCCGCCTACTCGTGACAACACCCCCCCTGGGCGGGAGCCGATGGAGCTGGGGCTACCTCCGATCATGTCGCGTCGTCACACGTGAGTATTTACTATGGCGCTGTATCTGTATCTTACGGGTGCGTCCAGCGAGCCTGTGTTGCACGTCCCCGGCGTTGAGAGTGGCACAAGTCGAAGACAGAGGTGAGTTGATGCCGTGTTCAACGCGCACATGGCTGACATACGGCAAGTCTGGTACCAATGTCTTCAACGACAGCTCAAGGATACGCGATGCACCCTACATCTAGTCAAATACTGCCCGCGATACCCGAGTCGGAGTCGTCGTACTCTGCTCATCAATACCCTCACTCGTACTCTAACGGTCACCAGCATTACACTCACCCCCAGTCTCTCGTTCTTCCTCGTGTGACTTCTTACCATGAGCACGCTCACTCCATGCGTGCTGACGCATTCTCAAGCACAGGCCAATGGTCCACGACGCCACTTTTGCCGTCTGTTGATCCCATCGAGCCCTTCGTGAGTATAACCACTGAGCTTGACTCTCCGGCGGTCATGTCTAACTGCTATGACCCGTAGTTCCCAACGGTCCAGGAGAGAAACTTGGTGGGGCATCCTTCGCTTAATGTTCACAACGTTAGATATCAATGAATCAATGTGTTTTCTTTTCTCTAAAGATCCATCATTACTGCGACAATGCAAAGAGTATCATAATGGCCTTACCGTCTGAGAATCCCATCCTGGCAGCGAATCTCCAATTCGTGCTCAGTCGTCCTCGGGGATCTGACTCTGCCGTTGAGTCGCTCCGCATGGCCTTGCTCGGTGTTGCGGCTGTCCATCAGTCCTTCTTGCTTTCTCAGAATGGGGCGTGCCACGGAGGAGCTGATCAAGTCATGCGTCTGGCGAATTCCTTTCGAAACCAATCCAAGCAACTGCTGGTCCAAGCATGCACAACGTCAGAGGGTGTGCGGAACGATGCCGCGCTCGGCGCTGCGGTTGCTCTTGCTCTGGTTGACGTGAGTGCGCTTGCTTGGGCCGTCGTGTGTTCGAGAGACTTAAGCAGGTTTAGATATTCTCGGGTGGACAGAACTGGTTCAAGACTCTGCGTTTGGCGAAGATGTTAATCAACATGCGAGGGGGCCCGGCAGTCTTGCTAGCGCGCAGTTCACATCCGAAGCCTGGCTCTGTGACAGGGGTTTCTCGTGCGCGACTATTGCTGGAGATTGTTGCCGTGTACGAGCTCTTTGGTAATGTTCACCGGCACCGCGCTTTCTGCGCGCATCAATTGACAGGTGTTTTAGGCTGCTTAGTGAACGGAGAGGAGCCGACGCTATTATCTCCAAACGCAAGTAATTGGTGGTAGGTTACTTCTTGTCTAACATTCATCTAAAGGCCCTGCTGATCCAGTGCGAGAAGGCTCGACAAGGCTAACTCAGATGACTCACAATCGTACGTGGAATATGTCTTCGGCATGTCTCGTGAATTCATTCCGGTATTGGCACGCGTGAGTCTGCTCAGGTAGAAGTACTGACCTTGCTGACCTGTTACGTGTAGATAACATCGTTCTTTGTCCGCGCCTTAGCGAATCAGTCATGCATCAGGGAAGTTTCTGCTGATGCTACCACATTGTCGGATACAGAAGATGCCAACGAGGCCCGCACACTGTACAATCTCCTGGATAAGTGGACTCATCGTAGAGAAGACCTGCCTGACAGGGTAAGGGCCGGCAACCGCATCTATCAGAATGCAGCCCAGGTAGGTTCGCTACATAATCAATCCCTCGATGCACTTGACTGAAGGGTCACGCAGATTGCTCTTCTCCGGGACATTCTCAAAGTACCACCGGATGATGCACTCGTCCAACAGCACTGCAGTGATGTGCTCTCGCTATGTTTAGATTGCGGGCAGAATCAAATGGGAGTCGAGTGAGTAACCATCGTGTGCATGTTACTCCGCCCTGATTGCTCCTTGATTATTTATAGTCTCACTTGGCCAGTCATTATCGCTGGTTCGCAAATGTACGGTGCAGACCGTACTCGTGTTCTAGCGATATTCCAAGTGTTCAGGTATGTTATCATGTCTCACCGTGGCATGCCTCATCCTCATCAGTCCGATCCTGTAGAACTCAATGTATGTGATCATGGTGGCAACCCTTTGAGCCGTGGTGGCCTCGCTGACGCGGTTTCTAGGTTGCTATGAAATTGAAACCGCGGAACATATCGTTTTTCAGGTAGTTCCTCATCACATTCTAGTTGATTCGACCCGTTGAATAACTGATCCATCATGTTACATCACAGGTTTGGAAACGACTGGATGAGAAACTCCCTAGGGCCGATTGGCGTTCTGTTCTACAAGACCAGAATTTGAATGTTCTCATATTATAGCCATTGAGTGCTTTTCCTTCGGACTGTTTATTGTACGAGTAATTGCTGTCGTTGCTTTGTGTACACTGTCTGTACCTATGGGTCACGGCCAGATCCAAGGGCAAAACAACTTCAGACTGTATTCCGCATGTGAACTCTAGGCAAGACGACAACGCTTCTCAACATTCCCGGCGTTAGGAATTGTGGTACCCTACGCTCTCCACGTGTAGTTCGACGCCCAGGAAGTCCGGAACTCTACTAAGGTGATTAAGCTTCGATGTCGTTGAGGCCACGTTGTCTTGTTCTTGTCGCTTGGACTCAATACGTACGTCTAATCATTTTCCCGATAGGAAAGATAGCCTGATTCTTGTGGTCGAGTCTCCGTCCGTCGGAAGTAGAACTTCCCGTCACTCGGTGCTATTATACTGTACTCTGCTGATGATTGACCAGTACGAACGTTTCGCTCCCAGGCCTTTCATCAGCAAATTCGTTGTTCCATTGGAAAGCATCACTACAACGTAATTACAGAGTCTCACACTCAGCTCTTAACGCTTTTATGACACGCGCCGTGCTGTATGGGTGTGGTGCATGTCTCACTCAGTCTAGGTGAGGTGGTTGTCATGGACAATTTCTCCCATATGGTATTAGCGAAATTCTAGACAGGCGAACACTCATGCTACGTAGACATCTTACCACAATATATGACCGACACGCTGTGTGACTTGCTTCGAGTGTAGTTCTGGTCTATAGACCCGCTCCTCGACTGGCTCTGGCTCTAGTCTGGCGCTGTCGAAGGCGTTCAAATGATCGAGGCCCCGACAAGGGAGAAGACCGTCGATTTAAGGCATCAATCCTCCGCATTGATTGGCAGCGCATTCCAATATGGTCCCACCTGAGCCTCGAGTACAAGAACGCGCATCGTAGAGGTAGAACTGGACACGCATCGCATGCCTATAGAAAACTGAAAAACATCAGATACACTTCGTCGGAATGCGACCAACGGGGACAACGTGAGAAGCCTGGTAATCAAGGACGACCTGAATCGAGGAAAGCAAGAGTCCGAGGTGTGACCGAATCAGAATTGAAAAGGCAAGACAACAATCGGTGCACACAAGTCATCGGAGCCGGGAAATAGTTCCGCACACAGAATCAGTCAGGAGGACAAGGGGATCCCTATGGGTGGTATAGGCTGTGCGGTAGTTCCCCAGGCTCGGAATGATGATCTTGTGATCATCTATTTTGTCTTCTGGAGACTAGGCGGACGGACACACATACGAGGCTAGTACACAGTGCATGCTCGAACCAGACTGCAGGATAGGCCGATGATTGGTATAGTACGAATCAGAAGATGGACTGGTGTGGGGCTCAGGTTGATGTGCATATGATAAGGAGCACCTGGCAAGGCACTTGTCATTACCTCACAGCCGTTGCCACAAAGAGGAAACCATCTGCGCATCACCGTGAGTGACAGCACCTAAGTTAAGGAAGTAATCGTGGGATACCTCGCCGGATACAGATATCTTGACCCGCTCTTTCGACTTGCTTCTGACAGTGTTTCTGTGGTTCAAGAACAACGTGACCCCCAAATTTTGCAAAATCTCGCACTTATATCGATGCTGTTAGCTAGAGGGGTCAAGCATTATTCTCGTGCAGTAGGAAGGTAAATCCGTTGGTGTTCTTAGAGCAGAGCGTATAGCGAGAGCAGGATCAGCCAGGTATCACAGAAAGCTGAAGTGGAGTTAGGAATCAACGAGCTGTGGCGTAGCCGAGTACATGGCCTTAGGATAGATATGAAGAGCGGAGAATTGGCTTGAGACGCGGTTGAAACATCATGGCTGCACGGATTCATCGTAGTGATGATCCAAGTTGCAAACAAGCGGATGCATGCCCAATTGCCCGACCCGTGATGGTCCAGCCATATTGAAGGAACCAGGGCCGACTCGTCGGAGAGACCCCAGTGCCTTTTCAACGGTTAATCTGGATGACCACACTATATTACTGTATAAGTGCGCCACCCAAGAGCAGATCTGAGATGCAGCAGTCCTGTCGCCAGCGGGAGCATCAGCAGAGAAAATAAGCGGCTAAGGACACTCACTCAACTAAGACTGACAAACAAGGGCTTGACGCTGGTGCACAGTCTCGTAGAGCTTGCTTATTCGACCGTCAGTATGCAGGTGTAAGGGCGAGGCACTAGTTGGAGAAGTGGACTAGAGGTAAGAACTCCCAAGCCATCAACAGAGATGCACCAGAAAGCGAGCGTATGTTCATAGTGCCTTCACTCCGTCGTCGACGACGCACTCTGATAACCGAATGAGCAACGGGAGCGAAGGATTGAAAGTCCAACCTCTGTAAGGCGAAGTACCTATGCAGAATCGATACCGTGGCTTGCCACACGCACCGCTGAGGTGTGGGCATGGACAGACAGCAAACCCTACAACTGTTCGGGTCTTTAGCGCTAAAGCAGCCGTGGTGAATAACGTTAGGATATGTCTCCGGAGAACAGAGATGATGCGCCGGCATCAGAATTCGAGTCAGAACTCGAAGCTGACCTGGAGGAGGTCACGTCAAGAAACCCGACTGATATATTTCTCAAGGATATTGACGGGCTTCCCGTCGGACGGTCGGATACACGCTCCTAGTACGTCAACCCGCAACGAACAATCAAACAGAATTCGAACTGACAACTAGGAAAAATCAGCGCAGTAAACGCAAAATGTGCCCGGGCATGTGAGTTTGACGAATGATCCCCTGATACTTAGTCTGGACTAGCACTGAGAACCGCAGGAACGAATTCAAAACCTAAACGCCGCCTTCCGGGGGTACAGCCGGAATGACGCTTTAGGTGCCTCTCGAGCTTGCGACCGCGGAGTTGTTCCCACTCATTGAGATACGAGTGGACTTGAGCCTCTCTGAACAACAAAAAAAACCGAGGAGTAAGTTTGAGGAGTCGTGTACACAGACAGCAAACTGACTTGTCAAGGAACAGTTTCCATGGGAAGAATATTGAGGTGCGGACACTCACCTCCGAGAAATGCTGGGTAGCACGTCAACGTTGTGGACAGAACATCATGGACGTGATGATGGAAGCACTAGATAAGTGCTGGACCTGACAAATTTCCTGCGAAGGAGCGAGTTTGGTGGAATCCTGATACAGATATGCAGGGCGAAGCGCTCTGAACAGTGGTACAAGCCACCGACAGCGCCCAAGGGCTCCGAGTCATCCACGGACAGAAAGCTATTGAACGCGCACGAAGTTGAGTCATCCTCACATAGGGCACCAGCCGTACAAAGATAGCTGTCTGAGATTCCAACCGCCCTCAGAAATCGGCGCAGACACTTTCAAGCACGTCGTCATGACAGTTCAAACTTACAAGTCAGCCGTTAAACAGAAACCGACTCAGAGCTAAAGAGGAGCGATGGACGCTCCCTGGTGGTCAAAGTTACCTGATCATCATGGGAACAGATACGCAAGAATGCTGGTGCAGATAGCCCCGGTGCGCATCTTTATGGAGTAACACGCATTTCTCAGGTAGGAGGAGTTGGCTCTGACGGTTCTGACGACGAAGGCTCACCGGTACATTGTGCTACAACGTCGAGCCTTCTGCACGACTCCTTGAAAGCCCGAGAATTTACTGTTGTCAAGATTGAGTTCTGGACAAGCATGTACAACAAGTGCCGCAGACAACTTGAACATTTGTTACTGCTCACAACATGGAACCAGAGTCGTGATGAAGTGAACGTGCGATCGGAAATAGGACCAAGAAAAGTGCGCATTAGCCACCGACGATTTGCGGTGCAGTGACAACCAAATTCTCCCGAGTAACGCAATGATGGAAAATAATAATAGGTGGTAGGTGGGGCCGCTGGGTATAGAAACGCCTTCCGACTGCGGGCACGGTGATGATGAAGCAGATACACAGGGTCACGAAAATGTGGAAGGCCGACTGGGAGTGCGGAGGCTGAGAGCGGCATGGCAGTTCCATGCCTTTCAGAAGCCACAGGCCCACAGCTGCTGCTGTGCGGAGAACCATGGCCCGTGGGTGCAATGACTCCTCGTTGTTGTGGTCTATTTGTTCTGTGGCGGGTCGAGCGGCCTTAGCCGAGTTGACTCCTCTGACTCCTGCGAACCCCTTATAAGCACTGTCTGCGATATCTTCCCCGTCAATCTCCCAGGCATAGCTGTCCCAACAGGAACAACACACAAACCCAGCTCTCATTTCGAGTTCTCGCTCTCGCAGGCAGGAATCTCGAATCACACCCGGATAGTCCAAAGTCTGTGACTTCGGACGTCCGCTAAACCTCAATCAATCGAAATGTATTCGTCATACATGACCCGCTTCAGATACCCTCAGCCATCTCTCGCCGTCTCTCTCGCCTCTTGGTCTGTCCTGAAAACCGAACATCTCTCGTCTATATTTATCGCCAAGTCCAATTCTTTGTCTGCTAATGCTCCTTTGGTCTAAATCCTACTTTTACAATTCCGGTCTACTTGTCGCATTTCGTAACCTCGACTCAAATTCAGCGCTCGGTATCTCACCTAGGAAATGCATGCTGTTTCTCATACGCTATCCCATCGCGGTCCTAGCGCATCGCGCGCTAGGACCCGCTGGCAACCCTACTCTGCAATCGCTTTACCATCCACTACTCCTACCCATACACGCAATTCTCCCGTCAATTACCTTAATACCCCCGCATCCTCTGTCTTTGTCTCTCCTCAAACAAGTGACCTCAACTCCGCTCACGAACTCGACCGCCTGAAAGGACAATGCCTTTCCCAGCCATCGCTGGCCGGACATTTCCGGGATGTGCAAAAGTCCAGATACGTGACTCGTCTAGTCGGTCAGTGTTTCATTCACTCTTCTACCAATCTACGCGATCGGGCTGGCCCGCAGTCATTTTCAGATCTTCTGCCTGGTGTCACGGCATCAGACAAAGATTTGAGTTACGTTGGACCATTGAAAAGTTCGGGAGTGTATCAGCCTCAGGCTGGTCCTTACTGTATACCCCATGCATTTTTCGGCGGTGTCGTTAATGTTGTGATTCGTATGCAGATCAGGCGGTGAAGTCGTTATGCGATATCTGGGATCAGGAGGACATTCCGCACGTGTTCAACACCCCTGTTCGTAATCCATGCACTGCAGATTCTGTATCAATTCCGCGCGAGAGTTGTCCTGGTCCCGTCAGTACCGCCCTGTTCTCTGCGCGAAACATACAATTGCCTTCTCCTATCACTCCCACTACTCGTCCATCGCCGCTCGGTTGTCGATCCGACTCATTCGCTTACACCCGACATTCGTCGGCCGACTCATCTCGAGGTACCAACCTTGTGCCGATCAAAGGGTTCGTGCATGAGGTTCTTCGTCGATCGCGGACGTCCGCGGGTGTTTTGCAAACCGCCCTCTGTTATTTAGAAGCAGTTCGCAGCAAAATTCCTGAGATCCTTCGGAAGGAGAAGTCGAGGCAGGATGAAGACGAAGACAATAGTGGGAACGATGCCCCGGTTGTGCTCGATGTTGTCAACCCTACCTTCTGCGACACACCTCACGGCGACGATGGCTACCAAAGTCACAAAGGCTCCCATAACTTCGATTCGTTTGATGCGGCTCGTGTGGCTGATGGCTCTTTCGAGGCAGTGTGCAATACCGACCCGCAGACTCAATTTGGATTGAATTACCCCACTCTTCTTCCCTGCTCATCTTCCCAGACTTGCTCCCCTTCCATTCCGCCCCTTCCTCCGCTACCGTCGCCGCTTCTCTGCCCACGTCGGACATTTCTCGCGTGCCTGATCTTGGCTTCGAAGTTCATGCAAGATCGCTCGTACTCGAATCGCGCGTGGGCGAAACTCGCAGGACTGCCTCCTCGCGAGATTGGACGCTGCGAACGTGCACTTGGTGACGCTCTTGGATGGAGATTATGGGTCGGCAAGAGCGTCAACCGACCTGCAAATGGAAGGAGTGTGGCTAGGAGCAGCAGCGACGGAAATTTACTTCCTGGGCCGACTTCGGCGGCGGCTTCGGAGACGCGGTTAAACCCGTCCACGAGCACGTTCATAGCGCCGACACCTGTTCGGACATTGAGCAACACTACTCTGTCGGGACTGCGACGCTACGCCACTATGCCAACCATTCCCGTGAGGTCTTCTGCCAGCAACTACGACGCCTTCCCGGAGGTGCTTCTCGCCACTTGTGGGTTGCCAGAAGAGGCAGATGCAAACACCTTTGCCGCGGAAATGGAGGCTACGCAGCCCAGCGAAGATGTCTCGCCATCGATGTCCACCCCCACGCTCACCTTCTCGCCGATGTCGTCTGCATCGTCGTCCTCCGACAGTAGTGGCGACAGAACGATTCAGATGACGACGTTCACCGATCTGCCGACGGCTTCGCCTGCTACGTTCCGCTACGCGCCTTTCGTCAGCGGATGGGACCACACTGGCGTTGCTGCTACAGACTTGAGCATCGACACCAAAGCGTACGACGTACCCGAGTTCGCAATGGCAGGCCCGAAATTACCGGCGATTGATCCTACGGTAGCGAGTCGTGGGCCGTGCAATCTTCCGTCGCTATCCGACACGCTTTCCGTACCGTACGATAACCTGTATACTTATTGGACTGTGTGACTTACCCTGTCCTCTTAGTCGACTTCGAAAGGGAGGAGAGGGTCAGAATCACGAGGATATCTATTCCGACTCTGTACATATCTGTTTCTGCTATGTCTCGTGTCCCGTCTCATGTGCCGTTTCTTTTGACTGTGTACTGACATGCTTGTCCATAGAGTTCAGTATGATTTATGCCGCTGTTTACCTTGCATTTCTCTGTTCGTCAGCGCATCGGCTGTTGCGGTCGGCTGGTCTTTCGCGGAACCAGTGCGTCGGTGAGTTTCCTTTTATGGAGAGTGCCTGGGCGTCGATTGTGTCCAGGTGACTCGAGTGCGGATCAACAAGAGCGATCGACCTCTTCAGGCAGGTCCCGCCGAGTCAACTCGTCATCTCATACCCCTCGATGTCAAGTTCTTCACTTCCTGGACATACATACCCCAACCTATAAGTTCTTCACCACTTCGCGGCGCTGTCCCCTCCCAGGTGGTCAATTTCACCGTGCATTGAAAGCTTTCCCTTCGTGCGCAGGTCCGAGATGAGCACTTCTAGGTCAGGAGAGGCACAGCTCGCACCCGCACCGTTGAAGCCAGTGAGTACACCAGGCGTGGAAGGGACACCCGCCAAGGTAAAACATAAGCCGGGGGCGTCCTGGCAGGCCAAAGAAGAGCTTGTTTTGCCCAAGAACAGGTTGCCTATCGTGTTTTTCGGGCTCATGGCGTGCATATTCCTCGCTGCTTTGGATCAGGTATTGAAGCGGGCTTTGTCCGTTCGTGTTCAGGATGCTGAACTTTGACGAGCCTAATAGACAATTGTATCAACCGCCTTACCCACGATAGTCGCCAAGCTCGGTGGAGGGAAGGATTACAGTTGGGTTGGAACGTCCGTCTGTTTGAAGTTTATGGGCCCCGCAGATGCGATTGACACAGTTCACTTTCAGTGCATACCTGCTGGCCGCTGCCGCTCTGTCTCCAATGTACGGCAAACTATCCGATCTTGCTGGTATGGGATTTCTTCTGTCGCACTGTCCTACCCTCACCCTGCGTTCGCAGGTCGCAAGCCGGTCCTCTACACATCAATTGTCTTCTTTTTGGTACGTATATGTGTAGGCGTTAGTTCGCTCCTTGTATTCATCTCGTTCCGGCAATGCCGGTGGCAGATCGGGTCTGCATTGTGCGGCGCGGCGCAGAACATGACATGGCTTGTGGTGTGTCGTGCCATTCAAGGCATAGGCGGCGGCGGTATCATTCAGCTTGTGCAAATCACCATCTCGGACATCGTCTCGCTTGCTGAGTGGGTAATCACTTTGAGTGTGGAGAAAATGTCGTCTAACAGATCTTTAGCCGGGGCAAATACGGTGGATTCATCGGTGCAACTTGGGGAATTGCCAGGTGACATCACCTCCTCATAAGTTCCGTGAGATTACCTACTCATTCCCGTCGTACTGTGTAGCGTGATTGGGCCTCTGTTAGGCGGTGTAAGAGGTCTCTTTCGATTCAGAAAATATTCTGCTGAAGTATGTCCGTAAAGGTGCTCACCCAACATGTCTCATGGAGATGGTGCGTGTACTCGCAGCGTGTTTCAGACGATCCATAATTAATGTAACCGCACCTCAGGTGTTTCTTCATCAATCTGAAAGTCCTTTCCATCCTCTCCCAGTTGCATTCATACTGATACGCAGCTGTCGTACAGACCTACTGGAGGACTCGCATTAGCCCTTCTTTTCATTTTCCTGAACCTCAACCCTCATCATGGTCGACCACTTCGGGAGCATCTACGCGAGTTTGATTTCGTAGGACTAATCCTCATCATAGTCGGCGTGGTGTTACTTCTCCTCGGATTCAACTTCAGCCAAAATGGATGTGGGTGCCGTTTCGGTTAGTGGCGTTTAACGCGAATTGTTAATGACCTCTCCACAGGGTCAACTGCTCAGACGATCGCGCCGCTCGTGGTCGGGGTGTGCTTATTGGTAGCTGCCTCGATCTACGAGCTGTACACCACCCGTTCACCGATCATTCCACCGCGTCTTTTCAAGGTGAGCTTGCAACGATTGACTTTCACGCTTTCGCGATCGATTAATCTGTGCAAACGTAGGTACGGACGACGGCATTCCTCTTGATATCAGTGTTGCTGCACGCACTTGCGTTCTTCGCGGGTAGGTTACTACTGATTCGGAGGGGGTGTATATTTGTGATTTCTGATAAGTCCGACAGGCGCATACTACTTACCTGTTTACTTCCAGGTGCTCGGCTCTTCTCCTACAGGTTCTGGCGTAAAGTGTGTTGTGTTCGCTTCATGCACCTTGCGAAGCATTATTCACACATCCACAGAATGCTCCCATATTCTCTCGGTGCGGCCGGTACATCTGCGATCTCTGGCATAATCATCTCGTACACCAAGCGATGGAGGCCTGTGATGTGGTTCTCGTGGGTCGTAATTGTGATCGGATACGGGCTGATGATCCAGTTGAGTGAAAGCTCGACAAAGTACGTCCGTGCATCGCGGACAACGCATGTCCTTCTGTTCACCTTCTGAATGCGTGTTCACCCAGAGCAGAACAGGTGGTCTATTTGTTAGTTGCCGCGATTGGGATCGGTTGTCTCTTCCAGGTTTGTCTATCGAAGAGAACGACATCTTTGTCGCAAAAACATAATCACAAATCCTTCTGCCCAGGCGCCGTTGATCGGTTTGCAAGCCGCCATGCCACTCAAGGACATGGCGACCAGTACAGCGACTTTCATTTTTATCAGGCATGCTTCCCCTTGAAATTGTTTCTCACCAGTATCCTTAACATCTTGGTCTCAGAACGCTCGGTGGGACGATCGGAATATCCATCGGAGAAGCCATCATATCGAGCGTAAGTACAAGTCGCCGATTTATTAAACGAGCTTTCTGACTTGAACCATCACAGGAGCTGCGCAAGAAAGTCGCCAAAATTCCGGGGCTGAATATCAACACATCACCTGCGGCCTTGGAGCAGTTTGTCCCACAAGTCAAAAACATACCTGCAAGTCCTGTCGAAAGGTTCTGCAACGAATATGCACTTACAGTAGTCACGTATAGGATACGGCTACGCGGATCGCGCTGCAGAAGGCGTATTGTCAGGCTATCAGCGTGATATGGCTCGTGAACACGCCGCTCTTGGGCGTTGGACTCATACTTGGTGGGCATTCTTCCCCACGCTTCAAGTTAACGGGCTGATCTCTGTCGTATCAGTGCTCTTCGTCAAAGGATACACTCTGGAGCGCATCACCATCAGGAGCGGGGAAAAGTCCGCAGAAGGACCCGTCAACTCCAGCGAGAGCGAGAAATCGCAGACCGTTGGTTTGCCCTTCATTCCGGCAGAGGAATTTGGCAGGATTGAAGCACCAGCGAGCGAAGCGCGGCCCTCGTCACCTGAGCTCGCGGTGGAGGACGATGCTGCCGATGCCGAGGCTGAGGGTAAGCGACGGACTCCTGTCGAGGACTTGGAGCGCGGTGTTGGGGTGGAGGACACTACGACTCCCGGTGATGTTAGAGCGCCTTAAATACTGTATCTACTACTGTAACTTGTCGAAACTGTACGCTAGTGTAATGGATCTTCGTCGGGCGTTCAGTATCCGCGTGGTGAAGTTGGAAGTAACGAAGAATGGAACAAATTCTTTGTCCTGTCCACGGCCTTGTTTGGGCCGCATTTGTTCACAAATCTTTGGGAGTTTCTCTTTGGGTTTCTCAAGTTTTCGTCTTCCCACATATGGGAAGTGCTTCCATATTTGTATTCGATGTTTGTGCGCCGTGTGCGCGTCTGCCAGTACTGCGGCCGTCGTCAACAGCTTGAAATTATAACTTCAACTCCTTCAGCGACATCCCCCCTCCATTCCGCTGCACCCCGGATAGTTCTGAGCTGCGAACATTTGAATTCTTCTGCACAAGCTTGTAATGGATATCTACGATGTCTTCAAAACATCTCACCGACAATTTTAGTTCTTCATCGTCCGAATCATCTTCCCCACTTTCCTCCCCAACTCGCTCGACTCCTCCCTCACTTCCTCGCGGACGACGACCACAGATCGGTATCGAACCCTCCACATTGATTGGCAAGAAGCTGAAGCTCGTCCACCGATCTCACCGTCACCCTACTGTCAGCTTACACTTCACCGACAACACGTCATTCCAGATCCTAGTCGACGGGTACGATCCGGTGCATCGCGGTGTGCCGAAGGAGATCGAGATGGATCCCGAACTTGAGCCCATTTTTAACCATCCGGGCGGCAAGTGTAAGGTGGATCTCACCATCTTGAATGCGACGGTTATCACGTTAGCGGACAAGGCGTTTGAGCTGGGCGCGAAGGAGAGTCGGTGGGACCAGGACCATGCAGGGATCGCCCTGAAATTCGCGGAGGACCAGAAATGGCATTGCGTATGGGCAACTATGGCGGAGTATGACGATCATGCCCGAGGGAATTCCAGATGCGTCTTCCGCAGTTACAACGATGTCTACCTCGCTACCCTCCAGCGTCCGAAAAATCGGAGACACGGACGTAAATTATCGGGGGGTGGACATTAGGACAGCCCTGGACACAGGTTGAGAATAGGTAGAATCGTCCCATCCAGCTCGCAGCTTTTCTGTTGCTCACGGAAATTCGCAGGACCATCCGGGTTGTGCATGCAGGAAGGCGGACCTAGTTTACAGCGATGCAAGTACGTTGTGGTCTGTTGTACGATATTAGAAGGGATTTGCAAAGAATTCGCACCTTCTTGTCTCCTACTCATATGCACATCGACTGGCCGTTGGCGACAGACGAAGTGATTGCGACGAACAGCGTGGATTAATAGCGAATCTGTCCAAAGCGAGGCGGTCTTCCGTGTGAGTACAGCTACTCAATGCCAATAAATACACACACCTATCAAGTGTGAAATATTTGGAACCGAAATACTGCAGGGTAATCCGGTTCATATCTGAGGGTACAACAAGTGGATCAATAGCTGAATCAATTGCACCGCTATTTACCGCTGCCGGCCGTTTCTAAGTTTCACGCTCGCGAAATGACCCCACACGCCACGGTGCGTGATAGCATTACGGAAGTCCGTCAACATGTACTGTATCCAGCTCCCACTGGCAGGATTTTGGGTATGGTCAATACGGCTATCCAGAGATCCGAAGAGCGAGATACTGAACCGTAGCTTCTTGGCAGTGATTCATCCGTGTTATCGCTGACCAAAGTAGACGCGCACAGCATTTGTAGAACAGAGAGTACACAGAGAACAAATCATAGCCTATTGACGGTCAGCTTAGTTACCCAGTTCAAGCTTCGCACGTCCAGCGTGAAGGATACATTGAGGCAGTCGGTCGCTCCAAGGGAGCTCGCCAAGAAATGACGACATGGTAATGATATCCTGTGGTCATGGTATATTATAGCAACTAGGGTTTGACCTCCGAAGCCTTCGCACGGGAGGCAGAGATATGGAAGTGTTCCAATTCTTGCGACTGTCACGGAGGGTAGACGCAAACGGAGAAAGTAGAAACTAGCAGGAGGGCCGTTTGCAACAGCGGCACGCTATGTTCTTGCCGAGTGCCTGACAAACCGTCCATCTTCCATCGTGAGAAGAGTTGGCACATAGACGCCACCACCGCAACTTGCAAAACGGCGAAACCTGACCTTGAATGTAACTGAGGGAGACAAATTGCAATTGCATATATGTTCGACCGCCCAACGCTTAGTGCTGTGTATGTCATGCAGTGAACACTGTCATCAAGACCACAGTTGCGAATGCAGTACGTGCCTAACTGCAAGCATATCCTATCACGGAGCGCACGAGATTATGTCAAGTGGAAATACTTCCTCCCTGGGAAGTTGATGTCCCGCAGCGAAGAGAGTACATTTAAACATATACAAACCGAAGACCTGATTCGACGATAGGTAAGTTTACTTTGAGAAGCAGGGAAAAACAGGGTAATTGAACAAACCGGGTCATATGCGCTGTAGGAGTACCGAGAAAGAACAGCAACCATGCAGAACTTCTTGCATCAGGTGAAGGTGAACCACCGGCTAAGTTTTTTAAAGTAGCCTTCGAGGAGTTCCATGCTCCCTCCCAAGATTGGGACGCGTCTAGCATGCCAGTACGTCTGCCTGAGCACCCGTGGCTTGCTGCGACAAATTCTACGGGTCGGCCTTCCAGAGGACTGGGGCTGGAGACGTGATGGCCGCGGACACATTCGTGATATACATGACACATGAAGTTCTTCAACGACGCTGAATATACATCAAAACGTATCATGAGTTCAAATCCTTTTTGCAAGTCCGTGATAAGGTATGGTGAGACCAGGATTGCAGAGGGTTCCGCCCGATGTGACGCAACTTAAAATTCAGCAAGGTCATCATTCTAGTTACCAAGCACCTGAACATGACTCACTATTCACTGCCATTATCGCCATTACTTTTACAGTACTAGCACAATCAGTGAGCTATTATAGCATGATCATGACTATGATGGACAGACCCCAGGCTTTGCTTCCGTAGAGTTTGAACTGGGATGCCGGTACACACGCTGAAGAGCCTGAGAGCAGCTGTTGCAGTTTGATATCTTGGGCACGATACCTCTGGATTCGGGTGATCATGACCATGGTAGGGCTCCTGAAGCAGACTCGCCGATTATAATTAGGACATGGATGCGGACAGCAGTCCACTTGTCTCGAGTCTAGATATTGAAGTCGTTGGGACTGAGTGGTCGAGAAAGTCTGCGTGGCGGAAACGTGAACTGCGTACACACGCACGAAGGTTGAACGTTACTGGCTTTGGCAATATTGGTTCTCGGTGAAATTTCTCACGCCCGATGTCTTCTGCTACCCAACGCTCACCCACTCGGGTTTCTCTGTCGTCTCTGACTCCAAATAATCTTGGTAACGCCTCGTCTGGCAATCATCATAGTATACTGATTTTTGTAAAGGAACGGTACGAAAGCTCAATTCAGTGCTATTCCCCATCAAGTACAGCGAAAAGTTCTACCAAGACATTTTACTGCCAGAAGTAGAGGATTTCTGCAAGCTCAGTGCGTCGATGTCTTCTTTGCTACGTACGGTGCGCCAGTTTCACAGCGCATCTCAATTTATCGCAGTCTACTATAATGATGTTCCAGTGGGCACGATCTGCTGCAGAGTGGAGACGAGGGACGGACAGTCAAAACTGTATCTCATGACCATGGGTATCCTGGCAGTGAGCAGAAAGTTGTCGTACTTCTCGTGGTTCCTGAAGTCAATAATGACTACACAGCCTTATCGGTCGCGCGGCCTGGGATCAAAGGCGTTACAGCAAGTTATCGAAGCTGCCGCATCCCACTCGAAGCCGAAAATAAGTTCAATCTATCTGCATGTGCAGATCTCGAATGATAGTGCCAAATCATTCTATGAACGGCAAGATTTCAGGGAAGTCGGCGTGCATCAGGGATACTACAAGAAGATAGTGCCTCGCGATGCTTGGATTCTCGAGAGAGCGATCGAGGACGTGGAAAGCTCGGAGCAACGATGATGTCGCTTGGTGTGGGTTCGTGTGTATCAAGCTTTGTGATGTTCTATCCCCCACTGACACTGTTGCCAATACAGTCTTGGCGCAATAATCATACTACTGTACACAGGTTGTGCCACTACATTTCTCGGGCAATGACGAGCGTATAATGAATTATGAAGGAGACCGGAACCGAATCCCTACGCTAATGTCCGTCAATAATGTGAGAGTTTATCCTCTGAAATGCTTCAAGTTCAGCGGTGAAGACCCAACATCTGATTGTTGACGTACAGTCCTCGGACGAGCTTACACGCTTACGCGTCGTCGTCGATGCCACATCGCTTCACCAGCTGACAAACACATCAGTTACGTGGTGGCGACAGATGAGTGCGCGTACCTGGTGCCTCTTCAGTGCGTCTTTCCTCGTGAATGTTTTACCACAGCCACCATTGCATACGAACGGTTTTTCGCCGGTGTGCGTATCGCGATGCCGCTTCAGGTCGTGCTGTCTATTGAAGGACAATGCACACATGTCGCAGGAGAAGGGTCGCTGAGGAGATGCAGGATATTGTGAAGTGTTCACCTGCTGGCTGAACGCGATCTGTGGCGGATAATGTGCCGCCGACGTGTTCGGCATTGCTGATGAATGGTGTGGCGGCGACGGTGACGTGGCGTATGTATGTGACAAAGAATGAGAACGGGAATGTGAGTGCGAGCGTATTCGCCCAGTTGCCTGCCCTACGGGAATGCTCTGACGGTCGTCCGAGCTATGGTGTGCAGGCTGCTGGGCTGCGTGCATGGACGACGTCCTAGGATCTGTTCGCGGCGCCTGGGAGTAATGCGTTTGTCGGTCCGCCACCTGATATTCAGGTTGATTCCCCATCGCATATGACTGTGTTGCCACGGGATAGTATGATGGCGCGTTTTGCCCGGCGGTGCTGTATTCCCGATAAGACGGATGGAGAGTGTGCGGAAGAGAGGGATAGTGGCTTGTGGAAGATGGGTACCCAGACGCGTATTGGCCGCTACTACCGCTCCAATGCGGCTGAGGGTTCGCATTTGAGGGAATTTGGTGAGTGCGTCTGTCTGACATCACAGTAAGAGAGTGCGTTGAGTGACCTGGCTCAGCGGAGCCATGTCTCATAAGTACTCTCTGGAGGCGCTGGTCTTCAAGAAGAAGTAAGGCGTACGATTTCAGGCACAATCTCACTGCCACAAAGCAACAGATTGTATTACTACTAAAACTCTCCACCCAGATGCTCCAGAGTATCGCGTTATAGAACATATGGAGTCTAGTGCGATAGCATTGATCTGTCAACCAACAAATGATGCCGCGCAGGTCGGCGGGGGCCCATAAGGAGTTAGGCTATACACAGCGCTCGGTCATCGAGGGGTCAGCGTTTCCTGCACAGACGGACCTGCTCTGCTCTGCTCTCCGCTCAAATACCTCGATCTGGCTAAATAGGTCGCTTTCGGCATGCCCACTGATACCTGGCCGCATCAGGCGGCAGTCTAATGACTTCAGGAACACGCACCATCAGTACTCCGCAACAGTCTGAGCTCGTCGTCAGTCGCTCCGATTATAGTGGCTCAACCCGTACGTGTTCTCGGCACCCACAAAAACGATTCCATGTTTTTGGACTCGCTACGGAATGAGAAGATCTGCAAAGGTACGCCATTTGAGCTTGAGCCTTCGACTGCATCGCTGCGGATCCGGATCCGATCGGTGTCGATCTGTCATCGTGAGTGCAATGTGACCGGTCGAAAGCCTGGGCGATATGTACTTATGAATGCCGCGATTAGTCTTGTTTATGGTGAAAGCGTCATGAAGTTTTTGCCAAGGCTCACAGACGTTTCCGGCAGATCGTCAGTCGTTATTCTGTCATATCTGTTTCGGCTCGCCTCCTAAGACTCAAGTGATCTAGAAGTTTCGCCGCTGAAAACCTGATATCTGGTGACCGAAAGTGTTTGACTTACCATCATAGGCTCTGAATACGATCTAGCCAGAGCCACGATATACGGCACCAAGTTGATCGTTGTGTCGCTCGCAATTAAACCCTGTACGGTGTGGCGTTGTCCAGTGATACCGTCCACGAACCACCCCACATATGACGTTGGAAGTGTGGTCACCTACCTCAGCTTGTTGAGCCTTGTCTTTTATGATATAGAAACAAAAAATATCCTCGACTATCCGACGGAATACTACCTAGGAGATGCGTGATCTCAACTCAATCGTGGGTGTAAGTGCCTCGAGTTAGTTACTCTGGGTGCTCCTAAGCTGATTGATCTCACCTGGAGCGCCGCGCGTGGGTTTCAAGAGCGCTTGCTCGAGAATGACAGACGTTGTCTATTTAGTCAGGAACCGAATGGTCATCGGATCCGCGCCGGTGCATAGATATTGTCCAAACTAGTTCCTCGGACTTTAGTTCTCGTACCTTACCCCTTCCCATCTCCGCACGTACTGCCGGAGGCGCGAGAGACGACGATGTCTGTTCTTGTTGGTGCCAACTTGAGGTGGCCACTAGACAGCAGTACAGTAAACGCTTGTCTCAACCTGAATATTTGTGACTGGTGACAGAGTTCAAATGCAAGTTGCCCTTACATTTGATACGCCTGGAGTCATAGCCGTTGTCATGACCGGTTGCCATGTTTTGAAATCGACTCCTCGAGTTCCGCTGCGGCTGAACTTCACCGCGGCGTCAGAGCTCCGAGCCTGCCAGTGAGATCATCCCTATTAGGTATATGATAAACTTCAGCACTGGCAGGCAACTACTTCCGAGGCTAACTCGGAACGTCATGTCGAAACGTAATCTGGCCTCACCCTCGACCCCATCGAGGAAGAAGTCGAAAGGCAGCTCAGATCAGCACAGCCTCCACAGGTACTTTGACGCATCTGCCAAGAGGGAGTCCACTGCTAGCCCTTCCAAGAGCAAGGCGAAACAGAAGGCCCATACTATTCCGACCGCGGCTGGCGTCCAGCTCCAGAACGACCATATCGACATCACTGCTGATGACGCATTATATGCATGGAAGTTAGCAGAGAAGGACGGGCTTGACTTGGATACGTTGCGCAAGCTCGAGAACGCCAACAGTCGAGGTGCCCAAGTCCCACGACCCGCAACGGTGGAAGTGATAGATGTCGATCTTGAGGACGAGATCACCCCGGCAGCCGCAACCTCTACAACTGAAATTGCAGGACCGTCTACTCCCACTCTCCGTCCAGCTACTCGTTCTATTCCCGGCAGTCCTTCAGTATCGCCACAAGCAGCTCAGACTTACAGCGCCCTTCACGTGCATCCAGCTCATTATGACCTGGAATCTGGTACTTGGCCTACAGGCTCACCGGCGCCGTATTCGTTTCTCGCCCATACTTTGGCTACGGTATCGGGTACACGGTCTCGGATAACGATCTTGAATACACTGACGAACGCGTTGCGAACCATTACGATGCATCATCCACCTTCTCTCCTACCGGCGCTTTATCTACTCTCCAATTCGCTCTCACCCCCATATTCTCCGATTGAATTAGGATTGGGGCCTTCCATTGTCTCTAAAGCGATTCAAAACATATCAGGTCTCACTTCTGCAGCATTGAAACGCCTGTACACTTCAACTGGAGATGCAGGTGGGTCATGTTGCATAGCCAGAGCTTCGTTGAACTTAAATCAATTTAGGTGACGTCGCCTTCGAGGCTAAGTCAAATGTGCGCACCTTGATTCCACATCCGCCGCTCCTCATTATTGGCGTCTATGGGTCGCTTCTCAAGATTGCCCACGCAAAAGGACAAGGTGCCACGAAACAGAAACAGTCGATAGTGGAGCAGCTCCTTGTTGCTGCGAAAGGGGAAGAAATTCGGTTCCTAGTCCGAACCTTATCCCAGAACCTGCGAGTGGGCGCTGTTAGGACGTCGATATTGACTGCACTAGCTCGTGCCATGGTTTTGACTCCGCCGCCGGGTCTCTCTGTGCCTATTCCTTCCGATTCTCCTTTTTGTGTCTCACCTGAAATCATGCTACGCGCTAAAGCTACCACTACAAACGCGAAGAAGAAGCATGGTGATCGACCGGAAGACACCCTTAACGAGTTTTTTGACAAGGCGGAGGGTTTAGTGAAGAAAGTATACGTTCAACATCCCAATTATGATCATATCGCTACTGCCCTCCTCGAGGCGGGCTTGGACGGTCTCGCGGTACGGTTACCGCTCACTGTAGGTGAGTGTCTCGACGGACGATGTTGGTTTCGCTTGACCTTGTGTCACGGCAAGGTATCCCGCTACTGCCTACGCTGGGCTCGCCTACCCGTTCCCTGGACGAGATTTATAGTCGGTTGGAGCTTTTACCCTTCTCTGCGGAGTTCAAGTACGATGGTCAGCGTGCCCAAATCCATGCCTCCAGGGATGACAACTCACAAGTTTATGTGAAACTTTTCTCCCGTCACTTGGAGGATATGACGGACAAGGTCTGTGTGCCTTCTTCACATGAATCCGGTTTCTGAGACTGAACTGTTTGGGCAGTATCCAGACGTGGTAGCACTTGTCACAGACATGTGCAAGTCTCGAGCGGGTTCTTTTATCATTGATGCTGAAATCGTCGCCATTGACCCTAATAGCGGTAGTCTGAAGTCATTCCAAGACCTAGCAAACAGGGCACGCAAAGACGTGAAACTTGATGACGTCAAGATTTCGGTCTGCGTCTATGCCTTCGATATCATGTATCTCGACGAGCAGGTACGGGATTCCCATCTTCGCCCTGTTGCGCTCGTGGCTGAGACAATTGCATTAGATTCTTTTGGAACGGCCATTTCGAGAACGCAGAGCTCTCCTACGATCTCGCTTCCCTCCTGTAATACCCGAACAGAAGGGTGCTGCTCGGTTCGACCATGTACAAAGCTGTGAGAGCGAGGAAGGCCGAGAAGCTATCGAGGAGTTTTGGCAGACAGCAGTGAATAGTTCCTGCGAGGGACTTATGATAAAAGTTAGTTCATCAGATGTTACGTCTCCGATGACTTCTCGCTAACTTCTGGGTTCGACTTTAGCTCCTAGACAATGGCGAAGTCCTTGAAGATTCTGAAAAGGGAAAATCAAGACGAAAGCCGTTGCCAGCTACATATGAGCCTGGTAACTCTTTCCTGTTGAATGTCAATGTTCGACCTGACGGTCTGCCGGACTGCAGACAAACGAACATCTGCGTGGCTCAAACTGAAGAAGGATTATGTCACCGGCCTGGGGGACAGCCTTGATCTCGTTCCCATTGGTGCATGGCATGGCAATGGAAGGAAGGCGCAGTGGTGGAGTCCGGTCTTGCTCGCTGTATGGGAGTCGGAAACGGGCAAATTGGTTGGTGTTTGCAAATGCATGTCAGGTACATCACATATAACTCTGGGATTGTCTGTTGCGCTTACTGATAGGCTATAGGATTCTCCGACGTTTTTTATAAAGTAGGTGGAAATTTCTGACATTTCATACTGATCAGCTGACAAACCGTAGAACATGAAAGAACGTTACCCGGAAAACTCGGAGACTTGCTCACGACAGCCGTTGTGGAGTCCTGCTGTAGAGACTGGGGGTATGTGATCCAATCTCGATGTCTGTGACCAATGCATTATCATCCCTGCATGATAGGCCTTCGACCAGAAGTATACTTCAAACCTCAGGAAGTATGGGAGATACGTGGCGCCGAGTATGTCCTCAGTTTTCTCGTGCAACGATGCTCATGCTGATCACTGCACATGTCAGCATCACAATGAGTCCAGTCTCGGTCGCTGCCTTAGGTCTGGTCTCGCAGACAAGAGGACTCAGTCTCCGGTTCCCTCGTTTCATCAAAATCAGGGAAGACAAAGGTCTAGAACAAGCCAGCACTCCAGAATTTCTGGCAAATATGTATCGCATTCAGCAAGCCACAGGCAAGGATAGGACGGGTGCTGATGATGGTGATCTTGTGGATGTTGATTTGGAGGACGCTGAGCGGATGGACTCTGAGGCTTCTACTGGCTGAAGTTTCGTAGTTGTTCGCACCCATCGATAGTATTTTGCATCCATACCACAATATCCATGAGCGTAAGTTTCACTTTTCGTGTCATACTGTTCGATGGTATCTGGATCGAAGACCTCAGGGTCGATGTGTACGGTAGAAGCCTTATCTAGATGTGAAGCTTGAGGTTCTTCGATCGGGATGACTCGTCGGATTTGGTAACTTCTACGGTTCCTTCTCTGATCGTCCCGTGCAGTCATGTTGCTCTCCCAATGGCTGTCTTTTGTGTGCATGATCATCGTCGTATCTGTGGCAGAAGGATATGAGACTGTAGATGACGCAGGTAACCATAATTCACCACAACAAATGGCTTACGCCTGAATTTGCCGATTCAGCCATCCTGGCTAGGATGCTTGTCGATTCGTCCGAATCGGTGGGCACGATGGCAACGATCTACCCCGAAACACACCCAGACCTAGCAGGTATATCCAACGTTTTTCTTGATACCCGGGCCACCTGTGACGCGAGACTCGGGGCAGGTATTCCGTTTTCGCTACAGGAATATTATGCCAGGTGAGCGGCGTCCCCTAACTTGACACGTCCGAAGTTCAAGCTCACTGGACTTTTACAGCTGCCATGGAAATGGCTCGCTCACTCTTCTCCTCATGCCTATCTCTCGACATGGCCGCAACATCTTATCCTCGGAGAGTCACGAAGCTTCAATATCCATAACAACTGCCCGCCCAGATGCCAGTCGTGCTCGTGTTGCGTTAATGGGTAGTGTAACCGTGTATAAGGACATCAAGAACGTACCAAATGTTGGAAGCATTTCCTTGTGCTACCTCGCGCGACATCCGGACGCTCGTCGTTGGCTTCCGGGGCCGCGTGAACCTCACATCGTCAGTGTATCGTTCGTTTTCTGTTGTGTGTGCATGATGTCCACGTGGATGCTGAAATACACCTCTTTCATTAGGCTTATTGGGCGATATTTGACCCCCACGTGAGTGACCATAGCTGCGTTGCTGCTACTACAGCGGCTTACCATCACCGCCCCAGACGGTTTACTACGTAGGAGGGTTCGGGAGCGAGCACTACATTGGATACATACCGCTGGGGATGTATCAATCACCGGACTCTTCGCATGCTAACGACAGGCCCAACCTCGTCGAGCAGTATGCAACCTGGAGCTCTTGTTTTTCATGATTGAAACGCGATGTCTTAACTGCCGTGCCCGCTAGGCTACTCTTAGGATGTCTTCCAAGGGTGTTGCTCTCACAGCGATACCGCAAACTGGGATTGCGCAGATAAGCTCAAACGTCACCGCCAATTGCCAAATGCCAGTGTCATTTAATAACAAAGTTCACTGCGCTTGCAGATGTCAACATACACCTCAAAACTCACGTCGAAGCCATGGTTTCTGCTCGAATGATGACCATCATTCTACTCTTTGAAGCATGTCATCGCTATCTATCGGTCGTCGTCTATCTGCCCCTTCGCCGCGGAGTCATCGTTGCAATGAGCATCCACAGTATGCAATTTCGGAGCGCCCTCGTGGGTAGGTCTGACGATGTCAAACACCATCGTACTCCACAGCACTGCGGACATCTGCTACGCCAAGAACACAGAGAGAATTTGCTGCATACTCTGAACTGAGATGCCCCCCGTGGCTGTGAACCCGTCCCCTGCGGACGCCTTCAGCGCTTCCACCACGCGCCCGTCACGCAGCATGATCTGCCACTCCGCGCCAGCGGTGCCTGGACCAGCCTGCTTCTGAAGTAGTGCGTACGTGAGTACGAGTTCCCATTTCATCCTGAGCGCGAGTTCGTCGCTGGACTGGTCTTGGCTTCGCGCAGCGTTCACCAGCTCGAGAACCTCTGACGCCGTGAACGTGGGATATTTTCTTGACACTGGGCCGGAGGCATATGACAGTGCGGGAGTGGAGGACTTTGAGCTCTCCACTGACAAAGGGCCCGCGGGTTTTCGGCGCGCCGGAACTGGTCGTGGGGCTCTCGCCTGTAGTTTGGGCCTCGAGGCTGTTTCAGAAGAGCCTGCGAGGTAGTTCTTACACAATGTCAGCTTGAATTGCATGACATTTTTTGATTGCGGGAGCATTGCGAAGAGAGAGGCTACTTGCTCAGATTGCAAAGACACGATGCGGCTGCCGAGGGCATTAAGGAACATTGGGAAATCAATAAATGTCGTCGAGGCGAGGTTTATCAGCTGTGGGAAGAGATGTTGCGTCAGGCGCTCATTCAGGGCGGCGACATAGAAATACGGCAGACCAGTGCGAGAAGTCGGGCACCCATGAGTGCCTGCTGCGGGTGGGTCTGCTCCAAGCAGTACATCACGATATCTAACGGAGCCTCCACGTCCCAACGCGCGTCTGTCTTTGTTCGTGGAGGCGGTATTTGAGATAAAAGAAAGGAAGAATAGCGGGCTACGGGAGATGGGATCAGGGATACGGGCATAATCGAACTCTGCAACGACCCACGTTGGGCGTTGTCTTCCGCGAGCTTCTCATCTTTCTCGAAGATAGACAGAAGCCAACCGAGTATGGGCCAGGAGTACTGGCCTACCACGCGCCGAGGCTCTCTATCGACACTTGAATCCTCTGGAGGCTCCTCAACGATAGCGCGCCGCCGGCCTTTCTTTACGGGAGACATCGCAATCGGATCTTCCTTCCGCTGTACGAAACCTTCCTTGAGAATTTCCCACACGTTCTTCGCCTTTGTGATACAGACAGAGCGTCGAGCAACAAACGACTCCGGGTCGTCGTAATCGATCTCTGTCTTAGGGCTTCCCAGTGCGGACGCGGGATAAGATGGCAACGCGCTGAACAGGTCCCACGGCAGATTCGTCAAAGAGAATGCAGTTAGCAGGTGCAACGCAGCATCCGTGGCCGCGGGGGAGGGTGACTGTGAGGACCCGTGTTGTATGCAATGCAACCGCGAGTGCAGCTTGCTGGGTGAAGCCGAATCAAGCTGAAGAGTTTCTGTTTCTTTGGTGTCCGCAGGAGGAGGCGGGTAGAGGGCGATGTAGATGAGCTGACGAATATGTGGCCTGAAGCGCACCTGAGTTTTCTTATGCAGACAGAATGCTTCCGCCTACTCACTGAAAGGGTCTATGTCTCGGTGATCGGAGCTGGTCAAGTAGTGCTATTCCTGATTCATATTGTCCTTCTTCAAAACATGTATCGACCATTCCTCTCTGATTCTGATGCATGACCATAGTGCGAGTATGGCTGGTTGACAACACAGACATTGTCGGTAGCAGTTCAGCTTGCTAGACGATCTTTCTGGGTTGGACTTGGCGACGAACAACTTGAATGATGATGGTCGGCGTCTGGATTAGGTTCGATATGTGGACCACGCCGGTGCCGCAAGCACGAGTCGTCACACTCGAACGCGTTCAGTCACACCGTGTCAAGTCTCCAACCACGCGACGCGTCCGAAGCAAATCCTAGCGACACATAACATATTCCGATGAGGAAAATCAGCGGGGGATACAAGCTGTGCTACATCTGCAGAGAATGATAGCGGAACTGGACAGACAGATAGCAGACGCAATGTAACTAGCAGAGCATGCAAATCAGCAGGATAAATGAGTGAAACCTCGTAAAGGCAATTGGGGAGGAAAAGGAAGACGGAAGACTACGCAGTGTATACTCAGGATGCTGTGCCTGTATTCAACTTGGTGTAGTCCTTGAAAGGAATGTCGCTCGGAAACTGCGACTTCTTGGTGCCCCGAGTTCCGTCCTTACGCTTCCCGCCCCCCTTCCGACCTCCACCTCCGTCCTTTTTATGGTGAAGCTCACGAGATATTTCCGTCTGCGTGCGCGACGGATCACAATACTTGCAGTGACAGTCCCGCCTGCCATCCTTCATCGGGCTTCCCCGCATAAGCCACTTGAGGTGCGGAGTAAATTCCTCGGGAGAACGGAAAACGTGCACATAATGAGAACCTGAGCACAGGGTTTGAATGTCGGCATTTCAATGTGAGATGTATTCTCACCAAAGAGGTACGCGTCACCCCTCGGTACGTGGCGGTCACCGCTCTTGTGCACGTACAACTTGTAATCCTTCGGGAAATCAACGACCAAAGCCTGTTCATACCTTGGCCCTTGGTAGAAATACATCAATGTAGATGGGATGTTTAGAAGCATCCATAAATGTGCACTTACATATTCCTATGCCTCGCCGGTCAAAGTCTTCCCTCACGAGACTAACCACAGTTTCTCCCAGCTTCTTCTTCCAGTGACTTAACTTGTCGGATTCCGATTCTGCAAAATAATCCACCTTGCCCTGGGCATTGGGCTGTGGCGAAGTGTTCTCTGGCCTGTTGTCGGAAACGGCATCTGTAGCACCCTCGTGGATAGAGATGGCAAGGGCATTTGCTGCAGGGTGATAGATAGCCGTATAGCAAGGCATTTGGATTATGTTAAAATGCTGGGACGACATTCACGAGCAAGCACGCAGGGTATATATGTGTGGGATGTGGTGTAGAATCAAGTCTTTATTGGCAAAGCTGCAGCCGAACCTCAAGACATTGTGATGACGTAAGCGGTCGGCCGTGAAGACTTCCGGGCTTTTCCAATTTGAACCTGGCAACGGACTTTGTATTCTGTTGCATGCAGTCGTGGTTGTATTGCGCTGGTGAGACGTACTGGTAAAGACGAAAATTTGCAGCTGACCTTGAGTTGTGGTGAGGCTGGTGTCGTGGGTGAAGGAACTTGTCGATATCCTCATCATTTGTGCACCGGCGTAGTCTTCAGTTGAGCTCAGCACGGCCTCAGCTCAGCCAGTGTGAGGCCTTGAGGAGCTGATGAACTTGTACAACTGAGTTCCCTGCGAATCTGCCGCTAATTTTGCTCGACTTCGCCACTTGACTGGTATGTATGTACTGTATTCTCAGTATCCGGCTTTGTCCATGTCGACGCTGATTGGCTGGTATATTAATTGACCAGTTACTTATGATCAGATAAATTACTTTCTTTTTTGCATCTCCTCTGCGGCTGCGGTAACACTTGACACTGGATACTTGATTGACACCAGCTGACAGTGTCGATGCTAGCTCTCGTGCGCAGACCCATCTTCTTCACTCGAAACCGTCCGTTAAGAACGCACATCACGGCTATGTCGTCTCTCTCTGCGACCCCTGATCCGCGCGCTTCGTCCGCAGGTCCTGTAGAAGGCTCTATCCGTGAGAAGGTGTGTGATATCAGACGCATTGATTATTGAGCACTTAGAGGCACAATCACATTGCTTCTACTCACAGCTTACTGCTGCTTTGCAACCTATCGACTTGGGTATCACGAACGACTCGTGGCAACACCGTCATCACGCTGCCATGAGAGCGCAGGGCGGAGGAAGTGGGGAAACTCGTACGTATTGTTCCTTCACGTTCGCACAAAGCTGTTCCGCAGATTCATGTAGTGAGGGTGCTGCGAGTACTGAGTATCATCTCAACTGTGTAGACTTTTCCATACAAGTTGTCTCCGAGGCGTTCCGAGGCAAGGTGAGCTCATGCAGCCTGTTATTCATGGCGGAGACATTCATAGCTGAGGGGTACGACTGATTATCCCAGACTACAATGCAGAGACATCGGATGATTTACTCTGCTCTGTCAGACGAGTTGTCTCAAGGTCTACATGCACTATCGTTGAAGACTAAGACACCGGAGGAATCACAGAAAGAAGCCGCTGCATAGAGGCATCGTTCGTTCCTGCCGGCTTCTGGGTCGCGTCATCGCCAGTGTTAATGTACATCCTGTCAGATCGACGAGTCATAAGTAAAGTGTGTTTCCATCATATATGATATATGAGCGACGACGTCTCGATTAGATTACTCTCCCCAAGTCGGACTGGCTATAACCCCGACGGACAGTCTGTGTGAAGGAAGTCCGGTCTCGATGCATTGAAGAGCGGAGCGATGATCCGCCAACGTCAAGCCTTGAAGTAAGTCCGTTGATCGACTCACTCGAAGGTTTTCGGCGACATGCTTGCTGTCATTGATTACTGCGACCAGGCTGCCACGGAGTATGATTCCGCATTTGCTCCAAATTGTGGAGGGCTCGCTGAGTTGCGTGGAAATTCGTGATTGCGCCCGGTAATGGACCCAACCCTGGGGAAAGCAAATCCAACATAGCGAGACAGGCCAGCGAGCGTTGGCTCTAGCTTTTCGTCTGCCTTTAGGGCGGGGATGGCCGCAGGTAGCATTGCATCAGATAATCGTGTACAGCCACGATCTTGAGATCTGGCGACCCACTTGACACCGACGCACACACCTTCTCTCTTACTCTCATCCCATCAACCCAGTCCTTCCGCAATCACGATGGCATCTCAGTTGTTCCTCAGGGCGTCTTTATACTCGCACACGGCGAGTGAAGCCTTATGCTATTCGTGGCACTCATCCTAGCCGCCATATTCTACGTGCGTACGTCTTCTCGTTCACGACTGTCATCAACACCGTTGCTGGCGGCCACACGCATCTTGGAGACCGCCACTCTGTAGTTAAGAGTGCCCGGACTGTGCGTCTGGGGATCGGCATCCACTGATTGACAGTAATCAGCATGCGATGACCTGTTGGTCGTTTGGCGCGTTGTAGTTTTCACCTTTTTTCCTGGAGGTACATATACGTCTGTCCGAATCTTTGTGCTTTCATCCTCATCCCTCACACTGTCTTCCGCCCGATGCCACCTCGCCAATCACCTCCACCCGAAATCTCTCGACGAGGCGAGCAGCGACCGACTCTTCCTCCCATTCGGCAACTGTTTGGAAGTAAGTCACCCTTGACTGTCATCTACGCGAATTTCACCGGACGAGTGTCCACAGCGGAACTGTCGCAGTCTGTTCCACCTCCACAGGCCCGTCAGCCGACCTCCTCTCCCCATATACCGTTCCATCGCCTTACTTTGCAGGACGAAGAGCGTCGATACGCGTCATCATCTCCTTCCGCTGGTCAGCGGAGCAGCTCCCTGATATCGTCCCATTCGCACCCCTCTCACCACGGTCATCCTGGATCGTCCAGCTCTGGGGGGCATCTGAGTAACCCGTCGGACCCCTTGTATCGCTCGCAGGCTTACGATGCACCCCAGCAGTATCCTCCGCATGGACTTGTACATCCGTCAGCGTATCCGCCGCAGGCACTGGACAGGAGCGCCATGGCGAGCGGAACGTATCCGTACTCGACGTCTCTGCCTGCAATGCAGCAGCAGTCCATTCCGCTGCCCGGTCCCTCGGCCGCTTCTCTAGGTGATTTCTCTGCTGAACGGTTATCCAAGTATGAGTGCGGTTACTGCGGTAAGGGTTTCACTCGGCCCAGTAGCTTGAAGGTACGCTTTTTTTCATGCCGTTGCGCAGGAAATACTGATTTTTCCAGATCCACCTCAACACTCATACCGGAGAGAAACGCGAGTATCTCGCAGAATAAAATTACAGTCGCGCTGGCTGACTTTGCTTGCATTCCCAGCGTTCATGTGTCCCTACCCCGGCTGCGGCCGCAGCTTCAGCGTCCAGAGCAATATGCGCAGACATGCTCGTGTTCACTCCCGCACAGACGCCCCGCAGCAGGAGCAGGGTGAGGAAAGCATGGAAGAGAGTGACGAACAAACTTCGTCCGATAGGGAAGAGACGCCACCCGCAGATTCAAGCAAAGGCAAGGACAGGGCGTGACATCTCACGACCTTCGGGAGTTCGACTCATCCACTAGAGTTTTGAGTATATTTAACCTCTTTACTGTCTTCTCGCCGAAAGTTACTATTTAACTCGCATGCTTCTTATCCTACACACTCCTTGTTATACTCATATTCGCATCCTAGCATATTTATCCTTCACGTCGCATCGCATCCCAGCATAATTATTCTCGCATCACACGTATTCACCTTCATTTTGCCTACATATCTATTCGCGTCGTATATATATGGCATCACATCTCCTTCCCTAATCTCCCTCACACATTGTTGTACTCACGGCATAGACCAGGCGTCGAATGTACGATGGAGGAATAGCACAACTATGTACGATACGTACTAAATACGATGTACTCTTTGCCAGGCGAAATTGTACAGCTGCATTATGTCCCATCGGCGAAGTCTAAGAATCAGAAGGAGGTTCTATGTCATCGGGGAACTGTCTAGTGATGTGCATCTAAAAATTGTGCACGAATACAGCTCCGGGGAAGAAGAACGCACAAGGCATGATAAATTAGCAAAAGGATCCGCTCCCCAACGCGACCGTGACACACGCGGGAAAATTTTATGCCTTGCACAGCAAAGCACCGCTCAAGTATCGCTATCCGTATCCTCGGGTTTGGGGCCGCCGAACGCCAGCCAGTTGAACTTTCTGACTCTCCTGCGTTCTTCCTGCGCCTTCATCTGGTTACGTGTCAGCTTCTTCTTCTTCTTCACGGGCGGCGTGGCGGCGCCAAGCTTGTCCTCGGCTCCGCTCACTACAGGCGTCCCATGCACCGAAGCGTCCGGGCTCTGAACAGCCGATCGTGAAGGTGTGTTGGCACCGCTGCCCTTTGGCGACTTGAATGCAAAAGCGTCTTCCACAACGGTAACCTTGCCCTTATGTGTCATACGCCCTGCTTCGACATTCCATATCTCAGGGCCTAGAGAGGAAGTGAGAAATCAATTCCTGAAATAGTACTATAATCATCACTCACAGAGCGCGGTGACGAACTCCTCGTTGTGAGAAATTATCACCTACGAAGATGATATCAACGTGTGAACAACCCTTGCAAACGTAGATACGTACGACAGCACCAGCCCAGTCCCTAATAGCGACGGCCAATCCGCCCAAAGCTTCACGGTCCAAGAAGTTGCTAGGTTCATCTAGGACGCAAATCTAATTCACAACGCAAGAACAGTCAATGGCCCAAAGAACACAGTCGGGCGTAGCAAAGTACACACCTGAGGATTATTCCACAGGCACGCCGCAATCACAAGCTTGATCTTTTGACCTGAATCAAAAATAGATGATCATTAACCATCTTTAATTTGCGCAGAAGTGGCTTGCCTCCCGACAACCCAGAGATCTCGTTGTACTGGGCGATGTCTCCGTCAAGTCCAATGTCCTCTAAGTGCTTACGGACAACGTGGGCGGCCGTGTCACGCGAACCAGCACCTTCTCTCGACGACTCAAGATCGTCGAACTGGTGCACAAGCTTGGCAAAGCCCTTTTCTATCAGCTCATCTCTCGGGACCCATGTATTGAACTTGTGGTCCAAACCTAACGCAACACATTCAATACGTAGAATGTCACCTAGTAAACAATGCCTACCACGCCACTTGATTTCATACTGGAAGGACTTCTTCAGCTTTTGCCGGCCCATGATCATCTGCAGAGCCATCAATACCCAAGATTTAGACCAGAATCCTTGGAACAGACCTCCAGCTTGCGTCGTTGCCCGTTCTTCCCGATGAAGTCGGTTTCCATCTGAGCCTTTTCTTCCTCTGTGAGCACCCGAGTAGCTTTTTCCAAGATCTCCCCTGTGTTGATCCTGCATAAGCAAGCACTGACAACGTATAGCTCATGGGCGACTTACTATCGTGTCCGTCTTGGAACCGCCATTGAATATATTGGATGGGGGTCTTCTCAAGGTGTCGTTCTGACGAAGATGGTTCAGTACATCATCGATACGCTGACTTACAAAGTGTTGATTCACCGATGTGGTGCGTGGCATGTTGCGAGACATACCCGATTCTCAAAGCGGGATGCTTGTAGACGGAGCCTTCTTGTGGTTCTGTCTCGCCCTTTGGTGATGTTAGCATTCTGCTCCAGGAAAACAAGACTACATTGATCTACCGTCAACAGCTTGACAAGCGTGGATTTACCAGCCCCATTAGGACCAATGATTCCGACACGGCTGCATTGCACATGCGTTAGTAAACGAAAGCAGAACTATAAACGAGATCTGACTCACCTTGATAAAGACAAGGCACAGCTGACATTGAAAAGACTAGGTTTGTTCCTCCCAGGATAAGTGAACGTGCAGTTGGTCATCTTGAGGATAGCGCGAGTGTTGCTACGCACGCCCATGAGGGAACCAGGTGGAGGGAAGGAGAATTTGACAGATGTAGCCGCGAGGGTATAGTATGATTTGGCTTCAGGGTGCTTCTCAACAAAGCTCGATAAATTGCCTGGGTAATACACGAGCTGAAGAGCATCCGTGAACACAAGTTCACATGAAGATGGGACCAATTACCTTCTTTGATTCATAGTGTATGATATCCGTTGTGACCGTATCTAGGAAGCTAGTGGATAACAGGCTCAGACATGCGATTGTGTGGTAGAGATCATAGAACGTACCCAGAGTCGTGGCTGATAATCAGGCAGGTAACTTGCTTCTGGGCCATGAGATATTGTTCCAACCATTTAACAGATGCGCGATCCAACTGCAATACTGCAATGAAGGACTATTGCAGACAAGATCGGAAACGGACTTACATGATTAGTAGGCTGTGTCAGGACATCAGTGCATGTCGCGCAATGCAGGTAGGCAGTCTATTTACCTCATCTAGCAGAAGAAGATCGGCATGGTAAAGCATAGCTCTTGCCAGCTCCAGCTTCATCTTCCAACCACCAGAAAGGCCGCCGACGACCTCAGCTTGTCTGCTGTCATCAAAGCCGACCTCCATTAACTGATCCCGAATCTTCGACTTAGGGATCCCCGAGAGAGCCTTGTCTGTTAATCGCGAACATCGGGTTAGTATGCGCAGCCACCTCGGGGAACGGTCGCGTACCCGATGTGACGAAGTCAATGACAGACAGCGACGTGTCCTCTCCTTGCAGCGAGTGCTCGACCATGACACACCTCAACTGATCCTGGGGCGGGAAGTTCTCCACCTTGCCGTCGCGCAGCTGTCGCATCAGTGTAGACTTTCCGGATCCGTTCGTACCCAAGATACCATAGCGGCGGCCACGAATAAGGCGCAGACGGGTATGAGATAGCAAGAGCAGAGCACCATACGCAAGGGAGAAAAGCGTGTCGCACAACACTTCGCCCTCGTCGCTAGTTCCATTCTGCGCAGGCGCATACTTCGCCTGCCGGTGTCACCAGAATAAGTGGTATGAAGACAAAAGCACCCCGATTAGCAGTTGTACGTACCTGGTCGATTGCAAGGAAGTGTAAACGGACAATCTCCGCGAACTGCGGTCCAGCAGTTACACGGTCAGACAACCATGGGCCAACATAGACTCCAATGCAGCGATTCCAGGTACCGGAATCAGAGAATCTTCTGGCGTACACAAGATCGGTGGTCAATGAAGCAACGAAGTCTAAGACTTGCTTCAAAAGAGTATGCCTGGGTATGTGGGGTCCACTGGGATTCTGAGGCGACTCCAGTCTCAGCTCTTCCGGAAGAAGAGTCAGGACCACTGTCAATGTGGAAGCCGTTTCTGCCTCTATATCACGATGTGTAGGCGGGGTTCCGTCCTTCGACGCGCCAGCTTTCAGGAGAGTGATGAGAGCGGTTTCCGCAAAAGCACGGACCTGGATGCGTTACATATGAGAATTCAATACAACTGGGAGAAGAACAATCCTACCTCCGGGAATGCAGCGCCCTTGGCAATCTTTTCGACGCCGTCCACGAGGGAGCTCAAGTAAGTAGCTGCGATATTTGGATCCCGCACCAACTTCACGAGGTTGTCTATCACTACCACGGTCCTGCGCTGAACTTCCATAGATCGATCGTTGAGTGCACGAATCATTAGTGGGACGAGAACAGCCAGCGCCGGTGCCGTGACTTCGGCAACGAACGTTGTGGAGGAGAGAGACTTGATGCATGCGGGAACGGAATCTGGGTTTGCCATACATTTGACCAGCGAAGGAATATGGGGAGTGAGGTCGGGATTTGCCAAGGTGGAACATAAGGCAGTAGCGCATTTGTTAGCAGCAGAAGAGACCTGACCTTACGATGAGTAAAAATGTCATGGTTAGATAACCCTATTACGCACTTCTGATTTCGTGTCATGCATGGCAGCCTCTACTTTGGGTAAAGTCGCACCCAGCTCATTTGCGACCGCATCCCTGGCAGAATTAACGAAGCCCTTCATAGCATCCAGCACTCCAACTTTCGTCCGCCATTTCCCGTTATTCAGAATATCTTCCAGATGACGGAAGACAATACGAGTAGATTCGGGAGGGAATAGTTTCAACAGGGACTTGGTGGCGGTCGCTGCTGCTGCACGAACAACATCACCCTTGTCCATGTATAGATCGAAGAGGATTGGGAGAGACGGAAGTAGCAACGGAGCGACAGGCGCGCCAAGGACAGTACATAAGGAATGAAATGCGACGGCGGCAGATTCGCGTTCATAACCTGATTTCTTATTCGTAGCGAAATTATGAAGACTTGATATGATATGTGCATCGCTGCCAAATCCTTCAGGATAAGAGCTGTAATAAGGTAGAGACAGTTGGAACTAACCTCAATGCGTAGAGGCCCGTTTTTGAAACTTCCCGTGCGAGACGGTCAGCAGCAGCCTTGGCATCTATGAAAGAATGTTGGTTGGAATTGATGAATGCGCATGAGCTTACGCACCTGGACTTGTCGGAGCAGTACGAAGGGCATCTATAAGAGGAGTAAACTGGGGATCCGAGGCTACAGGCATGGCAACAGGAGACATGGTAGGTCTGAAAAAATACAGTGCAGATGCGGAATCTGTGCAGGCTGATTATAGAGCTTGGAAAGTATCCGATGGGAATACTAGTGGAAAAAGAGAATCTTCAACGTGATACTTCAGCTCTTGGAGATGTTGAAATTTGAAGTAAACGTAGTGGTCGCTCCTGCAGACGTTGGCGAGCGGAGGGGTCGAGGACAAGTCGAGGATTCCGGGATCGGACTCGATGGCACGCACGTGTGGCTGTGATATCGAGAGTCAAATTTTTGAACAGTTGCATTATGTAAGCACCATTTTGGGAACCCTAACCTAGATCTGACGGAAGCCCTTGGATCATCTCCGTCACATCCCCGGGGCCCACTGCTTGTATCCCGTTTGAATTTGAACGTCCATGTTCGAAACATTCCAAGCAGAGCTCTACTACATCATCCAACATGATGCATCACGGCCTTCTTTCGACTCCGTCGCCCCACGACTCCACACGTCCAATTGTGCCTGCACGCTCATCGCAGAGACCTGTCGTGGTTGAGAGGCTGTCGAGTGCGTGAGAGTGAAGCTTTACGTCCATCGACTCGACGATTCGGAGGCTTTGATACCTGTACTTGTATGTAGTAAGTGAAAGAGTAATCTCCTTTGCGAGTGTTATTCCCCGTGCAGTCAATTAAGCCGTGACCAAATAGGACAGAGAAGACTCGCAGAAGTTGATCTTCATGATCGAAGCCTTCGATCATGGCGCTGTCGGGGGACAGTGACAGCACTTCGAGTCACAAAAGTCTACTGATGGAAGGACCTCCCCGAACTCTGCCACCGTCGCTGGCCCATCAAAGAAGGTCATGTCGAATGCTGGGAACGTACTCATCAGGTCACGTTGGTGGTACGGTGATGCTCGTTGCAGTGACTCTGAGCTTTTGCATCCATTCATACCTGGTCCATCGTCATGATTGGGAATTCTACACGTGCCACAAGCTGCTGTGACGGACGAGTCCTCGCACCAAATTCCTTGATTTTGGCCGTGCGAACACAAACAGTCTGTCCCTCCTCCTTGGATTTGTTTGATTTCTCCGCACATGTGAGTAGTGGTGAGCAAAGTTTCGTGTGTACCATCACACCCTGACTGTGGGTGCGCTCCGTTACAGGTTTACGGTTCTTGGTGAGGGTCCGTCCTGATAGCACGAACTTGAAGGGCTGCCTGGGTGATTCGATGTTGGTCATGCGTACGTCCGTGACTTCTTTACCTCACCTATAGCGTTAGACCCTCACGGTGCTCTGTACGTTATCAGATGCAGGAAATGACATCAGTGCTGGCTTCACAGCTCAGCTTGGGTACTTGATGACGACTCACCAGCGTACTTCACCTCAGCTTGCGGCCTCTTATGTCCAGGTTGATTACATCAAATGAACGTCGCCGGCTCTTCGCCCTCGTACTAACCAGTTGTCTCGTGCAACGCCAGTGTAATTTTGACGATGCGCCAGCACCTACTGCAGCATCAACCGTAAGTAGCACTGTGTCTGTGACATCTATCAGAAAGCCCGAGTGTAAATCAGAAATCTTGTGCCGCTTGCCGTGTTCTGTGTAATCACGTGCCTGGACTTTTGTTCTCCCGTCAGCAACCCGTCAGACTCAGAACCCTCAGCAGTTCCCAGATGCGTCCATTCTCAATTGGCCCATTTGGCTAGTTCGTCGATCCATACTTTTTTTCTCGTAGGTTCACGGCCAAGAATCTGGATTTGCTTCCGGGAAACGTTGCTCTTTAACCGCCGTGAGATCGATTGAATCGCATTGGTTCCGTCAGCCCCGAGCGCCACCGAGCGTTCAAACGTTCAACGTTCAATTTTGAAGCATCCACTTGTTCGGAGGAGGCGTCTGCGCAACGCACCGCAGGCTTATCTACAATCTTGTTGCCGGTGCACGCCTCTCAAGGACCGTCCGTAATTGATGGTTAAGCTTCTGTCTGCTTAGCGTGGACGATCGCTCCGCCGTCCCGCTTAGCAAAGATTAATATGTCAGATGCATCCGACTCCGAGCCAAAGCTGATTACAGATATCATATAGGTAGCATACAACATAGTAGCATATTAGTATCGTGATAGGTGCATGGAAGTCCGGCATATACATGATCGTCATGGGCCCGTATAATAAGGTATAGCGGTAAGTTAGAATACAGTACGCGTCATGTACATAACAATAAGTGTGCTAGGTTTTATAACATCACGCAGCAGCTTCAATACAGAGCAATAATGAACTAGATGCGAATAGGTGAATGATATAACTGATGCGAGGTCCGATGGTGATCCGTGAATGAGATACTGCGACACGAATCGCGTTGAAATAATGGGGCAGCGGACGGAAGAACAAGTAAGAACGTTGTGGTCAACACAACGGGTGTTTAAAGAGGTCCTAAAGTCAGTATGGTCGGCCTGTATATCTGTGAGGATCCTCCTCGTCCTCGTGGCTCCTGGCGCGACGGTGCCCGGAAGGCGGCGGTGAGGGCATGAGATGACCACCGTGATGCAAGTCACCTATGGGCGGAAGGTCATATATCTGGCTAGTGCTAGAGGAGGCGATGGCACCTGATGGGTGACCAGCATATCCCGGAGGTGGCGCAGCATGAAGCGAGCCCCGCGACGATGCTCGGGCTGGCTCAGTGGTCGTTGGTGGTCCTGCAGCGGAAGCCTGCCGAGTGCTCTGGCGCATCGACTGCCTCTTGTTCTGGAACCTGAAAAGAACCACATACGAGTCAATGATATAAGGAACCTAATACGAAGGACCGCCTACCAGATCTGCACACTCCTAGCAGACATCCCCAATTTCTTCGCCAGCTCGATCCGCTCTTCCGTGGATGGGAACGCGGTACGGTTGTAGGTTTCATTTAGAACCTTCAACTGTTCAGCATCTGCGCGTTTCCGCTTCTTCTTGATGCTTGGTTCTGCCACGGGTTGCTCGTGCGAGTAAGTCGAGGGCGGAATCATGGCAGGGTTGCGGGGATACGGAGCTGTCCCGTGAGCTGACAATCGCGATGGAACGGTACGATCGACCGACATCGACGATCGTCTTGTAGGCATGACACCAGAAGGCGGGCCGAACCCCATAGGCGCAAGCGGAGGAGGGAGATCTCTCGGATCTGGAGCGGGGGGATAGTACGAGGCGGAAGCCTGCTGTTGTTGTGCGGGGTAAGAAGAATACTGAATAGGATAACCTGCCGTTGGAGACCGGATGCTGGGCCCAATTTCCATGGAAGGATTAGAAGGCCCAAGGTGCATTTGGGCCTGTGGCGTGTTAGCGAGTGGTGGTAGAGTACGAGAGTCTTGAGGTGGGTATGAACCGTATGGTTGTTGCTGAGGGTATCTTGGATCGGCTGCGAATGAAGTCGATGGATGAGTTCCCGGTACTGATAGAGATTATGTGTCTGTCAATCTCGGGACGATTGCGGTGATAGAGACTGATCGAGCTTACTGGGATTAATAGGCCATCCGGATTGGCTATATGATGATACATTAAAGTCACTTCGATTTTGCGGCGGCTCTTGCTGAGAATAAGGATTCGCAGAGAAAGAAGGGTCAGGAGCTGCATTGAATATACAAGCAAGTTGAGTTTGACTCATACAGTGTAAGGCATTTTTGGAGAAAACGGACCTGGGGAACGTGAGGTTCGAAACGGTAGATGAAGAGGAGGGAGCACAGTTCGCCCACCCTGTCCCATATGAAATAATCCACGGCGTGCAGTGTTATTGTTATTGCCTCCGCCTGCAGGGCTTCTACGCGCTCGGGGTGGGAAGCAGCCGTAATGAACGTGATCGTCGGCTGGATGGTTCGACATTGTTCGACTAAGCGAGGATAGAATATAACCGTCGGAAATTTCTGGAGGATTCTCCGCGATTAAGTATGAGGAAGAAGAAGCACGAGGCACCACGCGATTCATGACTTTTGCGCAGAAAGCTGTGAAATTGCTGCAGGCAGGCTCGAGGCGGACACTACTCCTGATGTGTCAATACAGCGGCCGGACACACGTAAGACAGTTACATGTAGGAGAACAGGATGCGAGCGGTGCCGTTGTGGAAGCGTAGACACGCACTGGTGGGATAGAGAGTGTAAAAATCTAGAGCTGAAGGAATGCACGAAGATGCCTCGCACCTGTACTGAACGACTCCACTAGCAGGATGCTGGATGCCTGGAGAGAGGCTGTGTCGGCTCAGTACGAAAATGGGAAACAAATTGGCAGGTAAGGAAAACGGGTTTCGGGAGAATGCTGGCGATCGCTGGCAACTGGGAACATGTCACTAGAGCGAAAAGAGGTGCAAGTGAAGGCGCCGCGTCTTATGGCACATGTTACGGTCCTGCAAGTACACACGAGTCCCAGTCCACCAGCCTCGTGCATCTACACGCCGTCCCGCTCATGTTTGGCTCCCCGGTCCACCTGCTGCCGAGAGTCCCTTGGCTTGGTATTTTCTCCGGAGTCATCCGTCATTCTAGCGTAAGTAGTATTGGGACGGATGCTGCCCTTATGTTCGCGGCCGGAAACACTCCGAGATGAAGTCTGTGGAACTTCGAGGACCTGCCTAATCTGGTTGCGTCGGACCACGGTGCCACACGTGAACGATCGATACTGTATCAGATTCACTGAGACCGAATTATAGGCAACGAAGTGACATGTACATAACAGAAGCAATCCGACAATCCAAGTACATACATACCTCAATATGTAGAAGGGAACGAGGTGGATCGGGTCGAGCGTGACTGCCACTTTGGAGAGTCTCAGCCTTGAAGTAGACTCGAAAAGTCTTACTGTCGAGTCACTCGAGTGCGCGATCCAACAACATTCGACTATCATATTCATTGCAAGCTAGTCTCTGTAAGAAACGGTAGTACTCAGAGCAATTGTGGATCTACGTGCGTCGTGTGCTACGAGACAAGGGCAATCATATATATGCATCGGCCAGCGTCTCTTGAGCGTCTCTCAACAGCACTTGCCATTCCTGGATCTCCGCGGTCCGCTGCTGCTGAACCGGACTCACCTTGCCACACGGCGGATGTCTTTCATGGCGGCCTCACCACGTCGCGCGCTGCCAATACCGCCAGGCCCTCCTCTTCTCGAATTCCAACCTTACTGGGATGGCTCGCCTAGTCTGCCCAGCTCATATCATTACAGCAATACTCCATACATGACGGTTCCCGATCCTCCGTTGGTGCCACATACCGCCACTTATGATGATCAACCAACTTCCCGTATTCTGCGCGGTGGAACTTTACTGCACAAAGGTTTCTATGATCTCCTGTCATTGATACCGTCAGCTCCGTATCCTTCTCGACTCCTCTGGCGAGATAGTCCTGAACCTGTAGCTGGGCCTCGATATGGAGATATCACACCCTCTGTGAATCCTGCCGCGAAACCTCTCCAGATTCATCCTAATAACCCTGTCGCAACTCCCGCCAAGAATTTGAACCGGCGGAGGATCAGCAAGGATATGGTGTCCAAGCCTACCGGATTCGTGTATGTCTGCGAAGCGTATCCATCTGTTCAAGAGGAACTCAGCGCTATCGTTATCATAGCCATTTAATTCATGCCTCTGATGTCGACCAGGCCGAAGCTCTTCTCATGAGATGGGGTCCAGAAGGGCAAGGCAAACTGGGAGGTCAGACTCATACGTCTACAACACTGGTTTGCACGGTTTTGACTGCTTCTTCCAGATCCACGCTGGGCGGATCCAATCAAGGATCGCATTCGCCAGAGTAACCAGGCAAGAGCTATCAACGAAGTTGTCAACGCGCTGAAGCCTACTCAGAGCAACTTCAACAAGCCTGATGCAGGACAGCCATCCCCTCTCCGAGTTGTCAACGGTCTTAGCACTACATCTTCGACGCTGACCACTGCAGCTATGGAAAACATCTCTTTGAGCCCCAGCTCGCCGGCACAATCATCACCCGTTACCAGCCAGGTCCCCTATGGACAACCTGGAAATTCCACCATCCGATGGACCACTGGTCTTGCTGCGCATCCCGAACATGAAAATGAGGACACAGTGGCCATGGACCCGGAGAAAGAACTTCCGATTGTCCCTCTTAGACCCTTTCAGCCGTCCTTGGCAACTCTGGAAAAGGCCGTATCTGCGAAAATTTACTTCGAGAACCTTTATTTTCCGCTTCTTCGGCATCCGCCTTCTAGAGAGCAAAGGAGACTAGCCATGGAAAAGGAGATGCTCAATATGCAATTGAATGAGACTCAGAAGGACTACATCCGGGGCCGATGGCGGCAGAACGAGACGGACTACTTGCGAGAACTCAGGAGAAAGGTCGATGTCAGTGCATTTGTCAACCTGAAGACAATTGGACACGGTTAGTGCCATGTTCTCGAGTCCTAGGCCGCGGATCGGCCCATAATGCGATGTTGCAGGTGCTTTCGGGGTCGTTTCCCTCGTGCGTGAGCGTTCGACGGGCCAGCTATTTGCCATGAAACAGGTGACTTCCTTCCATTTTATGCCTTCGTCGGAACTTGATCCTTCATCCCGTACTTATCTCTACACTTCATTTCCACAGTTGCGGAAGACAGATATGTTACGTAAGGGACAAGAGGGACATGTCCGGGCTGAGCGAGACATCTTGAAATCTGCGTCACTGGTCAGCAGTCCTGGAGGAGCAGAGTGGATTGTCAGACTGTACTACAGCTTCCAAGATCGTGACCACCTCTACCTTGTCAGTTTTTTTTTGGCTCGTATTCCGCTCGTAGATAGGAGGCTGATTTCATATTGATTTCATTTCCGATAGGTACTTGAATATATGGGCGGAGGGGACCTTCTCAACCTCCTGATAGAAAGAGATGTTTTCGAGGAAGATTTCACGCGGTTCTACCTCGCCGAGGTTCGGGCCTCCGTTGTCGCTTACCAGGTGGTTTCTGACCTTCTAGATGATCCTCTGGCCTCTGTTTTTCCATACTTTCGTCGCGCTCCCACATAGATGGTCCTCGCGATTGAGTCATGCCATAAACACGGGTTTATCCACCGAGATATCAAGCCGGATGTGAGTATGAGCTCTGATGATCCCGCGTCTCCTCTATGCTCAAGTTTAACGTTTTCTTATCTTGGAATCGATGACTCATATCTTTTTATCGACAGAACTTCTTGTTCGACCCGGACGGGCACATCAAACTTAGCGATTTCGGTCTTGCGTCAGTAATACAATTATCCGCGACATATTGGAAATTAATTTTCCATTATCTACTTCTTGTTATTTTCGCGTTGACAGCACGGATCTACACTGGGCACATGACACCTCGTGTTAGTCTCCCCTCGTCTCCTTCGTCGTCTTCCTCGCTGCACGTTTTATGTCCAGATTACGAGCAACAGCGACTACACCTGCTACACAAATATGGCATAGACCTCGAGGACAGTCCCGCTTCCCAGTCTGACGGCATGAGGACGAGGCGCATGGACCGCAAGGACGTAGAACGGTTGATGGGTGGAGATGACGGTCAAGGAAGAATCTTTACCTGGAGGGAGAAGAACAGCCGGAAGGTATGCACCAAAAAGCAATTCCTTTGACATCGGCAAGATCTCATCTCCGAAATCTCGCTCCGTGCAGCTGGCGTACTCGGTGTGAGTAGTCCTGCTTCATTCCTAGCACTACTGGTGCTGATGGTGATTGCACTGCCCGTCTCCTCGCAGATGCGGGACCAATTCCTACAGTGAGTGTACACGCTGGACGATAGTAATGCAGGATCCATGTATTCATGTTGGCGCCAGTGTCGCCTGAAGTCATACGAGGACACGGATACTCATATTCCTGTGATTGGTGGAGTCTCGGTGTTATTATGTTTGAATGCCTCTACGGGTGTGTTTTTTCGATACTCCTGTGAATCCAGGTATTGACGACTGGACGTTCGCCTCTCAGATTTCCCCCCTTTGTCAGCAATTCGGTGAGTCTAGAGGCAATAGCAGGAGTTTGTTTTTGCTCACTCAGCCTGGGATGCACTCCCGATATATCTGGCACTATGTATAGCGTCACATCACTCGCCAAAAGATTCTGAATTGGCGACAATCGCTGCGTTTTCCCTCGCGTCCGCGTGTTTCACGGGAGGGAGTTAACCTCATGGAGCAACTCCTTTGCGAACCTGAGGATCGACTTGGCTCTCAAGCCTCATCGTCCGTGAGCAGGCCTAACTCTATGATCGTGCAGGCTAGGCGGAGCGGCTTCATCTCTCCCGCCGGCTTTCCGAGCAACGTGGATGGGTCTCATTTGATCAAGGTCAAACCCATGCCTCAAATATATGCAGTGCGACTGAACGGCTGGTTACTTCCTTAGGCACATCCTTGGTTCCGGGGCATAGATTGGGACAACATACACAGATACCCGGCACCTTATCGACCTGAGCTTCACCATCCGGAAGACACGCGTCATTTCGATGACGACATACCGGCAGAGGTCAGTGTTCAAACTTGAGCAAAACTGCGCCGCTACATCTCATGTTTAATAGCCTCTTGCTCCCGCGAACGGGGCAGCTGCGGATGCCACTCGTGATCCGCTTCTCCGAGACAAAGTACACGGCGCTGATATCTTAGAAGTGCGGAAGGCCCTAGCCTTCGCCGGATTTACTCACAAGAGCCCTCGGGTCATAAGTTATGTGCGAGCGGACAAAGCCTTCGACCCTGAACCAGATACATACGGCAAGGGCGACGTGGATAGAGGGCGCTCCACTATTCGCGACGTTCGGGAAATTGGTCAAGGACGGGCAATTTCTATGTGATCTCCAGTTACGATTATGACCTCTCACGAAGTGCTTTCTGTATCTGTATTCATAGCTATCACGTCGTGTCCTGCTTGTCTTATTTGTTTTCGCCGTCCGAGCGATCGAACAATCCTCAAATTGCATTTCCGTTTGTATGTATGTAATATTGTATCCCCTCGGGATATGCTTGATTACATGTGCTACGTATGTGGAGACTGCATCGACCAACGATTCAGGAGCATATTACTCTCGTGAGTCCACTGATCATGATTCATGGTGCGCATGCAGCGACGCATCAACTCATGCGGCTCGACGTTCGTGGGTAGACGATGTAGATAGTTCAAACGTCAGAGCACAGTAAGTGAAATTAATCTTGTACGATGGCCGGTATTCTAGATAGATGCAACCTATGTCATTATGACCTCCATGAGTAGGTTAAAGCCTGATCGTCAGACAGAACTTTCATGTCGCCTGTTTCACCCAGTATCATTTTATTGATCGTCAGGTCAGAACGCAGAATCAAAGGCTAATATGAGCCATCAGCGAGCCAGAAAATACCGTGGATAGTCTGTAGCTTCAGCGCGACGAACGCGTGTCGCTGCGGAGATCGATATCGATAGGTGGACCAGTCCAGCATGCATGTGGCTCACGCGAGCTGGTATGCGTTCAATGAGTGTCCACAACAGAGACCCTGTCCCGAGAAGCCGCGCCTCGAGGCTCGCCACGCCTATGACTCTGCTGCTGCGTTCAAAGTCTCTGAATGGTCCGCTAAAGTTGAAACAACACAGACGGTGCGAGCTTACTAGGTGATGACTCAACTGTCTCACTCGAACCAAACGCGTGCTGCGCGACCCGCAGTCGAGCGTGGATAATTGCAGATCTCGGAGCCGTTGGCCGCGGAAAAAACAAAGTTTGGGTGGCTTACACGCACAACATGCATGCCCAATCGCATCTTATTTTACGTACGAAGCTTCTCTGGAGACTCGCGTCAAACGCACCGATTACCATGTAGCCGCACCCCGAATAAATGACGAATCTGCGCGAGAGGTATACGATATCAGCGGAAAGTTTCAGGGTCGGACTCTCCGGTACCGGAGGAGCTGTCCGTGAACTTTAACGCTGAACTGATGGCCTGAAGTCGGCCGTCTATTTGAAGCTGTATCGCCCTTATATTTCTTGATGCCAGGAGAGCGGGAGGAATGGAGAAGCTATGTAGACTGTGAGAAGTTGCTATTTGCTAATCGATGGCTTCTGGATGGCACCGATGCGGTCAGCACAAGACTCAGAAGACAAATGACGAGCCTTAAACACCTTAGAAGAACGCATCAGACAAGCAGCTGCGATTTTTTTTGGCCTACGCCCACGGCATATACAAGTTGTCAGATGGCATCTTAGCCGACATCGCATCCAAAAAGGCAACCGTTCAAGAACGACATTAGACGCGTTTGTTCTCCGCCAACCGAGCGCGTTTCCTTCACTTTCCAGTTTAGCTTCCTGCCACCAATGAATTGATGACGTACTTCAGCTGTGGTGTTCAGGATCAGACTTCGTGCCGTGAAGTTTGAGATCTGCAGTTTCGTAGACGGTACGAGGTAACCGTAGTTCATGCTTGCACCTCGGATTGTTAGACCATAGCCTGTCCTCGGAATGATGAGAAGCTGCGTCGGCTATCAGGGTGGATGGGCAGTATGCCACCGAAGAGAAGACGGGAATACAGGTGACTTGATAGTAGGTATTAAGGATGTATATGGTAACGCGTGTGGATCGTGTCATGATTATTGGAACATCGGAACGAAGGAGATCGAAGCTGGTCCATTAGAGTAATCGTCACATCATCCCCTTCCTCATGTTATCAAACTTGCTGCCTTCATACTGCAACCAATTGGGGCTGGTATCCAGCCCGCCCATCGCCTCCTTCACCACAGCAACCAAACTCTTCCCTGGCTGCGCTTCCTTACCCGGGCCACCTTCCATGCCTTCCCTCTGACTCCCCTTATCCCCGCTAAGCTCCCAGAACATGCTTCCTCCGAGACCCTCCTTCCTTATCCACTCCCCCTTCCACCATCCAACTTCTTCTGAATCGAAACTCACCATCTCCTTCGTTTGGAAGTTGTACGACCAACTGGCAAGTGCCTGTTCGTCGCGGTGCATGTAGGAACCTGGTAGGGGAAGTGCGCGGTAGTCATAGACACCTTGTTCCCAGCTACCGGGTCCTATACCCTGGAAGGAGTGTCCAGGACCCTCGGTATTCATGAAACTTCGCCCGTACAGGGGAATACCCAAAATGAGCTTGTTGCGAGGCACCCCCTTGGAGATATACCAATGTATCGACTGGGACGCACTGATCGGCCCTCCGAAGATGTTCGCTTGATGATTTGCAATGTGGTCCCATGAACCGGCTGTACTCGCACGGAAATCAAATCATTAATGAATGCCACGAGTAGGTAACAAGGCCACCTACAGAAGTCATACGCCATCATGTTCCAAAAGTCGAGATACCGATCCATTTCTGAGACATGAAGTTTCTTGTAGTTATCCGGACCACATGGCGCTGCGATCTAATCAGAGCACATAGGTGAGCAAACGATGACGTACGTCACAACGTGCACTCACAGTCAGAAGGAATCTATGACTGATATCCTTTCGTCTGGCGTGCGCGTCTAGTCCTTCCCTCAGTTCCCTCAACAGCTCGACGTAACCTCTCGCTTGCTCGTCATTCTGCGGATATTCATAATCAACGTCCAGCCCATCTAGACCGTTGTCTTCTAGCAGTCTGATGGCCGACGCCACGAACTTCGATCTGAGCGCGGGGGAAACGACAATTGGGTGGAAAGTCGGGGAATATGTCCAACCCCCAATGGACAGAATGACTTTCAGATGGCGATTCTGCTTCTTCAGGTTGTACAATGCTTTGAAATTTCCATACAGGTTGTTGCCAACGTCATTCCAAGAGTCACCAGCATAGTGTATCTCCTGGTCGGCCCACGTATCAGACAGGAAGACCTCACCAGTATCTGCTTTGATATTCGCAAATGCGTACAGGATATGACTATACTGGCATACGTCAATGAAACAGATTACGGGTTTACCCCCTCATAAGAACGTACGTCAAGTTTTCCACCGGGATCAGGGATGGGGGAAACTTTCTGCCGTAAATCCCCCTGTTCTCTGCGCATTCAGTATAAGTCGGTGGAAAATGTTCTGAAACATTACCAATTCACGAAGCTGAAATAATCAGGGATGAATGACGCACTCAGGACGAAGAGAGCGTTTCAACGCACTATCCAACGCTATACTTCCCAGAAGACATATTTGTATCGTTTGTAGGTGCGGCGGAAGGATTTCCAACTTCCTCTGTATCTGGTTTTCCCGGAGAAACCGTGTGGTCGGCGGGAATGACTTTCACTGACCACTGCCCAGCTTTGAAGGCTGCTATTGCGACGACACAGAAAGCCAAGGCAAGGAGCAATGACTTGGTTGCTGCCAGGCGACGCGAGCGTGGTCTAGGCTGAGATTGGTCCCCCGAGTCTACGTTTGCGTCAGTGGGAACTAGTTCGTATGCAGGCGAGGATGGCATCACCACCGACGAGTCGCGGCGAGGCGCAGTCCGAGGGGAATCTACTCGTTTCCCGCCACGTGATGTGAACGCGTCGCGTGCAACGACCAGACTACCACTCTGAAAGACCTTCCAGTTTATTGCTTTTTTTCTCTAACAAGCGATTTTTTTGTCCTTCCGCAAATTTATTTGGAGCGATTTGCTAAAGCCTGTCTGTTTTCTCACGTCGCCTATGACAGGAGTGACCGACTCACCCAGCAGGATGCAATGCGGTGCAATCCGAGGCACGCAGACACAATGCGGATAGACCTCACGCTTGTGATGCGGCAAAACTTATTCGTGTGTTGTCATGCCCCAGAGCTGCCTCGTCCCGACGTACGGTTGTCTCCACCGACGCTGGGGTAAGATCTACAGATCTCCAACGCCTTGTCCTTGGAGCTCACTGGCTTCAGTAGGGGGTACCCGCGTCGGGAACTGGTGCGACGTGAGGCCGTGTGATCCGTGCTTCTTCCTCCCACTTGCAGCGCAGGAACTTGGCAGGAAGACGACGGACCAATGGTGTTGACTTACTCCGACCGCGACGCACCAGATTGAATCTTTCATTTTGCAGTAACGTATGAGCTGCTCTTTTGTAACGTGGATACGCTCCCATGACTCCTGGCGTCAACCTTGTCCCTCGGTGCAGTAGTAAGTGCTGCAAGGGTCGTACGACTTCATAGACAGGGCGGTCATACTAGGAAATCCAAGCCCTAGGATAAATGGAACGTGGTCCTGGTTGTATGCGCAGGTACACTTGAGGCTTGGCATCAGGTGTCGGTGTTTTGTTCGGTGTTAGTACGGTGAGTTGTTTGAAGCGCACACCTGGATTGCAGCCTCTGCTCTACGCCACCGGGCGCGCGCGCTGTAACACTATGCACAGGCTGCACAAGGCTGCAAGCGGTGAGTAGTGAGCATCACTGTGTATGCATAATACCGGAGACCAAACATTGGTATGCACCATATTCTGTGTATCTCGTTAATATTCTCGTCAGTCAAAATATAGCACCGAGCATGGCATTCCTACCATCCAATGCTCCGTTGGTGCGTCCGGACAGGCCGAGCAACACAAATACGAAACAGCAGTTGGCGCAGTCGTGGTAAACAGAAACACCATCAAAACAGCAAGCCGCCCACCCATCATAGCTGTACAGACCTAAATACAATCGCAGCAAGGATAAATCGTGCTCACAAGAAGAATCGACGATTGCACGTTGCGACAAACAATCAGCAACACAAAATCTATGACCGTCAGAAGATCATCTCAGAATGGGTGAGGACATGATATTGATAAGCTCCCCGAGGAAGCAGTGATCCCACCCTAAGACCAGAGAGCCGAGCCGAAATAAATTGTGGAAACTCCTGGATGAACTTCACAACTAGGCGAGACGACAGGCGCGAGTAACAGGAATAAGTGATATGCAATAATCTTGAATCTGTGCCAACGACCTATGATCAAACTAGGATGCAAGAGAAGCCATGGAAATCCCGTACAAATATAAATATTCACCCCCCTCTGACCTCTCTCCACAAAGGAGTGAGTGCCTGAGCCACAGTGTTCGCTGCAACCTCTAGACAACCACGCAACTCGTCATCTTCTACGCTCTTCAAGAGCCCCCTGGCTCTCCATCTGTCGGGATGAAACCGCTTGTGGCTCTTCTCCACGAACATCTTGTAGTCCTGGCTGCGCATGTGTGGTTTTACGGTATGGAAGAAAGACTCGACGGCCGTCCAGTCGACGTCTTCCACAGTCAGGATGGACGGTGAGTGCAAAACAGGCCAAGGGACAATATCAAAAGTGATCGGATCGGACGATGTGAATTTCGTAGTGTCGAAAGTCTCGCAAAGCAACTTGTATCGCTCAAGCGCGCGTTGGGTCGTCCACGATCCCTGGGACCAGCGAGCTTGCTGCTGCCGCCACTGACGCCTTATTTGTTCTCGCTCTACCCTGGCTCTTTCCTCTTGCGCCAGCCGCTCCGCCTCTGCACGTGCCTCTGCTTGTCGTTGCCGTGCTCTTGCCTCTGCTTCAGCTGCTGCTGTTCTTCTCTCTTGTTCCCTCTTTGCTTGCCTAGCCCTTTCTTCAGCGATCTCCTGTTCTTTCCGCTTTTTTGCCGCCTCCTCCCACAGTGGCTTATCCCGCTGAAGTTCAGCCATCTTTCTCTGCGATTCCTCGATTAAGGCGCGGTGCATGGCATCTTCACCGTTCTCGTCTGTCTGCTGGGTATGGTCGTCTGGTTTTGCACTTCCGCCATCTTCTGAAGGAGAAATGAGAAAATACGGAGGGTGCGTCAACAAATATCGTACCTTGGAAAGGTATGCTACTTTCCTCGGGTATCCCAGAGAAGATGTCGTTCATAAAGGTTTCGTGCCACTTCCGATTCCATCCATTTGCGCGGTCTCGATATTGAGACATCCGCTGTCTTTCCCGGCCTCGCAGTTTCTCCTGCATGGCACGTCGTATAGACATTGGTGACTCGGTGCGAGCTCGTTTATAGGACGGCCCTGACGGTTCTGTGGTAATATCTATTGGATGACTGGCACTACCACTCTCTGAGTTTGGATCAAATACTGGCGGTACTGATAAATGGGTTGTTTCAGCTTATGTCGTATATGCATTCGTCTAGACATGCCCACCCTTTCGTTTAGCTGCATTTGGGGGAATAGATGAACCAGGCTGGGAGGACTCGTCAGACCCTGTCGTGAGATCAATCATTTCCGCGTCTTCCGTAGAAGTGCCCATCGATGTGCTGATATTCGTGGCGAACATGTCTCTCTTTCTCCTACGATTTTCCTCCGCCTGGCGAAAACCTCTACCGCTTCCGGTAGACCTTGTTTTATTTGGGGGTTTGCCAGAGTAGTATGGCGGGTGTCTTGAATGACGTGAAAGTCTCGGGTCATCAGCTATAATCTCTTCTACTTCATCCTCTTCATCAGAAGGAGACATGTGATGGGGCGCACTCCCACCCTTCACAGTATCAGCATCAGAGATGTTTACAGCTGACCGAAACCTCTTGCGGACTTCCTCACTTGGCCTCTCATCTGAGGTCGGTGAAGGAAGCCGACGTTTGGTCCTGAGGGGAGTGTTATATGTCGCACCTGTCCACATATGTGGAACGTCTCGGGAATCAACTCGTTCCTTGCCCTTCTTTCTAGACACAGCCGTAATATGCGGAGATGCCCTGACAAAACAGTCATATTCTGGATCCAGTTTGTAGATATCCCACTGATCCTGGGAGCAGACAAACAATCCACTGCAGATCATAAGATGCAGCGACCGGGATATATGAGGAGAAAGCATAGATACCATAGTGATTGAATCTGCTCACCCGCAAATTTCTATGGTTCTTGGCCACGAACCTTCACTCTCCACGCCATGCTCCAATCGCGCACGAGGAACAAACCGCCATAAGTTCCCGCCATTTGGCCCGGGGATTGTTTCTATCACAATACGCTTTGGAGGAGACAGTTCGTCATAAGAAAAAGGCTTGCGTCTGTTTGATATGTTGTCTGCTCGTGATGCGGCAAGCGGGTGAAACGAGGCGAAGGACAGTGTGGCGTCTGGAACACGGAGAAGACGATCTGGCTGAGAAGGGTCAAGCAAGCCTGGGATAGTGCCAAATAGCGGGCGTGGGGGCGGCTGTTGCGAAGGCCCTGCGTCGCTAGACATGACTCTGGTTGACGGTGAAGCCGTCCACACTGAAGAGACAACTTCAAGTTGTTCGACCGCTCGCATGTGTGTCACAGAAATTATGTGACCATCACCGCGAAGACGCGCTCACATGAGTCACATCGCGTCAATGTTTGCTGCACTGAGGCGGTGATCACTTTTTTATTCATGAAACTGGTGTACTCCTCCTCTTCGTTTTCAAGAGTGGTTTCAAGAACCGACATTATGATGCACTATCTAAGAGGGGCATGGATTGGTAAAGGAGCTATGATGTGACTTTCTTCTAGGTCTGCATCCGTCCAAGGCATCTCCTCATGAAGCTCGAGTCCGCGGAATCAGTCTTACTTGCCGTTGTAATCTGGACTTTGATGCACAAACTTAGCAGAAACAAATGAGAATCAGAGTCACTCGGCCAAGGCACCCTCAGCCTTAGTTGTGTCCGTTCCACTCAACTCTTGGGTCTTGTTGCAGTGACTGTGCAAGAACAGCGTGGTACGCTCTTCCCTATGGGAGGCTATCGTCACCCGGGTCTCTAACGCTGTGTGCGACGCGGGCAGTGTGCTGTATGTCTAAGATTATATGGTGTGCTTCCGTAGTTGCAGTCTATGTCATTTAACCAGCGAGCTTTACGTGTAACATCTGAAACTTCAAATGTTACGTCCGCGACATAAATCCTGCATACGGCGCCATGGTGGATGAACACGAGTCTACCGAGCGCCGAAGGACTCCTACCGCAACCGTATTCGCCGACTGCGTGAGATGCTACCGGTACCTCATAGTAAGTATGGCCGTCTCCCAGTCTGCCCTCATGCTCTCCCTCGGCTGCGTCCCAACTTCCAACCGTTTACATCGCATTGACAGCCTGAGCTGGGATTGAGCTGGAGTCAAGACTCCGCCAACGTTCGTCCAAATAACATGAAACAATCGTTGTGACAGCCTTCAGCCGGGAGTCAGCGCGCGCTGAGTCGTCTGTGACATACAAAGACTCGGAAGTGCACTGACTCAGGTAGGCTCTGACTCGCTCTCTGGCTAACAGTCAAAGAGCTGCGGGAATGCCACAAGTGGTCCAGACGCATCATCTCCACTCTGGTCAACATGACCAGCTTACGGACATTTCAGGACGAGATCGAAGATATACGCTTACGCGAGGCTGCCAAACACCGAGTTCAGAACATCGAATCGCACAAGGACAAAGATCACAAGAACCGAGTTCAGAACATCGAATCGCACAAAGACAAAGATCAGAAGAAGCGCGCCGCCGCGAAGCCCGAGGTCCATGAGGCCCGGGAGCATGGGAGCGTTGGTGACGGAGGAAAGCATACAGACTCCGAGGACTTGTCAGAGCTGGACAAACGGCTTCAGGTGAGCGATGTACACTACCAGACAACGGCATTGACTCATGCTAAGGAGGTTACGCATAGACTCTGCTCTTGTCTGGTGTATCCTCAGACCTCGACCGAGCTCGCGACATCATAGCTTCCCTCTTGACACGAAATAGAGGCGAATATATCTTTCGAATAGGTGCCCAATCTCCACACATTGCTCTATTTGCAGGCCAACCACTGGAAGGCACTGATGGCTGGCGGGGAACTCCACGCGCCTCGGAGGAGATAGACATCCTACGTGCACGAGTATCACGACTGGTTGATGAAGTTGGCGGTCAGGTATGTCTTCCTCCGCGTCTTTGGCTTGTTCAGGCTTTCATCGACTGGCGCTGGGAAGAGCTCTGTGCTATTTGATACAAGAACAACTCATCCCCGAGCAGCACTTCTCTTACGACTTCCTGCGCCGGACGTATCCCTTACTCCCGAGGTTCGCTGCGCTGTGGTCGGGAACGTAGATAGCGGGAAGTCTACAACATTAGGTGTCCTCACCCGAGGTACTGCGGTACGACTTCTAGTTGGACCGTCTATTCTACTGACCGCTCGTCCTGCAGGTACATTAGATGATGGAAGGGGACGAGCACGAGTCAGCTTATTCAGGCACAAGCACGAGATTGAGAGCGGGCGTACGTCCAGTGTCGGCATGGAGGTAATATTCCACATTCCGGCTCTACCGGTGCTGAACGTCACCATTCGCGCCCAGATTTTAGGTTTTGGACCTACTGGTGCTCCGATTTTACCTATCACTGCCCTTTCAAACGATCCAGACGTCATCCGGCGGGAGAAGATGGGCTGGGAGGAGATCTCAGTGCAGGCGGCAAAAATCGTCTCATTCAGTGGTGGGAGCAACTGTGTGTAGACTGCTAATTGACTGCTACTAACACAACCTGTAGACCTGGCAGGACACGAGCGATATCTCAAGACCACATTATATGGCCTAACATCTGGCGCTCCATCCTGTGTTATCCTGATCGTTGGTGGTAATGCTGGGCTCATAGGCATGTCGAAAGAGCACCTTGCGATAGCCTTGGCTCTGAATGTTCCCGTGGTGGTATGTATAACTAAGGTGAGCGCTACCGGCTACACGTACACACTGGCATCTGTATCGACGGCGGCTATTGCTAGATCGACATGACGCCACCAAACGTGCTGGAGAAAACCATCCAACAGGTGTCCAAGATCATGAAAAGCCCTGGATGCCGGTATGTTCCAACAATATCAAGATGTCTTCCCCTATTAAGCTAGAACTATATTAGAAAAACTCCGGTTTTTGTGAAGTCTTTCGAGACCGCTGTCGAAGTTTCTCAGGTCTTTGCTAAGGAGAGGTAAGCCCTTGCGGTGGGTGTGGAATGCAACGCTCAAAGCGAGAATCAGGATCTGCCCAACGTTCCAAGTATCTAATGTCACAGGAGAAGGTCTGGACTACGTGAGCACTGTTTGCTGCTTGCGCTCAAAAACTTCGACGTCCATCGATGACTTAGTTGCGTATGTTCCTTAATCTGCTGCCTTCCAGCGAAGGTGACAGCGAGCGATTCCAGGCGGATCAGCCATTAGAGGTATCAAATTGTCCGCGTCCATCTCAACATGCGCTCATGTTTTCATTTTAACAGTACTCCATCACTGAAGTATGGTGAGGCAAATTTACTCTCTGATTTAGCTTTGGGTCTCATCAGGGTACACGCACGTAGGTCTGTGCCGTATGTTGGGACTGTCGTGGACGGTATCTTGAATAGTGGGAAAATCAAAGCTGGCGATGCTGTTCTCTTTGGACCGGATTCTAACGGAAACTTCGAGAGCACTACCGTTAAGAGCATACAGCGAAAAAGGCCAGTTTGCGACCGGTGCAGTTCATATGCTTTTAAGCTTCGTTCTGATCTGTATCCATTCATGATCAGGGCTCCAGTCGTCAGCGCTGAAGCCGGACAGTGCGTCTCTCTGGCGCTGAAACGTGTGCGCAAAGCAGCTGTGCGTAAAGGCATGGTACTTGTGCATAAATCGGACGCCCCGCCAAGAGGTGTGTTTGGGATATTGTTGGTTTCTTGTCACGCTCATTAGCGCTTGGCTGTGCAGCTGTGCGGAAATTCGAAGGACAAGTCCTCATCCTCTAGTGCGTTTTCGCTCTCGCTCAGACTGCGAGAATCGGTGCTAACGCCCGTCCAGTCACAATACAACGTTGCAGAACAATTATCAGGTATGTTTCATCGGTCGGCGCGTAAATTCAGCATTGATGTGCCTCCATTCACCACAAAGGCCATGCTTCATTGTGGTGTATGTTCAGCCTCTTTTCGTCCCTACTTCATGAACTTATGTTGCCTTATAGGCCGTGCGCCAAACTGTTCGAATAGTAGGGATGGACCATCCGCAAGGGGTCCTACGCACCGGCGACCGCGCAACTGTGACCTTTGAGTTCATCTCGCAACCAGAATTCATCAAGGAGGGGATGAAGCTTCTATTCAGAGAAGGGAAGACGAAGGTGAGAGAGCTCGTCTGGTTGTGGAATGGGTCACTTATCAGCCGTAGGGACTCGGTGTAATAACACGATTATTGTGAACCTGCACTGTCTGCACCCTCATGTCCGGGTTTACAACTGTCGATGGACGTGTTGAGCAGCTGCACGGTGGTCTCGTACCCAGACGGTTATCACACCGTACCCTACCACCGCAGATAACCGTCGGGGTGCGAGAGCACTGCACGGAACTTCGCGAGCCAGCAGCAGCTATCAGATACGTTTGTTCGATGTTTGGCCCGTGAGGCTGGATCGTGAGCGGATACTGTACTTGTTGGTTCGCTTGTGTATTCGATGTGTGGCTTGTATTATGCGTGTATTTGTTATGTATCCTTGAACGCGAAACTGAAGTAGAGAGCGGGGTGCGGAACCGACGGCGGTGCCTGAGAGCTTGTGTGGATCAGGCGCTTAGTAGAAGCTGTAACTTGTTGCACAGCGCCATCCTGATGACAGGTCGCTATCTCATCTCTGTGCTTCAACCACATCCATGGCGACTACTCTGACCAGCTCAGACGAATATCCTCTGAGGCGCACACAGTCCACCGGCGATCTGCCAGACGTCGACAACGGCCCTCGTCCCGGTCGACATCGTATGTCCACTTCCCCTCGCCGCTCAGAGAGCCAGACGCCGGCCAGCATGCGTCTGCTCATGGACCGCTCAACCACCCCATCTTCCACTATCGCCTCACCTGAGTCTGCCCATCTTACATCACAAACTAGGACCGTGCCCGCTCTCATGGCGACAGACCGTAATCCCGACATCCACCTTGACGCGCGCACAGCAACTGTCAATGCTCCCTCAGACAATGAACCGCATTCCTTGTCGATCAGACTATTACAGTTCCTGGGATACACGGGTAATAATGCACGCGCCAGGAGGGACCTGATTTCTCTCGTTTGGAATCTCTCATTCGGGTTAGCACAGGTGAGCTAACGAACAGCCACGAACCACGTCCATACCCTCCTCTGATGTCTCTTAGTTTGCAGTAATCATTACGCTGCTAGCGTTCTCAGCGCATCATGAGAGCCCTACAAGTCCTGGTTTGTCTGAATGGGAAGCTTGTGCAAGGCCACTGGGTGTTTGGAACTCTCTGTGGCTCGTCAGAGTGGCTCTGGGCTGTGTCTTGTCTGTCTGGGGTTGGTTTAGAGAGCGCGCTACGAGGATAAAGTGGGTACTGTGGCACTATCGTTGAATAATACTTATCCGGGTTCCCTTCAGTCAAGAGCGGAGGCACGCCGAGGACGCCGAAGCTGGGCGCTCAGAAGCTACCCAGCCAACCTCAGCTCGCAGTGGGACTTCAGGCAGGCCTGCTCCTGCTCGAGGTTCTAGGTTGTCCGGCGCCGGTGGCCAGGCTGAGACTAACGCAGATTCTTCCATCAATTCGAAGTACCCACATTTGTATGCTCGGTTCGTGTTGTCCTTTCTCCCTGCGCTGCATGCAAACTAAAACACAAAGCAGACTGTCGTTCCTTACCTCTTTCATTTCTCTGGCTTGGTTTCTGACGGCACATATCCTCGAGTACACGTCCGTCAAGACCTGCCGATTGTCATCTCCTCATCTCTGGTGGTTGACGTTTGGGATCCTATGCATCTTGTACCTGACGATCCTCGAAATCTTCCTTCTTGGCTTACTGGTCTTCTTCGTTGGCCCCGTTATCTATGTGCGTTTGTCGGTTTCCTTTCTTTACCTTGCGTACTCAGGTAATCCTCTGTAGCTGTTTTGGAACATCGTACTCTTGTGTTTGGGTCGGCATCCACTTCAAAACATCAAACCCGAAATCGGGAAGCTGCCAAAGTCAATTGTGGACGAGATACCGCTGGTGCTGTACATACCGCCGCCGCCCGATAGCTCTACTGATGGATTCAGCACCCCGACGGTACCACCGCCAACCCACTCATATCCTCCTAAGCCTCCTGCCCGGAGGTCGCGCAAACGCCGCTTTGCTTTCCTGCGGAAGTCTTCAAAGGGAGATTCCGGAGGAAGCTCTTCCAAGGGTCTATCGCATAAGGTAAATCAGCCCACAGGAGCCTGGGAAGACCGTTGGGAGCCGGGCGAGTACCCATTCGTGAGGCTGGAGGGAAATCGTGCGGCGTGTGCGATCTGTCTCTTGGACTTTGAGGAGCCCAAGCGCGTTGGGGACAAAGATGCTGTGCCAGCTACAGCAACGCCTGAGAACGAAGCTGAAACGGGCGGGGAGCCAGACACGACGAATGCACCGGCGGAAGAAGTACAGGTCGAGGAAGTCTCCGAAGAGGAGCGGGACGCGCTGATGCTTGGCGATGCCGGAGAAGGCGCGCAACCATTGCGTCTGTTGGCATGTGGTCATGTCTTTCACGTGAGTACCTTATTGGACGCTTCTGTCACGACTGGTCCCCGCTAATTTTGGTGCCTTGATAGAAAACATGTGTGGACCCATGGCTCACAGACGTATCTGGCCGATGTCCGATCTGCCAGCGCCCGGTCGAGGTGCCCCAGCGTGACGGGAAGAAAGACAAGCGAAGTCGTTGGACTTGATAGGGAAGTTTTGTGCTCGCCGATGTCCTTAGGAATTCCTGTTCCGTTTGTAGATGACCACCTCACGGACTTCACAGCTCTTGGCTGCATTCTTGTTCTCCTTGTCATTGATGTATTGTAGTGGCTAAGACAGCTATCGATTCCCGTACCCATGTACAGTAACTCATATGTAGTTTTACCGCCGTACGCTGGATCGAACGGTACAGTTCAACCGACCTTCTGAGGCAAGGATCAGCGACACATGCAGGATCCCAAGTAGGTACAGCATCTATTACGGTGCGGTTATGGACATCGGCAAGACCATTCCCACATCCACCAGAGATTTGTTCATGGTCAGAGAAGACCTATACTCGCCTCAGGATCCAAGTACTCTCCGATGAATCCCGTTTCCACCGGGATCGGTTGGATCGACATACGACCACTATACACACCCTTTTCACTATTTATATTTTACCCGCGCGCAACCGGAAATACTGTCATTGTCAGCCTGAGGACTTCCTGTCTTTGCGTTGAGGCAAGTTACCTCACATTTGTCGGTGTTGATGGCAGAAGTTCATAGCAGTCGTTGATATCCACACGCCTTTGCGAAAAGTGGTTTTAGTACCTAAGTATCGTGAAGGACCCTTCTGCGATTGGGAGGACCTTTCAGATTGGTATGAACGCATTTTGCTTCCACATCTTATTCAGGCCACTCACTCTCAATAATTAGTGCAGTATGTCTTCGGCAGAGCGAGACCACCATTTCGCGCCAGTGAGATTCTCTATCCACTGTTTTGGTCCCCGGAGGGATACCTGTCTATACCACATGCATGTAAGCCATAGGATAATGATATGATTAGTAGATTATTCCCTATGCGAACGACGCGAGGAGCGCACGGCAATGGTCATTTACTGTGGTGTTCGACAATTGCAAGGAAATATACAGTAGTAATAAACGAAAGCAGGCGTTAATCCACAAAGCATGATCCAGAAAAGCGCCACATAGATCGAAGCATCACACAGATCACTACCAAAACAAACCTCCAGCAAAAAATACGTCCACAAAGAGAACGCCCGCAAGTGAGATCCATGCAACCTGGACAGAAGAGGCCCCACTAGGCTTGGAACCTGTCGACGTGGAAGCTGGAGGTGAAGACGAAACTGGCGACGCGGCAGCCGTGCTGCCCCACATCTGGAAGTCGCGGAAGTACGTGTGCACGGTCTGCGGCGTGGCCCACGCAGTGGTGCTCCCTGTGTGAAGGTGTCAGTGAACGCCCAGAACACATGAGAACGCGAGATGTACCTCCGAAGAAGGTCCTGATTTGGACAGCAAATGGAGAAAGTGAGCGAACGCATGATGAGACTTTCAGTTTACGTACGAGAAGAAGAGGCCGCCGATGTTTATACCGGAGCTGTTGCGATACTGCAGGTCCGTCTCGGTGAGTGCGAGCGTGTTATTGTAACTAGTGGAAAGCATGAGGGATGAAAACAGGAAATGAAGAGATACTCTTACTAAAGTGCGACTTGTCCATCAGAACTGTTCAAGAGGCTGTTCAGGCCCACATAGAGGGTCACACGGTTCCACCTACGACGAAACACTAGTTCAAATGCCATCCAAACAAACACAATGGATGTGACTTGAAAGTGCGTACGCTCCGGCGACAAAACTGAAAGAACCCCGGTCGATGCTCGTCCCATATCCATCATTGTTGCAAATGAAGTCCGGACTGGCGCACAACTCGCTGGTGGGAAGGAAATACGAGTAGACTAAAGGGCAAGCCGTCAGCTCCATCGGGCGCGCACAGCTTGGAGTTACCAAATACCTTCGCCTTGTCCATCTGTGCGCCACATCAAGCGTGCAGTGAAGCAATTTGAGCCGTTCGCCCCGGAGCCGCCCGAACAGCCGTCGTCATCAGGCCCGCCTCGGAGCCCAGGGAGCTTCCCGCCCATAACCCAGTTGAAGTCGCTGTCGAACGCGACCTCGTACGTGAGGACCATCGAATTGAAGGGCGCACCATTCGATCCCCCCCAGGCCGCGTAGAACTGGGCCCCGCCCGTGTTGTTGGAGTAGCTGCCGGCGGGATACGTGACCTGGAGGACTGGACCGGTCGGCTCGGGAATTCCTGCAGATGAGGACGGGGACGATGTGGGGAATGGGTCGTCGACGAACGCGAGGTACATGCCACGGTCGATGCCGCCTTGGAGGGGCCAAGAGGATGACAGATAGGACTGCGTATCCGAGGATGAAAGAGTGGCAGTTGGGAAGGGAAGGGACGTGCTGGCCGAAAGACTGTACTTTGCTGCAACGGCAGCGGGTGTCACAACCGGAGATGCAGTAGATGCAACGAACGAGGGGCATAGCAGTGTGCTGATAATGAGAACGAGGGGGAACATCGCCGCACGATGCCCGAATAATCAGGACGGCCGTATTGTGCTAAAAAGTATGTGTCGACTCAAGAACAGCAACAAATCTGAACGCCAAGTCGAACTCCAGCGCTGGATAGCACATGCGAAGACTCACGTACGATATAGATGCGGTTTCAAGAAGTGTCACTTGCGGTGGCTGACGAGAACTGATATGACGCGCGGTACCGGTCAGTCTGATAACCAATAAACCCAATTGAAGGAATTGGCAACAGGGGATATACGAAGGTATCTGAATCTAGACGTCAGTAGTAGAATTGTTGAAGAAATGGTGCGGCAGAAATGGTGGAAGGAAGCAGGTAGCTAGCGGTGCGGAATTATGACAAGACTCCTGTGCAGACAGAGTGGATGGGCTAATTGCATGCGGGAGAGCGTTGGGGAGGCTAGCCGTTTCAGACACGCACACCGATGCTTGGAACGACTCAGTTGCTTGAGCTATAAGGTAAGTAATCGATAGCACAGTAGGATATTCGTACAAGCAAGGCCAGGACTCTTGGTCGGAGATGACGCCTTGGGCGAGAGTTTGAAATGAGAAACGACTGTGACTTGCCGCCGCATCTCATCTTGGGCTTGGAACGAGAACGCGGCGCCAGCCACGAGGTGCTAAAGGCGTGCCCACGTGATCGTCCTTACCATGTGATCTATTCTTCTCGAAAAGCCGGCATACAATTTTCTTAATAGTGTGCATACAAACCGAACAACGCAGTTTCTATGGATTCGCACGCCGTCACTAAAACCGACTACAAAAGTTATACCGGGGCATTCACCTTACTTCACCTCGTAAGGGTCTTCTCAACAGTTCTGTCATCCATGGATGCTCATTTGCCCGTGGAAATTCTCCCAGACACATCTCCAGCCCGTGCAGGTGTCGCACCTCTCGTTCACCTCCACACATGGCGCACTTCCCGAGGGCCCGCACGGCTGTGCGTTCCTTAGCACGTTCTCTGGCGACGCTAAACAATGCTCCACCAGCCGGGAAAAGGTGAGCCATAACTTCTCAAAGTGTGGGCGTTCCTAACGTCCTCCCTAGCCCCACAGGTACGTGTTGAGCGCTTCGGGGTTGTAGCCAAGACCGTGATGTGCTGGCAGCGATCGTCATGCTCAACATGGGCGGACCGTCTACCGTATGTTGCCCAGTCCTCGTTATATGCCACTTTCGCCAATCTCCCGGTCCAATAGGTCTCGGAAACACACGACTTCCTCAAGAACCTCTTCCTGGACAATGACCTCATTCCTTTGCCTTTCCAGTCCATCATCGCACCATTAATTGCGCGCCGGCGGACACCCAAAATCGAACAACAATATACCGACATCGGCGGAGGGTCTCCCATCCTGCGCTACACGCAGCTGCAGGGCGAGCGCATGGCCGCGATTCTAGACGAGTTGCACCCCTCCACCGCACCGCACAAAAGTTATGTCGCCTTTCGTTACGCGAAGCCGCTGACAGACGCTACGGCGCAACAACTCAAGGCGGATGGTGTGACGCGCGCGGTCGCGTTCACCCAGTACCCGCAGTACAGCTGTAGTACGACGGGAAGCAGCCTGAACGAGCTGTATAGGAAGGGTAAAACTGGTGCGTTCGGTGATGGGGTTGAATGGAGCGTGATTGACCGCTGGGGGACGCATCCTGGGTTCATTGAGGTACGGTTGAAAGTGTGCTGTGGTCTTTGAGTGGTCGCTGAATACATATGTAGGCTGTTGCACAAAATATCGAGCGCGCACTCGCGAAATTCCCGGAGTCGACGCGTGCCGACGCGGTACTGCTGTTTTCTGCGCACTCGTTGCCGATGTCAGTCGTCAATCGTGGCGACCCATATGTGCTCGAGGTGTCGGCGACGGTTGCGGCGGTGATGGAACGTCTGAAGCACACGAATCCATACCGCCTTGTGTGGCAGTCGCAGGTGGGCCCGTCGGCGTGGATGGGAATGCAGACGGGTGAGGCATTGAAGGGCCTCGCACGACTAGGGCGGAAGCAAGTTGTGTTGGTACCGATCGCGTTCACGAGCGATCACATCGAAACCTTGTACGAACTTGACTTGGAGTACGCCAGGGAGGCGAGGGAGGTGAGCGATAACTGCTTGCCGGTGCCAATGCCATCGTTGACCTTGGCATAGCATGGCATGGACGTGCATCGTGCGGAATCGCTCAATGAATCGCCTGTGTTCATCCGTGCGCTGGCGGACATGGCGTCGGCCCACCTGAAAGACATCACGACAGGGAAGAGCGGGCCGACGAGCATCCAGATGGCGCTGCGGTGTCCGGGATGTACGAACGCGACGTGTGGACAGCAGAAGACGTGGTTTGCACGCGGTGGGCGCTAGGAGGCTGATAGGCACGGACAGATACTTCGGCCGCTGTCTGCAGTGGAGGAGAGACGTCAGGCAGGGAGAGACCGCCCGGGGACTGGAAGGGAGAGCTCCGAGTGAGGCGCGAGAGATGTGTCCAGCTGTGTGGCTGCTTTTCGTGAATCGTTCGAGGATAAGATCCTGTCGTTCGTCTTCCATGCATCTGTAGTCATGCATATATACACTCCCCTTCTCTCAAACTCTGTCTGAACATCTTATATCGGTGCAATCACCTCTACAGACAGAGGATCTATCCCCGTCCTCCCCATCTTCACCTATGACCACCGTGTCCTCTCCAGGGAAGGTCCTCGTCGCGGGAGGTTATCTTGTCCTCGACCCCGCGTATTCTGGTGTCGTCGTCTCCACCAGTTCCAGATTCTACACGACTGTGAGAAACATCGATGAGGCCGAGCTCCTTGCACGAGCCCACGCTGCCCGCCCGATTGAGATCCGCGTCCGCTCCCCTCAGTTTCTCGATGCAACATGGTCCTATATCGTCACCTTCGATTTTGATGGCGTGCGCATAGATCAGGCTGCATTCAAGTAAGTGCCCACTCTCATGTATGCCTGATGACAACACTCGAGCATTCCTCCGCGGACCAGCCCATCCAGGAACAAGTTCGTTCATCTCGCGCTGCAGCGAACCCTTTCGCTAGCCCTCGAGGTCCTCAGCGCGGGAGCGCTGCAAAACAGCCTCTCCTATGGCATCGACATCACCATTGTCGGGGACAATGATTTTTACTCCCAGCGAGCACAGGTAAATTCATCCCAGCTATCTACCCATTTCATCCACGAATATGCAGTCCGCTAGCTAGCCGCCTGCAACCTTCCCCCTACGCTCCGGTCCCTGGCACAGCTACCGCCCTTCAGCCGCACCGGCGTGCGCCTCTCCGACGTTCACAAGACCGGGCTTGGTTCGTCCGCTGCGCTCATCACATCGCTCGTCGCGAGTCTGCTCGTCCACTTGAACGTGATCCCGCGTCGCGCCTTCGCCCCCACAGAGGGCGACACCGAATGCGCGCAGACTGGACGCCGCCTCGCGCACAACCTCTCGCAGTACATTCACTGTCTTGCGCAGGGCAAGGTCGGCAGCGGGTTCGACGTATCCGCCGCAGTCTTCGGCAGTCAGATATACACGCGCTTTGACCCTGCCGTGCTGCAGCCTCTCATGAGCGACGATGTGGTGCGTTCTCTCCCTCACTGAGTGCGCACCCGTTTCGCTCACGTCTGTGTTGCAGCCGCTAAATCAACCGCTCGCCGAGGTCATCAGCCCCGCGAACTCGGCATGGAATTATCGCGTGGAGCCGTTCAGGCTACCGCCACAGACGCGGATGATGCTCGCAGATGTCGATGCCGGGAGCGATACGCCGTCGCTCGTCGGCAAGGTGCTCAAGTGGTGCAAGGAGGACAGCGCACGAGGTTAGCCCCTTCCCATCTGCGCCCAATGTCGTGCTGAGGCGCCGTTCGCTTAGCGGGCGCATTGTGGGATGCGCTCGATAAGCTGAATCAGTCGCTCGCGCAGACGTTTGTGCGCATAACGCAGTTGCATGATAGCGATCCGGCTGCATATACGACGGCCGTCAAATATCTGTCGACACTGCAGTCTCTGCAGGTGCGTGCATTGCTGTTCGTGTTTCGGTGTCCTTCTGACTGACCACGCGTGTCCAGTGGCTCGCGAACCCAATGATTACCGAGGATGACCAGAAGTTCATCGATGAATTCTCGAAGGCGCACACGATATCGCTCGTAGGGCACTCCACGAACTTCCATTCAAGAAGGACTGACAAATCCTCTGCATGCAGGAGATTCGCGAAAAGATGCGTGAAATGGGGACACTATCGGGCGTACCGATCGAGCCGTCAGAGCAGACTGAGTTACTTGATGCATGTATCGGCTTGGCTGGCATCATCGGAGGAGGCGTTCCTGGAGGTAGTGCGGCGTTTCGTCATCGAACTCTACTGCCACTCACGCCTTCCATTTACCAGCGGGGGGCTACGACGCGATCTGGCTGCTCGTGCTCGACCCGGAAAATTGTCCGCCGGCGGAGCTTCCATCCGGCCGCGTTGAGCGCGCCTGGGCAAAATGGGCCAAGCTCGACGTTTCCCCACTCTCCGCGACTGAGAGCATCGCGATGGGCGTGCGCCTAGAGGACGCGGCCGCAGTCCCTGGTTTGCAGGAGCTAGTAGAAGCGCCCTGGTGAGTTCGCGATGATCCGGATTCTGACGCGGGGAGATTACACGGTGTAAATGTACGTATGAGTCGGTGGAAGTTAAAGTCCGGGTATGTGGTGTCTGTGCCCTCCTTCCACGCCGCCTTCTACAAGCACCACCCTTCCCTTCCCTGTGGTCAATGGTATTGCAGAAGTGTCTCTCATGGAATGTATATGTGGCCCTGCCCGGCCCACCTGACTAGGCACATATCCGTGGTTCGCCCGCGGGCGTCCATGTCTTCCCGAGTGCAAGGAAGAGCGATATACACATGACGATAGTGCCAAAGAGTGCACAGACGAGGGCAGGTAGTTTCGTCCGCGCATACCACGGTGATCCCGGATCTGCTAGACGCATATAGCAAGCGGCGGGGAAGATGTAGGCTAGTGCTGTCGCCGAAGCGCCGCCAGTTATCTCGAGCATCACCCCCAGGTCACAAGTGATGAGCGCAACTACAAAGGGACGTAGGCCCAGTCATGTCAGCAAGAACACCAGGGTAGGGCAAAACAAGAACTTACTGATCATCGATGAGCACAAAATCACGGTAGTGAAGAACACATGGCGTTGCATATTGAAAGGCTCGTGCGAGAAAAAGTATTGCTCGATCACCTGCAGCAGCCAGTACATTCATTACTAGTGGTCAGAAAGGCCCAGAGAGATCAACTACCTCTCGGCAAACGAACAACTCGAGCGGAAGAGTCGTGAACATGTTGAGCCCGAAGCAGAAACGAGCTACGTTAATCACAGTATCATCCTTTCCACAAGTGTCAGGGCGGCACACATGATGTGCACCAAAGAACATACCGGCGCGAAGTTGTTCAGGATATTGCCCTGCGTCTTGTCCGTGAACACCAGGTACGCGGATATCGCCAGCGTGCAACACGCGACGAGCGAGACGAACGTCGAGATGTGCGTCACGCGAGTAAACCGGTCTAGGGTCGGCGTGCGCAAGCTGCCGTAGATTAGCAGGGAATTATGGTGACATACGAATGCGAAGCTGATCACGCCTATGGCTTGAAAAATGCCATGGCCGAGCACCGTAAACCGCGCATCTGGGCTGCCTTTAAGTTCCGGCGCGACACGCGTGCCTTCCACGAGAACAGAAGCAACGATGATGAGCATGCCGATGAGTGCGAGGAGGGACGCGCGAGCGAGTTTTTCAATGTTTCGATACAGTGAGAGAGGGTATGACACTGTGATGGTGCAAAGGGCGATAACAAATTGGCGGTTGGTGAGCAGCGAGAGCACGGGGACGGTATGCAGTGTGGGGAAGACTGAGCGGATGACGTGTGGAATTGTATCACCTGCACCGGTGGGTCAACGGAACGACGATACAACGAATTGTGATGGGATATACCAATGATTATGCCAAAGGCACACATGCCTGTAATGCGTTTATCAGTTGATACGCATGCTGAACAGAAATGTAGATGGTGCACCTCCAAACGCAAAGGCAAACTGGAAGAATGATACCGCCGCGCGTCCGCTAGCACCAAAACAGTGGTCCATGATGTCGATGTAATTATTCCGCCCGCTCAGCTTGGCATTGAGAACAATAAGCCGGATTGTCCAATCTGTCACGCCGCACAGCACAACTAGGAGTATCAGTCCTGTGACAAAACCCGCCTGCCGTACTGCATACGGAAGTCCTATACCGTTGGGAATCAGCATGGAGGTTCATTCAGCGTGAGGAGCCCGTTACCAATGATTCCTGCAACGTCTAGAGTGAGTGTGAGCGGACCAACATGGGAAGATGGTAATGACCTGCGCCAAGAATCGAGTTTGCCATGTTGGCCACGGAATCGAGTATTCCGCCGCCTGCTAAAACCTTCGCCGCGAGTCCTTCAAGATCTACCTCATCATCGTCGATAGCACCAGGGCTTTGCACGTGCAAACCACCGTCTACACTCCTGCGAGCTGTAGCAGTGTCGAGAAGTCCGACAAGTAATGGGACCGTCTGTTCCCGTGGTGTACGACGGGACTGTGCCGCGTCGAGCTGAGCCAACGCGACACCGTCAAGGTCATCTGTGTCCAGCTCATACTCTGTAACTGTCAGTAACAGTCGTGGGAGCGAAACAAAAGCAACTCACGCACCGGCTTCGCGACTCTGAAATGTAGACCTGAGGGGAGGTCCGATAACCTGGACATCCTCCTGAAAACGAACGCTATGTGACGATTTGGGCTGTTGGGGCTCTTCAGAACTGACGAGAGAGGAACCTTCTGCTAGGTCGTCGTCGTCGAGCGAAAACAGAACATCGGAGTCCTCCCCGTTGAGACTATCGTCCGACTGTCTTAGAAGAGGTTCACTCGCGGTCCCTTCCTGGTCATGACTACGATTTCTAGGTTTTCCAAGCATCGTGAAGGAGCTTCGTCATGGGCTATATGGGTGTACAGAGTAGAAAATAGATCGATAGATAGACGTTCGTGTGACTGTAGGTGTGCCTCGTTTCGGCCTCGTTTGCCAGTAACTCTAGCGTGCGATCTGCAGGAACTTTCAGAGATGGCAGTTAGTCGCACAGGAAGTCAAAATGTCGTCCTGTATGTGTTCACGGAGCGTCCATGAATGAAGAGTAGGTAGGCGCAGCCTGAGAGATCCGAGTTGCCGCAGAACTAGCGAAGCGCCCGGCAGTTACTCTTGCCTCCGTTGACGACGTCGGCCTCTCATCCGCATCATGCTTGCAGTCTCTGCTGGATTAGGCCACTACTTTATTGATCTTTTTCGTCCTTCCCAAGTTCGTGGCGCCTTTTCCGCACAACAATGGCAATCGCCCAATTCATCTGGGCCACAGGATATATGGCGTAGTATATGGTGTACCTATCTTCTTTCTACTGCTTGTCCTGCTCTGTGAATAGGATACTTCTCAAGTCCTGTGGTCAGCGATGTCTTTCAGCACTTCTGCTACTTCCTCAATGCCTAATCAGCGACATACTACCACTCAGAACACACCCAAGCCTCGCGAAATTGGCGTGAACCCTTCCGAGTTGGTCGGAAAAGTTCTGAAACATGTCCAACGTTCTCGAAACCATCCCAGCGTCACCCTCCACTTCACCGACAACACTGTATACCAGATCCTCGTCGATGGCTATAATCCGGTACATCGTGGTCTTCCAAAGGATCTCGAGATGGATTCCGGGCTTGAGCCTATCCTCAACCCAGCGGACGGTCGATGCGACGTGAACCTCACGTTGACCAATGCCACAGTCATCACGATGGTGGACAAAGCATTCCAACTTGGGGAAAGGGAAAGCCAGTGGGACCAGCAGCACTCAGCACTTGCCCTCAGGTTTGCAGAGGACAATCAGTGGCACTGTGTTTGGGCGACGCTGATGGACTGGGAGCGCGACGAGTCTGGAGAGTCGCGATGTGTCTTTCGGAGCTATCACGACGTGTATGTCAATACCTTCCAACCTTCTGTGCGGAAGGGTGCAGGCGTGTACAAAAGCTTTTGGCGAGGAATCCGCAAGTTGAATCGAAAGCCTGCGTAGAACTGTGAGTTTTTATGATTCCGTTGGTTGAACGACAATGTTCTCACTAGTGTCTTGTAGGTGCTTGCTGATGCTCACACGGCAATCTTCCAATATTCTTGTTATGATCTGACATTGTTGTACTCTTATTCTCGCGGTGTACTCACGTTGGTTGAACAATGTCCTCACTAGTGTCTTATAGGTGCTTGCTGGTGCTCACACGGCCATCTTCCAATATTCTTGTTACGATCCGTCATTGTTGTACTCTTATTCTCCCAGTGTACTGACGAAGTCCTCGATGTTGTTGTAAACCCTTCTCTTGTAAATTATGCATGTACCAATACCCACAGCCTGCCACTTTCGCCAAATCGGACATTGCTGGATATTACACTTGGGATCTGCAGCATGAATGTAATCTGTGCATTGCATACATGATAATACACTTTTAAGTGATAGCTAGCAAGGGTGAGAGAATATGCAGAGTAATCCTGAGAGAAAGGTACACCACTGCATAACTGAATACCTGCTCACCTTCATGTCTATGGGGTTGCTTAGAATACTGTGGAAAACTGAGATGATCTTCTCTCTACAACCTTCTGTTACAAAAATGCATATATTCCCATAAAACTCACCATTGCCCTCACCAGTTGTCTGTCTCACCCTTGCAGTCGTAGCTGAAAGTGATGTGATGCTTATGCCACTAAGCTATGCACCTAGATGCTCTAGATGCTTGTTGAGGACAGATTCACCTGAATTGTACTTCTCAATGAGATCAGGGAAAAGTACCACTCAGGAAAGTTATCCTGTGCATATTGACTCTCCCTGTCTTTGAAGCTCTGCCCGATAAACATTATTGATCTGATCTAGGAACATGCACACCATGTGAATTGTACAATTTGCCATGTGCACTGAAATGCTGCAGGAAATGCATTATATAGATTATACATTTCCTCCAGGTACTGCAGCACAATCTGCTCTGATTTCTTCCGGTGGAAAACAACTTTCCCTGCACAGCGGTGTTTTTGATGGCCATGGCACCTCTTCATATTGTGCCCAGCTTTTCAGACACATATAAGCTGAGTGAAATAACACCGTCACAATCATGTGCTACTCACAGGGAGTGTATTCTTAGCACAGCCAATCTGGACGAGACATCGATTCTTGCAAATCCAATTCTAAGAATTAACATAGAGGCAAGTTGCAGAGGAAGCTTGCTGAACCATTTCTTGTATCTACAAGTGCTGTAATACAACATAAAGAGACATATGAGAATATGCTCACCTCAGTCTGCATCTGGTCATCAAGTCTTCTTCAGAGGTCATGCACGCAACGCAACAGATGCGTCAGAAAGGGAAAAACTGACTTCTCAAAGCAACATGAATGTCCACCAGCTAACTGGGTTTATGTGTAGTATCTGCAGGGTTGCCTCTAATTTACATGTGAGTAGCCTGGCCAGACACTGTCACTCTGGAATACTTCACCTTGGTATGCCCGAAACCCCGAGCTCGACGAAGATCCGAATGCTGTTAGCACCTCTGCCAGTAGCAACCCAGCGACACGCCTTCGGAGACTTCGCAGCTTGCGTACGCAGGCTAGCGTACAATTCGCTTCACCTGCCACGATCAAGTATGACAATGATCCGACGAGTTCCAGGTGAGAATATTATAATAATGTTCGCTTACCAAGGGCGGCACTCTTCCCTGCTGCCTGCCCTTGCTTCGGGGTTCCAGGCCACCAGTATATACCACTTGTGATTCAATTTGACTCGTACCGTAGCGAAGTTGGCAAGTTCCCTGAGTCTCGACTTTGTGCACCATGCCAAAGACCCTTGGGAAAGAAAAACATCGTGAACTGCCTTGCCTAGGTCTTTGCTGGTCCACGAACATCAATCAGGCTCGGCGGTACCATAACGGCACAAGTAATCAGTACTGGTATGGAGTTGCCTGCAAACCAGAAGAGTTTTGTCGTTCGTCGAGAGCAACTGCGGCGGCAGCCGTTGAAAAATTCCCTGATTCGGATGTGATCGGTGATGATGTAAGATGGGTTGCTCCGAGTTTCCCGGGCTGGGGAAAGTTATTACTCTCCCTCGGACTCGTTTCTTGCCCCTTCCTTTACTATTTCTTTCACTGACAACTGTCATGGCGTTTTCTGGGGCGCTGGTGCGTTGGCCGCGCAGAGAGCACTGACCGCAGCATTTTTGATTTCCTTGAAACAGACCTTGACGGATCTCAACGACTTCATCACTCCATCGCAAGCATGTATCAAGCCGGTCGAGCAAACCAACAAAGTCGCCCCACCGGAGCACGCTGCAGCCTCCGTGCGTGTCCTGTTCCCGCGACATCCGCATAGTTGACTCATCGACAACCGGATTACAGACCCAGATTCAGATCGATTCCAGCGGGACGTACTACGAGGTCTCAGCACACGACTCGACAAGCGCGGGGAACAAACTCCAAACCGCCGAGGTCAGCCTGAACGACTGCCTCGCATGCAGGTGCGTTCCGTCCCACATCCCCCTTCGACGGCAGTGGGCTTGACGCGCGGCTCGCACGGTCAGCGGGTGCATCACCTCAGCAGAATCCGTGCTGATCACGCTGCAGTCGCACACGGAAGTGCTGAATTTCCTCGCGGGCAACGCGCCGCCGACGTCTCCCGGGCACAAGGTGCCCGTGCTGTCGATCGCACCGCAGAGCCTCGCGTCTCTCGCGGCCTCGCTCTCCTCGAGCAGCGCGCGCCCGGTGGACCTCTCGCGCGTCCTCCGCCGCGTCCGCGCGTTCTGCACGCAGGTCCTCGGGTTCGAGCATGTGTACGACACGACGTTCGCGCGGCACGTCTCGCTGCTCGAGCACGCGCGGGAGTTCGCGGAGCGGAAGCAGGGTGCGGAGGGCGCACTCCCGTTGCCGATGCTGGCGAGTGCGTGTCCGGGGTGGGTGTGCTACGCGGAGAAGACGCACGGGGAAATGCTGCCGTTCATCAGTCGCACGAAGAGCCCGCAGCAGGTGATGGGCACGCTTGTGAAGGAGTGGTTGGGCCCCAAGTGGGGAAAAGTGTGCGCGTCCTTCCTTCGATACGTCGGTCGGCTTACACATGCGCCTGTGCTCTGTTGCAGTCCGTCACAGATATACCATGTCACGGTTATGCCGTGCTACGACAAGAAGCTCGAGGCGTCGCGCCAGGATTTTTACAACGACGTCTATGCGACGCGGGACGTCGACTGCGTGCTTACAACAGGTGAGCTTGCGCAGCTGATGCGCGACAAGGGATGGGACCTTGCAACACCTGTCGCGGGCGAATATACTCCCAGTAACGGGATCGGCGACGATGTCGGGTATGACATCGCGAGAGAGCTCGACATCCCCGAACTGATCATGCACCCGGGAACGAGTTCGGGCTCGTACCTACAGTCTCTGATCTCCACGATCTCCGCAACGTCCGCGTCCCCACTTGAGCTCTCTGTGCGCGCGATTCGCAGCGCGGACTACGAGGAGCACACGCTGACGGACCGTGCGAGCGGCGCGGTCGTGTTCCGGGGCGCGAAGTGCTACGGCTTCCGGAACCTGCAGAACGTCGTGCGCAAGGTCGGGCGCGAGGCGGGCGTCCAGGTCGGGCGGGGCGCCGCTGGACGCACGGCTCTGCGAGGGCGCGGGCGCGCGCGGAAGGCGGGTGGCGAGGCGCACGAGGAGCGTGGATACGACTATGTGGAGGTCATGGCGTGCCCCGGCGGCTGCGTGAACGGCGGTGGGCAGCTCAAGCCGGCGGTGCTGCCACCGAAGAAGGATGCGGAGGGCTTCGAGAGGGACTGGGAAGGCGACGGCGTGAAAGTCGAGGAAGATGGCCTCGCGCGAGGATCTGACGCGAAGTGGGGCGATCGAGAGTGGACGAAGAAGGTTGAGGAAGCGTACTGGCACGGGTTGCCGACTCCGCCGCCATCGCCCACGCCTGAGTGTGTGGATGTGGATGTGGAAGAAGGCAAGCAGGTACGGAGAAGAGCAGATCGTCTGGCCGAGGACGTACTGTTTGACGTGTGCAAGGCAACGACGATCGTCCGGCCGAAGATGCGATGGAAGGACAGGCTGGACGAGAAGGCGGAAATGCGGCGACGAGATCTCTTCCGGACTCAGTACCGGGCTGTCGAGAGCGAGGTAGTCGGACTCGCGGTGAAATGGTAGTCGCGATGGTGGCAGTGTGTTGTAGCTGTCTGTATTCAACCTTGCTGTATTGTTTGTATCGTGATTATACATACTAATGTGGTACACAGTATGGGATAGATAAATAGGATGCGCGTGAGTATGCGAATGCTGACAGCGACAGATGGACAGCGACGATACAGCATTACGAAGAGATGAGAGAAGAATAAGTGAGAAATAGGCGGTATTAGAATAGGCATGGGATGGGTAAGGTGCCAGCGCTATCCGCGCACGCCGCCTGCGGTGGTGGCGCCCTTGTACCAGGGCCTGCACTCGGGGCAGTAGTCCCTGCTGAAGGAAGTGACGGTCTCAGAAGCGTCGGGGCCGTAGAACTGCAGAAACGCGGTGAGGAGGGCGATGACACGAGAGGGAACATACAAACGGACCTTTTCGCATGCGCAGTTGTGGCAGGGGGTGCGGTGCCGCTGGGAATGGACGCAATAGGGGTTGTTGCAGTCAATCTTGCCCGTTTTCACCGTCTGCTGGGCGTAAGCGAACGAATACAGGAGGAGACGGGAGAGCGTGCTCACGATAATGTAGTGCTGCAGGTTGGCAGGATGACGTCAGTAAGCGACGTTGATGAGAGAAGCGGCTAGTGCGCGCGCTTACCCCGCATCCACCATACTTTGTGCCTTCGCTGTCCAAACCAGGGTAAGCCAGCGCGTCGGAAAGAAACAGACAAATACGCACGTTGTCAGGTTGCACATCTCGACGTGGCGGATGCTAAAGACAGCGGGTGTCAGCGATCAGCAGGGAGGAACGACGGATATGGACCGACTCGGAACGGAGGGCAGATGTTTATAGACTCGGAACGGAGAGGATGGAAGAGCAGCGGGCGGAAGGAGCTAGTAGAGGCAACGTTAAAAGGCGGCGGAAACAGGGGCGGGGAATTGGTCATGCAGGTACAGGAGGAGAGCCCTTTATAGCGATCCGGACAACCAACATCGAGACGAGGTCGGCCCAGCAAACGATTCAACGCCAGTCACAAGACGGTCGCAGAGAATAACGCTGATCCGGACTAGATCGATAAGAATCTGGCGCAGCTGTTCCAGCGCACGGTGAGACGATTCGACGTTGATTCGAGACGATATAGCACAGGAAGAACCACGACGAGACACCACAGCCTGCCACGACTCCCACTGTCTGCTCCCAGCCATCGACCCGAGCGACGTCCATGCCTTTGCCTCCCAGCGCCCAGCGTCCACGCAGCAGTGGCAGCACCATGACGGGCTGCGCATATGGCACGCAGGTCCGGTTCCGTCACGAGCAGCACAGTCCGAGTCCGACGCCGAGATGCATGAGGGAGGCTGTGCAAACCCAATCTAATCTTATCTGATAAATTCCGTAATGCCGGCCCTGCCGCACCCAAACAAACAACGGCACCCATCACACCCACCGCAGCCACCGCGGCTGCACGCCAATGTCTTCAGGCTCCTCATCGAATCCGACGACGCGCTCACGGACTCTGCTCTTCATCTCCTACCGCGACTCTCGCGCTGGCTCCTCCCGCTTCCGCCGCTCACGCGTCGTCACACACTACACAGACGCTTCCCTCGATTCTGACGAGCAGGAGGGTCTCATCAATCATGAGCCCGGTCACATAGCCATTGACGCGGACCTGCCGCCCAGGTGGTACGTCCTGTTCTTCCGCTTCTCCGCGCCTTTTTAGCCGGAGACAACCTCTCATTATCCATCGATTCTCGCATAGGGTCGATATCGCCGACCAGGTGGAGGAGATTCTCGCAGGCACCCAGGCTAAAAGTATGTCAATTGTGCGATCCTTATCCCTTCCGCTCCCCCCCGTCTCACCGCCACCCAGTCGCTGCTCTGGACAAGCTGCATGCAAAGCATGTCCTCCCCGGCTTTTCGGACCGAAGCGCAGAGGAGAGGGAGATAGAGGCCATGACGACTGACATAACACGAGTACTGCGCTGAGTTGTCTGCACTGACGCGTGTTCACCTTTCCCCTTCCGGAACAGGACTTCCGCCAGTGTCACGCTCTCATTCAGCGAATCGGTCCCAACGCGGCACACTCTTTTCCCCCTTCCCGCCACGAGGACCGCGCCTCGAAGAACGTGCAGCGCGGTCTCGCTGCCAAGGTGCAGGAGCTGAGTGCCACCTTCCGGAAGAAGCAGCGCGTGTACTTGGAGAGTGAGTGTTATCGATCGCACTGTGCGTCAGCCGCTTACCCCGTGGTCGACAGAACTGCAAGGGCACGCTATCAAGAACCAGGATCTGCTGCTCGCATCGGGCACCATCTCCCTAAAAGGGTCAGAAGGCCTGCACGCTGTGGACGAAGATGTGGAGGCGGCCACTGCGGTGTGTCATCTGTGTCGAATAGCATTGCGTGCATGTGCTAATTCCCCATCCCCCGATGCTAGTCGCGAAGCAACGCCATCGCGCAGGAAGTGATGACGACTGACCTCGATCTGCGCACGCGCGACCGCGAGCTGACCGAGATCGCCAAGTCGATATCGCAGTTGGCGGAACTGTTCAAGGACCTGTCGGTGCTGGTCATCGACCAGGGCACACTGCTGGACAGCGTTGAATACAACATTGAACAGACGGCGGCGCAGATGGAGGAGGCTGTAAAGGAATTAACCGTGGCGACGAAGTAAGTGCTTCCCCTCCTTCTCTGGATCTGCGAGAACTGACGCCTGGTTCGACTTACAGGTACCAGAAGAACACTGGGAGGAGAAGCTGCATATTCCTCCTCCTGCTGATCATCTTCGGGCTGATCGTCGTGCTCATATTCAAGCCACGGCGGCATGTGATGCCATCACCATCACCTCCTGACCTCCCAGGTGGGGAGCCTTTCATGGAGATACCAAATAGCGCGTCGGTGCTAGAGACCACGGCGGGGACGTTGCCACGATGGCCATTTAGATGACATGGAGTGCGGTGCGTGTCGGGAGAATATCCACTGCGGGTGCTTATTTGTATGGATTGGATTTGGTCAGTGGAGGCAGATTAGAACGGTGTACGCCATAATGGTTACGTGAGTAATTAGGGTGCTGCAATGGATCGAGCGGTAGAAGGGGGGAAATATTTTTCATGCTCGGAGTGGAGACACGCCAGGTACAAGCTGTCAAATGTGGACCCTCGTCTCTACGAAACGATTTTGAGGTGGCGCACTCACCGCCGGAAAAGGAAATCGACTCGATCGCGTCGGTCACGTTTCTGCGTTCCATGCTCGCGCTCTTTGTCCCCTTCTCTGCCAAATACCATTCCGTGCCCCGCCTCGTCGTCCTTAATATTTCCCCCCACATGCGCTGCTGTATCGTCCCCTTTGCGCGTCCTTGCAGCCCTCGCTAGATAGAACGCTAACTTTCTCCAGTCTTTACAATCTGATAGACGGGTCTAGATAGAGACACCCCAATGTCTGCCCAACCCTCGCCCCGACAAGCGGAAGACCGCGACATCAAGTCCCCCCCGCCCTTCGAGGACCTGCAGACCGCGTCCTATCCGCTTCTCCCCTCTCACTCGCAGCATTCCGTGCGCATACACGACTACGGCCGGTCCAGCCCGCCATCCAAGTCCAACGCCAAGCAGAAGGTCGCCGTGTCCCAATCGGACTCCGATACAGGGCTCAGCAGCGCGTTGCGCCAGTACGACGAAGAGCAGGCGCGCGGGCACGGGCACCACCCTTATCAAGGCACGTCCCACGGCGCCGGCGAGGGTGCCGATTATCACCACCCTGCGCGCGGACACAGCGGCAGCTGGGACATCCTCTCTGGCATCAAGAAACTCGAGCACTCTTACGTCGAGTTTGACTCACGTCACGCCAGCCAGGCGCACCTTGCGTTTGCGGAGGGCGACGTCCCCAACAATGGCGTGCGTTACCCCTTCTCGAATCGCGCCTCGTCGCGTGATCTGCGTGCTCATAATAATAATACGGTTCGGCTTCCTCCAGTTCTCTAAGCTGTATAATTACTTGTTGAACGCATCGATCGTCACGCGGTGGATCGTCTTTATCATTCCCGTCCTTGGTCTTCTGTGGATTCCAGGTATCCTCGGTCTTACGAAGTACCCCCATGCTACGGTAATTTGGAGCAATGCTTGTCTTGTGTGAGTTTTTCTTACCTTCTTCGCAGATTTGGGGCGTCAAGCTGATGTGGTGGAGCATCTGGCTTACTATCGTCTGGTGTGGTATGCGCTCTTAGTCTGTAACGTGTTCTCGTGCTCCTAGCTAAATGTATCGTGTCACAGGATGGTGGGGCTCGCTAGCCACAGCGTATGCGCTATCAGCAGATCGTAGGTGGTATGATGTGCTAACTTTATTGTGACAGCATGCTGCTGCCGCATGTAGCGCGTCATACCGTTGGTATTGTCGTCGTCGGAGCGCGGCGATACATTGAGTGGCTTTACGCGCTCAAGAGGTCTGTCGAACGCGTCTTCACGTACACCTAACGTACTGAATACGTACAATCTGGCGCGCGCGCCCCACAGATACGTCGCCCTGTTTGTTTGGACGCTCGCAGTCTGGATCAGTTTCCAGCCGCTGGTGAACACCCGGCAGGAATCTACCGCAACGTCCAGCGACGTCAGAATTATCGACACTGTCGCGAAGCTACTTTTCGCGTTCTACGTCTGCGCGGGGGTACTGCTTTTTGAAAAGTTCGCCATACAGTGGATTGCGGGCAAGTTCCATGAACGGTCTTACGCTGGTATGCCAACGTCGCGATTGTATGCTCGTTTGAAGCTTATCCGCGCACTACTTGGGCGCATGAAGAACGCATTGCAGACCAGAAGTTCGCGGTGCGAGTGCTGGTCACTCTTTATCGGCACTCTAGCGACATACCATGGCGGTCCGACACACTTCGTGACGGCCCCACCGACAAGCGGGCGTCCATGCACCCGAAGAAGTTCATCAAGAAGGCGTTGAAGGGTGTGCGCTTCGCTGCAACGACTACGACAACTGCCCTGGGTAACGTGGCGTCTGAAATTGCCGGCAGGTGAGCTTGACCGGCGTATGTGTTCCGCAGCTGCTCATGCATGGCGATCACAGTTCCGTGTTGCAACCAAATTCGCCCCAGGCGATGGTTCAGACGGCCTTGGAGTCTGCGAACAAGTCGCGTTTGGTGAGACACGCCCGCTGCGCCCGTCCTTGAGTGGCTGAATGTTTCCTCAGCTCGCACGCCGCCTCTACTACTCCTTCGTGCGACCTGGCGCGCACGAGCTCCTCGTGGAGGACATCGCGCGCTTCTTCCGCAGCCCGGACGAGGCCGATGCCGCGTTCGCGATCTTCGACAAGGACATGAACGGCGATGCTACAAGAGATGAGCTAGAGATGGCTTGCATGTACGTACTGACCTCGCACTTCTATTATATTCGTTTAGCGTTGTTCATGTGGATCGGCAGGGACTGCCATCGCGAACAGCTTTCGCTCGAGCACTCGATGCACGACCTCGACAGCGCCGTCGGCCGCTTGGACAATATCCTCATGAGCGTGTACGTTATCGTCGTCATCGTCGTCATCGCCGTCGCTCTGGAAGCGCAACTTGCGACCCTGATCACCGGTGCAGGCACCATGATCCTTGGTATGTTCGCTACCTCATCAGCGCGTGGGCCCTGCTGACTGGTGGTACAGGCCTGAGCTGGCTGATCGGCTCGAGCGTCGTGGAGGTGCTCACGAGCATCATCTTTTTGTTCCTGAAGCATCCGTTCGACGTCGGGGACCGTGTCACGATCCAGACGAAGACGTATACCGTGAAGGAGATCCGCCTCCTGAGCACCGTGTTCCTTGACGGAAACTCGTGCCAGGTGCAGGCGCCGAACTCTATCCTGAACACCTATGTATGTCGTGGACAGAAACAGCTGCCTATAGGAGTCTTACGCGTCTGTCTTCGTAGTTTATCGAGAATATGCGGCGTAGTCCGCAGGTACGTGTTTTGTGTCGTATCGTGGGCTTTTCTCATCTGTCCAGTAGATGTCAGAGCCGTTCGAATTCGACGTGGTGAGCGCCTTCGTCCAAGTTAATCCGTGATGATGCACAACGTCCTGATTGCGTGCGCTCAGGCCTACTCGACGACATTTGAGCAGATCGAGCATCTGCGCGAACTGATGATAGAGTTCCTGAAGGTCGACAGGCGCAACTTCCTCCCTTCGTTTGATGTCGTGGTAGTCGGTACGTTCCCCCACGATAACTGTTCATCTACGTTATTGACTGTCGGTCTCACAGATATGCCTGGTCAAGAGTTGATGACCCTCAAAGCCGACATCAAGTACAAGAGCAATTGGCAGCAAGCGGCTCTTCAGGGTGAGAGAGCTCCCTCTCGTCATGTTCGTTTATTCACATAACGTCTTGACGACAGCCCAGCGACGCAACAAATGGATATGCGCTCTCAAAACGGCAATGAAGCAGGCGAAGATATTCGGCCCGAAGGGCAATCCTGACGCGACTCCCGCGCCGGAGAGGTACACCGAGGTCCCCTGGGAAGACGTCGCACGGGAGGATAGAAAGAAGGAGAGTATACACCAGCCGGTGGGCCGCCTGCAGGAGTCGCGTGTCCCCACGGCAAACTGGGCGTTCTCGGACAAGAATGCTGTCATGTGTGCGTCTATTCTTCGTTTTCTTTCGAACGTTACAAGCTGAATGTATGTGTGTCTCTCAGTGGACGACTCGCAGGATATATTCGACGAGTCGGAAGAGGTAAGCATTGTGATTGCCTTCGTCTGACTTGGAGCTATGAACTGACTGTCTGTGCAGCTGCAAATGAGGGCCCCTCGGCAGGACTCCGCGAGCAGCCTCCGACAAAGGCCTGTCACGATGCCGTCGCCCCTGATAATGCCCTCTCCCCAGCACCAGACAAGTACTGAGGAGATCGAGCTGAAGCCACCCTCCGCGCAACCGACGTAAGGTCCTGTCGCCGTCTTTGATGCCTCAAAATCGCAGATATACTGTATCATCTAATCGCTGTCTTTGTTCATTCGATCTCACAGTATACTGTATCAGCTGCTAGTGGCACAGCGACTTCGAGTATGTACGGTCTGGCAGAATACTGACCCTATATGTAGCACTAGCCCAACATTAGATGCGGACAATATGAAATCAGCCATCTGACCGTTCAGATATCCTTGTGTATGATCGGGATGAAAGCGTGAGGTACGACAGCATTAGACAAAACTATAGACTATGTACATCAACGCAAGACACAAATTCTAGGACCATCCGTTCGCGGTAGTACCACCCCATCCGCTACCTCCCGCCTGTGGACTACCCCACCCCGCAGGACCTGCGTTCCCAGACGAGGGGCTCGTCCCTCCCCCACCAGTGGTAGGACTCGTGCCGCTCCACGCTGTCCCTGCCCATCCGCCCCCGCGAGCAGGGCTTCCCCAACCCGCTGCGCCGCCTGTGGGACTACTCCACCCAGCGCCCGCCCTGCTTGGTGACGTTGCGCTCCAGCCACCTGCTCCTGCACCCGCACCTGCACCCGCACCCGCACCCCATCCGGAACCGCCAGCCGTGCCGTTTGTTGCTGGCAGCGCCTGCTCACCGCCTTGGTGCGCGTCGAGCTCTGGCTCAGACTTGAGGCCCAAGATGAGGTTAGCCAATTTTGTTTGGAGCTCTTGCAGACCCTATGCGCAGACAGGTATGTTCGATGTTCTCGGCGACAGAAGCGCGGGCTTACCTTCATGACCACCTCCTGTGGGCCCAAACTCCCGTCGGTCTCTACCTCCATGTAGAACTTGTTGGGGCGCGCGTTGAAATCAAACGGCACGTCGTCACGCGGAGGCTCCTCCTCCCGCGCGTTTTCGCTGACCGGCCACTCCGCACGCTCGTCGCTCTCGAACCAGTGCGATGTATGCCGCAATTTGTTGTATGGGTCGTATTCGAACCCTACTGCCGAACATGGTGACCACTTGGCGTGCTCCTTTGCGATGCCCTGCAGGATTTGAACATTCGGTCGCAACGTGTGATCAAGAGTGTGAAGCGAATAGCGCACCTTTTTCGCTATACAACGCAACTTGATTTCTTGGCCCTTTCGGAGCTTGCATATGAGAATTGGCGGTACAGACGGATCATCTGCATGACACGAAAGAACAACACGGGTCCTTGCTTAGTGCGTAGGACGGGTCGGGGAAGCCAGGAAGGCGTACCTTTCCCTACAGGGTGACCAAAGTTCTCCGCCCGTTTTGAAAGCTCTTCACCACCGTCCCCCTCGTCGTTCCAACCGATGCTCCCCGGCGCCGGCAGAACCACGTCCAGATGCGAGCTGGTCACATCCATAGTTGTGTCATCGAGGTTGCACGCAACATTTAGCACCAGCTCTACCGCACAATACTGGCACCATGACAAACATGTACAGTCCTGCACAACCGGAGATGCTAAACACGGGACATGACAGAACATAGTGTGCGTAGGGACGTACTCGAGTGTATCGCATGCCTTCATCGCAATTCGCGCTGACGAGTGGGATCATACCTAACCGATGTGAGATAAACTCATCCGGCAAGACAGACGTGTTTGTCTCGACCTCCACCATGTCAATTGCTACTCACAGTGAGCGTGGTTTGCACAAGTACGTGCGCGTATCGTACTCACCGACTGTGGGTAGGTCAGCCATCATTACCCGGCGAAACGAATTTGCAAGCCTTCAGAAAGGTCAGTCCAAAAGCGCAAGCAACGGACTGGCGGGACCGCGCACCCGAGGTCGACATTCTCCAGAGTAAAATTGACGCTATCCTTCTTGAGGTCGCGTATACGAACAATAGGCTCGAGCTCCTGAACAGCCTGCATGTCGAAAAGCTGGAGATGAGAGAATAAATACCAGTAAAAGTGTCACTGCCAGTGGTCTGGCGTTGAATAGCCTGTTACGTGAGCCGATCTCGGCAATGTCCGGAGAACCCAATGAGGCAAGTCCTCTAGTTCCGCATCCTCCTTTAGCTCAGTACTAGTGCATAGTCAGGCTGCTGTAATTGTGCAGTGAAACGCAACAAACGTGCAAGCTACAACAAGAGTAAAGCAGCAATGAGAAACATAGGGCTAACGATACACACATCTAAATTGTACAGCGAATAAAATCGGAATAAAGCCTTCCGGTCAAAATACCACGTACGCACTCCAAGCCCAAATGTCCTTTCTGCCGAACTTATGCAATGTGACTGCCTCTTAACCACTTTGCGCTCTTGTCCTTCCTCAGTCCAGCACTCATGCCAGAACATGCACGATTCCAGAGCTTGCTCATGCGAGATGGCTGCTGCTCTGGCGTGACGTGCATAAACGACCGCAGCGTCTCCACTGCATGATCTCGCGGCGGTGTCGTCGGCGCTACGAGCGCTGTCTCCGGAACCACCCTGAGCAAACAGGTGGAGCTCTGTATCGTCTGAATAGAAGCACTGACAGATGGGAATAGTGAGGGAGTCGGTTCAGACGGAGATAGCGGCGTGCAAGTCTGGCGGACGGGTCGGAAGAGGAAGGGTGTTGTCTTCGTCGTGGATGAGGAAATTTTAACATCCAGACGTAACGAAGGGGTAGACCGCGAAGATAAGATCGACAAGGAAGGTGGACGCAGACCTGCCAGAGATGAGGAGCGGGGGGGCGGATTGTGAATGGTCGCCGTTGGAAGATCTGTCCCCTCGAAATCGAAGCTGGGTAGCAGTCCCACACTGACGATGGATTGACGTTTCCGTGGCCCATTGGTCGCCGAATCGATGCTTGAATGAGAGATGAACGATGCACATTCATACTCTGCGAAAGTCGACGCGATCGTCGCGGGGGTCTCCGATAACAATGGTCCCTCGTCAGATGGATCGCCCCTGCTGTCTTCGTCATCCACCTTCCCGTCTTTAGTTCCATTATTCACTGCCCCCTGCGTACTCTGCACAATTGGCGAAACGGCGTCATTGTACTCCGGTGATAAGCATAGCCCCATGTGTATTTCATCAGTGAACCATGAATCACATCCGCTGCGAAAAGGATTGAAGGCTTCTAACTGCGTCATACTAATCTCCAGTCTTGCCATGCTCTCTACAGGGTCGATTACTGTCATCCTGTAGCCACCGAAATCGTCGTTTATAGGCCCAAATTCTGTCCGGCAAGCGGGGATAGTGGGGGCAGGTGGTAGCGGACCATCCGGATCTACGTTGGGAGCTTGAGAGAACGACAGAGGAAAATCAGGAGGGGACAATGGGGGTGAAGGGAAGGCTGCGGTGAGAGCTGAGACGGATAACTGGCGGGAGACGGCCATATTTGCACATTCCGGGTAGTAGTGGCGCGCATCGTCGGCTTCAGAATCTGTGCCCCACAAGTAGTTCCGTTCGTCATCTGCATCATTGCTCTCGGACACTCCGTCCCTCCTGTCGCTATGCGATACTACGCCTTCATGGCAGTCGAGTATAACACGGAGCGCTTCCGAGAACTGAGCATGTGAATGGAAGTGGATAGCATGACGTCTTCTGGCTCGTTCAGTACGGGCAGTTTCTGCGTTGAACGACGGAACCGAGACAGTAAATCCCAACCCGACACCGAGCCTTGCTGCACGTTCCGCCTTCCTGGGGTTTTCAAATGACTGCGCAGCTGGGCGCTTTCCGATAGGGAGTAACGTAGGACTGTGTGCGGTAGATGAGACAGAGACAGCGCGTGCACGTTTCGGAGTGGAAGATATTACTTCCTCGTAGGAGAATACACCTCGCATATAAGAACCAGAGCTCTTGCACGTTAAAGGTGGAGGGGTGCTGGGAGAGGAGCTGTCGGGTGGGCTGGGTATCACCGGAAACGAAGTGCCATGCTCCGTGGGAAGGACGTCGAACTGTAGGCTGGGTGTTGAAGAACATAGGTTGTGCATCTCCGGGCAGTAGCTGTGAGCCCGAGGTACTCTCCTGCGACAGGAAGAACTGGAGCCGGGCGCAGTGAGAGACATGGTCTCATGAGTGTACTTGAAGAAAACCAAGGGTATAAACCGAACATGGATCGTGTACGGAAATGGGTGACGGGTATGTCAGAACCACGTATGATCGGACAGACCTTCCAAACCGTTGACGTCTAGCTGCCACGACAGGCAATGGTGGCTTACCAACAGCCGCAACAGGCAGATAGCAGAGAGGGAAGTGTCTTAAAGGCCTCTTTCTGACCTTCTGGATGCGCACTCGACAAAGAGTTTTTCTGACAACAGGATGTGTTCGGCCTGAGACCCCAGCGTGATAGTAGGCTGGTTGCCTTAAGCTTACATGGAAGATGATCGGAGGATAGTAAAACTGTCCTCCGAGTGACAAGTGTAAGACAATTCCATCTCTGCAATCCACCTCCATTAATATTGATAGATTGTCCGAGGCCATTCCTGTCGTGTGCAGGGCAAGCGGCGATCAGCGGAAGCATCTCTGTGTCTATCTTTCAACCATCTCGATGATCCTGCATTCCGATTTCTTGGTATACCAGTTCGCTGCACTTTTTGTTCATAGGTAGTTCTGCAAGTCCAAGAATTCGAAGGTACGTCACGTTGGCGCCCAAAACACTCGGCACGTACCAGAACCGTGACCACACCCGGTCCTGGAGGCTCATTACCTCCTTGTTTCGACATTGCCGGTCAGGTTTCAACGCTCGAGTTTCACAAACGCTCGAGTTTCACATACATGACAATGACAGCAGTCTTGTAGCGCGACTGCCCACGTTTGAGGGGTGGATTAGCATGGTTCCTGTAAACATTTCGGTTCAACTTGAAGACCCTCACATGGACAATATTGTCACTGGCGCCTACTAGAGGCTCCAGAGACATCTCGCGATGTCCTCTGTCAATTGAGACCTGGTTTGCCTCTGTCTTCAACTCGGAGAAGGAGGAAAAGGCATCCCCTCAATTACTGCGTAGTGCTATCGGTTCCGCACGATTTTGCTCCGGACCTCGTCAAGGACGTTGCAATTGCCAGGGTCTCGCGGATGTTTTTACAACTAGTACGTTCGAAGGCGGAGTGACCACATGCGCCCAATTTCGATTGAGGTTCAGGTCAGGATTGAATAAATCTAGTTTCGTGGAATGTTTGTCGACTGTCTCTCTGTCTCATTTAGTAAGTACAGCTGCTGTTCTCAGTGGAGACGAGGTATGTCCTTTTCGCTCAATCCCGTCAGCAGGTTTTCGTGCGCCATGCGATTCACTTGACGATGAAAAGCAACTCAACCTGCCGAAGCTACAAGAAAAGGTCAGAGCGAGTTTCGCAATCTTTTTAAATACATCATTGGGGAGCTTTTTAGGATTCGGACTCGGCAGCTCAAGAATACGTTGGACTCATACATCATGATACAGACTAGGGCCCTCTGTACGTATACAGCCACGCTCGGAATCCATTTCAGGAACTACACACATCAAGGTCGGTCGCTACATTGCTTTCCTGCTGAACACTGAGAAGATTTACAGGATGGCCGACGAGCTTGCACGTGATCTGAGTCGACTTCCTCGCATCATCCGGCCGAGCTATATTGAAGCCTGAGAGAGGGTCCATATTCGACGGAAATGTATTCGCGGTAGACTTCATTGTCGTTGAAGGAGGCCAGGTAGTGTTCGGAGTCCGTTAACGGTGCGGGACGACGATGTTCTGAAGACGTCTCCTTGACCATATTAGTTCGTGAGTTCTGCCGTTCATATATGGATCTCTGTCGACGCTTTCCTGTCAAGCATCGTAACTTACATAGTATCCTCTACAAGCTGCCGTCGCCGCAAGTGTCTATACACATGCTCCATGTGCCATGGCGTCATCGCCACTGGTTGTGCTGGCACGTCCACAGCCTAGCGGGAAACATGCCTTACACTTCTCAACGCGGGGCGATCCAACAGAGGGAGAGTACGAGGATCCTTCTTGCTTTGACCTTGGCGACCTGGTGGCAAATTGTGGATCAAGATCAGAGCCAGCTTGCGTTACCAATGGACGACTGACCTTATCCCAGTCCTTTCAGGTGGAAGGGATGGCCCTGCACGTGGCGTGGCGCGCGCCTAGTGGTTATCAGCCAAGCGCACACCTGTGAATAGAAATGTCTGTAAGTGTACCACATACTGATGCTTCATATAGCAAGTCTGGGGCTATGCAGTGACTTGATAACCATGGAATATCTTTGTGACAGATAAGCGCTATGGCCATCGCGGACACCGCTGTGGTCGGAACGCTCATTTCGCACCTGAGCATCTCCTCTGAGGCATTCCAGGAACTGTAACAGCCTCATGTGCACATTTAGTATATTAGCGGGCGGGCTGAATAATCCCACTTTCTCCAAGGTGGAAGACAGTCGTGGACAGTACTAAGGATGAAGGACACGACAAACCTGACACCTGCAAACCTGGCGGCTCCGGGACCGATCATATAAAAGGCAATACGGTGTTTGGTGGATGGAGTAGGCCGGCTGCGGGAGCAGGTACTCGGGCAGGAAGGAGAATTCAGGGGCCCAACGTTCAGCATTCAGACCCAAACGCATTCTGGTTAAGCTCCGAGTCGTGGCGTACGCAGAACACCTGACCAATGATGGGGTCAGCGTCGGCTAGATATTCTTCGAGGAACCCTTACTTACTAAGTATAAGGTGAATTGGCTTTCCATGGTTCAACTCCCGGAACCCTTGAGTTGTGATGTGGTGTTTAACGTTTATGCCCAGATGTCATGTCATCGTCGGCGTGAGTTGCTGTGTTTTGTCACGGTAGTGCCACGCAACTTTGTACCTACACTCGACATTCCCCTAGTCACCTCCTCCCTTTACTTTCCGGAAATTATGACCGGTGCCTCGTGTTTTGACTAACTTGGCTGCCACATCGTGACCGATGTATTATGTCGGTGTTTACTCTGCAGGTACCCACGAAGGGCGTCAATAGGCGCTGACCACTGTACATCGCGTCCAGTTGCTCCGACTGTTGAGATTAGGTGTCTTCGCTGTTACGGTATGCACTCAATTCATGACATCCTTCCCATGACGGTCGGCAGATGTCTCCATACGGAGACTGAGAACGATCGGAGTTAACTTGGCCCGCTTCTTACATCGCTGCGTCATGACCGGTGACCGCCGTTGTGTGCACCTGCATAGAAACGTTCACGGGAATAGCGTCTGTCCCGCGGTTTAGTATAATGCTACCGGTGCGCTAGTATCACTGGTAGGAAGTTCTCGCGTGGTTTATAAATAAATGTACTAATGGCACGTCATAGTTTATCTGTGCCGTACATGTTCGCATCTCCATATCCTCCCTAGCATGTAGCGACATCATAACGAACAATGTCCTTGTTTCCGGCTATTGACAGCTTCATAGATTGGAAGACGAGTTTCGAACCTTCTGTTGCCATAGCCGCAGTGCCTAGCTGATTAGAGCGACCTTGAGGTGAAGTACTATCACCCCTTATAAGCTGACACACCTTAACAAGGAAATCTGTTGTCTCAGGCTGCACGTACGGAGTGTGCTTCGAGTGCTCGCCCACATTCACCCACTGATACAAACACGAACAAAGAACCCGAGCGGTGAGTTGATGGTCTTTCATGGGTACCATAGTGCTTACTATAACTATCGTGGTAGTTGTTGTTGATCATGCGCTAGTGGGTGGCAACAACGTACCACGTCTGCCATTTCAGGCAAGCAGACGGGAACGCCGGCCGTTCCCGGTTGTGCTGCACATGGTATACTTAAGTTATGTCCAACAGGATAACTCAGAACTGAGTGATGCATAGTTAGTAAATAACATGCCATACCTATATGCCATCGATCTCTCATCGACATCCACGATAAGGGTTCTATACCATCAACCACCGTGAAGTAACTTGTTTCAGGTATATTCCACTTCCCGCTCACAGAATCACGACAAAATCGCGCTAGATCGAACTCAACGCAGGACCATATCACCGAGATCTCGCGGCGTGGCCACTGTTCGGACATTTTTCGACCACGTTTTTATCTCATGGGCCTGCCGTTACGTGGGGACCGACCACGACTGATCCTGTATCTTAGCCGGAATCAGTATGTCTGGACCAAGTTCAGAGGAACCGTAGGCTGAACCGAGAGGCGCGCTCGACCTTGCATGGCAAGACGAAGGACGAAAGATCAATCGATTTGCAAGTCGTGGTCGTCGACTGTGAGGCACATTTCCGGCATCAAGTTCTTAGCGCGACCTTTGGCCGGCTGTTCAGATCTTTCTACGCACCTGCGCACACAGAGACGGTAAACGTTGCGGGTGGTCTAGTGTCTCTTTCTTTGTAGAATGGATCTGAACCTTAAGGCCAACATGAGGTTGGCTAAACCACATCTACTATTTCTGCCGGATTCCCAACTCATTTCCGAAGTTGAGGTAGTCTTGTAATCTTCAATTCGTCATTTCCGGCGCATGTTTGCTGATTGCGTGTTGGTACAGAGTATAAATTTGCCTGCACATTTCAGGAATCTTGCGTTGCTTATTCCCTCCCGATTTTACCATGTCTGCCCAGTTCCGACTACCTGACACACTGGCGACTTGGCCGTGGCCAAGAGAGATCAACCCCTACTATGACGAGGTCATGGCGGAGTCTTCTGAGTGGTTCCGGTCGTTCCACGCTTTCTCGGAGAAAGCCCAGAGAGCTTTCGATCTATGTGACTTTAGTTCGTCAAATTTTCGCTGCTTTAATTTATTGCTTCTCATCATTATCCTGCAGGCCGATTGGCTTCCCTTGCGTACCCCGCACTCACCAGAGGTGAGTATTCTGATGCTATCGATATCTGTATAGTGTGCTGACGAAGGGGAGTAGAACAACTCCGTACAGGATGTGATCTGATGAACGTATTCTTCGTTTTCGACGAATACACGGACAACGAGCCTGTCGATGTTGTCAAACAAATTGCCGAAATCTCCATGGACGCTCTCCGGAACCCACACAAGGCCCGCCCTGCTGGCGAAAACGTCGTCGGTGAAATCACGCGGCAGTGAGTGCCTCCTTTACTGCACATTGATAGAGTGCCTATAATAGACGTCGTGTTTCAGATACTGGGAGCGCGGAATCTTGACTGCCACTCCTACTGCCCAGCGCCGCTTCATAGGGACGTGGGAACGATTCACTGCGTCTGTCATACGCCAAGCAGAGGACCGCAGCCAGAACCACATTCGCACTATACCAGAATATTTGGCGCTCCGCAGGTACACTATCGGCGGGGAGCCGTCGTACGCCATGCTTGAGCTCGGCCTAAATATCCCAGACGAGGCGTTCTACCACCCTACTATGGTGGAGCTCACGTGGGTCGTTACGGACATGATCATAGTCGGAAATGTGAGAATCTCTATCCACATCTCACCCGCTGATATCAGGCGCTGACATGCGCACCGCAGGACATCTTCTCGTACAACAAGGAGCAGGCGGCGGGCGACGATATGCACAACATCGTCACTATCGCGATGAACGACCTGCAGACTGACATCTACGGCGCAATGGAGTGGATCGACGGTTTCCACCGCGAGCTGGTCGAGCGCTTCTTCGATCTATGGGCCAAGCTGCAGGAGCTGTCATGGGGCCCGGAAGTCGACCAGGAGGTCCCCGAGTACGCACGGGGTCTCGCAGGCTGGGTGCGCGCGAACGATTGCTGGTCCTTTGAGAGCGGTCGCTACTTCGGGACGAAGGGCCTAGATATCCAGAAGCACCGGATGGTAACACTCCTCCCCAAGTCGAAAGGGGCGGAGGACACTGTATAAGCGATGCGAGGAACTGTATCTGCTGTTCTGGCGTTGTAATGTTTCACTTATTCTTGGTTATTGCCACCTCCTGTACTGTCATGCGAAACGTATGTACATCTGCCCATGTATATATGTACTGTACGGCTGTATGTATGCGTATTGAATGTTGTGGCAATTATTGATGAATTTCGTCTTTCCATCCTGAACATACCTATGAGATTTCAGTGTCCTCGTGGGTTTAAATATCGCCAGAGCTCTACCGCATGCGCAACTCATAGCTGCACATTGTTAGAGGGCTGCCCTCTTGGAACGCAAAAATGCCGCCCGGATCGATCTGACCTTCCGTACTAGTTGCCACACCCAGCACGTTGGTACGAATGAATTACACATACATAGCAGTATACAGGCGTCTGATCTCCGCAGCATAAGAGATTCCCGCCAATAAGATACACTTCCGATAACGCTCCCGATAACGCTGTGTCTAAATACAAGGTCTGCACGCCCTTGGCAGTCACGCCAGAGCACCCTGCAGGGTCGCATGAGTACGCGGACATAAAGAGGCGAAGAAGATGACGCACCATCGGGTCCCAGAGCGGCAGGAGCGTCGCGTCGCCGCCATCGAATACCTTGACGAGCTCCTTGGGCGCGAACGCCTTCGGGACGACGACCTGGTACACGAACCTGCGCACAGGCACCATCAGCGCGTGTCCGGAAACTGCTTTGTAAAATCGAGAGATAAGACGCACTGCTCGAACCACGCATCAGACATAACGAAGTAGCCCTTGTTGCCCGCCTCGTCGCCCCATGAATTCTCGACCTTGTAACGCAGGGGCTTGCCCGCAGCATCGAGGTGCACGCCGGAGATGACCATCGCGTGCGTCATCGCGGACTCGCTGGTGCGCAGGCGGTCGGCCTTGGAGAGACCAAAATTGATGTCAAACGCCATCTACAACACGGCTCTAAGTTAGTTGAAATTTAGTGGCTGCGGGGGAGCAGGAACATACCTCGTACTCGTACAGCGCGGTATCGAAAATCCCGACGGTGCTGTCTGAGAATTGGCCCGAATCACAGCCGAAGAACACAGGTTGACCGGCCTTCACCATCTTTACGACAGCGTTCTTGAGATCGTCCATTACAGTATTGACATCTGGACGAACGATGGTCAATTTCCATCCGATAGAACGAGACGCAGAAATATTCTTACAGAGCACCGGGCGCCCGCCCCAGACGTTTCCGAGCTTGTCAACGCTGTACAACCTACCATATTCGTTACGAGGATCGTTGATAAGCGAGAACGACTCCGAGGGCTAAAGCGAACCAGATAGTCGCAATCTTCGGCATATACTGACAAGAAGGATGCTGAGAAACCTACCGAGTACTTATCGATAGCAAACGTCTTGTAGAATTCGAGCGCGGTGCCTTCCCAGTGTCCCGACTTGCCGTCCTTGTCATAGTATTCCCACACGAACTTCTCGTGTGCCTTAGGAGGAACGCCGAGGGTAGCACTCATGACCGTGTAAACCTCCTTCATGAGCGCCTCCTTCTTCGCACGAAGCGCGCTCAGGATAGCCTCCTCAGAAAGAGGCTGCGCGGCACTGCGAAGAGACGATGCTAGCGAGCGGAGGACCAGGGCGTGCTCCCGCAGCTTGGTCTTGAGGAGGGTATTGAGCGGGCCGGAAAGTGAGGAGTGTAGTGATTCGGGATAGACCGATTGCGGCACAAGACCGTAATTCTGAAGAGAGAACGCGTGCAGAATCCCGTCTGGCACACTGGAAATTTACACTTGCCTCGAGGATATTAACGACCATGTCCCACTGTCCTCCGTCACCGATGAGGTCTTGGGCTGTGTGGGTAACGATGCGCTCGTCAATGGCAAGGTCCGCATGCTGGATCGTGAGCTCAAGGTAGTAGTTGGCCTTGTTCAGCTTGTCCCAGAAGAAGAGGTATGCCTAGGAACTCACGTGAAACGCGCACAAGCGTGATGCATGACGCGACACGCACCTGGGAGAACTGGAAATCCTCGAGGTTGAGCTTCTTCATGATGTTGTAGCGCAGCACATTGGTCGTCGCGAAGAGCCAGCAGCGTCCGGAGGACTTCTGATTAGTAACGGGACCCGTCTTGAAGTTAAGTTCGGTGTTGAAGACGTGCGTGTCCCCAATCTGAGCAGAGCGAGACATTAGGGCGGAGCGGATGTTGGAGTGGTTCAGGATGGTGCGGGAGAGAACTAGCTCAGGCTTTGCAGCGATCTCGGACTCCCAAGAGTCGATGTTGGCAAAGGAGAGCGAGCCATCCGTTGACTTGACCGAGAGGCTGGACAGAGCGGCGGCGACATCATCGACAGCCGCGTGCTTCTCATGGTGACTCTCGACGGCGGCAACGGTGTGCACGGCGGGCTTGGAGGATGCAGACCCCATGTCGACGAGGAGGAGGGAGAGGGAGATGAGCAGAAGAGGCTGATAGAGGCGGTGGCGATTGGGATACTTATGGCCTGCTTACGGTGTGGGAGGCGGCACGCACGGCGCGATAGCACATTGATTCGCCGGTCGCTATCATCCTCGCTCGTCCACGCGATAAGTAATTCCATGTTGTGTTAAACGCGACATTCCACCCTCAGCTCTCACAGGATGTTCGCGAAGTCGTTGCGCACACCGACTTCGAAGTGGAGATTTGTCGGGAAGACGCCTGTTGCTGTGAGCGAGAGACGCGACGAGACGCGTATGATCGCTGTGATTGCTGCAAACGTTCTGCAAATGAGTTTTGAGAGCAATACGTTCCGCAAAAGAGGGAGGAGGGAATACGACCATGCCGTCGGTGCAGATCGAAGTGAAGACGACTGGCGCTCGAGCTGCAACCTATTAGTACTTGTCGTCAAGCCAGACTGTGATCCCATCCATTCCCCCGGTCCCTCTCTTTGTCTTCCCCTGGCTGGTGTCACTCTACATATACTCAGAGCTTCTGCGAGCCAGAATGCCCGAGGAGCTTCATCTCGAGCACGACGACCAGTCTGCGCATACCCCGACACCCCTCACTGCGGTCGCTGTAGCGAAGGAACAGTCCACTTCACCCTTGGACTCCCTGCTTTCCCCCAGAAAGCCTGATGCCCATTTCTCTATCCGCCAGTCCGTCGCTGCGTCAGACGCAACTGACGACGAGGCTCGCTTCTCGACTGTTGAGCTCAGTAGTGGAAGGGAATCCGCTTCTGTCTCATTAACCCCGAGTTCCTCCACGCTTGCCCAGGATGACCGCAGAAACACTGTTGGCTTGCCTTCCCCAGATGCTGCTGCTCACAATCTGAATGATTTCAGACAACACAAGAAGACGGCATCGACTTCCACCATCCTCTCAGCCAGCAACGTCCCCTTCATGTTGTCCCAGAGAGAACATGATGATAACCACACCAATTCCTCCCGGAACAGTGTGGACAGTCAGCGGATGGTGCAGGAGGAGTTCTCCCGAAGGCACAGCGCCTTACAGGAGCAAGGGGCGATGGCAGACCCAGAGGAGAGCGCCATTGACTGGGGTACGTCTCAAATTGTGTCTCGAGTATTTCTTCTTCTGATTCCCGACGGTTCAGACTTCTGGGGAGATGTTGTATCAGGTGCGGTCCTACCTTCTGTAAAGTGCAATGACATGTTTGAATGCGTCGAAGCCCATAGATTACCAAAAGTTCGCATCCGAGCATCCACAAGAATTGGCGAAAGCAATAGAGAAGGGTATACCCAAAGCATTGCGCGGCATGATCTGGCAGCTAATGTAGTGCGCCCCTGGCTTCCTGAACGTGATCGTATGCGTACCTTACATTTCTTTTAGGACTGCTTCGAAAGATCCCGAGCTTGAAAGCACGTATTTGCGATTGCTCAAGGATACAAGTCCGCATGAAAAGGCAATCACGCGCGACCTCGGGAGGTATAAGTGTAGCGACTATTCATACCAATTTTTCTGACGCATTGTTTCCACAGGACGTTTCCGCATCATACCTTCTTCATTGACCGCGGGCTCGGTCAAGAGAATCTCTTCAATGTACTGAAAGCCTACTCTCTGTAAGTATCCCGTAATATGTGGTCTTTTGTTTTTCTTTTTATGCGGCGAGAAAGATATGATACGCAGGTCGGATACTGTCAAGGCCTACCGTTCGTCGCAGCCATCCTGCTACTACAAGTTCGTGCAAATTGTCATATTCCGAGAACGATAGCTCATTGCGAGTAGATGCCGGATGAAGAGGCTTTCTGTCTGCTTGTTCAATTGATGCAGTCGTATGGTCTAAGAGGGCATTTCCTGCCTGAAATGCCGAAACTACAGCTGCGACTTGTAAGATGATGGTGCTTGTAACGTGTGAGATAGACTAATCCCCTCGTTATTCGTTCCAGTTTCAGGTACAATGACCGAGTGTATAATGATTGGCCTGTCTGATATCTTATGCCAGTTTGAACGGTTGACCGAAGAACTCGCCCCAGTGATACACGTCCACTTCCTGAGGCAGGGTATCAAGTCGAACATGTACTGTTCGCAATGGTTCCTGACCATGTTCAGCTATCGGTCAGTCTTTCACTGTTCCTTCTTGGTGTCGCTGACCCACTCCGCAGGTTTCCGCTAGAGATAGTCCTCAGGATTTACGACAACTGTCTGGCCAATGGGATCGAAGCATTGTTCGCATTTAGCATCTCGTTGCTCCTGAAAAACGAGGCCACTTTACTCTCGCTCAAGTTCGATCAGCTCCTGGCCTTCTTAAACAATCGGATATACGAGGTGTACCTGGTGCGTGCCCCCATTGTTCGGCGCTGGCCCTTAGTCAATAGATGTTCTAGTTGGATGAGCCTGCCTCTGAAGGCGAGGGCGAATCAGTGGCCAAGTACAAAGTGGACGAATTTGTCCAAGATGCCATGTCATTGAAGATCACCCCGTTCATGCTAGATTCGTATACGCGTGAATACGAGGAGACTGTGCGTGCGCGGGAAGCCCACGCCGTGGAAATGGATGCGCTCCGGAACAGCAACCGTAGTTTGTCCGCACAATTGTACGCGTCATCTGTTCTGTATTGAGGACGAGTAGGGCTGATCAGCGGTGTAGAAAGCATCTGGAGACCAGCATGTCACAGCTAAATACTGAGCACTGCGAGCTCCTGGTGAGTCGTCTCTGTTCCTCATGCGTGTGATTTACTTACTGGTGCTACTCGCGCATAGAACGAGCTTGTGAGGGCACGGCTGAAGCACGAAGAACTTGAGTCTGAGCTCGTGAGATACAAGCTCCTGTATGTCCTTCGTGGGTTTTCCGGCACACTAGTCTGACGAATGCGTTAGATATGCGGAAGCCATGCACCAGAGCGAGGATGCGATGTCCTCACACCGTTTATCTACGATGAGCAGTCCCAATAGAAGAGGTTCGAACAACGGTTAGTAGCACGGTTTCCGGTGGGTTCGAGGCAAGCGCATTCTTGGTGGACATCCGGACGTCTGTTCGTAGTTGTTGTGTTGCAGTAAAGAGAATGTATTATTGGATCTAACTTATACGTTGTCGATTTTTTGAATATTGTAATGGTACTACCGTAGGGGTTGTTCAAGTTCCGCGCGCCGGCGGGACCGGCGCGCGCGCGTCTCAATTCTGCACTGACGCGAACCGCGTCAATTGGACACCTCGGTCCACTAACACGCTAACGGAAGCACGAACACACATATATGTGTCCTATTTCTGTGTAATCTGCGATGCTATTTCTCGGGAGAAGCTGTTTGCATCGCAGGGCCTGGCAGCTTTTCGTACGCGAGGGCGGGAAGACCCGCAGACCATTATTACAAGGGAGTCGTGTGCAGTCGACGAAAGCACCGGAACATCCTCGACAGACACGCCGAATAAGCCCATGGGTCATCTATCCCACCACGATTGTGGTCGCAGCTGGGGCTGGTGTCTTCACGTACGAAAATTATCAGCCGTTCAGGCATTTCACCCTTGCCGCTGTGCGGTGCTCGAGGGTTGCTAGTGCGTGTCCATTTTCTTGCGTTATATATGCTAATATAAGGTGTTTTGCCTGAATTCATAGGGGCGGTTGTTTTGGGTGCCATTGACTACAAGGCCACTTTTGCGAAAACCTATGCATCGGAGGAGATACTCCTGGATGCATACTCCCAGTGTCACAAACGCAGCGCTGAACGCGTTCTGAAAGCTCTTCTTGCGAACGGAGGTACTGCACCTGCCAGTAATTCACGAAAAGCATACTCACTTCTGAACCTCAGGGATTTTCATCAAGTTGGGGCAGCACATTGCGTCACTGTGAGTCTGCGCGCGCATTCCTCCTTGGCTCTATGTGCAGATCTTGTAACAAGGGCGTAGTGTGGTACTCCCAAAAGAATGGACAAGCACGATGCGGCCCCTGGAGGACCAGTGCGAGCCGACGCCGTACGAAAACCTTGAAAAACTCTTCCTGTCCGACATGGGCCAGCCCATTTCCGAGTACTTCGAGGACTTCGACCCGGAGCCGATTGGTGTCGCGAGTCTGGCACAAGTGCATGTTGCACAGTGGAGGAACACGGGTGAGACAGTCGCTGTAAAGGTGAGCGGGTTCGTAGGACTACCCTGTTGTGTCTAATGGGTTGCGCGCAAGATACAACATCCACATCTCGCGGAATTTTGCGAGATTGATATGGAGATGGTAGAGGTGTCTTTAGGTTCATTTTGCGATTTCTGCGGAAGTGCAATGACTGACTCTGCCATTAGGATGGATAAAGCACCTGTTTCCCGACTTTGAGTTCACGTGGCTGGGCGAAGAGATGCGCGAAAATCTGCCGAAGGAGATGGACTTCGTGCACGAAGCCAACAATGCCCTGCGTGCCGTAGACGACTTTAAAGACATACAAACGTCCATGTATATCCGTGAGTATGCGCTGAAGGCAGGTTGTATGACTCCTGACCTTCGTGTATATATAGCTCGTGTTCTCCAGGCAAAGAACAGGGTGCTCATTATGGAGTACATCCGGGGGGCACGCGTGGATGATTTGCCCTACCTTGCGGTGCATAGCATTGACAGGAATAAGGTTGCGCTCGAGTTGGCTAGGATATTCTCGCAGATGGTGCATATCAATGGCTGGTTCCATGCGGTACGGAGCAACCTTTACTTTGGCAATATTCACATAGATTAATCATACGTCATGCAGGATCCTCATCCTGGTGCTTAGTCTGTTGAGCTGTTTTTTGAATCTCACTCATCCCTTAGTCTGTCAGGAAACCTACTCATCCGCCCTGCGCCGCTTGGCTCCAAGTCGCCATACAACTTCGAGATAGTTCTGTTGGACCATGGGTTATACTTCGACTTGGATCCGGAATTCCGCATCAATTATAGCAAACTATGGCTCGCGTTGATCGCTCCTGCCACACCCTCCGTTCGTGCGGATCGAATGAAGTACGCTAAGTTGGTCGGGAACATCGATTCTGACCTGGTAAGTGGTTTCGAATTCGCCTGTCTCATCCATGCAGGTCTGATCTGTGTTCTAGTACCCTGTCTTTGAAGCTGCAATTACTGGTATGTGCGCTCAGCTTCTGGTCTGAATTATTGAGGTATGCGAACGATTGTTTTGCAGGTAGAGCGGCTCTTGAGAGCTCTTGGAGTGACCTCAACGATCCATCCGACGGTGCCAGTTTTGCTCGTGGATCTAGCATGATCGATCTTTCTGCCCAGACGGAGGAAGAAATGGAGGCTATCAGGGAAGCTGTGGTGCAAAAAGAGGGTTTGCTGCTCTCTGTCTTCGATGTGCTTCGGAGGGTACCCCGGAGAGTACTCATGGTGCTGAAGCTTAATGAGCTGACGAGGTGCGTGGTTCTTTTGTGAGATGCAACCTTTCATGTGCACATCTTATCGTTGATCTAGGAGTCTGGATCGTGCGCTTGCGACAACGCACTCCAATGTGGGTACTGTTTTATGTCTGCTACTCCTGATCGAAAAGACTGAGTACCTTTACATCAAGATACGAGTATTCCTTATAATGGCTAAGTCATGCACTGCAGCTGTCTGGCAGGATAATAAGCAGCGACTCATCTCGGAGATGTGGAAGCCCTCCAAGGGCCTGACGTCTCTGGGCCTATTATACGAGTATTTCCGGGACTACTGGTATGTAATCAGTTTCAGCGGAAGTCGTGCATGTCTTCACACAGCACGCTGCTACAGGGGGTACCGGAAGATGTACACCAGCCTAGTCTTGGCGGAGACGTGGATGGATGTAGAGGCGTCCTTGGTCAAGTTCAAGGCATGGCTGTGGGGGCTGTTTGTCGTAGGTGGCCTGCAAGGTGCGCATAAAGCCGCTGCTGGGCTAGCATGATGTGCGACTGCTTTCAGGGTGATATTGCATAGAGGATTTCTTAGGACGACTAATGACGGGTATATAATACAATACATTCAAGACAGTAATACTACAAGCTGAGATTCCCAACTTCACGGTACTACTTATTCGCTCTCGCGAACAGAGCATCAATAGAGTCACCATTGTTCTTCAGACTCTCCCACTAAAATATTGGCTTCAGTACGCAGCATCAAGACATAACAGGCTTGCACACCTGCTCCTGTTGAAGAGTAACTCCCTTCTTTCCGGGCTGCTCATCGCCTTCCTGCCCATAGTACTCACGAATATCAAGGAATATCGTGCCTTAAGCGTACGGTCAACGTAGCTCAAGGGTCCCCGAAGATGAAATACGCACCCTTGAACGTGCGAACCGTCGCGCGACGCTTCTTGCCCAGATCGATAAATCTGTCTCCGTCTCCGTTTACAAGAACAGATGTTCCAAGATCTTTCGTATCAGCAGTGTTCGACGATGCCCCCTTTTTGGCAGACTATAGGCAGGATCTGGATGATTCGGTTCGCGAGGGATATGCGGAACACTATACTCACTGTTTTGCTTTTCTCCGTGGGCTTCTTCGGGGCTTTCGGTTTAGCCTTCTTCGGTTGTTCCTCCTCCTCTTCGTCTGCGCTGTCTCGCGGTACTTTCTTGCTCTTGGCAGGCCGTGAGTACCTCTCTCGCGGAACAACGCAGGGCACTCACCTGGCGAGCCTTCGGCACGCGCGCGTGCTTAAGAGGCCGTTCTACCTCGGAATCAGACCACGCCTCATCCGCTTGTTGCTCGTCGTCGCTCGCGGTGTCTGCCTTGCGTTTGGGCATGGTTAGGAGACGGTGAGAGCATCAGACGCGTCGACGCGTCTGGACGTGACGCGCATCACAGGTTGTTAGTGTGGGAAAGTGGGGCGATAAAGGCATTATAAGTGTGGGAACTTCGCCTTTACTCTTCAAGGTTAGCCCTGCGCCCGCGTAAGCACACCACTTTCCCAAGTTCCTCGTCCTCAGTAGCTCACGTTCTGACCAAGTGCCGCTGAACACATACCCTCCGACACTAACCACTTGCTAAAGGACTCCCCATATTCTTTTCCCGACTTCAGTGTCGCGGAAAAATGAAGATTATACACAAGTCCAAGAGGGCCGTCCCTCCTGTAAGTGTTCCACCTTCGTTACAATCTTGTGGCGCGTTTATTCAGTGTTTCTTGTGCTGCAGCTACCTCAGGTTGCGGACTTGATTAACAAGCTGCTCGAGACACCCGAAGATGACTTGAACGAAGTCTTGGGCCAGATTGACACTTGGAAATGGCCGCGATCTGATCTCAATGCTTGGACCAAGGTCTTGAACAAGTTCGACGCGATCCTTGAAGAAGTCATTCGTGACTACGATATCGACAACCTCCAGGTCACTGTACTCACTCCCCAGACCAAGAAGACTGTCTGTGAGATCCTCAGATTCGAGCGTTTATTGTTGGAGAACTCCACGAACAGGAAGACCTTCAACTCTTACGACGTGAGTTCGCATACGCGACACGTTTATATACTGGGCCTTACTGACGCTGGGCATATATCAGCGGCTGAACAGTCTCATGTTCACATCCGACCTTGATGTGTTAATTCTCGCATTGAACCTTCTACTACGTCCAGCACAGCAGTACTCCGCTCAGCCTGCAGTACTACATGCACTCAGCATCTCGACACCCCGGCTTATCTCTCTGGCAAAGAGGTGGCCCAACCTCCGCGAATATGATATCAATTTGATCGACTTGGTAGGTAACAAGGGCAGGCTACAGATCGAGGCACTGCCCGACGAGGCACGAGAAGTCAACTTCACCTTCTACCGACAGCATTCCTCCGGTGTGCATTCTGGGAAAGAAAAGGAAAGGGCATCCGATGTGGATGTCTTCGACTCTGTTACGCAGACGCTCAGTCGCAAGCCCGGCGCGCCTTCGTCATCAGGTGCCCCTGCGTTAGCTGTTTCCTCAGGAGCCGTGAATGTCCACATCGACTGCAAGACGATTGAGTCAAGAGAGCCCATGGACGTTCTTGCCGATACGGTCGAGGCCTATTCTATTCCGAGCTCTGAGAAGTTCGAACTTCTGTCTCGTATTCGTGCAGCTCGAGCGCTGACGAAGACTTACGCGAACGAGCGCGACAAGCTTGTTACTGTCCGTCTCCTCTCGACCGCAATCTTCGGACATACACATACGGAGTTACAGGCGCAGTCGAGTCTGCTGCTGTATGAGCCTGATCTGATTACGCATGTTGGCGAGCTTCTGCAGCTCGACCAGCATGTGGATTCTCAAGTCCAGGCTGCTGCCATTGCCGCCCTCGATGCGTTGGGACGATACAGGAACAAGATACAGGACGTTTTGACCGCTGTCAATGCCGGCGTCAACCACGGTATCCTGATGGCATTGTTGCGCAAGACGGTGGCCGATGTGGCACAGCCAACCTCACCGCTGCCTCAGTCCTTCGTTGAGGGGCTGCTGTCTTTCGTGTCGTTCATAGCGACACATTCATCTGGGGGAAATATGGTTGTTGGTGCCGGGTTGGTTCCCCTTCTGATCCAGGTCATTGAGAACAGACTGCCCAGTCGTCTCTACGTGGTTTCAAAGATCATGCAGTTGCTGGACAATGTACTGTATGGCTTTAACAACTCATTCCAGTTGTTTTGCAACGCACGTGGGGTAGAGATACTGGTGGATAGGATTGAGGTACGTCATCACCTACGGGCTGTCTGTCGCATTGAGTCTCACACATGTGCAGTGTGAAGTAGACTTGAATCTATCGCAATTTGAGGGTGAGGAACAGACTGGTGAAGTCGTTGTTTCTTATGGTATGTTGCCGCGGTCGGCCGCCTGTTCTGGTGCTTATCGAGTATTAGGCAAACTCTCCGTTGCTCGCGCTGCAGTCCTCAAGCACCTAATGCGATCAATCCATCGGATGATGCATTCGCCTGGAACGGCGGAAGGTCTCCGTGGTCTTCTAGATTCTTCCCTTCTCAAGTCAGTGAAGAAGATTATGGAGCACCGCGACATTTTCGGCCCTAGTGTACTCCCTATCGGTAAGTCTAGTACATGTTGTGGGTGAGCGACTGATACGACGCTGATCGGCGTGAAGCAATCAACATCATGGCGACATTTGTCCACAACGAGCCCACCTGTCTATCTGTCATTCAGGAGGCGGGTCTACCAGAAACGTTCTACAAAGTCGTTGACTCTGGGCTTGAGCCTGTGATCGAGGTACGGTGATCTTTTGTCCTGAATTGCATCCTAGACCAATATCTCTCACAGGTCATCCAAGCGGTACCGAACGCCATTGGAGCATTGTGCTTGAACCAAGCAGGTCAAGATCAACTTGCAACGCGGCCATCCATCATACCTGGCTTATTCTCCATATTCACTTCCGAGCGTCACCAGAGGGTTCTGCAAGACAAGGAGAACGCGGTGATCGTCGGCACTGCAGTCGAGGAGCTCATAAGGCATCATCCACTTCTGAAGGAATCCGTCTTCACTGCCCTGAAATCTACCATGGCTCAAATAGAAGAGATGGGCAAGGCCTACGTTCCGCCGGAGGACATTCGGCATTGGTATGAATTAGTGCCGGTGACGTTATCGTCATCATCGCCACCGTCGCCAGCTAGTCAAGGAGCGGTTGACTCCGATGTTGTGATGGAGTCTGTGGAAGCTGTGGAAGCTGCTTCTGAACCGCCGTCTCTACCTCCTGACACTGATACCGTCCCGTCCGAGGAGCCAGCTAGCAATCGTGACGATAGTCATTCCAGAGCGCACGACAATATCATCATCTCCTTCATTGATGTGTTCGGGAAGGTAAAACTAGTTCTGTTAATTAGGCAGTACTCGACTAATCATCTGGACGTGATGCGACAGTTCCTCGAGGGCTTCTTCCAGCACGTTCCGCATTGCAAAGATTTCCTTGCAGACGCAGAATGCCTTGATCAGTTGGGGAGGCTTACTGCTCTTCCATGCCTTCCATACGATTTTGCGAACAGTGTCGCCTCGGATTCGTTGGTGCAAGTGATTCGCACCATGGCCGAATCGGCCACAAGCGAGACCATTATGTTCCTCGTCAAGCTCGTCCACGAGACTATGGAGAATAACAAGGACTTCTGGGAACACATGGAGGAACAGTCAAAGCTCCTATCAATGGTGGACATTACTGGTAAGCAGTTTGTATCCTCTATGTACTGCTGGACTCAAGAGGGCATTCCCCGCAGGTGAGGAAGTCTCGAAGGCGAACGTTCGCTTGCGGAAGTTGGTCACCCTTCATATCCGGGTGTCCCTTCTCTCCGACATCTATGCGACTGCTGGTTATGCACACGGAAGGGCAACCTCAGCTCTACTTCAGTCGTTGGTTGGCCCGTCCACGCCTACTATTCTGCCTGAACTGGGAGCGTTGCACAGAACTTGTGTGTGGGAGAATATCGCACTCAAAGCTGCATTAGCATCTCAAGGCTTTGACGTTCCCATCTCTTCATTACCGTCTCTGGATTCTTCAGCGCCTACACGTATGGGTACACCTACGATATCTCAGGCGGACGCGGATGCTGCATCCACTGGTACGACGAATGGAGTCCAAGGAGAGCAAGAGCAATCTACTGCTTCATCCAGTCGAGAGTCCACAAAGGAGGACAGTCCAAAAGAACAGAACGCCAAGGTAGTTAAGCATCTCGCATCTCAAATCCCGAGTTCGTTGGCGCCGTTTTTCCAAGGTAATCTCTACAGCCTCGAGAAGTTGTTGTGTATAGCTGACCCCAACATTTGAACAGCTATTGTGCGACTCCTCCAGACACGACGGGCCCCAGATCCCACACAGAAGCAGAAAATTCGGGAGACTGCTGTGGTTCTCGCCAATGTCCTCCTTAAGCACGTCGAGCAGAAGGACTTTGGTCAGTGGTCTTTGTGATCTCCACTTGCGATCGTTTACTCACTGACGTACAGGTGACAAGTTATCTCTCTTTGCGTATAACACTGTGATGCTCGGTTTAACAACGATCCTCCTTGTGGATGGTATGTGAATATTTATACCTTATGCACGACCTTTCATTTGACTGAGATGCTTGCAGAACGGACGACGCAGAAGACGCTACATACCATCCTCCTTTCCGTGTTCCATCGTGTTGGAGGACTGGACGCTATCTTTGGCCTTTGTCGCTCTTTCATGCGTGCGATCGATGCAGTGAATCTCGTTCCAGTCGACGACCGTTCAGACATAGTTAAACAAGAGCTTGTGCACGCCTATGGCGGTTTGAAGGTGGCCCTTCATTTGCTCCATCCAATTGTGTCCGCCAAAGCGCTATTCGAGTCGGCACAAACCTCCTCCGCAGTCACAGTGGACAAGAAGGCATCTGATCCTGACTACTTTGAACCCCACGACTTCTTCGTCAAGATGAGGTTGGCGACTCTGCCACTCGTTCGCGATCTGTGGGACGCTTCTTGGCTAGTTCCCGCTCCGCTCAGCGTCAGCAAGTCCGTCGTGCAGATTGTCATGGAGTTCCTCAATGTCGAGGGTGAGGAGGTAAAGGAGCCTAGTGCTACCCCGTCCATGGTGGTAGCTGGCGGCCTGTCAATACCTCGAATGACTGGTCCCGACGAAAACCGTATCCGTCAATTAGTTGACATGGGCTTTCCAAGATCCGCTGCGGAACGTGCCCTCACTCGCACTCGCAACAACATTAATGCTGCTACGGAGCTGTTACTCGCTCATCCTCTTCCCTTCCCTCCTGACCCAGAACCTGAACCCGTAGCAGAGCAGGCTGCACCGATAGCGGATGCTGCTCCTGAAGATGCCGCAGAAGGTGAAGTAGATACTCAAGCCCCGGAGGTTCAAAGTTCTTCCGAGGAAGCCTCAGAACCTGTTCCTGAAACTCCAGCTACTCCTATAAAGAGCCCTGAAGAATGGTTACAGGAACTCAGCGCTGCCCGCTTCCCGTTGCTGGAAGGTATTGGCAGACGAGCTCTGAAGCTTGTTGACGAGCATCCATCCTTGGTGTTTGATGTTCAAAGGGTCTTTGTCGGGTCATCCAATCAATATCGCGACCAATCTGTTCGCTGTCTGATAGACGATGTCAACGTGTTGTCGCCTTCTGCATACGATGTGCAGGAGCAGCCAATGGCCGTCAGGTGCCGTCTACTTGCGTTAGTACTGAATGACCCGTCTTCTCCGCTGTCGCAGCTTCCCGAAAGCGATGCCAAGAACCTCATGGATGTTCTGCTTGCGCTTCTACTGTCAAATCCTGTGTCTACGGAAGGCAACCATCCTACTCTTGCTAAATGGCTTGCAGCTCATCTCCTGGTTGTTGAAGCTATCTTGGTTAGTGGGGATGAGCCTCGAACGATATCATTACCAGCCGAGGACGAACCCATTGTGCACGATCCCATCACGACTGGTCGCCGATATCCGGAGGCGCGGTCAATGCTCTTTGACTTTTGCCTGCGGCTTCTTGCCTGTCCTATTTTACCCAAGGATGAGCTGATCTCGTCGCTGAGGCTCTTCGTCCTTTTGACTCAAGAAAGGAAAATGGCAGAAGAGTTTGTTCGACGTGATGGTTTGGGACTGTTGTTCCAATACCTCAAGGTCTCAGTGGGCACGCCAAGTGCATCAGGTACCCAGTCATATATCGCAATCATTCTCCGCCACGTTGTTGAGGATGCGTCTACTTTGCAACATATCATGCATCACGAGATCAAGAAGTTTTTCTCTCAGCCTCGAAACCGTGTGGTTGAGGTTGGCACCTTCGTTACCAGCTGCAATGCACTAGCTCTCCGTGATCCTGGTATCTTCGTCCAGGTAACACACGATCTGTGTAAGCTCTCCCAACCGTACTCCAGTGTCAAGACGATTAGCCTTCTAGGAGAGAAGAAGCCCGAGGGACCCGTCGAACATTCAAACGCTGTAGATGCGAAGGATATTGGGATGGAAGTAGATGAGCCACCAACTGTGCACACCAACACGCCATCCGGTTCGGTCGAAGCCCTCGTTCACTTCTTGATCGCGGAACTGGTGAAGACTGTCAGAGCTGAACATTCGCCTGAGGTATCTATAGCGGCCGAGCAATCGAAGACCCGGGACGTTGATCCTTCAGCAGCACATGAAGGCCAACTCGCATCGCAGTCGATCTCCGGCGTAAAAGCTCCAACGGAATCGTCTCGCCACCAGGATGAATACCTGTATTCATGCTTCTTGATGCAATGTCTCACCGAGCTTCTCTTTTCCTATGATCTTTGCAAGCTTGCCTTCTTGTCGTACAATCCTAGGAGACGCACTCTGACACCTGCCAAAGAGACTGGAAATAGACATAGGACAGCCGCCATTCATTTTCTGCTTTCAGATCTCATGTCGTTCGGCACCATTAACCCGCAACCTCCTGCTGAAGCAAGAAAGCAGATTTTGCTATGCAACTGGGCAATGTCCGTGATCGTTGCTCTTTGTGTGGATACGTCTTCTACTCCGGACAGCAAGGACGTAGCTTCTGATCTCGTCTCTGTTCGCAAGTTCGTCCTTGAAGCCATCAGTCGATCGTTGAAGGATCTTCCGACATCTGAGAATACGGAAAGTCGTTATAGTCGTCTTTTAGCCTTGGCAGATCTCTGCTACCGCTTACTGACTGTCCGCTTCAATGCCGGGCCACGGAAAGTGAACGAGGAGTCTCCCACACATCTTGCAAAAATCATGTTGGAAAAGAATTTCGTTGCGACACTTACAAACGCTCTGGCCGAAGTCGATCTCAACTATCCCAATATCAGAGGTGTTGTCACATCAATCCTTAGACCTCTTGAGTACTTGTACGTCTGAAAGGTGTATTTTGGGCCTTTGGCTTCACTGACGCGTCCGCGCCTCCCAGGTCCAAAATAGCAATCAAGATGAGCCGTGTTTCCGACAAGAGCAAAGATATTCCAGACGAAAGTGCCGATATGATGGATACTACACTATCTGACGAAGAGGAGGCTCCAGAAGAGCACGAAGGTGACGAGACGCCCGATCTGTATCGTAACTCTTCCCTTGGAATGTACGTCATCACAATTGATTTATCGATTGTTTGCTCACGTTAACGTTCCTGTCTGGTTCATGACAGATTTGGTGGAGTGAGTATCTCGTACTTCTCCTGCTATAACAGTGGACTTACACAAGGACAGGAAATGGAGGATGTTCACTACGGCACCGATAATGACATCGACGAAAACGCTGAAGAGGACGACGAAGATGTGGAGATGGAATACGGTGAGGAGACGGGAAGTGAGGATACGTCAAATACGGAAGATGACGTTGAAAACGACATCGCCGACGATCTCGAGAATGAGACGGGAGAGTCAGAAGAAGAGGGGTGGCAAGACGACGAAGAAGAAGACGAGGACGATCTCGTTGAGAACGACGAAGGCAACGATGAAGAAGAAGAGGGTGAGGATGAGGAGGAAGACGAAGGAGAGGTGATGTGGCAGGTACGTGTAAGCGCTCTGACCTTACATTACATTAGCGTTATTAACGTTACATGTAGGATATCGCTGTTGGCGAAGATGTGGCCGGCAACGTTGCAGAAGAGCCTGATGAGGAGGATGTTGGTGGTATGTCCTCGGTTCCATATGTCAGAATGTTAACTTATGGCTGACCAGATCCTGTACCTATCATGCATGTGGACGCAGATGAAGGAGACGTGGCGTCTGAAGAAGACGAGTGAGTCTGTGATCTTGTAGGATAAGAACCGATTATTGACGTTCAAAAGATATGGCGACGATCTGGGTATTGTGGGTCCAGCTCCTACTGTAGCTGAATTCTTTGAACTCCCTGCTGGGCTCGGCGTTATTGCTGATGGCCTGATGAATGCAAATGCAGGCGACGGGCAGCCAATGTTTTGGGCAGGAACCGTCCGTCCAGGTCGTCGACGTGGCATTGGTGAGGCTTTTCCTCTTGTCCATTACAACACACTTTCTGACGCTATCGTCATTTAGTTGACGATGATTTAGAGGTGTTCGGGCGACCTCGAAATGTAGTACCGTCAGCATCCGACGCCATAGTTCATCCGTTACTACTTGATCCTACCACTACTTCTTCCCGAGGTCCGGCATCACTATCAAGGAATTCGCGCCGAATGCAGAGGAATATGTTGACTCCCAGCAACCCCGAGGATATATGGCAGACTATCGAGAATGCCATTGGCGAAGGCGCGGTACACTTCTTTCAACATTTGCGTGGAAGTGGGGTGTTCGGGGAAACAATACGCATAGACGTCCCTCCCGATGCTTTTGGTGCGCCTCACCGACACGGCCGCAACGCCATAGCTGCTTCTATCCGATTGGAGAGAGCGCCTCGGCCCGGAGAAGGAAGATCCGATGGTCGCAGCTTTGATCCGCTTCTCACCATGCAGCGATGGTTGGAAGAGGTCAGAATGTTGCACGGCAGGTTTGAGCAAAGTCGCTTGTCAAGATTGGCCAACCACGTTGTTTCTACCCTCCTACCGGTTGCCGTGGAAGCGTTGAGACAGGCAAGAATCGCGGAAGAGGATGAACTTTCGAGACAACGAGAAGCTCAGGCTGAGGAGACGGCAAGAGAGGCAGCAAGAGAAAAGGAAGAGGCTGATAAGGCGAAAGAGGAGGTAAACAGTCAGCCTGATAGTGTGCCAGAGGCTGCGTCTACATCCGAGGCTCCGGAGACAGCAATTTCAACAGAGCAAGGCCAGGTAACGCTGGATACAGATGCAGAGATGGCAGATGCCTCAAACGACGACGATACAGCTCATGATGAAGAGCCTGCCGCAGAAGCTAGCTCGTCCAATGCTCCCGAGCGGGTGACCGTTGTCATTCATGGCAATCCAGTTGATATCACAGACACAGGCATCGACCCTACATTCCTTGAAGCTCTGCCTGACGATATGCGAGAGGAGGTTCTTAATCAGCATGTTCGCGACCAGCGTGCTGCTCGAGTTGAACGTCCTGCAGATTCGCAGATCAGCCCGGAATTCCTTGATGCCCTACCACCTGATATTCGGGCAGAGATTCTTCAACAGGAAAGTATGGAACACGCCCGACAACGCGTCGAACAAGCTGCAGCTCAGCAGGGCGCTGCTGGTGTTCCAGCAGATATTGACCCTGCCAGCTTCATCGCTAGTCTGGAACCCCAACTTCGACAAGTTGTCTTGATGGATTCTGATGACGTCTTCATCCAGAGCCTTCCTTCGCACATGGTGGCTGAAGCTGGTATTCATCGGGACAATGCTCGCGCTTCACGCGCCCATCTGGTATCCCGTAGAGAGGGAGGCTCCGCCCCTTCCCTTCCTCAAGGAGGACCGCATAAATCGACGGCTCAACGCGACGCCATTCAATTATTAGACAAGGCCGGCATTGCGGTCCTCGTGCGCCTCCTCTTCTTCCCTAATGTGTTGAAGAAGAATCTCCTCTTCAAGGTGTTGGTCAACATCTGCGAAAATGCCAAGACACGGACGGATCTCTTCAATCTTCTTCTTAGTATCCTTCAGGATGGTTCTGGGGATCTCACATCTATCGATAAGAGTTTCGCACAGATGTCTTTCCGCAATTCGAAGCAATCGACCCAGCAAACTCCGAAAGCAATAGGGAAACAACGTGCCGCATCAGATTATCTCGGGGCCTTTTCATTACCCCAGAATGAATTCGTTCCAGAGCTCATCGTTCAACGGTGTCTCGAAGCGCTTACCTTCATTGTCAGCTCGAACGAACTTTCCTCTTTATTCTTCCTCACAGAGCATGAGTTATCTCTCGGACTGCGACGTAGCGTGTCCAAGAAGGGGAAGGGGAAGGAGAAACAGGTTCCTCAAACCCATTACCCCGTTGTCTTGTTGCTGAGTCTGTTGGACCGGCAATCTATCCTGAAGACACCTTCAATTGTCGAATCGGTCGTAGCTCTCCTGGCTACAGTAACACGACCCCTTGCAAGCCTCAAGGACCAGGGCAAGAGCAAGAGTGAAGCTGAAGCCGGTCCCTCTCCTGTCCCTGCCCCTTCTGCTGAGCAGCCTCTGCCTACCACTTCTACTACAGATGTTCAGGCCACACAACGTGAGTATCTTTCTATCGCATGTCTCGCGAATACTGAAGCTGTCCTGTCTGGTAGCGAACGCGAATGTCTCAGTGGAGCCAGCTGTTCAAGATCAGAGCGGATCTTCTCCTAGCACAGAAGAGAAAGTCCTCCTTGCGAATCCTCCCGTCATCCCTCATGCAGTACTGCGATTCATTGTTAACATCTTGACGGCTGGTGAATGTTCCGGGCGCACATTCTCTCAGAGCTTGGGTCTTATCCAGCACCTTTCTTATGTCCCCGATACTCGAGACGTCATCGCTAGCGAGCTACGTTCGAAAGCACAAGAATTTGGGCAGAGTCTCTACACAACTCTGGACGAGCTTGCCACAGCACTGCATGAGTCACAAGGGGATGTTCTTGCTAGCTCAATAGCATCCAAGTTCTCGCCAGCTTCATCCGATCAGGCGAAGCTACTACGAGTATTGAAAACCATTGATTACATGTATTCCTCTAAATCTGTCAGTCTGCCAAGTGCTGCCGCTGGCGAGGGGGACGGCGATGTGGAGAAAGTGCAAGCAATCTACGAGGGTTTCCGCTTTACCACATTGTGGCGGCGTCTTGGGGATTGTCTTTCTGTGATCGAAGAAAAGCCGGAGATGGAACACATCGCTACAGTATTGCTGCCATTGATCGAGTCCCTAATGGTGGTCTGCAAGTATGTTGGATCGAAGGCAACCCCTGGCGGGGTAACTCGCATGCCACGAGCATCCGCCTCTCCCAGATCCCCCACGACTACTCGCGAATCGATGGAAGAATTGTTCGTAACATTCACCGATGCTCATAGAAAGGTTCTCAACCTAATGGTGCGCAACAATCCTTCGTTGATGAGTGGATCGTTCTCGTTGTTGGTCCACAACCCCCGTGTTTTGGATTTCGACAACAAGAGGAATTACTTCAATCAGCAGCTCCATCGACGTCCACACACCCGGGATCATCATACTACCTTGCAACTGAACGTTCGCCGTCAGCGCGTCTTCGAGGATAGTTTCCAGCATCTCCAACGCAAGACCGGAGATCAGATTAAGTATGGGAAGCTCAGTATCCGCTTCTACGACGAGGAAGGTGTCGATGCAGGTGGTGTGACGAGAGAGTGGTTCCAAATTCTGGCGCGACAGATGTTTGACCCAAATTACGCGTTGTTCCAGCCGTGCGCAGCGGACAGGCTTACATACCAACCCAACAAAGCGTCCTGGGTAAACCCCGAACACCTTTCATTCTTCAAGTTCGTTGGGCGTGTCATTGGAAAAGCGATCTATGACGGACGTCTTCTCGATGCGTACTTCGCTCGGAGCTTGTACCGCCAGATCCTCGGAAAGCCTGTTGACTATCGAGACGTTGAGTGGGTGGATCCGGAGTATTACAACTCTCTTTGCTGGATCCTCGAGAATGATCCCAGTGCGCTCGAGTTGACTTTCAGCGTTGAAGCTGATGAGGTGAGCTAATCCTTGCTACTCGTGACATTTACATACTCACGGTTACGTTGTAGTTCGGCGTAACCAAGATTGTCGATCTGAAGGAGAACGGCTCTTCGATCCCCGTGACGCAGGAAAACAAGCGCGAATTCGTGCAATTATCCGCGCAATATCGACTATATTCCTCCATCAAGGATCAGATCGAGTCGCTCCTCACTGGATTCTACGAGATCATCCCCAAAGAACTCATCTCCATAGTAAGTGCTTTGTCGTCATACTCGGAACCATGACTGACTTTTATACATTACAGTTCAACGAACAAGAGCTAGAGCTCCTCATCTCAGGCACACCGGACATCGACGTTGATGAATGGCGCTCAGCGACGGAGTACAACGGCTACACTAGTTCTGACCCTGTCATCGTCTGGTGGTGGCGCGCCCTGAAATCCTTCAATCGTGAAGAGCGAGCGAAGGTTCTCAGCTTTGCCACGGGTACATCGCGCGTTCCCCTCGGTGGTTTTGTGGACTTGCAGGGTGTGCAAGGCGTGCAGAGGTTCTCCATCCACCGTGCGTACGGTGATACCGACCGACTACCGCAAGCCCATACATGTGAGCTCTAATATACATGTTGGAGGCTAAATTGCACTGACCGCTGGCGATTCAGGTTTCAACCAGATTGATCTACCACAGTATTCCTCGTATGAGATGCTTCGACAGCAGCTCCTGCTTGCAATCAACGAGGGTGGAGAAGGCTTCGGATTTGCATAAGATAATGTCGAGTAATTTGCAGAGTATCCAGCATCTTGTAGACACAACGCATCCAGTGTATAACAGCAATACAATTTGTCAATCATCTCCACGTCGCGTTCACCTGAAGGTATGTTCGCATGTGATCGTCGACTTCTTCACATGTGATGACCATGGGTCTCCGGGACGGTTGTCTGCACACCCCAAGGACGCCTCCGGTGTGATTTACTATATTTAATAGCGGAGCTAGCGGCAGCAATGACCTTTCCTCCACCCTCTCATCGCTCACCATGCGCGCCTTTGTTGTCCACAAACATGAACACCCCTCAAAGCTTTCGCTCACTGCTGACGCTGCTGACCCCATTCCGGGGCCAGGAGAGGTTCTAGTAGAAGTGTACAGTGCAGGAATGAATTTCTTCGATGTACATCGTATTACGCCATTACTTGCAACGTAGTGGCGCAACTGACTTGCATGATGGTAGATCCTGCAATCCCAAGGGAAGTACCAGAACCAGCCGCCTCTGCCGTTCGTGTTGGGCTCGGAGTTCGCGGGCATGATTGCGGACGACTCACCCATCCCTAGCGGATGCCCATTCAAGCCCGGGGATCGAGTCTTCGGCGCTGCACAAGGAGCGTATGCGGAGAAGATTGCGGCGCGTTGGGACAGGTTGCTTACGCTCCCCGCGAATATGACTTACGACCAGGGTGCAGGTGTGTGAAAGTCGTCCGTCTGACGCCTGCAAATTCAGATGTGATAAACGCGCTCGCATGGACCAGGTCTGTTTGTAACCTGGCCCACAAGTTACGAAGCACTAGTAGGACGAGCGGACCTGAAGCCAGGTATAGAAATTGTTTTGACTTGGTGGGCTCTTTTGAACTTTGCCCCAGGTGAATGGGTGCTTGTCACTGCTTCAGCAGGCGGTGTTGGTCTAGCCGCCGTCCAGTTGGCCAAAGGTAATTACCATCAGACCCATCGTGGCTGGATATTGTATTGATTTTCTTGCGAAGCATTGGGCGCAAAGGTTATTGCTGCAGCCGGCTCGCAAGAGAAGCTGGATGTATCCACTCGGTACGGAGGCGCGGACTTTACTGTGGATTACACCAAGCCAAATTGGCAACAAGAGGTTCTGAAGATAACTGGCGGCAAAGGCGTAGATGTAATTTACGACCCAGTAGGCCTCATTAAAGGTAGGTGACCATTTGGGAATGTAATCATTACAAATTGCGGATACTGAGGCAGACCTTCAGACTCCTTGAAGTGCATAGCTTGGAAGGGCAGGGCACTTGTCGTCGGATTTGCAGCCGGTCAAATTGAGAAGGTTTGTCCATCGGTCTATCCCTTTATTGCTATGCTTAAAGCCCTGTCTGTCTGCAGTTACCGTTAAATCTAGTTCTTCTGAAGAACATTTCCATCGTCGGTATTCACTGGGGTGCTTATACTCGTATGTACCGCACAATTCATCGAATTGCATACCTAAACGCTAATGGCCTGCTGACACAGAGAAGGAATCCTCGCGTATTCCTCCAGTGTGGAAAGCATTGCTAGGGTGAGTGTCATAGTCCTTACTCCTTCTTGCATTCTCATATATTTCTCAGTCTCTTCGCGTCCGGACGTGCCACACCCGTTGTATACACGGAAGTTTTCCCGCTGGAGCGCTTGTCCGATGGTCTTTCTGCGCTGGAGCAGCGTAAAACATGGGGAAAGGTGGTGGTGCGAGTTAGAGATGATGAGTTGGGCGTCTCGAGAGCCAAGCTATAGTATGTACTCACCAGAGTTATCACAGCGAAATGCAGTAGTGTAGCTGCGGTGCCGCTGCACAGTCGTTATATTAAGGGAGCCAGGAATCATTTCACCCGAGCTCCCATGATATAGTTATTGTCTCCCATCGCACTACATTATGGAGCAACATGGCGCAGCTGGAAGCGCGCGGGGCTCATAACCCCGAGGTCACTCGATCGAAACAAGTTGTTGCTATATCCGTTGCCGTGGGTCGTTTTTTTGAGTCGTTGAACTGTGAACCATCATTTGTCGCGTTTTATACGGCAAGGCGGAATTGTGTTAGTGCACAAGGAGAACTGCCGCTATATATATACATGAACTGGTCAACTCATGAAGGTCGAGGCCGTGGATGGCTTTCCCGCAATAGCCCTACGCACACGTTTACCCATCCGTCTGCGCCTGCCATGCATGCCCCCAACCACGCCATTTCGGCATCCGAAGGAGCGAACACTCCCTGCACAAGAGCGTATGCAAGGCTATTCTGATGAGCTGATGGGTCTGACGATGGGAAGAGAAGGGGTAAATGCGTGTGGAGGAAGTGCGACAACGTGTGGGTCGAGCCTATAGCGCATGAATGTGAGTCAATTGAACCGGCACATTCCGATACGACGGCGAAGCAATCGGAAGCACAATCGTGGAGATGAAGCACTGACCGTCTTCCAGCATAGGCAGCACAAGATCTTGGAGAACGGGTCCTTCTGGAAGGTATATCCGTACGGGCACGCTACGGACATTGTATGCGCCGTCACGATCGGGACCACCATTGGAACCTGGATCTGCAGACGGTGGTCGGGTGTGCAGCGACGCGGAGGAGGGCGGTGGAGGTGGTGAGTACGACCGCATGGGGGTCGTGGTAGGGGTTACCTTAGACGCCACGCGCCAGTACTCGTCAAAATTGTCTGGTGCATGGTAACACTGGTTTGGACGTGGAGACATCCCGTGAAGGTACAAACTCACGTTCTTTAATGCCCTCCCACAAACCATCCTGCTCGGCCTTTCTGAGGCCAGTCATTCTCTTCGTGTTCCCCCATCGGAAGAAGTCTGCCTCTTTCATTTGTCCCATAAATGCCTGCTTGCACGCGTCCGCGCTTGGAGACAGCAATAGCTTGTCTGTTGGCGGAGATGCGAGATGCAGGACGAGACGCAGTGGCACCGCTTGTGGAGGCGCGGCGGACGGGCGGACGGAGGACGCGATCGTGTGGTTGTCGTAAATGAGGCCTATAGGCCAATGCCTGGGCAACAGTCAACACATACGGCGGCGTTCCGTGGATACTGACGCGCGCGTACTCACCACTTGAGCAGACTTCCGTCCTCGCTCTCAAACCACCAATCCTCCTCTTTGATCAGGCGTGCGGCGGCCTCGTCAAAGACGACGTCTGTAAGGAAACGTTTGATCTCCGGAACAAGGAGGGGCAGATAGCTGACGCGAGGAGCCTGGATGAAGTAGCATTCGAGTCCGCGGTCGCTGTTGGCTGGTAGCTCCTTGGGATCAACGCGGACCTCGAGGGGAACGGTTCCCTCCCATGTGAGACGGCGAAAGAGGGTGGTGGATGCGGGGGTGGAGAAGGCGGAAGGGGAATGGCGCGGAGCGTACGTCGACATCGTCGCGGACGTCGAGCACACCGCCAGACGCGGAGACCACGCGGTGGCTGAGCCAGCGTCTATATTTCCAAAATTAGCTTGCCGTGGAGCGGAGATCAAATCTTGTGACTGCGGCCCAGTTCCAGTCACGAGGTCGCGACTTGACGTCACACACGCGCCTGGTTTATTGGGCGCTTCCGAGGCCCATAAAGGCCTGCTCCGACCGCAGGTCATTTCTCCGCATTTCTCTTTGGCTCCTCCAGTCAGCCTGAATCCTCCTCATCCTCGTCCAATATGCCCGCGACTTCGTCTTGGAAAGATGACATCTTCCTCAAGGTGAGCCGCCGCTGTCGTAAGTCTCGCGCTGGGTACTTACTGCGCACTGTGGCTAGATCGTCAACATAATTGTCTACTTCCTGTTCCTGGGCTCGAATATCTACACCGTTGCAGGCCCAAGCTCCATTTACTATACCGGGAAGGAAACATACATTACCCCTGCTCCTTGGGCTTTCTTGATTTGGTGCGCACGTTGTCCACTTCCCTGCAAAGGGAAAGGGGTGTTTACACTCGCCGCTTTTACAGGACCCTAATTCATCTTTTGCTGCTCGGAACGATCATCTACCAATTCTTCGGCGATGGCAAGCAAGTTATTGTAGACGGCATCTCGTGGCGCCTGCCGCTCCTGGCTGTGCTTAATGCCATCTACGTGAACTTGTGGGCCTCGCAACACTACCTTACTGGTAAGTCTGTTGCCCGCTCGACTGGACCCGCTTGTTTGATGTGTGTTTGGTAGCGTTCTTCTTCGCTCTGTTCGTTAGCTCTGCTACCACGGTCGGCATCAGAACATGATAACATATTGATCGTTTTCATCTGACCTTTTCTGTTCAGCACATCTACTACATCGTGAAGAAATTCCATGAGCCTCAGAATGTGTGGGACGAGCTCTTTGTCCATCTGCCCTTCTCTTTGTACCATGGCTGGACGACTGTACTAGTCGTCCTCACGGCGTTCGAAGCCTTTGGTGTGGACGCCGGGACCACCCGTGCGGGTGTTTGGACAGAGGTCCTTGTGTTCCTTGCCCTGTATGTCGCGTTGTTATCCTTCGCTTTCCACATTTGCTGATGCAACATGACGAAGGTTCTTCCTCGAGGGTACCGCTGCGACGTACGCGTTCTCCTCCCCCGAGGGTGATCTCCCGGCTAGCATTGCGATCGCCTGGTCGCTCTGGGCCATCTTTGCTCACCAGCACCGCCCCGCGTTCATCCGCTGGAGCGCGCTCGCGTTCGCCATCCTCGCGCTCGTGTGGGTTGCTAAGGCCTTCGTCGGTATCATTGTGAAGCTCCGCCGCGGCAGCGGAGGCATCTCCCTTGACGAGGAGAGAGCCCCCTTGGTCGGCAATTAGGCACTTGCCTTGAGACTATCGTCTGGTGGTGTCTCCTGCAAAAGTACCCATCCTAGGAGCCAAGGTTAACACGGTTTTCATGCTCACGGTCATTAGTCTGCGTCACGTCCAGGGATGACGGATTTACGTAGCCATTGAAGTAATTCCGCATATCTCGTGTTGTACTGTACAGTACGATTGCAATGAAACAAGTTATATTCGTTGCCATATCATTTACAAGTCAGATTCCTACCGATTGTTTTGAAGGAGTGGTTGCTGCGAACGCAATTTTCCGACAGATCCAAAGCGCATGAATCACCTGCAGGTTGCAATCCACAGCTGCAGTTAGCCTTCGAACATGCCCCGTGTAAACTTATAACACGGCTTACGTGCACCTTTCTTTGCAGTTTACGCACCTTCTACGCCATTTGGGGTGTGTTACATAGAGTATATTACGGGTCACCGCTCCACCCTGGTGACCACGGTGGTGACCCCCCGTACTACAAGTTGGACAAAATGGGCAAAACGGGCAGATGGGCGCTTATGATACTCTCACCAGTACATATAGTAGCTTGGATTCCAGGTCAGGATCATTTTAGATGTCCATCATCTCAGTCGCATTGCAGTGCTCCACATCCCACCATGATGCCGGAGATGTCACCGGGTTGCCAGGTTCTAGTAAATAAGACCCAGTGATGCACCGGGGTGTGCGGTGCACACTCGGCGTCGACGCTGGCTGTCGTACGCCCCCTCTTGTATTGAGGCCGCACGGTGAGCATAGAAGGCCCCTTGGAGAAGGTTCGTCACGCTGATACCGTGTTTTACTGCTTGGAGGAGTATTTAGTGAAGGAGCTATTGAGATCGTGCACGTGTGGTTCACCCTAGTCACAGGTATGTCCTTATTTCTTCTGCTGCGTTGACCTCTACCGTGCAAGAATATCGAACGCAGTACTGGATTGGATTGTGTGTTATGGAATAATAGACGTCCGACCGGCCTTTGCAGTGCATTCTCACGTCGTGAGGTACCGCGAGTGCATGTGCAGACCTTGAGGCGCGAACCAAGAACTATCGCATCTCACGCTTATCCCTCCTGCGGAGGTCGCATAGCTAACAGACGCGTCCTCTGCCGAATGACCATCGTGCATGCTGCGAGGACGCTCCTTCTCGGCCTGCGCCGCGTTCCAGTGACCGCCAGTTGATATCCGTGGCACAGCCTGATCACCTCTTCCCAGAGTCGACGGGCTGGTTCCGTCTGTCTTCCCCATGGATCTAGTGGCTCTGTGGGACGCGAATGCTACAAGGTACTTGAGTGGTATGTCAGAGTGTTTCTAACATTGATACTCTAAATGACGGCTCTTCAGCTATCGGTCTTGTTATCCTTGCCTACGACCATGTTTTAACGTTTGCTGACGAGGTGCGCCTCGTGTGGTACGTACCGCCTTCATTCGCAAAGTGCGCCTTTCTCTTCAACCGGTACCTTGTCCTGTGCACGCTTCTTGCGGCTGCGTTTGGTGAGTTTCAGACCTATGTGACTCTTCTTCAGAGTTGACCGAACGCACAGAAATGTGTGGTTTCGTGGGCAATGTTTCTTCTGACGAAGTGAGTCGTTCACTCGTCAGCCATAAATTTGGCGGACTCATCATATGACTGCAGGGGCAAGTCGACGGCGGGTCTCCCTGCCATTGCGCCTTCTAATGTCAGCGCAGGTGCAGAGCATTTGTATTTACGTGTTCGATGGTCGCGGTAATCTCTGTGGGAATTGCTAACCTACTGGTCCTGCTCCGCGTCGTCATACTCTGGGATCACCGACCGGTGCGCAGTACCCCCCTTGGCTTTAAGCTGTATCGCTGACGAACATCAAGATCGTTCTGAAAGTTATGAGCGCAGGCTTTGTTATCAGTTTCTGCGCGCAAACAATCACAATGGTCATCTCTCTTACTAAAATCATTTGTGAGTTCAACAGTGGAGCTTGAACGACATAACTGCCAACTGGGCTTTTTCGTTTTTATGAAACTTGTCAGCCAGCATTGCATGGTCGCCCGTCGCGAGAATGTGTATTACAGCTGAGACGACGCACCTGCTAATTGCTGTGTGGGGATCTCCTGTATATGTCTCGTCCTGCCGCAACATCTCATTTATCTGAATCGAGTTGCAGATGCTGTTTGAAGCATTCACTCTCGTGTCTACGTCACTCAATGCACTCGATCGTCCAAGAGCTGCGGAGCTCCCAATTACCAAGGCGTTGACGAGCGACGGGATCGGCTACTTCTTGGTGAGCAACACAAGACAGCGTTTATGCCCGCAGACGGCGCTGACAGTAGTGAAGGCGTTGACGTGCCTGCGTACTGTGAATGTTATCCTCGCCGCGATCGCTCGTCCTTCGTTCACTTTATTAGGAGTGTTGTGAGTTACTTTTTTATGTCAGAGCGCTACGGCCTTTTTTTAATAATACTTATGTATCACAGCCTTGTCTGGGGAATGACCACCATAGTACTGAATCGGTCTCTGTTGCACCTACGACGTGCGGAACTGGAACAGTCCAGCGATTCTGTGATGTGTACGTCCTTTCCGTTCACGTTGGGTAGGATCTACTTGGGGAAGGCCTCTGCTGCGATTCCAGAAGAGACTTGGGAGACGGGTGGTCAGTGGGTTCCTGGAGCGCACTTTCACCAGTATCATTACAGGAAGCGGAGTGATACAGGTAACATCAACCCTCTCCTCTGTCGGTTTGCGCTCATGTTGGCCTCGACAGATGCGAGAGGATGGCTGCCACGGGAGACGATCTACCCCGGCGAATAGGTGGTATGTTTCTAGCAGCGGTAAGCAGTAATATCCGTATTGTCGATCGTGTCACATACAGTGTGGCGTTATGGTGCCCCTCCGGACGGTCACCGAAGTGGGTTGGACATATGCTTGTCAGGGCGACTTTGATTCACTTGGTAGAAATTTCGCCGCCAAGCGGTTTCCAACACCTATATAAGGCATGTGAATCTCCATAAAAGGCGAGGTAGTTCGTGATGGCGACATCGTAACATGCTGTGGCTGATGGAGCTGAAACCGCCGTGCGCCGCATCACTGGCACAGCCGCCGTCGTGGATGCCTCGTAGGGGGGCTGAAAAGCTCTCATCGGCGTTAGAAGCAAGTGGTCTGTGACCTCTTCTTCATTCACCACCTTTGCGCTTTTTGTTTTCTTCTCCTCAGGGCTAGTCCCTTTTTTATAAAGCTACACTACTCAGCCTGAGCTGGTCTCTGTTCTAATATCTGATCTCAATTCCGAGGCGTTCATTCGTTGTCGGAATGAGCAAGCAAGTTCTGTTATCTCTATCAAGTGGCGAGAAGTATGTTGGCAAGGTCGTGTATACTGTGGGAGACTCGAATGGTGTGCTGGTGCGTTTCACAATGCGCAGTGAGGTCCGTATGCACACCCTTACTTAGTTGGATCCAGGCGCTGGTCGTGGTATCGACGTTCTCGTTGACGGCGGCGTCTGGGCTTCTGACTGCTCTGGCGGTGAGTCGTTCGCCGTCTGGACGTGCGAAAGTGCTCATGTGAGAGTAGGTGTCTGCGTTCAATACACGGAAGTCGGTGAACCCGCATTTGTTCGTACGAAGTCATGTTGCGGCATACTTCTCGTCCCTCCTAATCAGCGATGTCATACAAGGTATGTTCACTTCGTTAGCGTGCTATGTTGGGTGTTTTACATCCATGCAGCTTTTGGCTCTCTGATGAACGCGAGGTGGCATAATGAAATGGGTGTCACTTACGGTTCATTTTGTGTTGCTCAGGGTGGGTCTTTGTTTCCCCCAAAGTGTCATTAACTAAAGATGCGGATAACATTCAGGTGTGATAAAGCAACTCGCAGACTTGGGCACTTCAGTCTGGTGAGCTCTGTGACCTTCTTGCAGAATACTTTGGTTGACCGACAAGATCGTTTAGGTCATTTGTCAGTCCTCGATTCAGTGGCTCCCCTCAGTCAGACGCAACTGATATTCCAGTGCAGGTTATCGCATTACACACATTCTTGGTCGTTTTCATGCGCTGGAATCTGGGCAAGCGCTTTCTCCTTGGGTTCCTCATAGGCGGGTGGTCACTCATTCTATTCATCCTCATCCTTGGTCCCGCCTTGGAGACCAAAGCTCGTGGCCCTTTCTGTGCGTTGGCCGTGAATGACCCTTATTGTCTACGTTGACGGTATGACGCAGATGGCATTTCCGGATTGTGGTGCTGGATATCCGATGACTATCCATGGGAGCGTGTTCCGTAAGCCAAGCAGCACACCGCTATTCCTCATGTATGTTCATGTTTTGTCTGAATTCAGGTTGGACTACATGTTTGTGAGTGAAAAGAGAACACGATCACAGGCGTGAGACCATGCGTTGATGCATTGCAATAGTTGTTCATCTCGGCCTTCGGGAGCTTCATCCTGTATGGTCTTGTCTTTTTCAGTATGCGGGGCAACATCACCATGCAAGGTTGGCGCATGCGCGTACGCCTCCATCGGGATCAGTACACCAAGAAGGAAGTGGATGCTCAATGTGTCACTATCGCGAGACAGATGTTGTGGTGAGTGTATGTGAAGACTACTCCGATCCCGCATTGCTTACGCATCGTCGTAGGTATCCAGTATGTTTCGACGCTTTAACATACTCACATTCGACCATTGTCTGAAGCGACTATTATAGGTCGCATTCACTCTACTGGTCTTCCCGATAGCTACATGCCGCTTTGTGGAATGGAGTGGCCATGATGTAGCAGATGGGGTATCTTTCTTCAGGTGACTTTCATGTTTCATCAGAGTTGGACAATCTTGACCGAGACATGTTGCAGCGATGCCGTTTTCCTGATGTCTGGTGAGTATTTGTTGCACCCTTGCAGATTGTGCTCGTACTCATGTCACGAAGGCATGGTCAATGTCATTCTATTCTTGGCGACGCGTCGCGTCCTGCCAGAGGGGAGTGTCATTCCGAAGTCGTTCTCCCGGTGGCTCTCCAAATTCATCCCTAAGAAGCCGGACCCAGGTCCGAACGTGCGATTCGTCAATGTCCCGTCAAGTATCGACATTGAGAAAGCCAACGACCAAGGCCCCAACACCGGAGGATTGTATAGCGTCGACCTCAACGCCAAGACACCAGGGTACGATCGAGACTCGTACGGGTCTGAGATCACAATCCAGGTGCATTCCGACAATGGCGACCGCGTCCACGTCGGTCCCGAGCATCCGGAAGTCCAGGACCGCGTACACCTCGCTCCTACTCACTTCGAAGCAGAACACTATGACGTGGGACACTACGACGAAGATGCACGTGAGATCCATGGCGATCTCAGGTCTCCCCCTGGTTTGGACTACGATCCATACTACCAGTCGGCCGGTTTGGGTAGAGGCAGCGGGCCTGCGGTGGATCCTTACTACCACCAAGATAACTTACCAACCATAGCCGTTCACAGTCCACGGAGCGCGCCCATGGGGTTGAACCCTCGTAGTCCCGCCCGCAATGCGACCTTTCCGATGAGTGCGAGATTGCCACCTAGTCGCTCGTGGAGATAGTGTGCTTGTGATACCGAGTCCTTCCGTTCTTGTACACGTTCTTTCCTTTACGGTTCCAATGTATGGGTCTACACGATGCCTACCATAGAATGCTAGTACGAAATTTGCAGAACACATAGGCTCGTTAACCGGGTTCCAGTGGAAGATGTCGTTCCTCTGCAGAATCGCTAGCATCATACACTTACACCGCGTGCATGAGTACGTATGTCAGGAATGAAATGAAATGAAGTGAATACTCGACGTTTACACTTGGTTTACACGACGCCAAAAGGACTCGAATCTTCGCTGGGTTTCAACATGTGAGAGGACAACAGCCTCCAGGTGAGGGGGAGTTGTCGAGCTCCGAAGAGGATTCGTGAAATATAATTGGATGGAATGTGCAAAAAGTCCGGGAGACCCATGAGGAGAGTCCATGTCGCGGAACGCCTTCTGGGTCTTGCCTGCTGGTGCTCCGACATCTCCGTACCCGCTTCAGTCTGCCAAGTCCGCCTGTCCATTCTCGATGGAAGCAAAATCTTTTCCAGAGCTCGGAATATGCGATCCCCTTCTTACAGCCCTTGCTAAGCTGGAATACACCACTCCCACGCAGATACAGGCTGACTGCATTGGACCAGCTCTGGCTGGACGAGACATTATTGGATTAGCTCCAACAGGGTCAGGAAAGACTGTAGCTTTCGCCCTCCCCATACTGCAACGTCTATGGGATAATCCTCAGAGACTTTTTGCCTGCATTCTTTCGCCGACAAGGGAACTCGCCTACCAGATTTCTGCCCAATTCGAAGCACTGGGAGTGTCCATGGGAGTACAATCTGTCGTCATTGTGGGTGGGGAGGACCGTATGCAGCAGGCGGTGCGTTTGGCCAAGAAGCCGCACATCATCGTTGCTACACCAGGAAGGTTGCATGATCATCTCAAGGGACTAAGGGGTTTAACCTTCGGACGGTGAAACATCTCGTGCGCCTTAACACGTTAACTTGGTAGCATTATGCTTATTCGCTGTCTTCTCAGGTCCTTGACGAAGCCGACCGTCTTTTGAATCCAGACTTCCAATCTTCGATAGATGGAATTTTGAAGGTCATTCCCCGCGAGCGGACCACCTACCTTTTCTCTGCAACAATGACAGCTAATGTATCCAAGCTGCAACGCGCAAGTCTCACAAACCCCGTACGCGTCGAAGTGTCCTCGCACAAGTAAGATTGTCACTTCTGGTTTGAGTAAAGAGTAGCGCTGAATTTTTCTTTTTTATGACTTAGGTATACGACTGTGTCTACACTTCTGCAGTATTATATTCTATACCCTTTAGTTCAAAAGGAGGTTATGCTTGTGTATCTGGTCAACTCTCTAGCTCAGAATTCGATCATCATCTTTGTGCGAACGATCCAGAATACTCAAAGGTGAGTAACATTACCCGTTTGACTAGAGCATGACTTCACGGCACACATTCTCAGAATCACTCTCATTCTACGTTCACTTGGGTTTCGCGCGATTCCACTTCATGGTGAACTGTCCCAGAGTGAAAGATCAGGCGCATTCCATAAATTCAAGAGTGGCTCATGTAACATCTTGGTTGCCACAGACCTGGCGAGTCGGTTCGTCAGTTTCTTATAAATGAAATCATTTGTATTGAATTATCTTTGTAGTGGTCTGGACGTTCCCTCTGTCGATGTCGTCATCAACTTCGATTCGCCCACTCACTCCAAAGACTACATCCACCGCGTCGGACGGACCGCACGTGCTGGACGAGCCGGGAAATCGATATTGATGGTGTCGCAGTACGATGTGGAGATAATGCTGCGGCTGGAGGCAGCTATAGGTCGAAAGCTTGAGTTATACGCGACAGACGAGCAGGAAATAGCTCTACTCAGAGAGCGGGTCGAGGAGGCGGGGCGACATGTGGCTAATCAGCTTCGGGACGAAGCAAAAACCAAGGGAACAAGTCGGAAACGACGACAGACAGGGGACAAAGCAGACGACAAAGACCGGGAGGACATGGTAGAGGCAGGGATGTCTACGTCTTCCTTTAAAAAGAAGCGTCGGTCATGAGTTCCTTTTCGCTGGAGAGGATGATGCGTTGCGCTGGCATCGTCTATCCACAGGTTAACGGCGGAATTGGCACGGGAGCGCCGTCAATGTATTTCGCGGAGCAATCTCTGCGCGGAGTGGGCCTCGCTGTCTCTCGCGAAGCGACTTTGCGCGGCCGTGTGCTGCTCACTGCCATCAAACGCTTCTCGTGAAAGGCTCGCTGTTTCTCGCAAAGTGACACCCACAACTCCTATCATACTCGGGGATGATTGGCCATCGGAACTTCGTAGCTCACTTAGGCGGCCGACATTCAAAAAATAGCGGAGAATACGAGACGCTGTAGCTAGCTCTCCGCCACTTGAGCGCGTCATGTATTTTACATTAACGTTGTCGATGACCTCAATAGCGCTAGCAATGCCGTACCGACGTCGTACGTCCGACTCACTGACCGCGGCTGCGCTCTGCGCCCCGGATAGCCGCCATCCACCTAGGGTCGCGGTCGCGACCTCTCGTGCTCTCGACTTTCCGATAATTACTCCATCCGACTTTCCAGTTCTCCAGTACCAACAACACCCTTCCCTTCTTTCAATCCCAGGTCCGAGGCTCCGAACTCCATATCATTTGGCGAGGAAAATATACCGCTAGATGGGAAGGGCCTGTGAGGAACAGAATCAGCATGCTACCAACTCTTCCATGCTCGTGGATACTTCACTGGCATTGACATCGGCCAGTCCTGGCTTGAACCGGAGAACGCCAAATCACTGCGCATAGAGACCGCTGATAATAATTGATAAATGCATGGTAAAATCGACGTGGAGGAAGTACTCACGCGGAACAGTGGCTTCCGAGAACCCATTATGAGCCCGACTGCGTGACCCTTCTGCAACGGAAACATGAAATCAGTGCATATGTGCTAGATTACTACGACGAACCAAGAAGGGCCGTTTCACCGAGCACGTCGTCTACTCCCTCCGAGTAAGCGAGTCGAGCGCACATACTCACCTGCAGGGAACGGCATGTTGGTGTTGAAGGTGTCTTCTATCCACGACGGAAGTGAGCGAGTACCGGAATGCCAGTCCCAACGTACGCACCTGCGGCGGAGTTTGCTTGTTTCCTCTGGGCATCGAGAGCCTTCACGTGCTGGAGATGATCAAAGAATGACTTCACCACCCCAGGAGTCAAGTCGCGACCGGATGACACATAAAATCCACTTTTTATTAGTAGCAGCATTTGCTGTTCACGCGAGGTTCACTGTTTCTGGGTCTTCTGCTGATGCGTGGGTGCGCTTGCGAGCGGCGCCGCCGGAAGAGGGAGTCTTCGGAGCCTTGGCCTTGGTGGACTCTTCCTAAGATCCGCTGGTCCTGGGCATACTTGCAGCAGCGAGTGAGAAATAGAAGGTGGTGGATGTGGAGCAAGATGTGAGATGCAGACTCATGAATGCGACGCGTGTTCGGAGTATTACATCACGTGCACCGCGTCTGTACATCGACGCCGTGCTTCTACAGAACTACGTCGTTTTATGCATTGGAGATACAGAGTTTGTGTTATGTACAGGGAAACAGTCTTACGAATTTGGAATACAGGTCTTACGGATCGCGGAATCATATTTCTAATCTGTCGCCGTAACTACTTAGCTATAGCGCCTTGAAATACGCTACTTGGGCACATCATGTCAGTACTGTTGACGGTGGCTGACCAAGGTGAAATTTACATACAGTGCGTGGTTTGTCAACCCGTTGTGCGTTTCAATAAGGGGATGATGTCGGCAAAGTCGTGATGGAGGATATGTCCGCGCTCTTTCCGCACATATGCCAGATAAGTAGATGCTCCAACTACCACGCTCACGAAAGACGTCAAGGCGGCGATCTTGAACTGCGAAGGCCGAGATAGTATCATGGTGAGGAGATACTGGAGTAGAATGAGCGAGCTGTTGGGGAAGAGGCGAATTCTCTATACCTTGAGCATGTCTGCGATGTTTTGTAGAGAGTACTGGAGAGCAGTTCTGAAGGGTGAAATAATCGTCGCAGACATCAGGCTCGTGTGTCTGGCATGGAAGAAGAAGACGAACATTGCATTGCGCCGAGGATGGGTAGCCAGTGCGATTTGTAGTTCTTTGAGCTGGCACAGATCAAATGCCCAAAGGCCTATACGAGAAAGCATCATGCCTATTCAGGAATGTGTGAGACCTATTGTACGTCAATGCAATAAGGATCGCAGCACCAACCTCCAAATAGCAGTGCAGCATTCCATGCTGGAGCGCGATGACCTGGCGGTGGAGCTCCAACGTAGAACGAGATGAGAACGGGAACTAAACAAATCGCTTCTGACCTGCTTGTAATATCAAAAAAAAATCGAAAAGACATGGCTTCCATTTCGTACCATATACTCCAGTTGCCGGCTCGCACTAGGCCCAGTTTCCGTTCTAGCAATGGCATGGCTAATGTGCCTGCCAAACCGGCGGCGACGTTGAGCGCACGCATGCCAGCCACGAATGGGTCACTATATGTCTCAGCCTTGAGATAGCTCAGCATGGTACCGTCGAAACTGAGCACAGTGAAATAAAGGCAAGAAATCGCGACGGAAGACATGAATATTGGATGATGTGTGAACACCTTCCAATCAGACACGCTATCTCTGATATAAGTCATTACTTGAGTCTTCAGACTGCTGGACGCTGCGCTCGATTGAGCTGCATGTACTCCTGAAGCTTCTTTGGCAGCCTGTGCAGCCTGGAGCTGAGGAAAACGACGATAGACAATTGTTATCCCTAGTGACTGTGGTAAGCATATCGTGGTTCAGACTGGAAGGTAAATGTGCCAACATATCAATTCAAACACCATGCATAGCGCCTCGATACCACAGAGGAAATAGGCAGCAAAAGGATATGAAGCAGCCGTAGTAAGAAGAGAGACGAATAGCGGGGCAAGAAGTTTGCATAGCAAGTCGATTCGCCGCATATAAGTGTTAATGGTAGTCAGATGCTCGGAAGACCCGTCCGCAATGACTGTCACCCAATCCCTTTCGATTGCGACAGAGATAGCAACGCCAGCTAGATTGTGGATGCAACCACATATTATGATGATAGAGAACATGCCTCGAGCAAGGGATGAAGACCAGGGATGCTGGAGGTTGCGGCTGTGATACATCAAGACAAGTGCAGCGGCATAGGCACTGCATGCCATGACCTTGAGAGTCAAAGTGCATACCCGCACAAGTCTGAGGTTATGGCGTATATCGACCTGATGGCCAGCCCAGCCTGACAAGAGGATTGCAGTTCCCGTAGTGAGAAACCCGTATATCGAGGCAGGAAGCAATGAATCAGGGAAAAGTGTGATGAGGAAGAGGTATATCGCAAATTCTGCTGTACGAAGCCCCCACGAGCTGGGGGATCATGCGTAAGTTGGCTGTAAGACTGTAAGGAGATGACACACTTCGATAGGTGTTGCACAAGCAACAAGGCAAGCGCCTTTCTATCCAGTCTTCTCGTTGAATGTCCTATATTTTCGGCATCAACCGTCAAATTCTCAGGACTTGTAAGGGTCTCGCCGTCACTTGGGGATGAAACTGGAGGAGCGTCCAAGACGGTTGGCACAACTTGTACTTCTTTTATGCTTTGTCCCTCCATTCCACCCGAGAGTTTCGTTCCAGAGGCTGACACTGTACTGTTCACGAAGTGCTTTTTGGACCGGTCATGAAGAGGACGCAATGGATAGACACAGAAAGGCGTACGTGCGTGAGGCGTGCAAGAGCAAAAGTAGGAATCTTGAAGATCTTCAATATCAAATGAGGCCATCTGATCGATCGTGCATTGGATCTCCCTCTGGTGTCTACAGTTGCGGACAATCAAACACGGTAAATTTGATAGCGCCTGAACTAGATTTTTCTGAGACAAATGGACTTCAGATTCAGACTCAGGGAGGTTTAAAACCCCCAAAAATGCACTCAGATAGTTTTTCCCACGAGGTTTTTGGATGGCCAAATTTTTGGGCGATTTTTTCGACACTTATAGGCCACTTTGCGGTCGTAGTGAGTACTATTGGCCACCTGCTAGTCACCCGCAACCTCTGATTCATTCAAATGTTGCGAATCCACCCAAAATTCACCCAACCAGCTTCCGTAAGGGATCCTACTGCTACTTACGCATTTGTTCTCACGCCACACGTTTGAGGTGTTCTCACATGTTCGCGCAGATTTCAGCTGAAACTGCCTCTGGCACGAACCCGCTCATCATAGCTAGATTGGCAATGGTCAGAATGCTATCTAAGACAGTAACTTTAAATGACAAATTCCATATTCTAGGTATACTTTGTGCATTTTCTATAGCCATATTTTTGGATGTATATTTTTCATCTGTTTGTGGCATTATGCCCTACTCATTGAAAGGAGTCGATTGCATATTTTTTCGTAATTAATTATGGGGTTGGCCAAAATTTTGGGTCCAAAACAGGAAATAATAAGAATTAGTGAAATCGGCTCGTGCAAATTGAGTCTCTGAGTCATAAGCATCACATTTGTGCAGTTTCCGAAAGCTTCCGGCACTGTCCGGACTCTACATAATTGGACTAAAATAGTTACCGCGTTTGATTGTCCGCAACTGTACAATCCGCAGGTTTGTTGTGTTCTGAGCCACGGATACTCAGTGGCAGTCCAGATGGACACTATCATACACAGCTCTGCTCAGAAAGTCGTACAGTGATATCCAAGAGTGAAGTAAGTAAGTCTCCCGGTGCATCCATCACATCATTGACTAGTGCCCGAACATGTTCCTCTATGCAATTCACGTTCAATCGCCCACTTAACAGCTTCCTCAACATCGTCGACTTCGTGCGTAGGGGGATGACTTGGCGGTCCCCGATGAGGGTCGTACACCCCTGTATGCACCAAAATGGAGGACCATCCAGCAGCATTCGCTCCAGCGATGTCTGTGAAGGGAGTGAAGTACATAATATAGAGCGAGAGAAACTGCAAGTACCTGAATCAGGATTATCTGCGGAAAGATTGCATTGTATCAGCCGTACAGCCGTACGGGTGAAGTGAGCACAAATGTTTACTCACCTCCCACCATATATCTATGCCAGTTCACACTTGTCAGCAAGGTCTCTGCAATGGGTGAACGTTCAAGGTACTGACACATGCTGCGGATCTATATGCCTGCCATGTAGTGCTTTGTAGTGCCGCTGCAACAATCGCGTCGCATATTCATATGTCGCCTTCGTTGGCTTACCATATTGCACATATGGATATTCCGAGCCTGTCAGCGCCTATACAATGGAGCCAATTAGCCCGACGTAGTCACCATACTCATGAGTCTGCTCACCTTGAACACGGCCTGGAATGCCACCCGGAATGCGCCCTCGCCAAGCCGTGGCTGACTGTAACCTGCCTTCCAGAGTAAATCCGGGTTACAAAAGACCAGCTTGACCGGAGGGTGCTCCAGATCAAGCGTGACTTTAGGAGGGCCCCCCGGAATGCCACCGGAGAGAATGATATCGCAAATAATTTGTATGTCAAGCGCCCAGTTACGGGGGTCGTGGAAAACGAAGATAGCGGATATGGGCGTTTGAGTAAAGTCTACGTCCTAGAAAGCGGCCGTCAATAATTATAGTTCTTTCAGTACAGGTGATTAAGGACGTACTTTCACGGATTTTCGCTCCGACTGCGTCAATTCATGGTAAGGCCAGATACTGTGATAAGCCAAAGTTGGCATGGAATTCGTCTGGTATTCGGCGACACTTACGCGGGATTCCATGCATGCACGTCGAGTGTGGTGTATACCTCCTTGAAGCCGTACCTGAAAATAAAATGATCGGAGTCAATGCGCAACCTCGACTAGTATACTCACCCTTCCGCTACGCGGCGGATGTCGTCGTCTTTTCCGCCTAGGACTAATACAGGATGGTCGGCGTAGAGGTCAACAACGGATTTCAGAACGGTATGTGACTGGACAAATTGGCTCGGGAGAATCTAAAAGGCACTGGCATCGACAAGATGCACTGAATGCACTGAACTGTCAGGAGACAGACCTACCTGGTAACCAAGCTGCTTCGATAGCTTCTGACAACGAGCTTCCTCGCTAGCGCCACCACCATTGGTAACCTGATGGAAATATGCATGAGCTGATCCATGTGGAGGTCAGGATGAGAAGTATCTGACCAAGATGTACGGTATCTTCCTTGCATTAAATCTGTCAATGAACCACACGCGTAGAAGCTACTGACAGACGCGCGACGCACATGCCTGTGGGATTATTGCCTTCGAGGATTGAAAGGGCACGCTTTGCCGCATCTATGGTCTGAGAGCCGCGGAGGAGAACGCCATCCTGCATCCAAGGAGATGGTCACTGGCATATCCTCACTATGGCGTGCAACGAAACATACGATGTCAAATGCGAAGGCCGCAAACGTCCGCGTTAACGGATGCACAGTACCTACTTGAGATCAGGCTGGAGAAAACATCTCGAAAGGACGATTCTCCCCGGAGTCTTACTCACGCCGAGTGAAATTAAGAGCTAACAAACGTCCACAGGTTCGTCTGCAGATTGATGGACGTAGAAACACATGCATATGAACGTGGTTCATGTCGTCCGAGAGGATGCCGAGAAATAACCCCGCCTGTGATTACAACAGGCCAGTAACAACCCAGTCACTCCTGACGGTAGACGTAGGGTGAAAGAAAGCGCGAGCTCGAGCAGTGTGTTGGTAGTTTGTCAAGTACTGGCCACTCGGAGGTAGTGACCGTGACGACATATTTCGACCACTCCAGCGGTCACGCATAACACGCCCGTCATCGCGATGGAATTTGGTCCGTGTCACATTGTCACAGCCGCCCGACGGTGGCGCCTTCTTAGCGTCCAGCCTTATTTTCCCGCACCTGCGGCGCCGCAACGTCCGTGTGCCACACTCTCGCCGCGGCGCCTGACTGAAACTTTTCGTCACACGTCACACCCCACGCCGGAGTAAGTCGAATTTGGAAGCCCGGGCTGACATCACAACTTCTCATTCGACAATGTTGCTAATTTCAGGCCCTCGCTCAGCACTCATTTTTCGAGAAGCACCACGACTGCGGGTGGTTTACCGCAAAACGTCTGTGCGGAATCCACTGAAGGGTTCTAGTATTAAATGACCATACTGATCCGAGAGGTTCAGGCACTGAACACTCGAATATCAGCCCACCATGACAGCATTGGTGGCAGGAAATATTTTAAGGTATACGTCAAGCAACTATGTACATGTACTTGAAACATAAAGGAAACTCTGGTCCAATAGGTTCCACATCGGATGGAAATAGCTCATCGCATGTCATGAACCGATTTTCCCATATACGTCGAGATTTATGAGGGAAATGGGCGGGGACGACCCGGACGAGTACTCTAGTAAAGCGCAGTTTGTCGGAGAGACTGTCTGCGATGCTATTGTCACCCAGACTCATCTCGTTGCCACATGTGATATCTATATCTATCCACAACTGGGATGCGTTAAACGCGCATGAATAACCGACTGCAGCGGATGGACCCGCTGAACCCCTTCAGTTTGGAACGCACGGCAGAATCGAGCATCTAACGTCAATAGCACGGCGAAATCGAGTAAGCACCTCCCGAATCAGAGGAATTCACGATCTTTCCATGATTCTACTGCAGCATCGTGGGTACGAGGCGATGAAAGGCATTAAAAGCTGACACCGGTATCGCATCGCTTTGGGTCAATCACCCGCGAGGGCAGTAGAAACGCTCGGAGCGGCTGATGACTGTCATACATATGGTGAGCTAGTACATACTTGGGTAGAATGAATGTCTGTGAGCTCCCAAAGCACGCCAGACAGATATCTCGAGCATTTCAACCAAACGACATGGCAGATCGTAGGGGTCGACACCGGATGAGCGGATCCAGAAATGTCAAAAGGACTGGGAATGCCGAGAGAATAAAAAGAGCAGCTTGCATCAGGATCAAGTCAAAGCCGACTCGTGGTCAGCGGTGAGGAGAGGAAGCGCCCGCCCGAGCCTCTGTGAGCACGGAAGCTTACGTCACCCGACAGCCGCCCATTTCAAGCACACCTCTCTGAGTCTCCCTGACAGTGACAGTCCTTTTGTCCTTCGCTGTGGCGACCACCCGTCCGCCATCGGGCGTACCCAAGCTCAGGCCACTTGGTGGGCTTTGTATCTGCGAGCTTTTGCTCTTCTAGTCCTGGTCCGCTCTGCCTCAGGGTCACTTACGCCGAAATATCGACCCGGTGTATCTATTTCCGACCGCGTCTCCTCCGCTTTGACGCTTCTGTGCCCCCTTCAGCCGGAGCTTCCACCTGCCGGTATATTTATCTCATCCTTTACACCTACCTGTAGCCCCGCTCTGTTCTCTGAACAATCATGCCTGGGGTATCGAGGACTCAAAGGGCGGAAGCAAAGTATAACGTGGTGACAGAGTGTGCGTACACATCCCTCCTTCTCTGCTATCTTGTACGTTAACTGTTCAGTAGTCCCCCATCTTGGACTGCACTCTGCAGCAGCGACCGGTAACGTTGGCTTGGTGAAGTATGCTCTCGACCACGGACAGCCCATTAATTCTGTTCTCGACGGCGTCCTTCCTCTGCATGCAGCATGTTCTGGTGGCAACGATATCGTGGTCAGGTTGCTCATCGAGAAAGGGGCTGATGTGAACGCACCGAGGTAAGCGACAGAAGCAAGACGTTATGAATAATGTGTTTACAACGCTCTCGCAGGTTACCCCGACGGTTCTCTAGTGACAGGAACGGTGACGCATCTGCTCCTATTGTCGGTGGCTCCGGTTCAACGCCCTTGCACTTCGCGTGCGCGAACGGACACACCAACATCGTCCTCACCTTGCTCCTCCATGGCGCACACCCAGATCGTCCGGACAAGCATGGTGTTACCCCTGAAATGGTTGCCCGTCAGAATGGGTGGGTCACTTGTGGAGACCTGCTCAAGCAGTGGTCGCAGGACAAGGACAGGGATTTGAGGGAGAGGGAGGTCAACAGTGTGGGCAACGAGGAGCCCGAGGATCGTCATCATTTTTGCGCTGCTAGCGATTGCCAGACGTGCGGCATGTCAGCGCGGTTGCGCGTAAAGCGTTCCATCGACAATGCGCTGACCATCTTGAGGCCGTCGTTGTCCCAAGCTCCCTCGGTTTCTCCTGCACAGGAGGGCTCAGAGCCCGGCGAATCGCCATTGCCAAAGGCTGATACACTTATTAATCAGCCGAAGTCTGGCGCACAAGAAGGATACCCTCCTCGTCGTCCGTCCCTTCCCCATGTGTTCGACTCGCTGCACGGTCCCCAGAGCTTGCACACTCATTCTCAGAGTTCTCTCACGCATCCATTTCGCACAAGTGGAGGCACCAGCACTGGGCGACCCAAATCAGCAGGAACGGATGCCGAACAATCTCCTAGCTCCTCGCACAAACTGAAGGGCAAGATCTCACTACTCAGTATTTTCAAGAAGAGCATCAGTGACAGCCCCGGAACACCGGAGAGTTTTTCGGGATACAGCTCTTCTAATTCGGCTATGACCTCGCAGTCTGCATCTCCTGCACCCGATCAACGTAGAGAGTTCACTGCAAGGTCATCTTCCCACAGCCGAGTGTCTGCATCTCCAGACAAACCTTCCGCTGATGTTGGTCCAGTAGGCAAGTTCCGAAATCGGTTGTGTAGCGAGAGCCAGTCAAACGATCCAGCGCGACTCGGGCGCGCCGTGGCGCTCCACCATGCGCTGTCGAATGACCATATGAGGTCGCGATCAAGCTCGGGCGCGGGTATTAACGATAGCGGGGATATAGGAACGAGTCTCCCGTCATTTCCGAGAGGTCCTCCAGTTCGTCCTGGGATTTTACTACCGCACCATCGCTCGTCATCCTCTGGCCAGTCTCAGGCGGACAGCTATCGTGCGAGTCCCAACAGCCAGCCATCATTGCGTGCCCTCAGGTTTGATTCCAGCTCTACCACAGCTTCTAATCATTCTCGGGGGAACAGTCGTCGTCGGCATGCCAGCCGCAGTCCTGCTGGAGGAATAAGAAGAAGTGATAGCATTGGCTCGGTTCTAAGCGACGGCGTGTCCAGCAATCTTGACAGGGGCGGCTATACCCTTGCACCTTTCCTTACTGCTGAGCCTGAGGATGTGCGTGGCGAAGACATGGAGAAAGAAGACGAGGAACAGTATGGCGAACCTATACGCTCTAAGGGTTTGGATCGCAATCCTCGCTTGACCGAGCTGCGCCTGCAGGAGCCATTGGTCCTTTCTTTGGATTCGCTGTCGCCTCTACCCTCTCCCGACATGCCTAAGTCCGGCTTTGAGTGCCCTTTCAGCATCAATTCTCCGCCTCCTGTTGATTCAGATCCAACCCCTCATCCGGACGCTTCGGGAATACATGGAACTGAGCAGAGGCTGCGCGGCGATTCTGTGAGCAGCACGAGCACTTCTGGAAGTGTTAACCCACCTACTAGCTCAAGTGGTTACGTGACGACACCCTCCTTGTCCATATCTCCACTTCCAGGACCGCGGATATTGTCACCCCCTTCCATCGCATCAGAGACCATCGCGTCTATAAACGTACCCACCGATGTATTGGATAAGGATGGCGATGAAGTCGCAGAGCCACTAACTGAAGATGTGGAGACGCCGTTTACCTCCCGAGGTCCACGGGCACCACTGGATATCGATATTCGCTCGATATCATCGCACGCACAAGCGGAAGCGCTGGTGCAACGTGCCCAGAAGAGCATTTTGGAGATGGATGACCTTGTCAGTGACCTGCAATCACTAGGAGGTATCGTAGGGTCCGGGCGGTCGCCACTGAGTGCAAAGCTGGCTGCATATGGTGAGACTCTGGCAATCGAGAGGAAGTTCAAGAAGGAAGAGCAGGAGAAGCTGAGGACGCCTTCGACTATCCCGTCTACCTCCCTTAGTCTGGATCGCGGTTTCGAGACAATGCAAGGAAATCATCTTGATGGAGCTTCCAGCAGTTCTACTTCAAAAGGATTGGATCGAAAATATAGCTTGGAGGAGAGATCTGACCGCAGTCGCTCGGTTAGGTCCAGGAGAGTGAAGAGGCCTCACACCAGTGGTGGGACCCGTAAGTTTGATTCTTTGATGGACCATCAAGAGGTGTTGACAGTTTCTCGTTCACAGCATCGTCGGAGATATTGTTTTCTTCTCCCATCAATGGCACTTCTACTTCCGCACATCGTCAGTCCACTTCCCCTCAGATCACTCTCACGACAAGTCCATCGGAAAGCAGTCTACTTTCCGGTGATCGTACGGCGTCCATTACGCCACCGAAGACAATGCATCTGCATGCGAAGTCAGAATCGCGTGCCAGATCACGTCCAAGGATGGTTCGGTCACGTACCCCTGATCCAGGCTACGAAAGTGTTCACCCCACCACGTCCTATCCTGTGGAAACCATTCCACTGTCTCGAGTCTCGACTGCTCCTGAGCACGATTTCATGCCTAGCATGAGTACCCAGGAACGCCAGGTTGCGCGCGCGAACAAGCTTGTAAAAATGGGCTTCTCGTCGCAGGACTGGCAGAACGCGACGAGCAGTTACTCGCGTACACAGACGGGCCACAAACATCGTTTCGGGGGCATCAGGACTTTTGTGCAAAACTTAAAGTCAAAGTCATAAGACCCCTCGATAGGATGCCTCTCGGTCATGTTTATCACCACTTTCTCTCGCGTCCACTGTTATCGCTCATCATTATTGCATCTCGCTCTTGCTGTCAGTCTTGAAGATGTACGATGAGTTGTTGGCATTGTATATTATCCATCTTGGTTCCATCGTTTTCTGTTTAGCTACGGGATATGCATTCTTCACCGGTACGGTTGTTGTACGATGTTATTATTGTACGCAGTATCTTGTGCAATGTACTTGTTGTAACATTCGTGCGGCCTTCAAGTTCTTGGAACACGCGTATCGTGAATGGTTTAGGTGTCCTGCATCTCCGTCGGCGGGAAGAGAAAGACGAGCTCGAGGGCTTGGCTCAGTTAACGTTGGGTCGAGGTTATGCTACTAGTAGCAAGTACTGCCGCCATGTGCACATGTCACATACACGTAGGCGCCCGATATCCGTCACGATTCCGGCGGCAGAGTCAATCGGGGTAAACTTGAAAGCGGCAGCTCAGGGCAGTTCTGAACTTCGCATACATCAACGTTGGACCGCGGTTTATCTACGGTCCAGTATACTTTGTCCAGCTGCTTACATGTCATATAGCAACGATACCACAACGCCGACTACGGAGGATCACAGCCTGAGCCGTCTGGCTGGTTCGTCCTCAAACCTAGATACTCAGCGGAGCGAATGCCATATGTCGCTACTCCAAGAGCCGGAGGCCCGCAAGGGAAGTGCTCATTCTTCAAAGATGCGTCTACACAAAGGCAACATACCTTCGATGCCCCAGTCAAAACTCTGTCCAATGTGTCCTGCCAAGTTTACACGCACGACTCATCTGAACCGTCATTTGCGGACTCGTGAGTGATTTAGTACTGTGTCTTTATGCATGGTTCGATCCACTGTTTTACGTAGACTCCGATGAACGGCTATACCAATGCGATGTATGAATTCGTCCCTGTGTGCCTTCTCTCTTCTAATAATGTCTTGATCACCAGACTTGTCATTCTCAATTCACTCGGAGTGACCTCCTCACGAGGCATAAGCGCACCTGCGGCGATCCGTGCGTTAATCTCTTCATATACACTAATTTTGATCTAACGAGCCTGTCTTCCGCGAACAAATTTGTGCAAAATCAATTTATGTCTTAGAGAGACAACGATCCGCTCACGACGGAGGTCCTGTCAAGCCTGTGCGGAATCGAAGGTCAAATGTGATCTGCAGCAGCCCTGTTCCAAATGCAAGTCACGAAGTCGCGAATGCATATATGTAGCTGGAACGCGGAGAACAGATTATCCTCCGCGACAACACGAAGCCGTTCCTGCAAAGGAGGGATCTCCTGCAACATCTGCCTCCGAACCTTCGTCGTCGAATTCTTGTTCGGGCCTACCTACACCGCGCTGTCAGTCAGACCATGGGAGCCTGCGGACCGATTTTTCGACACCTTCTCCAATGGCGCAGGACTGGCCAGAACTCAGAATACATACAGCAGAACCACCCTCTAATATTGTCAACTTCTCAATTGATAAGAGTTCGACGTTTTCTAAGATCGACGGGATACCAAGTGGAACCCAGAGCCATATGAGCAATTTGCTCTCTAATGAAATTTTCGACGGGTTACTTGGTGGCATCTTCACTCCTAACCAGCAACAATCCCCTGCACACGTCGATTTTGTTGCAGATGTCGTGGACGCGAAGGAGGCTTGCCGATGGCCCCACTTTTTTGATCATGGATCTGGTCCCAGCCTGCTTTCTGCTGAGCCGGAGGACTTCGATTCATCTTTGAAATCGCTGTCTATGCAGGATCCGCTTTGTCCTCGAGAACCTTCTGGTGTTCCGGTATCTGACACCACCGTGGGTGCGTGTGATGGACCTTCATCCACGGAACTTCAACACTACCGTACGTATTTCGTTCCCTATCTTAGTATTGTAGGTTATCTAACAGGCCGTGACTTTGTTACTTTACTGTGGTCCGATCACTGCTGTTGTAAAATGCAGTGAGTCTTTTTTTCACAGCCTTTCTCAAAAAAATGCCTATTGTACATGCTGCGACTTTTCACGTCGAGGACAAACCTCCTATTCTACTGGCTGCTATGCGCGCGTGTGGTGCACTGTATGTGCGAACGCGGGTTGCTATTAATTTCGTCGATGCCACTCTTTCTTCCGTTAGAGATGAGCTTGTGTCTGAGTTTGTGAGTGACATGTTTACAATTATTAGTTAATGGGTCTGCAACTGTGTCTTCTTTCAGACGAAAGATCCAACCGATTCGGAGTATCAAACGCATCTGGCTCTGGCCGTAGCTTTCTTGCAGACAATCGGTCTATTCCATCAGCTATCAGAACAGCGGGTCTATTCCACTGTCTATCACGGAATGCTGATCATGGTCAGTTTTTCCCAAAGATTGGAGTCAGTTGTCAGCTTATCCATATTTCATAGCTGATTCGTATGAGTGGTTTTGTGCACAGGTGTGCACGGTGGGTACCTCCAGATATGGGCCATCTGACGTCTATTGACGTCCCTTGGCGGGAGTGGGTGATGCATGAAACTGCGAAGCGGTAGGTGCTTGCTGTATGCACGGACTTTCTCAGACTGATAAATAATTGCGACTTAGAGCGCTCCTCCTTTGCTATGTACACGATTGCGTCCACTGCCTCTACTACAGCCTGCACCCCACATTCCCGTCCTTGGAGTTTGACCTAGGGCTGCCATGCGAAGATGCATTGTGGACAGCACGCACGGCAGATGAGTGGTTGTCGATTCTCCGGAAGCCGTCTTTGTACGGGTCTACCACGGATCGGCTCTGCGGTTTCTCCCTCCAAGCTGCTTTCATGAAGTTAGCCGACAGTAGCCCAACGCTCTCTCCACCCCCAATGCTGAATCCGTTCGCCCACTGGATCCTTATTCACTCGATATTGCGAAAATTATTCGAAGATTTTCTTGAACCGCTGCAAGAGGCTGGCGTAGCCGATTGTACGTCACATGGTTCACACGTTCCCCCCACTAGCGACCAGAAGGTCTTCGCCACTCAGTTGATGTTACACCACTGGCTGCAGAGCTGGCTACACTCGCCCGATACCCCAAAGAATAGCGAAGTCGAGGACTCACCATTCGTCTTCCAAGGCCTCCCATTCTATTGGATGGGCCAGGTAGCGATCCTAGCATATCAGGAGCGGCTGCCGCCGTTCGGACCCGGGACCACGTCTCTCATCTCGGGGGATGCGAAGTTCCTCCTGATGAAGAAGTGGGAGCGTCATATCCGGAGGTTCTTGCGGAAGGGCGAGCAGGAGCCCACTCTACTCATGTACGAGCTCATGAACATTCGCATCAATAGCTGGCAGGCGGAGACGGTCGGAGGGGACACAGGGCAAGATGAGGCTGAGACGGTGCATCTGCTGGGGTTCTTTCCCGAGACGTGAGATGATCGTCTCCTTCTACAGAGCATGCACATTGTGCGACCTGTCATCGTCTCCATGTGAGCGGGTCTCAATTACGGCGATGACGAATATTTGAAAATCCCCAGCTGCATTTGTACATGTCTTCGACTTCTCTCGTCCGCTAGCCTTGGAATGTGACATTTGGTTGGCGCAGCAGAGTTCAACGTGCTCGTGCAGTTTCAAAGTGGCTGTCGTGACTTTCCCTTTTCATTGGCGCCGGTACAATCAACGGAAGAGCTATGCGGAACATGATTTCTTGGACGCGGACCGCGTACTCGATTCACTCGAGCGGTAAGGGTGGTAACATAGAGCACAGGCTTGCGAAGTTTAGTGTCGTGTGTCGGATTCTTCCGCTCGCGCTAATCACATATCGGTGTCCCCAGTTGGAAGATGCCCAAGACGAGCAATGAAAGACAATGAAAGGTGTCGTCATCACCTATATCTGCTCAGCAAAAAGTAAACTTGCGATTTTTCTGAAGGGTTCGCTGGAAGGAGATGGAAAGACGACTTTCCCCGCAGGTCATGCTGTTGATCGACGTTTTCAGTCGGAACGGAATCAGTAACCTGACAGTTAGCTGCGAACCCGATCAAACTGCCATAGACATGTACGTACGCACTTAGCTCAACCGCTGGAGGCTTGCCATCTTTGCGAGGACGAGTGATAATTTATGAGCACGCAACGTCATGCCGGTTTCGAGATCCTATATATGATGGGCCATCTACGATGCCCAATGCTAAAGAGGTACAAGGATCCACTGACAACAAAACTAGAAGCCGAAGCGAACATATGGGGGGTGCAGATGAGAATGGCCGCCTGCGGGATCTGTCAGAGATGCCAGCGGCGAGCAGTGGCCGCCACTTGAGAAGTTTGCGTTCCGGACGGGTCGGAGACTGGTATTTCATCTCCGCGATCTCAGGTGACCTGGTAATTAACCTTCCGATACTACTTTTTGATCTCCGAAAATCATCGAGGCTCACGTTCAGGCACAGCAAGATCCTGTTATAAGTTGCGGAGGCGATAAGTGCATGTTGTCCCCCTTTTCACAAACGCGTTTCCAGTTCGCTTTTGTGTCTCGCGTGACGATATGGGTGTACCGCGGACACGATCTCTGCGAGATGTGGTCTTGATCCTCCTCGGCGCGACCTCTATGCACATTACATCCGTTTTCTTCGGTTCTTTCTCTGACCATTTCCCTGGCTCTGTAATCGTCAGCACGGAGGTCAGTTCACACATTGTCTCCAGTGCCGATGACTCTGCTCGCCTCCCTGACGATGACCACGAGCGGAGGGGGAGAATAGGTCTGTTCGGGACTCCGCAAGTGGATGTCGCATACGACTTTCCCGAAACCACCATCTCATCGCACGCCCCTGGCTGGACCCTTTTCCACAATCTATACATGTCTAATGGGACGCTCTACATTGTATCTTCGCAGCCCTCTTCTGCGTTCCCTGACATCCGCTTGATGACCTCGACCGGCTTGCCAGCCGAGAACACTCCCGAAAACATTGCCGCACGCATTCCTACCGCAGAAAACATGGATTTTCTGACACCCGCTGAAGCTCGCTCGCGCTGGGGCGGTGACTCAGATCGCTGGGAGCGCAACCGAGTCTGGTCCGTGGAGGGGAACACATTCCTGTACAACGATCCCCAGCAATTCCTCGATCACTACTATCACTTTTGCGCCGAGCTCTTATTTGGAGCATGGGCGTTTTGGTCTGGCGCCTGGAACGCCGTAGTTGAGCCTTCTGCCTCACATCTGACAACGGCGCCTCCCGTACACCGTATGATCTTTGCGAACGCTGGCGCCGATGGCTGGCGAGATGCCCCAGGATTCAATGCCTATTTCCTCCGCGCTGCTTTCCCCTCCCTCACAGTCGAAGTACAAGAGGACTGGGAAGATCGGATACGGGCTACTTCGGCTTGGGGCACGCATGCCCGCGCGTGGCACTTCGACACGGTGCTTTTCGCGGACCGGTCCGCCGCATTCCGGGGTGATATCTGCGGACTGCAAACACAGCGGACAGCGTCGGAGGCGTACGAGCACATGCGACAGGTTGGGAACCTCACAAAGTGGTGGTGGGAGCCCGTCCGACGCGCAATTCTGCGGTTCGCAGGAATCGATGCATGGGTGGTGGACACTGGTGTGCGCGTGGAGGAGACAGCTCTTGCACATGTGCAGGCGAAACAGCATGACCACGACGCAGGCGGAGATCTCACTGGTCCTAACAGCAAGCAGGTTGGACAGGACGTGGTGGTGACGTATATCAGCAGGCAGGGCACGCGTAGACACCTGATAGAGAGTCACCACGAGGCACTTGTAAAAGCGTTGAAGGAGACGTGTGCTTCGCACGGTTGGGAGCTCAGTGTTGTCCAAGCCGAAAGGCTGAGCAAGGAAGACCAGCTAGAAGCCGTCGCACGTTCCACGGCAAGTGCTCGCCTCTAGTCCAAGCCTCCTCATTCCTCAAGTTGTACCATTTCATAGATCCTCCTCGGCGTGCACGGAAATGGTCTTACTGTAAGACAGACGCCCATTACTGACACTTTGCTATACTGATTTCATTTTCGCAGCATCTCATCATGATGCCCGTCACGCCGATCTCGACTGTCATCGAGATCTTCTACCCCGAGGGCTTTGCCCACGACTATGAGTGGACAACGCGCGCCATGGGCATGAAGCACTTCGCCGTCTGGAACGACACGTACGTGCGCTGTCAACTCTGTTTTAACAACTAAAACAAATTGTCACTGCTCTTCAGGTACCGAACCTATCCCGACACCCCCCTTCCAAGTTACCCTGAAGGGTTCCAAGGCACGCAGATACCCGTTTACGCTCCAACTGTTGTCAAGATCATCGAGGATCGCGTTGCAGGCCGACTACCGTAATACGTGCTGTACACTGTATCTGTATCTCTGCTCGGTGCCTGTCGCGGACTGCGGTTAGTTTCCTTCGTGACACAACCTAGTGTAAATAGGGACATTTTACATACCAGCCGCTTTTCAGTAGACACATCCTATACCGTCTCCTTTGACATTAGTATTTTGTAGCATGGTCGTTGTAAGTGGGACTCTTGGTTTGTCGAATGTATTTGCCGTGCGCAATATCACCTGAGGTAATGCAGGCGATAAGTTCTGCTGTAATCTGTTGCCTCCATGCCGCATGCGCAAGCAGTACAGTAATTGAGTAACCAAATGCTGAGAAAACGTGTAGCCTCCACGCATGGAGAAGTTGCGAGTGGAGTCTGACTCCCACTCTGACACGTTCAAAACTACTCGATCTCATTGGCAACAGTGAGAGCGCCATCCAAAGTTGGATGAGTCTCTGACGTCCATTCTGACGGTCCATCGGATGAACGTAGAATACAGTGAATCACGAACACATAAAAGCTGACCATGATACAGGCTGTTCGCCCACGACTTTCACGAATTGCCTACTATTGTGCATACCATTGAAAAGTAAAATACCACACTCACCACCATGGCACGCCATTCACTTCAGTCTTTCATCGGCAGATTTCGCTGACATGCACGGACCCAATCGTAGGTTCTGTGATCGGAGGCCTCTTTGCCGCATTCTTCGAGAGACTAGCGACCGTATTCGAGTTCATCTTCGGCGGTCTTGCCTGGGCACATCGCGATTACACAGTAGCATGATTTTCACCTCCGTCGAGACCAGCTTATTGGCAGCATCCTCTGCTGCGATTTGTGCCTGTCTTCTAGGGGCGTAGTAACGACAGGCGCAGGAGTAGGGCCTGGGACAACAAGGACGAGAACAGGGGGAAGAGGTTTCGGCTTCGGCCGCAGGAGAGCTGTAGCGGGGCTTGGGCAGTGGGAGGAACGGGCGTGGGGGTAAGCCCTGGTATGCGTATCACCACTGGTGCCGGATTGGGAGGTGGTAGCCTTAGGACCGGAAGGGCTTGGTACCCACGGCGCACTGAGAGCTAGAGGAGGCCTAACGGGCGGCGGTCTCGGTGCTGGTTGTGTCGGCCCACGTGTGACGGGAAGGGTGACGGTGGTTTGAGCAAGGGTGGAAACCTTGGATACCCTCTGACAGTCGATGAGCCCCGACTGACGATACCCGGGCCATTGGGTGCCTTAGAAGCATCAACATAAATAGGACATCTGTATTCATGTAGACAATGAGGATTGCAGAGCTGGGATGAATGTACGCTTCAATTTCGCAATATCCACCCACTTCTACCATGTCGAACGTAGTAAGTGTCAGCCTGTGAACCAGAAGGATAGTGATTAATGTCACGGGGAATACGCACCACCGTGGGTAGTTCATTACAACTGCTGACTTGGGCATGTTGAGTCGACTTCACACTGCATGCAATTTCCAATAAGTTGGCGAGAGTATGCAAATGTTATTTGAAAGATAGAGTGAATAAGTTTAGTGTAAGTGGCATGGCTCACAAGGGACTTATCTGAAAGTTATTTGAAACCTATCCTGAAGTAGAAATAACTTCATAATAAGTTTTCCATTTCTAGGATAACTTTCAGATAAGTCTCTCCTAAGCGGTGCAACTTACACTAAATTTATTCACTCTATCTTTCAAATAACTTTTGCATAGTCTTCCCAAGTTATTAGAAATTGCATCCAGTGTCAGATGTACGTTCTAACAGTCGACTCCAGATGTGCGTTCTAACTATCGACAGCAGTAAATACTTACTGTAGGTCAGAAACAACGAACTGTCCGTCCTGCAGAGCACATCAGTGAGCGCGTCTTCTTATTTTTTGCCTGGATAGATTTAGGTATTTCCCTCGCATCCAACTTGGTCCTAGTCAGTAAGGCGTTCCATGACTGTCAGACGAAGGCGGGTTTCATAATCTCTGAAGTCGAGACTTCAGTTACAGCGGAGTACTAGTCAGCAGTCAACGGAGAGTTGAGAGGTAGAAATTCTCGTGGGGGGCTTCATCGTGGGACCATGACTTGGATAACGAATAAGTACAGACCAGTTTATGAGAACGTTGCAGAAAGTGTCACCGTGACTGTCCCGCCTCGGAAATCAATGGGTTACTTACAGTCACCGTAAACATCGATTCAAGCACTGCATCAGGCCGGTGGCTAACCATGGGCGAACGTGTTCACCTGTGATCTCGCTCGACGCTAACGCGCCACCCATGAAGTCATTTTGCGGCATTCGATTCTATTCTACTCGTAGTGTAAGTCAGAAACACTATACGTACAGAGGAACTTATCTCAGCTATCTGCATATCATCTTCAAAGCTCGGAGCTGGTAAGCAACAGCTCAAGGACAATAAGTACGGCCATTTTTGAAAAGACGTCAGCCTTATGCGGTGCACGGACCAAGATTCCGACAGTCATGAGAATTGACATCTACCGCGATGCAGAAGGGCCTTGTATGCCTTGAGGGGCAATCACGTCAGTATGGATGATTCAGTGGAAGTACCTCTGAACCTTACCCAACGAATCCCTTTAGGGTCCGAGGACCGGCCTGGGACACTCCGACCGGATTCAGAGCTGCTGGGCGCTCTGTTATCTGCAGTGTTTGATAAGGACATGCTTCGAAGCGGTCTCTCCACAGAAGGATTGTCCAGTTTTGCACAGACCAGTCTTCCGCATAGAGGATAAGTGGCAGTTCGATAGATAGAGGAGTGTAGCGCATGCGTCTTAGCAAGAGAGCTGGCTCATAAAGCGATGCGGCACATCAGAAAGTAATAATATTGACCGCAGAGAGAATAGCAAGCTGTATCTAATGAAAGTCCTTTCATGCCGAAGTAGTAACGGGTCCAATTTTTTGCGTCGTCCTTTCAGAGGGGGTAGAACCTGCCGGTCCAAAGTACTTGCCAACTGGATCTTCGTGGGTTCGTCCGTAACTATTGTGCAGAGAAAGTTTGACGTGAGAATGATGAGTTCATGTGAAGAATACAGACACATACTGCCAGATGCGAGCCAACTGACCAAGACCTGTCGTGCCTACGAAGAAGTTGACCTGCGAAAGATACAATAAATGGGGATTACATAATATGTAACGACTATACTAACCGCAGCCAAGCTATAGTTGACGGGCGTAATGACCATCGAGTATCGAACCCAGATGAATCCAGTGGCAGTCAAAGCTAAAATAACGCGACGAAGAGTAAACCCACGTGTAAGAGCGCGGTGTGCTCGAGCAAATAACACGCACCGAGGTTCTGCGATACACTGAGCTTTTCGGCTGGCCGCGAAAGATCCTTCAATCCGGCAGCAACCAAACACCACTTCATAACAGGTGCCCAGAAAAAGACCGTCTTCGGGCCTGCAGAAGATCACACCCGAAAGGAAACGTGGCTTCGGTCAAATGGCAGATCAGATATAAGGTCGAGGCGCACCTGCGGGGTGGTTCATAAACGCCTGAAACTTGGATGCTCCAGCTGAGGCTGCTGCACCGGACATGATGGAAGAGAGAATGTGTGTAGTAGTCGAAGGGGGGGGGGCGAAGAGTCGCGGCGCAGGAGTACTTGTCTGTAAGCAATCTGGGGTGAGAGCTACAGCCGGTCCGAAATAGGCAACTGTGTCACGTGCTGTCCACACCGCAGGGGCGCGCTTGACGGACCAACGTCTGCAGTGCGCTGCATCTCAACCTCTCTTCACTCACAGAACAGGATGGTGGTCGTTCCTCCACTGGATGCGCCTCTACCGCACCTTTTTGACCCCATCCTTGACTACCTATCATCCTCACTTCCCCCGCCTGTCTACAACACGCTTGTCACAGTGGCATCGCAATCTGTTGCGCTCGTCACTTCGTTATTCACACTTACCATGGCTCTGTTCCCATCCTCGTCATCTACATGGGATGCGCAAACCATACTGCCCCCTCTCATCACGTTATTGGCGGCATATCTCGCTCTCGTCAGCTTTTACAGGACGACGTGGTGGATGATCCGCACGGGGTTCTGGTTCATCAAGTGGGGCACGATCCTCGCTGTATTGACCGCAGGCGCAGGCTGGGTCATGAGCAACGCTAACGCCAACGGAGGGAGCGGCGTAGGTGTCCCTTTTGCAGGAGGTTTCATCCCTGTTATCGGCGGGTTTCTCCTGGATATGCTCAACGGCCAGGGTCAAAATGCAGCGGGCGGCGCAAGGTCCAACCCGAGACCAAAAACCCAGTCTCAAAGTACTCGTTCCCGCTCTCGTCCACAGAACCAGCCGAAGTCACCACGACCAAAGGCCTGGGAGTCATGGGATCGTCACCGCGAGTGGCAGTACAACGAGAACGAGGGGACCGACGCAGGGTCAGAAGGAGAGGTGAAGAAGGTCATTGGCGATATCATCGGAGCTGCGGGGCGAGTGCTGAGTGACGGGAGGTGGTGGGAGGCGGCGAAGGGAGCTGTGGACGAATTCGCCCAGGTGCTCGGTGAGAGTGGCGGAACAGATGATGGACGAGGGGAGGAGTATAAGAAACAATCTACGAGGACAAACACGAAGGCCAAGGCTGGTTCGAGGTGATACGGGTCGGTGGATGGGTTACCAGGGTGTTGTACGATATTTCCATTCTGCATTTTGTATTTATTCAAGTATCTGAATCAAGGGGACAGATGATTGAACATTTATGCAACGACTGCTATGAAAACCGTCCCGTCTTCGTCAGCGCAGGCAGCTTGGAATAAGCCATGCGAGTCAGGCAGACACACCAAAACGTGGGTACGTACCTTTATCCTGCAACTGATGCCAGATAACCATTGGCACTCGCAATACCTCTGTGGGCCCTACTGGCAAGTCCGAAAATTTGAACCACCGGAAGGATCAGAAGAGCTCACCGAAAACGTCCATATATGCTCAGCCAGGTTTACGATAAGTTCATAGAGTGGCTATGCGCACCTCCTGCGGGATACGCGAAAAATGTCGGTTTTTTTGGTGAGAGCTTATGTCTTGATGATCCGTTGTGGCTTATTATGTGGCTAAGAGGCGGTGAGTGACAGAACCGCACGCATGGTCGATGCTGTGACAGGCGGTACCAAACCTGTGTGACAACAACGTCGAATAAAAACTGGGGTTCCGATTTATAACTCGGTGACCGGCTGATCGGAGTTTGGACGTCATTCGGGACCAATCAGGGACAGCCGCCTTGTTTTGCCGAAGGACGCCGATAAATTCCCTCTCAAGGGAAGCCGACTTCTGAAATTCTCGGGAGCATAAACATGCGCAAATATGGAGAATATATGTACCTGCTCCCATCTCCCGAAACCACTTCCCCACCTTGCCACCGGCTTTCTGCCTTCTCACCACAACGCCCCCCTCCTCCGTACCCTATAGCGCCCAACCCCCCTCTCTCCTTAATGGCTCTCAAGAGGAAGTTGGAACTCGAGGCTGTCGATGCTCCGATTGTCAGTGCCCATACGCGTTGTCGCGTCACGCGCGCTGACCCCTCTCCTCCACAGAGTGTGAAGCAGCCCAGACTCATTCCCTTCCCCAACACTGAAATGGACACAGACGTTGTTATGTCCGACGGCTCCATCTCTGACCTCGAACCCCTCTATCTCCCTGTTCACAGTCGTCTCCCGTCGAACGCAAGCTGCTCATCGTTGTCAAGCGCGTCTGACTCCCCGCAGGATTCGCGTGAGTATTACTGTCATAAGTTCTCTGCCTCCACCTTAAAGGCTTACCTGTTGTAGCCATCTATCCTGCCTTCGATCTGTACCCTCACGACGCGTACAGCTACATGGACGCGAACTTCCATGTCCATTCGCCATCTAACGTGATGCAGAAATCCGTCGGCCTCCTTCAGCCAAAAAATGCCGCGTTGACGCATCATGGGTAAGTTTGATTCCATCGCAGAGTCAGCGTCTAAGTGCACGGTGCTCTCTTCAATTCTTGTCGGTATGAATGTTAGCTGATCGCTACTTCGTTGTAAATGTGCATGCATGCAACGTAGGCAAAACTGTTCGCAAATTCCCAAACTTCGTATTGCCTGTTCGCCTGGACTTAACGGACAAAGGACCATGTGGGCATTCTGCGAGCAATGCGGCGCTATCGAGATGGTCGACACCGATTAAGCAGCTCGGAGAAAGAGGTCCCTCTTTCCGTAATCTTATCAACTCATTTCACCAACGCAACTATTCGCTTTCGTGCTTGACCCCTCGGCTTCTCACCCTTCCATTCTCTCGACTCATCCTCGACTTCGAGAACACATCTGCAAGTTCCAAGTCCACCTATCAAGGTCGTGGATGAATTGTACCGTTGTGCTCTGTTGCTTTCAATTGCCCCCTTCCTCGCTCTATCTGGCGACACGTTCGGCGACTGCCGACCTCCACACGTCACCTTCTGCATGTGCTTTTTCGCCTATGTATTGACGACCTTGACGCCGCCATATCGACGCGCCGATTACGACTTCAGCATCGACATACTGCGGACCTCCGACAACCTCTAATTCAACAGAACGTCTGGTCCCCATTCCTATCCCATCCGCCGACCCTCACATTCGCTCTGTCGTCTTTGCTTTTCCTGTCGTGACGTCCTACTGCATCCACCGCTGTACGGTAGTCGTGTTGTCGCATCATTCATGGACTGCATAACTCCTCCGCCAGAAAAACAACGGTCGCACATAGATAGGTCCTCTGCTCCTGTTCTTCCCTGTATTTTATGTGATCGATTGTTCCCGTGGGTTGCGTTATTGCAAGCATTTGTTGTGGTAAATCGCCAGCACTCTACTTGGTAGCAGGAGCTAGTGTGTCCTGACAAATCGTGAGGCGTGTATGGTCTGCTTCCACTCTAAGCGCCGTGACGCGGTTGTGACTCGACATACCCGATATGGTATTGGACATTGTGGTAAGGGCGACTTATCAGCCAAATAACTACTGGCTAGTCTTTGGCACTAGTACTGTTTGGTCGTTATTCACTTTGCATTGTTGCCGACGATATTTCTCTCCTACGAGAAACCTACGAGGGCAAAATAATAAAAGTGATTCCTGGGAATATTTGCAAATGTCTTCCTTAACAATCCAGTGAGCACATTTATGAAGGACCAATGAGCACTTTCGCCCGCCATTTTGGTGTAAGCGTGACATTAGACACCCGACGCGAGTGGTTGGAGGTGGTTGGGTATGAGGGAGGCCTATCTTAGCTTTCAGCCGCCTAGTGTCGCCAACCGATGCGCCGTCCATGTAGCTTACGACAGCGCACTGACAGCTCCGAGTTCTGTTTGATGAGGAGCTACTAATCGCTAGGTTACGAGGAACGTATGACAGTTGCTGCCCGTACTGTAGTACTACAGAACCCAGATGGATTGACATCTCGATTTTGTCCTGTCAGACTGAGCTCGGCAATTGTAAAACAAATTTCCTGCCTCTTACAACTGATCGCTGCTGCCAGTGCCGCCAGCATCTAGTTCTCATTAATGCCCTACGCTGAACAATAAGGAGAGCGGATGCATCGCGAGCGTTGAGGTATGTACGCGATCGAGCAGATATCGCGGATTCTATACCACGTGGCGTCGAATTACATGCGGATGCTTTCTCGCCCACAAACTTTGTTCAATCTGCAGTCCTCCCCCGGACTGCACCGTCCATCTAATCCCAAGCTTCTTGTATACCTTTCTCTTTGCTTTGTTCAAGGTCTTTCATCCGCGCGATATATCCCTTGTCTACACTCGTTTCAAGTATAATTACCTCTACCTCCAGTGCAAACGATACCCTCCGATCGCCCACAAAGATATCCATGTCTGCCAGTATAATTCCTGACCAGTCTGTCCCACCCACTCCCGTCACCCCGAATGGAACACAGAACCCATCAGAGGCTCAGCTGCCGAGCAACACTGACAATGGGGCCACAAACCCCAATCCAGAACTCAATAGCGATATGCCGCCACCTCCGGAAGTCCACCTCAACGGTATGCCTGCGTCGACCTCTCACACAGCAAATGGCGGTGCTAGCGTTGGGTGGGGCTCCAATTTCTGGGTTACACTGGTCGATCCACAGGTGCGTGGCCCTTCGTATCATGGGTGGCTCTCGTCACGGAGCTTGCGCGTGCAGACTCAGGTATCATTCTTTGCGTGTCCAGCTACTGGTGAAGTGAGCTGGGACCCTCCTGTCGGTAATTTCTTGTAAGTTGCGATAGTCTTTCCGTTGTCTGTATTAAGCGAGGCTCTTCAGGCTGCCTCCAAATCCTGAGGGTGAGTGGTGGGAGATGATAGATGAGACAAGCGGGCTGCCGTATTATTATCAAACTAAAACCGGAGAAACCGTGTGGGAGCGTCCGCAGGCCTTCGTTATACCTTTGACCACACTCCAGGTGAGAAGAATATAGTATCAGTAGATATATTCACTCACAACACACAGAATACTGCCCTCGGGCGTCGTCTCTCCATCCGGCAGTCTACCTACTTAGCAGCCAACAGCTCGCCAAGCACTCCGTCAACTACACCTGAACGCTTGCCATACCGGCGTTCACATTCGTACACAAACGATAAGGATTTGTCCAGACAAAGCCAGAGTCCACGGCGGCGGTCCCAGTCCTCCACGCGCCGCAGCCCTCCGGGTACGCCAACGCAGCTTTCCAGTCCAGGCTCCTTGAAAAAGCAACAGGCGGTCAGACGGACCTCCAGCAACGAGTCTCACCTTCCGAGTCCTAACGCGAGCGGCGGCCCACTTGCATATCCACGTGGACATTCCCTAGCGCCGATCCCAGGCTCTCCCTACGCGACCGATGTGTCGCCGCCACCTTCACCGTCGTCTCGCAGGTCGAAACCGTCCACTCCCGTGCGCGAGCGGGCGCCGTACCGCCAGGACCGAAGATCCAAAAGAGACGGGGAGAAGGACAGCCCGCCGCGTATGATGACCGCTGCCGCTGCCGACTCGCTGGGTGGCTCACGATCCAAATCGTCGTCGTACCTCTCGTACCACGCCCCGCAACCCCAGAGTCTCAGTGCCGCGCTCGAGATGATTACGCTCTCTAACTCCAACTCGCAGTCTTCCAATTACTCAGAGATCCAGCCCCTGCACGCCTATTCAGACAGTGGTCATATCGAGCCCTCATCATCATCGTCTTCGCACACGGATCGTCCTCACGTTAGGATCAGCACCGATCCAGGCGTGAATGGCTCATTGCGTCCTGGACATATTCGTGGACACGATTCCCCCCCGGCGACGCCATTGCGTATGAAGGGGAAGAGCAGGGAGAAGGGGAGTGTCCCACCATCACCTCGGAGGCCAGTTCCATCAATCCCTCAATCGAGCGCCAAAGGTACGAAGACCGTTTCAGGTGCTGTGCAGCTGCGAGGAAAGGACATCAGCGGTCCCGTGGTCAATCGTGGTCAGGACGCTCATCGTCTTTCTACTCTCCTTGGCTCATTGATTTCGGACTGTTGATTACACAGAAGCCGCGATGAACCTTAGCCCCATGCCGGATCCCACCACTGGGCAGCCTATACCCGTTGAGTGTAATCCTAAGCTGACGAGGCCATCGACATCGTCTCTAAACACAGGGTACGTTCAGTGGACGCTAGTTTTAGCGAATAGCTTGATCTAATCTGTGACGTAGCAAGTATCCGATATTGCCGTTCGATTTGGCGTCAGATATCCAGCAATTCTCCGAGTCTCAATTCGCCAGACAGTACTTCTCAACGCACCGCACCGGCTTCATCTTCAGACGGAAAGTTCCCGTCGAGCAAATGATGTCATGGCAGAAGGTTTCCTCCAATTTCTTCCTTCATTTTTCGATGCCTTACCATCCCCTCTCAGACTCCCCTCAGTTCCCCTCTCTTATTACTCAATCGCGCATTGCACAAGAATGCTATCAAGATTTTCAAGGTCATCCAGCACATTATGGGGGATCGAGAGCGGGATCGGCCTCTCGGCGTGCGTGTAGCGTCTGACAACCTTGCCTCTTTAGTGAAACCTATCAATGGTTCAACAACCTCCTTGGTCGTTGGACCTTCATCGGCTTTACTTGAGGAAGAGCGTTGGCTCCTCGGCGAGGGTCTATTGCATGGCGAGTTACGTGACGAGATATACTGCCAGGTGATGAAGCAGCTGAACGGGAATTCTAATACGTGCGTGGTCTCTATCTCTTTTTGAGCCATTTTTAAGACATATCTATAGTGAGAGCGTGTTCAAGGGATGGCAACTTCTATGTGTCCTTCTAGTGACTTTCCCGCCTTCCAAAAACTTCGAGACGTCTCTTCGCTCGTACATGCAGCAGGCAACCACCCAGCAAGAGGGGCGTGTGGATGTTATGGCGAAATACTGTATTCGACGACTGGCTCATATTTCCAGCAAAGGGCCGCGGGGTAAACCGCCGAGTGTAGCGGAGATTGAGACCGCTTCTGTGAGTATATCTCTGGCATAGCATGCTCCTTACCCGCTAACGCTAGGCCTGCGTCAACAGGATGCAGCATTTCATCCATCCATCTTTGGCGAATCTCTGGATGCCATCTTCAGGTTGCAAGAGCGAAACTACCCGCACATGCAAGTCCCTATCATTCTCCCTTTCCTCGCGGACGGTATCTTGGCGCTGGGTGGTACCAAGTCCGAAGGAATCTTCCGTATTCCCGGAGACGGTGACGCTGTCTCTGAGCTGAAGCTGCGGATCGAGAAAGGGTACTATAGCCTTGAGGATGTCGATGACCCACATGTCCTTGCTTCGCTGCTGAAGCTGTGGCTTCGCGAGCTGTGTGACCCGCTCATTCCCGACGAGTTGTACAATGACTGCATCACGCACTCCAAGGAGCCGGACACGTGTGTACAGATTGTGCATCGCCTCCCAACGATCAATAGGCGTGTTATCCTGTTCGTTGTTAGCTTCTTGCAGCTATTCCTCGAAGAGAAAGTCCACACAGTGACGAAGATGACTGCGCCCAATCTGGCGCTAGTCATGGCGCCCAACCTCCTGCGATGCAACTCCGATTCGATGGCTGTGGTTTTCACTAACGCTCAGTGAGTGGCTAATCTACCAGTCCCGAGCCGATATTGACTGCTTTGCAACAGGTATGAGCAGACCTTTGTGTACAATCTCCTCTTGCATCTGAAATGCCACGAGGTTGACCCGGAATATGCTCCCACTCACGGCCAAGGCGCCATACCCGCTGCTTCCCCCATACCTCGTACATCAAAATCTCGTCGCAGGACAAACCGCTGACCTACTCATACCCAATTCGCCTTCTGTAACGTATCATCAGTCATCTTGTCACACGTTCCTTGTAGCATTTCTGAATTTTGCGATAGTTGGGGTGTGGATTCATCATATATCATCATCTCATGGACGTATTGCTAATCACTTCTAAGCAATAGATACCTAACATAATCTCTTGTATACTGAACTGACGGTTCAAATATTTTGAGGAAGTGCTTCCACATGCCCAACTTCAGCATTATTTGTGCTACGACCCAACTGCCTCACCTGAACCAATCATTCCTCTATGGCAGCCTCCACGAATAACCTAGAACCCGTAAGTACTGGGTTGAGGACTCCGGCGTCCTGAAGAGCCGCGAACAAGTTGAACAACATCAAATCCTATGAAGATCGTCAGCAAATGTCATAGGAGTGCATGAAAATGGGAACGGTACTCGCGCAATTTTTGGCACTGATAAAGCTCAGCGTTACAGGAAGGTATTCTGTCTGGCCTGTGATCGTTGAGTTGTACGGGGCCTCGCCAACTGCAAAGAATATCATAATTCGGGGACCGGTGGAAGATCGATGTGGGAAGAAATCTCACTTGGGACAACCATATCCGGTGTTTCTGCTAACACAGCGATGCGGCCAGATGAGAAGCCAAACGGCGTACTGGGCGGCCTATGGGAACGTTAGGGAATCCTCGTCGCCACCAAACTGTGATTTCCAACTCACCCAGAGTATGCGTTGCGGTAGTTGGTAGCTCCAGAGCTTTGGGGGTAGAGAAATACGCTATCGGAACATGTGTCCGAATTCCCACCTTTCACCACCTCATTCGTGAACCAGCTCATGAAGACGGTCTTGTTCACAACCGCCTCGTCGTGGGCCTCAGCGGGCAGCGACCAGCCATACTCCCATCGTGTCAAGGGTGCTGGATCAATAAAGGGTTTACGGCCGCCATTGGCAGCAGCGTAATCAGCCAAGAATGGATCAGCCAGCAGTGAGGTCTGATCACTCGCAATGAGGATTGGATAGGTGGTGTTCAGCATTTCACGAAGTGATGCAGAAATGTTCGATGGCTTAGTTTCGGTCCACAGGGCTGTAAGGTTCATCTCGGTGCGCTGAGTGCCTAAAAACTTCTCGAGCTTGCCGATGAAGGTGTTGAACGTTGCCGCGGTGGTACCCGCTGCAGGGGGTTGACTGAGATAGCTACCACCGAAAGCGTCAACCGGAAAAAGGATAGTCTGAGGATACTGGGAGTACTGAGGACACAGGTATCAGCCAGTTGGCGACGAACTTTCTACGTTGACTTACAGAGGTAAAGTTCTCATACCACCAATGTCCCACCGCCGCCCATGACTTCGCATCACGGGAGAAGATTCCGAGCGTGTCTAGTTCTGGTGAGAGCGGCATCACATCGTCCGTAGACACTGCACCGTGCGACGGTCGGTTTCCATACAGGCCGTTTGCACCCGCAGGCCCTCTCATTGAGCCTCCGGTATCGCTCCCGATGGCGAAGTCAAGCCAAGGATACGCAGCCATACTGGTGCCTGGCCCAGTGGACGAGCTGCTGCCATCTTGATAGCCGTCGCCCCGAGGATTGTATGGTGCATGGAGATCGACCCAATCGTCCGTTGCCACCTCGCCGTTGGCGAATTGCGATGTCTTTGCCTTTCCAACAAGGACTATACCGGCGTCGAGGAGTCGCTGCAACGCAGGAGCTGTCCGATTCTTCGGTGGGTAGAGGTTGAAGTAGGCACGATTTCCGCAACCGGTGCGTAGACCTTGAACATCGTAGATATCTTTCACCGCCAGACGGAAACCTGCAAATGGCTTTTCGGCTGTCGGTGAAAAGTAGAGACGAGATGGGACAGCGATCGTTTCAGTCGCCGCGCCGGGAATTTTGGCAGGCAGAACCTGGAAACTACCATTCTTGTCAGGCACAGTGCCATACAAGAAGGACTGCTGCTCGTCGTTGTAGAGGCGGTACGCTAAATGTTCAGAGCGATTTTAACCAATAAGTATCAGTATTCACAGGTATATGCACCTTCGTATATATTTCCAGTTAACGGCTCCAGGAAATATGGGCCTGAAGGAAGAGGTTGAGATGGGTCAAGCCCACCAGCATATCTCGTGGAATAAAGTATGAAGTCAACCCCGTACTTCTCCTGGGCAGCAATCACTCCGGAAGAGATGGAAGGAGAAGAATGAGACCCATTGAAAGTGATATAAACCCCTTGTGTACATGAGAAGAATCGCGCGTCAGACAAGGGACAAGGCATGATATGCAGTTGGCGAACCAGTCAGAAATGGCATGCTCCAAACGTCATCTTGTGTCGCCCATCCAGACAAAGTCTCTGCGAAGGCATTCTCGTCGAAGTGGACCAATGAAGTGGGAAGAATCGAAAACGGAATAAGATTTCGTCCGAGCTTCTTTGTTATTCTCTCGGTCAGACCGTCTGCTTCAAACTTGGACACTGGAGATGGGGGGACAAAGTATGAGACGCCGCCGAGAATGAGAGTGCTGCCTGAGAGTGACAGGGGGACCTGAACAGCTGCTGCAACACTGAAGACCTGGTCTACCACGGTGAGATAGAAGACTGCGAAAACAGCAGCGATGTGACAGAGGAATTTCATGACCACCACAGATCGTGGAAGAGCTGATCAGTGGCAACATATGGTGGTGATACTTATAAATGAGGTCGACAGTCAGATAACGCAACGTTCCGGGTCAGCGAAGCGACTTCAGACGGAATTCCCTGGCACGCGTGTCCAAGGAAAGATTCCACGAGGCTTTTATCTATCATGCTAAGAGGAGCTCCCAGCGACCATACAAAGAGATGGTTTCGTTAGAATACTGACGGTTAACCAGATCCGGAAAACGGACACCAGTGGAGATGCGAGTAGGACGCCAGAGGACCTACTTAATGGTCAGAAATTACAGGATCACATACAAAAAAAGCACCTTATCGCGCGAGCATTAAGTGGCTGGCAGGAACGAGATAGTCAGGTGATCCGACAAAAGAGTGGCACATGACATGAACACAAGGTTTCGAAAGTCAGAAAGTACATATGAGCAGAACCTTGAGCCAACTGTACAACGCAAACATTCCTTGGCCTACAATATCGTCCTTCTGAATGGGAGTACGATTTTAGACACATACTGACGTATTCCACGCGACAATAGCCCTGGCGGCAATGATCAACTTACATGTTGGTACTGATACCCGGCCACAAATCCAAGTGGCAGACGTCCGTGGGCCTCTATTAGAGCTATGATATCTGCTGCTGTGGCAGTTGAGAAGCTGTGTAAAGATGCATCAGCCTCGCTGCTGCCAGTGACAAAGGGCCGAGATGCGAACGCAAAGTTACTTTGTTTCAAGACGAGAAGTATCATGGGGCTCCACAAAGGAATTTGTGAACGTGGACCATTGCTCCGCTTATAAATGCGCTGCATGGCTTAAACGCGGACTGTGCACCTCCCCATAAAAGCTCAGCATTGCTCAGGAACAACTCACCCTTCCGTCTTCCAGCCACATCTCAGCAAATCGCAAGTCCAACGATTCCAATGGGTTTCATCACCGTCATGGCTGTTAGCATTGGTCTCATTGCCCTGGCATGGTCACTACCATGTGAGTGACTGGGTTTTTCAGGAGTGCATAATGCATATCCTGATATTTTCTGCAGATTCACAGCTGGATCCCCAACTCGATGATGCCACAGTTGATAACCTGTCTGGTCTTCCCGAACGCCAGAGAATCGTAGAGCATCCGTTCATGCACCTTCCTCTTCATGGTCGGATCCCGGACTCGGCCCTGTTGTTCCTGAAGTGAACAAGACTTCCGTCGGCCGTGCATTGCGAGACCGTCTGGCAGAAATACTTGGCAGCGAAAGGTGATAGTCAGTTGTACCCTGGATACTATTATATTTATGCATTACGCACCTCCGAGATCAATGAAGTCTGAGAAAGGATACAACAAGATGCAGTCACATTTTCATTGGTGGACAACATGCATCTAATAGCCACTGTCGATCAAAAGAGAGACATGCTGCTCAGACTTTCAAGTGACGCAACACTGAGTACAGTCGGGGCGTCCATGGTGTCGTACGTTGACCCGCAACCAGATCTCGCCCTGCTGAGAAGTGGTACACAACGCTCACTGAAAGTCAGTCATAGTATAACTCCAGGCAAGAAAACATTCCGTTAGATTTGCGTTAGATTTACAACCAAAGCAGAGGGCCACTCGGCCCGGGGGGGCCGATCCAAGCCTGGCACGTGGAAGTTTGAACACATCGCGCCTGATATGGCAGGCAACTGTGTATGTTCACAAACCGGCTTAACATACTGTACCAATGTACACTGTTGTATCCTTTCTGCTCGAGTACCCCCTTCTCTGATATGCATGTCGCATGATGTCAAGAGCTTGACGTTTACCCCCAGTAATATACGTTCTTCCGAATATGGGAATCCTTTTGCTCCCTCCTACTCCTTGTACTCAATCTGTTAAGTCACCATGCAACTCCGCCTGCAAAGAACAACGACCCATAGGCTGAATGGCCCACCAATCTTCTATAAAGTCTGGGAAAGTGATAACAGCATCTTCAGCTCGTTGATCGACTCATCCTACCACCCAGGCCTCCAGCTCTCCGTAGCTGTAAACTCGCTCCTTAGTGGCTATACCGTGCATATCTTGATACCCTACAAGAACTGCGACTTGTTTACCCTCATACTTCATAAAATGTATCCACGTACCCTGCAAACGTTCACGCTCCTTCTGCTCTGTGTCACCTTAGGTGCGTCTGTTCTTTGCATACATTCGGCTCCCATCTACAACGTCTTCCGCTGCAGTTCTTTCGACGCCTACACCAGTCCCAGTCCCAGAACCAATCGACAAGAAAATTGCACAAGTCGTCGCCGAGAACAACAATCTCGGATGCTCTCAAGGATGCTCCGGGGTAAGTAGAGTTGTCACCACTGATTCGAGGATGACGTTGTCGAGAAACTCACTATGTCAACCGCAGGTGAACGGAACCGTCGATGCCATCTCCTCCTCAGGCGCGGTTTCAGCAACAACGAAAGGGACATCGAATGCGCTGGCCGCTGCCGCTGCTGTTGCGGGCGGACTTTCTGCCATCGCCGTTCTCGTATGAACGTTCAACCGCATTCAGTGCGATTGGTGTACACCGGTGTCTAGAGATAGTGACTACTACGCTCACATTATCGATATCATGTACATGTGTATCTCTGCTCCATACTCTAGACGCTCGCAATGACCTCCCTCGAAATAACCAGCGGTGTCCAATCATGTTCACAAACCAGCGAGAAGACCTTCCTCTCCTGCAACACCTACGACGTGTTCGCGTCCTCCAATCTCCATACACCCAATATCGTCCCGGCCGACCTCCTTCAAGAAACCGTCAACAACATGCAACGGCTTTCCCTGTCGAGACATCACCAGATCCTGACCGACGGCCCTTATCCACTCGACGACCGGCTTCCTAATCCACCGCTGCACTTCGCCGAACGAGCTGCCAGCCTCGAACCACCCAAGATGCCCACCTTTCTTCGTGACAGCGAAGACCACCCATTCGTTCTCCCCTGTGTCCACGGGCAAAACTTGCACGATCGGATCATCCTCTGAGGAGATGGCGAGGAAGGGCACACGTATACGCCCGAGGACGTCATGGCTAGAGGCCCACACATAGTATTCATGAGCGGAAGGAAATGGAAATGGTGGGCTGGAACCGCCCGCAAGCCGAGTCATGTTCTCGTCGAAATCGATGAGCGCAGGGGTCTTGAGACTGAGGACCTTCGGCACCGCTTTACCGACCGGGTGGTCGCTGAACTTGGAGAGGCTGGCTTCGTGCCGTTTGACTAGTTTCTGCAAGTTGGTGCCCATCGCCTTGGAGTATACAACATGGTTCAGGAAGTGGCCATCCAATCTGGATAATACGCAATGCATGAGAACGTATGATACGGTAGCAGTGCGGAGACACACTCACGCTATGCCGTTCTTCACGAGGTCCCAAGACTTACAACGGCAGTGAGCATATAACTGAAAACCCAGACAACCACGGGCGAACTTACGCATGCGAGAACACAACCAGCAACAAGCCTACTATTCTGCCCTTCTTCAGCCAGATACCGGGTCATAACGTTCGCGCCGAGAGAGAAGCCCAGGCCAATAAGCGGTGCTTTCGGATATTTACGCGCGATATACATGACCGCCACCCGGACATCTTCGGTGTGACCGGCAGAATAGAGCTGCGGGCTAGTAATTGGTACGCCAGCACCTAAGTAGTGGATCAGCATAACGCTATGCCAAAGGTACGACGACTCACAGCCGCGAAAGTTCACGACAACTCCCCGATACCCCAATCCGCCTTGTTTCACAGGTGCGCATACTGGAGCCAATATAGTACGCACATACGCCTCATGAGATCCTGGAAATGACGATCAATATTAATAACCACGAATAGAACCGGAACAAAGACGTGCCTCCAGTCAATCCATGTAAAGCTACAACGATGGGTGTATCATCTTTCAGCAAATCCTGATCTCCAGAAGGAGTAAAATCTACGCCTCTGTGTATGCACAGCCATGAGCTGGGAGAACAGGCTGAGCGGACGGTATTGCTTATTGCTTACATTGTGCCACCATCTAATGTTCTGAGAAATGTTCTACAAATCCCATAAATGAATAAGAACATCAACGAAATGCTATGGGCTTCCTACCTATCATATTCAACCTTGTCGACCTTGGAGAAGTCACCGACTACAGAATAGCCTGTCTGGAGATGTCCACTGTAACACGCTCAATTGTTGGCCTTCAAGAAGCTGGCCTCAAAGAACATACTGACCTGTACAACCACCATGCAGGACGAAATTCTGTGTAAAGGCTAGGGCACTTCGACTCTACGAAGGACCGCAAGGATATACGTTGAACTTCTTTGGAGCCGAGCGAAGTCCGGACAGAGAGAGAAGGACGAGGGGAATGAAAGTACAGTTTAGGGAGATAGTATCCTGCAGGGAGCAGAACACTGAAGAGCAAGCCCATTAATATGTTGATTGTCTAGGCTTGCGAGACTAGTGAGGGCATCAGCGACGATGAGGTTCAGATACAAGAGGCGGCATGTACTTATTATGATCATGATGTACCATAGTGGTCGGGAACAACACGGGTTGATGCGATGACTAGCGCCGCTGACTCAATCACCTCGCAGCTGCCAGTGCTAGCGTCTTGGTCTCGTACTATATATGTAGCTAGTATCTCCGTTACGTTGAGGTGTCATGTTGAAGGTCATCGACCCGTCATTCGTGCAGCATATCTGAGTGTGATGCCGAGATTAGTTGTGAGACGTTCGTCATGAAGTAAGTGCGGGCCGGGAGATATGCCTCGTGGCTGGGTTTTGCTATTCTCCTCCTCGCACCTCAACAATCCGAAGAATCGGTTCCCGCACGATTTTAGCTATGGTCAATAGCAAACTTTCTGCTGCAGCCGATTTCCTTTAATCGACGTTGTTGTTGAAGAGAATGCGAATCAGTTGCCACGTGGAGTGGTCGCGTATGAACGCTGCCATTGGCCCATTACAGTATCGGCGCATGCAGTGGATCATCTACGTCTCTTCCGTGTGCTCGGGAGTCCACAGAATTCACTAGAATGTCGGTCGTGCTCTCAGCTATGCCACGGAGCACTGCACTTCCGGGACCGGATTCAGGCATTAGTCTCTGAGCTCAAAAGTGTGGCCGCTGCATATCATTTTATCGCGATCGCTACTTGACCATAGTTCTGCGGCTTTTTCGACCACAAGAAATGTCTGCCTACGGTGCTATCCTAGGCCCAAGCCGCACAGTTACACTTCCGTCCACTTTATGGCATCTGAGGACCACTCGCACCCGTTCCGATGTTAATCATCTGACGATCCATCACCTCACCGTGTCGACCGCGCTTGCTCTGCCAGGACTGCTCCCATACCTGCATGCCGTGTTCGCAGATGAACTGGATCGAGGGTTAAGCTATCCGCAGGAGATCCTCGCGGGAGAGATCTACACCGAAGAGATGTTCAAGGCCTATTACTTCGCTGGAGACGTGCTAATTGCGGTCCTTGGAGACGGTAAGGAGGACAGCAAGGCACACGATGGTGGCGAGATTTCGCAGGGGATAGAAGAGGCTAGGAACGGACGAAGTTGGGAGGATTGCATAGCCGGATGCTACTACGTGAGCCACGATATCATCAGCCATCTCTTGTACTAACTTTGTATGAATTGGTGATCTTAGGTAAAACCCAACTATCCTGGCCGTTCCTCGCATGTAAGTGACATTACGATGTTTGCTGCACTTAGCCGCCCTATGGACTTTGTGCTTTCCGGTTTTATCTCAATGCCAACATGGCATCAGGCATTTCGCCGTACATATCATTTCCCAAGCGGTTGACAATCACAACATTGTCTTGTCTTCCGTCTTTCGAATAACTGCTTTACATGTGTGAGTTCCGGGGGCTTACAAGTGAATACTTCTTGTAGATTTGCAATGCGGGCTTCCTCGTACCCCCTTCACAACGCGGGAAGGGTATAGGGTCGGTCCTGGCACGTTCCTTCCTCTACTACGCTCCTCGCCTCGGATATGAGGCCAGTGTTTTCAATCTGGTATACGTGAACAACACGGCTAGCGTCAGGTCAGTCTTTCGCGTCAAGGCCGGTCGTGATTTTCCCGGGATCCTTGCGATTCATCCGTACTTCTCTACGTCATCTAACGTATTCATTTGAGTAGATTGTGGGAGGCTCTTAATTTCACGAAGGCAGGCTTGATTCCCCGTGCCGGCCGGCTGAAGAAGGCAGATGGTACTCCGGGCGAGGAATACGTGGACGCCTATGTATACTATCGTCGCTTTGACAAACCTTGAAAACGAGTGAATTCGAGATGCGACGTGCAATATAAATACATCTCCGTACATAGTACATAGCAACTGTTCGTAAGTATGTTCATGTACAATACGATGGAGTTCCGAACTCGAGAGGTTGCCGTCTTGCAATCCTACTGAGGGACCGGCGAAATGTCGCATACTGATATCGATATGGTTCCAGCCGTTCTAGAAATGTGCTGAGCCTGAGGGCGAAGCGGCCCCGCCAGTTATTTTGCTCTTCGGATGGCAATACGAATATGTTCATCCGTACCAGTTTGCTTGAACTGCACCATAATCAGTCGTCAGGAGGAAAAAGAAACAACATACGCAACAGAAAACATACTACGAGTTCCCGCGTACGGTGCAAGCTCTCGATTTCGTCTATCCTGTTGCGCACGTTGTCCAAGAGATCATCGAACCCGTCTTCTTCGACCACTTGTGTTGCTGCATGGAGCAGCAGTAATGAATCGGGCATCACGTCGTGATTAGCCTGCAGAGTATTCGAAACACAGTTAGCTTTCCACAGTGTAAGATATTGTTAGACGTGCATCGATGGCTATTATACTGGCTCTATCAAGATCTGTAGAATCTCTACATCAGAACGACTCAGAATAATGCGGCTAATGCTCACATACCTTCCAAAAAGTCGGTGCGCGTCATTATCTGACGGCACTTATACTGTTATAAGAATAAGCACGAGATCATAGAGATAAAATAGCGCCCTTACATAGGGTATCTTGGGCAGGGGCAGCTCCTCGGGATTTTCTAGGAGAGCACCAGCAGCTATGGCTTCAACTCTGCGCCGCTGGTCTTCGCGGTGCTGCCTCACGAACTCGCGCAGAAGGAGCCAAGAGGAAGAGCTCCACTTTTGCTCGTCCATTACGTCGTCATCGCAGTCAGGTATGAGTCCGATTTGGCTCTGCAACCACGCCTTTTCGACCGCGAGCAGGGTCTGCGAATGCTCGAGCATATCCTGAGCTTCAGATATTTTTGAGAGATAGGAGAGGCGGCCTCCGACGATAGAAACAGCCTCCTTGAAGATGTCAAGACTTTCTACTGCGCTTCTGCTGCTCGTGCGCGTGCGTATGAGCTCCCGCACGGCTTCATCACATTCGAGGTCAGAGACAGACACAATCTGATCGCAGCATAAGCTCATGTTCAGAAAGTGAGGAATAGAACCAACACGCAGTCTACTAGCGTTCTTTCCTGTCTCTGGAGTCAGATCGTAATGCTCACATAAGAACCGAGGGCAGAGCTTACTCATCACAAATAATGGCCATGAATGGTCGCTGAAAGTGATTACATTGGTGAGTACGCAAGCAGTTCAATAATCGAGGACTACAGACGTGCTGAAAACCATGGTAAGAATGCCTGACGGGGAAATTTGCTGAGTTGACTCTACACAGAATGAAACTACTTGAGATCCAAACTTACCACTCGCAGCCCAGGATTCTGCGCGCTGCTGTAGCTGAAGAAGTATATTCCTTCCTTCCTCCTGGTTCTGGAAGAAGTGAACGTTATTCAAGATCAGGATGAGGGGACGGTCAGTCCGCCGTGAGTAGCGCAGTGCCACCTTCTCCAATTTGTTCATGGCTGTGGGCCAAAGTGAGACTGTGGATGTATGAAAGCCGCAGTTCACTAGCCTCGTTCGATGTCAAGAGCAGCACCACCTGCGCAGGCCGTCAATAACAGCTTGGACACAACAAGACAGAGATTCTCACCTTCTCGAGGATCACGTCTTTGGAATAGACCAGTTTGCGTGTCTTCATTGAACTCGTAATTGAGGGCTTTTCCTAGGCGTAGCCTGAAGACTTCCATATCGGGGTGTGCATCGCAGATCGCGACACCTTCAGCTTGTACGGCCTGCATAGCGTCAAATATCATCGTGGTTTTCCCTGTCCCCTGTCCGGATCACTAATGTATGCATATACACCTAACAGACCGACAACGTAACACATTAACTACATACCTTTGGCCCAAGAATGACGAAGTATTGCCCAACTTCGATACCATGGACAATCCGATCAACCAAATCTTGCTCTTTCCGTCGCATATGCTGCACTGCCAAACCATCTATGCTAGATTGCAGCTCTTCTGACAGAGTGCGGTGCCTTCTTCTCCGATGACTTGCTAGCTCAAGAGCTGGATCATACCCCCCGGCGAAAGCAAGCTCCATCTAGTGATCGGAGGGTGAGCGTTGAAGACTTCCGAAGAGGAAATGGCTGTTACCTTGTCGAGGACATTCTTCTTGTACCAGGCAACATAGGCAATCCCACCCAAGAATACTGTAAGACGAATGTTCAGCTCCGCCTAGGCCAAGTGAACGAGGGTGTCGGTCTACAGCAGAGATATGCTAGCATGCGTAGTTGTCGGAAACGGCCTAGGGACAACCCGAAGAGTTGTATGTATGCGCACCCCGACGTTGACCAACGGTCGTTAGACCTGGTCCAGTGTACGTACATGGAATAAGACACACAGAGAACAGCGCCGTAAGATAGACAGGCCCAGGGATATTTACACTCACCCATACCAAGACCAATTACTGCCGTGATAACGGCATCGACAACTGGGGATGAGCTGAGGGATAAACTGCCTCCCCTTGGACGCGTAGAATTTGCAGAACCACGAGCATACGGTGCCTTATCCGGTTCATTTTCTCCAGAGGTATAATCAGAAGGTCCATTTGACTTCGAATTCGGAGACGCTCTTGCAGGGGTATTTTGATGAAAATATCGAGATAAACCAGTATACTTGAACTGCCCAAGACGATCCAGGATTAGATATTGCGGACCCACAGCAAAACGAATGTATTGAGGCGAAGAAACTCTTTCGAGCGTGTGCAGGGAATATGTCAGTCGGAAAGAGCGAGCTGCATGCATCATAACTCAAGTACACGGCTCGTCCGATGCAGGTTTAAAAAATATGGAGATGGCTGATCGATTCAATAAATTGGTGGACCATGGACCGCGCGCTGCACCGCCTCACGTACGACGGGCACTGCGTGCCCTAGACTAGGCGCAACGTCGCAGAGCGCTGGATATCCGACTCGGACTTGGCGGAAAGCGGAACCACCGTGACGTGACCTTGTGATTCCCGTCACCCGACCGAGTCGGCGAAACCAAATTCGACACTGCGAACATCTTCTCTCTGCACCGTCATACTCGTCCACCAGCATGGCCTACGGACTGACAATAGGAACAGACCGTTCTACTTCTCTCCAGGTGCGCTCATTTACCACGATTTAGTCGTTCCTTCTGACCTACGTGGCCAGAATGCTATCCAAGACGAGCTTACGAAGCGAGGCTATAGCCCTGACGCAGGTTCGTGTGATTGACTGCTTGAACATGCTCATGTTCACCTCCTTCTGCTGCAGATCCAGTTATGGCGGAATATATCACAATAATGATTATTAACAACAAAACACCAGGTAGGTGGTGTCCTGGCATGTGCAGTGACTGTCCACTGACGCTATTGCAGCTCAAATCTCATCTGAACTGGAGGATTGTAAGTGATTTTGTCCTTACTTACTGATCAGCCTTTCATTGAATCTCTCTCCTTAGTAATCGGCAGCGACTTTGGTGAACATCTCGATCTAGGTATACTTGTTACGTTACTGACCTCTTTTTGTCTTAGACCCAAGTTTCGTCGACTGGCTATTCGCAGAAGCTGCAAAAGGGGCACCTGAGTCAGAAACACCCGCTCCTGCTGAACCATCGACTTCCACGCAGACTCCCGTGCGTGAATCACCGCCACATGTCAGTAGCGATGCCTCGCGACGACCACCAAACGGACCTCGTTCCAGCGCGCCATTATATCAGCATGCTATCTCACAGGCATTACCTTCTATGTCTCCCACGGCGCAAAAACGAAGTGCTTCTGCACGATCACCTTCGCCAACGGGGCACGTCAACAAGTTGAGACGAACGGATCTGCCGACCGGGCCCCGCGCCATGTATCGGGATGGTACTGGATCACACCACGGAGGAACGAGAAGCTTACTGGAGCGTGTTGGGCCGGTGCAGAACAACCAGGCGGGATACATGTCGGATGATATCCAAGCACGAATTGACAACATTACGAGCAACCCAGACCCTGGGATGATGATGATGGGCGGAGGATTTCCGATGGGTGGTATGAGTGGTATGGACATGGCGGCGATGGCGAACCCGCTGATGCTACAGGAGATGTTGATGAGCCAAATGGCGTTGGTGTCACAGATGGCGGGTGCGATGGGGATCATGAACCCTGCGGTGGGACAGTTCATGAATCCTGGGTTCCCCATGCAGCCAGGCATGGGAGGAGATATGGGTCTGATGAATGGTGGAATGAACGGGATGCATCACGTCGGTCCGGAAGGCGCGGGAAGAGGACGGAGGGGAAGGGGAGGACAACCACCACGAGGTACAGGACGGTCAAGAGGGGGACCACCTGGGACCACTATCGCTTCGCCCAATACCTCAGAAGCAACAGTCGATGGCCCGCAAACCGCGGCACCACCATTAGCTACATCTGGCCAGCAACTCCAGATCCCGGTTGTTGCTCCAACGCCAAAGCCTGCCGTTTCTTCTCCCTCATCCCCAGCAACTACCGTTCCATCTATCTCGAATGCTCAAGCACATCCGCGCTCTGGATTTGTCCCACCTGAGCGACCACAGTCGCCTACATTATGCAAGTTCGCGCTTAAATGCACCAACCCTTTGTGTCGGTATTCCCACCCATCCCCCGTGGCCACGGCGGAGAGCGGTGTAGTTCTTAGTAACGAGGCATGCGAGGAGGGAAGGAATTGCAAGGACAAAGACTGCATCAAGGCTCACGTCAGCCCAGCAGTTCTAAATGCCAAAGGTTAGTTTTCACTATGATGACAGTTTCAATCGTACTGAGTGTGGTTATCCAGCAACGGAACATATGAGGCCTGCTACCTTCGTTCCCCCGACAATATTGGCTTCACAGTCTCAGACGCCCTGCAGATTTGGCGTCGCTTGTACACGCCCCGGTTGCCCATATTTGCATCCCCGCACCGTCGAGCCGAAGTCTCATTTTGCTCAGCCGTGCCGATTTGGCACGGCGTGCACACGGGCCACATGCCCCTTCCAGCATCCCGAAGGACGGGTACTGCCATCCACATTCCATCGCGGCCTTTCGACGCATAGCCCGATGGTAAACATTTCCACACCTGAAGCCGGCTCGATGAGTACGCCTAGTCCGCACAAGAGCATCACCTTCAACAAATCCGCGATCGGAGGGACCGCTGCCGAGTTGGAGAAGAAGGTGAAGGAGATGGAGGAGAAGAAGATTCAGGCGGAGAAGGCAGTCGCCGAAGCTGAGGCTGCCGCTGCTGCAGGCAAGAATGATGACTCGTCCAAGCCGGTCGTGATTACCGCGTGAGGGAGAGGGAGCAGATATCCGCATATTGGGCATGGATGTCATTCCCAGCAAAACTCGCCTCGATATTTTGTGCAGACGAACCTGAACGTTAGATACTGTGTACTATCGTACTTATTTACCTCGGTTACTCGTGCTTTCTTCTTTGGTCTTCTTCGAATAATCATTCTCGCGTAGTGTCGTGCGAGACCGCCAACTCACTCCGTTTGACTTTGCTGTGCAGTAAAAGGATATAGTATAATGCAGTCTGCCTATAGTATACACACAAGACTAGCACGTCTGACTGCGGCTTCGACATTTGCCGACAACTGTAGGCAAACTTGCGTGGCGTACAAGAGACACCGGTGCCTCACTGGAGGCAATGACACAGCTTGAGCGCACAATGGGGACTGCTACGCCTGAGGGTCGGTAGTAGTAGTGCCAATGGTCTACTTGCTGGCTGGCCCTGAACCGGATCATTCTTACCCTTCCAGTCAGGACTGTCGAAGATGGTATCAGCACTGGGACCGCACACCCAAATAGTTTCTGTGTGTAGCGCACCCTCTACCCCTCTGTTCTTTGTATTTGATTTTCACTCTTGTAGACCGAGGGTGTGAGATCCATCCCATAACCGCTTGTCTTCCTTAAGCATTTGTACATAGCGGACCTGCCTTCCAAGGCGAGCCGTAACCCTCGCGCTTTTTCCAACCTTGGGTCAATGGTTGCTATCATGCGGGAGTCTAAGTGGTCTGCTGTTAGCTGGAATCGTCCAACGCCAGCTCCAGAGCAAGCGTCCGGCGCACTGTCTCAGTTATGCTCGCACTGAAGGGCCTTCTTCGACAACAACTTCTGAGCACGTCAAGGTTAACCGCTGATACTATGGCAGACTTTAGAATGACTCGCCCACGGTGCATCTCCGTCTTCTACGTTGCGACGAACCTGCCACTGAGACATTGCCAACAAGTCACTAACTGACATGTTGGCAGGTGCGGCGACGTCCCAGAGTCAACATTCCAACGTGTTCCTGCACTTCGGCATCACTGAAATCGGGAAGGATTTGCGTGACATTACATGGGTCACAATCGTTCCGTGACAATTGGGTGCTGTATGATATCCGAGCATCATTTTCTTCTTTTGTGTCAGCAATGTAATGAAACTGAGGATTGTAATGCGTTACGTGGCTCATTACAATCGCAGCAAATATCGTGTCTAGCTCACATCGGCGGAAAAGAGTTTTCGCAAGAAACGGATCCGCGACTCGGTTACTTTGTGTGACGCTTTGTGACACTGCGCAACGATTCTCTCCATACCTGTCTCACTTTCGACCCTGCTCTTGACCAATATCCAGCGGCGCTCAAACTAACAGCCACTCATCCGGGCTACTTTTGATTTATCTGGTTCCATCCGAAGAGGCTTCGTCGAGATTCCACCGGACCATACCCATCGAGACCTGTTTTGTCAGCATAATTCCAACGAACGGAAGTAGGCGGAAGTGCCGTCGACATAAAAGCGCGACCTCTGCGGTGTTTTCTTCTCGCCAATTGCCAGCTGGTCGCTCACTGGAAAACCCCAGGTTTTCTTTGAGGTGCGCAGTGTCCGTCCTTTCAAGTTTGTTTTAAGTCCATGACCGTGTATATGCTAAACATCCCGTATTAGATTTTCATTTGGTTGCATTCAGTCTAGGTGCGTGCCCTAAGGTGCATCGTGTGCTATGTTCGTTGTTGTGTCATGTCTAACTGTCCTTGCCATGGTACTGCAGGAGCTCTTATTTCCTCCCCAATTTGGTCTGAGATCGGTATGCTAGCAGTCCAGGTGGATTGCCGGTAAACGGTTTGTCATCCATGCTCATGCTGATATTTTCTGTTATCTACTGACTCTGGCTCAATGTTTTATGGTGGTGTTTTTCAGGCTGATGTCAAGCATTTGGGTTGGTGTGGCATGGTTGCGGGGGATTGGAGGCGAGTCTAGAGACAAATGAAGTAGTTTTGCACTGTAGACTAGATGGACTGAAAATGAATAAATAATATTTCGAAATTTTCTTCACTAGATGTCTGAATTCTGGGACGTGGCGAATATGTCTGATTTTGGATAGGCGAGTGAAGTCCTGAACAAGATTTCGGTTTAATGCGATCTAGCGAATCTGGCTCGTTACAACCGCGTTATAATTCCCTGCGCCAGTTACAAACGCTCAGCGTTGTAATGCATCGTAACGGTGGTTGCAATAGTTGCCTGGTTTACGTCGATTTCACCCGTTATAGCTGCGTTGTGAAACCTTCCCGGATTCCGTGATGCTCGGTACGCTCTTGAATATAGTGAATGACGCGGCGTTCTGTTGTGACACACCCACAGGATTTGTGGATGTCTTTTCTTGTTCTGCACCTGACTCCTGCGAAAACTGCTCATTGTGAACATTATCATGAAACGTACCGCAACGTCGTCATGCATTTATGTATCAGGCCGTCAATAAACTTCGAGAGGTCCACTGGCATGCTGTATTGATGATTAAAACATGGGTTCCAACACTAAAATCTTGCGGTCAGTGTGATATAGCACAGACATGACTCAAGTGGTAACTTCGACGAATGCCATGCCTTATCTCCCTCCTTGCACAGCTGTAATAACTTCTTGAACTATGGAAACAGGCTCGCCTAGTTAGCATCCTCATTATATACAATGTGTTTAGATAGCATTGAAGTGTGGCAAGATGGCCGAGCGGTCCAAGGCGTGTGACTCAAGCGCGAGCTACCTCCCAGTCGAGGTCAAAGTCTTCTCATCAGGGTTTCCTGGCGTGGGTTCGAATCCCACTCTTGTCATTTTGTCGCGGGGAGTGGTATTGTCATCCCCCTAGAAGAATTACCCCTTTGACAAAGGCACCATGTTCCGATAGATGATGTGGAGGAGCAAGTCGACAAAGAGATCGACAATAATGTAGCTAATCCAAACGTGAATAACACTAATAATTGCATGGCCGCGATGTTGGTGGACATCTTGGAAGACAATTGCAGGCCGTCCTAGCGTTTCACCGAGGCACATTAAAATTGGCAGTGAAGCTTTGGTCGGTTGGTGCAGAAGCTGAACGAGCGGGCAATGCAGAACTACGTCGCATAAGGAGGTCGGTCTTGAACGGTACCTCTACATGAGCCAGTGCCCGACGAGTTTTCCGAGGTTGGAGTGCGCGTATGACGCGACTTGTCACGGTCACGGTGTGGCATCTGAGATGCAAAAATTGAGGACGAGTCAGGTTGGAGTGAGCGCGCACCACTGCAGCTCGAGGTTTCTCTCCCTCCAATCTCGCCGGACACCTCTCGGGCATGGGACTTTTACGTCTCTATCCTGGTTGGACCTCACGGCTCCTTCAGTGCAGCCGAAGCCCACGGCTCACTCGACAATTCCATGTCTCTCGTTTTCGGTCTGCGCCTTGCCCTTCAAAACCCGTCCACGCGATACCCCAGGCCGCCGTTGGCTCTTATACGCAGCAGGATGGCGGGCACGTTCTCAACTCTCCTTCTGAACTCGCTCGCCGACTGTCCGCGAAGGTACTGCCAAAAATCCCCCGGCCCAATGTGCGCAAGGTCCTCATCGTCGGCAGTGGTGGTCTCAGCATCGGTCAGGCGGGCGAATTCGACTACTCGGGTTCACAGGCGTTGAAGGCTCTGCGTGAGGAGGGCGTTGACGCGGTTCTAATCAATCCAAATATCGCGACATGGCAGACGTCTCATCAGCTTGCTTCCGAGGTCTACTTCTTGCCCATTACACCGGACTATGTTGCATATGTTTTGGAAAAGGAACGGCCTGACGGTATCCTGCTTACATTTGGTGGGCAAAGTGCTCTCAATGTTGGAATTGCATTGGATAAAATGGGCGTCCTCGAGCGGCTCGGAGTTCAGGTGCTTGGAACACCTATTCGGACCTTGGAGGTATCGGAGGATCGTGATCTGTTTGTACATGCTCTCAAGGGTGCGTAACTTTTTCTTTTTTACGTGTCTGTTTTCCTCCTGTCAAGGGCCGCATGTTGCTACGGCGAAGTCGGTTTCAAGGCAATGATATCGTCTTCCCTGAGTACAACTGTTAAACATGTCCGTCAATGAAATGTTATGTTCGCTGTTTGGTCATCGAACTATCATCTGCTCGACTTTCAGCTTATCATTATTCCACTGAAAGTCTGATTCACCTCTATTGCAGAGATTGATATTCCCGTCGCACAATCCACTGCTGTATCTTCGGTAAATGATGCACTGAATGCTGCGGAGAAAATCGGTTATCCTGTCATCTTACGGTCCGCCTTCACATTGGGTGGTCTCGGCTCTGGCTTCGCCAACAATTCAGATGAACTGCGTGACTTGTCTGCCAAGAGTCTGAGTCTGAGTCCGCAGGTCCTAATTGAGCGGAGTATGAAGGGCTGGAAGGAACTCGAATATGAGGTTGTCCGCGATGCTGCTGATGTTCGTCATATCCCCCTCAGTGTCAACGACAAAATACTGAAATGTGCGTCTTTATTTAGAACACCATTATCTGCTGCAACATGGAGAACTTTGACCCGCTTGGCACACACACCGGTGATTCCATCGTCGTCGCTCCATCACAAACCCTGCCCGATGACGAGTATCATATGCTGCGGTCAGCTGCGCTCAAGGTTATTCGGCATCTGGGTGTAGTCGGCGAGTGTAATATTCAATATGCACTTAACCCGACATCCAGAGAGTACTGCGTCATCGAAGTCAACGCGCGCCTCAGTCGCTCAAGGTACTAGAGATGTTTTCTGGCAGGTCATTGCTGAATTGCTGTTCAGTGCTTTGGCTTCGAAAGCCACAGGATATCCACTCGCCTACACTGCGGCGAAGATTGCTTTGGGCTACACTCTCCCTGAGCTGCCCAACGCAGTCACGAAGACGACGACGGCATGTTTCGAACCCTCCTTGGACTACATCGTGACGAAAATTCCGAAGTGGGACTTGGCCAAGTTCTCGGCGCAAGTGAACCGCGAGGTCGGCTCAGCTATGAAGTCCGTCGGAGAGGTTATGGCTATCGGGCGCACCTTCGAGGAGAGTCTGCAGAAGGCTATCCGGCAGGTGGACCCGCGCTGGAAGGGGTTTGAGGCGTACGTTCAGCCTGAAGACCTGGACTACGCTCTCAGCCATCCCACCGATATGCGATTGTTCGCAATCGCCTATGCGATGTTCAACAAGCAGTACACGGTTGACAAGCTTCACGATCTGACCAAGATTGACAAGGTTCGCGGTTCACTGGATCAACGGCTATCGACCACTGATAGCTGTTCTGCAGTGGTTCCTCTACAAGATCGATAACATCGTTCAGACGGTCTATGCGATTAAGGAAGTCGGGTCTGTGGAGAAGATCGACGAAGAGCTTATGAGACGTGCCAAGTGCATGGGTTTCTCAGATGCCCATATTGCGGACCTGGTATCGTCCACTGAGAACACTGTCCGTGCTCACCGCAAGGCGTTCGGCATCACTCCCTTCGTGAAACGCATCGACACTCTGGCTGCAGAATACCCCGCTCATACGAACTATCTTTATACCACGTACAACGCCTCAGAGCACGATGTGGAGTTCGACGAGCACGGCACCATGGTCCTTGGCAGCGGCGTGTACCGCATCGGCAGCAGCGTGGAGTTCGACTGGTGTGCGGTCACCTGCGCCCGAAAGTTGAGAGAAATGGGCCAGCGGACAATCATGGTGAACTATAACCCCGAGACCGTGTCAACCGACTTCGACGAAGCCGATCGGATGTATTTCGAAGAACTCGGTTACGAGCGGGTTATGGATATCTATGAGCTGGAGCAGGCGCACGGCGTCATTGTCAGCGTAGGCGGTGGGTCGTTGCATCTCGTCAACTCTTACGTTTTACTGATTTGGTTTGCATGTCCAGGTCAGCTGCCCCAGAACATCGCTCTGCGGTTAAAGGACAATGGTGTGAGCGTCCTTGGAACAGATCCTGAGAAGATTGACAATGCCGAAGATCGTCACAAATTCTCGTCCATCTTGGACAGCATTGGGGTAGATCAACCCGAGTGGACTGAAGTTACTTCTGTCGAAGATGCCAAGACATTCGCTCAGAAGGTCGGGTGCGTACCACGTCGTAAAGTGCGGGGCGCTCGTTCTGACTGCTCCACTGATCAGTTATCCCGTACTTATCCGCCCCTCTTATGTCCTGTCGGGCGCAGCGATGAACGTCGTGTACGAGGAGTCGGCTTTGGAATACAACCTCTCCGCTGCCGCTTCGGTTTCCCCGCTCCATCCTGTGGTCGTCTCCAAGTTCATTGACAACGCTCAGGAGATTGACGTTGACGCCGTTGCCTACCAGGGGAAGCTACTTCTGCACGCCATTTCAGAGCACGTAGAGAACGCAGGTGTCCACTCTGGTGATGCCACCCTCGTCCTCCCGCCCTTTTCCCTGACAGACGAGGATATGCTCCGCTTGAAGCATATCGCAGAGAAGGTTGCCGCGGCCTTCGAGATATCCGGGCCGTTCAATATGCAAGTTATTCGCAAAGCTGCTGACGCTCCAGAACAGGAAGCCCTGTTGAAAGTCATCGAGTGCAACTTGAGAGCCTCGCGGTCGTTCCCCTTCGTATCGAAAGTTCTTGGCCACAACTTCATCGATGTTGCAACGGCTGCGATCGTCGGACAGGGCGTGCCGGAACCTGTAGACGCGATGGCAGAGAAACGTGACTACACTGCGATCAAGGTTTCGCAATTCTCTTGGACCCGTTTGGGCGGGGCAGATCCTTTCCTGGGTGTCGGTACGTTAAGCCAGTTCACTCAGAGTGCTATAAATGTTGAGTTCTTTAATTCCTCCAGAGATGGCAAGTACCGGCGAAGTCGCAGCTTTCGGCCAGGACATCCACGAGGCCTACTGGGCAGCTCTACTCAGCACTACAGGCTTCAAGGTTCCGCGTGCCCACACCGGTGTCCTTCTCGGCGGCGATACTACCAAGCCTGAGATGAGGACCGTTGCAAAGGGCTTGATCGACCTAGGATTCAAGCTCTACTGCTCCTCGCCTGTGGTGGAAGAATTCCTCAACAGCATACCGTACGTTTCCGCCAAGCGCATAATTTTTCCCACCAAGGACAAGCGCAAATTGCGTGAAGTCTTTGATGAGTATGATATCGAGTGTGTCATCAACTTGGCGAAGGCGCGAGGAACAGGTGCGACCGATGAGGATTATGTCGCTCGCCGGTGAGTATTTGTTGGAGGCGTTCTTTCGACGTCGCTCTGACACTGGCTTAGCAACGCTGTCGACTTCGGCTTGCCATTACTGAACAACGCTCGATGTGCGCAATTATTTGTGGAGAGCCTAGCGAAGAAGATCCCGCAAGGCGGGTTGCGCAGCTACACTGAAGGTAAAATACCCTCGGAGGTACGATCCTGGCGCGAGTTCGTCGGAAGGAGGGCATGATTTAGCCTGTGAACCGGGATGATGGACATAGACATTTAGACGTCTTGCGCGAGATCTAAAAGTAATGGTATGTAAAAGAACTATTCATGCTAATGGATGTAAATTACTGCACGTTCTTGTTCATATAGAGTAGATTCTCTAAGCCTACGATGAAGCGGGCAAGAGATCTTCTGACGTACACAGCGTCCCAAAATCGAGTTCCGACACGGTTCTGCCTCGTCGGAACACGACATCGGCATTCTCTTGGCGGTCGACTGCGAACTTCTTCACCAGTGCCGGGTCCAAGACGCCCTCGATAGCATCTGCTACAAGACCACCGATATTCGGGAGGAACTGTGGAGCGCTGTAAGATCTACATCGTGTTGAAAACAAATGAGACATCCAATATATACCTTGTAAGCATGACCGCTTCCGGCGGTGGCTAGCACCACACCTGAATCTGACGGGTGGAACCCGATGATCCAGTCGTCGTCAGGTGAGTCCGTATACCTTCTCAGCACATGAGCGAAATCTCCCGGTACGAGTGACCTGTTACAACTCTCACCAACACAGCCGCGTGCTGCTGAAAGGTTTCTTCGCCAGCTCGGGGAACACCTTCGCAAGTTGCGTACGGATTTCCTGGAGCTCTTTCTTTGGGATGCGCGATCCTTGGCCGTCCTCGGGTTGCACGAATTGCGGGGTGGATATCGAAACCCCAGAAAGCGACGTTGGCAGCGTCGAAGTGTAGCCTGCCGATTCAACGGCAATTTTCATGATGTTCTCGTGGTTGGGCTGCGATGGCACTGAGTCAGTGACGTATGGACATACGTTTGAGGCGACCCACCGGGAATATGTAGAAGCCATTGTTAAAGTCCAGGTAGATGGGCATATTGCGGTAGGCATTTCCGTCTTCGGGAGTCAGTTGGATGGTCGCAATGCTCTGCCTGATTTCACTCCAGTTGACCTTGGAACGATTACCGAGAAACAAGTTACATACGCAGTTGCTAGACACTTCTGTCCAAGTTCGAGAGTGGGGAAGCTGGACGCGGTCCAGGAGCCTGCGCACAATATTACTAAATCGGCGCTGTATACAGAGCCGTCAGCGCATTCGACACCCGTCGTTTTTCCATCCGTTTTCAGGAGCTTGCAGACGGCCTTTCCCGATACGACTTTGGCACCCAAGGCTATTGCCTTCTTCATCAAGATGGAGACGCCTTGCGCTGCGTTGGCCCATCCTCCGTCGCGATTAATGTAGCCGATTTTGTTATTTAGGGCACCCAACTTTACACCAGGAGGGAAGATTCCTCGGATGGCTTCCTCGCTCTTCAGTAAATCGATGCGACCGCCCAGCGCCAGCTCGCTCTGGTATGCTTGATCCGCATACGAATCTCCTCCCGACATCATGGTGAACACGCCACATCTGCAAAGGATTACAAGTGAGTTTCCTGTATTCACAGAGCTCATTCGCGTGGTACGAACTCGTGATAAGTGTCTCCCCATTCTTTCTCGTCTTTCCATGCTTCGATGGCTTCCCGAGCGAAACGCGCGTAGAAAACATCTGGATATGCGCTTCGAACGACTAGAGGCCAACTTCTGTTAGTTTCATAACGACATGGTTCCGACCTTAGACACGTACTCTTGTTTAAATCGGTGCTTGCAGCGTGAGGTGCAGGCAAGACGTCAGATCGATCCAAAACGGTGATCTTAGCGAAGCCTCTTAGAAGCAGATGGTACGCAGTCGACACCCCGTAGCATCCTGCGCCCACGATGACGATCTCGCGGGATTTCTTTATCGCCATGGTGCAAGGTTGGGACGGAAAAGGCTTGCCAATAGTCGATAAGATGAGATGATAGGCTTTATGTATCCCGAGGAGTTCGGCCCAGACCGTCACCGTCGTGCTGGCGCATAAAGTGACTCATATCTCGCCGGTATATAGCGATATATTTTCGATAGTGTGGAAGACAACGATCCGGGGTGAGCAGAAGGGTCTCATGATGAAGCGATGAGAAAGTAACGGTCACATGACTCATATGTACTTCACGCGACGCGACGCGTCGCAGCTTCATGCACTTCAGCTTTACATTTCATTCGGAACACACAGAACCTAGACACTTCTGACGGCACAAAAAATTTGAGCTAATGATGTTGCAATTATGTGATAGAATTCATCTATTGGTATGTCTAGCACAACAAAGTCATTCGATAGACCAGAGCAGCAATCAAGCAATGTCTGAGGAAGTCCCAGAAAGAGTAAAAATCTAGTCAAACAGACCCACAACAACGTCCTGCATCTTCCCATCGCGAATGGCCTAGGAGAAAAGAGTCAGCGACTGGTCAACACATGTGGCCGAGCGAAGTCTTACCTCATGGATAAGGGAGATGTTTTGTCCAATAGACACCTCATCCACGCCCGGACCACCGTCGAACTTGTCCAGATTCTCCCCTCCGTGCATCTTGATACCGAGGGTGACGCGCACAAACTCGTACACGGGGCGCGTTTTGCCCAGTAGAGGACTGGCAGGCGCTGCCCCGCGCTCGCCGGTGAGGTACGCCACCCGCAATTGCTCCAGCAGCTTCTCGCTCTGGTCCGCCACACTCTTGCGGAACTCGGGGATCTGGACCAAGGCCTCCGCCGCACCGTGCGTCAAGCAGTAATCGACGATGGGGGTGGTGCTCGCCGCGGCGACCTTCCGCATCCGCGGAGCCGCGTCCGTCGTGCTTGTGCCAGCCAGGACATAGTCCATTGCGAGCCAGATGGCAGCAAACAGCTTCTCCAGGTCCACCGCCGCCAGGTGAGCAGCAAAGTGCTTCGAGAGCTGGGCCTGCACGATCTTCTGCATTCCCGCCTCTAGCTCGTTTTGCAGCGCGCGGAGATCCAGCGCCTGGCAGAGAGCATACAGGTAACTCGCGGTGAGAAGCGACAAGACCTCCAGGGAGTTGATTGTCGCGCGTCCACTGATCAAAGCGAGCGAGCTGCAAAACCATCAGCATACGCGTCAGCAAGAACAAGGCATTCGATGCACTCACTTTACGGCCTGGTTGTGCATCTCCGCAGACTGAATGTGGGTTGACACCGGGTTGGCAAGATAGCCCAGCTCACCCACGTACGCAGCAAGATGGATGTCGATCCCCTTCGTATGGTAATTCAGGGACGGGTCCGTCGCGGCCAAGTTCGGTGGAAGTCCGCGGTTCATACTCGGGTTCATCAGTTCCGTGCACTGCGCGAACAGCAGCTTGCCAATGTGGTGCAGTGCAAGCCGCGTCTTCTCCATTGCATTAGTGACGGCCATGGCCTGGAAATTGCCACCGTGGTGGACAGTCCCAGCTTCCCCGTCAATCAGGGGATTGTCCGTAGCTGCGTAGTTCTCATCAGGAACAAATGACAAAACATGATACAGATGGGCGTACTCGAATTGCATTCCAGCGTGATTGCTGAGAGCGCCGACATGATGTCCTCGATCTGGGGACCCAGGAACTGAGCGGCCGTCCGCAAGGGGTATCGATCTTGTCGCAGTTCGCCGACGTCGTCGGTGATCAGTTTCTCCTCCTCATGAGTCACCGCGAGCTGTGTTCCCGTCAACAGGTCATTGATGATGGCCGCTGCCTCGACCTGTCCTGGGTGGGGCCGCGCAACAGCGTGTATGAAGGGTGCAAAAGAACCTTGCGCGCCAAGCATCGCCTCTGTTCCCATCGCCGTACAGACTTCTGACAGCAGCGCGAGATGCACGGCGTCATGCAGCGCCAGAGCGGCGACTGACGCGGAGAACGCTGTTCCGTTGAGGATGCCGAGGTGCTCCTTCGAGGACAGTGGTATGGGCTCGATGCCGTGAGCTGCGAGCGCCTGCGCCGAGGAGACAATGTGACGAGAGCCAAATCTGGCGGTGCCATCAAAGACCCGGATAGAAGGGTTTCCAATAAGGACACCCGCGATATATGACAACGGCGATAGATCTGCAGATTGAATGTGCGTCAGATGTTGTACTCGAATGCGTATTCACAATTATGGGACTCGTGCTCAAACTGGCGCTGATATCCACCCTGTGCAGCTGCAGGTGGCCGCGTAACGATATTCGGAACACAGATACACTTACCTCCAGATGCTGAGATGCTGCCACGAAGAGGGACGAGCGGCGTGATATTCTCCTGAAGCAGAGCACCCATCTTCTCGATAAGCTCCCATCTGACGCCGGAATGCCCGCGAATAAGCGAATTCATTCGAATCAAGATTGCACCGCGAACCCATGACTCCGGCATGCTCGTCGAGGTCAGGGGATCCAGGAGAGGCAAAACCAGGGGCGCGCTGTGTGTCTGAGAGGGGAGCACACCGCACTGCTGATGCTGGAGCAGTGCATGTCCAAGAGCCAGCGGATCATCAGTACGTGTGTCGGCTGATTGACAGGCTTCAGTACAAAGAACTGCTTGGTGGCGATTGGAAGAAACTCACCGCTGCCACCGAAACCAGTGCTGACGCCGTAGACGCTGCTTTCAGAGGCCACTTTGTGGACTATGACAGCCCTGCTCTTTGCAACGCGCTCTTTGATTGGCCGGGAATTGTCGAGCACGACCTGAGCACCGTAACGTGCAGCCGCTGTTACAGCAGGTATGGAGAGTGCGCAACCGTCTACTACGACGGCTTGGCCACTCCTGTACAAAGGGATGAGTGAACGTACCCTGCGGAAACAACGGCTAGCACCAACTTGAACGCATGAAGCTCTTTCTGAGCCTCGATGAACTTTGCCAACAGAGTGGGTGCCGACGAATGTTCGGGTTCGACGTGAGCATCGACCAGAGTCGCGGTGTGAGCCTGAGAGCCCTTGCGACTGACCAGGGGGCTGGCAAGCGGCTGGTGAACAGCACCGTTGATCTTGGTCGGCATAAGGGTAAGTTGCACAGGGGGGATAATAAACGCGAAAATGGGACAGGAAAATGTTGGGCCATTTGGGAGGACGAGGGGTGCTTATATAGGGATGGAGGATCCGTTGTAAACGTGACGGTCAGACCCAAAACGACCGAAAACTGGGGGGCGACGTGAGAGCATTGCCGTGAGCTGAGATGTTTTTTTCTGGATCCGGCCGGGACGATCGTCTGTGCTTCAAGTCTCTTGCTCCAAGCCTCCGTCGCTCTGGTCTTCCACAACATCTCCTTTCTCGGCTACCACCGGCCCGCGATCATTTCTTCGTTATAATCTCAACCTGCAGAGCCTCGATTGTTTTCCAACCAACATAAACCTATCCACAATCTGGCGCATGTTAACTAGCTATGCGCACGTAGCGCAAAGTCAATAGAAGGCTGTATTAGTCCTGTCGCCGAGCGGCTGCCAGATGGCTCTACCATACTAGTATTGGGGTACAGCCGCAGTTGCCACGTCTCGACAGGCTCGGCGATGCTGCAAGATTTTCAGGTGAGAGAGGTGCCACTTTGTGTCACACTGCAGTGACTCTCAACAACAGGATCGCACACTGTCAGTGTGGCCACCGGAGACCGCAGTCTCAACTTTTGAACAATCATAGATATTCACCGTGTCATCATCCCTTGTCGTATTATGTCTCACCGCAGCCTGCGGAGATTCCGGCGCCAGTAAAACCCTACTAGATTTATGTTTGACAGATATTCAAATTGACAGATATCATCGCTGGCTACCCGCTCAATGGCCTGTGCGTTGGCTCTATAGTCGCCTGGCATCTGTGCCACCTTAACTTTCGCGTGATATCGCACAGAGACGCACCCTTGAAACATTCGGCGAAGCGTCCATCGCAATCTACGCACTGATATTAGTGATGTCCTTCCTATTCATTCCATACCTGCAGGGTCTTCACTTTATGTTAGATGAAACACTGCCCTCACAGTGGTTCCAGCGACCTGGTTTCGAAGTGTACTGTCAGGAAAATGCGCCCACGCAAGTCAACATAAAGCAGATGCCCGAGGCAACTACCCCCGAGCTCAGTTGGCCGTGGATTTCGATTAATTGGTCGGTTGACTATCGGCCTTAATCCTGCTCCAAGGAAAAAAACGACGATGCATACTAATCGCGCTGATCAAGGGCGAGGAGACGACGCGACATCCCCGACAACTGAATACTCCGATGAAACGGTTCCTCGACCTACATACACTCAGCTCCAATTTTGATGCAGTGAACACCCCCATGTGTGTGTGTGCGTTTTTTTCTGGGATTTAGCCATCGAAATACACAGCGTTGAGGATCATCGTTGCATCGTAATCGTGTATCGCCCGAGGTCCATGATGGTGTCTGTTTTTGGGCATTACTAGGCTTCGAGTCCGTGCAAAAAGGTTCCAAGGTTTGGAAACCCTTGCACGGGCTCGTCATCGGTTGTGCCGCTTCTGATTGCAGAATACGGCCATGTGAAGCATAAACCATCTCACTGGGCCAGACGAATTCTTCTGATTGCAATTTTGCGAAGACCATGGGTGCGCTGCGATTGGTGGTATGCTCCGGCCGGGGGGCACCTCGCCTTATTCCTGACGACACTACGACGTACTACACTACGCCACGCACCTATGGTACGCCCCTGGAAGCTTATCGCGGTGAGAGCTTTCTGCGCCGACTATTCTTCTGCATCTTTCCGTGTGGTGCTTCTGTCCTATCCGTACACAGGGATGGACTTCCGAGGATCACCTACGGGCATCCCCTCTCTTTGTCCGCTGTTAGTCCATAACCGATGACAGCAAGATGATAGTGGTCGTATCACTATTTCGCACCACAGGCCCATGATTTTGGTACGTAGTCTTCCGCTTCTGTTCGTCCTTGGAGGTGTCTCATGCAAGCGCACTGGAGACTTCAGCTGATGAGTTCCCGGACCTCCAGTGATCCTGTGTTAGGCACGAGCGATCGTCCTTAGCCCTTTAGACTACCTAGCTGCCGCTCAGGGTGCCTGCGGGAGACGCGGGAGCCCTAACAAACTTGGTGCATCATGGGGGTATATATCGGTGTTGGACGATATCTGGACGTACACATCGCGTACCACCGGATTGTGATGTCATCTCAAGATCCTTCCGTCTCGAGCATCACGTCCAGCGGCCGAGCTGATTCTGGGCAGATGTGGTCATTCATGCTTATGGAAGTTTCGTCGATCTTCAATCTGGCCATTCTACGCGATGAAGGAACAGGTTCTCGATAACGAACTCAGTGCTCAAGGGCCTGCCGACCATGTTCTGCTGTATGGACTTACGACTGGAGAAAATTACTGGGAAGTTCAATACTGGCGATTGCAGCGCCTCTGATTACGATGTCTATGCTACTGCGTACAAACCCACTATGTACATATGCCTGTCCACGATATCGTCCACGTAAGTTTCCGTCTATGCTATAATACACCGCGGATGAACCGGTTATTGAAAGAGACGGCGCACAGATAAGGGTATAAAACGAGATTAGGCTTTGGGAGCGACCGGGAATTGATGACACGCGACAGGATACAGGAAGATGCGCAGGGCAGAATGTCATAGAAGCGTACAGAGAACCTTGCTGCAGTGATGGGGGAAACTTGCATTGAGAGAGACTGCGTCGGATGGGCGTTATGAGCATATAATGGTACGTGCGAAGATTGGGTAACCTTGAGTTTGAAGATGGAAATGGCGGAGACAGATATGAAATGTGGAGAACGCGCGCAGCCAGGAAAGCGGACAACGATGACGATAAGGGCTCGGACAGGTTGTGGGCAAAGAGAGGCGCAGGCCTACATCTCACCACCACTGATGCTGTGATGTCCGCCGCGTTCTGTCGCGCTTCCTCCTACCACGGCATCCAACGTCCTTCGGTCAACCTCCTCTCCTTTTGCCAACTTGAGGAGCAGAACGGCTATCGTCCCGCAACTATCCCTTTCCCGTCTCCTCTCCTCCCTGATCTCGCGTCCCTCCCTCCTGAATGCGGCCAATTCCGCTTCCAACTCTTCCACGCGCACTTCTGCGCGGCGACGCGCCTCCAGTTCGACCTTGCACTGATCGAGCGCGCCCTTCTCCCCACGACGAGCGCTGGCGAGGTCATCGGCTGCCGTGTCCAGCGCGCGCTCTGCCCGACGACGAATTCGGCGCTCCTCATTGATGTCTTCCTCCAGCTTGCGTTTGGAGGCTCGCAGCTGTGACGCAGACGCGCTACTGGATGCCTGCCTATCGCGAAGAGATTGGATCTCGCGCTCTAACGTCGCGACATGGTTGCTCTGCGTCCGGCTGCGCTCTCGAGAGTGATCCGGGGAACGCGGCAAATTGCTCGCGTTGGCAAGACGGGACCGAGCGAGTGCCGCGGGAGACACGTCCATTGACGCCAGGCGTGCGGCGCATTCCAGCTCGCCCTCCTCCTCTTCGTGCTTGGCCACCGGCATGTGCGTGCCATAGACCTTCTGCAACAGCTCTGCCGCCTTGCGCATGTGCGATGCACTCTCGGGCGTCTCTCCCCCATCCGCTGTACGCGTCTGCTTGGCGAGGTCTGTGTGGCAGCTAGAGAGCATCAAATATGCTGGCTTCAGCTCATCTGGCGGTACGCCCGCTGGCGGTGACGTGAGAGCTGCGTTATCTTTGCATCAGACTAGCATGAGACATCATTGAGAAATCTAACCTTCGACCATGGCGGCGATGACGGCAACAGCGGCTCTGACCATGCCCTTGCTGCGGTAGTGTCCGCCCACAATCATCCACTTATCGCGCTCAACCCGTTGGTTGGCCGTCGCGCGCAAGACTGCAATTATTCCTGTTGGGTTCTCATCGAGCGACTCAAGATCGCATTGTACGCGTTCGCCACGGAAGGATAGAATAATATACGAAGACGGGACCGGAGATGTGGAGGCAGGGCCGGAGGGCTTGCCAGTTGCAGAACGTGTGCTGGGATTGCTGTGGGACGCATTCATGCCGGCTAAGATCTTTCCGATCGATAGAGGTGAGAACTCTTTGTTACTGTTCAAAGGTTCTGTGCGCGTCGGATGAAGGGGAAGCTGAGAGACGGATGCGGGCGCATATAACGTGGACGGGAGAGAGGCATGGTCAGACGTAGCCATGTCCCTGGCGATCGTTTGAACCCGATTCTCCTTGTTGCCCTCCGACGGCTTGCGATACGATGAGTTGCGTGCGAGGTCAGTCTCTCCGGGTCCAGAGGACACAGGAGGACTTGGCCACACCGCCGGGGCACGAGAGGCGCGAGAACGCTGATTGACGCGATACCGCTCCACAAGACGCGTCTTATCGACCGCAGGCGGGATGGAGGAAGAGGACACGCCTGTACGCACGTCCACCGGAGATGGGACGCGCTCGTGGTCGAGTAGCTCCTGCTTCACCTGGAAGCCAGGGCCGGCGGGGGGAGCGATTGTCGAAAAGTGGGCAGCAAGTTGCGGTGAAGAGGCTACAGCGTGAACAGCGAGATCGGGGACATGAACGGCTCGCGCGTGTCTCACACTACCCATGTCGCAGAACTCGAGAAAACAGCGGAAGTTGCTGCGGTCGGCATGTGCTTGCCAGGGGTATATACCGTGTCTGTCGAATATGAAAGTGGTCAGAGAGGGGCGGGTCAAATATAGAGGCTGCTCGTGGTAGACAACTGCTGGAGGACCCTTATGCTCGAGAGTCTTCCGGCAGTACTTACACGCGAGATGATACGTACATTTTCCCGCATTGCGCGAACACGTCGCGAACCTCGCTTTGCGGCCTGTTTGTCTCGACGTATATAACGCGATTGATTCTCTCTGAGGCCATGGTTAACAGGGGAAGGCAGCACGGGAAAGAGAGGAAATAGAGTGGTCGATGTCGGGGGGAGAGAGAGGAGGGGCGCCTGTCTCAGTCGCTATAGGCAAGGGGGCGTCGATCGGATTCGTCAAAGTATCGCATGTCGATCGTAAATTCGAACGTGCCGCGCGCACTCCAGCTGAAAGTTCAGACATGGGACCATCAATCATATCGCCACACGAGACTGAGTACTGCCGATGTGCTCATACGAATGGTACGAAACAGACCCTCAAGTGCTGTACATCCTGCTGGAAACTTCTGCTCATTATCTTGCTTCATGCGCACGGTCAGGAAAAATGCGCATCAGAGCTCTTCAGCGATATTATATCGGGGCTATGTATTATAGGAGCGTGAGCAAAAGACCTCCATGGCACGGTCTGGCAGGGAATTCCGACTCGGAGTCCTCAGAGGTCGCGGTCACGCGTCAGTCACGCGCACCGTGTTCTGGTTGTCCAGATTAGGAGGTAAACTGTACAGCAGCTCGGCAAGAGCCGGGAGAAGCAAACCTTGTTCACTGTGGCGGAGACAACAAGCTCAAACAATCGCGGTAAGTGCAGGTACTGTGCTCGCCGTACCCGTTAACCTCTGTCACATCTCCCAGAACGTCTTTGCGGTCTCTTCTTCGGGATACTTCTCCTCAAAATGGCCACGGTTCAAACTCTACCGAAGGATCTCTCCAGACTGAACGGCGAAGTGAAGCTCTTCGGAAAGTGGGATACACAAGAGTGAGTGCACAAATATGACACAATTGATGCAGGAGAAAGGTCTCACTATGTACGCAATTAATTGTGCTTCCTGTTGCCTATGTTTTGCGGCGATACTTGGGATTGCATTGGCACAGCGTGGAAGTAAAGGACATCTCCTTGACGGACTACATCCAGATCCGCCATGCCGTCTACGTCCCCCACACCGCTGGACGCTACGCGAAGAAGCAATTCAAGAAGGGTCAGATGCCCATCGTTGAGCGGTTGGTGGACAGGTGCGGCCCCCTCTGACTTGGGCAAACGGAGACCAGATGCTCATACGTAACCAGCCTGATGATGAAGGGTCGCAACAGTGGAAAGAAAATCCTTGCCGTCCGCATCGTAGCACATGCATTCGAGATCATCCACCTCCTCACCGACCAGAACCCCATTCAGGTGAGTCCAGCTGTTGTCCAGCACGCGGTGTTCGCCGAAACTCAAACTTCGTGATGTAGGTCCTAGTCGATGCCATTGTGAACACTGGCCCGCGAGAAGACTCGACACGTATCGGCTCGCAGGGTACGGTACGTCGCCAGGCTGTTGATGTGTCTCCTCTCCGCCGGGTGAACCAGGCCATCGCGCTTCTCACAATTGGTGTATGTTTCTTATCCTCTCATGTTGTATCGTGGATGCCAACATCTCCACCCATAGACTCGCGAGTCTGCATTCCGCAATGTTAAGTCCGTTGCTGAGTGCCTTGCGGACGAGCTCATCAATGCAGCAAAGGGCTCGTCAAACTCCTACGCTATCAAGGTATACCCCAGTCATTCCGCCTATGTCAGTGCGAATCTCACTGTTGTCGTACAGAAAAAGGACGAGCTGGAACGTGTGGCGAAGTCCAACCGGTGAAGGAGGGGGCCGCTCTGGCTGTATGGGTGGGTCCGCGATCTGGCTTTTCGACTGCTATTATTTTTACCGCTTTCATGACACCCATGTTCCGTATATGCTATGGCAATTTCATGAATCTACATCGATGACTACCCAATGAACGAGTGCATCGTTCTTGAGAGGGAGGTTTCGGCATGCGACACTGGTAGAGATTTTTCCCGAACGCGAGGCTCCACCTATTTTTAGAATCTCTCTCGTGCCAGTGAATCAGTCTCCACCAGCACTACTCCATGAACTGCTATTTTGTTTTGCTTTTGACGGACATCAATGATTCTGGTACGTGCCTCCAAACAATTAGAAGTCAACTCTTGCCTCACAATCACTTGTCTTTCGTGAGTCCAGTGTGTATGGACCCCTGCGGCGGCCGTCACCGCCCTATCATATGTTCTTTGGGAGCCACGGCCTCGGAACCTCGGTACACGGCGGACGCACCAGGACGGGCTCACCTGCGAGTCGTGGTTGCGCCGGTTGAAGACGTGTATCTCACACCTGAGTGAAATATGATAGAACATGCTGGGGAGCAGCCACTTCACATGTGCCGTCAGTGGTTACTTCACGTTTCCTTCCTCGTCAGCAAATCGGCGACGGCGGAGCTTTCCTTTGAGAGCGCTGCGGTGGAAATGTTCAGAGGCGTTTGAGCGTTCTCTTCATAAGTTGTCCCTGGGTAGGGAAACATATGTTGGCTGGAAAGGTACGTCTCCTGTGCATTCACAGACTGCAGGTCCACTTTGAGGGACCTCATTGACATGGTATGTTTTCTAGTCCATTCTTCACGAGCGTCTTCTGTTGTACGGAGGCATGGAAGACAAGGATGCTCAGGCACGTATATCCAGCGACCTCGCACGAGTGAGGCGGATTGCAGACATACCGCTTCAAACCACAACAGAGGTATCCGCATGGAACTGCGGTGGATAGTGTCAAGCCCTGACATGCATTTTTATCGAACCCATGGCCCTTGCTGACTAGCGAGCGGATGGCACCCCAGAGATGCGCAAATATATAACCACGGCCTTGCAGGTATGTTGTTCTAGACGAATCTCGACATGCATTTTCCCCGTATACAGTTTGCATATCCGATCACCAGGGTACTTGTCACCGCTCGGTCAGCGTGTTGCAGCAGGACTGAGTATGACTTAGGTCTATCCATGGCCGCATTTCACTATCGTGGCTCTGGTGCTTGCAAGCTTGGTCGGCATCATAATGACAGTGGTTAACGGTTAAGTTTCTCTTTGTCACCGTATCGTTTCACTAATTAGTAATTCGGCGTGTTCCAGTTGTCGCGGTAGGGTATGAAACTGTGACAACATTCAGCCAAGATTTTAATGTTACAGACAAATACTGGTGGTTCGTCCACACACTTCGCTGTTCACTTGCCGTATGGCTGACAGTAAGTGTAGGTCTCGATTTTCGCGAAGTCATACGTATGCTACCAACTGTCAAGCGCATGAGTTCCTTCTCGGTGATTCATTCGGCACGAATGTGACCACGTTTGAATACGCCTTAGTTCTCCTGCAGGATGGAGTTTCTCCGGTCAGGAAACCAGTGTATGGCTTGACTTACTCTGGAAACACTCTTGCTTCTATATGCAACGTTGAGACGATGCAAGTCCAGCCTAGTGTCTTTGTGAGTAGACTACAGAAGATGGTGGAGGGCCAGGTATGTCCTATTCTACAGCGATGACATTCCTGGTGCTCAGATGAATCCTTCCAGATTGTCTTTTGGTGTCAAGGTGACGGCTTTCCTGAGTCTGCTTTCGAATTAGCCTACACAACGAACATGCTCCCTATCCCTTCCGGAATGATTCTTACCGATTCTGACGCCTCCGTAATACTCCAGGAGGCCCTCGACTTGCTGGCATATGACCTAATAGTCGGCATTATTGCTGCCTCTGCCAACTCATCTGCGGCCATTGACAGCTTCCTAGCATCGGGAAACGTCTCTTTCCAACGAGCCAGTGGAGCAAGTTCTTCAGACCAACAAGCCCAGCAGTACAACTTGATGCTGTCGCCCAATGATTTCCAGGCGGTGTTCTCCAATGACTCAATACTTGACTATGATATGGGTCAAGTCAACCTTCCTGTTATACTGAACGGCTCCTCTTCAAATTATCTCCAGGCGCTGACTGCAGCATTTCTGGCTGATATCGGCATCTGGAACGTCGGCAATATTTTTGCCTCCCCGGAGTTGCTCAACGCGACAATAGACAGGAATGACCCCGTTTCCGCTGAGCTTTCTCAGAACCCTGCTCTATACTTATGGCAGGACCCGTTAGAGCCAGGCGCTCAGGTTCTACGTACTGGAATGCTGAGTTCATCGCCCGACAGCCCTATCATCCCTACTGCGAATCAGTCTTCGGCAGTGATTGCTCTCAGCTATTTGTGCCAAGTGCAGCAGAGGAAGGAGTTGCTGGACTTGATCATCTGTGTGTCCTATCGACTGCACAATAGCCTTAGTATATACTGATTTCGGTTCCTCTGCAGCGGTTATCGTCGCCGACGCATCTATGTTCGGGGCATTCTGGGGTATTTTCATGTTCGCAGCGGCGACGCTGGTGAACCGCCGCAGCGCAAAAGGTGAACATCTAGACCTGCGAGCAGCTCACCCCTCCTGCGTGCTCACATCTATACAGCAAACTATTGTGATGCACATGCGGAGGTGCGTCCAACCTCCATGACCAGCGGGTACTCTGTCAAGGAAGTTGAAGATGGAGTGAAATCGAGGGAGGTCCCTCCACGGCCGGGCAAGGAGGAAGTGTAGTTTATGAGATGTTTCAGGGGACCGTGCTGAACGTATTATACTTCATTGTTTGATACTGCGCGTCTATAGTATTTTCGCCCATTACAGACCAAGCAAGGGAACCAACTCTGGTGGTATCGCCGGGGGTCAAAGTCGTCGTCCTTCGATCCTAACGACAAACAAGCGAAGATTCTGGTACTTTCCAAGGCACTTACTGTACGCTAAAGACGAATCTGACCGAATGACACTGCCATGCAACTGCCATGCCACGCCTCAGCAAACAATTTCACACATTAATCAAGAGGGTATAGTTACATTGCCATACAATGGGTATACCTGACAGTAGAATACCTGGCGGCAGTTGCGAATTATAATTCCGAGTCCAGGTCTCTCCAAATCTTCTCCCACGACAGCCAGTGGAGATGTTGACTGGTCGTGCACGCTGTCGGCATGTCCATGATTGGTAACTCCTGATGGTGCACATACACCACCGACTGAAATCCAAACTCTTCAAATAAGCCTGGCCGATGCTTGAGCCGAAGGCAGGTGCGGCCCCGAAGCAAGCCAATGGTGAGATGGGTGATACCAAGCCCTATGAGTTGCGGTATATGGAACATGAACGTTTCCAGGTCATCGTCAACACGATGAATGATGATGTGCAGCGTCATGGGCTTGCGCGGAGAAGATGGGTCGGGTAGTTGGTTAGACCATAGGAGAGCATGGACTATCTGGGTGAGGTTCTCCTCCAGAACCACCATCTTCTCCAAGTTGGGCATGCATCGCAGCATCGTTGCGAGATCGGCATGCCGGCTCGACAACGCACATCGGATCTCCATGATCCAAAGTTCTCGAACTTGAACGCAGGGCAGCTCATCGCGGACCAGCTCGAACATGGCGTCAACCATCTGTTGTGACTGTGGTTCGAACATGCCTATGTCTACACCGGACTGCGGGCCCACTGCCAGTACGGACGACATGTCCATCCACTGGCTGTTCGTCCACTGGAGGATAGCAATTTTGGTGATGCTCTGCGCCACAGGCAAGGGTGAAAGTCCGCAAGGAACAGCAACTTCCGATGGCTGTAGGTAGTAGATCTTCAACGCCGTCTCGACCCCGAGAGTGAGGTGTTGAAATATTGGAGCGACACCCACTGAGTTTTCCCGATATAAGAATGTGCGTAAATGCATCAAGGGTATTACTCGGGATTCGGGTTGCACCGATAAGTCGCGAAGGTGGGATAGGATGAGATCCCTCAAGTTGGGAGTTCGACCGAGTAGAGTTAATACCGCGGAAGAAAGACCTGGGCCACTGTACGAGGCGAGGTGGAGTTGAGTGAGGGATGAGAATTCATTGCTGGGTAGCCATGAGAGGCGCTGTAGGAACAATTGCCGTATTCGAGGTGCATTCCCGTGGAATAATAAGACAGGAACAATAGGCGTGTCCTTGAGCTTCCCGAACTCCATGAGTACGAGCGACTCTATAGCGGGAGCAGGAAAATTGAACAATTGCAGGGCATGCTCATTGCAGTGTCCTTCCCACCAAACGCTCCGCACACGGTGCCCATCAGAAGTCATAAGTCTAGTGACAAATGGAAGAGGGTAATTTTCCATGAAGACATTTAAAAGTGCCATTCGTGAACGATCTATTAGGGTGCGAAGAACTGGCTTGTCGCATGAAGAATCGGCAACGTTAGCCCATAGTGAAGGAAGGTCCAACGCGACATTACGCCAGTGACGGCACACGTGTGTCAGGTCGATGATGGAATATGGTTCCACGTATGGAGATAGCCAGGGAGGGAGCTCGTAGACATCCCAAGTTCTGTAGTCGGCTAGCGAGTACAATGGATTTGAAACGAGCTGCAGGATGATGCTGAAGACATCGAGAGGCAGCTTGTTAACGGAAGCGAGAGAATTATGAGCTCCGCGAATCACTGTAAGAGAGTGCGTGACAATCTTTGTCAGCTCCACGATCTGAAAAGTACGCGGTCAGCATCCAAGGATGTCCAAGGTCTGCACCAGACTCAGCCACTAACCAGGTCCATGCTTTGGAGAGAAAGTCAGCAATTAAATGAATTGGCGACGATGTCGCGCACCTCAATGATGCCGCTTGTTTCTGTAATTTATCAAGCAAGGCTTCCGCCAACTGCACGACACTTATGCTTTCCAGCATACCGTCGACACTGCCTAGCGCTCTCAAGTCCATCATCGCCAACTGCTGTCAGATGCTGATCAGTACGTGAGTAGCTTATCACTGCTCGTTGCTAACCTTTGATGGTGGTGACCAAGGAGGAACTCCAGGCTGGTGGGAATTGTCGACATGGGAATTCGAAACATTTGAGAAGCGGTGGATGTTCTGGGTCAGACAAGACGGGCTCAGTCGGAATCACGCTGCCGCGATCTTGTGTGACGTTTGTGTGACGCGTCGCGTTCAATGCGGCAGAACTCCAATTGACTCAGAATCGTCCTTGAACTTCAGCCAGCTGCCTTGGAGAATTGCCTGACAAAACATCAATTGTTGCTCACTTAGCTCCTGGAGTTGTCAGTGAATAGCAGATTGTCAGTAAGCAATCCACCCGCCAGTTGTACTTAAAAGCGTTCAAGACTAACTTGAACATTGTTCCTTCACCCACTTGGTTGAAGTTGGTTCACGTCAGAAATCGTACTCTTTATATCCCTGGTGGACTTAACTCAAGAATGACTCCGATTTGTTGCAGGTCTACCGGAAGAGCCGATTGTCTTATATCGCACTGGCACTGAGCTGTTACCTCTGCCTCTGACAGCATATCTCCTGGAACTTTTGAACTTCGCCAAGTGCTATACCGCTTCTCTTGTTACCTTACGACAGGGGCATTTCAAGACTGCCTAGTACTTATCTTGGGCTAAAAGAAATGCATAAACCTGAACGCTTAGATTGCCGGACATGACGATATTTGCCCATGTCTCTCGCGTGTTCCAGCTATTCCTTCTGGCATACACTATATGCGCTGCCGATCTCCACAAGTCTTGTTGACCTGCGGAAATATTCTAAACTGGTCTCTGGATTTCCTCAAGGCCGTCAACCTGGGCAAAACCAGCGCATCCGATCGGGGCCTTAGTCAGCAAGGTGGGTGCCTCCGTTCCGATTTCGGTACGGGGAGGCCTTACAGGTGCGGAACAAGCGATTATAAAACATCTCTCCCTTTCACTTAACACTCAAATGTAGAACTATCTAGTACTCTAACGCATCTCATAATTCAAGGACAATCACTGGTGCTTTCAAAATGCCCCTGGAACCCCCGCCAACGTACATGGAGGCTTGCTCCAGGCCTCCTGGTTACACTGCAACTCGTGCCCATCATCATTGTCCCACCTGTACCTGCCTACCTCGCACTCGTCGGAATTCTGATGCAGAGTGGGCCTCTCCTGCACACAAGTACGCTTACTGAAAATGAATGCTAGTGTCTTGTGCATCACTAAACTCCTATTATGCATCAGATTAATTCGTATTCATTTCTTTGATTCTCCGTACAGTGAGGAATATACGGAACTTCATTTCCCTCTCGACGAGGATGGCTATCTGGACTACGAAAAACTTGCAAAGACATTGGGAGTCAAGGAAGTCGTGGTTAGTCTTATCTCATACGATTTCTGTGAATTTTGGAGTTGCTCATGAATGTTTTCAGCGGAAGGAGCTCTTAGGCCGCCTGCTCGTACAGACTGCACTCCGAGAACCGGCAGATCTTATACGAAGAGCAATGTGGTTCAAGCAACTTACTATAGTTGGTGTGTATTTACAACCTATACTCTCGCTGGCATTGCTAGACATACTTCTTGTCAAAGAAAGTGCTCACAGACTCTGATACCAGAATTCAGCCGCTGCCAGACAGAGCCAATACTCTATAGTGAGTCGCTCACTCGGCTGAACGTCCAAGTGCATATTCGATGGTATCCCTCGCCCACCTCGGATATTGCGCTTTTTGAGGAGACATTTGAGGATATTGACCTGTTCAATTGTCTCTCCCTTGGGCGCATTGCGCGAAAGCATGGCATACTGAATGTCCAAATCTTTGATCCATGCACCATGAAGCGCCTCCCGACGAATTTCATGCATGTCCTCTTCCCGCGTGAACGTGCGCGCGTGAGGGGCAATAGGCCCTACATTGCTATCACCGGTAAACTCACTAGCTCACCCATGTTCCATACCGCTGACATGATTCTCACCTTCCAGATGCTGCTGTGCCTCTTCCCATGGAAGGTATAGACAATGCACAGCTCATTGGAGAGGCGGGAAGCCCTGTGTTTGACACTGCCGGTCGCCTTGTTGGATGTCATTTTCATAGCAAGCTGACTACCAATGATGAATGGCGGCGCCTCCTTGCCCGAATATTAGGACGATGAATGTATAATTCTCTTTCTCCCTGATTTTTCTGTGCACAGCTTGCTTGTATGCTAAGTACAGTACATATAGGTATAGATATATGTATTGTATCTTGAGCATGACCGACCTTGGCTGTAGGAACCCGGTCGCTGAAAGCCTGCTGCCTTGTGCGACGGAGAGATCTCGTGCTCATTGCAGATCCCATGGCATCGCGGTAGGCGGTAGGTGTTCTGCAATGGGAGCCGTATCCCATGAAGACTGCTGTCGGAAGAAGTGGAGGTTGCACAATTCTCTTTCCCCCCTGTCCCCTTTTCTTCCCCTCCCCATGCCCTTCTTCCCGGCCAACCGCAAACATCACTGTGCTCTCGCCAAGTGCTATCCCGCTTCTATTGTTACCCTACGACCGACAGACCTAGTTCTATCTTGGGCCAAAAGAATTGTATAAACCTAACGCTCGGACTGCCGGACATGACGATATTTGCCCATGTCTCTCGCTTGTTCCAGCTATTCCTTCTGGCTTACACTATGTGCGCCGTGGTATTAGTGACACACAAAATACTCTTTTACCCCTTTGCCACGTTATTGTCGCCTCTCTCATTGTACACTTTCGGCCTGGTCGGCTCAAACGCTCCCTCTGGTCCTCGATCCGCTCATAGATACGCAATGATTGACAAACCAGATCTGGAAGGCATCCCTCCGCTACCAGCTCATAGTGATTCTTGGCCTCTGGGACTCGTAACTTCTCCGATGTACTGGTCTTCGTCTGAGCTTGTGCAGCGTCTTGGTATGGATCACGCTGCGTCCACCCCGATGCTTGAGGATACGTTCCTAGCGAAGGCTTTCGCGGGAGCCATGCACCCGACGCGCATCATTCCCTTCTACTACAGAGCAACGGGGAAGATCGAGGAAGAAGACGTGACAATCACCACGCTCGTAACAAGCAACAGATTCAAAGTCTTCCGACAGCTCGTGGAACGATACCAAGGTGTGTATTAAAATGTCAGGGTCAAATTCCTGTATACGAACCACTTGCTATGACACCTGGGCGCATATGCAGGCCCAATCTCTGTCACCATCCACATTCCGTTCCCCTCTCAGGCCTCGCTCTCCTCTCTGCCGGCTACCCATCCTTCCGTGAAGGCACTCCAGAGCTTGCATGCACTGTACACGTCCTCGCCGCACTTCGCGACATATGTTGACGTCCACCTTGCCCTCTCACCTTTCGCTGCCCCCGCCTCCACCTCACGTGGTAAAAACAGAGATGCCGACGAAGACGACGGAGAAGGTGTTAGCGCCGGAGGAAGACAGTTCAACCTGTGGCGCAACGCGGCAAGGTTGTTCGCTCGCACGGAGTTCGTGATGATGCTCGACGTCGACTTCGCCGTATGTACGGATTGGCGCAGTGCCCTGCGTGACGCGCTCTGCCGAGTTCACCCGTCGGACTCTGCGCTGCAGTCTGAATTGGATGCGCAGCTCGAGGCTGGCTTGAGGATGGGTGTCAAGACATCTCTCGGTTTCAAAGTGGATGAAGGTCAAGAAGCGACTACTGGGAATGCGGCCTTGAACACCTCGACTATGGACATAGGCAATGTAGAACTCGTTCAGAAGCTCAGAGAAGGAAGGGCTGCGCTTGTGGTGCCTGCGTTTGAATATGTGAGGCAGGAGGACGGTATGGACCAGCGCAGCTTCCCTACTGACAAGGAGGTGTGTTTTTGATGATGCCTACATTTAAACTATTGCTTGGCCTCACGTCCATGAGCCTACGCGTATAGACTCTGTTGCTGCTCACTCGTGCCGCTCCACCTCTCGTCGAGCCCTTCCACGCGGCTTGGGCTGCTGGGCACAACAGTACAGACTATGCGCAGTACGACGCGCTCCCGCCGCGCTCGGGCACTGTTTACAGAGTCACAACCTATCAGAGCGCATATGAACCGTACGTCATCGTCAGTAGACGCGCTACTTGGTGAGTGGAATCTCCAATCTTTCTCATTTATATCGGTTCCACCTATCCTTGACGTGCTTACTATACTGCCCGCGCGCATGTGTCTGAATTGCGCTAACGCGTGGGTATATAGGTGTGATGAGCGTTTCACAGGGTATGGCGCGAACAAGGCCGCCTGTCTCTTCGAGATGTACCTCAGCGGCGTCTCTTTCTATGTCCTGGCCGATCACTTCGTCATGCACCAGAGTCACACGTACGAAGAGCAAGCAAGGAGAGAAGAGGTGAGTGCCACATTTTCCTCTCCCCTCGGTCTTCCCCGTCCCCTCTCTCATTGAACCTACCTTGCATCAATTCTACTGCTTTCTTGATAGAGGAAGTACAACCGCAAGCTCTACGCGGACTTCAAAGAGGAGATGTGTCTCCGGTATGTTGTCTCCTCTGTAAACCCGTTCATTACTGTGCTCCGCATTCCGCATTCCGCATACCGTCCAAACGTGCCCACTCACATGGGTGACCAGTTACCTGCATCGGTACGCCCTCGAAGGGACCTTGCACACCCCGCGTGGGTTCAATGTCCAGGAGGAGTGCAAGAAGATCAAGAACGGGAACGTCGCGCGCTTTGCAGCTCAGGTGAGCCATCCCATCTTTTGTACTCCAGATCTGGACTCACGAGGCATTTGCAGCTCCTCGACGTTGCTAACTGATCACTTTCTGTTGTTGTTCCTGCATGTCTTGGCCCTGGAACTTTGACCTTGAAGCTTGAAGTATGTGACGCGCCTCCATGTTTCAATCGAGCTTGTAGATAGAGCGATGTGTATTCCCCTGCATGTTTTTCCTAGTAATCTCAATAATCAATTGACGAATGAGAGAGCGCAAGCCTGCGGGTATATAGCCGGGTAAATGGCTGCTGTGCACAATACACATCGATGCTAGATACTGCCCCGAATCCCTTCAATCCAATCAATCCCGCCTAAACCCGCGCGCACCTTGCGCAAGCGCTTGCGCGCCCACCGCAGCGGCGTCCTCCACGACCTGCACCCTGCGGAACACGTACCCCCGCCGTTTGAGCTCATCCAGAAGGAGCTGGCGGTAGTTCGCGAGACCGACGAGCGAGCCGCCGAGACAGAGGATGCTCTCCGAGGCGCGGACGGTGCGCGGGCCCGGCGCGGGACCCGGGTCGGCTGCGACGGCCGCGCCCGTGCCCATCCATCCAGTGCTCATCCACCCAGCCTCGCCTCCGTGCACTGGCTGCGCCACCGCGTTCGCATCTTCTGGACGCAGCAGCACGCAAATTTGGTCGGCGAGCGCGCCGCTCGCGATGCGGAGTACGCGGAGCGCGAGCGGGTCCTGGTCCTCGAACGCCGCGGCGAAGACGAGCGGCGCGAGCGCGGAGAGGCGCTTCTCGCGTGGGAAAGACGTCGCGGGTGGGTTGTTACTCGTATTTGCTTCGTGCGCGGCGTGCGCCTCCTCTGGGACGACAGACGCGAGGGTCGTGCTGGAGAGCGGGGGTGTGGGCGGCTCCGGGACCGGGAGGGGGTCGGGGAGGTGGACGATGGTGAGGACCTCGAAGATGTCTTTGACGCCGAAGCGCGCGAGGATGCGGGCCTTGAGCCCGCGAGGTTCCGTCCCTTGTGCTGCAACAGGCGTGGGGGGAGCTGGCGCACCGAGCGGGGCTTGCACGGAGGCGCGATCAGCTTCGGCGAGGAGCTGGCGGATGGCCTCGCGCCCGACGTGGAAGCCGCCGCCCTCGTCACCGAGGATCCAGCCCCAGCCACCGACGCGGCCGAGCTCATCGAGGTTGACGCCGTCCCCGTTGTTCTCGCCCGCGTCCGTTTCGCGGAAGCTGACGACGATGCCGCCGGTGCCGCCGACGCAGCCAACAGCGCTGCTGACGTCGCTGTAGAGTTTGAGCGGTGCAGCGAGAAGGGAGGTGTCGTTGGCGACGCGGGGGCGCACGCCGAGGAGGGATGTGAGGGGTGGGGTGAGGGTCGCGATCGCGGAGGGGGAGTCGACGCCTGAGACGCCTAGCCAGGCTGCGGCGAAGAGCGGAGTCGGGGGCGGAAGCTTCAAACTGGACTCGGGGAGATCGGTGTGTGTTGCCTTGAGGGATGCGAGGGCATCCTCGACGGTGGTGCGGACGACGGCGATGAAGGGTTGTAGGCCGAGATAGGCAAAGTTGGATGGACCACCGCGGACACGAGCGACGATGTTGCCGTTGGTGTCAGCGATGACAGCCACGGTTTTGGACCCGCCGCAGTCGATGCAGAGGTAGAAAGACATTGGAACTCACTGGTATGATGAACAGACACAGAGGACTGTCTGCATGGTTTTATGGCGCACAAAGAATCATTTTGTGATCGGATAACCGCAATCGTACGCGCGTACTGCAGAGCACACGACACGAGATACGCGTTTTTGGTATGAGCATGGCTACAGCCCTGAGGGGAACAATGCCCACCTGTGCAGTAGCAGCGCGATGTACGCCGCAAGCCAAAGCAACGTATGGTCTCGCCTGTGGTTGTTCGAGACCAAAGGCTGACATCTCTGCCGTTGCCCCGCGCGGATCGACGATACGGTGACTTCCTAAATTTGCTATCGCCAGCACTCATCTAGACAAATACCAGCTCGTATGCGCAAATGCACTGATATTAATGTATATACAGCAGTTTACTCGTCGTACAGCAACCAATGCAAAAAGAGTTGCAAAACAATGTCCACAGCCGTGAAGACGCCAGACATCGCGAACGTCACCGAGCAATGTTAGTAACAAGTCAATTGTGTCCTCCCCAAGTACATGATGCTTGAGACCGGCCGTCCACGTCGGAGGTCCTGGGCCACATCCTTGACGCTTGCAGTGCCCATCTGCTCGGTACGTTAATATTTGCCCAGCGCTCAGGCCTGGAGCTCGAGGCTACGTTCAAATATAAACCTGCTTCTTTGACTCTGATAGATTTCACGATGCAGGGGCACTGCGATCTCCAACACCAACCGGCGGCTGAAGCGCTGGCTGCCAGTGAACGACGGATGGCCAAGCGTACTGTGCTAGCGACGGTCACTGGCGGCCGATGTGCAGTGTACTTCATGACTATGGTGAACTTTTACTTGGGACTCGAGGGTGGACACTGCACTGGCGCTCGCGTGGATTCTTTGCCACTGGCTGACAGATTATTGTTCTGGTTTCTAGTTCTGTTCTCCGTCTACTTCGTTCATTTGGTATGCGCGGCTAGTTGGTTTTACCCACTGCAGTTATTCTCCCCCGACGTCATGTTGTGTGGTTGACGCCAACAGTGACTTCATTGCCTCAAGGTTCTGACCTCATGTCTCGATCTTCTTTCTCTACCTGAAGCATGATCATTGACTCCATGGCAGCCATATCAGACTCCTACGACAGTTATTCTCATCCGTTTTCCCGGCTTCCTGCCACCAATCTTCTATGTCGTCCGCGTCTCGTCGTGACATCATATTGCGTGGTCTCTGCGTGTCCTGCATCGGCCGGAACCTCAGTACTGTCCTTTACATAACGCCTGACACTGCCAGGACGTCGATCAGTGGCGCTTTTGTTTTTTAACTGATGGCCCCATCATGGAAGTGTCAATCTCCGCATGTGGGTTTTTGCTACTTATCCTGAACTCCAGCTTTGCTCATGTTGCTGTATCAGAGAGCCCCACAAGATCGCATAACACTATCCTCGACGATTTTGCCCCCATATCGGAGCGCCAGGTGTAGATATTCACACTTTGTTGCCTCTACCGACGCCACGTAAGCTAGACTGAGGCACGATGTCGAACGGGATCAACTCGACGATGGGGGCACTCCTCTTGGGTGTGCTTTTCGGTTCGGTGTAATAAGTTTCCGGATTATCTTTGTGCCTAGACTCTCACCCCGATCTCTTGCTTGCTAGCGGGTTCGGGATCACCACCGTACAGACGTTCCAATACATTAGAAATTTCCCAAATGACCACTGGCTTATCCGAGCTACAGTAAGTGACCTTCCATTCATCTGTTCTTCTCAGTGCAAATTCATGCTCGTCTCAACCTGCGGTCAGGTGTACCTACTCCTGTGAGTGGCAGGTCTCGCCTAATGCAATAACTGCGGGAGCGCATGCTGACATGTGCCCCGAAAGTGGCCTTGACACCCTCCACGTTGCGTTTTGCTGGCATATGATGTACCACTTCTTGATCCTCAACTACAATAACTCGCCTGCACTGGGTGTGGCACCATGGTGAGCGCTTAGTTCCAGCGGGTGTGCTGTTCTTGCTGAATGAGTTGGGACACACAGGAGCTTCAGCGTGAGTTGTTTCTGTGTGATGTTTTCTCATTGCGCATATATTGATTTTTTTGTGGGTTAGATCTCTGTCGTTATGACCGTAAGTCGTTTTGAGCGGGAAAAATGCATTTATTGGTTCGCTAAAGTCTGAACAATATTCCTTCGTCTCTTCTCAGGTTTTCATATCTGTTATTGTACAATGGTTGGTTTTTTTTTTCTGCCTGAGTTGGCCTGGGTACCCTTTATTGAGTCTTACATTCACTGTGTGTCGCAGTTTCTATGCTCGCCGGATGTTCCTATGTGAATAATCCCTCAACACTTCCGTAGCACATCTGACAACGGATACAGTGGGAAACCGCAATTGGATCTTGATGATACTGATTGTATGTCCGTCTCAGTCGCCTTTTCATTCTCCATACATTGCCTTTCTATTACCATAAATGTTACTACATCCCCTCCCCCTTCACCACCCTGATGTATCGCGCGAGTGGAGTCAGTGCTCTAACGCATGCCTCAGGTTCTAGTAGCAATTTCAAGGCTGGGTGCGTTATTTATCGTTATTTGTTGTTCCTGGACTTTTTTAGTCACCCACCTTGTCGTTTTGTTTACATATCACAGTCCTTGGTATGAGTGAGTGTATTGATCTAGAAATTTAGTCTCTTCCGGCTAACAATCCAATTCGGCTTACAGTTGTCGCGGTGTCGTTGTACGTCATTTGTGGCTAAGGTGACTAACTAACTTATATGTGTTGTGCCTTTCCCAGCTTCTTGCGCCCATCCTTCGACGCCGCCTATAAGGATCTCGCTGTGAGTCTCTGCCACTTCGGTACCATGATCTCATAACTTGAATGTGATCAGCCACAAATTGGATTGGCATTGGGCCTCAGCACACTCATAGACTGTTCCATTGCCGGCTCCCTGGTGTACTATCTCAGGAGCCACCGGACAGGTTTCAACACGTGAGTCGTATGTCCCTCTTCAGACATGCTAGTTGAATTGACGGTGGAGTTGGGTCGTGCACGTAGAAGGTTCGTGCTTGCCATTGCATTTCTACTCACTCACACCGTGGCGAATTGCTGGTTGCAGAACGGATGGTGTAAGCACGAATGAGGATACTCTTGGGTAGATGTTGACCATGTGATCTAGTTCCTGGACAAGTTCACGTACTGGTCGGTCAGCAACGGTTTACTGACCAGGTGAGTGAAATCCTTGTCTCGGCTTCCCTGGTGACCAGACACTGATGTACCCATCTAGCATCGTCTCTGTTGCGATCATCATACTTGTAGGCACTCCGATCTGCTGCTTACAGTAGGTGACATCGCTGAGCTTACAACGGAGCAGTTTATCGTGCGGCCAGACCTGATCTATCTCGGGGTGTACATCATCCTCAGCAAACGTGCGTACCGCCCTGGCTGTTCCCTCTAATTCTTCTTCATCTAACCATCGTCCCCATGGACACAGTGTATATCAACGCCCTCCTCGCAAAGTAGGTCCTGTCCGAGCTGTCCGGATCCAAACCCGCTCACATGCTCCCGAATGCCAATGTTGCGGGATCCGCGTCGCAGCCTCAACTACAGGAAAGTGATCCGCGGGCGCGGCGTCGACGACACCGACACGATGGATTTGTCGGGCTGGTGCGCCTCGTTACCGATGTTTAGCTTCAGGAACTGGAGCGTGAAGGGGACGGTGAAGGGGACGGATGGCTTGGTAGGGCGTCGTTCTGATCGCTTGCTGGTGATACTGAAGGTGACTCGCTGATGCAGGTGCAGCCATCGCCGAGTGGCGTGCAGATTGTTACGATGATCACTACGGATCGGGTGCAGGACCTTGGTGCTGATGAGGATCCGGACGTGGTCTTGGTTGTAGAGGACGACCGCGGGGCGGATGCGAAGGTACTCACATGGTATCGCAGAGAAATTGAGCTCATATTTTGCATTTGTAGCCGGAAGGTCTCGAAAACGCTCTTGCGAGCGCTGCCGAAAATGATAACACCAGGATCTTAGGACCGTGAGCTCACACAGCTCGACGTGTTCTCGTACTTACTGCTCGCTGCACTGACCGTCCGCCCCGATGCACCGTCTTCTATCTGTATCGGTATTCGCAACGCTGCGACTGTGCTTTATTAACCTAACTTATTATGCATCTTCCTCGTATATTCCCCGGGTTGACGGTTTTACGTATCGGGACGTGTACGAATGTCGGACGCACGCCGAGGTACGCACGGTGGAGATGATTAGCTCAGCGAACCGCTTTGCGGAGTAAGTGGTGCAGAAGCAAACCCGCTGGGCTATAATTCCATATTTATTATTTACGAGGAATTAAAGATTGCACGTACGCTGGGGAAGGAAATTTAAATAAAGGACCCGCAAGAGTGTGTCCGCTACGGAGGACACGGTAGGACATGTTGGTGACATCAACCTTTAGGCTAGGCACCCGCCGCCAATCTTGTCCCGACTCATCTCCACGATCGAAATCTGGAGTGCTTACGATGTGCATGTACATACATCCATCTGTCTTGCACTTTCTGTTGGTCTGCATTTACTTACGCACTCCGAGTAACCCACAGGCAGACCCTCATAAATGAGCAGATCACTCGACTCTCGAGCAAAGTAAAGAAAATCGTGCAAGGATAGAGTTAATTCGTTCAAGACGGAACATGTAGAATCGTGCAACATTGCGGTCTGAACAGCCAAGAAACCCACTAAGAATCCGAACCCAGATCCAGACACAAGTTGATAGCGCCCCCTCCGCACGTCGCGTCCGCTGAATCCGTCGCCTGCGTCACGCCAGGGATGCTCGTATGGGCGCCCGTATCCTGGGGATTTTCGCCAAAGTGCTCCGTCGAGCATAACGGCCCGAAGCAGAGTGTCGGGCGCTCTGTGACGTACGGGTTGGTCGACGGCGAGTTCGCGTTCGCGTCGCTCGTGGCACTCCCGTTCGCGGTGGCATCTGCGGCAGGGTTGCTCGAGTCTGCGGTCGCGTGGGTCGAGGTGCTAGGGTGGCTGACGGTGTTGCCCGCTACGGAGTTGGCGTTGGATGCGACACCGTTGGCATTGGACTCGACGCCGTTGGCGTTGGACGAGGCGACCCCATTGGCGTTAGATGCGACCCCGTTTGCGTTGGATGCAACATCGTCGGTGTTGGACGAGGCGACCCCGTTGACGTTGGATGCGGCACCGTTAGCGTTGGACGCAACACCGTCAGCATTGGATGAGGCGACACCGTTAGCATTGGACGCGACGTTGTTGGGGTTGGACGACGCAGCCCCATTGGCATTAATGGCGACCCCGTTGGCGTTGGACGCGACGCCGTTGGCATTGGACGCGACGCCGTTGGCATTGGATGCGACACCGTTGGCGTTGGACGAGGCGACCCCATTGGCGTTAGATGCGACCCCGTTTGCGTTGGATGCGACACCGTTAGCATTGGACGCGACACCGTTAGCATTGGACGCGACACCGTTAGCATTGGACGCAACACCGGCAGCGTTGGACGAGGCGACCCCATTGACGTTGGATGCAGCACCGTTGGCGTTCGATGCAACACCGTCAGCATTGGACGAGGCGACACCGTTAGCATTGGACGCGACGTCGTTGGGGTTGGACGACGCAACTCCGTTGGCGTTAATGGCGGCCCCGTTTGCGTTGGAGGCAACACCATTAGCGTTGGATGCGACACCGTTAGCGTTGGACGACGCAGCCCCATTGGCGTTAATGGCAACCCCGTTGGCGTTGGATGCGACACCGTTGGCGTTGGACGCGACGCCGTTGGCGTTGGACGACGCGACACCGTTGGCATTGGACGCTACACCGTTGGCATTGGATGCGACACCGTTGGCGTTGGACGACGCGACGCCGTTGGCATTGGACGCTACACCGTTGGCGTTGGATGCAGCACCGTTAGCATCGTTCCCTGCTGTACCCTCCGTACCGCTCGCAGTGTTGCCAACCGTTGCAGGCACAGTGTTGCTGTTGACGTTCTGGCCGTTCGCAGTCGCCGAGACCGATGCAGGGCTGCCGGAGTTGTTGGCAGCCGCCGAAGGATCGCCGTTTGCGGTCGCAGAGACGGCGGCGGGACTACCAGTGTTGTCGCCGTTCGCGGTCGCGGCGACGGCCGCAGGGTTACCGGTGTTGTCGCCGTTCGCGGTCGCGGAGACCGCAGCGGGGTTACCGGTGTTGTCGCCATTCGCAGTAGCAGAGACAGACGCAGGGTTACCAGAGTTGTCAGCAGCCGAAGGGTCGCCGTTCGCAGTAGCAGAGACAGACGCGGGGCTACCAGAGTTGTCAGCAGCCGAAGGGTCGCCGTTCGCGGTCGCAGACACGGCGGCGGGGGTGCCCGAGTTCGTATTCCCCGCGGAGTTGACGTTGACGTTGGCGCCTGGAGATGAACCAGCAGTCGTTCCGGAGTTGGAGTTCCCGCCGCTGCCCGCGGTCGCGGAGGCCCCGTTGGAGCTAGCTGGGTCACCGCTGGTGCTGCCAGCCGCCGAGTTGACGTTGACGTTGGGACCAGACCCGCTGTTGCCGCCGTTGGACGCGACAGAGTTCGTGTTCCCGCCCGCAGGCGCGCCGCCAGCTGAGGAAGTAGCGCCGCCAGCGTTAGAAGGATCGGCGCTGTTTCCGACGGCTGCGGGGTTGCCCAAAGTAGACGCAGCGGGGGCATTGCCTCCTTGGTTAGACGCGGCGGGAACGTTGCCTCCGTCGTTGGATGCCGCGGGTGGGTTGCCTCCGTTGTTGGACGCAGCGGGCGAGTTGCCTCCATCGTTGGACGCGGCGGGGGGGTTGCCTCCGTCGTTGGACGCTGCGGGGGCGTTGGGGTCGCTGTTGCCAGTGCCTGATGAACTAGTACCGGTACCTTGACCCGCGCTGTTGGCAACGCCGGAGTACCCAGAGAAGCTGGGACCGCTGTACGAGCCGACGTCGGCGCTCGCGCCGCCTGAGTGTGCGCCCCGGTTGGATGCCCCGTCGGGCGCACCTCCCGCGCCAGTGTCAGCCCCCGCGGCGGAACTAGCGGGGGCGTTGGCGACGGTGTTCTGGTTGAGCGCACCGAAGACGCCGGAGTTGGCGTTGATGCATTGCTGGAGGAGGTCCTCAGCGACGGAGAGCGGGAGCGAGGAGGGCGGCTGGGCGGTTCCGGCTTGGATTGCTGCGAGGAACGTGCTGGGGTCCGTGATCTGGACGCCGAGGATATTGCAAACCAACTGGTTAGCGGTCTAAAGAGGGACACTCGGTAAGTTTAAGGCCAAGATTTAAGGAGAAGAGGCTTACGGAGAGGACTGGGTCGACCGTGTTCTGGGGCGAGGGAGCACGAGGGAGCACGGGGATGGAGAGAGCGTGGGGGGCGAGGGAGAGGAGGGGAGCCAGGGTAAATAAGGAATGCATGTTGTAAGGAGAGTGGGTAGTAATGAATGTGAGTTGCGAGCGCAGGTAGGATGTGGACGGAGGAAGAGAGGGGGAATGAGGAGGACGAAGGAGAGAGCGGCCTTATATATGGCGGAGGAGGCTGACATGCGCGCGCCGTCGGCAGCCTCGAGGACAGGATCTGCAGAGCGCAGATCCAGTCAGCCGATGCGGGGCGATCGTGTGTACTTTCCTACCTACCATATATATTATTTTCTCCCCGCCTCGCGCGCCGCGGCGGCGCACTAGTGTTCGCGGGGGGTCGCTGGAAATAATATCATGAACAATTAGATGGAGGGATAGAGGATGAGACGGCTCGGGACCGTGGAAGAGTCAGCCGGCGCCTGGGAGCGCTGTGCAAAGGACTGACAGAGATCAATATGACAGGCGCCCTCAATCATATCCTGTCAGATGCCGTGCTTGTCCATCCTCTCGCTCTTCCTTCCCCCCGCCATCTTCTCCTCGACCTCGACCGCTCCCTCTTCTCGCATCTCACTCCTTCTTCCACACCCCTCAACGTCTTATTCTTATGACTCGCGGGCGCAGGAAAGACCTCACCATCCCCCCTTCTCGCGCCCTCCTCCAGCAGCGCGACTACCGCGCTCGCAAGGCCCGTTACGTGGCTGAGCTCGAAGACCGCTGCCAGCGACTCGAGCAGGACAACAGCCAGCTCAGAGAGCAGGTCGACATGCTCCAAGCAAAGCTATGCTCCGCTGGCAACTCTTCCGGACTACCCCCGAGCGCCAATTCCGAAGTCGTGCGCACATCCTCCTTCTCTCGGACGCCCAGCTCGTCTGACCCCTTTGCCCACCGGCACCTGCAGATTGCCGCTTCTTCAGAGCTTATGCACCAGCTCACCGGCGCTGCCACGTCGCTCGCCCGCTTTCAGCAGGTTGCATTCAGCAATGGCAGCTTCGGAACAACCACGGCCGCCCCACCCCCGCAGATGATGCCACACAGCCCCATCCCTCTCGCTACACCTTCTTTCACCCCCTCCCCTGTACCTTTCCCTGGCCGCAGGCTCCCCTCGCCCCGCCCGGGCCCCCGCCTTGAGCACGCCACCTTCACGAGCCCGCTCCGCCACGACACGCACCGCGAGCCGTATACTTCCACCTCGACCTACCCGCATCGTGCGCCACCCATGAGGACCATGGACTCCCCGCCTGCTACCAGTGTGTATTCCGAGTCGTCCGAGTGCTGCGACGGCTATGTCGACTGCCGCGGGTTGGTCGAGGAGGACCACGACGGGCAGTCGGACGAGGAGGACAGTCCCCAGTCCACCCCCATCATGCAGCACTTCGCGCCGCGCACCTCTGACATGCGCTCTACCTCGGAGGAGGACAGCGCCATGCCGCGCGCCGGAAGGTCTCGCTGACTCTCCCTCGCGGCACCTATATCATGATTTATGGGTGAGTCCTCTCACCACTCGGTGCTGGGGGTGGAATCTTAAAATGCGTTTGGTAGAATGCTATCTTATGGTCATCGAGTCTTTGGATCCCCAAGCTATCGTACCTATATTGCCTTGTCTAGCTCGGATTTGCTATCTGCTCTGCTTGTAGCGTACCTACTTTGTAATGTCTGGATGTACAAGTTATACTAGTCGGGCCTCGTCGTCATTGTGTTACCTCCTAATCGATATTTTTTGTTGTACCGTCCCGTATACAGCGCGTGCTGACACCCGACCGGACTCATCGGGCAAACTGCGTGGATCGCAGACGGGATCAAGATCAGATTTGCACCTAAAACATCAGATGCTAGTGTCCACAGCCTCCTGCAAGTTCCGGAGGCGCTCATCATAGTCCCACCGGTCCAGTCCGCCAAAGTCAATCTTCATCGCGCCCGACGAGAGATTCACCTGGAGCTCGCAGACATGCCTCACCCTCGCCCGCCAGCTATCCCCTCTGCGCCACGAGCAGAGCGTTAGATCTCGCTCAATGCTCGCACAGAGACGGACTCACGTGGCAGTGCCGTACATACCGCCCTGCTGGCTCACGAGCCGCACACTCTGGTCCACGTTCGACCGCGCATCGTATACCCACACCGTCTTGCCCACGTACACCTCCTGCCACCCGTCCTGGTCCACCAGCCGGTGTGCCTTCGCCTTCGGCGTGTCCGCCGGACGCGGGGGCGCGCGTCGGACGTCAACATCATTGAGCAGGCGCAGCGCCGCGAGATTGCTGATGTGCATCAGAGCGGCGCGCGATGGCGAGGGCGCGTCTACGACGAAAATGATTTGAGAAGACTCTTCTTCCTCGGCGTCATCGTCATCCTGGTCCATCTCCTCGTCCCCCGCGGCCTGTTCGGTCGCGGGCGCGTCGTCGCCCGCCTCCATGGCCTCGTCAGTCGCGTCCTGCTCTTCTGCGGCGACCTTGAACTCCGCCTCGCCTTCTTGGAGTTTTGCACAGAACGCTTTCCACGCCTCCTCGTCAGAGTAGTCCGTGCGCACGAGGACGCCCAGCCCGGGCGCGTCCCCAGAGAACGCGTCGTACGGATCGCCGTCCGTCGCGAAGTCAGCCTTCCCGAAGCGATCCGTCGATCCGCGAGCCTGTTCGAAGGCGAAGATACACTCGGGTAAGCGGAGAAGTGTGCGAAGTGCGATCAGGCGAATTTGATAGATGTGACGCACCGAGGAGGTCGAATTCGCGTAGGCGGCCTTGTCGTTTGCGGAGAGGCCCCAGAAGAGCTCTGCCGCGCGTAGACGCCGCTTGCGCCTGCCCTCTGTGGGGTACTGCGCTTTTATTGCGGGGTATTTGTCCTACTGTGGACACGCGATCAATGCGATGACGAGAGCGAGATGCGGAGACCGCTGCTGACCGCAAGAACATGGGAAAAAGGCGAGGAAACGACATCCGACTCAACCTGCATCTCGTATCACTGAGCTGCTGTATGTATGTTGTCGCTGTGTACGAGAAGGGGGTCCTTCTCAAATGTGATGAGAGCCACACCCGACTGTTGTAGTCCAGAAGGAGCAGAAGGTCGGACAATTTAGACGGAGCTCGAAATGTTCTACGGACTCTGTACACCGGCAATTGAAATCGATAAGCCCGCGAGTATAGGACTTGGCTACAAACTGTCCTACAGGCAAGAATGGAGAACCCTGGTCACTTGGAAGTCTTGGGGTATATACAAGTATATTACAAAGTTGGTGGCATGCACTTGAGTGTGCACGCTGAAATGCAGCAGGGTCCTTGGGTGTGGTGACGCAGAGAGCTGGACTGCGGTCACGGTGCGGCAGTGCACATGGGTATGTTGTGCAGCGGGCATGCGTGGTAGCAGTGGTGAATGCCGGCATGTGTGGCAGGCGACGGCAGCAGCGAGCGCGCAGACGCGCGACCTGAGGCGATGTCGTGGCGGCGGCGCAGTGCTTGTTAGATACGGCTTGATGGATACGGCACGCTGAGAGGGCGACAGTGAGCCGGTAAGGAAGTTCGAGCTGTTGGTTTCGGGCCTGTATTCGACGCTATGCTATTCTTATCGTCGTCGTCTGGGATCCGCTGGGCTACCAAACACTTGCGCTCGATCCGGAGTTGAGGTGAGGGCGAGGGCGAGGGCGAGTGGAGCGTTGCGCTCGATGCGACCATGCACCGGACATCCGGATGTATGGCCTGGACTACAATGCGTTTTTGTGGTTAGCACCTAGAAATGTATAGGTTGTTTTTTGCTTACCAGCGAACGTCGAGATCACCGAGTGCCGTCCGCAGCCTGTGTGTGGCCGAGTAAGTCTTCCGGAATGTGGGCCAGGCATTGTCAAAGCGGCGACGGTGAGCACACGAGTGCAGGGCGGGGCATAGGATAGGGTGGGTGTGCGCTGGTAAGGACGGGTGCGCACGAACGCCGGCGTGCACAGGGCGGTACTAGGGGCCATCGCACTAGGCGTGGCGGCATATTCAGTGTGACATGGCCAGTCTTATGCTAGTTCTCCTGGAAGGGCGAATGAACAACCGGGTAGTAAAAAGAATTAGTATGTAGGAAATAAAGAGAATTGTACCTGCACCCTGGGCTTTGTACCTTGCGTTGCGTCGCATTCCTCTAAGGCGACGAGCGGCGAGAGGACCCCGCTGAATCCCCGAAATCGCAGGCCGGACTTCCGATCTCGGACCCCCGAAAATGGTCCAAAAACCGGTACAACTTATGTGCAGACATCCCCGAAATTGTCCCCTTTGGCGAGGCAGTGCGAAACCCCCGAAAAAAGGTTCCTGGGAGAAATTTTCCTGGAGACCCTCAACGTGGAAGGATTTTCCGGCGAAAATTCGGTTTGAACCCGGCGGAAGCCCATTTCTCACCGCAGATGTTCGATCCCGCTTTCCCCGAAACCGGGAGGCCGGGACCTTGGTGCGAAACCCCCGAAAATCACCGTCTCCTAACCCGCGAAAATGGCCTCCGGGGGGATCGGAGCTCTAAGCGAGTTACGGGGGGTCCTGAGGTGCCACCGTGCCTTGTCGCGATCGACACGCGAGTCTTTGAAAGGCAACAGTACTAGTCGCACTTGTACTCCATCACACGCGATACTGCACCAGGCGCAGGCGCGACCGAGCGATTCGTGCTCTCTTCTGTGGCAGGAAGATTAGGTATCCTCCCTGTAAATCGTAGGTGCGTTGGCGTCAGATGATATCTGTCACAAGATGCATCGTCTCCTTCCTTAGGCGACTCCAGGCTGGAGAAATCGCGGTGGGAAGATGCTATATCGGACCGTGTCAACTTCCCCCAGGTCATGCGGGCTTGTTTCTCTATATCTTCATCCTGCACGCATGAAGGCGGAGCTCCACCATTGCCATCTCCTATATAGCAGGCGATGAAGGAAGCGCGAACGTGTTCCTCGCCTTCTTCACGCCATGGCTGCGGGAACGACTGGCGAGTCACCTATCTGCGTGTCCCACCGTATTTGGCTGATAGTTTTTTTGCGTTCGCGATGTAGGTGCTCAGCTCTCTCAGAGAGAGTGGCTTTTTGCGTTTACACTGGTCACGACGCTGTTCTTCACGTGGGGCTTTGCGTACGGCGTGAGTGCTCCGTACTTCTGTTGATTGTGTGGGATTACCGATGAATTGCTCGACGAATAGCTTCTCGATGTCCTCAATGCCCACTTCCAAGTCGTGTTCAAGATTTCTAAGCTGAAGAGCACGATGCTCCAGTTGGCATACTTTGTACGTCTTACCATTCATTTCGCAGTATTAGTTAAGCAGCCTTGACCTGATCATAAGGGAGCGTACTTCGTCTATGCACCTATTGCTGGAGCGTTCGTGAGTACATTGATTCTCCTCCTATCTCTGAGATCTTTTCTCAAAGAATGTTCACAGATGAGGAAATATGGATATAAGGTCTGCCGTCGTGATCGCGCGCGAAGTTCTCCTGCCGACGTGAAGTCGCCTCTAGAAAGGGATTCATATGGGTCTCACATATTACTCCATAGGTAGGGACCAATTATGTCTCGACCATCATTTGCACACTCATTCACGATGTGAACAGGCGCGATCTTTTTTTGGCCCTCTGCCAAGTACGAAAAATACCCTGGCTTTGTAGCCAGTACGTTCGTCATTGGTGCGTACCCCGTATTAGTTGCGTGCCGCATTCGAGCTATGCGTATTGACAGAAGTACGCTTTCTGTAGGCTGTGGACTCTCGTGTCTGGAAGTGGCAGCCAACTCATACATCTCCGTCCTTGGTTCGCCCAAATATGCGGCCGCACGCCTCAATTTCAGTCAGGGTTTCCAGGGTGTCGCCTCCTTTGCCGGACCTATGATCGCGTCGCGCTGGTTCTTCCAAGGAAAGAATGCGACCACGCTCTATACAGTCCAATGGTTGCTCCTCTTCACTGAGTGTGTACGTCAAATGCTGATGGAATTCAACACCACAGGGTATATGTCGCCGTCGCCGGGTTTGGCCTTGTTCTCAATATATTATTCTAGTGAGTTGATTAAGTTTTTGCATTGTTTATCTTCGACGAAGATCTGACCCTTGCTTTCAGTTTCTGCCCTCTCCCTGAGATTAATGACGACGCATTGGCGGAGGAGATGCAGAGTGTAGGCCTCAATGGGGAGGAAGAACCCTTCTGGAAACAGTACCACTGTATTTTCGGCTGGTAACTATTTGCAACAACTCTTGCGATCGACTTCTGAATATAGGGTTTGTTTATGATGTAGGGTAGCACAGACAACCTATACGCGAGTTCCCTCTTACGCTCATGAACTCATTTTCCTGACAGTCCTTCTCTTCAGCGGCGCCCAAGTCGGAGTGGCCGCCTTTGCCGTGAACTTCCTCGTCGGCCAGAATGTAGGCATATCGGAATCACATGCCAGCCAGCTCTTCTCGTACTGTCAAATCACCTTCACGGGAGCACGGTGAGTGCTGATCTGAATGCTTTGTGCGCAGACTAAGCATTGTGTTGGCAAATAGATTCATCGGCGCCGCGCTGCTGAATTTTGTTGACCCCGCGCTGATGCTGACAGTATTCGGCTTTGGCTGTTGTGCGTTCTCTCTGGGCGTTGCGTATGCAGGCGGGAGGGGCGGCATAGGTTGCCTCTTCGGTCTCTTCTTCTTTGAGTCGATTTGCTACCCTGTGAGCACTACCCCCGCCTCTCAGTAGTCGGTAGGACACACATTGATCAGCCTTGCTGTGAAGGTCATTTTCACACTCGCCACTAAGAACCTGGGTCGACACACAAAGCGCGGCTCTGGCTTAGTTGTCATGGTCAGTCGATCCATTTCCGTTACGATGGAGAAGATTCCTGACATCCTCGATATCAGGGCGTGGGAGGCGGTGCATGGTACCCTCCAGCCCAAGGGTCGATCGCGGACAGGAACGTTGCGCACTCGTACATCGTACCTTTCAGTGGCTACGTAGCAATGACGGTCTATGCTGTGTAAGTGCCGACTCATCGGATGGCCCTGTTGCAGAAGTTCACCTTGCCTTGCGACGTTTTTCGCTATAGCGGAATGGTCATCAGCCAAACCGTCAAGGGAGGATTCCGCTTCCGCACTATCGACGAGATACAGGAGAAGCGTGCGGAGATCGATCCGGAGCCAGGGACTCCCGTGGACTTCGAGAAGAAGACCGCCGAGGAATATGTGGAGGCTCTATGATAACGCGCGTTCCTGGCGCCGTTCATTCCAACCCATTCACTCAATGGACGACATCGCTCTTTTACGACCCTTGCACGTCATTGCGAAGCATTACTGAAAGTTCGGCGTACACGCATGCACAAATTCTATTGTATTGTAGTCAAGTTGTAGATCTAGCGGTAAATCCGACCTTCCTACTGGCACCGTCCAAGCCCGAATGGCATTTTCGAGGCGCGATGCTGAGCTATCGAGGGGCAGCAAACTCGAGGACAATGGAGATCTATAATGGTGCACCACGCTTTCTAACCCGCGACACCCCAAATTCTCTTCAGCATGAGTGTGAGTAAGACACTAGGTCCGGGGGTCTTTACGATGCATGGAACACCGGGAGGCTGCTCCGCGCCTTCCTGCGGCAGAACGGGTGGCCGTTCCAGCTCCACCTGGGCAGGCAACGCCGTGGATTCGAAAGTTCCGGCATGGCGGAATTGGTGCTGCTCGAGCTCTGCTTGCACCTGTGCGCGATTGGCGCCCGGGTCGTAGGCGCCCTGCTCGTCCCGCCGGTCGACGACGAGCATGCCGCGGGAGATCTCTCCGAGGCTAAGAGATATTAATATGAGGGTCGCACTGAAGATGTGCGCCGCGATACTGACCGTTCAACCTTGAATCTTCTCTTGGTCGCCTTCCATCCCGAACGGACGGCAGGGAGACCGCCCTCGGTCTCATCAGTAACGGGCGGGTTCTCGATGGCGCACCACACCGCGACGAGGTCGTGCAGCTCCATCGCATCTTTCCCGAACTCGATCATGATCTCGCGCGTGCGCTCCAGGAACGAGCTGGTGAAATGCACGAGCGGCGGCTTTCCTTGTGCCTGGGACGGTACGGCCGTGGAGTGGAAGGCCGGGTCTACCTTGTCCTTGTAGTACGGGAAGGGCAATTCGTGGGGCGTTGTGATGTCGAGAGGGAGAAGAAGAAACCGTTCTAGAGGCAGGCCCGAGTCAACCATCGTCGGTGTGAGTAGCTCTTGGACAGCGTATGGGTCAGCAAAGAAGTTGACTAGTAGACCGCAATGCATCACGAAATTAGTGCTATTTATCACAAAGGCATCAGCGAGAATATCCACTTACATTCTGCCACTGGGCTCGTGTTCCCAGGTACATCCAACGCACCGCCCATACATACGACGCGTCCGATGCGACTCCTAATGAGGTCACCATCTAGTCTCATAGCATGGGCTAGATTCGTGAGGGGTCCAAGGGCAAGATATGTAATACTTCTCGCAGGTCGTGCGCGGATCAGATCAAGCACAAGCTCAGGACCCCATGTATTAGATAACTCCAACTGAGGGTGATCCGTCGGGTTGACATCGCTGATATTCAAGTCGGGATGACGTTGTGACAGTTCTGTCAAGCCATCTCTTATTGACGAAGCGGTTTTAGAGGTGAATACAGCAGCACCTGGTCCGGTGAAATGTCTTACCGGCCATGGAAGTATTGTGCACTATGCAGATCGCCTTCCAGAGGTCCTTCGGAACCTCTGGCCAGGATAACTCTGGTGGGCGGAGAATAGTTGGGGAATTGGGATTTGTCTTCTGGGTGGCAGTCAATATGGCGGGCAATTGCTTGGTAGATCTTCAGTATATTCGCACTTTGGTTGTGGTATTACCAGCCTAGGTTCACAGAAGATATATTTAAAACTCACTATGACGCCTGAGTGTCCGTGTTGCCTGTGGTCGCGATGCTCTTAACGCATAAAGTAGTTGGGAGATGGTGATGGACGTACCAAAGGAGATAATTATAGCCAAGACTTCAAGCTCAGGTGAAGTAAGAGCGAGCAAACTAGTGGAATACTCAAGATCATGGTGTCGCCAAATTATCATGTAGGTGTACGAACATCGCTAGAGTATCATCGACGCCTGGATCTGTATCAACTGTATTGGAGCACGATCAGCCGTAAGTTCCACTGTCATGGATATCCAGATAAGTACACACTGATCACAGGAATCTTGCCAGTGTAAAAACCGTCTGAACTCATGGCTGCAGACATGCACTCTCTCCGGGGTAACAAAGTGGATGAGTCAATAGACCTCATACACGTGACGTTACGGCACCAAATGGCAGAAATTCTAAGTACAAGGAGCAGGAGTAACTCGAGGAGAACGCGAACTAAACGCAACGGCCACAGCACGCCATAGACTGGGACGAAGAGACGTGGAAAAGACACGCATCCATTGAAGATTATATACAACAACCTGACTAGCTACCGTAAGGGGACCAACTCAGCCTGTGATCGGATGACGACGACACACCAGAACAATATTGTCTACTGCTCGAGCTGTGGAACTGACATCCTGTTCTAGATCTGACACGCCGGTGTGATCTGAGGGTTGACGGTCAGTCTCAAGCACCGAAATGAGCAGTGAACCGCATCAGAGATCTTGGTGGAAAAGTAGTCTCATTGGGATAACCCTCTGAAGTAGCAAATATAACTAGATAGCATCACTTGGGAAGGGGAAAAACACACACTTCCACGAGGATGAACTACATGTACTGACCTCAATAATTAATACAGTCCGTGCAGAGATCTCGAGTTTGCGAAGAAGGACATGATCTCAGTTTTTCTGCTGAAAGTGCTGTAAAGGTGTGGAGCTAGAGAGGAGCAAAAGAGTAGAGAGAGACACGGCCCTAAGTTCGGTTCGCGTCGAACGCGGGTTTATAAGTTCGGCAATTGCCGTAGCTGTACAGTACCGGTCACGGTGGCTGTCACAAGTCCCGTGGAGAATTATCGCAACAGCGGGAGCAGCTCGACACCGCCGCCAACGCCGACGACCCCCGCACCCCCTTCGTCGCACACTCTACATCATGGAACAGCTCCGCTACCTCGGCTCTATGGCCGGCCACAAGGGCTGGGTCACCGCCATTGCGACTTCATCCGAAAACCCGGACATGATTCTAACCGCCTCTCGAGGTCTGTTACTAGCTCTGCATATATCCTCTAACCAGCCTGATACCTCTCCCGACGTGTCGTGACGGATAGACAAGACAATAATTGTGTGGCAGCTGACCCGCGATGAGGACCAGTACGGCTACCCGAAGCGCATCCTCCATGGGCATAACCACTTCGTCTCCGACGTTGTTATCTCATCCGATGGCCAGTTCGCCCTCTCCTCCTCGTGGGATCACACCCTACGCCTGTGGGATCTTAATACCGGTCTCACCACTCGCCGATTCATCGGCCATACGTCCGATGTCCTGTCCGTTAGCTTCAGTGCTGACAATAGGCAGATCGTCTCGGGTTCGCGCGACAAGACAATCAAGCTCTGGAACACCCTCGGGGAGTGCAAGTACGACATCAAGGACGATGGTCACACTGAATGGTGAGTGTACGCGATTGATAATCATACTGGGGTGTAGAATCATTGTTCCATCACCTGGGCATTAGGGTATCGTGTGTCCGCTTCAGCCCGAACGTCCTGAACCCTGTTATTGTCTCTTGTGGGTGGGACAAGGTCGTAAAGGTGAGTCCGATTGGTTTCACGATATTCTCTCGCCTTTCTACTTCGGCATGATGTTACAATATATTTGCTACTTCAGAGAGGTTGCGACCTCAATGAGACCATATCAATCACCAAGATCTCTGACCGTTTATTCAAATTCTCCTCCCGTGATGATTGACTAGTATTGACCCCTTCACAGGTCTGGGAGCTGTCGAAGTTCAAGCTCAAGACCAACCACTATGGTCACACTGGTTACATCAACACCGTCTCTGTCTCTCCCGATGGTTCGCTCGCGGCGTCGGGCGGCAAGGACGGTATCACAATGCTGTGGGACCTCAACGAGGGCAAGCACCTTTACTCCCTCGAGGCTGGCGACATCGTCAATGCACTTGTCTTCTCCCCCAACCGCTACTGGCTGTGCGCAGCAACAGCAACTTGCATCAAGATCTTTGACTTGGAGAGCAAGTGCGTACCTAGTACTTCAGATCGCTGACAATAACATCGTACTTATGTGCCCTAATTTCAGGTCGATTGTCGATGAGCTCAAACCCGACTTCGCACAGAGTGCGTCCTCTCGGGAACCCGAGTGTGTGTCGATCGCCTGGTCTTCGGACGGCCAGACGCTCTTCGGTGGCTTCACAGATGACCTCGTCCGTGTGTGGTCCGTCGTGTCATAAGTCTTTACACTACCTATGTACAAAGTGTGATTTATGGCGTCGGATGGTGGTCTGGAGTGTAGGAGTGGGGCGAAGGGAGCTGCGTCACATGTGGACGTCACCGCCTGTACCTTCAAAAATCAATGCATCTCTTTGCTTTCTTCCGTTGTTATGTATTTGGTGCGTTGTTCCATCTTAGCTACTCCGGACGTCCAAGCATTTCATCTTTCGTTACAAAGGCCAGTCATCTCCACTTTTCGAGTTACGATGTACAGGTCGCAGATGACGATTCTAACGCTACAGGATCCACTGTTATACCATTCTTCAGCGCACTAGATGTCCGTTACGCAAAGCAATCCTGCTCATGAGGTCCCTCTACATAACGTTCCCTTCTTCCCAGGATAACAGACTGTCATCGCCCAATTTCTCTTTGACGAGATCCTCACTGAGGTTCCACAACCTTCCTCCCAGTTCCTTATCGCACGCCATGGCGCTCTCCTGCCCAGCGACCTCGGGATCGGTAATGTGTTTTCCCTGCCACTTCTTCGCATCCCGCTCCACCCCCTCGCTCGTCGCCGCCCACAGAGTGCTCGCGCTGCCCTGCTCTGGGCTACGCATCAACGGGATCGTCGTGTGCTTCATCAGGTTCTCGAACAGCGAGCCGTACGCGTCCTTGAACTGGTCCTGCTTCCCCGTGTGTACCGCCCCGGGATGCGTGGTGAGCGCGAGGACGCGGTCGCCCGCAGGGCCCAGGACACGTTCCACCAGCCCATACTTGACGAAGAGAATGTTTGCAAGCTTACTGCGCGCATATAGTCCTGTCGGGTCGAGCTCCCCCGAGTCGACGTCCGATCCGCGCGTGAGTTCCTCGCGTGACGCAAAGCGGACCGAAGAGGGCGCGGCTGCGTGTAAAGACGAGGAGACACAGATGATGCGCGGCATGGACGACTCGTCGCGGGCTGCGGTGCGCCGGATGAGCGGCAGCAGGCGATTGGTGAGGAGGAAGTGCCCGAGGTGGTTCACCATGAAGTGACAGTCGAGGCCCTCGGCGGAGACGTCGGACTTGTTCACGCCGATGCCCGCAACACAGATGAGCTGGTGGCGTTGTCAGCGGGCACATTTGACCGAGTTTGACGAAGAACGTACGAGGTCGAGTCGGGGTTCCTGCTCCCTGATCTGGTCTCCGACTTTCTTGACATGCTGCAAGTTGCCGAGATCGCACTCGATGAAAGTCACGTCGGCGAGCGGTCCTGTCTCTTTGAGCTGTGCCTTTTTGATCTTGGATATGGCATCCTCGCACTGTTCTCCTTCGCGGGAGAGGAGAATGACCCGAGCTTGAGCGAGGGCAAGAGCCCGAGCGACTTCAAAGCCGATGCCATCTGTCCCGCCAGTGATTACGGCCGTCTAGAAGATGCAGGTAAGTGGAGTGTCTACATCCTTGACATATAATGCGCACTCTGCCTTGCAGGTTAGAGACATCCGATGCACTGAACTTCGATTTTCCGGAGAGCATGTTGAGAGCTGCCTTCATTGTGAACGAAGTGGTTTCTAGGAAAGGGGAGACGAATGGTGTTCCGTAGGAGCGTGCGTAGAGTCAAAGTCAACACGCAGGCCGGCGAAATATGGTTGGAAAGAAAAGGAGAGCGATCTCAGCCATGTCTCCGAAGCACGATCACCAACGAACTTACCTGCCCTATTTGGACGTACACTACCCGCTTTTGGAAGACTTTGATTTTGACTTCGAACATCAATTTCGACTTCAAAATGAATTTGCACGGCTGAGTCTTCGTCCTCCTTCTCCTTCTCCACTTCATCAGACATGGATTCCACAACAATAGAAACAACTCAAGAGGGGATGTCGACGCTTGGACACGATCAGGTAGCTTCTGATGGTGTGTTGCACACGCCCTCGCCCATGCAGGGTGAACCGCGAGGTCCGTTTCACCTCTTTTAAATCCTAGCACCCTCGAAATCCTGACGAAAATTCGTTCACACTTCATTAAGCACTGGTAAAGCGCCTCAGTATCATAGATCGGCTCTTGACACCCGCCATCCTTCTGGCGATGATCACGGGAGTTCTCATCGGCGAGTTCGTCCCTGGCGTCCAAGCCGCATTCGACACCGTCCGCCTTCAAAGTGTCTCAGTCCGTAAGTGCAGTCGCTCCGAATTTGGTCGATAAACTCACCTGTTTCACTCCGTTAGCTATCGCCATCGGCCTCATTGTCATGATGTACCCCATCCTTACCAAAGTGCAGTACGAATCCCTACTCCGCACGCTTCCCACCCGGGAAATGCTCGCACAGCTCCTGCTCTCGTTCATCCTGAACTGGATTGTTGCGCCTTTTATAATGTTAGCACTAGCGTGGGCGACACTCCCGGACCTTCCTGCGTATCGAGCAGGCGTGCTCATGGTCGGCGTGGCCCGCTGCATCGCAATGGTGATGGTCTGGACGGATCTGGCACGAGGAAACATGGAGTACTGCGCTATCCTCGTTGTAGTCAACAGTACATTGCAAATAGTGCTATACGCACCGTATGCTCTATTTTTCATCAATGTCGTCGGCGGCCAAGGTGCCGGCAACGCCATCCACGTCTCATACGGAGACGCTGCTATATCTGTGCTCATCGTAAGTCCCTCCAATCATTGGCCTCGCTCGCCCGCAACTCACCTATATCTTCATAGTACCTTGGGATCCCGCTCGCTGCAGGACTCATTACCCGGATGTTATTTCTCTACCTCACTTCCCGCACCTTCCTGTATACATACGTGCTTCCATACCTTGGCCCTATTGCACCCTTGGGGCTGCTCTACACCGTCATCGTGCTCTTCGCGTACCAAGGTCATCACATAGTGCACGACATCGGCCCCGTCTTCCGCGTCATGGTCCCGCTCATCCTATACTTCACGATCATGTGGGTAGGCACGTTCGCGCTCGTGCGGTGGCTGGGAAGGCGACGCGGTAAAGGGTGGGGTTACGATATCACGGTCGTGCAGAGCTTCACGGCTGCCAGCAATAATTTTGTGAGTGATCTTCGCCTATGTCCTCGTAATAAAACTCAAACTCACCTTCTGGTTCCATGACAGGAGCTTGCAATTGCGGTGGCAATCGCTGTGTATGGCGTCGGCTCCCAGCAGGCACTGGCTGCAACCATAGGTCCCCTCGTCGAAGTTCCGGTGCTCCTATCACTGACTTGGGTCGCTCTGTACCTTGGACGAAAGCTCGACTGGAATTCCGAGGGTCGACAAGAACCATGCGAAGGCCAAAGTGTGGAAGGAAGTGTGGAAGGGAGCAATGAGATGAAAGAGGCTACAGTACACAAGTAAAGTCATGTATATGGTTGCTCCGATCTGAGAAGCTATTCGAAGATGTCAATAGTGCAGATAGGATTAGAAGTACGGTATTCGTACGGTATGATAGTAGATGGTATACGGCTTTGGATCTATTGCCATCTAGCACGGACAATAGGATACTCAACTCTGACGACAGACAAAGTCCGAAAAGGCTCAACTCCACCACGGACTACCACGATGGCCAATACTTGTGTACCGTCTCCGTGCAGACCGCAGGCACCTCCATCGCAGGAGGCGGGCCCTCTATCGGCCGCACTTCAACGTGCTCTATGCATGATTGCAAACGCATACTATCAGCGTCGTCGTCCAAGATCTCCGAGTCACGTTCGACAAGGAGGCGACGGAGGGTATGTCCGAGACTCGCGCGTGCCTCAGCAAATGCAACGATAGTATCGAGCGAGACCAACGACTCTGGGTCCCCCACCTAGATGCGAAGGTTCGCGAGAGCGGGACAAGGGACCGAAGATGCAACGGATGATCCAGAGAGCGAATCTAAAAGATAATCAAGGCCCCTCTGTGCCCACCGGTCACGGGCGCAGTACACCACCGTTGTCAGAGACGGCAACAGCGGTAATAGACCGCTGAGACATCTCCACCCTTCCAACCCGTCCTTCGAGTCAGATATCCAGAGCTCGCGGACGCTAGACAGTGGCCATGGTTCCCACACAGACGGCGTCCAGTCCAGACGGCGAATGTCTGAAGGTGGATGCGCGCATTCGACTTGAAGTCCGGATGCGGAGTCCACAGCGGTTACAGTGACACTACCGGGCACAGGGAGCGTCAACCGCAGCTTCGTGGGATGGTCGTCCTGTCCGAAGCAAGAAAGGCGAGCTAGAGATTCATGCTCGCAAATGACATTGAAAATACGAACCGCCAAGGCTGAAGACCTCGGGATATGGGCGAGGATCCACGTAATCAAACCTGATGACATATCACCCAATGAGAGCCTGCGGAGATCGTTCAATGGGAGTACAGGAAGATCCTCATGCGCTCTGGTAGCCTCAAGTGGGACAGCTACCATGATGACGTCCTGGAGACGAGGACAACCGGTCAAGAACTCCCATAGATCCGATACCTTCCACACCGGAGTGTACCACGCTGGCCAAGCAAAACGGATACACAGATGCGTAAGGTTAGCGAACCCGTTGCGAGGAAGCCAAGGTATCTCCTCCATCGTCAGCGCCTTCAAACGCGGGGCTTCTCCACAGAACAGGAGCGGGCGAGCTTCACCGTTTGGTGAACCAATCTCCTTCACCGACAGATACTCCAAATTCGGAGCAGGGACAGCGGTGTTCCAGAATGTTTGTGTGTAATAAGCATGCAACTCTTGGATACGTGATCCGTCTGACTGCAACAGTCTGGAGAGGCATTTACTAGAGACGTCATCATTGATGAGGACTTTCAGCGGCGCGAGCTCGGAACGCTTGAGGTACGCGGGTGAGACGGGGTGGAATTCAGAGAAACAGATGTGAGTCCAGAGTAAACGTAGGTCCAAGGCGACATCGCGCCAATAGCGACAGACACGCGTCACGTCTCGGAGTGCATGCGTGTCTCTGATGGAAGCGAACGGCCAAACGAAAGCGCAGCTGGAATACTCTAGCGGACGGAGGGCATCCTCGAAGATCTGGCCAAGGATCTCGGGAGGAATACGATTGACGGGACGGGAACAGTTATACGCGTTCCTGATGAGGGATAGAGAAGCAACCAGCATCTCTTCCAAAGCTTTGATCTGCGAGCGAAGTGACTATTAGTACACAATCTTCTCCTCTTCTCCCGGTAACCCACATTATCAATGCTGTGATATGACCGTGTTAGCACCCACATCTAACGTCCAGCAAAAGCACAGACACAAACCTCAGGTCAAAACGTTCTTGTTCGATCGCTGGGAGTAAAGTTTCAGCCAGCTGAAGAGACGTCGACGAGGATGAATGCACGGCGTCCATCACGGACAATTGAGAATTGAGAGAGATTATTCTGATTTGGTTGAGCCACTATTCTCGAACTCTGATAAAGAACAACATACTATACGGTGCTTGAGGTAATCCGTGAATGAACGCTAATTTTCTTCACTGCAGTTCTGGCAGGTGAAAGCACAGTGTTGGGGATAGCAGCAGGGCGTTGCGATAAGCTGTTGGACAAGCTGTGAGCGCTTTGTAGGCCCTTTATCGGTTCATAAACGCAGGGACTTCAATCCAGACAGATTCTGAGGACCGGAGTCAATGCCCGACAGTCCGAGCCTAGACGGTGTCAAGGGGAATCCAATTGAGTGACATGGATATCATCGAGCCGAGACTGACCACACAGTGCCAACAGTCGAAACGAGCGTAGGCCTTTTCATTCCGGTCCACGATGATCCAAGGCGAGGGCGGAAGGGTGGACTCGAGTGAAATCATAGGCGCCTGTGCATGCATACAGCCGATCTGAGATTTGATCGGCAAGACCAACTGAGCGCCCGTGGTAAACCCAAAGGCATTGGCTGCCCCACAGAAGGCTTCAACGCCACCTTCAACGCCACACTAGCACTAGCACTCCTTGGTCTCAATCTTGGTCCAGCAACAACGTTCCCTCGAATCATGATCATCGTACCGGATCACTCAGCGGCAGCGCTTGGTTGTCTATAATGACGGAGGTTGCAGCCGCGCCTTCCCATCGGCCAGCTTGACGAAGTACAATTATAGCCGCACCGAGTATGCACCGATTGGACACAAGCACGAGATAGAGGGCTTGTTGATTGCCTGCTGGTCCTTCTGGTTTCATCACTGCAACACGACAGGGTCTAGCAAAACAGACGCAGGTCCAGAGTGATTCAAACAACCTACCGCATATCGTCACCTCGTGGCCACAACGACACGTTCCTTCCCCCATGGATCTTTCCAGACATCTATGCTGCGCATGCGAGCCTTCACCTCCAGGATGCGCGCGACCTCACCGGCCTGGCCTTCTCCAACTTCGAGCGCCACTAACCCATCGGTGCGCAATGTTCGTGGGTCGCTCAAGAGGCCAGCAATAGAGTGATAGAATGACAGCCCCCGCTGTTCTTGTGAATGCACATCGGGGTCGCCCAGAAGAGCGCGCGAATCTTCGAAATCCCGCACTGAACTAGGTAGTGCATCATAATCCTTTTTAGAGATATAAGGTGGATTAGACGTGATGATATCAAACGGTGGGTGCAGGCGCGTTGACAACACGAAGGCAGGATCACGAATATCGTCCAATAGCGATGTAAATGTGTTGCGCTGCCACAGACGGTAGTCTGTTGGGGGCACGGGACCGTCTTCAGGGACAGATATGTCACACTGGGTTGCGTTATCGCGGGCGAGCTTGATAGCATCCTCAGAGATGTCTATACCGCAGGCGTGCACACTACCTGGGGGCCAAAGATGGCATATCAGGAGAGGGATGCAGCCTGATCCTGTGCAGAGGTCGAGGACCGAAAGCGGCTTCCGGCGCGTCGGAGCGCGGAGAGAAGCCAGACGGATAGCCCAATCTTCGGTTTCCGGGCGAGGGATGAGAACGGGGGGACGAGTTAGCAGGGTGAGGGGACCAAAGGGCTGCGTTCCTAAACATCGACAGATGTTACGTGTTCGAACCTGAATTTGCATCCAAGTCAAGAGTGTACCCACCGAGGACGTACTGCAGCGGCTCGCCACAAACCCTGCGAGAAAGCATATCTTCGAGAGTCACACCGCTAGCTGTGGTACCAGGGTGGTCCAGAGCCTCTCGCATCCATTTTAGCTCCAAGTTGGCCGATTCAATGCCGATTGAGCGATGGAAAGCGGCTAGTAGCTGGGCGCGAACGGTGGTGGCGGACATTGTGAGAATCGGTGTGTGAAAGAGATCAGATGATACGCTGCATAGCAGCTCGTAAGCGGGACTATCGCACGACCAACAGGTGGTGGAAGGAGGTGAGGTGAAGGAGGATGGCGACACGGTGCACTCCGGGCGTGCTTGGTGCCCGGTGCGGTCGCCGACGTCGTCGGCAGTGAGCGAATAGTTGTCGACGCGGGGATAGACTTTCCCGGGCCGGCGTAGGAAATTTCCCAGTCGGGAATAGTCTCGTGGGAAAAGGGAGATATTGGGCCGGAAAGTAGAGGAAGTTATCAGAGAGATGCCGGATATGGCAGGAAGGAAAAGAGGGGATGTAATAGCGACGAGCGATGGCTCTGCATGCATCCGCGATCCTTTCGCTTTTCTCTTCCATGTTCGCACAAGCATGCTCTCCCAATCCCACTCTGAGCCGCTCCTCTCCGTCCCCTCCGCGTCCACGTCCGTCATGACACAAGCCGTCCTGCCTCCCTTTCAGCATTCGTCCTCTACCTCCGACGTCCCCGCTGAACGCTCCGACGGCAAGAAAAAAACTACTGCTAAACGTCGTCGTCCAAATGATGGGGCCAGCGACAGCGCCGACTCGTCGTCGCAAGCCGTGCGCACACGCGATGGCCCGAAGAAGAAGAAGGCCAACCGCGCTTGCTTTCACTGCCAGAAGGCTCATCTCACTTGTGACGATTGTGAGTTCGCGCTCTAGTACTTTTCTTATACTTTTAGATTGTGCGAGTGCGCCCTGTGGCATAGGCCGGCATCGCAAGGCGTTCTATTCTATTTTAAACCTTGGCGGTGTGGGTCAATTCCTATGGCTGCAGTTACTCACTTATAGTTGACATGGACAACGCAAGGTAAGTGGAAGAGCTGCCAGATCATTTGCGGGCTATCTTCCGATTTATTCTTCGACGTCAGACGAAAGCACCGCGTCCTTGACCGTTACCGGATTTGCACTCCGGCTTCCTTTTCGTCATCTATGACGTCCCCCTGATTTTTGTATCGTTGACGAAGAAAATCTACAATATAGCACGACCGTGTCAGCGGTGTGTCAAACGAGGCATGGCAGCAAATTGTACTGAAGGACATCGCAAGAAGGCGAAATACCTCTTCGACGATGAAGAACTTCGTACGTGGCACTTTGTTGTATAGCTTTGAGTTTATCTGAGTACGAAACAGAAGCTCTGAAACGAAGCAAATCAGGCGAGAGCTCTAAGAGTGTAGAACCTGTATCTGTACCAGAATGTGAAGCTTTAGTCCGTAAATCCTCATGTTCGTTACTCACACGACCACTCATAGCACAACCCGAATTTGCTCCACCCGATCCGATCTTTCAACAATACGCTCCCACAACTTCGTTTGCTCTCGGCTCGGAGGGTGCAAATCTCGAATACTCCATCCTCTCTGCTATCCTCGGTAATTCTCCCGATGGAGGCAGCCCAGGCACCTCTGCGTCGCATGCCAACTCCCATACCCATCAACATACGCACCAACATACTCAGGCGTCATCCTCCTTTACCGCCTCCGCGTCCACAAGCAATCTCGTCAGTGCGACGTGGCCTGCAGAGCCATTGGGAGAGCAGTATACAGGGTCTAATTCAATGCCGGCCGGTGCAGACGGGTATTCGGGCCCGGCGCCGGTGCCTTCGTCATACAGCGAACACGCGCAACAAAACCTTGTCATCCAGCCGGCAGACACAACGCTTTCTTCCTCGTCTGCTCCCATGGCGGTCTCTACGATGTCCAGTTCGCATGATTACAGTGCGCCCGGAAGCTCGGGCTTTGTACCGCCAGGACAATATGCACAACAGCAGTCAGGGCCCATGACTGTGCCGCAAACGAACGGGCGCGAGTATCATTATGCGGACTTTGGTGCCGGCGGCGGTTCTGAGCGGGCGCAAGGGCAGGGTCAATCGTCCAATTCCCAGTATGGGCAGGGAATGAGTGGTGCGGAAACTGCATCGCCGACGGGGTATATGCGACTTACGCGTCGAGTTGGTCTGTCATTCCGGACAGAAAAGCAGCCTGTTTGGGGAGCGTTACCGGATACCAGCGGTCTGAGTTCGGTAGCGACTGCGACGGGTGCTGGCGTATACCACTCTGTCACGAAGCCGTATGACTACACAGAAGGATACCATTTTTTGATGAAACATATACCTCGACGGTGCGTTTCATGTCTGCGCTTGTTTGTAATGCTACATTGATCATCTACGATCATTTCAGGTTTGAAAAGAACGATATCTTGCGGATCGTGCGCGCTCTGGCGATCTTCAGGCCATCGCTCATCGCGCTTCAAATGCCTTTATCCGAGGAAGATGAGGTCTTCGTCGAGAAATGTTTCCAACGGTCTCTCATCGTTCGTCCATATTCCTACTGCGTTCCGTTGTCTCAGGCAATGCTGATGCCATACGACAGGAGTTAGATAAGCTGGTCTCGTTTAGCGGGACGCCAACAGTCGCTTGGCGGAGAACGGGAGAGATCTGCCTGGTAGGACCCGAGTTCTGCATGCTCACTGGATGGGAGAAGGAAGAGCTCGTCGGGCGTCGGAAGTATATCTACGAAGTGCGTATGCGTCTCGCTAGACCTTCGCGGCTGTCGCCGACCGGATATACTAACGCGCCGTAATTCCCATGGGAATTCAGTTGTTTGAGAACCAAAGTGTGGTGGAGTACTGGGAGAACTTCGCAAACCACGCGTTCGAGAACACGACCCAGAGCGTGTATGCGCATTGTGTCCTCTTGAAGCCGTCGGGCGCCCCCGTACCGTGCACCTTCTGCTTCTCGATACGCAGGGACATCATGGATCTACCGAGTATTGTCATCGGTGCGTATCCTACTGCCCCAAAGTCATCCGCATTGCTGAGGCGAGGAATGTGCAGGACAATGGCTTCCGTTGATCTAAACGAAAAAGTACTATTGACTTAATTTCTCGTCTTCGACTGTTGCTTCGTAGTGGCATGAGGGCTCTGATTTTGGGTCTTTATCTTAACGCTATCGTGTTATCGGTCCTCTTCGTTTTTCGGACTTTTTTGTGCCATTGCATATTTTGCGGTCCCGTTCTTGACTTGGCACGGACTCGCCGTACGTGTTTGTTGTATGTATTACCATCCTTCTCTCTCCTGCTCAGCCTAGTAATTGGACGTGTTGCTGCAGTGCTGGAAATAACATGTGATGCCTAGGATACTTGCAATTGGATGTGAACCTCGAAGCTTTGAGGCTTGAAGCTTCATGAATCGGTCGCAGTTAGGGTTCAAAATCTGCGCCTGGCGCAACGTGGACCGGAATGTACGTATGAAATACAAGCCGTTGGATACAGAAATTGTAACCCGAATAGATTAACCATCCAAAAGGACAGAAAAATAGAGGCAGAGAGAAAAGTCCTTCAACCCAGAGATGAGCCCACCGTCAGCCCCCTGAGTCCACTACACAGCATCCTGGACAGACGCATACTCGCTCTCGATACCAGGCTCCATGATGCACGCGTGTCCGAGTATGAGTACGGACGATGCACCGACGAGCCAGAAGAAAGTACCGAGCGGCGACGAGAACAATAGCAGGGGAATGCCGATGACGAACAGGCCAGTATATAGGGTTTTCTGTGTAACGACGTGTTCACCGAATTGAAGTGGTTCGGCAGCTGCGACAAGGATACTCAATTAGCCTCGGTCATTGGGAGGGGCATAGAGCGGGACAGGGAGACGAGGGATTGACGGATACGCGCACCAAATCTGTTGATTGCTGCAAAGCCACCGATGAGAAATCCTAACGATATCAACAACAGGGGTTCCGAGATACTGCAAGAACAGCATGGTTAGCTATGAAAGACCCTGACTGCATGCCCCGACGACATACAGAGCATATACAGCTAGCATGGCGACAACCACGCCATAATTTCCTATTTCCAAGCAAAAATAAGCCGCGTGTTCTATGCAGGATGACTTAGACAACTCACCAGAGAAATAACGAGTGTTGTATGATATGCGCTGGACAATAGTAGTGCCTCAGTACGGAACGTGCACCGTCTCGAGTGGTGGACATACGGAAACCGCCTGGTTCATGTCGGCGGGGCGGGAAAGGCGATTATGGTCGAAGAACTCGCTCGGCGACCGTAGGGCGCTGAGCCGAGTCTCCTGTATTCCAAAACCATGAACTTGGTGGGATGTGGAGGTGCACAGCTAGACTCACCCGAAAGGATTTGATAGCGTTGGATACTCGGATGAGGGCCTCCATGGTAATATGCTGTTGGGTATGTAGGATGCGGACTAAGGAGGTGGGCGAGGTGTAGTTTTTACAGGAGTCGGGCTGGCAAGGGTCAAAAGAGTATGTGTCGGCGCTTCTGCTCGTCGCGCCAAGCGGCATTCTGCGCCGCAGCCTTTGGTCTCAAACGCGCATTGTCTATCCACGTACTTACCCTTCATTGCCCTTCTGCGCCGCAGTCTGCCCAAGATGATCCGCAGAAATCCGACCCTGATCGCCATGAGCGATGTCGACGTGCAGCAGGTGCGGGATGCAGTGGCCAAGCACAAGGGGGAGAGTCCTGTGACACCGGCACAACCGAGCTCTTCCTCTGCGGTTCCTAGTGGCGTACTTCAGCCCTTAAGCCAACCATTTGTTGCAGCGGAGGATGCGAAGAGGAAACGGGAGGCCATGACCAGGGATGAGCGGCTAGGTCTGGCGTGAACCAGTGGCGGTTGGTCGTAGTGAGTTCGATACTTCGACCCATGATACTGTTTGTTCAACATTGTTCGCCCAGGATACCATTGTATCGGTGACGTTGCTTGCATTGTAATTGAATGTGGTAGTTTATTTGACCCGTACAGCAGGCGGAGACAAAGGTGTGCTAAATCCCTATTGAACATCGACAACTGCAGAGAAGACACGAGGCTGCAGTCTTTGTGGCCAGAAACATATAAATTGACATCATAGACCATGTCGTTCCTTCCAGGAATCATCTCAAGATGGAACCCAACCGCACCCCGCCACTGCCAGCAGAGCTCAGCGACATGACCATCGACTGTCTGGGTAACGATGTTGCCGCTTTGAAAGCATGTTGCCTCACCTGTCGGCGGTGGCTGCCCCGAGCGCGATACCTTCTCTTCAAGACGGTCGTACTCGACGCTGGTAATTGCCAGGCATTCAATCAACTCTTGGGCACTTCTCCGTATATCGCTGATTTGATTCTCCGTCTCGATGTGTCAAATCTCGACACGATGTCTCTCCTGGAGTCCATGGGGCCGACGGCTGACCCAATTCCTACGAAGTCCGCATGTGTTGTAACACTGGTACCCTGTACTGCGGCACGGTGCTTCAAGTTTTTGGAAGAATTACATCTCGTTGGCTGCACGGTACCCAACGTAGCTGCATTTGCTTCGCTGTTCTGCTACTTCCCCTGTTTGAAGACGCTCTATGTCCACGACTTGCGTCTTTCGCATGGTGGCAATGGAGACGACCTCGCAGATCTGAACGGAGTGCTACCACTGCCGCGTATGACCCTTCAATCAGTTCAGTTTTCGTATGCTCCTCGCGTCGCGCGTGGTTTCATCCAATGGCTGTTCTCGAAGTCGTTGCACACACAAATACGCACACTCAAGTTCCCAATCTTGCAACACGAGGATGTCCTTGTCGCCAACAAAATCCTGGAAGATCTTGGTCCACGTTTGCAGCGGTTGTACATCACGTTGGGTGAAGGGGATGGCGGTGCGTTCACTTTACATATCAGTGCCGTCTTCAGGTCACATATTATCACCTCATTTAGATCTGTTGCCAACGTTCACTGGGTTATCCCACTGCACGGCGCTGCGTACTTTGATCTTTACGTCCCTCAGGCTGGTACCCCATGTTCGTCGGCCACTGGACCGACCGCGTCTTGAGTGGGTCCCGGTCCTTCTCTCCCAAGTCTACTCGCTCCACCTGTATCACGTCTCTTTTCGTGTCCGTGCTGGTGGAGCTTCTCTTGCCGACTTGCACGAGCTCGATTGGGCGCGTATTGGCGATGTTCTGTCGGGCGAACGGTTCAAGGGCTTGCAAAGGGTATCCATCCAGATTGTGAACGGTACAAGTGTTAAGGAGAATATAGTACCGTTCATCCAGACCCGGATGTCGGGCCTCGAAGACCGCGGTATCACTCGCTACTACCACCACATGGTGTGAGCGCAGTATGGTGTGCGAAGGACATGGATGCGTCGTTTGTCGTCACTTGGAATGTAGAATTCATTTATTACTCGTCCTGGCACGTTGAGCACCTGCTGCGCAGGCTCGCGGGTACCCGTCTGACACCGTAACTGCTGTCGAATACATTTTATTTTCTGCGCGTCACCTTGGGCGAGACCGGGAAGGAGGCGGCCTCAATTCAGTCGGACGACCACCTGATAATCACGTGCGGAGACGTGCGGAGAAAGTGAATTCGATCACTCGATCGAAGTGGTCCTTCAGACCACCACCACCTCTCCTTTCCCAGAGCCTCTCCTCTGCGACTTTTTCGATAATGTCGTTGCCTATGCTTGTTAACGGCGCAGAATGCGGCCCAATCAACCCCCTGCAAGGTCTTTCCAAGCGACTTGACCAGGATCGAGGGATCCAGCAGGTGAGTTTCGAGTTGTTACCGTCTCTGTCGTGATTCATGTCGTCTTCCTGAAGGATTTCTTCGGGGCAGGTCGTGCGGGATCATCTAAGGAGGTGCATATGCAATACATATTGTGACATGCGCTGCGACTGATTCTCTACTGTTGCAGGCTTTCCGTACGCAATACTCTGCGACAGCAGGCACGACTCAGGATGCGACTCGATTCTTCTCATCGACCCAGTCTACGTTACCTATGCTTGCTGGATCTTCTGCTTTTGACCTTTCTGCGTTGCATACGTCTTTGAAGAATCCGCAGGCCGCTACCCAGACACCCCCAGCAGCGGCATGGGCGGCCGACTTTCTACAACAGCCATTGGCGCAGGCTCCTGTCCCCAAATTAACCTCCAGCACTGTCTTACGGCACAAGGATGGTGTATTCCAGCAAGAATCCTTCCAACAGCAAAACCTGACTCAGAGTTCTTCTGCGCCAGGTATGTTTCGACCGAGACGTGTCACCTTTTCTGTGTTGAAGTAATGTTCGTAGGTTTCGCGATGTGGAATGCATCTCCACTGAGACACAACATGGGATATCCTGCTATGGTTCCGCAGGCATTCGCGATGCCTGACCCCCAGACACAAGCTCACGGTTGGTATATATTTGACGTTAATGGTGGACAGGTGCTGTAGTTCTGTTCAGTTATTTGGCAGAGCTCGACCATAGTCGTGGAGTATTCGGAAAAATTTGCCCGCCCAAAAGTTGGAAACTGCGATTAATATACCGCCATGGTCGAGGTCTGTCATAGACTGCGTGCATTTCGGATCCTGCCCCCCTTATTTTCTCCTTCATTCCGAATCACTCTTACCATTTCGTATCAGCACTACAATGGCATCAAGAATTCCAGTCGCGGGAGGCTTCACTCTCCTCCCCTCCGGCTGTTCAAACGCAAGAGCCTCTGGGTGCTGAGCCACAAACACAGTCACATTCCCACGCCCTGGACAGGGATGAACTCGCTCGTACTGCAGGGATGCTCGTTGACTCTGTTCAGCACGAGCAAAACTCGAAGTTCCAGGAGAGCCAGTTCCTGGGACTTATGCGACAGCTGCGCGACCACGAGATCGTCGTCGAAGGAAACCAGATGGTTCAGAACGACGGAATCGCGAATCAAGCGACCGTTGACATCAAGGGGAAAGGTCGGGCTGCCGACGTCTCTATTTCGTATGGACACTCTGTCGTCCCCCAAGCGTCAACCTTGCTTTCCGGCCAAGCTACATCTTCGGATACTCGCACGGAGAATCAGGTCCATCCCGATGTGATAGACGAGTATTTGCGCCAAGAAAATGAGGAATACATCAAGTACAATGCGCAATATAATTGGCAATCCTCGAGCTTCTCATCCCAAAGAAATGAACCGAGCGTGCAAGGTGCGGAGTGGCTCCAGCTGCAACACGATTGGGAAGCATTTGAAGCAACTGCGACAGGCATCCGGCCAGTGACCCATTACCAGTTCCAAGTAAACAACCCTTACGTCCTTGGAGAGGCTTCTAGAACACACAATCACGCTATGCATTCGGAGACGATGAATTCTTTATATGAGGTACATATCTGGATGTGTTTTCTACGTGTGCCGCTCACACGGCTCCCCCAGGGTGTGCTGGAGCTTGAGGCAGTTGTGCAGCGAGACCCTACAGATGCTCTGCGATGGTATGCGCTAGGTGTCAAGCAACAGGAGAATGAGCGGGAGCAGAAAGCGATACAGGCTTTGCGGCGCTCGCTCGAGCTCGATCCCATGCATTTGCCGTCATGGATTGCCCTTGCGGTGTCGCACACGAACGAGAGCAATCGCGTCGGGGCATATGAGGCTATTCGCGAATGGGTCGATCGGAACGAGCGCTACAGTGCTCTCGTACAGCAATTCCGTGCGCTGAATGTGGACCCGGAGGATGCGACGCAGGCAGACCACTTTGCGTCTTTGACCCAGTGTTTGATCGAGATGGCACGGGGTGATACCAGCGGAAATATTGACGCCGACATCCAGATTGCGCTCGCGGTGCTGCTGAATACTAACGAGGCTCGTTTATCCTCGGTTTCGCGTCCGCGGACGTTCTGATTTCAGCCTTTATGTCCACAGGACTACGAAAGAGCGCAAGATTGTTTCAATGTTGCACTGGCAGTTAGACCCGATGTCAGTTTTTTTCACACATAAAATTGGTAGACTATCCGAACCTAGCTTTGTTTTAGGATTGGTTGCTGTACAACAGGGTGGGCGCAACGCTGGCCAACAGTGGACATCCAGATGAGGCTCTACAGTACTACTACCGCGCCATAGAACTTAATCCGGCTTATATCCGAGCCAGGTATGTCATCGACCTTCACAAGACCTTCATGGACAAGCGGCCGTTGACACTGGCTGCACGTAGGTTCAATCTTGGGATAGCGTGTACGAATCTTAGGGTATGTGAACTTGGTCGTGTCGCCGAGCATCATCTTATGGATCGCATTGGTGTTCTAGCGCTACGACGAGGCCGCCCAGCACATGCTTGACGCCCTCGTGCTGCAGGACGGTGATAGCGTCCGCGATTCGAAGGGAAGCGAGGACAAGCGTGGCGTCACCTCTTCGGCTCTTTGGTCCAGCCTGAAGACGTGCTGCATGCACATGCAGAGAATTGATTTGGCTACGCTTTGCGATCGCGAGGACCTCGACGGTATGGTTCAGCTTACTTCATGGTAACACTCTCCATACTGAGCCTTCTTGTGTAGCTTTTCGTATGAACTTCCAGATCTAAAGGGGAGAACTGTATGAAAGAGCAATGTTATGAACTTTGTGCTGTATTGCTAGGTAGCTATACGGCTATTTACTCAATTATCCTGCGCCATTGCACGCTGCTGAAAAAAAAACCATTACTCGAGTCAGACGCTGTACTTGCTCAACAGCTATTGATTTTTCTTTCGCATGCCAGATTCTCAACGAGTCCACGGATCGCTCAATTTTAACAGTTTTTACGTTGTGCGTTTCCTGCTGTGGCCCATTCACGTCACATTCCTGTAACCTGAGTGCTCGAAATCACATCTGTGGAAGGCTGCCAACACTTGGTGATAGTGGGAGTCATCTCCCGTCGTGCTGTGCAACAGATTGCCCGCGCGTACACTCAACGGAGTATACGGTCGATTGGTCTAATTCGATTGGCGCCCTGCAAAGCGCTTAGTCACATCACGCCCTGATTTCAAAATATTCAGGGCCTCAACCGGCAGAGCCTCCGGTAAGTGGGTAAGAAAACATTCCAATGTGCGGCACAAGGTAACATAGAAGTTTTTAACTTGGATATCAGTAACAAGAACTGCACATGTGCTAATGGTACATACATAGCCTGTATGCATCATTCTCTCTCGCTCATGATAATGTTGAGAGTGCGGCTCAACTGCACTTCTCCGCTTTGGATGGCCTTCGGGTGGCCTGCGCCAGCTACAGCTGCTGGTTGCACCGTCACACATTTTCCAAAGAAAACACCATCCCTCGACACCATTGGCAACCGCCATACCCGTTGTAGGGATACTGAGGCAGCATCTATCCAGGCAAGGCGCAAATACTTATTGTACGTCGTGGCCGGCGGCTCCGCCAAGGGGTAAGCCGCCCAATGACGTGTACTTCAGATTTTCGCCAGCGAAAATCTTATCGTTGTCAGTTCTAGAGAAGAGCTTGAGCGCTTCCCTACCAGTCTCATGCATCCTTGATGGACTTCGTGGGACAGTGCGCTTCTCCACGTCACCCCGGCTCGTGGTGAGTCTTATCAGTCAAGTGCGCAGCCACTTCTGATTCCTACCAAGGTTTTTGGTTTTCCTTGGAGATCTTACCCATCACTTGCGTACGGGGTAGCATAGAGTAGTATGCATTGATCGGAGCGGAGTGTGTCCTGGATGTGTTGTATCTTAGGTTACGGTAATCTGCTGTGCACGAGTGGACCGCTGTACGTAGTCTAAGTACAACAAACTCGGCGTTCCTGAATGGGACCAATGCCGGTTACCTACCTACCTACGTGACGGGAGGCGCCCATAGGGCGCCAATCGAATCAGACCAGACCATGCACTCCACTCAGCGCTCTAGATCTGCAGTGTCCAGTCTGATCTGAGCCACCAGGGCTCAGGTACGCCGTTGATTCTCTATTAATGTGGTTTACAGGGACCAGAACGAAACCAGATGATATGTCCGGTTTGTTTTTACGTTCGTGTACACCCGCTTATGTGCATGCAATGGAGTAGCGTAGTAGAAAGCTACCTTGCCTCGTAAGTACTAGTAAATATCCATCACGGTTGATGGTTGCTTCCCGCTCACCTTCGTGCGCTTCTTACGGGATCCGGCCTCGCCCAGGAACATGCGATCTTGGTCGTAGCCCCCGGCTATAAGAGTCGTTGAAACTTTACTTATTCGCCCGCAATTAAAGCATCTGCACTTGTTTCACGCGTTGTCTCCATCTTCCTGCCATGGCTGCACAGCTCTATGAAAAGCCCGCCACCTTGCTGCATCCTTCAGACCCATCAATGAAGGTCTCGATGGAGCACGAGATTGCGGATGTAGGTGTACCGGTTGTGCAGAGGACAAAAAATACGCCATTGTTGGATCCAACACCAGCACGATCTCTAACCTTACCTCTGTTCCCATCACCCGCTCGATCAGGCAGTGACCCTCTAACTCAGCCCACACCAGATTCAGTGCAGTCTTCGCAGCACTCGACGCGGTCCCAGACATTTCCTCCACTAATTTCCGCAGGGTTATCCACTGAACTAGGCAGCCAAATCATCCTGACTCCATTCACGACCGACTCTAGCAAACCGTTCTTTGAGAACGACTCAGTGTATGCGGAGGATATGCCCAAGGTTGCACCTAACTCTGCCGATGTATCTTCGGTTCCATCCAATGAGATGCGGTCGAGGTTTCATGCTGGCATGTTCATTCCGAACAGAGGAGAAGATTCGTCTCTGGAACCTTACAAGCGACCTGCAAGGTACAAAGCTGCTTGGTCTTTGCTCGATGGCATTTGGAGAGGGACGTGCAATTTCGTCGTGCAGCACTGGATCCTGACCATAGTGGTCTCAATCTTGGCCATTGTGGGCATCGGCGTTGGCGTGGGTTGGGCTGCGCGGTTGCAGACCTTCAACGCTGAGGATGGAGAGAGCGTGCCTCCAGACAACGCCGTGCGTTTCCATCACTCAGTATCTTTGTAACCGCTCATTTTGATGTTAACATTCAGATTATCCTGTCAGCGAATTTAGTCGATGTCGACCCGACTAGTCAGACTATGACATTGGACTGGTTTGTGAACTACACCTGTGACTTCTCGCATTGCCAGGATGTGAATATATTCTTCGATCAGTAAGCACCTGTCAGACTCGCAGTTCTACACAGACAAACCTAAAACATTTCCCTGTAGGAATTCCATGCAGTCAAACTCTAATTCCGGTTCAGTTGCAAGTAACTCAAAGCCATCGCCCTTGTTCTTGTTGAACGGGACCAACTTCGTGAACTTGTGGAATTCTGTCGACTTTCGTCCCAGCTCTCTCGTGTTCAGGACCGACTTGTCCATCTCGAGCTATGGCACAGGTCGCACTGAACAGTCTTACCCGTTTGACAAGTTGATCATATAGCTATTGTTTGCATATATACTTGGTTCTAACTCGTTTCACAGATACCTCGCTCAAATCTCTATATTCGCAGAAGCATTGCCAGGAAATGAAACAGTGAATGTCACCGTTTATCAAACACAGGGAATTGCTGTGTACGTCGTGACTATCAGTCATGGGCGTGCGCAGAGTCCTGACCTAGTGATGAGATAGCGGATTTAACGCTCAACTGCTGGACTCAGGGAAAATCGATGAGTTTGGAACACTCTACAAGTTCATCGAAGTGACGCGGGGCCAGGTCGTTCGAATTTATACCATCTTCATCGTAATGGCCATATGTGCGGTTCTCTCCATACCCTCGTAGAGAAATTCGCTCACAACAGTGTGCAGGGCTTGTTACCTTGACGTTTATAGGAGCCTGCGCCACGTCCGTCTTCTATGGGAAAGGCATGTCCGCCGCTGTCCTCGTTCTTCCAGTCGCCACTCTGTTTGCATTCACCCAGCTTCGTGGCACATTACCAGGGGCTCCAGCCGGCTTTGGTATGATGCGAATTTACCATGTGCATTCATGCTGACCGACGTAATGTTTGGCTGCTTCTAGGTGCCGACATCGGTGGGTATCATGTCTCCGAGTTTATCTGCAGTGAACTGACCATTGTCCTATACACAACAGACTTTGTCGGTATCCTGCCGTGCTTGGCACTCCTAACATTCTGTGTATGTTCCTTGCTCTTCGAAGAATGTCTGTCAACTGTACTCATCGACGAATCCCACTCAGTCCGTATTCATGACCGCTGTCTTCCTTTTCCGCAATCCGGAAGTGGATTCAGCTCGTTGGCAGTCCGCCCGATCTGTCTAAAGCGGGGTGTAACAACAGCCCTCTGTCATCCCTTTTTTGTTTCTCGCGAACTGAGATACATGAAGTGCAAAGAATGTTCAGAATTTATAGATACGAGAAATACTGCGTTATGTATAAATGCAACATGTGATTAGGACTACTTATGAACTGTATGGACCGGGTTGACGTTGCAGATGCGAGTCCGAGGACATGGTGCACTGGTATGTAGTGACCATGACAAGCAGATGTAAGACAATGGCATAACAGATGAAAAAAGTCCGCGTGCGTCGGTTGCCGAGGATGGCTCGCGTCAAGACCAGCACACCTCTCTCCAGCACGTTCAATGATTCATATGCTCGGGTTGCTTCCTAGATGACTGTGAGCCTGGGATATCGGACCAAACACCGGATATGAACTCACCCTTCCTCGGAAAGCCTGGAAGGGATTCATAGCCTCCTCACTAGGTAGATCCCGTGAGCACGCGTTATAAAATCAATGCAAAAGATGGACTTACTATCTCGCGCGATATTTACCCATATCATCAGCACGTCCTGCAGCCGTAGACGGCATAGGGTCGAGCGTCGATGGCCTCGCAGCCGTGTCTTCGCGATAACTCTGCATGTAACGCACTTTTTCATATAGCTTCAGATTGTCTGCCTGCAAACTCTTGATCTGTCGAATTGATGTGAGCGATACGGAAGGTTCGAACACGAGTGTATCTAAGTGATTTGAGCACTAACCTCCGCTCGAAGGTCAGAAATGATGTTAAATTGTTTGCGCAGCTCCTGATTCACAATGAGTGCCTTTTGTTCGTTTGGGTGACGGGACCACTGACCTCTTCTAACTCAGCGTTTCGTTGTCGGAATCGGTCTCGCTGACTCGTGACAATCGGTAGTATTGAGGTATCAGCAGATGGAGCAAATAGTGTTGGAGCGGTTCTCGCGTATGGATACTGCGAGTAGCGTATCAGTGACAAAACCGGTTACCACGAATCATCGTTACTCACAATGGGCTTTTGAGCACCAAGGTCGAGGCCTGCGAGTGCATCCGCTGTTCCCGATCCATCGGCCAGCGAATCCGCAGGAATACGTTTACCGTTAGCTTCCCCGCTGGTCTTTCGCTGGTCCATGTGGAGAAGATCATTTTCTAACCTCTCGTTCAGAACACGTTGCTTCTCAAGCTCCGATTCTGTAAATGCGAGATCGGCCTGTGTAGACCGAAGTGAAGCCTCCAATTCGCCATGCAGAATCTAAGGCACACCATAAATACAGAGGTACAGCGGATTAGAAATTGACGTACACGGAACTTGGTCAGTTCTTCTAGTATGCGCTTGTTTTTTGTCGCGAGCAGGACTTCTAAAGACTTTCCACGCTGTGCGTTCGCTTTCTCTGCGTTGGGATCCGGAAGGTGTAGACCAAGCGCATCTCCATTGCCAGAAGCTGTGCCGTCGAAGTCGTCGTCCTCTTCCAGCCCGCCAAATTCAACATACTGAAGAACTTACGTGTAAAAAATAAGGTGGCAACTGGAGAGGAGCACAAACCTTCATAACATCGAGCTCACGCTTGATCTCGTCATAGTCATCATACTGTCTGAGTTTCTGTTTCAGCTGGTCGACGTCGTTGGACTGGAGTAAATATGACATCGTGAGCAGTATTCTGTCTTGAATAATGTGGAAGGGGAAATAGTGATCGCAGAAAATTCAGAATTAGACCTACTTTCTTCCGCAGTTCTTTCGCGGCTTCTTCGGCCTTCTTTGCAGCCGTCGCCTGTGCAGCTTTTGTCGCCACCTTCTGGGCTTCCAAGGCCTGAGAAAGTCGGTCTGTCTCAGTTTCAAGATCGGATACTTTGGACTCCAGTTCCTTGAGTCTTTGGTAGCATGCATGAGATTCACGGGTAACGCACGAACGGACAGTAAACGCACTGATCGCTGCGCTCATTGCCACTTTTCATGCCTTCAATTTCGGCGCGTAGAAGTTCCTGAATATTTTTATGATCAGTAATGTCGTAAGGCTAACTGTATCGTCGTTGACATACATTCCGTCGCTCCACGGTTGCCACCCGGCTATTGGCATGTTCAAGGTCAATAACCACCATGTCCAATTCGGCTAGCTTCGTTACGACCTCCTGGTCTACGCAAGTGAGCACGCAACATTCAATCACACGGATCCCAGGAAAGAAAACCGTGCTTTGTACCTTGTCGCTGGCTCTGGTCAAGCAATTTCGCTTGGCTGGACTCGTGAGACATACGCAGCTCACGAAGCTGGCTCTTCGTCAGCGCCACCTGTCGCTGATGGTCCTGTTCGCTGAGACTCTGCGCATGAGCAACGTAGCTGGTGCTCGAACGCATGTCCACTAGACTGATACTTACCGCTCCTCGTAATTGCGCATCTTCTCGTCGTAGGTAGCATTAAGCTCGTTCTCCTTTTGCGTAACTTTATCCCGAATTAAATCTTCCATCTATGTGTAGAGGAGAAGTTAGAACTGTATGACCCAACCACGGATCGCTCCAGACAGGAACGTACCCTCTGTTCAAGCTGTTCGACCCTAGCATCTGCCTTCTTTTTGGCAGTTTCAAGCGGGACAAACTCATTGATCCGCCGGCGAAGTTCAGCATTCTCTTCACGCACACGCTGAAGCTCAGTCTCGAGCTCGCGGGCTTCGGCGACTTTGACGGTCTGATCCTGGTGTACGGATAGATAGCTCTACTGAGACACAACCTTGACGTCAACCACACACATCAGATACCCACAATTGCAGCTTCTAGAAGGGGGTATGGATCGGGTGCCTCTGCCAGGACCTTGTACACATTCAGGAAAGCGTTCTCGGCAGATTTCGACCGCTTTGTGAGGCTGTCTATCTCAGTCTGGTAGGCCTTCAGCAGACCCTTGAAAACATTGAGCTTCTCGTCATCCGAGGTCTTTTTAAATTCTGATGTACATCATAGGTCGGTCGGGTATTGAAGGAATTACGCGGAACGAGTACCTTTGGTGCGGTCCGCAAGAGCCTTGCGACCAACTACGCTCTCCCTCTGATTTTCGACGAGTTCAACACCTTGAGCATCCAAGGTCTTTTGTAGTTCAGAGAGGTTGATGTCTGTATGTAGTCATGTTAGACATAGTGAACACAGCGAATTTTGGGAGCGCACCTTTCCAGGTCGACAATGCCCCCGAGAAGTTATACTCGGCTGAAGCCATGGTAATCTATACACTATATTCACAAGGTGATAATTGGGGGGTTCAAACAGGCTGGCAGGATTGCGCAGGTGCGCTACCAGCTGTGGAGTTGCAGACGCCCGCGTCTCTTGCAGATTATTCCAATGCGGAAGATGTTTCTCACGCATATCGTTCGCGACAAGGCCACCTAGCACGCCGCCGTCACCGACGCTGTCCCCAACAGCATGGACGTCGTACGACAGGCAGTACGCGCCGCTGCGGGTCGCCGCACCTACTCAACGATGTACGTTCCCCCAGCGGCAACGTCGAGAATACACAAACGACAGATCCCTCTCAAACCTGCAGCGGAGTCCCCCAACTTCTACACCGGTCGTGCCGCCTTTTTTGACCAGGTCAACGCGTTAGAATACGCTATTCAGGGCACGCGTTCTGCCCTTCAAAAGCTTCAGCTTCTCCCTCTCCCACGTTTCGCGCTGGACTCCCTGCCACCCCTCCAGCACGCATGGATGTCCAAGGATGGTCTCCAGGACAAGCTGAATACACCCCTCACCATGTCACGGTACCGCCGTCTAGTCGGACTGCTTAACCAGCTTGGGAACTTCCGCCGAATCGCGGACGTCGCTGGTTGTGAGGGCCTCGCCGAGCAGATCCAAAGTGTGCTAGATCTTTTCGAGAGGGAGAACAAGGAGGCATTCCTAGCGCGCGGGAAGAGGAACCCTGTCAAGTTTGACGAGTATGGACGGACTTACACTGTTGGCAGACGGAAGGAGAGTACGGCGCGTGCCTGGGTTATTCCAGTGCAGGGCACCACCACCGTTCGTACAGAATCATACCTTTCGACCACTGGCATGGATTCTTTTCCGTCTGGTCCAGCTGTGGATGGCCTGCAAGCCTCGCCGACTCAGTCTCTAGAGCTGCCGCTGTCTACTGAGTTACCCGACCTCATGCCCGCACCTGTGAAGGTAACGACGACAAACATCCTCATTAATAACACTCCCCTCTCCCAGTATTTGTGAGTCGTACACTTCGTCATTGATGCACTTTACATTGGTCTGATCTTATGCAGCGTTCTGTCTGCCGACCGCGAGCGCGTCGTCCGGCCCTTCAAAATTGCGGGTCTCGTGGGTGCTTTCAACGTGTTCGCGCTCGTCCGTGGTGGAGGCACCACAGGCCAAAGCGGTGCCATTAGCCTCGCGATTGCCAAAGCTCTTGTCGCCCATGTACCCGACGTTGAACTTATACTGCGTAGAGGTAAGACGCGGTGCGTTTAACTATTGGGGTTCTAACTGAGTTCCTGCTACTTCGCAGCAAAACTACTGAGACGCGATCCTCGTATGGTGGAGAGGAAGAAGACAGGTCTGGCCAAAGCGCGCAAAGCGGTACGGTCTGTGTGTTATCCTTGTCAATGTGTGGAACTCACGAACTGCTTTCACAGTACTCCTGGGTCAAGCGTTGATGTTGATGAGTCCATTCGGCGGATCTTCCATCTCGTCTGTATGTTGTTTGTACCCGGCTGCAGTCGGTTTGCAATCATCATCTACTGCTCGCTGGAACAAGCAATAGTGAGGCTCGTTCCCGGCAGACAAATCTCACCACTATATAGCACCGAAGCCCATACGAGGATGCGTTCAAGACAACCGTGATATTCCACAAGCGTAAGCACTTAGATTACGGTAGACTGAAGGTCCTCTACGATACAGTGATATGAAAACCCGCACCTTGGCTTGTCCTAGATCACATATTGACAGTCATGCACAGCGAGCGCTGTGGAGAAGCAACGTAAGCCATCCAGCCGCAACACAAGAATAAATTTGAGCGGTAAAGAGAAGAGCGGGGCTTGGAAATGATCAGCATTGCAGAAGTAAGAAGTCATCAAGTGGCGTATATACGTAGCCATTAGACTGTTGAGCTTGATAATGTGATTTGGATTCATCATAGTGACCCAAGCTCTGCTCTCCTCTGTGTGGTGTAAACATTGGTATTAACGCTTACCTTCAACAACGAGACACGACTGCTTCTTTCTCGTGCTTTGAAATAAGTTGAGGAACAGAACTGCACGTAGCGCACCAGTTTCGGGGAACGAACAATACCGACAGTGATGGCAGCAAGTTGCACAGCCCTCACAAGATAGGTAGAATAACAGTACTCGCCAGTCAATCGCCAGTAGCAGGAGAAAGAGAACGGACTGAACGGTACTTATGTGAAAGAGCGACACGCAGGAAATTTTCTGCAAGGTTATTCCCACGGCATACCGACGCAAAATCATTATATCAATCGATAGGCCCCCGCGAAAAAAACCCACAATATATCAGAGTGCCAGTTCCACGATATCATGCAAAGCGCTGTGATTCCTCACAGACCTGAACATATCTTTCTACACCGAATTTAAGGTGCCCGAAGATGGGAAGTATAGAATTGTCGTTCGTTTGGCGACGCCACCATGTCAATGTATAAGATACAAACAAATTAAGGCAGAACATCTAACGTATGCAAAACGGAAAACGACAACTATTGGAAATACAGCTGTTGAACTTCCCCCTGCGAGAAGGGGAGATTGCAGGCTGGACACTTCCGTTGTCGAGTAGATATTCGTGAATCCACACACGACTTGCAGAATGCTGATGCACAATCATAGTAAGGAATCAGCGACTTAACAGGATATGCAAAGCAACGGAACCCACAATGCATGCATTTCGTGATGACAGTATTGCGCATGTTCATTTTGCAAGTAGAGCACTTCAGGATACTCTACGGGAGGGTATGGTATCAATCGATGCAACGACATTATAAGACAAGACGTACCATGCACTTGTCCACCTCGCTCTGAAGCTGCGCTTCTCGAGTGGTAGAGTTGGAGCTGACATTTTGCGACGTCGATTTAATTTTCGCAGCCTGTCGCTCGATGTCTCTCTTTGCCCGTACTACCTCGTCCTCCATGCACATCACCTCCGCACGGCGAAGGTCAAGACCCTTGGACTGCTCGCGCGACTCCTTGCGCATCTGATGCAGGACATCAATCACACTGGCACTGAGGCGTGACGAACTAGCGCACCTCCTCGATCCGTTTGCGTTCGCCTTCAGCGCGCATCCTCCACTCTGTGTTGCTCGTCTCCAACTTCTCAACACATGATTTCATTCCGTCTTTTACCTTTCGCCACAATGCCGTCTCCCTTTCTAAAGAGGTCTGACGAGATGGTATACGTGAGCCCCATGTTTAATGTCTAACAAAGACTCACTCACTACCCGAGCCACCAAATTCTTTTCAGAATCGGAGAGCTTCTCAATCACTTTGGTCTGCTTCTCTAAATTCCTCGACAAGTTCTTGCGCTCTCCCTCAAGAGCTTCTTTGTCGCGCATTGCAGAATAGAATTTATTCTCGGATTTGGCTCTCTGCGTTTCGCGTGAAGTGAGAGGCCTTGGAGGGAGAGATAAAAAATAGTGCAGACCTCAACGCCGCTCTTTGCGAGTCGCTCCTCCATATTGCTCAATTCGAACACCTTGCTCTTCACTTGAGTGTCCAGCGACTCCCATGCCGCAGAAAGTTTATCCAACTCGGCATACAACGCAACCTCAGCCTGTAATCCACATCGTTCAACGACAATATCTCGCGCAGTCAGTCTGGGAACGCACCTGTTCACGCTGCTTCTCTTGCAACCGTAATCGACGGTTCTCATCTTCTTTCCGCTGCAGTTCTTCCGTCAATTTTTGAGTATCAGGCGGGAGGGCGGAAGACCCGCTGCCATACACAGCCTGATATCTTTCCAACTGTATCTGCGCATTGACCAGTAGCTCCCGTGCCTCAGCTTCAGCCTTGATACGTTCAGCAACATCTGGATGTTCCGCCTGCATGGTGGATATACTGATCTCGAGGGCTTTCAATCGAGACTCTGCAGCCCTGTGATAACAACATATCAGTTAAGAGCACTCCGACCACCCGAGACGCTAAGCTTACGCGAGCTTGCTTTTGAGATCAGATACATATGTTACATTCTCCGCGTCGTCTGAGGAGAAAAACGACAACAAGTCTTCATCACATGCATCCGCGGCCAAACGAGTCTTGAGCCTAGTAACCTCGGATTCAAGGACCTTAATCCTTTCCTATTAATAGCGCATTAGTAACTTACGTTCGTAACAAGTTACTACTTACCGAACGTGACTCGGCGAGAGCCTTGAACTCTTGATGGGAGGCTACTTTGACGTGGTCCTTCTGCTTTCGCTCGTTCAATTCAGACAGCTGCTGATCTCGCTGCTCACGAAGGCGCAGGTTGTCGTTCTCCCGTTTGGTCAGAAGGTTCTTGAGATCTGATATTGCATGTTCGTGCTCCATAATATTCTCTTCAACAGTGGTTAGATGGGTTCTCTCGAGTTGCTCGAGTTGTTCCCTGAGTTGAGTCGCCTCAGTCTGCTTCTCGTTGGCGATGTACTCCAACCTAGACGCTCGTTCCCACAAGACCTTATAGTAAGGAGATTCAGCAACAAAGTCTTCAGCCGGTGCTTTTAGCTGGAAGGTCTCTTCAGCGAGGGAAACACGAAGTCCGATGACACTCACCTGAAACTTCAATGACCGAACATCCTCGTGAAGTTCCTGATTTTCCTGCTCAAGCTCGGAGATCCTCTTATCCCGCACCCTTATTATCTCCAGTGACTCCGCTGCATCTGCCAAACTCGCACCATTGATTGGAGATTGCGAAGGCTGAACGCATATTAGAGGAGAACATCCAGAATCAGAAGTGGTCGAAACTCCCACCAACTGACCGAACCACTCACTGCTGGGGACGACGGTGTCTCCCGAGGTGATTCGTCCTTTGCCTCCTCCCGCACTGGCTGGGCCTGCTTCAATGCCAAGGTCTTGCTTTGCAGACGATCGATATGCTTCTCTGCCGCCACAAGCTCTTTCTGATACTTGTCCTTCTCAGATTCCATATCACGAAGTTTCGTCCGCGTCAACGAAAGTTCAGAACGAAGGGAGGAGCACTAATAAAGGCGAAAAGGTAAGAAGGTCCCTGCTGTTGCATAACAATTCCATTACCTCAGATTGTGCTTTCTGACAGTGCCTGTATGTCTCGTCCTTCAAGAACGTCGGGCGAGCTTGTCCGCTTAGGCGCATAAATGCAGCCACAAGCTCTGACGTTGCATTCATCTTCGTTCGTAGGGCGTTGATATATTCAGGATCAGGATCATCAGAGACACGAGCAGTCAGATCAAACAGCTCTGAAGCATTCTCCTAAGACGAGTCGAGATGCAATTGGCGACACGTCAGACGCACCTTCGGTCTCGACCTCTGTCGGCGGGAGATCCTCTGGCCGCGCCAGCAATCGTATCGTACCAATGATCTGATTCACGTGTGTTGATACACCACAACTGCTTGTGCACTTGAACTACGTACCTGTGTCCAACATGCTTCCAAGGCTGCCAAGCCAGTCTCGCAAGTACTTCTCCGCCGTTCCAATTCCTGCACTCGAGCCAGACTCCTTTCGTGCTCACGCGAATAGTACTTCATGCGCCTGTAGATTGCGTCTTTACGGAACATCTACGTCGATGCTATCAGTATCACACATCGCACAAACAGTATTTGAATACCTCAAGACTGTCACCATCTTTAGGCTCGTCAACTTCAGGCGCCACGCCATTGACCACACTGGGTGAGCCCTGGTCTACCGAAACAGCCCGTTTCTTAGGAACAGACTGCTCTGCATCCTCTGCGTGTGACCTCTTGCGGGATGCCATCTTGAAATGGAAAGGAGAACGTCCTAGACGGCGGGTGAGAAAGTGGACCAAGCGTCGACAAGGCAATTGAGGTGGTGATTTGGAACTCCGATATACTTAAATAAATAATGGACGCGATATGCACGTGCTCAGAGCTCATGCGCTCACCGATCGTGGCCTGGCGCGTCTCATACACCCCATGGACTCTTCCAATATCTCTGACTTTGATTTGCCCAACCAAGGCTCACGATTACTCTCAGAGTCGTCTTTTGTTCCTAGTATCAGCTCAGGCTCTTCTCGTACAGGCCCCGGAGGGGCTGATCTTTCTCTCTCCGAACTCTCGCTCCCCGATCGTCCAGGCCCATCTCACCGTCGACCATTCAGCCTACTTGCGCAACCCATTACTCACAACGAAGATGACCCAGATTACAGTCCCATTGCTGACGACAACGCAGACGCAGAAGGAGAATTAGATCAGACTATGACACAAGAAGACGTAGAGAAGCTGAAGAAGCTTGCCGCCAAAGCGCGGGAAGAAAAGTTGCAGCACGATTTGTTCATCTTGAAAAAGTTGAATGGAGCGTTTGAAGTCTACAAGGACGCGTTGAAGGAAACAAAGTCTAGTACAGAGGTAAGTATGTCTCCGTGCAGTCAAACTCAATTAGATTATCACTTTGTCAGTAGCGTGTCGCTAATCAGTTAGAGCATACAAATGCACTGTTGGACAAGTATGTCATGATATTGTCCAAGTCTGAGACGACTGCCAAATTGATCCTGGATGAACGTTGGAAAGGTGCTGAAGCGGTATGAAATGTCTTATTGTGATCTATGCTGTCACTGTATAACACACCGGGCCGCAGGACGAAGAGACCTTGGAACGCGAGCAGGCAGAGGCCGAAGAACGTGCGCGTCGCGAGGAAGAAGAGCGGGTCCTAGCTGCTCAAAGAGAGCGCGAGCGGCTGGAACGCGAAGAACAGGAGCGTAAAGAACGCATCGAAAGAGAGCGGTTGGAACGGGAGCGTGCGGAGGCTTCCAAATCCACCGGGAGGGGAGGAGTACGAGGTGTGAGAGGTACAAGAGCATCAATGAGAGGCACAAGGGGTGCAGCTCGTGCAGGTACGCTCCGAATCCAGCCGTAGTAATTGAACCCCCACTAATCTTCTCCACAGCACCTACTCGAGGGATGGGCATCGCCTCTAGCAGTACTTCAAGCGTCCCTATGTCCAGGCGGACGACATCATCGATGCGATCTACCGGCGTTACTCGCGGAGTGCCTCGGCGAGGTTGAGGCCCCACGAAATGCAGTTGGGTAATTGTATTTTGACCCTGCGGTGAAATGCAAGCCTCGTTGCAACATAAGTATGGCTAGCCCGTGGCTGGATGTGATGTTACGTCTCCTGCCGCTAAACAGCGGCAGGCTCACCGTGCATTGCACGTCCGCAAAGCGTTGTTGTGGAAGCATTGAGACTTGTAGAGTGCGTGGCGATAGTCACATATCGGAGGGGCATGGACAGTTTGGTTTTGAACAGCGAACCCAACCTCACTCTGGCAGCGAACTGATACTGAAGGCGCCATTCATGCGTGACACTCGGGCTATCAAAGAATCTAGTCGTCAAACAAGCGTTGCATTCATCGTGTGCTTGCGAGACCAATATTTCGCGATTAGATAGCTCAAGACATTGACTTACACTTCTGCGTACCAACACACACACACTTCTACATGCTCTACGAGAGCAACTCTAGTACCTGCCGGTAATTAAGCGTGAAATGGTTGTGAGTAGGGATTATGAATGCATGTGCAGCAAAATTGGTTAGTGCAGTAGATCAAGACCTGACAACTCGTCAGTGACCATACCAAGCTCACACCTAAAAGGGCAGCACGCAGGACAGACAGAATGACGCACATTTTGTATTGGATTTCTGTCACTGGTTCATTGTTCGTCTTATAACTGATCGTGATGTCGAGATCACGATTGTTTCGAACGTTTGGCGCACAGGACAGCCGTCCAGTTATTTTTTGCCCTTCTGATACGGTGAGCGTGTCTGGCGTGTAAAATACTGTCTGTCTGTAGATACATTATGACGGTTTCAGCATCTGATGTCGACAAGATGGGAATGGATGAGACTCACTTCCAGTGGGTATACTTGGCGTGTGGGCCGGTGGAGAACTTAACTTTTGTGTGGGTGCACTCGAACGAAATGTCGAACCAAGCAAGGAATGCGTGCACATCTGTGGGATACAATTGGTGGGTGATCGAGTTAAGATCAGCGAAGTGGGAGATGACGCACAATCGTTACGTGTAGAGACCAAGGAGAACGGTGCAGCGAAGGTTAAGTCTTCCTTCTTAGCCGTGAGCAAGTCGATATACTGTTCAAAACGAAGTGAACACAGATGTAAACTTTGAATACAGTATTTATACCTTGATCATGCACGGATCCGTGACAACAGCTTTCAGTTCAACTGTATCCACGAGAGGCTCACGCAGAGCGATATCCTTGATACACGAGTAGTTGAAACCATACACATTGTCCCAGACTATGAATAACCAGTATCATAGATACGTTCTGCTGACGTTGGATGAGCTGAAGCATAACTCACAATTAATCTTTTCCTCCTTGTACTCCGAATCCTCGATGGCAGCGAGATACAATGTCGCGGTATCGGGAAAAATCAGACCGCCAGGTTTGAGGTACTTATCGCGTGCAAGCAGTACTGTATCCAGCATGGACTCGTACAGCAGGAAGTAGCCCATCCACTCAGAGATGATGATGTCAAACTGCGTGATTGGCAGTGGCGCTTCCTCTAACTTCCCCTTGACTAATGTAATCTCTAAAGTGTCGTGTGAGTTGGAAGATGCCCAGTCTTAGCACTGGGGAGGATGACGCACTGTCTTTGAAGCCGTTCGCTTCGACGATTTTCACAGCTTGGTCAATGATGTTCGACATATCAATCTTTGCAGTCGCAAGGTCTTCAGTTATGTTGCCAAGCCGGACATTGGCAACTAGTGCATACCCCGACAACATGCTTAGCGCCAGCCTTCGCGGCGAACATGCTTAGGATGCCAGTTCCACAGCCTACATCGAGCACCGTCTTGTCCTTGAACAAGTGGGGATTGTTGATGATCGCGTTGCGGTACGAGCCGGTACGCACAGTGTCCTTCAGCATTTCTTCGTGAATGCCTGAAAGCCGAACGGACAAAAATTATCAGGCTGATATGTACATAAGAGATGGAGAAATGCTCACCAAAGTGAGCATACGAATCAGCATAGCTGTCGCGACACGAAAGTCAGCGGTATGCACCCGAGCACCCTGCACAGAATGCAACGATGCACACTGCACACAGGAAAATAGAGAGATCGCGAACGAACTAGTCTCGCGAGGTCATGGTTTCGCTCTGCACGTCCTCCTGCATCGGCTCTGGGGTTGAAGACGGACCTGCGCTCGCCATTGTTGGACTCGCGCACGGTAATCAGTAACAGAATAGACGGAGTCGCGACGAAGAAGCGCTAAAAGAAAAACGTTTGCACACGTGATTCGATCAGATACGATTTCTAAAAAGGGAGATATTTTCGGAGATAAGTTCATTAAGTGCGCTAGATAGAGATTAGATTAGATTCAAGGCGTCGAGGCACTTCCGCCGCCATGCGCAGTATGCCAAAGTCGAGCTGCGGCAAGGCTGCGGACGGCAGCGGAGCCTCCACAGCCTCACCTCCTGACATATATAGCGGACGCTCACCCGCCCTTTCACAAAATGATAGTTGACAACAACAGCAGCACGAACGTCGCGATGGTGGGTACCTTAGCTCTCGACTAACGAAATACTCAACGTGCTCAACAGAGTCGCCCACTGGCATCTGAAACTTCAGCACCCTCTGGCGAACCTCCATCTTATGATGCAGTGGTGAGGGATGTCTGTGCGTATCTAGTTCTTTCCCATCGGCCGTCTGTTCACATCTACGTATGCAGCGTCAGGTCCATATGTTCCTGTTGGGGCCAACAAAGGCCAGAATGTCAAAGTTTCCCCAGAACAGACATCCCAGCAACCCAATGCCTCTACTCCACAAGTTCCGTCCATGCCGACGGTATACAACTACGTCAATCCTATTACACAAGAGCATATCGTTTCCCTCCTGCCACCGGACCATCCGCAGATGATTTGTCTCCAGGAAGGCCGTCACATTCCTGATGGCCGTTTTGGTCTACTTGGTGAGCATGCAAGATCATACAGTTATAGCCAGCTCTCACGATCATTGTTACAGGCGTTCTTGCCGCCATTTTCTGGTTCCCCGCAGGTATTATCTGCTGCATGCTCGATAGGCATGTCCGCTGCAAGCGATGCGGGGTGGTCTTAAGCTCAGGGATCACACCTACATGGGACTGAGTGCGTCTTGAGTTTCTGTCTTGCATTCATAGTAGAGAGGGGTCTCGATTAATATAATGAACTTCTGTCTCTGTATTCAGTCGTGATTTATATCCTTGCATAAACTGCTGTACATGTGGTCCCTGGATGCAACGGCAGCCCGTTGGTCACCAACTGATTATGAGGTCTTGGTCTCTCGCCGTATCTCGGATGTGGACGACCCTTCCGCCGCTCCCACCGTGGAGGGTACTCGAGTTCTTGACGTTGCTTCTTGGCCCCAGCTGTCGTTCAACTGAGTAGGAATACTGGTTTTATTTCTCGAGTTCAACGCTCGGGATTCGGGTGAAATTTTCTCGGTGGATGAGGTAATGGTGCTTCATCCAAGTCCTTCGGATTTGGTCATTCTCTCTTCTGGCCACAAGCACCGCTTTGTTTTGTCTTTGTTTTGTCATAGTTCGTTGCGAGCCGGTGTCATAAACTCTCTCCAAGCATGGTACTGGGGGCCAGTGATCATCAATTTGGCGCGTACCATGTCCATACGGATCCAACTCCTCGTCCTTCGTGTTGTAACTATCCGAGCATCGATGGTAATAAATAAAAAGGAAGGTGCAGATCGGGTTATCATTTGGAGCTGTGACGGCGCAGTACTGACAAACGCACCCAAGACAGCACCCAAGTTGGACCCGACACAATGAGCCACTAGGCTCGATAGAAATCTTTCCAACCCTCTTCATCAGCGACCCTCTTTGCGCAGTCCACAAGATCAAGGTACGCCGTGGCCTTGTTCATCCCGCAGACTGTCAAAGTTACTAATAGGAGCTTCGTTCAATCTCGAGGTACTGACCTAATAACGTCCTCAACGCCAGAATACTCCGTATACTCCTCCGCCACAACGGCGTCTTCCTCGACCCTCTTGCTTGTTAGAATTATACTCGGGAGCAGCGTGATTACGCTGTATAGCCAGTTTCGTCGCCAGGACCTCGAGGGGGCATGGGACCGCTGTGTTCTATATTTCAATATCCACATGGATGCCAAATTTGATAGAACTGAAATGGACATCCGAAACGTCACCTGGCGAGGGAAGGGGTACCAAGAAGGATCTGAGAGCGCGCAGGATGAAAGCGGTGCAAACGACATGTAGGATTTGGGACAGAAGAAGTCCGGGAGTCAAGTACAAGATCCACGGCTTCCGTCGTTCTGTTGGTGTAAGTAGGAGAGAATAGACGGGGCGGAAGTATGGAAGTTTGTGTGGCGTCGTGATTGACCTTGTAAAATAATGTCAGGTATAGAACTACCGATCGCGACTCAGCAGGTTGGAACATACCGATATGTTTTGATGGTAGCCGGAAGAGAAACCAACATGCTGAACAATCCGTAGGCTAGGACGCCAAAGGGTCCAGCCGAGAGAGGGTTGACCCTGCTATGATAACTGGCACTCGTAGAGTTGAGAGCAATCACAGCGAACGCGGCGAGCACTGCGCTAGCCAGCAAAGTCGGCACTAAGTAGGTTTAAGTGACTCAATTCCAAATTCCTGCAGCGAGGCACATACTCATTCCCTTGTATAACCCACTCCAACCCTTCAATTGAAGATGAACACATGTCTCAGGATTAGACGTAAATTATGCTCACTTCGATGTTGCTTCGATGCGTTTCACTCTCCTCAGCATGCCGAAGAACGACGTTACCACAGGACCTGGGTGAGCTTCAACATTCCCTTCAGGATCAAGTTGATGTTCTTTCGGATTATAATTGCTGGTACGAAGATATACGAAGGAACGACTGTCTTCCGGAGTACTACAGGCTAGAAACGAGCCCAGTACGAAGATGTCAGTAACGTAGCATACAATCTCGTGTGTTCGTTCGATACTCACGCCCTAAGTCGTACGAGTGCACCCGTCAACGGGACAGCGATGATGAGGGGGATTGCTAGTATCGCCTAGTCTCCCAAAGACAGATGGCAGAGTGTCCTTCGTGCCTCAGGATATCCGTGTCTGACGTATCGTCCAAAGGCCGAGCGCGCTAGCACGCAGAGCAAGAATAACGCCTCGCGATGGAACACATGAGAGTTACAGCATCTTGCCCGAACTACATACGTAAATACTTGCTGCGCCCTTCAAGGCCTCAGGCCTCAGCGCTCACGGGCCGGGGAGCGTATCCAGACAGTCTGGAGGAAACGGCCTCTGAACCGTCACGCTTGCCAAACTGTCACTGAACACAGACGGACATCCTCAGGAGGCACGAAGGTTGAACTTAACACAGTATTTTAACCTGCCTTTGGGATACTTAGTACGTCAACTATCGTAGCCCGTCGGTGAGGCCGCTTACGGTGGTTATTCAACTTGATGTGCAAGCCACTGGGCAGCCTGGCCATGGTGCGTTTTGTGTCACTTTTTATCGTTCTGCGACTCGGTGCGAGTGGGTGCTCGTTCGTTAGGAGGCCGCGCGACTAGTGTCAGCTTCCCAGAGCAATCCCAGAGAGATACGTACATACAGTACATATCATATGGTGGACGAAGAGACATATTGCGATAATTGAAATTGTGTACAGATGTGGTGGGTATATAGGGTAAAAAGTGCCGAGTTACTGAAAAGCCAAAGAGATCGTGATCATACGCCAACGCCAGACTTCAAATTAGATGGAAGGCTCAGTGAGCCTGGAGCTCAGATCCGAAACTTGTCATCGCTAGACAGCCCAACCAAGCCATCTCCACAGCGGCACGACCGATGGGAGTGAGCTTCCACAGCTCCTCTATCTCCTGGGTAGGATCGATCGGAGAGGGGGCAGGCTCGTCACAAGGGACGCAGAGTCCGAGCTTCGCGAGGCCCTCTTGAATAAACTCCATACCAGTCTGGCGGCTGGAACATACCCCGATAACTATGTCATCGAGGTGCGCCTCCCTGATGTACGAAGGAGGGAGGAGTGACATGGCCTCCGACATGGGGCCTGTGACCGACAGGCCGTCAATTGGAAGTCGTACACCTGTGCCAAGAAGATCATGGTACGAAATGAGACGGGCACACACGCGGAACGAAGTGAGCAAGATAGATTTCGAGGAGTTCGTGGGGTTAGAGGAATCACCGCCCGAGCTAGTTTCCCCTCGGGACCTCTTCTTGTTGGGCTCCGGCTTCTTCTTATCCTTGCGCTCGTCGAAAGGCACGTAGTAGATGAGCAGGTACTGTCGCTCCTCCACAGGGATGGTATATACGGCGGCTGGGACCTCGTCTACAGAAGTTGACGTAGGGTCAGTCTCGCCTGCCCACAGAGGCAACAACATATGCAATGAATGCGCTGGGACATTCGCAAAAATATCCAACCCAGACCCAGTCTTTCGTCGTCTGCTGCTCTTACCCCGCGGGTTCCTGTTCGTCCTGAAGGAAGGTAACAAGCCGACATCCTTGAATGATTCATTCAAGTTTTGAATTACTCGTTCTCGTTCTTCTTGCTTGGATCTTGGAGCCATGGTGATCCAAGGAGGGGTGTAGTGGCCGTCTAACGACGCCGATGGTGGACCTGAAGTTGCTCTCAACGCGACTCTGGCATTTTGGCCAAGGAATCGCCGCCGCCAGCGCTCCAAACTACTGATTGAAGACGAATCGTGATCTGCCAAGCGTTGCTCGGCCCTGCCACGCAGATACTCTATGCCGGAAGAATCGAGAGTAGCGAATGCTTCTGCGTGAGATGTGCGGGGCAACATCAACTCGTCATCGTCATCGGCTGATGAGTGTTGATAGTACAGTCGAGAGGACGGAAACTCATGCAGCGGTAAAGGGTAATCAATCAGATCTCGGGTGGTCAACGTAGAATCCGACACCGACGATGAGGAGGAGTTCAAGGCACCTGACGCAGGAAGGTTCTCCACGATTGTCGGGGATATAGGAACCGAGGACGACGAAGGCTCATATACGCCATACGTTACAGATCTGGGTTCTTCGCTGGAAGTGGTGCCAGTGCTGCTGCTTTCAGTACTGGTCGTCTGGCTTGAAGTACCAGTACCAGAAGATGTCCCACTTGCCGATTTTTTGCCTTTGTCCTTGTTATCCTTCTGGTCCTTTGAACGACCGTGATCATGCAGCGGATGACTCTCGCTGGTCTCCTCTCTCTCCCTCTCAACATCATCGCCATCCCTCAACAGGCCATGGGAGTTCAGTTGACTCGTGGTACGAGTGCTCGTGTACTGCTCCTGCACTCTCTTGGTCGCGAGAAGAATGCTTCCGCTGTTATGAGATGTCGAACGCGTTCCCCGTTTCAGGAGACCGTATTTGCGGAAGATGGAGAATGCAAGCGCGCGGGAATGCTTGTGAATAACAGATGTAGGCCCGCCACGGGTGTTCCCTTTCGAGTCTTGATCTGTGATATGACGGACATTCATACGTTGCTGAGGCGGTTTCGAAGGATCATCCGCTGCAGAAGAAAACATACATAACTTGCAGATGTTTAGGATACTGCATGACCACTCACGTCTCATCATGAGTCTATCTACCCTGAAACGGCCCACGTGTGCTTGACGCCAGATCTCCTGTGTACCAGGCATCACACTGGTCGGTACACCAATTGCAAAGCCTGAAAACGACGGCGGGGACACAGATAAAGCAGGGCCATTGCCATCTGCATTCTCCTGTCTGAAACTCCAGTCATTACGCCGTGAACTATATAATGGATCCCATTTGCGGTCGACTGCACGAGTGAACGCATCTTCGCCACTGGCACTGGAGACGGTTATTGCGCTTGGCCGACGACCACTTGCATTTGGAAAACCCCATGGAGGAAACTCCAGCGTAAGGCCAGTTCGCCGCTGCTGATTCGCGCCATCCTCACGCGCCTGGATGTATGACGGTGCGCCAGAAGACCATGACTGTCGGATGCCAACATCATCCATGTGCGACGATCCAAGGATATAATTGATGTCAAGGCCATCGTACGCACTTGCAGTGCCGCCTGTACTGTAATCAGTAAGATCTTCTGGCTGTAAATTGGACTCCACATTGTTCGCTTCAAAACCACCGCTGGGACAGCCGGTGGTTGATGCCCTATACTCTGGAGTCGATAAACCTTCGTCTAAACTACGATTGAAATGACGGCCAGGCAACGTTACGACGGAGTCTTCCCTATCTCTTGCCGTAAACTCCGAAGCGGAGGTTCCAGGAATCTTCCAAGAAACACTCCCTCTCCGTGAGTGCGATGGAGATGTTACCCTAGCGGACGTGTATGCGCCATCTTCGAGCGTCAATTTTGATGCACGTATGCCAGGTACTAAATCATGGTCAAAGGTATCACAATCTTCTTCTACGACGATCATCCTATCGTCAGAATCGTCACCAGCGCCATCACCGAAATGGCGAGAATCACCGAAGATATGCTGAGAAACGGTATCTGAAACAAGGGAGGTACGAGAGCCGTAGTGGTGGGGAATGTCAAGTTCAACGTCAGTGTCAAAATCACCGTCCCCGTGATCGCCATCGCCGTAAGACGTCCCAGTGTGAACTGCGACATCATGGTTTCCGCGAATGACATCACGGTCATCTTCATGGATGTCGCCGGTCGATCGCCGGGGAGATGCCTTGGATGCGGGGGGAATTGCAGGTGAGCTTGACCTACCTGCGCGGTAAGTATTTACAGGAAGCGAAGGTCTTCTCGAGCCATCATTCATTGCACGCATCTTGGCGCGACTCTGCCGGATCGCCTCCTCATCGTCCTCATCGTCGGCACTATCACCGCTCTCGGCCACACCTCTGTCTTGCATCCGATATGTGCGATCGCGAAGACTGGTGTACGGGCTTGACTGTGAAGAACCTGAACTGGGTCCAGAAACTGACGGACGGGGAGTGCGGTCTCTACTGATACTCCCGGATGCAGAAGTCAGAGGGTTGACCATTTCAATCATGTCAGGCCTACTGGGGGGCGCAGCACCAAAAGTGAAGGAGGCCAGGTTGGAATACATATCGTCACCGGTCGAAACGGAAAACTCGGGATTCGAATAGTTGGCTCCAGAAACTGAGTGCACAGTTGATCGGGGATGCACCACAGACGTAGTCGGCTGCAGGTGGATCGTCGGGAGTGACGGACGCCTCGACGAATCAACAGAACCGGAAGGAGTGTGACTAGGTCTGCGGAGAAGGGTGCGCGATTGGATGAACGTAGTTGGGCGCGCGATGCCGTTGTTAGTCTGTGGGCTAAACGACAGACTAGCACCGCATTTCTCTGCGCACTATGTGAAACACATACTGGTTGGGAATAGACCTCCTCCTTGTGCCGTGCAAGGAAATCCTGGAGTCGTCACTAGAAGTACGGCGAGGAATAATAGGGCCGCCAATATTGTACCGTGCAGGGCCGGCGCGTTCTGATGCGGGATTCCGGACAGACGAGGATGAGGGCATCTGATCGTCAGAAAGTAGAGGATGAGTGATGCTGGCAGACTGAAGATCAATATGTGCGAGAGCTCTGCGGCTGCTGAGTAGGCTGTTGGAGATCGTTACAGAGGGCGTAGATGTTGGGATGATGGGAGGAATAGCTATGCGACGATATGATACGGAAGAGGCCGATTTTTCGGAAAAGTCGTCAGAAGGGAGAGGATCGCGTCGAAGGTGGAACATTGAGGGCGGAGATGCCTGCGAGTCGAACGAAGAGGGGCAGAGTCAAGAGAAAGAAAGATGTGGGGCATGGGCCGGGGTGAGGACGTTGGACGCGACGGCGCCAGCAACCAACACGTGGTCCCGCCTTGTACTCCTTTAGGCAACTCTTGTACTCTACGCATCGTCTCACGTAAGCCCTCCTCACCGTCTCCTCACTTCCATTCTCTGCAGTTTCAAGTTCAGGCGACAAGATGAGTTGGTCAGGGTATGTTTAATCGCTCCCTTCTTCCTCCTTCCATTGACCTCACCATGTACTTCCAGCTTCAAGAAGTCTATGAATCGCGCGGGGACATCGGTGCGTATTTCTTGACTTGAAACCCGACATTGCACGCGAGTTGTAACAACCTGTTGTTCTCCAGCTCCTCCAGAAGACAGGACAAATCGAACGCACTGTAGACAGGGACTTCGCTGACGAGGAAACCAAGTACAAGACGTGCGCCCCCTTCCGCTGTGTGCCGAACATCGTGTTTGACATCTTCGCACAGCTTTGAGAAGGAGTGTCAACAACTCCTGAAAGATAGCAAGGGATACCTAGATGCTATGCGAGGTGCGTCTGTGACATACCCGGAATAGTCGTACTGACCCATCACCTGAGACAGCGATGACCTCCGCTCAGAGTAGACTGGCGGAGACTATTGATGTCTTCTACGGTGCTGCGGATCATAATTCGGAGGGCGCCATGGCTGCGCATGCATACAAGCGTGCCGTGGACGATCTCGATACCGGTGTTGGAAGGGAACTGGTATGTGCTCGGCGGCGAAGTTGCTTTTAAATGATGTCACCGTTTTGTTTCAGGATGCACCTTATCGAACCACCGTGATGGAACCCCTTGGCAAAATGAATGCTTATTTCCCTGTTGTCAACGAACACATATCGAAACGCAACAAGAAGGTCACTACAATGTGTAAATTATGAAGGCGGTGCTAATCCTCTTGCCATATCAGCTGTTGGATTATGATTCTGCACGCAGTAAGATGAACAAGCTAATTGCCAAGCCGAGTGAAGACCCCACTAAACTCCCAAAGGTATTTACACCTCATATTATTTACCCATCTTTATGTCTCACGCTATCGCACATCTAGGCTCAACAGGAACATGACGATGCAAAGGAAGTCTTCGACATGCTTAATGAACAGTTGATTGCGGAACTGCCGCAATTGCTCGATCTGCGCATCCCCTTTTTCGATCCGAGTTTTGAAGCGATGATTCGAATGCAATGCAAGTTCGCCGAGGAGGGGTACGAGAAGCTCGGCGGCGTTCAGAGGTGCGAATAACGATTGTTTCCTGGACTGGCGAGCTCACCAAGATTCCAGGTATTTCGCGGATAATGTGCGAGATGATTACGCCGCTGGACAGTTAGACGCGCAAGTAGAGGGTGTCTTACAAGAGATGAAGGAGTTGACCATCTGCGGCGCGAGTTGAACAGCAGCCTAGTTGCAGTCTGTACACATGAACATTTGTATCGCTAAGCGTGTTTCACATTACTACTGGGATTTCAATCAACCCATACGGTGCGTACGGGCGAATCATGAAAGTGCAGAGCAGAAGGTGCGCTCAGACCGCTGCGTTTTGGAGATGTAATACGAGGGCGTGTGTGTATACTGCTGAGGAAAGGACGGACCGCTAGGACGTATTCTTGAAACACCAAACCTACATGCCATTGTCATGAAACTGTTACAGACCATAGTCGCTCGGAGAACACGGCATACATAGCGTTGCACGGAAGCAGCGGGCCCAAAAAAAGAGTAACGAACGCACCGCTCTCGCCTTCAAGACAGACGGGCTCCAAGATCGCTCGTCTTTCCGTTCTGTTTGCTATTGGTTGAGAGGCGATCCTGCAGAGTGGGACGTTGCTGCCTCCCCGAACCTTTCGATGCCGTACTGTTCCCTCGGCTCCGGTTGGTAGCGCCCCGTCCGCGTTGAGATGCGCGTAGAGGTGGCGAGTATGAAAGATGATCCGCCCAATCGTCATTGTCGTTCCGGGTGCTTCCTCCAGCCTGTCGACGCTCAGGTGCCTTCATGCGCCGTAGGAGAGATGATCGGCCTTGATCATGCAAGTACTCGGACTCGGCAACGGACGAGTGGTTCCCCGGACGATCCTGAACAGACGAAGATTGCGCGACAGAGTCACTAGCGGCAGGACCTGAGACGAGACGTCGTTCATCCTGTGATGCGTAGTAATCGTATGGCTGGCTGCCGTTAGCGTCGTACGCGCTCGGAAAGAACCAATTATCATTACGCGGCAGTAAGTCGGATGGATAATCCGGATAAGCAGGGTCTCCAACATAGACAGCATCCCGAGCAGAGTACGTTGTAGGTGATCTTAGTCTTGGGTCATACATGCGTGGAGGAAGTGGTGATGGAGACCGGGGCTCTACCGGACGCGTCTGAGCACCTGGTATTCGACGCGTTTCTTGTGCCATCTCTGCGGGCCTACGCCGGTGAAGCGGAGGCTGTTCGTTCGAAAGCCAAGGATCGTCGTTCTCTCGTCGCCTTTTCCGAGTAGGTCCAGGAGCCGGATTATGATTGCGAATCGTCGGGCCACGAGGATGGCGATCTTGGGGCGAAACGAAGTCGCCGCGATGACGTGGCTGTAAATCTCTGCCACGATCTGGGGAAGGTGACCAATGGTCACCCGCGGGTCGACCAAGGACTCCGTCTGTCTGCAAACTTCGGTCACCTTTCTCCGGTACTCGATCTTCTATTGGAGACATGCGCTCAGCTCTTGGAGTGTTGACCCAAGGGTCGTCGTGATAATAACTGGACCATCCACCGTCCATCATGTGAGAATGACCTGGAGAGGGTAGTTTGCCTGGCATGATGGATGACCCTCCATTTACCGCGAGAGCTCTGAGTTCAGAGGATGGAATTTGCGGCGCGGCACTTTGACAGGCAACACCATCTGCCTCTGGTACTTTCGAACCTGCGATAGAAGGGTTTCTGTCCGAGGGAGGGGCAGAGCCGGTGCCCGATGCCTGAAATGGATCACTGTGCGTTCCCTTTGCAGTCAGAAGGCGAGATGATACATTTGACTGGAGCTGAGAAGCCGATGACGTGGATGCACCATTTCTTGACGGGAGAGACGATATAGGCCTGGACTTAAGCTGGGAATGCAGATCCTCAGAGTCCAGCAACTCCTCATGATCCGAGGGAGGTTTGTGCGACAAAGCATCTGAGTTCGACACCCCGGTAGATCGAGGAATATCGGATGTCAACTGTTCAATTTTCACAGTGTGAACGCGTTGCGAGGTTTCTGCCGCGGACGAGGGTAGTACCTCGCCCTGGATTGCAGGATGCGGTAGTGCCACCCTTGAGCTGGTCGAATGGAGTCTCACGCCCTTTTGAGTAAGTAAAGACCTCCCTGGAACTCCAGAAGGATCGGCAAGTGCTGTGGGAGGGTTAGTCACTCGGACAGGCTGCTTCGCTCCCCGAGATCTCTGGGATTTCGTAGGTTCTGCCCCAAATGCGTCAATAGCAGGTCGAGCTGGCAGTGACGCCTGCATGGTAGGAAGGGAAGGAGGAGGCGGCGCTGCCGGTACGATACCACTTGACTGGTATGGAGGAGCCTTCGCGGAAGAAGCATTGGTGGGCGCGGTAGCAACATGCCGCTCCTTACCTGGTGGCGTTGAAATCGAAGTGGTCGAAGGCGGGAGAGGCGGAGGAGCTGACAACTGTGAATTGGCTTCGCTTTTCTCCTTCTCCAGTTTCGCCTTGAGCTGAGCAGCACGACTACGTGCGGCGTTGTCAGCCGCCGCCGCCTTCTTCTGTTCCATGACCTTCGCTTTCCGAAGTTCCTGCTGACGTAGTTTCTCTCGTTCTTCAGCCTCCTGTTCTTGTAAACGTTTCTCTTCTTGCGCCCGCACAAAAACGGCCTCCCGCTCCTTCGTCTTGCGTCTCCCGTCTTCTTCCGCCTTTAGCCTGCCCTCTTCTTCGCACCTGCGCTTGTTCGCCTCCTCTGATGCTCGCTGTTCCTCCAGTTTCCTCAATCTGTCTTGCTCTGCTGCCGCTTCTGCTTCGGCAGCCGCCGTTTCCTGTTGACGCTTTTCCTCCATCTGTCTTTCAGCTTCATTCCTACGCCGTTCATCCATGGCCTTCTGCAATTCGGCTTGATCCCTTTGTTCAAGCAACTTGGCAGCTTCTGCGGCAAGGGCCTCCGCCTTATGCTTCTCCGAGGATAGACGTTGATCCTGCTTCAAGCGCAACAGTTCCATCTTCTCCAGCGCTGACTCCGCAAGAGCAAACAGCTTGTTTGCCTGATCCAGCTCTCTCTGCACGGCCCGTTGCGTTTCGTCCTTTCTGAGAAGTAATTCCTTATACTCGTCTTGGTACTTTTCCTTCAGGTTGCGTATCTCGTCCCAATCAGCCTGTTCTTGCGTAAGGAGGGACAGAAAAGTGAATAAGTCAGGCGAGGGCGATGGACGGGATAAATGCGTATGCTCCTGAAGGACGGCGGTGGTGTCCCCCTTGCCAATGGGCACATAATCATTAGTTCGGGTATCGTCGTTCGTAGCAGGCACGGTGGGGGTCCTGGGAGAGCCTGCAAGAGTATGATCCGCACGAATAGATGTCATACTAATCTGCGACACCGTATTGTGTGGTGAAGGAACAAGGGAAGGTTGATGAGGAGGTTCTGTCGACGCGTTTTCGGGAAAGACAGGGACAAGTAAACTGTTCGAACTGTCTTCAGCGTTCAATATTATGTCGCCGGAATTGCTCAGAGCCTCGAGTAACGAGGGTCTGGTGCGCGGTGCTTCTTGCGCGCTGGGCAATTCGGAAGTCAAGGACGGTGGCGAAGGAGAAGAATACTGTGAATCCTCCTGCGCAGGTCCGAGTCGCTGCAGCAGCGCTGGGGGTTGGCCAATGATCGTGAACTTGAAACCAGACAAGGGGGAGGAATGTTCCGATTGTGCACCGTGTTGCGAGGAGCCAACGAGCATCGCACGATGAGACAAAAGACTTTCTCTAGAAATGCTGGCTACGACCTGGGTTGAGAGTGTTGTACATAAAGTTGCGATGTCGACTGGTCGCCAAAATCGAGATGTTTATGAAGTCTGACGGGTAAGTTTGCGTGGTCAGAAAAGACGATGCCTTTGCATACGTACGCGTATGTTAGATATCCGACCACACTGAATGTAATCGACCCTGTCGCGACGCTTCAGTAGCGTATGATACCTCCGTTCGTGCGCATACAACCTAGTCGAGAAAGGAAGACGGAGAGGAGTTCAGGAGCTTGCGCATACCGCCGTCATTCGCACTTTGCCGTGGATTGGCCGCGGACTCTGGATACGGTTCCGCCGATCGAATTCAAAACAACGGTTCTTGCACAGAATATTTAGGGCCCGTTCGGCATCGAAACATTTGCGTCACGCAAACGCTTTCGCAACGCAAACACCCAGAAGCCGGAAATTCCCGAAAGTTCTGGCCAACCCGAGGTTGTGACTGTCTGTGACTGATGGGTTGGGTTGTCCCCTGCCGCCGACATTCCCGCCTTGCCGCCCTCAACGACGGCGACGAGCATGAGCATCTGAGAGCGCCGTCGTGTGGCACCCATCAGTACATAGAATACAGCAGCACAATTGAAAAAGGAATGTTGTATGTATTCTACATATTCTATCATTGAATCAAGACATCTAAATCCACCTGCTCATCGGGGGCAATGACGAGCAAAGGCAGACGCATGACGAGCAGCGATTCCCGGTGCCGGTCAACACGGTTGCCCGGAAATGGGGTGTGACAGCGGCAAGATCGGCCCGTTATGTGCATCTGTTTGGACGGATGCGTGAAATGAACGCAAACGTTTGCGTGGCGCAAATGTTTGGATGCCGAACGGGCCCTTACACGCTACCCCTATTGTCTGTGATACGAGAAGTCTGAATACATAATTAAACGCAGTTTATCGTGCTATCATCCATCCTATCTGCTATACAGTACAGCACTATCCTCCCGGTGAGGTCGCAAACGGTCGCAATTACTATGCCTGACCGTTCAGTCGGCGCACCCTAATCGGCGCCTTGCTATACCTCCGTCCACTTTGCTCCGTTTGTTTAACTACCTCATAGGTATCCTACATAGTATATTTGTACCCTTTTCGAGCTTGAACGACGGTGAATGGATGAATATTGGTTGAGTCCATCCTTTTGGTATGCGTCACGCTCAAGTCACCCTCGACCTCCTGCCGTGATGGACTTTAGCAGGGCTCCTGCCTTTTGGGGTGTTGTACTATGGGTGACACATGTGTGACCGCCGATTAGGAGGGTGCGCCGACTGAACGGTCAGGCATAGTACGTCAAAGAAGGTGATGGACGCTACGGAGGTAGCCACCTACTTAAGGGAAGTGAGCAAGATCAGCGATCGGGAATTGTGCATGGCGGACGAGCGTGATCCCTGTAGGATGATTTGACATTTTGACTAGTAGACTAGATCATGCTACTTACCGAGTCTCTGCGTAGGACCAGCTGCGACGTAGCAGTTTTTCCTGGTTGATCGGTGTCCAGGCGTTACTACTGTCAATCGTCCAACCGTGCCATCGTAGCTCGACGCGACGAAGGGTGGACCCGTGTTTCGTAACCATAGCCTTCCCCATCTCTTCTGTTTTCCCTTCAAAATCGATGACACGACGCCTCCCGTCAGGTTGATTGTCCGCGGGCGGAGATGGGTCCGGCGAAACGGCAAGGCTGAAGGCACTTAGAGAATACGAACGAGACAGTGCATGGCCTAGTTCTGAGAGGATATCCTGCACAAAGTCAGATTGTGACTCTCGTCACCTGCATTTGCACGGCATACTCACACCAAGACTCTGCCACGTAACATCTTGAGGCCGGGGAAATTTCATCTGAATGCCCAGAATTGACACCGACGGAAATGTCTCCGTGAGGGTGAGAAACAACTGGGTGATTGTTTCCCTATTGTCGACGGTCAACTGCAATTGCAGCTGCTCCATTGAGGAAGTGGCGTATGTCATTCTGCTCGACAACAGGCGGTATTCTTCAAATGTCATCCAATCTTCGACACGAACGACACGAACGGGTCGTCCGGGTAATAGAATGCCGACGAGGCGACTGTCATTGGTGTTCAAAGCGGAAAGTCGGGGAAGGAAGTCCGTTGATGACAACAGAGACTCTGATAAGAGTGGTGCTGAATCAAGTGGCTTCATATCGATGTCGAGCGACAACAGCTCCGTTGTCTTCTTCAATATGGACAACAGTAGATCTTGCAAATCGCTACTGTGGAGGCTGACGGACTTGATAACCAGGTGGCGAACGGCCGTTGCACAGGACTGAGAGTTATCCAGAGTCTTCATAAGGCGAATAACAGGGCGAGGTTGGGACATGTCTGCACTCATCCCAAGATTGAGTTCGACCACAGTGTACAGGATATCCTGGCCAATGCGGCACCATGCCTTGTTGACGCGCATGGCCACCGTCAGCGGTCGGAGAGAGAACGGTTTCATGTGGAGGGAATTGAAAATGTGCCGCAATATGTCCGGATCCCCACGAAGAGCAGCCATTGAGTGAGGGAAATGGAGGGCAGTGGAGGTTGCAGAAATCGACTACCGCTGCGGCTTTTATAAATCTTCCCCGCTACACCGCGCTAGGAGTGACTCGGAAAAATACGCCCGGTGCGAAACACATTTACTCATGAGTTTTCGTGTCATGTCTAAGCAAAATGAGACAAATCAGGAGTAGCACGGCTCCAAGCCTGCGGTCATTCGTTCATGAGGACCACACAGAAGTTGAGAGCGCTACCGAGCACGTCAAACCGGTTCCACCACAGCATAAGGACGACTACATATCGAGTCCGTAATATGTCAGCTGCGCAGTGCAGGAGAAAAGTCGAACATACTTACGCAGAAGCAGAGACTGACCAGAGGCGGTCACAAAGGGAAATGTTCCGTCGGTTTTACCGCATGTGGCAGAGCGGCAGCGCTTTACTTCCACGTGGCTGTGAGAGGCAGACGTACAGCTCTGTCACACACCGGAGTCAACACCTCCTCGCATCTGCCATTCAACACCCTCTCGTTTCAAACATAACGAGTTCCTGAGCGCGCCGACGTTCTCGCCGACGCTCTCTCTCTCACATGCGTTCCTCACTGCGTTGCCTTTTCTTCCTGGGCAGTGCACTCGTCTCGCTCTCGTCTCACACAAATGCGTTCTATCTCCCAGGTGCAGCGCCTCATGATTATGCCGCTGGCGAAGTTGTAGATCTCTACGTCAATGCTCTGACCCCCATGTTGGCTGGGAACGATAACGCCAAGTTGGTATGTGCACACCATATAGACAGCTGCGGTCCTGTCTGACGTTCGGACTTGAGCAGAAATCCTTGATAAATTGTGCGTCTTCTGACACTCTATCTGACTTGAGTTCTGATTCATACTGAGTCAGATGACTACTACAATCCGAGATTCCACTTCTGCGAACCAGAAGGAGGACCACGCAAGGAACCCGAGTCGCTGGGTTCAATCTTATTTGGTGACCGGATATTCAACTCACCGTATGATGTCCGTACGAGTTTTTGCCAGTCATAGGATATATCTTGACATGTCACAGATCAGAATGCTGGAGGACAATGCAACATGTCGAACGCTCTGTTTACAAGATGTGCCTGGAGAGGACGCCCAGTTCATCAACGACAGAATCCGCGAAGATTATGCGTTGAATTGGCTCATAGATGGCCTTCCTGCTGCAGAAATGAAAAAGGATCTGAAAACAGGCGACCTCTTTTTTGACATGGGGTTCAACCTAGGAAATGACGAGGAAGAGGAGTTTGCGGAAACCCCGGCATTAAATAATCATTATGAGATAGTTTTGAGGCAAGCCACTGATTCTGATTTCATGCTGAAGCGCTGACGCGCAAACATCCTACAGGTATCATTCGCCACGGCCAGACGTGTTTCGAGTAGTCGGCGTCCTCGTGTGGCCCACCAGGTACCGGGTATTCTTCTCATGGACACACCTCCCGTACTAAAAAGGCGTTCATAGCCGCGGTGGTTCACAGGAAGACCCGATCGGAGATTGTATGAGCGCTGCTCCACCACTCATTCTGCGGGAGAGCCAAAACAATACCGTCCGTTACACATATCGCGTGATGTGGAACGTAGGTCAAGATTGTCTTACCTGTGAACGATTTTCACTTTCGAAACAGGAATCCGATACTCCATGGGCCACCCGTTGGGACAATTACCTGCACATCTTCGATCCCGTGCGCGTTTCTCGTTATCCCAGAGATCTGTTTGACCTAAGGACAGATTAGCGCATACACTGGTTCAGCCTGATTAATTCGCTTGTGATCGTCGTTTTTCTCTGTGTTATGGTGTCCATGATCCTGCTAAGGACTGTCTCCCGAGATGTGAATATGTCTTATCATTGTCGTTGTCCTACTGAAATCTCATTGGAATCGCGTAGATATCGCGTTACAACGCTATTGATCTCAGTGTACGCCCCCTGTTATTGCATGAACTTTAGGCGCTGACTGGATGTTGGATCCAGGAAGATGTCCAAGAGGACTGGGGTTGGAAACTCGTTCACGGAGAAGTGTTTCGGACCCCTCGTCATGCCATGATTTTGTCAGTGATGGTCGGAAACGGGGCTCAGCTATCTGCAATGGTCGGGGTCACTCTTGGTGATTTCGACTATGCGATGAACTGTAATAGCATCATTGATGTCACTTTTATTAGTGTTTGCTCTGCTAGGTTTCCTGTCTCCCTCTAACCGCGGTTCGCTGGCGACGGTGATGATGGTGTGCTGGACGTTGTTCGGAGGGTGAGTATAGTTCGCTGCATATATCTCCCTCTTTCCCGATTCTGAGTTACTTATAATCCGGGACAGAATCGGCGGCTATGTCTCCAGCAGAGTGTATGCTTCTCTAGGAGGGACTGACAAGAGAAAGAACGCCTTCCTTGCAGCAACGCTGCTACCCACGTACGTCTGTGAAGTAGGTTTCTTTCCCAATGAAATGGACGCTGATACTGCCCAAGTGTCGTCTTTGGTGTGGTTGTTTTCTTGGATTTCATTCTCCTAGCTGCTGGTTCTTCCGGAGCTGTACCATTCGGTTAGGGATATTACTCCTGTTATCCCCGTGCAGCTCTAACTATTGCGTGCAGGTACGATGCTGCTCATTATCGTTCTTTGGTTCGGGATCTCAGCACCATTATCTGCAATCGGCTCATATTTCGGGACAAGACATGGAGTAAGGAGTCTCACCTATATGTGAAACCAGATGCTCATACCAGGGGAAAGGGTTTCCCTCATCCGGTACGAGTCAACCAGATTCCACGACAAATACCGGCGGTTCCGAAATACCTGCAGCCTTGGGTAAGATGACTGCCACTTCTTCAATGTACGCGTTGACACATGGTAATACCCAGGCAGCCACACTTCTGGCTGGCATATTACCATTCGGTAAGCTAGGTATTACAGGCGTTCAGACGCGCAGTTCACACTACCCGCTCAGGTGCTGCTTTTGTCGAGCTCTATTTCGTGTTGTCTAGTCTATTTGCATCAAGAGCATATTATGCCTTTGGATTCTTAGCGTTGACTGCGGGTGTCGTATCGCTGACCACAGCAACCGTTACGATCCTTTTTACCTATTTCATACTGTGCGCGGAAGAATACAGGTGCGCCAGCAAATTCATAAACGTGCTTCATGACATGAAGCGTCTTCTGGTGTTTCACAGATGGCACTGGAGAGCATTCCTCACTGGCGGTGGAAGTGCCTTCTGGCTACTTGCATACGGCATATTCTACTGGGCATCTCGTCTCTCACTTGACTCCTTCTCCAGCGTAGTGTTATACATGGGATACCTCTTCCTTCTTGCCCTACTTGACTTCATTGTCACAGGTACGTCGACATCGTCAGCTTAGGTACCAGTTTTGACACACCGTAACACAGGAACTATTGGCTTCTTAGCGACTTACTGGGCAGTTCGCAGGCTATATAGCGCGATACGTGTGGACTAAGTCCGTCTGTTCGCAGCTAGGCGCACAAAAGTACTAAAACCAACCGTGCACGATGTGCTGTAGACTGTAGATTTCTGAGCCAAGGACTCTTATACAAGTACCTAAGGTAGAGGGTGGCTGAGAGCGACAACCGCTTGCTTCTGTTTACCTGCGCGTATTATTGCAAGACGGCCACCAATGAGGTCGCTGGGACGCAATGCTTGTTGAGGGTCACTGACGGGGTGGTTGTTGAGATATAATCCCTTAGCCGCAACCAGTTGACGTGCAGCACCTACAGTTGTGAGGATGAGTGTTTGATAAAATGCCGAGACGCAAATACCCTTACCATTTGAGGAGGCAATCTGACACCGAGCCGCCAGTTTCGCTATTGGGACATTCATCATCTCCGATTCCTCGTACTCATTGAAGAAGGGCATTCCATGCAGCGACTCGATTATGGTATCGATATTCAAGGTGGAGAAGTCCTGGTCATACAGTACTGCCGTTGCAGCCTGTGCTCGTCGAACGCCGGTTTCTACATCCACGTCAGTTTAAATCTGTACGGAAGGAAAGCTACACACCGCCATGTACCAACTCCGTGACCTCTTGAGCCAGAAGGCGCTGCGCTAAGCGCGTCTCGGGGTTAGACTTTTGCAATAGTGAGTCAGATGAGATTTGCAAGGGGAACGCATACTTACTGCGTGATCCTCTAGAACACTTTCAATCTTTGCCAAGGGTAACAACGTAAAAATCTTGAGATAGCGCCCAACGTCTGCGTCTGTTGATCTCAAGAAGAACTGAAAAGAACGTGTGTTACCGTTGTCACACATAAATGGCATGAACAAACCTGGTAGAAATCGAAGACATTTGTAGCTTGCTCGTCCAGGGAGATTGCATTACCGGCGCTCTTCCCAAACTTCTCTCCAGAAGCTGTTGTCAGTAACGGCGTAACAATACCGAATCCTTTCTCGGTCCGATTTTCCGCACCGTCAGTCGCATTCACGCGATTGATAAGGTCAATCCCTGCGATAATGTTGCCCCATTGATCTGAGCCACCGATCTGGATGGTGCAGCCGGCGTTCTTATACAGCATTAAGAAGTCGTACGATTGCAGCAATTGGTATGTGAACTCTGTGAACGAGATGCCTTGCTGAGAGGTAAGACGATTGCGTACACTGTATGCGCGTCAGCGGGGCGGAACGGGTATTGGTGCACATGTGGGCTTACCTGTCTCTTGCCATCATGATGTTGACTCTGCTATGCACTCCTACCGTCCGTAAGAACTCGAGCAAGCCCAAGTCTTTAGTCCAGTGTATATTGTTTCTAATGTCTGGAGAAAGGATAGGCGTGGTGGATGCTTCAAGCCTGTTCTGTGCATACTTCACTGCTCCGGAAAAGAAATTTCGCACCCCTTGGATAAGCGCTAGGACATTACGCTCGACGTCCGCTTGCGCGGATAATGGTCTCTCTGTCGAACGACCGGAAGGATCTCCTATAAGACCTGTAGCTCCACCTATCTGATAGACATCACGCAAGATACTTAATCTATAGACATGAAACATACATACCAATGGAATAATTTGGTGCCCTCTGATTTGGAAATGAAATAAGGACAATAGAGGTAGGAGGTGGCCGACGTGTAGCGACGGTGCAGTGGGGTCTATACCCGCATACACGACTTGGTTTCCACTTCGAAGTTCCTCTCGGAGCATATCGGGCCTATGCTTGATAAGTTGCAAACTGGCAATCGTCATTGAGAGCGTGGTACCTGGTAATGTCAGAAATGAGCCCCCTGGACTGCAGGTCGTCGAGCAAGTCGGCCTGCAGATGAAACCGACGACGTTGTAAAAGGACATGAGACGAAGGTCTTAGAGAACGGGAGCTCCGAACACCATGTCGACAAACTTGCATCCCTTCCTCGGTGACCGCAGGCTTGACTCGGACGCCGTGACTCAGAAGTTGAGGTCAGCGCCTAATCGAACGCGTCGAGATCGAATCGGGAAGCCAATAGCTTCGTCACACCCACTCCTCCCAGCCATCGGTCGATCTCTATATAGAGGAACGACTCTTTCTTCCTATATACTAGAGGCTGGTTAACGAGCCTACAGTCGATCCAGGGGCGATCTTTGACAATGCAATTCGAAGTTCTAGCAACATGTTCTACAACGAGAGCCAGAGTTTCAAGGATGAAACTTGCCCGTGGGTGCATTACACTGACAGTGGTAGATCATCATCTTAATACACCTGCTTTGCAGACGGGACAACAGCGCTGCCAACCTTTATGCCTGTCGCAACGCAGGCTGCTATCAAGGGCCTGACTCCACAGCAGGTGGAATCCCTGGGTGTCAACCTCATACTCAATAATACGTATCATCTCAACCTTCGTCCCGGTATCAGGATCTTGAAAGAGGTGGGGGGCGCTCACAAGTTTCAGGGCTGGAATCACAACCTCCTGACTGTAAGTGGCAGAATTATGGGGTCTCAATGTCTTCTTATAGTTATATATCAGGATAGTGGTGGCTTCCAACTCGTCTCACTCAATAAATTCACTCAGATTACGGAAGAAGGCGCGCTATTCTCAAGTCCATTTGATGGCGAACCCACCATGTTGACAGTAAAGACGTAAATTCATTCCATTTAATTTTGTCTGACTTTTCTCAGCCAGAGGAGAGCATGTCCATTCAGCATGCTATCGGCGCCGATATTATGATGCAGCTCGACGATGTGGGTAAGCGAACACTTTGTTCACAAGCGTTCTGACGACAATAAGCATCTTTTCAAGTGTCCAGTCTCACTGTTGGTCCACGAGTCGAAGAGGCTATGTGGCGAACAATCCGCTGGCTAGATAGATGCATCGAATATCACAATAAGTCCGGGAGGAAGGTCGTACAGAACTTGTTTGCTATCGTACAGGGCGGGCTTGACCCAAAGCTCAGAGATCTGTGTCTGGACGAAATGGTTGCAAGAAAGGACAGAGTCACCGGCTACGCCATAGGAGGGCTAAGCGGTGGAGAGGCTAAGGGTGAGCTGTTGATTCGCTGCCATTATTATGATTTTATATCTGGCTGTAGACGTTTTCTGGAGAATGTACGATTTGTCAAAACCGGAATATCGATATTTGCTGCTGATTTCTCTGCTCAGAGTCAAACAGTGCGTAGACAAGCTGCCTGCAGATCGTTAGTCATCCTCTCGCATCATGTTACTGTTCACTGAATTTTGTTAGGTCCTCGGTATTGCATGGGTATCGGCTTCGCTGAAGGTATGCAGTCAACATTCCCTTCAGATACATGCCAGCATGGGGTGAACCATATCTTCTAGATCTCTTGGTTTGCGTTGCCTTAGGAGTGGATATGGTAAGCGTTTTGGCCTATGTTCCACTTACACAGCTGACTGTCGTTAGGCTGATTGTGTGTTTCCCACCCGGACCGCACGATTTGGAGTTGCGCTTACATTTAATGGTCCTCTGAACCTCAGTGAGAAATGGAATATTGGCATCGCATGCATTGACTCATTATGGCCAGAACTGAGCAAGCACAGCCACGACCTCAGGCCCATCGACAAGACTTGTCCTTGCCCCACATGCAATGACGGCATGTCTCGAGCGATGTTGCATCACATAGTGACGTTGGAGACTGCAGGCGCTCATGGTTGGTCATCATTCTACCTGACACCTACCTGCATTGCACTGACTTGTACCGCTTAAATCAATAGCTCTCACGCAGCATAATATCGTTTTCCAAGCTAGAGTCATGGGCGGTGCACGCGACGCTATCTTGAATCAAACCTTCCCTGCCTACTTGAAGAAATTCTTCGCCGACTACTTCGGAGATACTGGCTATCCGGAGTGGTGTGTAAACGCACTGAGAAGTGTCGGGGTTGATCTGCTGGAGGAGAAATCGAACGTAGCAATAATTTCCGGTGACGGCGCGAAATGGGAATATTCGGAAGCGGCATAATACGTTCGGGATGAATGGACGATACACTCGATTTCGCCTGAAACCAGTGTCACCTCTTCCCCTTCCGCCGACTGGTTCGGGCATTCTTTGCTCTCCTGTTCTCCGTCACTTTTCGTGCCTTTCTAATTTCATCCACTGTCTTAAGTTCATTCTTGATCCTTCCTGCGGGCTTTCCGCCAAACCTCCGACTGACGGTCTTCCCCTTCTTCCCAGACGGTGGTGGCCTCGACGGTGAACCAACAGCATCCCCTCCATCAGCACCAAGCTCCTTCTTCGTTTTTTGCCTCACTTTCCTCTCGTAGCCCTTCGCAAGTCTGTCAAGAGGCCTTGCGTCGACAACTTGGCTGTGTCGATACTTTCTTCCCCCAAGACCGAAAGACCTATTCCTTTGCATCCCCTCTGACTCCGCTTCACCGACCTTGGGTAAGCTGACGCGGCTCTTCGCCTTCCATTCATCGAAACGTCCACTCCGATACGAGGCCGGTAATTTGACGCCACTCTCGGTTCTTACCATCCTGACATTATCGGCACCCTCTCCAGCTCCCTTGATGAATTTCTTTTTCTTTTTGTCCCATGTTAGTTCATGACGCTTGCGTTTCAATGCACCTTCGTCACCAGCCAGGTCGAAGGTGACATTTCTCGCTTGCTCGGCGAATGTCGCGCCGTCCCTCAGAGAATAACTGATCGGCCATATCAGACGATCGTCGCAGACATGTACAGCGAGGAGCGTACCCTTTTTCCGTTTCCGCATTCCTCTGGTAATGTGACATGTAGAACTCAGAATCCCTGAAGCTGTTTTGGCCGCCCTTGCTACTTTTATGATACGTATCGAAAACAGCCTACGCACGGTGTTAGTGACCTAGTTAGAGCAAGTGTGGACGAGACATACGGCGATCTCCTCTTCATTCGCCATCTCCATGCTCTCCGCATCACTATCGGCAGCATTCTCATCCTCATCTGGAGCGGGAATCTTGGAGGTAGATGCGAGAGAGGCTCTCTGAACAGCCTTGTCTAATGCCTTGCGTCTCTGCTTCATCAACATTGCTGTCTCCGTGTTACCCTTTGCACCAATCTCCAAGACGGTCTCTGCAGGCTTGAAGGAGTTGACCGCCCTCAGTAATGCCTTCCTCCTCGATTCTTCGACCAGCGTTATTGCAGCCGTTGCACCATATTTGCTCCGGAGGAACACAGGGTGGATGCCCGACTCCGACCCGTTTCCGACGAGCCCCCATCTCCCGTCTTTGATCATGTCTTTGGTGCGCTTGTAACTGGCCTGGCTTGCTTTGCCTTTGCTGCGCTCGTACATACCTTGTCCCTTCTTCATTACTTCCCTGAGTATCTTGAGGCTGTGGTTTTCTTCGTCGAGTCTCCTGATGTACTCTACTTCTTCATCAATTCGGTCCCGCTCGAATGGACCCAGGATCAGTGATTCAGTATATACCGCATCGCTGCCTGTAGAAACTTCGCTTTTGATAGTTCGACCCAGGAAGAGTTCAAGATCCAGCAAGTACGGCAACTCGGTGTTCGTCACGAACGACCAGGCCCAACCTTGTCTTCCGGCTCGAGCTGTGCGCCCGATACGATGCACGAACACTCTTGCACCCTGCGGGAAGTCGTAATTGACGACATTCTCCAGAACTGGAATGTCAATACCACGCGCGGCGACGTCCGTGACGACCAACACGCTCGTGTGCCCACGGCGGAACTGGTCCATCTGCTGTGTACGTGCTGTCTGGTCCAGCGAGCCGTAGATATGGGAAACGGCATACCCAGCGCTCTTTAATAGGTTTGAGAGATACTCCACGTGGTGCTTCGTAGCTGTGAAGACTATAGTTTGGTGAGGTGCTGTGGTGTGTTCGTGATATTTAGCTTTGACTTTTCCCTTATTCTTTTCATCCGCTGGCTCGTCTTCTTCTGTTCTCTTGGTAGATGCTTCAAGAGGAACTTCGATTACATCACGGAGCAGAACGAGCAGGCATGCGTCCTTCTCAGCCTGTCGCACGGAAAAGAATGCCATCTTCAGGTCATTGCTGATCTTCGATTCGGCATCAAGCCGGACGAGCTTGGGGTTCTGTAGACCTGCTTTGGCAAAATCCACAAGGCTTTTGGGCAGTGTAGCTGAGAATAGTAGAGTTTGACGAGTGGCAGGAAGACGATGAAGGATCTCAGTCAGAGCAGTCTCAAAACCCATTTCGAAGAGACGATCTGCCTCGTCGAACACGACGTATTGAACAGACTTCAAGTCAAGGTTCATCTCGACGATGAGGTGTAGCAGTCGGCCGGGAGTTGCAATGATACTGCAAAGACGTGAGAGGCTGAAGAGAATATTAGGTGGAGAGACATACACATCTGGATTGTTCGTTATCATCTCGAACTGCTCGTCCAAGCCCTCACCACCGACAATCAGACTCCACCGCAGGCTTTGACCCTTCTTCCCATCATTCTGGTCCTCTGCATCTCCGGCATGACCCCCATCGCCTGCGTGCCAACCTCGGACGAGCTCCTTTCCCACCTTGAGAATTTGCAGAGCGAGTTCTCGAGAAGGCAGCAAGATTAATGCTCGAGCACCAAACGTGGACGAATGCCGACCCCCCAGACGCTGCACTAGGGGAACCATATACGCAAGTGACTTTCCCGAACCTGTTCGGGCCATTCCAACGAGGTCTCGAGGTGGATCGGCGAGCAGGGCTGGTATGGAGAGTCGCTGGATGGGGGTTGGGATACGGAAACCTTGCAGAGTCAAGGAACGTAGTACCCATGGATGAAGACCTAGGTACCTGGTAGGTCACACTCTTAGAGGTAGTACGTTCAAACACATACCCATACTCTGAAAGCTACCTCCGCCTACTTCACCCTTCATTATTTTCGACTTTCCCTTCGTCTTCTTCAGCAAATCCGTTCCTCCTCTAACATTCCGCTTCGATATCGAGGTCCTGATCAGGTTTTCAAAATCCTCATCGTTGTCATCGTCCTCGGTTTTCCCTGGAGCTCCACGTTTTTGACCAATTAAAGCAGAAGAAATGTCAACTTCGTCGCCGGAGAACGCCTCCTCATACGAGCTGTCTGAAGCCGATCCATTGGAGCCGTCAGAGACTATTTGGTGCTTGCGTTTGTTTGAGCGAATCATGTTGTGAAATCCAGGAGGAATTGTTGGATTGCCCGAAGGCATGAAGCTTGAAGCTTGAGGCCTTGAGGGTGCAGAATGGCCCGTCCCTAGCCAATCGAAGGGCATGCCTTGAAAAAATGGGTTACGTAATTCATCATTTCCCTTGAAGACGCAGCTCCTCTGCTTGCTTGGCACTGGCAGCGTCGTTGCGGTAATTAAGATGCAGCAATTTATTATAATCCTTGGACATCCTTTGGACGACAACAATCAGTACGCGGTTCCTTCTCCTCAACAATTTTCCCTTATGAGCTACAATCAGCTCCATTTCATCAGTGGTCTACAGTGGATAGCCCTTCTATACGTGGCGCCATAAACTTATACCGTCTACTTCTCAACACCAATGCCGTGTGTCGCACAGTAGGCCGTTCTAGGATTACATGGGTATCGTATCGAGCTCCTCCAACTTCCAATATTTTTTCATACTTTCTGCGGAAAGATCCTTCACCTAGAATATACATTCAATGCTGAGATTCAAGGGTACGGTGAAGTTGACATTACCTCGTCGTCTAGATGGCAGAAAAGCACTTCTCTCCACCCGTCCAAACAGGCCATGATCTCTTGTGGACTGTACAAGGATGGTTCAGAACTGTACTTGCGGATGAGCGCGCCGAGCTTGTCGAGTCCTAAAAATATCCGACATAATTATATAGCACGGTCAGTCCGACCCCGAGACTCAGGTAAAACCAAAATACTGAGGGTACGCACCTTCATGAATGGCTTCATGAGAGCGCACATGAACGTCATTCTCCTCGAAAGCCGGCATTCGCTTTGCGAGGACGGGGAACAGGTACTTTTCCTCGATTGTGTGATGGAGAGTCAGGTCTGCGTGTGTCTGTTAAGTTCAGAGTCACCAGTCGTGTGATGGGAATGCCTGACGATGTACGAGTTGACCAGCCGTCCGCAGATACATTTGCAACGACATCCCGCGTTTACTGAACGAACCGTCAGCTAACTATGGCGCAGAAACATATCAACTCTCCCACTTGTGGACTCGACTCTGAGTAGTAACACGTACCGTATATATGTCGTTATCTGCATGATGGCGACCTCAGAATGTCAGCAATCTGAACGACAGCATGGCAAAACAGTCGTCGGAACTCACATTCCATCTTGAAGTATTGATGGAAGTGGTCCATATGCTCAGCGACCTGCACGAATGGTCAAATTATTCCAATCTGAGATGTATGGGCCGATGCCCGTACGCTGTTCCACTTCCGCTCCTGTTCCGCAAGTGACATAGTCCTGCTCTGCCCATTCCTCATGAAGCTAGACAAACTCGACATGCTTCGCCGTACGGCAGTGGTCCGTAACTTCGATATCTGTGGAAGGGATTACGATAGAGTTACTTAGAAAGCCATGGTCAACCCACCGGGTGCACTAACACTTACTAACAGCGACGACAGCGTGACAGCTGCAGCTTCTGCGCAGAGAGGAGAGGCGTAGTAGCCGCCCATATGCAGCTTACATAGTGGAAGCCGATGGGAAGGATTCGACATAAGGAGCCAAGACAAATTGGAGCACAAGAGGATCTCTATGCATTTACAGAAAGACGAGCACACGGGTAGACGCATGATGACCCATCCCTGCGTAATACACTGGCAAAAACCGTCGCTAAATAGGTGAAACCTAGCCCAGGAGAAAGCGCACTTCGACTTCGCGAGCTCCTCGTCGAGATCTCAGTGCGAGCTTCCGATGAAGTTGTTCTCAAACGCTCGCTTCTCTTTCGCGCCGGTGCCGGCGATCACAAGAATTCCGGACGGAAGACCGAATCACAAAAGGACCGGTGACTGCGGTGCGATTGCATGATCATCTTAGATGCGCATGCATACCTCAAACTCGTCTCATGCTCGGTGCACTTACCTGTGTTAGGAGGCTCCGGAGCTACCACGGATCACCAGGCTACGACCTGTGGATTGTGAAGGAGTCTTGGAAGGTCTTGGACCGAACTGCTCAAAACATGCGCCTTCAGAAGTATCAAACTCTCACTAGTGTGCATGCGGTGCCTCACTTCCGCAGAAGTCAGCTGTAAGCTTGAGTTGCCGGAAACGACATCTGGTGCTCAGGTATTGCGGGCACTGCTATGCTATTACGTTTGCATTTGGAGACTTCATAATATGAGCGGTCTCCGAAGCAGAAGAAAAGGTCGTTAGTAGGCTGCAGCAAAGCAGCATTATTCTGCAGGGAGGAGACGCATTTCAGATGAGCTCATCTCAGTAAAACGTCCATAACCCACTGTAGAAGTTAAATTTTGGCCAAAAATAACAAGATTTAAACTTTCAGCCCAGTTTGTAGTGCCCACACCGGGCAAAAAATCTAGGACTCCTTCGGTGAGAAGTTATCGGTTTCAAAATTGCGATGTATATCTATTATCAGGGACTAAATCTGGTTGATAGTCCAGAGAGCATTTTTAAGGAATGCATCGTCGACAAGAAAAAAAATCCACAGCTTACCATAGGGTTAACAAGAAATTCAGAGGCCCACCAGCTTACTCTACAGGCGAGTCGACGTCACACCTGTGGTAGAGACAGCAGGTACACGGCTCGCAGCAGTTGACAGAACAAAAATGCAATTACGAACCACAAAAGACTCCGAACCACAACGGTGGAACTAGAAGTCAGTTACCCGGCCCTTGAAACTCCAATCACCTTCACTCTGGCCCCACTTTCCGACTGGTTCTCTCTTTGGCCCTCCTCGTTCACCCGTTACTGGATTAACATCACCCTCAAACTCTGGCGTCACAGGGGGGCGTGCGTCGGGATGGAGGGTAAAATCGCCTTCCGCTGCTGCAGCAATGGTAGGCTGTGATAAGGGCGCTTGGGCAGCGCGGAGAAGTTCTTCGAATTCCTGTTGCTGAGCACGCGGAAGGGGTGGGGGAGAAGGGCGGATGAGGGGTATGTTGGAGGACATTCGGTGACCTAGCGATGTCGGTGCATGCGGAGAAGACATATGTGATCGAGTCACTGCCGCGACGAATGACCTTGAGGAAATCATGGTCACAAATTAGTGATCGTCAGAAGAAGAACGAGGCTGCGAGTGTTCTGCTGAGGTGATGAACACTAGGCTGACAGAGTGAGTGGCTAGTAAGACCGGTTGCAAGAGTGGCGCCTGACGAAACTCAGCGCGCTCAATCTCATCTAGATGGCCTCATGTGCCTGCCGACGTACCGGCGTTCAGAGGTGCTTCCCCGATTTAGGGTCTGCCACCTGCGCAGTTATGAACTCCGACGCGCAACCTCCCGACGGATTCTCACGATTTTAAGCAGCGCAAAATATCAGGGCCGTTCATTTCGAGGACGACAGTCCGGTTTCACGGTCGCTCCTCTTAGGAAATTCACAAAGATCGCCTCCGGTACAGGCCCTGTGTTGGAGAATCACGTTGCATTTTATCCGCTCTGAATTGGCGTGCCGGCGGGGAGTCACAGCGAGGGGACGGGTGATTGCACCTGAGCCTGAGACGATCGGCGGTGCGTGGCGCTGTTGTGCGCATCCATCGCTCGGCTGAGAACCTCGCGTCTGGTAACTGCAAATACGCCTAAGATATATGTAGCTTGCCCCACCGTTGTCCCGCACTCCCTCCTCTCTGCCCTGCCCTCTCCGCTGTTCTCTCGTGTGCACCATTCCTCAGTTTCATGCAGACTGCAGACATACACTCCTGGGCTGCGGAACCTCCAACCACTGTCATCGACCTCGAGGAACATGACCTCCACTATCTAGCAGTCCCCTCCAATACATCTCAGTCCTACTATGCTGTCGACACCACTCTTCAAGGCAACAAGGCCAAGAAACGCAAGGTAGAACGCGCATGCGACTTTTGTCGCAGAAGGAAGACAAGATGCGACGGCTCAAAGATGCCCAACAACATTTGCACCAATTGCTTGCAGAATCGCCGCACTTGTACATATATGTGCGCCCCTTTCCCGCCGTCCACCTCATTCCGAGTCTCATGCACGCCATCCCCCCGCAGCGAAGGGTCCAAACCCCGAGGTCCCCCTAAGGCGTCAGTGCTCAATGTGCTTGCATTAGGCGATCTATTGTTGACGCAGTAACACGGCCAGATATATCACGAGTCTCGAAGATCGCGTTGAGAAGATGGAGGCGTTGTTGAAACGGGTGAGCATCCCTCGTGCGCGCACCGGCCATATTTTCGTACATGTTTGGCGGCTTTCTTCACATATCCTGCACCACTGGTGAGTGCGCGAATATCGCCCCTCAGCGATGACTGTGCGCTAAGTGCTGCAGGACGGTGATAACTTCCGCTGTATTCCGGCTCAACTTGAGAAATCTTCCACACTCCACTGCATCTAAGCATTTGATGTTTCGTTGATGCTCATAGTCGTAGCTTCGACCTGAAGCAGATTTCTCTGTCGAACTCGGTCTACCCGTCGTTCGCGATTCGTGGAAGACGGACTCGTCAATCTCGCAGCCTGTCACGCAGCTACGTCTTAATCATCTGGGGCGAGCGGCCTCTGTCTCGTCCTCTCGCACCAGTGTTCTACTCCCACTAGCTGCTGTTGTTCCCTGTCCTTCCTGTCCGCCCAACGTTGCCAGTTGCTGCCATGGCTCTCGGGCCCGCACTACCGGAAAAGCTACTTCATCTCCTCCGGCCCTCAACTTCAAAGGTGCGCACCCCATCCACGATCCTCAGGAAGCTGGTGGATCAGCTGGAACACCATCAAGCGGTGGTTATGATACATCATCTTCGTATTACTCTTCTGATCACGAGGAATTCTCCGAGAACTTGATCAAGGGCATGGCTCACCTCACTGTCCGTGGGCTACGGCCTGCGCAGGACACCTCTAAGGATGTTCCAGATAGCCAACGCAGATTCCATGGAAAAAGCAACACATTTCTTCTTGTTAAGCCAACAAGAGCTTTCAAGCAGCAACACATGGATGAACTAACGGGGGCCGGTAATCAAGAACAGCACAACCCAACTTCTGACGATGACGATCCAGGCAAAGCTGCCCATAAACGACCATTCTTTTGGAATACTCTCCCTGTAAGTCGTGTGGATTAAGCGACCTATCCTGCGATCACCGTCTCTTTTCATTCAACGTGCTCTTTTCATTATGCGCAGTGGGAGATTCAATGGGAGGGAGCAGATCGTTCGGCCATCACAATTCCGCCATTTATCATGTCCCATTTCCCTCCGTCGGATCTCGCAAACAGTCTCATCAACATCTACTTAACCCACAAGAACCCATATTTTCCCCTTCTCCACCGCCCGACGTTTGAGCGACAGTGGAATGAGGGCCTGTATAAGCGTGACCTCTGGTTTGCGTGTGTGTGCATGGCCATTTTCGGCGTGGCTAGCCGGTACAGCGATGACCCTAGAGTGTTGCCGAAAATGATCTCTGGCAACGACCCTCCGGACAAGAGCGACAGTATATGGTCCACTGCTGGATGGAAGTACATTGAAGTAGCTATGGGTAAGTCGTTGGACGAGTCTCACTGCGACAAGCCATGTTAACGTATCCTTTTCTCGATCGTAGACGTGCATCGACGACGACGTAGTATCCTGATCCCTCCCGATCTCTTTGAGATACAGACATTTGTGGTACGTCCGTCGTGGTCAAGCATTCTGCGCGACTTGTCTTTTCGTGTTCGTGAATCTTTGCTGACGCTGTTACGCATGCAGATCATTGCGAATTACCTACGGGGCTCACTGGCACATCCTGAGTCTTGGACGCACATTGCTATTGGTATACGCAAGGCTCAAGATGTCGGCGCCCACCGACGGAAAGTTTACGGCCGGAAGCCAACAGTCGAGGACGAGCTCTGGAAGAGGGCCTATTGGCATCTTGTTGCGATGGATCGTATCGGCAGTATGTTTATGGGCCGACCGTGTTCTTCAAGGGAGGAGGAGTAAGTGTCATGTTAGACACAGTGTCTACGCAATATCAGTGCTAATTTTGTGCAGCCTTGACTTGGATATGCCTCTGGAGGTTGATGATGAGTATTGGGAAAATGAGGATCCTGACCTTGCTTTTCAACAACCTCCCGGGACACCCTCCAAGCTCTCGGCGTTCATTTGGTGGATCAAGCTCAGTCAAATCGTTGCATTTGCGATGCGTACTCTGGTAGGAGTCTGTCACTATTCGGCGCTCATGAACAACTGATCTGGTTTCTAGTATGCCATAGGCCGATCCAAGGAGCCCCTTGGTTTGACGGGACCTCGCTGGCGTGAAGAAACAGTTGCTCGGCTCAATGACGCAATGTTCGACTGGGTGGAAAATTTGCCTAATCATCGTGCGTGGTTGAGAGTTGCTGGACCAATCTGACTGCTGATACACTTCCTCTATTAGTTCGATGGTCGAACAACATGGAGAATCCACTCTTTGCTGGCCAAGCTGCGACCCTCTATTCACAGTACTACCTTTTGCAGATCACGATATACCGTCCGTTCATTCCTGTCCCACGGGCACTACCTCGTCATCTTGCGCGCCGTTGCTGTTCGCTGGACGGCTCCGATGGTCCGCTATCGGCACTCTCCATATGTGTCAATGCTGCTACTGCCGGTGCACAAATTCTGCAGGCCCAGGCAAATCGCAGTATGACCGAACACATCAATGCCATTCACGTATCCTTTGTGTTCGCGGGTGTCCTTCTGGTGAATTTCTGGACGCAGATTACAGACCAGATTTCTCCCCGCAGTCGGCGTTCGAAGGGTGGCGAGTCGCAATCTTTGGAAGCAACGATGGATGATATCTTGAAGCTTGTGGAGATTCTGGAGGGGTTGTGCCCGAAATGGGAGCTCGCGAAGGAAGCATGGTGTGCGCTTTTCTATCTCAGTGTGTGAAGATCTCACTTTGTGTCAATAGCGAAGACATCAAGGCAGTGCTGCCACCACCGTCGTCGAGGATACCGCTAAAACGGCTCTCGCCGAGCCCGGAGAGCGACATATCCGCATCCTACGACCGTCCTCCGGTTGCCGCAGGGTATAGTATGGAACATCCATATACCCAAACGCATGCTTCTCCTTCGGTCCCGAACATTGCGTCGACTTCCTACCGCTCACCCTACGGCTCACCCGCGTACGCTGGCCCCAGCTCGCATATGCCAGCATACACCCAGTCACCCCAGGGATGGCAGGAGGATGAGCCTCAGTCCTTCACCTCGCGCTACTCTGGCTGGCATGTCCCCGAGGCGTACCCGTTACGCGACGAGTGGCTGCCCTCGGAGCCGCAGGTTGCTCTGCGCCAGCAGCGGTCTGTATCGCACGTGCGCTCGACGAACTACTATCCCGCGTTCGCGGCTGGGTACCTGCTCCCGTACGTGGACAGCGGTCCTGACATCATGCCTACTGGTGGCGTCCCCCTGCACGAACAGCATGCCGCTGTTGGGATGGGCGCGAGAGAGAATCAGAACAGTCAGGTGCCGTATATCAAGCGGGAGTATATGGACGATGGACAGGAGATACGGCTGTACCAGAGTTATCCGGGTACTGGGATGTCTCCTGCGCCTAGCGGTCTGCCTCGCCATGTTCGTCCGCCGAGCTATGAGGAACAGACCGGGCAGTGGAATATGAACATGTATCGGTGGGTATAATTCTCTTTGTGGGTGGTCGATGGCCTTCGGTGTTTTGCATTCACGTCGATTCGAGACGCAATACTGATCTATTCGTCACCAGAAGACCTCACCAATGGCACAATGGAAGCTATCCGACATGACGTGTTGACTTTGCTTTGTACTGGGTTTCTTGTTTAGCATCACGATATGAGTAGGTTGTCGGATCGCGAGAGCGAGGGCGTGCTTTGCATTTGTGGGTGACTCCTTCTCATATTGCGGTCCTCGTCTAATGCGCTGCGCTGCAGTTTGCTGACAGCGCGGCGGACATTCACATCGATTCTCATTCCTGTATCACATTTCGTTTCCTCGGCGTTCCAGGGGTCTCCTGCGTTTTCCACACCTAATTGCGATACAGTCCTTCCTGATCCACCTTCCTCGCGTCCATGGTGTTGTTTGTATCTCAGCAAATGTACGATTATAATCTTTTAGTCGGCTATTTTAGATTCAGCGTACCGCTACGTCTTTTACTTCGCATCGACCTACCTACTACTGTACTGCCTGCTCCGCGCGAATGTTGCAGGGATTTAAGATGAATATACATAATTTATGCCGTGTCTTTGGACTAGGAGATTCTCCGTGTTGGAGCGCAAAGAAATATCCGGGTAATGTGACGGTACCAGTAGTAGCGAAGCACAGATCTGTTGCTCGAGACAATTACCGTCGTGCGTGGGCGTCAGAGAAGACAAGGACTAGAGTGTCACACTTAAGTGAGCAGACCGGGATGAACGTGCCCTTGGTCAATGCATGCTAGAGGTCACCGGTCATGACGTATGTGTGCCCGCGGGAGCATCAAGGTCCCAGACGATCTTATCAGTGAGGTCACCTTTCCTGCCATCCGCCACTGAACGTAAACATGTACAAATGAAAATCCGGTTGCAAGCGTTGCGCCTCCCCACAACTTACAATAGCGCGCCACTCTGTTGTCAACATGTCAGACACCTCGCAATTCAAGCTGAACATTGCATACGACATTCTCTGCTCAACTATGGACCATCCCCATGTATTGATCGTTTCTGTCTCCACAGGCATGAGATGGGTACAAGTAGCGGCTGAGATTGCTCGGCGGGTCCAATTAGCACCAACCTTCATAGTCTTGTACAAGCTGGTAGGTCATATATTGTACATTGTTGTTCTCGTGCCTTCAACCTTTTTTCAGCGCACGCCAACTCCTACGAATGAGCTCCGGCAAGGATTACAGATAGGAGGTGTGGAAGATATTGCTGAGAAAGTCAGGTCTCTCGACGAAGTACCGCATGACATTACCCAGTTTCCCCCGGATAAAGTCCATGTCGTCGTCGTCGTCGTGAGTCCACCGAGAAAGGCAGCCGAAGGTCAGTGAACCAGTCTATCTGTCTGTCGAGGAAGGCTCAATATCATTTGTACATTGACGCAGTGTTTCCCTGGGGTGAGCGCTTCCGAGGTTTTGTAACACTGGTTCTGAACTCAGCACCATACCAGTCAACCTATCGCAGACAGCACTGGTTAAACTGTTACAAGTCGTCATCGAAATACCCAACAAATGGTCGAGGAATGAAGTTACCAGCAATGGCGGTGTCTTCGTGGATCGTAGTTGTTCGGTTCTGCAGAACATAGTCGACAAGTTGAAGGCGAAACGGACGTATCAGGTGAGGCAATCTGACCGTTGCCACCTCCGAGTGCAACCTGATAATTGACCAATCCCTAGGCAAACTATAATAGCCCCGACTTTCAGAATGCTAGATCCCTTTCTCATTTCTCCCAATCGTTCATCTCCGTCGTGGGATCACCTGGCACAGTGGAGGGCGACAAAGAATTTGCGACATTCTATCATGTCCTCCGGCGTTTTAGCAATGATGCACCCCTGGTGCACTCGGACCCCTCCTCGTCCTTGAAAGCGAGCAGTTTCATGGTGTATTTCATCCATTCACCCTTTTTCTCTGGCAATATCCAGAGTGACCCTTTACAGTATAAGGAGTAAGTGACACCACCTGAGAGCATGTCAGACTAATGATTCACTTTCAGACAATTGTCATGGCAATTTCCGATGTTTGTTACAAGGCGTGACAGTCTCGGTCATGTGCAAAAGTTCCACCCAAACAGCGATTTCAGTGTCGTCCTCCGCGAATTCCAATGTCCTGTCATCCTATCAGAAGTTGTTTCACAGAAGGATGAAAATGACCGATACCGCATGTTAGTGGAAGCCATTGTTGCCGCACGTGTGGGCAAATATCTCTTGAAGCCTACTTCTCGGAAGCAGTTTTTTGTGATAGCAATTTACCTCACAGCTTTTCTGGAAGTGGAGAGGTATATTGTGAGCGAAGACTCGTCACCGCAGGTAAGACTGGAGCTCCTTGTCTCTGTTGTATCACAGGCTCTGATGAGGCTCGGTTTCCAGAAGATTAATATCCAGCAGGAAACTTTTGACCTCTGCAAACCAAGTCGGGCAGTTGAGTTCCTCCGGGAAATGTACAACTTGAAGCCGTTACTGGAGGAGCTCGCGGCCGAGCTCGATGAGGAGAAAAGCGCCGATTTGGCGAAGATCGAGATGGACTCGTCGAAAATGCATTCTCTCAATTCCAAGGCGCCCTGGACGAACACCCATCCAGCAGAATATGGACTGGGACCAGTCGCAGAAGACGATGAATCAATGAATATCAGTGACGATGATATAGGCGTGTTCAATACCCGTAGTGTCCATTCCGTTCTCGACAAGGTGAACTGCGAGATTGACTCTGTTGGATACGGGGTATGTTTGTAGAATCTGTTATGTGCATGTCCTATATGAACTGAAATCCTTCCCAGCATCCTCACGTAGCCCTCGTTGTCCGAAAGGACGATGGCGCTTCGGCCGGATTCCTCAAGTTTGTCAAAGACGGAAACCCAGAAATAGAAATCCTGCAATATCTCTCCCGGATTGATTCACCCGCCAACCACACCATTCGCCCCATTCGTGTCTGGCCTATCGAAGGGGGCAGGATCGTCTCAATGTCCGTTGGAGGTGGCTGGATCACTTACCTCGAAGATCTCGATGCGCGTCTTTGGGGAGCTTCGCAACAACTGTTCGAAGCTGTCGGATTTATGCATGATCACGGTGTGGCACACATGGACCTGAAACCAGGAAACATCGTAATCCCCCCCGTCTACGGAAAGCTGTCCATCATTGACTTCAGCATTGCTGAGCGCGTCAAAGGTCCAGGACACAAACTGATGGGTTACGTAGGCACGAGAGGTTATGCTGCTCCCGAGGTCGGTCGAGCGGCTTATTGCCCTATCCGCGCAGACCTGTGGTCGTGCGGTAAAGTGATTCAAGAGCTTTGTGAGGATGTGAAACCATCTTTTGCTCGTACGTGGCTACGTGAGGTCAGCAAGCGCCTTATGGACAACGATCCAGACAAGAGGCCGATGATGGCGGAGATCCTTGAGGCCATGTCAAGGGTTGTCCATGACAGGGATGAACTCGAGCCTGATGGAGTTGTTGAAACCCAGTGAAAACCGACACGAGGTGCTTGGGGACAAGTCAAGCCTGACCGAGACTGCCTCTTGGCGAAGTCGAGAAATCGAGCGAAATCGAGAAACTCTCCAGCTACGTGACGGGCACATCGAAACTTGCATCAATCCTCGCAAATTGCAAGGCCGGTCCCTCGCTCTACCCTTCGGCGAGTGGCTGAGTTGGCAACATGAATTCTTATATAATCCCAACTTCTACCTCGACGTGGCGTGTTTGCCCTTCGCTCACTCCATCTTCTAAGTTTCCTCTGTCTTACCTCCATTGATGTTCGTCTTTGCGCTCCACTATAATTTATGTGATTTTTTTTCCTCGGGAGTTTATACTCAGTCTATTTCCTTGTTGTAGGTCTCCGCCGGTAATGTGGAGGTTTCTCTCGTGCCGCTGCCACCGTAGCAGCGGCGCGAGAGAAACCTCCTTGTGATGTGGCTGCGGTGGTGTTCCCGACATTACCGCGCTGCAGACTGGTGAGATATAAGTGGCATCAACCATTCTGCTAGTAGCAATTGTCTGCTCACTCCCTCATTGGATAGGGGCTCGTGGCAGCTGATAGTGGATGTACGGTAAGTACGCTGTTCCGACCCTGTACAGTAGCAGCGTGCTGACACTCGTTGAATCAGAACAAACAGGGCCGCATGGAATACACCTCTACTCCAAATTGACACAGACCTCAGGCGCTCGAAGTTGCACTCACAATCTGGTCGATTGAACGGTTCCAATAGTCGGGGTCCGCAAGCATGTCCATGACAGGATAGAACACGCTACATGCGAGGATCTCTCTGACAACTACTTTGATAGCGTGACTGCGGGCTTCTTTCTCTGGCAGTATGATAGGATTTTTTGCTGTCACAGGTCTATCCTTTAGGTTCTTGGGGCACATATGTGGTGTGCCGTGGACGGTAAGAGTATAGTAGCACGGTAGCTATGGTGTATGTAATGGCAATATATATTTTTAACAACTCGATCTCTCTCACTATCCCTCTTAAGTGTCTCGTGTCGCTTTTGACTGGGGTTGAAAGTTGGATCAGTAGTGTTGGAGCGCATACCAGTGGTTTCGCAACTGTGAATGTGTAGCGTCAAGGAGGTTTGTTTCATGTGTCTTGTCGGAAACAATGTAGGTGATTTTGAATAAATTGTATGAATGTCACTATGTACCTCTCACCCTGACTGCGATGAGATACTTAGGATGGGCAGGAGCCTGCCACCGGGGTGATGTCAGGCATAAGGGAGATCCTATAACGAATCTAGGCTCATAGATACAGCCCCTAGTTACATGCAGGAAGAACAGTCGTTTCTGTAACAGAGGCTGAGGTCATTATCGACGAGGACACACAGCGTACAAAGACGGCTCGCAAGCGTACTGGACCCGGACCTCCGCCAGCGGCGATCCAAGCATATAGCGCAAAGGCGCATCACGCCCGCGCAGCCGCAAGCCGCGCGCGGACGACGCCCTCCGCGGCCTCCCACACGCCCGGGCCCCCGCGCGCGGCGTCCTCCCACTGGCGCACGACCGACAGCGGCGCGCACTCGGCGACGATGCGCAGCGCGGGCCCGCCCGCCGCGATCGCCGCGGCATTGAGCGCCGCGGTAGATGCGTGCGCGGCAGACGCGTCGCACGCGCCTCCGATGACTTGCACGAGGACGAGCTGCAGGTTCGGCGGGCCTGCTGCGCCAGCGGGGGAGGAGGGCGGGGCGAGCAGGCGGTGGAGCATGGGGAGGAGGGCCGTCGCAGGCGTGGACGGGCTCACCGCGTGGACGACGGCGAGGTGCGTGAGGGCGGCGAGGCGGGCGAAGCGCTCCCAGGTGGAGGCGTCTTCGTGTGCCGCGGCGCGTGCGAGCCCGAGGGGCGCGTCAGGGCTGCAGGAGTCAGGGGCGGTGAGGTGGATGCGGAGGTGGGTGACGGAGGGCCCGACGAGGGCGGTGTCCCAGCCGTCGCGGCAGGAGAGACCGAGGAAGTGCTGTTCGCGCGAGAGGCGGGCATGGAGGGGGCGGGCGCCCTGCGTGCGCTGGTAGCCCGGGAGGGAGAAGCCGCACGCGAGGGTGCGCAGGCCGGTGCAGGCGTGGAGGACGCGGTGGATGCTCTGGATGGGGCCGAGGGCGAAGACGCCGAGGTGCTTGACGCGGGCGTGCACGAACTCGGGCGATTTGTGGGAGATGGCTGCGAGGAATGCGCGCAGGGCGGGGGCAGTGGAGAGGACGACGGTGTTGTAGAGGGCAGGCTCTGTCCAACGGCGGACGGGGGACGAGACGAGCACGAGGGAGAGCGCGGTGGGGCGGTCGAGGTCGGCAGCATGCTCGAAGATGTCACGGAGGAGTTCTGTGGGGAGGTCTGCAAAGACGAGGCGAGATGAATGCATGGCTTTTCGAGTATATTCTAGCGATGGTATATCGTGCACGGAACTGAATGATGCTGTGCTGAGCAGCGGCAGACGAAAGTAGAGAACGCACAGACGGAAAATTTTAATATGGCATCGGAGTCAGTGGCACATATGAGGGCCCGAAGCCCGGTCGGTGGAGAGTGCTTCGCTGCTCATATCAGCATGCAATCTTCACACCTACGCAGGCGGCTGCCGTCGACCGGAGCGCACAGAGCAGCAGGCACACGCGCGAGGGAACAGAGGGCTAGCCTGCATCTTGTCAGCGGGAACTCTGGGAAGACGATCCACCAGAGTCGAGGGCGCTGCTCAGGTCGACGCGTCGACGCCCGAAGTTGCCTCTTTCGGCGACGCCCTCCAAGATTCGACACTCGCACCCAAATAAGGAAAGTCTCCAAGATCACGCGGCTAATACGGTACACCAATAATAATATCATGCGGCACCCCGTCTATACACTCCATATCACGCCTTCTGCGATGTCCCGGCCGACGCACTCGCTGCTGCAGCTGCTGGAGCAGCAGCTGGTCCACCTCCACTCGCACCCGTGCTGCCCGGCACCCCGTCCACGTTCACCCCCCGCGACGTCAGCGCATTCAGAATCAGCGCCAGCCCACTCATCTGCGACGAGTCCAGCGACCCAACGTTGATCTCCAGGCTCAGCATCGTCCCCGTCTGCCCCTTCAGCACCGCAGCCGGCTGCCGCTGATCCGGAGGCGGCACAGACGCCGCTGGCACCGGTTGGATCCCAATCGCAGCCAGCGCGGGCAGCGACAGCGACGGCAGCTGCACCGGGATCGCAGACATCGGCGGCACCGCCAGAGGCCGTGCCTGCGCCTGCTGCACCTGCACCGACGCTGTCGACGTGGCCGCCTGTGCTGGGACCGCGCTCGGAGGCGTATAAACCGACGTCGGCGTCGACGTCGTGTGCGCAGCCGCGCTTCCACTCCCTGTCCCGTATGGACTCGCCGTCGGAGCGCTCGCTGTATATGACGCCGGTGTGTATGCTGCCGGATTGTATGTGTACTGACTCCCCCCGTATCCCGTTCCGTATGGATATGTGAACGGCCGGTACTGTGACGCGTACCCCGTGGTCGTGTGAGGCCCGTAGTAAGATGGCGCAGGCTGGGGCACCGCTGCTGGGGGAGGCGCCACCGCTGCACGATGTTCGCGTTGAACTCTGTCAAGCTCCACGCGCGCGTGTCGCAGCTCCGCGTTCAAGCTCGCCGTCTCCGCGCGCTCCCCCTCCAGCACCGTCTGCGTGAGCACGTACAGCTGGTCTTCCGGGGAGGCGTGCTACACAATGCGAGAGAAAACCTACGTGAGCAACGCGTTGCAGACTGCAGGCCGGACACCTACCTTGCCCGAGTAAATCTTCGCGCGCCTGAACCGGTCTTGCAGCGCCTTGCGCCGTCGCCAGCACTGCAGCGCGAACCTGGTCTCTGCGCCATCCCGACGGACTCAACACCTCGCACAGAACGGAGCAGGAAGTCAACTGAGCAGACGCGTACCGGCTATCTCGTCCCGAAGCAGATCCTGCTCCGTGGCCTTGCTTTTGCCCTTGCGAGATCGTGTGCGTGTTTGTACCACCAAGCCCGCCCTGGGCTGCTGGAAAACGTGGTAAGGCAGTAGTCGCCGGACGACGTCCTGCGCGTCGGTGAAGGGCGTGTCAACGTCCGGGTATAAAACCGCGAGGTGGTCTGCCGCCAAGCTGGTCGCAACTCTGCCACAACGCAACGCGTACCCAAGTTTTCAGCCGCTATTGCGCGCGCAGAAAAAAAATATGAAGACACGCACTGCGTAGCGGCGAGGAGCATACTCTGCTCCTCCTCCGGTGTGCGGCCCCTTGCGGCAGTCTTCATTTCGACCCTGGCCGCAATCGCCTCCAAATCTGCTATGTAGTTCGTCTGCGGCACCCCCTCGTGCGCCCGTCCATTTTCACGCACGTCGTCGAGCACGCCCGGGTGCGCATACTCCGGAGTCGCCGCAGACGTGGACGCAACGGCGGGCGTCGACGGGTCGGGTGCGGGGGTTGCACTCTGCGAGGCGAGGGCGGGGGAGGCGGCATCGAGGGCGGTCTTGATGCGCGGGAGCGGTGTGGGGCGTGTAAGCGACGAGGAGGACGGGGAGGGCGAGGAGCTCGAGGGCTGCTTTTTCGACATCTCAGCTGGCGATCGCTTTTGTTTTGTTGCGTTTGCGTCACGCTTCCCCGTCCCGTGCGCGTGTGACGGCGCGTGACCATGTGACTCCAGTCTGGCGCGTCCGCGACTCGGACGCGTTCGTGGACGAGTTAGTTACCATGGGTCGAAGAATGGGTGTAAAGCAGATATCAATATAATGTAGCCGATACAATTCTGGACTGCAGTCGCATACAGCGAATGCCTGAGATCACGCCTTCTTCCCTTCAGTTGGCGTAACAGACCGTTCAGCCGTGGCCTCCGCCGCTGCCGTGCTCGCCTCCTTCGCGTGTATCGCTGCCTTCACCTTTTTTAATAGCTCGGTCGCCTGGGACACTTCCTCGGAGTTGCTTGTCGCTACTTGCTCGAGGTACTCCTTCGCCAAGTCAAGGTCTCCTCCGCCGTGCATCAGATGGTAGCGCGCTACGTACACGCGCGACTTGGCGCTCTCGCCGATAGGTTTGTCTGCGTGGAATCAGAACAGCCCGTCAGTCGTTGTCCGAATGCACGTCGGAGACCGGAGAAGGGGATAGGCCGATAGCGGGGTAGTGCGGGTGTGCAGAACGGGGTGAGCCGAGCAAGGCACGGAAGGCGGGGAGGAAGAAAAGGAGAAGAGGGAATACGCAACTCGTCGAGCGGCAGACCTCGACCACACGGCGGTGATACGCGGCCGCTTCCGCGAACTCGTTGAGGTCGTTGTGCAGCTTGGCAAGCTTCAGGTGGATTGTCGTCTCCTGCGCATTGGCGCCGATGAGAGCGCGCCTCAGGCACTCGATGGCTTCCTTCGGTCTGTCAGCGGCAAGTGTGGGTAGTCAGAAAGGGATCGTCGGAGAACCGGGGGAGAAACGGGGGATTCGCTTTGGATAGGGTGCGAAGCAAGCGTGATAGCACTTACCGCCCCATTTCCTCGTAGCAGGCACCCTGCGCTTGCCATATGCGGAGGTCGTATGGCCTGGGGTAAGGCAATGAGCGAGCGGATATTGATTAGAAGCTGCAAGACGGATGCTCGAGATGCTGTGATGACTCACCGTAAGGCGGTGGCGTGCTGATAGTAGTAGAGCGCATATTGATGCATGCTCAGCAATTCATAGGCTTGGCCAAGGCCGTACCAAGCCCTGTAATCCTTCCTATTCACGTCTGCCAAGAGCAACGGACGTCGGTTACCACGTGTTCGGAATGCGAGAGGCATGACTGGCACACTTACCGACAGATTTTCTATACGCCTCAATGGCGGCATGCGAGTTCTTCATCTCCACGTACTCATGACCCATCAGTGTCCAAGCAGACAGATACGTCCTATCCAACTGCGTTGCACGTCTAAAATACTTGATGGCTTTCTCATGTTCTGCGCGGAGAGAATAGTAGTTCCCTGTAAATGTGTCACCAGGTCAACAAATGGACCGCACCCCGCATGACCAGGGGAGAATCGCACCGGCCAGACAGCACACCTCGGGACGGTCCTTGTCCAGTGCCAAGAAGTCATGTGCAAGCTTTGATAGGCGCAGGTTATCCTCGCCGACGTAGAGGATGTTCGAATAGATGTCAATGTCGTCGATTCTGTAAGGGTCAACCGCGAGTATCTTCTTGAATTGCGCTTCAGCTTGCTTGAAGTCTGGTGAAGAACGCAAGACATCCGTCCGCGGATGAATTCCTCGGGACGTAATAACGGATTGGGTCCTTACCGTGAAGATAATAGAGAACGCAGGCTCTGAGGGACATTATCCAAAGGCTTTGCGGGAAGAAGTCCTCACCCAGTAGGTGATCACACAACCGCCTTTCATTCTCAGAAGGATTGTTGAGGCTATTCAGGGTCTTGACCTGGAACATCTGGACTAGCGGATGGATCGATGGAAGAGGAATCAACGGCAGTAAGGATGCCAACTAGCAGAATTATCAGAATACAACCCAGCGCAAGCGATACGCTGATATACCTCGTCCCCGTCACCGAGACATTCTCCCAGAACAGACCACGCGGCCCAATTCCAAGGGTATCCGGCAATGGAAAGCAGTGCGCTCTCGATCGCCTCTTCTCTTCTGGATAGACGACGGAGAAACAGGGCTTTCCTGCGAAAAAGCGACTTGAGTCGTCCTCGATCCGTCAGTTATCACGGAGACTCACAAAAATAATAGCCACGGATCTGTAGTGTTCTTGACTTTTTCTAGTAACTCTAGTAGGGAAGTATTCACAGGAAGAGGAGGTTGTTGACGAGTATCTGCATGCTTTGTTCAGTCGACATTTGCTCACCGCCTGAGAGCGAGAAACACTCACTATCAAGCTTGTACCAGTCTCTCAACGCTTGCTTCTCGGCAAACTGCAAGTACGAGGTTATTGCATGTGTCACCACAACAGCAGGGATGCAATCACCATGTATTGACTGTATACGCTGAGGAAACGGGCCTTGGCGCTCTTACACTCTCGCAACCAATGCATAGCCCTCCTGAATTCTCTAGCTTCAATGTACGTACGTGCAGTCGCAATTGCATCATCCTCTTCGGCTTCCCACTCTAGCTCTTGCTGACGGACCTCTGGGGGCTGTGCGTACAACGGAGGGGCCAGAGAATGCCGTGACTGGGTGGTTGTCGATGACTGAGCGGCGGGTTTAACGAAGGAGACGTGCGGGCGGGGAGAGTGCTTGCGAGCGGGGATAGAAGACCCATGCTCCTGTGCAGCAGAACGGGCCGATCTACGCTTGTCCTGGGGCACTGACAGAAGCAATTCGGACGCCCTGAACGAGCGAAATGTGAGTGCGCGACGCAGACGGAATATTCAACGCCGTAAACACCATTTTGACGCGAATATGAGTCCTCTCTCTGTGCAATCGCTTACCGCGTTTCTCAACGCCACCACCATTGCTGCATCCACACTCGAGTAGGCCATCTTTGTGCGATAGTAAAGTTCAACTGTTCGCAACAGTCCAGGTGCTCGGATCACGCCTCGCAGGAAATATGTATGTGGTTTGGGACAAAGGCTCGGACGCGTCCAATCGAGCACGCGCCGGCGGTCGCGGCGACGCGAATTCGATCAGCGTGACGTCCTGGACCACATCTCTCCGCCACCGCTGCGATATATGTTCTATACCTCCATTACTCCCTTTTTGTCGGTGGTTCCTAAGTGATAGATCTTATTCGCACTTAGTTTCGTTCAGCTTCTAGCGAATTCCAACAGCCGGGCCATGATTCTGTACTGGTTACTCGCGCTGTTTGTGTGTTGTTGTCTACGCTTATATGCTATACTTCCGGAAGGGAAGAAAGTCATCAGGCGCACTCGCCGTAGATCAGAGACGTGCAGCCTAGCTGTCTTTCTTGGTTCCGGTGAGTCCGTCCGTATGCACGAGATGTACCGGCGGCTGAGCAATACGCCACCAGGGGGACATACGAGCGAAGTCATTTCTCTCTTGTCTTCGCTAGACTTTTCCCGCTACACTCCTCGGACATACTACATCGGCGAGGGAGACACGCTCAGCATGAAGAAAGCCATTGTTCTGGAGTCACTTAAAGTTGTCGACTACGCCTCTTCTGTCCGTGAATTCTGTCCATGCCTTGACTTATCTATCTGAATCGGTCTTGCAAGAGTGTTCAATCCCTTGTGCCATATACTTTTGTTACGCTACCTCGCGCACGTCGCGTTCACCAACCGCTCATCACGACTCCCATCACTGCTTTGCGATCCCTAGCCGTGTGTGTATACCATACCACTTTTGCGCCTCTGCTGCCAAACGCAATCTCTCCAGAAGTTCTCATCGTGAACGGTCCGGGGACGTGCTTCGTCTTATGTTTAGCTACGTACGTGAACAAGGTCCGTATCGTGCATCTCCTCCGCAGTCCGTGCTCCCCATATGCTGATCATTACCGCATCGATTCAATAGTTTGTCGGTCTCACACATCCAGCATTAATCTACGTGGAATCATTTGCACGTGTCCGTACTTTGTCACTCTCAGGAAAGCTGCTGCGACCCCTTGTCGATAGGTGCGTTCCACCTTACAATGCCGCCGTCAGAAATATTACCAGAACGCGTCTCGTTTGTCATCAGATTCATTGTGCAATGGCCAGATCTCCTGAGGGATGGAAAGAAGGGGGACTACCGTGGCTGGCTGGTGTAGTACCAGATGCTACGTCTCGCACAGCCTCGCTCATTTGCATGTTCTACGTCATACCTGGCATGTTGAATCGCTGAGCAGATTGTATCACTCTGTGGCATCAGAGGGTGTCTATTATAATTGCGCGTTAGGACCGTTTTGCAGCTCTATGAAGTTCAAAATTAGAGAACAACTATTCATAGACGCGTGCTCCACGACAAAAGTAAACTGTGTTTCGAAGCCAGGTTCTTGATCTCCCGTGATTTCAAAATATGTCGTTGGTCGAGTGGGATTCAACGCAACTTTCCCATATGCAACATTCGTCCAATGAACATTAGCATAATACTAAGTGAAGAACTCACATCGTTGCTTCACGACGTGAGCTTGCCCATGCGGCATAATAGCAAATAAGAAGATTTCGACCAGATACCGGACCGCCCACCAATAACGACAACAATGAGATCACTTCCGTGTCCACCTGTCCTCACCATCGTTCCGTCCTCGCTTCGACGGACTCGCACTGCGTCCACGGCCACCGTCTCTCCGTGTCGGTTCCCAGCCTCCAGCGTTCTCGACCTTTGGAGGGTGCAGTCTCCGCTCCAGACGTTGGCCATGGCGCAGAGAAGACACTAGTTCCTTGGACGCCAGCCGCAGATGCATGAAGTTGCAAAAACCGCCACGGTTGCATTCGCCGTTCTCGTTTTGGCGGCAACAGGCTTCGCGAAAGTCTGTGACAGGTGATAACTCTGCGTACAGTGGTCGGCCTAAATGGAGCAGACGAGTAAATCCGGGGTGTGCAAAAGAGCGCGCTGATACTCACCAGCATACCAACGATCATTCAGATTGTCAACTGCAGCCTGTGCTTCTGTCTCCCACTCATACCGGGCATACACATTACCGATGAGATGATCCCCGACATTGTCACATACCTGTTAATTGCGTTAGGAAAAAAAGTCAAAGCGGAATATAACATACGTGAAGCTCCAGCAAGTGTCCAAACTTCGCCAACTCGCAGTAAAGGTCCTCGTACACCGCGTCGAAGCCCTCTTGCAACTCCTTTTCGGTCAGCTTACAGACAGGGTCGTGCGCCGGATTATGGTATACGTTTGGAAGGAGAATGGTCTGTGAAAATGCGGGTTTGATGTGCTTCCGCGAGCAACGGTCGCCGTGCCGGCATGCACCAATCTGCGAAATCAACGTTAGAAGATGTCGATGCAGGTGCAACGCGAGAGAACGCACCTTGTAGTAAAACGAGCAATTCACACGATCCTGCTCAGTTCCGAAGATGTTCGCCTGCGTACAGATTGTATGTCAGCTCTGGAGGAACGCAACTGCAGACCGCTGGCAAAACTCACCAAATGAGATGCCATTGCGCGAAGAGTTGGCAACGAGTGAAGCTGAGAGACGCTTAACGCACAACGCTTGTTTATATATGTGGCTGAGAATTGCTGACTAACGATCGGCGATTCTCCAAAGTTTCCTCATCCGAAATAGGAAGTCGTTCGTCAGCGGGAACATTCTCGTAACTCACATACACATGAAAAAGTACTTCGACAATCTCTGAAAGGTCAGAAGACTTATTTAGCGCGAGTACAGAGCGAAACCTGTGTGTTTGAAGGAGTTTAAAGGCTCGTCTTTAGGGAGGTGTTGCTCAGCGTAATCTTAGAACCTGACTTGAATTTGTGCTACAGTGCAGTCCAGTCACAAATATGTACACAGCGACTCGAGCTGAGTGACTTGGTCCAACACTTGATCGTGGTGGTCGTGGTATGCTGTTGCAGGTCCATTCGGTCGTACCAAAATTAACTCCAATCCATCGATCTGGAGTCTGTTTTGAAACCCCGGCAAAGGTCTTTCGAAGGTCTACGGTTGTTGGCTCATTGGAACACCGAATTCCTTGGCACTGTCTCTCATTTATCTGGCCTTCTTTTCCATTTGCCTGTAACGTTGTGAAATTGCGTGGGGAACCACCACCACGCTGTGAACGAGGAAAGTCAAGGTTCTTGGTCTGTTCTCGACGCCGGGTATCTCTAGTGACATGGACACCTCAATTGCGTCGTCAAAATACCCACTGATTCAAGAGAGCTCACCCGCGGGATGTTCCGGAATGATAACCTCGTAGTCAGTGTGAGGGACGAGACTCACGGATGCTTGCGCAACTATCGCGGTAGTTCTGCAAATGCATCTCCCCGTCAAACCGCTGGTATTCTCCTCATTCCTTACTGGGCCGACATTTAGGCAATTCGCGCTCCTTCGAACTTCCATTGTTCTAGTCAGGAGTGCCCAGGCCGACGAGCTTCGTCGGTTGTTCTGCACATTCTATTTTCACCAAGAAGCCGGGAGGTAGAATTTTCTCTGATACTCCGGCATTCCGTGTCTATGCAAGGAGCTGCAAGCCAGCGACGTACGGTATAGTCACCTCGCGGAACATTTTCTTCGAGATAGCGCTTAGCAGGCATGTTCAAGGCACATCGTAGCAAGCTCATTTAATTAACCCAATTCTCATGCATCGGCGAATTACACTTCCTTGCGCACAAAAGATCATTTACAATCATAGCAAAGTTGATCAATTTATTTCCTATTCTTGAAAAGCTTGGCAAGTCTTGGTATACCCACTATCACGCTTCTTGCCGCTTCTTATAATCTGACCATCAGCACAGCCAAGTCTTATGCAGCGGGGATTCTCCGTCGGATTCCACTTGTTGTATACGAAGTTGGAATCACGGGCTACAGACAACCCTGTCTTACGCCAAACAAAACTTGTCCGTGCTCATTGGCCGGGAGGGGAATGCGGCATCACCTCAGCCTGACTATCTCATCTGTTCAGAATTGTGGATGATGAACTCGTCGACCTGGGGCTCGACGGATACCACAAATGGCAGAATTGCAAACAACATTGCCTCCGTCCACTGGTCGGGTCCCGAGACGATTTCTCTCGGGAGCGATCAGAGGCAGTGCGCCTGAAGAACATTCTCTGCTCGGAAGTAGCGGCCACAAATACCTGATACATGCACGTTCGCACCGGCGAGCCTTGCTCGTGATGCTGACCTTGTTTTTGCCACGTAATGTGTATGACCGTCCTCGTGCTTGGTGCGTTTATCGCTATTGAGTACCGCGACAGTGATTGATAGCGCATTCAAGCACCCTTTGGACAGAAAGGTCAGTGCAGCTACTAAGACCAGGTTTGTGGATGCAATCACCTATTCTTTGGTACCACCAGCACCGCTATGCGACATATTTGTTTCATGAAGGGCTATGACATGACCAAAAATAAGCATCCCTTCACTCCTTGAGCATCTGCGTGTTATTGCGCAGTGCCGTCTCGTTGACTCCCAACTTAGAGTTGGTCGCAGACCGCTGCTTGATGAGACGACAGTTCAGAGAATACGTACCCATGCTGTCGTCGCTCGTCCAAGAAGTTGACGAGTCTACAATTCAAGTCGTGCATGATATCATGAATTGAAAGAATCTAGTGTCTGCCACATCCGCGCAAGCTCTCCCTCTTGCATCTGCCGGATTATTGGCGATGTCGGCTAGGATCCCATGACATGAGAGAATCGCTCCGATGATCAGTGTGAGTAGCAGCTCCTTCCACACCCCATGGGAGAACCGATTGTAATGGATATGGGCTCGGAGTGACGGTGGAAGCGGGCGCAAGCAAAGGTGGAAGAACACCGTGGAAATTTATAGAATGTGTCGTGTGGGGGCCCATGTTCGCGACCATGTTGTGATTTGAGTACGGGGAGATGAGTTCAGGTGGGATCGCAATATTCCCCAGGGCTAGGCTGAAGAGAGAAGTGAGATATGCGCTTATCATCAGGTCGGAACTGGATGCTTACGAGGCAAACCTGTCCAGTTCCGTTATACCCTGGCTAATGGCACAAGGACGCGCACCTGATTCGTGTTCCGAGAAGCGTGTCAACATGTCCGCCGCTCTGCGAAGACGTAATGACAACTCCAGCACGATATGATAGTTGGTAAGGTCGTTCAGACAGCCACAATGATCACCCGTATGGCTGTCGTCCACATTCATATCTGATTGTGAAAGATCATGGAAAATGTCGTCGAAGGTGTTATCCTCTATTCCGCCTTGCCCTGCCAAGTAAGAAGAGAGTAATACAGAAAGATCGGGGCCGATGTCGCTCTGCGTTGCAGGGGCAGGAGTGTGCTCGCTTGAAGGAGATAATGGCGAAGACGGAGTCAGAAGCGGGGAGGATATCGGATCCGTGGAGGGACTGGCTGGCGCAAAGGGTGAAGGCGAACAGTTATTAACGTCCAAGGTGAGGTGATTGTAGGTATCGAAAGGTCGATCAGGAAATATGTGCGTTGTTGGGGAGGATGCGACCACTCGCTCAATAGGAGGCGGCGTGGCAGTATCAGAGATAACGATGTCCGGAATCCCCTTTCTGCGAGAGGCTGTCGTGCGATTATTACGCTTCTTCTCGATGCCAGCATCTTTTGTGGACTTGATCCAGCGAGGATGTGGCTTATTCTTCAACTAGCATTGAAGGATATCTCAGTTCCAGTTCGGTAGACTGAAAATGAGCAGCGTTACCTCACGAATGATGCTCTCCAGCTCAGCAACACGTTTCTGTAGTCGTAATGTTTCATCCTGAGTATCGTTACTGCATCGATGTTAGAACGCATCACACATGTACTGCGTTTCGGAACGTACCTTGGGCTTGGATCATCTACTTCGTAGATGCATAGTCCAGTCTAAAGCTCAGAGTTAAAAGGTCAATGTCTCGCGCAGAATTCCATTATCAGGCTCACCAAACCTAGTTGGGTGCATCGGCCGCACGGTCGTTTGCGATCACACTAGTATTACCCATGGACAAAGTCAGATATTGTACCTCGCAACAAGCATTAGCCTTGCCATTCGTTTGGACGTGTGGCAATTTAAGCATGATTGAGTAGTTCTGTTGCGCCGTTTGCCTGTGCTGTTATCAGAACGATACCTCCATCGGTAGGACATGGAGGAGTTACGTCTGTGGTCGTCCTCGGACGTACGCTTCACAGCTTCGACAGCATCTCCCTTCTTCCTGCGTGTGGGATCCGAGAGCCTATCTGTAGTTTGCAGCGACATGTTGAGGAAGGGATGATCTCGCGGCGACTATGAGCAGTAGACTCTATTTATACGCACCGGGACGGAGAGAGAGCGTCTTGCTAAGAAACTTCGAGGCTCGGAAGTGTGGATACATGACACCGGAAGGAGCGCCAAGCAGGGACTTAAATGATATTAGTTAATGAAGGGGGCATAACAGTTGTTGATGGCCTTGTGCACCATACCTGGTAAATAAACGCATCTGCTGGGAATAACGGCTTACACCCTCGCGCGTCAGCACCAACGTGAGAAGAGGGCCCGCCCTAGAACTTCTCACTTGAATACGACTTGCAGCAAGACTTTGAGCATTGAATGTTATGCAGACCAGTGCAATTCTAAATCGAATACCAAAAAAAGTATGCCAAGACAACCCGACGTCGCGTGCACCGAACTCACTGGGGGCGCGCCAACTTCTGCTCCACAATACTGGAAATCGGAACACCTGTTAATGGTGAATAGAAGCCGCCCGAAGACTCCGCATAAGGACTGGAGTCTCACGGCTCTACAGAGTGTAAAGCCAGACAATGCCGCGAAACGAGGAAGAAGCTCAGGGTGGCCCTGATGAGCTTACTGTAACAGCCATCTTCATGTATTCGGCAGACCTGCGGTCCACTGTCAAGACTGCCAATTGGCGAGCGCTCCGATCGAGCGCTTAAATGCAGCGCTATCAACGCAGAATAAGCTCATTAACGCATGTTTGAAGGAACATGAACGCCAGCGGTCGTGACCTTTGTCCTCCGTGATAAACTAGCAGGCTTTGTGGCGACACCGTGTACAAGAGCATGGCTACTTACAATGAATAAGCATGCATCAGCGCGCCGAGTTCCGCGAACGACATTAATGTAACGGAAGGTGTCAACCGAATGCGGTTTGTCGGTGCATTGGTGACCGTCTAGACCCCCGAGGCGTGACGTAGAGCCAAGAAAACAGGACATTCTGAGACCAATCTGCAAAGGCCCAGCGTGTCACGGAGTGCGATGGGCACCAGATTTGCAATCACTCCTCGTGCAACGCTCAATAGCGCTCCATGGGAAGTTGGAGGGACAAGAAGCCCGTGTAACTGGTCTCTACAGTTGTGTAATCGCACATCTGGTGATCCAGTAGTTTACCACGCCACAATACGAACAAGAAGAACCTTACTTTATCACATTCAATCCTTCCGACACCTTGTCCCGAAACATTGCATATGCACTTCAATTGTGAGGTCAATCGTGGCCGAAAGCAGATCCTGATAAGACCGAGCCCACAGGAGATGTCTGGCTGGTCCCGGAAATCGGAGGCACCCTCGGTCCAGGAATGCAAGCAGAATCACGGAAGCTTCCATACCGTCTTGAGTCTCTGACGATGCGAAACCGGCGAAACACTCTCGCCTCCCGCGCCGACATACCAGCATCCATATGATGGCCTTCCAGAGGCATGCGGCTCCGCTAGATGAGACTGCCTTTCGGAGGTTCGGTCTGGCATAAGCAGCGACTAAACTCACAGCTATTACAACTCACACGCACGGTAGCTCAGGTAGTCACATAACTACACACCACTCGGAAGTTGTGTCCACCGCCGCTTATCAGATAAGCGCAGCCGCAGTGGAAAACAGCGGACGTAGGCTGTGTGAATTAGCTGGGAACCCACAGTGCGACTTGGCTGATGTTGTTCGAGAAACGTTGCGGGTGCGACCATAGCAGAAGTCGAGAAGACGCCGCACAGCCTACTCAGAGCAGCTCGAAGTCAGCACCGTTTGTCAGATATCTGCACGAGATAGACGATCCCGCCTGCATGAAATTCCCCGCATCCAGTGGTTAAAGTGTTTGCGTAATTATTGAAACTACTCACCGGTAACACCGACCGCGATCTGTGGTCAAAGCAATGAAAGTATCGGCATGATTTGTTCTAAGATTCCCATCTAGCGAAGCCCCTTGGGGCCAACCTAGGAGGAAGAGTGCGCAGATGAGGGAGCAATTAATGGTATCCGATGCAACGGAGGCGATAGAGACGGAGACCACACTCGATATCCGATGAAGGGTTCAATGCACGATGACGACACTTAGTCACCTGGTAGCTGAAACGGATTAATTAGTCTATTCAGAAACCCCAGGCGGGAAAATAAACCCACCTTCCCCCGGAACCGCTGAAGAGAAAAATGCGAAGATGGAAATACGATCAAAGAATTGTCAATGGGCGCCAACGACGACATCAACCACGTTGCTCGCCGTGTCGCACAGGGCGGTCCACATCCGCGTCGACATTGGAGACGATGGGCAATCGCTGCTGCCACCGAATTTTGGTGTGTGCCATCTCTTTGGCGCGGTGTGTCGAGATGCCCACTTAATACAAAGCCTTTTCGTCTCAGCTTAACAACAATGGCATGCCACGGTAGGCCGCCGATGAGCGGTACCCGACAAACGACATCGGACACACCGACCTACGCCAGCGCCTGGCCAATGCATGCGGCGCCCTCGCTGAGCTCGACAGCGGACCCAGGAGACCGCGGTTAAATATTGACAGGTGAGCGTCTTCGAGTTTTTTCCGAGCCATCACGAAATTACCAAAAGCAGGGCTTCTGAATAGACTAATCCGGTAGAAACGCCACGAAGGCTCTGACGGCGTCTCCAATTTCTATATTGAAACAGTGAAACTTTCGCGCACAGCCATGAATTGTTGGCAGAATCATCGGCAACTTGTCCAGGACAACCATTACAAGGCTCGGACACAAGACGGATAAAAAGTCTTCGAGTACAGCCTCCAGTTGTCGGCAGAAGGATGGTATTACTGTATTCCGGAAGTCAATATGGAAGGCACATGAACGATCGCACTTATCCGCGGGACGATACACGCATGTTGTCAGCGACAGCACCTCGATCGTAGGCGTGGACACTTTCTATGGAGAAGGACATCGACACGGAGTACGTCGATGTTGAGACTATTATTGAAAACCTCACTGAGAGGTGAGCGGGCGATGTCGATGAACATTGGTCTGGGACCCTGGGTATATCGGCCAAGGAACATTCAGTAGAAGGGATGTGAGAAGTATCTCAGCGGGTCACCTAATCGCAGGAAAGATGGCAGCCTCTACTTTCGAACTTATGCGCCGTGACCTTGTTCCTACGAAGTCCCTCAAGTAATAATCCAGGCATGCGCCCACTTGCCTGAAGATCTATAAGTACCGAGTCTCTGACTTTATCAACACCTGAGCATCCTACACATTATACAATTCAGGCCTTCAAGGCACAATATCTCAAGTCGGAAGACCTCAGCTTGATGAAAACCGAAGGATAAATATCCGTGGAGCAAATAATCACAACAGAGAGAAGGAGAAATTGAATCGATATATGGATCCATAGTACACGCGAGCGCCCAGTAATAAGCAGTGCGATCGATTTGCTATCAACTACGACAGTGACGGGGCAGCACTGGCGAACGCGCTCAATACACCACCCAACATAGTGAGCCACCAGGCCCGATAGAGAGCTTTCCAGCCCTCTTCATCAACCACCCTCTTTGCGCAGTCCACAAGACCAAGGTACGGGTCTTTTTCATGCCGCAAGCTGTCAATGCAAAGGTTACTAATAGGAGCTTTGTTCAATCTCAAGATACTTACCCGATAACGTCCTCCTCAACGCCAGAATACTCCGTATACTCCTCTGTCATAACAGCGTCTTCCTCGACCTCTTGCTCGACTGAATTATACTCGGGAGCAGCGTGGTTACGCTGAATAGCCAGTTTCGTCGCCAAGACTTCGAGGGGGCATAGGACCGCTGTGCTCCATATCTCAATACCCACATATATGCCAAATTTGATAGAACTGAAATGGACATCCGAGGCGTCACCTGGCGAGGGAAGGGGTACCAAGAAGGATCTGAGAGCGCGCAGGATGAAAGCGGTGTAAACGACATGTAGGATTTGGGACAGAAGAAGTCCGGGAGTCAAGTACAAGATCCACGGCTTCCGTCGTTCTGTTGGTGTAAGTAATATCCGGAGAGAATAGATGGGGCGGAAGTATGGAAGTTTGTATGGCGTCGTGATTGACCTTGTAAAATAATGTCAGGCATAGAACTACCGATCGCGACTCGGCAGGTTGAACATACCGATACGTTATGATGGTAGCCGGAAGAGAAATCAACATGCTGAACAATCCGTAGGCTAGGACGCCAAAGGGTCCAGCTGAGGGAGGATTGACCCTACCATGATAACTGGCACTCGTAGAGTTGAGAGCAATCACAGCGAACGCGGTGAGCACTGCGCTAGCCAGCAAAGTCGGCACTAAGTAGATCTAAGTGACTCGATTCTAAATTCCTGCAGCGAGGCACATACTCATTCCCTTGTATAACCCGCTCCAACCCTTCCATTAGATATGAGTATATATCTCAGGATTAGACATGATTTGAGCTTACTTCAATGCGTTTCACTCTCTTCAGCATGCCGAAAAACGACGTTACCACAGGACCCGTGTGGGGTTCAACATTTCCTTCAGGATCAAGCTGAAGTCCTCTCGGATTGTAGTTGCTGGTACGAAGATGTCAGTAACATATCATACAGTCTCGTGTGTTCGTTCGATACTCACGCCCTAAGTCGTACGAGTGCACCCGTCAATGGTACAGTAACGATGAGGGAGATCGCTATGGAAAGCGCGAGCACGCCGAGTAAGAATAACGCCTCTAATACAGCCATGATTGATGGATGTTGGAGAGACAGAGCATGTCGCCCGCTGCGTACTTGCTGCGCCCTCGGCGCTCAGGACCGCCACAACCAAACAACTGTGACATGCATGCCAAACGGTCACACACCTAACTCTCCTCCTGACGACCATCATCTTTCATGTCCTCTTTTCCACCCAACATTGGTGATACTACTTATAATTGTTCAGCGATGTGTGGTGATTGATAGCCACTGGGAGAACACTAGAAGAGTGAGTTTTGTCGCTTTTTATCGTTCTACGTGCGAGTCGGTGGTTCGCTCATCGATGGAGAGGGCGAGTGCAATTAGCGAGGTTCACTCCATATTTGTGGTTTTTTCACTGTTGTATCTTGGATGTTAATGACCTCTTCGGTGTTCCCTCGGGAGTACTGGATCTCATGAGTTGGTCCTTGGTAGCTGTGGTTTTGAGTAGGAATAACGGTCGCGTCTCTCGAGCTCAATGGTTGCGGTTTGCTATTTGCGATTATGCCAAATATGAGCAATATGTGTTGTGTAGTGGGTTTCAATGTAGCCCCTGTCGTGTTTTGCTCGTCTTTCGTAGGGGCTTCATCCTTTGAGTTTATTCGAGTTTTTACTGATTTGTTATCTTGCAGTGGGGACATGTCGATTCCATACGATAAGCCGATCCGCGTCTTCATTTCTTTAATGACATCTTTCTAATCCTTCTATATGTACGCTCGATTTTTCTTATGTGACGACTCAATTTCTGCTGAAGATATCCTTCCTCAGCGGTTGTACAGTGACATTTTGAAACGTCCAGTTGATGCACTTCTCCCGTTTTAAGTGTTTTCAAGAGTAACGGGGTTTGAGTGTTACTTCTTACGGGTGCGTATTCTCAAATACCAGCACTGCTTACACTGAACCACTTCATGTGATTTTGTTGCAAAACCAAGTATTGCCGTGGTCCTTTCTCTTTCGAGCCGGAAGGTCAAGCCAGAGACGTGATGCTCATCCACAGGTGATTCATGGGGTAGTTTTGGCAGGGTGTTGCTGTAGGCCGTCATAGGAGATTTGGCCTGACTTGGGCGATAGCTGGTACCTATGAGATCGGTGGCACACAGATGGTGAGTCCCGAGCTGATGACCTGCAGAATGCTGGATGGCAGCTGGTAACTCACCTTCGCGTGGCATATAATGTTGAGCGAATGCGTGGTGGATGTTCTCTTTCGTGGTTATACTGAACACTCGGCTTGGGCGTTTCAATCTGTGCTTCGTGGTTGGGACCTTAAGAGTCTCATAAGGTTTGCCTACAAATTGAGTGCTTGTATACTTTCGTCTTGACTTGTGCTCGCTCATTGCTACTGTTGTTCTGCCCTTCAGGCCCGTATCATGCCAGTTTACATGATCCTTACAGTATGGCACCCTACACTCACTCGTCTCGATGTGTTCAGCATTATACCTCATCACGTTCAACGTGCATACTGGCGAGTGTACCGTGGTTCTGATTCGCCGTTCGGACACCCTCATGTTGTTGTCGGACTCGCTTATGTGTTGCATGTACGTTAATGTTGCTGCTGAATGAAAATTGCGTTTCCCACTATCCTACCTGTCTGAACGATGAGCAGTGCGAGGCTTCATCCTTATGGGAAGCAGTATGCATGTTGCAGGTTGTTCCACTGTCATCTTGATAGATTCCTTACATTTTTCCTGTCCTTACTCTATGTTCGCCTTGGAATAAGCTCTGGGCAGACAACCACAGCCACACTGGCCACCGTCGTTTTGGCGCTCCGACGGGTGACCTCGCTTTGCCTTCACACACTCTCCCAGGTCGCACTCAACTTTGGCGACCTGCCGACTCTTAGACATTCTACCAGTCGATCTTCTTACCATGTCTTTTCAAAGAGACCCTGCTGCTACAGTTAGTGTTTACTTAGCTCGTTCGTGGTTTGTCTGTTTCCTCACCGTGATGCACGACATCGCATCTTGTTACGCTAGAAAGCAGCGCTAGAGCAGCTGAAGTTCAAGAAAGTTCAGAGGCAACAGAATACCTCTCTAAACCATAGTGGCCCTTCTAACGTAGCATCTTGGGGTGCGGAGTCGTCAAGACACGATGCACCGCCAATGCAGTCGCGGGATGCGACTATTGCATCGCGGTACTTTACCGCGACACCAACATCTCCCGGCAACGTCTTGGTGCCCAGTTCAAGTCCTCCAACTTCCGATCCCTTTAATCGCCCCCATCCGACGCCGTGGCCGCAGCAGAATTTTTTCCATGCTATCCCAGCCCCCACACATCCTTATTATATGGCTGGGACCAGCGGGCCACCCACTGGTGACCCGCTGTCGGCACCGAGCGGTTTCATGGCCACCAACGGCGCTCCCCACGCGTCATTCACGCGTCCCTGGGGTGCCAATGGTAGAAGCATATCGGAGGTTGAGGGTACCAGTGATGTGGAGCCACCACGGAAGCGTGCAAACCGTGGGCCCTCCTCGCCCAGAGACCCTCTTGACTTCCTCAGCACACCCGACTCCCCTGAAGTTCAACGCCCTGGCCAACGACACAAACTCAATGGCAACTCTGTATTGTCCCCTACATCCTCAGACGAGTCACTGCCCGAGATTAGAGACGTTCTGGCTGGCCCGTCGAAGCCTCGCATAGTTCGAGGACATCGTTCTCTGCAGCCACAACCCCAGCCTTCATCGTCGGAGCAATCACAGTCAGAAGCTGAGGATGCAAGATTCACTCGCTTTAGGTTGACCCAAATCGAACACTCTTCTGATATCGTGCGAGCTGCCTGGCGGGAGGCCCATGGCGATGTGCGTAATGCATCGGAACTGCTGAACGACCCAAACTGGAAACCAACTGTGTTGACACCTCCACCGCGTGTCGTTCATCCACCTGTGGAAACTGGACGTGTGAAGGAGATCGACGATACCACTAAGGCTCAGAGGGCGGCCGTGCGGGAGAAGGGAAAGAAGTCGCTCATTTACAAGAACCGGATAGATCTTGAAGCAAGCAAGGCCTCTTCACCTGCGACACCGCTTCCAACAACTTTCGCTATATCGACGTCACCGAGGTCCTCACCAGCAAGTCCCGAAGTCGCCAACGCTCGTCCGCGTCGATTGAAGAGAAAGGTTGTCGACTCGGATTCCGAGCCTGACTATGTTGACAGTGACGACGAACCCAGTCGTGCGAAACGTGCAAGGGAGGACGGATCAATGGAAGTTCGTGCACTAGAGTACTTCAACACTGCGTCGGCACCAACTCTCCAGGAGCTCACAGGTATGTTGACCTCGTCATTCACCGGTACTGTATCTAACACTACTTTCCATTAGGGTGTACTGTGGAGCAGGCCTCCAAGATCATAGAACTACGGCCATTCCCTTCAGCTAGTGATTTAAAGGCTAAGCTCGGTCAAGGGAAGAAGCGTGCTGGACCTGCTGGGATTAGCCCAAGAATGTTCGAGGATTCAGTCGCCATCATCGAAGGGTATGGCCAGGTCGATAACATCGTTGAGGACTGTGAACAGATTGGGGCGGAACTCAGAAGGGAGATTGCAAGCTGGACCGATACGGGCAAGGGCAAGATGAAGGACACGTCTTCGGGTTCGCTCTCTCCCAACATATCCGAGGACGGGGCGCTGAGCTTGCGGGCTACGGCGATCTCAGCCGACCGCAGGCCGAAGTACTACTTGACCTCTCAGCCTTCGCTCCTCTCAGATCATCTCCAACTGAAAGAATATCAGATGGTTGGTGTAAATTGGTTGAACCTCTTGTATCGGAAGAAGTTGAGTTGCATCTTGGCGGACGAGATGGGTGAGTGTCATCGTCATTCGCTGGAATAGCCATTACTCACGCTATCTGTTACAGGCTTAGGCAAGACAGTTCAAGTCATCAGTTTCCTGGCACACCTGAAAGAGCAAGGTCGCAAAGGCCCTCATCTCATTGTCGTCCCGTATGTGTGCAGACGTTCCTCCTGCTCATACGTATCCTTATCGTTTTTATGCTCACACAGTTCTTCCACACTGGAGAACTGGTGTCGGGAATTTTCTAATTTCGCTGACTCTATCAAATACGTTACGTACTATGAGTCGAAAGAAAAGAGACCGAAGTTGCGTGAGGAGTTACTCCGAACACAGCGATCCAAGAAGGACGACGGTTGGGAGGTCCTCATCACGACGTACGCCCTGGCGCAGGGAGACGAGAAGGACCGCAAGTTCTTCCGCCATATACCTTGGGATGTACGTGTCTCAAACATCGTTCAATTGGATCTTCCGCCGCTCACGAGTGCATCCTCAGGCTTGTGTCTTCGACGAAGGCCATGTACTCAAGAACTTCCAGTCCCAACGCTACCAGGCACTGCTCAGGTTTGAGTCGAGATGGCGGTTACTTCTGACTGGAACTCCCCTGCAGAACAATTTGCAGGAACTTGTGGTGAGCTGGAACTTAAAGCAAGAACGGATTGTTCAATGATGACACCTATTGTAGTCGTTGATGAACTTCATCCTTCCACAAAAATTCGCAGGGCGCATGGAGTCTTTACGCGCTGTCTTCAAGACGAAGGGCGACTCCAAAGTTACTTTACTCGCTCAAGAACGTGTCTCGAGAGCTAAGAAGATGATGACGCCCTTCGTCCTTCGACGCCGGAAGGACCAAGTGAGTCGCTATGTTGATCTGAAGGGACACTTTCTCAGCGATTTCTCCAGGTCCTGAAAGATCTCCCGAAGAAGAGTGAGCGAATAGAATGGTGCGAGATGACTCCCCTTCAGAAGTCCATATACAACGAGGCTCTGCGACGGTCGCGGAAGACTGTGTTCGATGCCTCCGCGAACGGAGCAGAGGTCCCAGAAGATCCTCCCGCCAACGGCCGCAGCAAGACAGCCAAGAAGCCGAAGGCGAACCCCCGGCCAAAGGACAAACTGTACGCGGAGAACAGCGCGAACGTGCTGATGGACTTGCGCAAGGCGGCGTCACATCCGATGCTTTTCCGAAGGCGGTTCACGGACGACACCTTGGCTTCAATCGCAAAGGTGGTGCTCAACGAACCCGACTTCAAGAAGCGGGGTGCGATGTTCCAGTATGTCAAGGAGGATATGCAGGTCATGACCGATGCCGAGCTGCAGGTCTTCTGCTCTTCGTATAAGGTAGATCTCATTGTGCGCGGATCTTGACGTAGCTGCTGATACTCCTTCTACAGTCGACGCGGAAGTTCCTTCAGCAAGACGACTGCTACCTGCAGGCCGGCAAAGTCAAGGTGTTACTCACTCTCCTGCGAAGGTACATGGGGGAGAACAGGCGTGTGCTCGTGTTCTCGCAGGTAAGAATTACGTTGTGCTCATCGCATCGTATCTGGCTGAAAATCACGCCCCGCAGTTCACGCAAGTGCTGGACATCCTCCGGAAGGTGCTCGACAAGCAGAGCGTGAAATACTTGGTGTTGACTGGCAGTACGCCGGTGGACGTCCGGCAGACCCTCGTCGACGAGTTCACGGAGGACAATTCAATCACTGTCTTCCTGCTCTCCACCAAGGCGGGTGGCATGGGTATCAACCTGACAGCAGCTAGCGTCGTCATCATGTCAGTCTTTGAAGGATCGTGGCTTTTCACTGCCTTTCGCTGATTTATGGCGTGCCATTTCGCAGGTTTGATCAGGACTTTAATCCACATAATGACAGACAGGCGCAAGATCGCGCATACCGTATCGGTCAAAAGCAGGATGTCGATGTGGTGACGTTAATCACAAAGGGCTCCATAGAAGAAGACATGCTAGCTCTCGGCCAGACGAAGCTAGCTCTAGATGAAGCTGTCGCAGGCGAGGGCGAGGAGAATGTCGAGCGGGAGATGAAGACGTCGCTGATGAACGTCGTGCGGAAGAAGCTAGAGGCGAAGGAGGACGACGAGGTGCTGACGGAGGATAAAGGCCCACTAGATGTCGAGAGCCCGTTGAGCGCACTAGACGACGAGAGCTCATGATGGAGGAAGGATACCCTGCTCTGACAGACAATGGATCTACTCGGTAATCGTTACGGTATGTACCTACACATCTTGTACTATCACACAGCATTGTGGCCTTGGATGAACGTAAGGCCATCTGAAGGATTATTTAGAGGGGATTGTGCACACAAGATTTCTACTGAAAGACAGTGAGACTTCTGATCAAGCGGTCGGTACCGGCACGGAAGTATTCGTTGTCTATGCCATGTTCACGCGAGTCCATGCCCATAAGAGGGTTGCGAACGACATACTCTAAGAAGGGACCGGCGTAGATCTGGCGCAAAACGAAGCGGAGAGAATCCGCTTCCGGATCGCTGAGTATGACGAACTTGTACCCCGAGAGCGTCTCATACAGGTGAAGCTTGTACGTTGATGTCCGGTAGTTCACGAACTGCTCGTCCCTGTACGTAGGGTCTCAAGGACTACCTCGTCATCTGATACCGGGGAGAAGCGCACCTTCCGGATATTTTCTTGATCATGTTGCGCAGTGATAGGACGACGCCGTAGACGAGCTTGGCTTCTTCGTGGAATGGAAGCGCAGCGCTAGATGCCTGGGGGTGGGATGTAGATGCTGCGGACGGTGGCTGAGGCAGTGGTGAGCGAGGCACATCATCATTCACTGCGACGACGACACCCGAGGCAGAAGAGAGAGTGCTGCGAGGAGTGGTGAGAGCCAGCGTGCTATCTAGAGCGGGCTCCTCCTGGCGGGGGAAGACGGCGAGAGAGACCGCGGGGAGAATGCCGCCCTCTACAGCGGGTCTCGGACGGTTTGTGCGGTGCCAGTCCTGGTAATAGACGCATGCGCAGTGTCTGGGGTTGAACAACCGCAGTCAGACGGTGATTGAGTTCTGCGAGAGGAGAGTGGTGCATGCCTGTCGTAGATGTACAAGCTGTGTATTGTCATTGCGGACCAGCTCGTTGTGGCAGGGGAGTAGCAGCGCAGAGCTATAGACCCCTTGATAGACCCTCACGCGTGTGCCACAGCGCGACCGTGACAGCGGGCGCCCAGCGTTTGCTAACTTTTATAAGTTATAGCCAACACATCATGGCGCAGCGTCCCCTGATTAACACAGCGGGCTTCCAGCGGTACCTATGCTGCTTGCATACCGTTATATCAAACGTACTATCAGTGACCCGGATATGCCATATGACCCAGAAGTGCCATATTTTTTTCTGTGGTTTGATCCTCTTCTCCGATTCCCTCGAAATTATAGACAGAGAGTCATACATACCCTAATTTAATACTGTAAAAGTTTGGGAAGCAAGGATGGCTCACTTGGATCCCAAGAAATTCGGGATTGCAAGACTGTATTTGGCTGGTGCCACACCTCGGCATCTCTCCAAGGTGTCTAATACAGCTAAAACAAATCCGAAAAAATGGTGGATAGTACTCTGTATACTACAGAAACATTATCTGAGATGCCGCAGACAATCGAGCAAGACGTCGTGCTGCGGGACCAGAAGTGCCATATTATGGCACATCCGGGTCATCGATAGTAGGAGAGATGAACGCCAACTTCAGAGTGTTCATCCACCTACCGCAGACGAGGTTCAATTGCACCAAGTCAATGATCCCAGCATCCCACCTCCCTCGACATCCGATGCCCAACAAAATGCCGCAAAAGCAACCTCAGCTCGTTTCAAAATATTCTTGATGATCGGTCTGTTTGTCCCCGTATTTTTCGAGACCATTGATTACACAGGTTGGTCCTTATATATTTACACACCTACTTGACATCATGACGCTCACTAAACCCTCACAGTCGTCTCTACTGCCCAGGTCCACATTGCAGTATGTACCCACAAGGTCACACCCGATCCCCCTTCTGATTTGGTTACACAGTCTGCTTTCAATCGCCTGGATCTCGAGAGGTGCATCTCATCTAAGCCTGATATGACTCTGCATGCTCACTAGTCCTTCAGTTATATTGGCACTGCCTTCTTACTAACATCTACCGTCTTTCTACCCGTCTTCGCATCTATTGCCGATGTATGGGATCGTCACTGGACTCTCCAACTATCCCTCGTTTTCTTTATCGTCGGCAGTGCTGTCAGCACCGGCAGCGAGAACATGGCAACCATGCTCGCCGGACGGGGCATTGCCGGCATTGGCGCTGCAGGATTGCAGGCGGTATATCTTCACGTACAAGGTTGTTCGCAGTGAGATTAACCCCAAGTTCTGCCCAGGTCGTCAGAATTATCATGGCCGACTCGCGTTCCCTGAATGATAACAATTGGCAACAAACTCTATTATTTTTCTTGTACACCGTTGGCTTCTGCGTCGGCCCTGTCATTGGTGGTGCACTGCTTAGTGTATCCTTCAGATGGATCTTTGCTATCAAGTAGGTGACCTTCCTTCGACTGACACTATTTATGATCTCAGTTGCCATGAACAGCTTGCCCACTTCATTTGTAGGAATTGTGCTTGCTTTTCTCTTCCTCAGGACTCGGACAAAAGGTCGAGGATTTACTGACTCTCCTTCGGTTGAGAAGGAGTCCACCCTCGAAAGACTTGCCCGTGTAGATTGGTTCGGAGCTTCGCTGTTCATGGCGGGCGGCATCCTCATTCTGCTCGCCCTCAACTGGGGGTCTGTCTTTGGCTGGAACTCGGGGCGCGTCATCGCCTGCTTCGTAGTCGGTGGTATCGTGTATATTGTCTTCATCGGTCTGGAGTTATTCCTCGGGCGCACGGCGAGTCACGCCGCGTCCTCTATCAGGCGTGTCCTCCCCATGGACCCAATGATCCCAATGGATATATTCAGTTCGTATGATGTCTGTATCGACCTGTTTACCATGTTCGTCTCCGGGCTGGTTATGCTGGTCGCGTTCTACTTTATTTCAATCTACATGATCGTCGTCACGGGCCTGTCGTCTACCAAGGCTGGTGCACAGTTGATCTACTTTGCACCTGGTATGGTAAGTGCTTCCTACTGATTTCTCCGTATCTGTCTAATTCCGTTTGGGTAGGGAGTCGGAAGCTTGCTTCAGATTCAGATGGTGAAATATCTCAGACAGGTCAGCCGTCCAGCTCTCATGTGTTTGGTGGCAGTAGTCATGCGTCCCCTCAGCCGAAATATCCGATTATACTCGGAACCACTATCACGCCCATTGCTCTTGGCTTGATTTCGATGGCAATGCAGAATATTAAGCGGCCCCAGATAAATGGGTAAGCTTGCAAGTTTTCGCCTCGACGCTATTTGGTGAACATGTCTTCCTTTTCCCCCAGCTTCTTGGCCATGGCTGGTTCTACGGCTGTGCACATCCGGTTTTTGCAGTCTAACGACAGGGTAGCCATCGTCGCTGCGCTCACGCTATTCGTAAGTCTCCACCTCCACACGGTACACTCCGTCCCTTGACTTTTCTACCGTTACCAGTTCCGCTCCCTTGGCGGCACAGTCGGGCTCGCGCAGTGCGGCGCCGTGCTGAACTCCAAGATCCAGAGCCACATGGCGTCGCTCACCAGCTCAGGCCTACTCACCCCTGCGCAGGCGAGCGAGCTCTCACAGAGCGCCGGCTCGCTCACGTCACTGCAGAGCATCGACGCGCTCCCGCTCGAGGTGCAGGCGCTCGTACGCGAGGCGTTCCGCAGCGGCTCACGCTGGAGCTTCATCTCGCTCATCCCGTGGGCCGGCCTTGCGTGCATCTGCACATTCTTCTTGTCGAGGATTAAGGACACAAACGTACCACAGCCCCCGTCGCCCAAGGAGGTGCCTTTGGAGGCAGTGAGCGAGAGTATGCCGCCTGGAGACGCTACTGCTGATAAGGACTTGATCACCGTTGAGCTGGATTCTAAGGTTGTATGAGCTTGATTTTTGGAGATATTTTTGTCGTCTTCTCTAGCTGGATTATCTTGTAAGTATGTATGACGTGAAAATAGAAGCTGTCTCCCTCGCTCAAGCTGTTGTGCAGAGCTAACGTGTACAAAGCCTCTGTTCGTGACTAACGACAAGAGCATCGACAGCAGTTGTATATACTAATAGTACAGGACTGGATTATCCGATAATGGTGCGCCCCTCAAGGGCGCAAAAACGTTGCTTACACCCTACCCTCTTCAAACGTAGCGCTGCCCTTTGTGTCGATCGGCACGTAATGTATGGTCGGGCCGGAATAATCGGGAATTTTCTCATCAAAGTTGTTGTACAGGGGGACGCCGTCGAGGGGCACGTTCAACTGTGCTTGGCCGGGCTGAGTGTAGTACGGGTAGGCCGCCGCGGACGGGTCAGTTGGTGGGTTCACGACGAACTGCGCCATGCGTTAGTGAAGTTGTAGAGCGGTGCCATCGATTGTTGCTAGTGGACTTACGGGAGCTGGCTGTGAGCCGGGCTGGAAAGACGTGGTGTTGGTCATCGGTGCAGGCGGCATAGTAATTTTGAGATTCTGACAAGGAAAGCAGTGAGGGTTTGGCTCAAAAAGTAGAAGGACATTCGCGTACCAGTGCACTGTGTCCTATACCAGGCATCCGAATCCGGTACGTCGGAATCTGCGTATCGGGATCTCGCACTGCGCGGTCTTCGGCTTCGAACTTCTGCAGCATTTTGTTGACTGAAGATTTTCCCTGCGTAACAAAACGTGAGCACACGTGACAGCACCCAGAGAACTTCGCTTTACACTGAGCTTCCACAACAACATGGGAACAACGGACAAGAGCACCACTCCGAAGAACACTCCGAGGGCGATCAGGCGCGCCTTCCAGTAGCGGCTCTCGTCCGTCCAGCCGTACGGCCAGAAATCGAAGACGACCTCTTGCGGGTGTGGTAGAACGTCCAGCATGACGAAGTAGATTGCAATGGGTGCTGCAAGTGTAAGGCTGAGGTAATAATACTCATTCTCTTTTAAATGCACAAGATCTGCAGATATGACATACATGAAGGTGATGATCGCCCAGATGGTATCAAATGCGGGCTTGCAGTAGCGAGAGCCTTTACGCAGGACAGCCCTCAATCGAGCTTGCCAGGCTTCAGTAGAGATCTGTGGCATTCATGGGCCTCCACAATGCGGGGGATGAGCACATATACTCACGTAGCGCCTAAGCTCGTACGGAACCATTTCTGGCGGAGGTTCATCTACAGGCAGACGCTACGACAGACAGTCCTGTGAGACCTGGGTGGAATATGGAGACTAAACTGAGGGCTCCACGTACCAGATAAATCGCCCCCCTTTGCACCGGCGGAGTATTGTAGTACGATGCCATCTTCTCTGAAGAGGTTATTCCAGCGTCGTCGAGACGAGATGCTCACTGGCTCGAGCTGTAATTTTTAGAGTGAAAGTGAAGCAACGGTCGAACCGGTCGACGAGATGAATGACAACGTTGCGGTCCTGCCGGCAGGAAGAGAACTACAATGGTGGGGAGGGAGATGCTTATATCGCAGCCGGAGGAACTGTCTCGGTTGTCTTGACGGCGCCATCCAGCGGCAGTGCCAATTGACTTGTTACATCAAAGTAGTTGTGACGCCGACGTGGCGCTCGTAACTTACAAGTAGCTAATGTGCAGACCGAGAGAGCTCGGACGTTGATAGGACGACACCAGAGTTTTCAGAATTAGCATTTTACAGTAGACTACATAGTTCTCATCTTGCCCACGGGAAGACGATACGATCGCATTGCGAAGTACTCCCTGCTTTTCCCCCAACGACTCTCATGACCTTGGAAGACATCTACGTCGCTGCACGCGACGTCAATACCAATATCGGCCAGATGAAGATCGGAAACATGCGTGTAAACGTCGTAAAATAGGGCATCTACAGTAGCAAGGTCAAACTAAGAGGACTGGAACTGGATAGTCGAGGAGCTCACTCGTAGCACCGAGTCCGTTGAAGAATCCAAAACGTGACTCTGGACCCGCTAGTAGATCAGGTACATGCCCAAAGAAGCGATGAAGCTCTGCAAAAGGTGAGGTTGAATCGACCAGCCAGAAATGGGTGCCTCTATACCCTTGTAGTCTTCCGAGAAAGTATCCGTGTAGATAACGTCGAATCCGCCCACGGTCAAAACTTCGTCACTCTCCATGAAATCTTGCCATTTACCTTCCAAGATTGTCACGCCCGGCTTGTTATACCAGCCCAATTCTCTCATGTGCTGCAAGACATCTGGATGGGGTTCGATGATGACATGGATTGAGGGCGGGACCGGCAGGGCCTGAAACAGGCAGTCGATCTGCAAAAGTGCTGAGAATTTAAATCACTGATGAATGTTAGAAGACATACAATTCCAAGGCCGAAGCCGACATTAAGAACTTTTAGGCCGCGTGGCAGATTTTCATGATCAGAGCACAGCTTGTGCACCGTTTCCTGCACTTGCCACTAGCACATTTCATATGGGAGGCATGTTTCCTAGGCATTTTCCGACACTCACTTATTCCTCGCTCCCAACCCATCATCACACCAATTTCTTCTTGCTCGTTGACTTTTAGTAGACAGATGTCTTGGCCGTGTGTGTCCTTCGTGAACTGTAGGCGAGATGACAGGAAGGCATCGGTGGATCCAGCTGGGGTTGCGTCGGTAGCCTTCAAGACATGAGACAGCGACGAATCTGTAGATGGAGAGCGTGATGACAACAACGACAAGAGCAGTTCTAACAAGCAAGGTACATGCTATTCAGTGACACAGCACGAATGCGCAGGGGTCAGTTAGCAGACCTGAACGGATACCGGCGTCCCTGATGATAGTGTAGCATGGACCGTTGTTCAAGGATAATGCAATATCTCCTGCGGTATTGTGAAGGTTATCCACTGGGAGTTTATAGTCTCCACTCAGAAACTGTCGTGACAAAAACGGACTGGACAGAACTCACCTGCGTTCCATAACGCTCCTTCACCAATCAGAAACCTGACCAAATCTTCATTCTCCACGTACGCTGCAGCGTGTAGAGCAGACATTCCTTCATCGTCTTGAAACCAGAGCGGAGCACCAGCATCAATGATTCTCTTGATTTTACTGAGAGAGGAGCGTTCTAGGATTGCATTGATGAGTGAGTTCCCAAGATCAATTAGCTCTTCCACTTCCATGTCAGTATCGGAGTCTTCGGCAACCGTCGAAGCCATGTTGGCAGACAACCTCGAAGAAACCTGTCGGTCCTGTCCCGGACTTTTCTGAAACGATCGCGTAGCTCATGTGACCTGCAGAATCACCTGATGAAGACGCGTCGCGTTCACCGACTGGATGGTAGACGTCGCAACGGAAATAAGTTTGTTTAATCGACAGGATTTACGTGATCGCATACAGCCTAGTACCTGTTGTCAGTGGTCACAGCTCGCTAGATTTTTTTTGGTTTTTTTTTGGCCTCATATGTTTATTGTCCGTGAGGGCGTAGCCCTATGGTAGACATGTAACTAGCATATGTATTTACTGGGAAGGCAGGGTGTGGGGTCAATGGAAACATCGTGCCCGCGCGGAGCGCGGGACTCGCTAGATGTTTATCCACTAAGCTTCACTGTTTGGGTTAGTATCGCATGGAAGTAGATCACGCGGTATATGCTTGCGAGTAAACAAATAGATGCTGTACACTCTTCAAGTGCCTGCTATCCGGGTGATGATGTATCGCTTCCCATAGAGGCATCTGGAGAGTCCTGAGCTCGATAAAAAGAGCATCTCACGATCACTGTCAAGAAGCAATCATGATCATAAGCAACAAGATATATATCCATGATGGAACGCACATATACAACAATACCCAACCATGCAGTAAACAAAGCTGCTAAAGTGCAGGTGAGATACTTTAAGAACTAGGAACAAGATTGCTGGGACTCACGCAACTAATCGGCATCAACAAGCTCACTCATCCTCATGTATTATAATACGCGGAGCGTCAACGATGGGCACAGGCCGCTGCCGCAATGTGCCTGTATCCACGCCTTCCAATGATTGTTCTGGGGGTGCTGGTCCTATGTCATCATCGTCGTCCTCATCGCTATCTGCTCCAGGTCGCTTGAATATCAGTTCCTTCCCACTGACGAGTCTCCTCTTCTTCAACGGAGCATCCACCTGTCCTGCGTTGGTTTCGGAACCAGCTGCACTTTCCTTCTCCGGACCTTTCACCTTCGCCCGCTCCTTCTTCTTCTGCCTCTTGGCACGATTTTTTGCCGTCTTTGCCTCCGCCTGCAGCTCCCACTCTTGTTTCTTACTTTCAAACGCCTGAGTTTCAGCTTCCTATAATATCGTCACCTCGTTCAGATCATAAACATCATTGCGGAGAGAGGATCGCCATCGGAGGCCGTGGCAGAAGCGTACCTTTTGTGCCTTCTCGTCCATCAACTTCAATCGCTCGTACTCTCTCCGCCTGCTTGCCTTGTACACATGGAATTCCCCACTGCCCGCACCTGCACTTGAGCCCTGGACGTTCTTCATCATCTCTCTGGCAGGTCTGATGGCCTTCTCCTTGGGTGCAGCAGGGACATACGCAGGCTTGCTGGGATCTTTGAGCAGCTTCTCCAGCTGCCCGCGCTGACGTTCGATGGGAGTTGGGGCATGGCGATTGACTGCCCCGGAGGGTACTGGCTGAGAAGGGGTAGGTGAGGCGGACATGATTCAAATCTATGGTGACAATTGAACTCGTCGGGAGGCCACGATACTTACTTACTCGCGAGGTGACAGCATTATATAATCCCGACAAAATGATCCCGCCCAATACCATTTGTGGCGATATAGCGCAGCTGGAACGCCGCCGCGGCGTCGTACTCGTCTCGCTCATAATTCCAATTCACCAGTGCGAGATGACCACATATATCTCAGCCAGTCTCTCTACCAGACGTAAGAAGGGAAAAACTACTATGCTAGTGGGGTGCGTAGAGATACATCCGAAGCAAACGGGAGAAGGAACGTCAGACATCTCAGACCACTGTGATCGTTGTCAGTATAGATTTAAAGAAACAGGAGGATTCTAGCTCACGCAAGACAGCATTTATGCAACCATCATTCTCGGGATTGTTGGTGATTTGTGCATACTTCCCGAAGACGATTTTGCCACCTGTGGTCACCATGCCGAGTTCTGAAACATTGACTTCGATAACCGTCCCCTTTGTCAAAACCCCCAGCTGCGTATACATTGGAGACTGGGGGTTCTTCTTAACCCCTAGAATTTGTAATTGGAAGGTCGCCTTGAGATCGGCTGGAGAGACGAACGGCAGCGAGTGAGCACGCGTAGTAGGCAATATAATGACCACGTACGATGTGTGACGTTCGCCTTCTTATACCGCAATGCCATAGGACGAACGAATCTCTCCATCTTCACAGGTTTTCTTGTGAAGCCCTCACCGACGAAGGTTGCCTTCGTGACCATGCGCTTCCACGACTTCTTCTTGCTCTTCCCAGTCCGCATAACTTTGAACATCTCGTCCTCTGCGATACCCCTGACTTTCGGTAATGGGACAGCATACTTCGCCGCCTTGTCCTTCCGCTTCTCCTTGATCGCGGTCGACAGCGCTTTAGCATCCTTCTGTCCTTCACGGTCGAGCAAATATGTTGGCAAAGCCCCATCTGGTACGGAAGAATTGTCTTTCTGCTTAACGTTCCGCTCGTCGTGAGCCTTCAACGTCTTTTTCAATTGAACCTTCTCCGCATGCCGCCTTGCATGCAGGAGCTTAGCCTTCAGACCAAAGGCCTTTTGGGCAGTCGCAGATGATCGATGGACAGCTCGTGCTTCGCGTTTGCGTCTGGAAACAAATGGAAGAAGTCGTAAGTCCGACACAACTGTGGTGGCGTGCAAAGCACGGACTTTCGCTCGTAGTAATCAAGCCGCCGCCCATGCCGCTTGATGTGCTCCTCGATATACTCATTCTGAAGAACGTCAGATGAACGGAAAAGCCATGCTTTTGTGTGTAATACAGCCTACCTGGGGCTAGAAACGAGAAGGGGTCGTGAGCACTTCTTTAGAATTCAACTAGCGAACCTGGACATACCATGGCGTCAGGAGAAAGAGGATTTTCCTTTTTGAGAAACGCTCTCGTGGTCAGAGTTCCACGCATCCACCACGTCCTCCATCAAGTTTGCCGTCCATTTAGCATAAGTTTCTGCTGGACTCTATACAATATGTGGCAGGACACCAACAACGTTTACGGTGCCTCTTCTTCCCAGGGACAGTACTACACGCAGCCAAACCAAGGCACGTCGCAGGGTGTACCGCTCCAATTCTATGCGCCAAGTCCCGTTGGCAGCTCCTTCTACCCCGGCTCGCGGTCAAGCCTTGAAGGGAACGTAGGTGCACAGGGTCCAATATCTCAGCAAGGAGTTCCTCCTGGTTATGGAGGAAACATCCAATCCGCAGGAGGGTGGTGGACAGCGTTTGGCACGGGTGGTTTCGAGGGCGAACCACCATTGCTTGAAGGTGACTTTGATTCTTTGTGTCTACATGCAGGAGCTGATTGAATACATCTCATAGAGCTTGGAATTAACTTCTCACACATTCGCGCGAAGTCACTGGCTGTGCTCAATCCTCTCAGACGTGTCGACGAGCGAATCATGGACGATGCCGACTTGGCGGGGCCCCTCCTCTTTATCATTTGCTTCGGGACATTCTTACTGTTCGTGAGTCAACGTTTCCTCATGTCACTACGGCGTGCGATGTCGGTTACTGAAGGTATTCTGTCGCTGTCTCTAGTCTGGCAAACCCCAATTCGGATACATCTATGGGGTTGGGCTGCTGGGCTCTGCCTCGATCTATGTACTACTGAACCTAATGTCTGAGATCCCCATCGACGCATTCCGCGTTGTTTCCGTCCTGGGGTACTGCCTACTGCCAATGGTTGGTGTAGGCGCAGTAAGTGTAATGGTAACGCTTGAGTAGGTTTTTATTCTTCATATTGTTTATGTTGTTACTAACCCTGTCTCTTTAGTGGCACTTTGGGCTACCTTCTTTCCACACTATCGATACTTTGGTGTACCTATGCGGCCTCGGCGATATTCGTGGCCGTGCTTCGCATGTCAGATCAACGATTCCTTGTAGCATACCCTGTGGGTCTTCTGTATGGTTGCTTCGCATTGCTCAGCGTCTTCAATGTCGGTGGCTCGGGTTCAACCAAGTAATGGCTAACGTCAATTTTACCCATCACTTTCCTGATGCGATAGAGTAATGTCAATGTGTTCCTACCAACCATGTCCGTCCGATCCCAACCCACCTTTCCACGCCGAGATTATAACATGAAAACATATGCTACACTTGGGTATTTGTGAGATCGTCTACACTTAACTGTTTACTGTATAACTTTAACAATACGTGCATGATGCTCTCCGTAGGAATGGTAGCGTATTCGTGCACGTATTGTGGTAAAGAATCTTCCAAGCTGAATCCGGCTTTCTTCATGAAGAATGGATGCATGACGTCAGGTGTAGCCTCACCCAACTGTCGCATCGTAAGGCGCTCAATAACACGGTGGTGCGGTTCGTAAATTATGCCAGGAGTTGTAGTAGTTTTGGGCAGCGGCAGAGCCGTCAGGGTATCTGAGAAGGTTGTCGACATCCCGGGATATGTCGGCCTGGATAGCGACGGGGGACTGATCGGCAACTTCAACGGAGAAGCCACGAGATCAGGAGAGCCGAGGCCTCCGTCTGACGAGCGAAGAGCCGCAGGTAATGACGGCGTTGAATACGAGTGGGGCAGCGAGATAGGGCCTCGCGGAGAACGCGGTTTCACAGTCTCTACAGGTTCGGGAGTCATCGATAGAATATCTGACCGTCTGTCTGCAGGGATAAGAAGGGGGTCCAGGGCTTTCCTGCGGTTCATCGCTGCCTGCTGCACCAGCGCGCTTGGGCCAGCTCGTATGTCCGCAGCTGCTTGCACCTGTTCCATTTCCCGAGCGAAGGTTTTCCGTAGTAACGTGAGCCAAGAATACAGGGACATGTTCAGCGTGATGTATATGTCCTCGGAATCCTTGGTGCCTTTCTTAATGGTAAATTTGCTGCTGAAGTCATATCCGAGCACCCTCCTCTGATTCTGAATGCTCTCATGACTGAGCATACGTATGTCCATGGAAGGCAAACCAAAGATTATTGCCTCAGGAGCATCCTTGACAAGCATCGACAACCACCGCTTGGTCTCGACAACTTTCTCTTTGGCAACAAGGGCATGATTAAGTTGCGTGATCTTTGACGTAGTAATTGACGCGAACGAAAGCTTGAGATCGCGTCTGGAAGGTAAGGCATTGTTTTCAACCAATCGGTCAAGGCGAGCATGCACATTCCGGCCAATGAACTGAGCCAGATCCGGATCGCGCATTGCTCGCGGAAAAACAACCAGTTGCAGCAAGTCCAGGTCAAGACTCATACGCTGACGTATGATGCATGGTAAGGTAGTATCAGCCTCTTTCAGTCGGCTGCGGGTAGACCTCAGCATGGCGTTTGCCACAGCTGACAAGGGATTGTCCGGTTTAGGCGAGCTAGCAACCCTGAAGGCCTTCGATTCTCGGCTTGCACCCTCTCGCTGTGCGTCTAGGTTCGCTGTCAACTTGTTGGCATAAGAGAGCAATCTTGGGATGGTGCCGACATTCATGATAACCATGACTTCTGTGCCTGAAACAGTGAACGCGACGTCAACGCGACGCTCATGTTCGGGAACTTCTGCTGAGAGTTTTGACCAGTCGTCGTATATTGTGACTTTGACAGGTTCCGCACTGTGAGTGGTGTCATTAGTAGTGATTTAAAGTACACCAACCATACTTACCGATACTGGATGAGTTTCTGATACTCAGACTCGAGTATCATGGACAGACCTCCACTGGTCATAGTCAAATCCAGCATTCTACCCGTCTTGCCAGCAGAACTGTCCTTCCTACGAACTGTCTGGAACAGGAAGTTGGGCACAGTAGCTTCTCCAGAGATGTTACCAGATGCCAATATGGAGAGTTCTGCTAGAGACAAAGACATTTCAGAGCGGGCTTCGCTGAGTCTGCTACGGATGAGCATGTTGTTGACACTCAGTTTGATAAGACTGATGGACTGCCCGAGATCTGCGTCCAGTCGTATCTGACGAAGACGCAGGAGTACAGCCGTCGTCAACTCCGGCTTCGAGGTCGATATTCCGTTAGAGGGATTACGTGGAGATCCCGGTGACCTTTCAGGGGTGTTAATGATTTGCCCGGTTAAAACGGGGATACGATCCAACCATACAGCTTTGAAGCACAAGACATCTTGTAGCCGGGATAAACGAACATTTCCTGAAAATTCCGTATCAAGCACCACGGATATGGAACTCGTCGTCTTGTCGACAGTAGATCCTCCCATCTTGGCAAAAGTCATGTTGAATGCGAGATTACGCGCATCTAACCTCACACAATCGTCGCTCAGGAACCCATGTTTGAGGCTAACAGTCAGCCCGCCAACACTTCCGGTGAAGACAACCCTTCTAGTACCTGGTGAAATATTGACGATAAACCCTCCGCTCTTCCAATTGACGCCAGCAATGACATTGACGTCAGGTTGGCAGGTCAGCTCGAGCTTGGATTGATCTATGCGAAGGCTGAGGCTGATCTTCATACCAGAGACGGGATCGAGGACATGTTCCGACGTTTGTTCTGTAGACACGGAAGGGAGTGCGACGTGCGTACGGAAGGGAGACGATTGAGTATTTCTTTGACTGCTATACCGGAAGCGGTCCTCGACATGATCAACGAGCTCCGTCACAAATGGCAACAAAGTGGGTCTGAGAATATTTTGGCTAGAATGGACGGTGGCCTTGAACATCAGAGTAGACGGTCCTGCAACACCGATAGCATCGCCGCTCAACTTCTGGGACGCTGGCTTTGCGCGATATTCACCCCAAACTGATACCACCGGTAAATTGAACACCTCTACTCCAGGATCGATCATTTGAGAGATCGTAGGTCCAAAATTTGCAGGCGTAGGCCAACTTCGCAAAAATTCGACGTCCGAATCTGGGCTATGCATGAGGATCTTGCCGCTAGCAAATGTCAGCGATAAGAAAATATTGGACGTCGGAAGAGCATTTTGCTGCATTCCCGCCGTAGCTTTCTGAATCCGGGGTGACAAGTCTGTATAAATGGGAGAACGAGGTATGTGACTTGTGAACCGCCCCATTCGATCCTTTCCCTGGTGATAAACATCTATCAACGAAAAGATGTAATCGGGAATGGTGCAGTCAACATCCAGTACGAAGCCGCTGACATCTGCTCCGATGCGGATGCGTCGTGATGCGCCCAACCGTTCCGAACGTAATTGAGCGGTCACCTCTGGATAGAGCAGTCTGTTGTGGGTTTGATGACTGTCACCAGAGAAATCACCGCCAAATGACTGCCTGAAGCTATAGGGAATCAGCTTATACGAATCGCTCGTGTCACGCAGGCAGAACGTACTGAAGGACAAATTGAAAAGAAAAGCCCCTCATTGTGGCCTGTCCGCTCTCACCGCGTTGCGTTCCGAATTGCAACGACTTGATCGATAGTAAGAACGCTCTTACAGAACCATCATCTTGCTTCCCAGATCGGGGCATCTGTAAGTCACCATTGAATGCCAGTGGGAAAGCTACTCCAATACTTCGGATTGATATTATGATAGTGTAGTGATCCAACCAGGAGTATTCGGGGTGCTGTTTATCTCCAATTTTGACATCCAGCGACCGCATAATACTTCTCGTCTTCTCTTTGAAATCTGCAAGTTCAGTTGCACGTTCCTCTTTCCGAACGAGGACTTCTGCCTGGACACTACAATTGAACGAGCTTTCTCTGAGGTAAACAATTCTGCTCCATACCTGCAAATGATCGACCAAGTCACCCAATTCACCGATCGAGGTCGGTTGCATCACTGCATGCACCTTTGTTACCGCAATCTGCAAAAGTTGTCCCTGAAGGACAGCCGGTTGTCGTCCCATATTGGCTTGGAAGTCAACAGTCACGAAAGCAGAGCGATGACCTCTGTCTAGAGTATCCCGGACAGTGGAAGAAGCCAGAGACAACGCCAGATCAGACAGCTTGAGATGCCACGTTAGGTCAGTCATATTCTCAAGCCCTCCATTGATATCGTCGCACTCTAGCAACAGCGTAGAGGAAAGGTCTTCAAGGCCAATGCGGAAACCTTTCATTCTGAAGGAACCGCTGACTTTCCGGGCACTACCCTTCGGTGGCGCCGACTTTGAGAGCGTCCGTCTCTGGCGAGTTTCTTCAATGAGATGGACAAGGTCATTGAAATCCTGACCTGACTTCTGCTGGACGGAAAGCACGGTATCCCAATCGGACGGTTTCATGCTGAATTCAAACAACTCTACCAAAGCCAGACCTTGAATACCGGTCTTGTCATAGGTTCCTCTCAATGTGAACATCGGGAGCTCCAGCTTCAGACGCACATTAGGCACCGAGTCCACAACTGTCTGCGTCTTGGATGAGATACCAAACCTATGCGGTCCCATCTGCAAACCAAAAGCATTTGTACCATTCCGGCTGTCGTTACCTGGAGATGCTAAGAAAGTAACAATCTGCGATATTTCCCAAGATAGCCAAGTCCCCAGCATCACCTGGAGATTTATCTGGAAGGAAGAAAGCGATATCTGCATCTGGATTGAAAGCGATTTGGAGGTCGCAGACTTCCGGGGAGACATTTTGGGCGGTCTCGCGGGTTCCTCGTGGAGCTCGGAGAGTATTTCCTGTATTGTAGCATTGATACCAGGAAGGTAGTCTGCTCTCCACTCTTCAATAAAACGATAGAGGCGTAGGGCGCTGCGGGGAACATTAACTCGCAACTTTTCCAAGCCGAACATGACCCTTATTGCTGGATTTGTTTGAGAGTCCTGAAGCAATACACAATTGGTTCTACCCCTTTCAAGTTTCAATGAAGCCAGAACAGCGTGTTCCCTGGACCTGGACGAGTCGGCAACGGAACAGGCCTGGAGAGCCATCCCTCCAAACATCAGTGAATGATTGGTGGACATACGCCCAGAGTTACGGCCATTCGAGGGAATATGCAGAAGGGAAGTAGAGGCGTACGTCAGGCAACCAGCGGTATACTCCACTTTAAGGTTGTCGGTCGCTGCTGTGATGTGCACCTGCTGTATAGCAACAATGCCTGTGATATAGACGCGATGAGATGTTGTATGAACGGCCATGCTGGAAGAATCCTCGTCTCCTTGCTGAGGGCGGCGATTAAAAGAATATTGCCGTTGTGCACGCAGAAGCACCTGGATGAAGGGCATTGACTGAGGAAAAATTGTCGATGTAACCCTATCCAGGCAGACTGAAACGCTGATACGCCGAATATTGCCACGTTCATTCAATATGTTGGAATGATTCTTTCCTTGGTTCGACGTAGAAGATTGCAGCAACAACGAAGATCCAATGTGAAAAACAATAAGCAATGGGCATAAGGAGAAAATGCTCCTGATCCTGCCGACAGGATGTAGGATCGACAATTTGATTAACTTCAAATGGATTGAAGCTGCGACAAATGGAAGTGCGTCGCGGCTACTCTTGGGATGTGTCGAAAAAGTATTCGAATGTGGGAAAAGTTCCTGCAGTAAGGACTGCTGAGAAAGGTTGGAGGCGTCATCATCGAACCCAAGACTGAAATGGTTACTCTCCAATGTAGAGATGATATCGTCCAAGGATATACCCGACTGCAGATCGGGTTCCAAAGCTAGAATGGCGCGGCGCTCTGGCGCTTCCAGGTGTCGAAGACAATTACGCAAGTAGACCAGAAATTTGAAACTGATGCTTTTGCGTAATTTGTCTGGTCGTCCTTTCTGGACCAGAAACGAAGGCTGAATCGTCGAGAGAGGGTCGACGACGGGCCGTTGACGGGAATACTTGAGAACTTGGTGAATAATTTGCTGGTCCAGTGCAGGAGTGCGGCTAGACAAATGCTTGTGCAACTCCTTCACCGCCTGAGCACAAGTTACTATAACATCTGCAGTGGCAAATGCAGCGTCGGGAGCTGCATGTCCTAATTCTGTGACCAGAGATCCAAGAGATAATGTAAAATCTTGTTCGATCAGTCCTGCATCGCTAGAACCGAGGGCCAGTTTGCATGTCGATTGGGGGACCGGTTTCTCTGGGTCAGCGTCATGCTCTGTTCTGAGGGTGAGAGAGAGTGCTTGGAGCGAGGCAGCCATATGTCTCTCGTCAGAGGCATGCGGATGATGCTCTGTAGTTTCCCCCTTGATATGGCAGGAATCCAACAGCAGTTCAAGGGTGGAGATACCCCGTGAAGTAGGCTGAAATGCCCTTTGTTCGCCATCCCTGGCGTCAGACAAATGACTAACAGGCGATATAACCTGCGCGGAAACAAACCGCAGGGAAGCGACGTGCACGTCAAACATAGTTGATCGCCCTGCATCAGATGGAATAGTTTGGACTAGCTTAGCCATGATTGCATCAAAACGAAGTTCAGGACTCAATTGCTAAAAGATAGTTCAGGTATGAGCAGATAAATCAACACACAATTGCGTACATGGCTGTTCATGTCTTTGAAGAGTTCGGCGACGACAGGAAGGATTAGAGGTGTAATTCGTATGTCCGCTGGGTTCTTGCAGACGATACGGAAAATAGTGGTATCCACCTCGTCGCTCAAGTGATGGCTGGGTACGTCCCAGAGCGGGACTCTTGCATCGTTACCATCTTGCGAGGTCGCCGGATTCTCAGTCGTTATCCGCCATCGTCGAGGAGATGTGTTCTAATCACGCCGTCAAATAAATGGCAAGTGCAATTGTAAATCAACGGAGACGCACTCGCATGAGCCTGAAAGGTGATCCGTTCCACAGGGAGGGCCGAGTTAGACAGTGTGTCGCATATTGCTTGGTGAGGACGCTGCACGGAGCGAGGGGAGGCCAACCAGGCTCAACAGGAAGATCTACATCGTGTTAATAGTGATTGCTGCAATCACGTGGCGCAACTCACCATCCAGGATATCCGAATAGTCGCTATCCCATTCCCGTGCGTCTGTCAAGTCCTCGTCATCAGATTCTTCTGCGCTAGATAAGCTTTCGCGGCCATCACTATACAGCTCGGCAATAGTTCTTGCAGCAGGGCGAGAATTGCTGTACAAGACGATGAGATCCTGGAGAAGATACAAATCTCGCGATGCTTACGCTAAACGCGCATCGCGGTCCATTTCGGACATGCCCTCGTCATAGTCAGATTCTGACTGTTGTGTCAAAGGTGACGAGAATATCCGCGGAGGAGGACCTTGCAACCTGGGGGATCTATCCATCATACGGCCGCGACGAGGTTCACTTGTCGATGACAGCGGTAAACGAAGTTGAGGTAAATAGAACCCATGAACGAAAGAATTATGATCTGCACACATGGTCAACGCCAAGGGGTATGGCCGAGCATAGAAATATACCTGATAAAAGTTTCTCATGCAGGTCCTCAAAGTCGATAGAGTACAGAAATCTTGCACGACCACTGAGTTCGTCCTGCCGAGCAATGAATTCGAGCTGACTACGAGCCGCTTCTTGCCAGCCCAAAGGGGCGGAATACAAATCTAGGTTGGCGTCAAAATGTACCTCTGATGCCTCGTACCACATGGGCAAAGATTTCTTTGAGCTGAGAAAAAGCTTGACTGATGCGCAGGGCAAACGCAAACTCGTCACTTTCCGGTAAAATTTCCCCGCAAGGTCGCTGCTGTCGAAACGAAGTCCATCTGGAAAAGCCAATTCTGCGACGGCACTTCCAGCATGCCAAGCAATGGTGACTGTGTCTACTGTGATCTTCAAGAAAGTGGCTAAACCACATGTCAGTCTCTGCAACGAAACCAGAAGAAGAGCAAATCCTTGCACTGACCGTCAGGGTCCAGAGGAAGAGCGAACTCCTTGGCAGGAGCATTAAGAACGTCCGTGAAGTTCAAACCAAAGGAAGTGCCAGCAGCGGAGAGCAAGCGACCTTCGTATGCCGATAGTAAACCTCTGATATGGCCCACATGGATCTCCCAGACGCAAACGTAAGTTGATGTACGGGGCCGCGGTCCAAACAATCTATTCGCAACGATGTCGATCTCTGAAGCCAGTGTCAAAGATGTCACAATCGGACCATTAGAATGTAGTTCACCATCGATCACGAACGCCTCGTTCGAGTTGCTCGGGTTCGATGAGAAAGAGAGACGTTCTTCGATGCAAGAATCTTCAATGTGACCAGATACGGTATCCACGTTGAGTGACATTTCTAAACGATAGAAAGGTTATGGAGTGAGTCGACGTGACATATATATTATCTCACCCATGTAATAATCATTGGTCCGCAGCTGCAACTGAAGCATTGGAACGCTCAGAACGACACAGGACCCAATGTCGTCCGGGTCCGGTGTGAAAGCTCGTTCTGAAGTATACATCTCGTAGCCTGGTAATCCAGTTGGAAGCACGATCAAACCTCGGTCCACAGAGACAGTAACCTGGACCTCTAACGGGTTTGACTGTGAGAGAGTTGGATCTATCACAATGAACTACAACAACGCGGTTTGGGAAGTATCTCTCACCGTTCCTTCCCTGTACTGCAAGTCTGTTGGATCTCCAACAAAATGATCCTCGTTTCGCTTCTTCAGATATTCATAAAGCGTCGAAAAATGAGTGAAGGACCCGAAGTAATTGTCTCGCAAGATCATGAAGTGCCGCACGGTCCATCCAAAGGCTCTGTAGATAACGTCATGTCCCTTAGTACAGATGAGTTAGAAATTCAGGTACAGCTGCTTCCCATTAGAGACTCACCGAAATGTCAAGCTTGAGTTGCTCGACATTGTCTTCGCGGACCTCCGCATGGTACTGATAAGTACCATCCACGCGCAAGAGCCCTATTGTCCCCACGCTATTCCGCTTCGGCGTAGGAAAGAAGCTGTGTATGTTCCATCTCGGGAGAGTCAAAGAGACAGCTACATGCGGAGCCTCTGTCCAGAAGGACACGGTAGTAGCATCTGGACGATACTTCAAGAAAGGGATTCGGATACCACTATGAATGTGGGTTCCTCGTAGTGTCAGCAAAGCTGTGTACGACGTATGTTACTGTTGAAAAGGTATGAGCAAATACGGAGAAGCCCACAGTTGTCCTCCTTGATGAGAGGCTTGTCGATGATATTGTGATCATTTACATAGAAATTGAGCTCGTAGTTGTGCAATTTGATATCGATGGCATACAACATGGGAATGTAGCGGTAGTAGCCACTGGGTGGACCTGTACTCCAGTCTTTGCTCAGGTCGGTGAGCATGTTGACGTGATCGCGCAGGAGAAATAACGACGTCTGGCGAAGCGATACGGTAAACGTCCATTTCCTTTCATCATTCCACTTTACAGGTGAAGGGAGATGACATTGCAGCTGACGAAGATAGTTAATATCTGCCTTCCGAGAAAGTAAGGCTTAAACGAAAATACGTACCCTGCACGAGTCAGCAGTTATCAAGCGGATGTCATTGAGACTAGAAGTAACTGTTACAGTATCCAAATGTACTTCTGAGAAGGAGTCGTAGCCTGATGGTCCAGCTACCATCGGGACGATGTAGCTGATTGTTGAACTGTCTCCAGCCCTGACATGGATTGAAGCAGGCTCTCGTTTTCGTGGTCTGTTAGGCACCTCAACTTTTCCGTCCCATTGCCAGTCCTAACTCAACAGTAAGTCACTGAGACAAGCATGAAACAGCGGTAGAACTAGTTGCCACAAACACACCTTAGAAGCCTCGCGGAATGGAATTTGTAGAGTAACCCCGTCTCGAAGCTCAATGAAAATCTTGAGACCAGTCCACATCCGTTTGTCGCCGGACGTGAGACGCTGCGTTGGTTCTACGTCGTGGAATGTTTGAGGAAAGAATGTGTGATGCAGGAACAACCTTACGCAAAACCATCAGAGAGAATTCGTAGCCAGAGGAATGATTTACCGTTGACGATCAGCCCATGGGCCGTACCGCAAGTATCCGCCTCTGACGACGAAGTCCATACCCCACTCCGGCGGAAGGTCACCATTGCCAATGTCGAACGGATCAAGTCCCTCGGTGTTCTGCTGTTGTTCCGTATGAGACGGCACAACTCCAACCACATCGGCATAATACATAAGCTCCAATTCTGGGGCCTCGAGGACCTTGCGCTCGATAGCATACTCCAACGTGGAGAAATCCGCACCCAGGGGAGTTTCGTCGTCTGTGTTCTTGGGTGCGTGCCTCCAAGGCCAGGTGGTAGGTAGGTGAGGAACCAACACTGCGATGAAGGCGAGTAGTCTTGTGCGCGGTCCCGACATGGATGTCACAGACCAAAGCTTGAAATCATTCCACAGCTTCTCGAAGGACAAGTAGGAGAGATATGAAGATTGTCTCAGTGGGCGGTCTCGAGAGCCCTTGATGTGTTCATGGACCTGCTGTCCGGCTGTAGTCATATGGTTGCGGTAGTCGACATTCTCCACGTAACAGACAGACGCATTTTGGAGTTTGATGTTGAACAATTGCTTATACAGGTCGTACTTTGATCGCGCCTACAATAACAATCAGTGCATTGATGCATGATGATGTGTGAATAAAAAGAACCTGAACGACACCGAAGGTTCCCTCTGCCTTGCTGAATTCCGCCACCAGAAGATTGGGAGTGGAAGCATTACCGCAAATAATAGCAGCTTTCGTCGCCTCAATGCTCACAGGTAGGAGATTTGTCAGGTCGAAGTTGGGCAACTGGTGTGTCGCCCATGTAGCTACCCGTCTGATGTACGCAGGCATCCTCTTATATATGGAGGACACTAGGAATACTGGAGGACCAAATATCGAGGCTGTCAACGGCATCGTCACTACAAGCAATCGATGATCGCAACAATGTCTTACTTTCGTGCACTGCAGAGCTTCTGCTGAATATCTTCCGAACGGGCCCTCTTCCCTCAGTGCTGAAGTGGGTCGGTGTGGGTGCTGGAGTGGACGGTATGACTTCTGACTCCATCTGAGATGCAATGTTGTCATACGCCGCCGTCCTATTGTAAATGAACCACTCCAAACCCTGGATCGACATATGAATGCGACACAGCAGTGGGACATGTCCTCTCACTAAATCAAAACTCAGAATGTCGGGAACTGGTCGTGGCGCAAGACGGAATAAGACAGCTTACGCTTGTTCTCTTCACCGACTACTTGGGTATGACTGATATCCTTTTCTTCCGCTGGCCTGCGTATCCAATACCGCCAACTAAGCTGACCTTTGACAATCTTGATTGTTTGGTTGCTGGTGTGGTAGCGTACATCCTTGAACAATATCCTCCCGCTAAGGATGGAGAAATGTATTGCGCCTTGTGACATGTAAGACGAGTATCGTAACACTGCGTTAACCGGCACGACTCACCAATATCCACCCACGCACTCGACTCTCCCTGACTCCAGAAGAAGAGTCGCGCTATTAGGCCAAAGATATATCCGACGACACGATTCCAAAAGAAGAGGTAGACTATGAGTACAATCACAATGCAGATGGCTGTGACCAATAAAACGATGTTCAGCATTGTTTCCAACGAAGATCAAGTGTCATGCGGGCGTGCGGGTATGTCGCGGTAACGCGTCGCGAGGAAAGCAACAGCAACTTGCTAGTTGAGGCGCGAGGAACAGACGAGGATTTCGCCTCCAGCTTAAATGCCAAATCGGCCTCTTGTCGAGGAACTCCAGGAGTGAAACGAAGAAGTCAGACTGATCAACTTGAAGGGGTCAATGCGGCGGACTGAGAAGGTACGTGCATGTCACGTGGACTGTCTCTAGCGTGTCCCGGAAAATTGGTCATACCAAGGCTTTTCCCCGGCGGGGGCGGGCCGCTGCGCTACCCAGGGTTTTTGGCGAAGCGCCAAAAGAGTACCAGGATTTTCTCGCCGACGCGTCGGCGAGAACATCTTATTCTCAATCTTCTGGCTGACGGAAAGTCTACACCCTCCCGCACGAAGGCTTCTAACCCTTGTGTGTATGATTTTCCAACCTCCTCTCAATGCTTTAGGCTTCAGCGCTCGCACCAGCACTGTTACAACGATCCCCACTTGTGGCACGTCTTTTCTTTTTCTTTTCCTTGTTCCTTTTACGTTACCAGACCACGTGATCCAACACGTGACTCATCGGAGCGCAACCTCCGATTCTTTACCCAGATGTCCAGAACCCCTAGTATAGGGTTACACCGGATCCAACTCCGGACCTTCTTCTTATCGCGCATGCAAGACGTGCATGTACGCCTCATCTTTACCTTGTTCTGATACACGACTCGTTATCCCCATCAGTACTGATTATCTCTCACGACCTTACTCAGCTTTCTCATACATATTACTTCCTCGCTGTTGCCTTGCCCAGATATCGTTTCACCTTATCTAGCCAATGAACGATCTCGCATTACTGCGTAGTACTGCGGATACCTTTTGTATAAGTAAACGACCTTGTCGAGCTGGATCCCCATCTCGACCTGGTTACCATTAAACCAGCTTTTCACTTGTCTTTGATTGAGATCGACCGTCAGTAGCAAACAGCTACTACGAGTCATAAGAACGAACTCTGATCGACCTTCAGTGCGAGGACATCGCCAGAAGTGTCACTTGAACGGACTTGTGTCTTAGACTAAGACCTTGTCTCGTGACGACTCGACTAGACGCTCGTGTTTCGCTGCCGCGTAACATTAGGTCGAGATCTTATTACTCTCTGTGACTTCCTAAAGTCTAACAACGAACTACCGACCGAACCGAACCTTGAAGACTAAACGATACACCCGATTCGATTGCTAAAGCACCGTTTGAGATTACTCTGTAATCGAGGTAGCTGAAGGGATAGACTGATCACTCATCTTCGGAGAGGGGTCTGTCCGAGAGACCAATAGGCCGAGGAGGCTGAGGTAATCACTCGAGCAATCAGCAAATAGGTGTACCAGTTTGAAGACAGAAGACACTCTACGGGCTTGTTAGCCGACGACGAACGAACCCACTTAGTTAAGGACGGTGTGCAGTCTACGTGTAGACGTAGGCCACACAGGGGAATTTATCCACGCTGGATTTGAACTTTATCAACCCGACTGCTCTTCCCAAGCAATACATCGATCTCCTCCCATCTCAGGCAGAGTGGGACGCACAGAGGAACGTACACGTTTTAAACGGACGACCTTTACTCATCAGACCAGATCAACACATTGATCACCCAAGTGGTGACTACGAAGCAGGCCTACCCCATAACGTTGGAGGGCTCGTACTATCACACATCGCAGACAGCGGCATACCTATCTCTTATCCAGGAGAAAGACCAGACGCCCCTTGGAACCTCCCTGTCCAGGATCCCGTACCCCAACCAATTCTTGCACCAATCATATCCGATTACATACCACCGATGGCTACCATGGATGAAGGACGTCACCATGTCAGCCAGAAGGAACTTGGTTTTAGAAAACCCGAGATCTTCAACAGTTCAGACCGTTCGAAGCTTAGGGAATTTATAAACCAATGCAAGAATTACATGGCCGGAAACAGCCATGTCTACCAGGAGGACAATCAGAAGATCGCATTCGTGCTATCGCACATGCAAGGAGGAACAGCAGGATCATGGGCACAGAGCTTCATAGAAACGGAACTCACCAATGATGACTTCCTTTCTTATGGGAGTTGGAGAGACTTCATTGCGAGTGTGAACAAAGCATTTGGTGATGAAAATATTGAAGAAACCGCTCGTACCTTGCTGCGTAACATCAAGCAAGGAACTCGGACTGCGGACGACTACATTGCCGAATTCCGATCGATTGAATCCAAGGCGAAATTAGAAGATGCCGGAAATATCGAGTATTTTAAGTGGGGACTTAACGACCCACTCCGACAAAGGATATATGGGATGGAAAGCATGCCCAAGACACTTGACAAGTGGTACGAATATGCCTCGCGGTTTGATAACCAATGGAGATCTGCTCAGATCTTCAAGCGAGGAGCCACTACGACGACGCGAGGAAAGGGCCGATCTGTCCATCGTCCCTACTACTCGGCTTCTGCAAGGGATCCAAACGCGATGGATGTTGATTGTGTCAATATCTCGCGCTTATCCCCGGATGAGCGACAGAAGAGAATGAAAGAAGGATTATGTTTCCTATGCGGAAAGAAGGGCCATATTGCCAACGACAGACAATTTCACCCCCAGTCTGGAAGTTTCACCCATGCTAGAACGATACAGCCCGGGTTGGATACGGACACGATCACATGGATCAAGAAGATGCGAGAAGACCTCGCACAGAAGAAGGAGACATCGAAGGAAGAGACCAGAGAGGAACAGATCGCCTATGTGCGAAACGTCTTCAACGACATGACTGATGAAGAACGAACCCAATTGGGTTTTTGAGACGACGGCCACTAGTAATGCATGGACCGTCGCATCTTACCGTATCTCCCCTCGTTATTTGTAACACTAGCGGAAATTCAATCACTGTGAATATTTCGTTGGGAGAAAAGGAAGACGTTACAACAGAAGCCTTGATCGATTCCGGTGCGGCCGAAACGTTCATGAACATTCATTTTGCGGAAGAAAACGATTTCATCAGATGGGAATTACCGAAACCGATTAGAGTCATGAATGCAGATGGCACACCAAATCAAATGGGCACCATTACTCATTGTACCTGGAAGATGATGAAAATCGGAGGAAGGAAGACACTTACTCGCTTCCTCTTGACCGGCATTGGCAAAGAAAACATACTTCTCGGCATGCCGTGGCTTAAACGCCTCAATCCGATGATCAACTGGGAAACCGGTGACTTGTGGTTTGGTAAAGATGCCAAATGGCCACCGAAACCCACCGTCGAAGATGCACCAGATGAAGAAGTTTCGATTTTCAAGGAAGATGGACTCCCAGAGTTAATCACCACCGAAACTTCCCCTACCTCGTTTGGACATTCGGAATCTATCAGAGAAATCATGGCCGATAACACTGAGCGTGGCGAGTTACCCGCAGTGCAGAATGATACCGAACCAGATGACCCACCATCAGAACCCCCTATGGATCAGCTCGATGACGACGATCTAGTTATATCCTATATCGCAGGAGAGCCAGTCATTGGGATATTTGAACCCATCAGGAAGGAGTCACCTTTAACGAATGAAGAGACTGAAACCGCAGTTTTCACCATATGAAGAGGCCCCGCCATTGGAAGAATGACACACAGTACTCGATCCCCATTATTCTGTAACGCACAGAATATGGTCTTTTACAAACCATCCGGTAAATCACAAGAATTGGCACAACAGGCACACAAGGAAGCATCAGCTGTAGACAAACCCAAAACCGTCGAGGAGTTGGTCCCCAATTACCTCCACGATTTGAAATCCGTCTTTGAAAAGAAAGCAGCTGAACGCTTTCCAGAAACCAGGCCTTGGGACCACGCCATTGACTTGAAACCCGATTTTATTCCACGCGACTGTAAAGTCTATCCGTTATCGCTCAAAGAACAAGGAGCGATGGATGACTTCCTGGAAGAAAATCTGCGAAAAGGATACATCCGACCGTCGAAATCTCCCATGGCTTCACAATTTTTCTTCGTAGGAAAGAAAGACGGAGCGCTACGTCCTTGTCAGGATTACCGATACCTGAATGAAGGGACGGTGAAGAATGCCTATCCTCTTCCGCTCATCTCTGACCTTATGGATCAATTCAAAGGCGCATCGATCTTTACGAAAATGGATTTACGCTCCGGATATAACAATGTCAGAATCAAAGATGGTGACCAATGGAAGGGCGCATTTAAGACAAATCGCGGACTTTTCAAACCTATGGTCATGTTCTTTGGACTCTGCAACTCCCCGGCGACTTTCCAAATGATGATGAACGCACTCTTCAAGGACATGATCGATGAGGGATGGATAGTCATTTACATGGATGATATCCTCATCTTCTCAAATGATTTGGAAGAACATCACGTTCGAACCCGACGCGTACTCCAACGACTCGAAGACAACGACTTATTCCTTAAACCGGAAAAGTGTTTCTTTGATGTTAAAGAAGTCGAATTCCTAGGCATGATCATTCGAGAAAACTACATTGGCATGGACCCTATCAAACTTAAAGGAATTGCAGAATGGCCCGAACCAAGCACGGTAAAAGGTGTTCGCTCTTTCCTAGGGTTTGGAAACTTCTATCGGAAGTTTATTGCCAACTTCTCGGATATTGCCAAACCATTGACGAATCTTACGCGCACTGCCGCTGGATCTCCACCTTTTGAATGGACAACAGAATGTCAGACAGCTTTCGACACATTGAAGCAACGATTCAGTACCGCCCCAGTACTGTTACTGCCTGACAAGGCAAAACCCTTTATTGTTGAATCCGACGCTTCCAAGTTTGCTACGGGTGCAGTTTTACGCCAAGCCGACATCAATGGAGACCTCCATCCTTGTGCCTACATTTCACAGACGCTCAATCCAGCTGAACGGAACTACGAAATCTACGACTGCGAACTCCTCGGAATCATTCGAGCCCTCGCTGAATGGCGCCATTATCTTGAAGGCTCTCCCCATCCCGTCGAAGTTCGCAGTGATCACAAGAACCTCACGTACTTCCGTACAGCTCAGAAGTTAAACCGCCGACAAGCACGATGGAGTCTCAAATTATCACAATTTGATCTTCATTTCATCCATGTCCCCGGCACTCAGATGATCCAATCTGATGCGCTATCTCGTCGTAACGGACTCGATGACAGTGAAAGTGACAATGAAGATCGCGTTCTTTTACCCAATGCACTGTTTGTGCGATCCATTTCCCCGACACTATTTGACGAAATCAGGAATCACGCAGCAAAAGACCTCATTGTTCACGAAGCCCTCGAAGCGATTGCGCACAAAGGGCCATTCCCCATGAAATCATCGCTTTTTGACTGGGAAGTTCGCGATGGTGTCATCCTCTACAAGGGAAAGATCTACGTTCCACCATCCGAAACTCTTCGTCGTGACCTCGTTCGACTACATCACGACTCCCCTGCCATGGGTCACCCTGGAAAGTTCAATACTCTTGAACTGTTACGTCGTGAATTCTGGTGGCCCGGCATGTATACATTTGTTTACAATTATGTTGAAGGCTGTGCCGCCTGTCAACAAATGAAACCGAATACTCATCCAACGCGTATTCCTTTGGAACCAATTCCTGCCGACCCACACGCATTACCATTTTCCTGTTGCACCACCGATTTTATTACCGACCTCCCCTTTTCCAACGGTTTTGATTCGATTATGGTCGTAGTAGACCATGACCTTACGAAGGGGGTGATTCTTACGCCCTGCCTCAAAATGATCACAGCCGAAGGAACGGCCAAGATTTTTCATGACAAAGTATACTCGTGATTTGGATTACCCGACCGAATCATCTCGGATAGAGGACCTCAATACGCATCCAAGGTCTTCCAAGAGTTAAATCGACTACTCCAGATCAGATCATCAATGAGCACAGCTTATCACCCTCAGACGGACGGAGAAACAGAGCGAGTCAACCAGGAGCTGGAAATCTATCTTCGACTCTATTGCGGAAACAACCCTGAAACATGGGCCGACCGCCTGCCAGACCTCGAGTTTTGTCATAACACAAGGGAACACTCGGCACGAAAGATGAGCCCATTCCGCATCATGATGGGATACGAACCACGTGGACTCCCTTCCGTATTTCCGACCACGAACATTCCATCGGTTGAATCCAGGCTTGACATGTTGCAGAAGATAAGACTAGAAGCACTAGCCATGCACGAGTTAGCCCGACAACAGATGGCGGACCGAGTCAGACAAGGATCGCCGAAGTTTATACTAGGACAGAAGGTCTGGCTAGACTCGAGGAACCTGAAGGTCAATTACGCCTCGCGCAAGATAGCACCAAAGCGTGAGGGGCCATTCGAAATTGTCGAAGTCATCGGACCGGCCAACTATCGTCTCAAACTCCTGAAGACCTGGCGAGTTCATTCCGTATTCCACGCCGCCCTTCTATCTCCTTATCGCGAAAATGACATACATGGTCCGAATTACGTGAACCCACCACCTGACGTCGTTGATAATGAAAAAGAGTACGAAGTCGAAGCCATCCTGAATCACAAGACGTACCGAGGTCATCTGAGGTACTTAGTCAAGTGGAAGGGATATTCTTCAGCAGAAAACTCGTGGGAACCTACCCACAATTTACAGAATGCCAAGCGAATCCTCGATGCATATAAAAGGACCAGGGGAATCCAGTAGAGGAGAAGAAACCCGGAATGACTACCACGACGGTTTTCCTCATCATCTTCCTAATCGTCCTCCACTGCACAACCCTCACTTTTCTTTGGATCATCCACCGAATCCTTATCAGACGACTTGTCGAACACACACTCTTCACGCGAGACAGCCCGCACGCTAACGGCTGGGGTGATCAGAACGATGCCTGGAACTGATCAGGCAGCTCTTATCTCTGTGGGAATACTCTTTATCGTCCAATGGATTTTCATCTATTTGATTATTACCCGGATCCACGACATTCTATTTCACATCACAGATAACCGCGATCCCCTTAACGACCGAAAGGTATAAAAGGAGGAGAAGACGATATATCATCAATGCCCACTTCCGCTACAGACGACCTTGTTCACAATATACTCGCTGAAGTCGCCTCCACAATTATGAGCATACCTGCATCGCCTACGCTTGTCAATGGAGTACCCTCTTGAGCACAGACACCCTTTATCCACGCCTCATCGCCCTCACCTTCTATCGAACTCAGTCACGCATCGGACGAACAAGAATTTGCCACATGTCTGGTCTCAGCTATCCGTGTTCCTGTCGACTTCACAGATATCCTCGTCGCCTTACGAAATCGCCCGCAAGATCGACAAGCGGTGGTTTCCATGCAACGAGCATTAGAAATGGTCGAGTGGATGCAGACGGCCAGACAAGAGCTCATCGCAGCAGAAGAAAGGACGAGTAGAGCCCGGACCAGAGTCGACCAAGTCTGGTCGTTGATGCGCAGTACGGTCACTCGTACAGCACAGGAGATTTGGAGGGAGCATGGGGACGAAGACATCGGACACATCCTCGGATACACCACTAATGGAATACCCGCATCCACTCCTCGCTCGTCGCCAGAACCAATTCCCATTCGACCTCGCCCTCCTCGTTCGCACGTACCCAGTGGGCGATCTCCGTTATCCCAACCATCTTTCTCGACCGCATCCACTTCTTCGCATCGCAGTCATCCCTACAGGGATGGACGTATCCCCGAACAAGGATCACGAACCAGCCGGCGGACATGCTACAGATGTGGAGGAGATCATTATGTCCGCGACTGCCCCCGACGACGATGAAGATCACAATATTTCTTGTGGGACAAGAAACGTTAGACGGGAGCTGATGTTACAACGATCCCCACTTGTGGCACGTCTTTTCTTTTTCTTTTCCTTGTTCCTTTTACGTTACCAGACCACGTGATCCAACACGTGACTCATCGGAGCGCAACCTCCGATTCTTTACCCAGATGTCCAGAACCCCTAGTATAGGGTTACACCGGATCCAACTCCGGACCTTCTTCTTATCGCGCATGCAAGACGTGCATGTACGCCTCATCTTTACCTCGTTCTGATACACGACTCGTTATCCCCATCAGTACTGATTATCTCTCACGACCTTACTCAGCTTTCTCATACATATTACTTCCTCGCTGTTGCCTTGCCCAGATATCGTTTCACCTTATCTAGCCAATGAACGATCTCGCATTACTGCGTAGTACTGCGGATACCTTTTGTATAAGTAAACGACCTTGTTGAGCTGGATCCCCATCTCGACCTGGTTACCATTAAACCAGCTTTTCACTTGTCTTTGATTGAGATCGACCGTCAGTAGCAAACAGCTACTACGAGTCATAAGAACGAACTCTGATCGACCTTCAGTGCGAGGACATCGCCAGAAGTGTCACTTGAATGGACTTGTGTCTTAGACTAAGACCTTGTCTCGTGACGACTCGACTAGACGCTCGTGTTTCGCTGCCGCGTAACAAGCACGCGCTGTCGAACAGTAGTTCGATGATGCACTCCATCAGCAGACACCAGGTAAGTAATTAAATGTCTTTTTCTTCGTTTCTCATGACGCTGACATTTACCGAGTCTGCCGCTACCCGCCTTCGCTCCTGCACTAACGCGCCTGTATGCGTGCCTTTCTGTCCTGCGCCATCGCAAGCCCGATCCAGACCTCCTGCCTCATCGTGCATGCAGTAGGGCTCGAAGTGCTCCCTCTTGTCGAACGCAGTCCAAGTGTGCCCCCATGTGCTCCTCTTGCCCCTCAACCTGTGGTCAGAATGGCCTGAGCCTATTCCACACCATGTTTTCCACTCCAGGTCGACTTGCTCAGAAACATCTTGCCCTCTCCCGTACCTCCGTCGGTCCCCTAAAGTGATGGGCACGCATGCGTGCTTATCACGCACGTCATCATTTGTATCCTGCGCGCCGCTCACAGTCTTGCGCGCATCGTGCGCAGCCGCTGGTCACCGGTCACCAGTCATAATGATCACAATATTGGTGAGCATTCATCTTTCCCTGCCTGCAACTGTGTTCCCCTCTCTTTTCCCCCTGTTTGGATTATATTCTGTATTGTTTTGTAGTATAAAATATATTTTTTGAATCACTGCTGGCTCGGATTCTTGAGGAGTTATGTGAATACTGCTGTGTGGGACTGGTCAGTTGGGGTTAGGGTTAATTGGTCCAAAGTCACGCGTAGGACCAATCCGACCAATCGGTCGACCGTATGGTATGGCGTTGCCGCAGGGACACGGGCAACAACACCATACCAAGGGTCCGGACCAATTGGTCGACCGATTGGTCGGATTGGTCCTACGCGTGACTTTGGACCAATTAACCCTAACCCCAACTGACCAGTCCCACACAGCAGTATTCACATAACTCCTCAAGAATCCGAGCCAGCAGTGATTCAAAAAATATATTTTATACTACAAAACAATACAGAATATAATCCAAACAGGGGGAAAAGAGAGGGGAACACAGTTGCAGGCAGGGAAAGATGAATGCTCACCAATATTGTGATCATTATGACTGGTGACCGGTGACCAGCGGCTGCGCACGATGCGCGCAAGACTGTGAGTGGCGCGCGGGATACAAATGATGACGTGCGTGATAAGCACGCATGCGTGCCCATCACTTTAGGGGACCGACGGAGGTACGGGAGAGGGCAAGATGTTTCTGAGCAAGTCGACCTGGAGTGGAAAACATGGTGTGGAATAGGCTCAGGCCATTCTGACCACAGGTTGAGGGGCAAGAGGAGCACATGGGGGCACACTTGGACTGCGTTCGACAAGAGGGAGCACTTCGAGCCCTACTGCATGTGCGATGAGGCAGGAGGTCTGGATCGGGCTTGCGATGGCGCAGGACAGAAAGGCACGCATACAGGCGCGTTAGTGCAGGAGCGAAGGCGGGTAGCGGCAGACTCGGTAAATGTCAGCGTCATGAGAAACGAAGAAAAAGACATTTAATTACTTACCTGGTGTCTGCTGATGGAGTGCATCATCGAACTACTGTTCGACAGCATGTGCTGGTGCAAGTGCTGAAGCCTAAAGCATTGAGAGGAGGCTGGAAAATCATACACACAAGGGTTAGAAGCCTTCGTGCGGGAGGGTGTAGACTTTCCGTCAGCCAGAAGATTGAGAATAAGATGTTCTCGCCGACGCGTCGGCGAGAAAATCCTGGGTACTCTTTTGGCGCTTCGCGCCAAAAACCCTGGGTAGCACAGCGGCCCGCCCCCGCCGGGGACTTGGTATGACCAGGCTCCTAAAACCATCCGTCGTCACAGCGTTCTCACTCCTACATCCCACGTTTATGTTTTAGAAGATCATGTGATATATGTTTTATGAGACTTACCCTTTATATCGAAAATTACTGGATTAGGACGAGGACTAAGAGGAGGTGAACGCTGTGAGACGGCTGGCCCAACTCATCACCCGATTTCTTCCGAGCTTATGGAAGCGAGCTTTTCTCGCGTGTAAACCCTAGCGCGGGTGTTATTTTCTGGAGCGCGAAGCAGGCCAAATTGGGTGCTTACTATGTGCACTCATGGCCTGACTGCACTGTGCTGGCATAGGGAAGGTGCTCGCTAGGGCAGAACATGATGATAGACAAATATTGCATGAGTTCCAGTCCATTTGCAGGGCAAATCAGCATCCTCAGCCTCATCTAAAGATTTGGGATTTGTTGCACAGGTAGTAGATGGTTTGGATGTGTGTGCAGATTCTAGACATTCTCTTGCAATCAGACTGGTTTCCAACAGCTGAATTTAGAGACAACTGCAGTGCTACAGTGATTTTTCTCTGCTGCAATGCAGTGAGCTAGCAGGTGCACATAGCAAGCACCCACTTTGGATTGCAAGAAAATAAGCCCCAGGCTAGGGTTTGCTGCGAATAAACCAGCGAGAAACGATGTTGCTCGGGATCGGCATAACCTCGGATGACGAGTTGGGCCAGCCGTCTCACAGCGTTCACCTCCTCTTAGTCCTCATCCTAATCCAGTAATTTTCGATATAAAGGGTAAGTCTCATAAAACATATATCACATGATCTTCTAAAACATAAACGTGGGATGTAGAATGGAGAACGGATGAATTCGAACCGACTACGCTACACAAAATAGCTCAGGTACGTAATACCTCATCGGCCGGCTTGGTAATACGAGACAAAAGAGGCAATGTAGGTTAAAAAAAACATATGTAAACTAAACGAAGAGATGATGGAGGCGAGGGGGAAGCGCGATGGTAGAGGCAGCCGTTGTCGAACGATCAGGACGTAACCTGCGTTTATATTCAGCCCAGATTCTGCCGGCGAGAAAGATGCATGCTCGATGCCAACAGTGCGCGATTCTGAGCAGAAGGCGGCGGTGCGGGAGTGTTTCGCCTTCTGGTAAGGGCGGTAATACACCGAGAAAATATCTCGCATGATATAGGGGCCACATATCATGGTCAGTGAACAATATGCGTGCAGACGAGAGGATTTGCACTGAGAGGTCATCGGGGGCGGCGGCAGTAGTGAGAATGCCCGATGTCTCAGTGAGGGTGTCTGTACGAGCGTGTTCGCGATGAGGTGCGAAAACCGGACATATGACGAAGACGTGATGTGCGGTTTCGAGGGCATCACACCCGAAATGGCATCGCGGGGAGATGTTTCCAAAGCGGTGGAAGCGCGCGAGAGCGGTGTCGAGCTGTGCAGAGCGTGCATAGAGCTGCACGAGGGCAGAGAAGGCTGATGAAGCACGGGTGTACGGGTGATCAGGAGGACAGTGGTTGTCGTACAACGCGAGGGATAAGGTATGGTAAGGTCGGGATGCAGCACGAGAGCAATCTGTGTAAACGATAGCTTGAGTGATATAGGAAGGAATGTTGGACTCGATGTAACCGTCGATGGGAGAATAGAGGGTGTAGCGATCCATGAAGAATGTGGGAAGCGGCGCGGGAGGAGGCGGAAGGAGGAAACGTTGGGATGCGGAAGCAAGGGTGTCAGCGGATCGATTGGCGAGGGATGTTGGTGATGTCGACGTAGTGTGGGCGGGTGCGTGAACAACGGGAGAGCGGTGTGTTGTGTGTAAGAGAATGTCGCGAAGCCAACGGTAAAGTGAGCGTGCTGGAAGGGATGACCATTGATGCGGGAGTAAGGGGGCCTCGAGAGAGTCATTGATAAGCCGTACGGAGTTGAGATGATCGGTGACCAGCATAGGCGTTAGGGTTGGAGAAGAGAGGGAGGGATCTCGAGGGGGGCTGGTGCCGACAGGGGGTTGAGCGGTAATTAGGGCAGTAATCATACCGTAGATCTCGCCGTGGGTAGTGGTGGAGGATGCGCGGAAACTGGCTAAGGAGGCGACGAGTGAGGAGGTGTGATTTACTGCGGCGAAATTGACCATTCGAGGGCAGCGAAAGGAGGGGTTGGCGGGGATCATAGATGCATCAGAAGCGAGTAAGGAGGCGGACGGAGTCGTGAGGTGGTGCGGAGAGGCAAGGGCAAGGGTGCGAAGCGTTTCGTGAGCATTGCGCTGTCGGACAGGCCGGGGTAGAGCAAGGGTCCATGAGGAAAAATCAGGAATGTAAAGGGAGTGGCAGTTGGATGAGGTAAGAAGTGATACGAAGCGCGAGAATGGGAGATTTGTAAGCCAGGTTTTGAGCAATGTCCAATACTTGTTCACCGTAGGGGATGATGCAGTAACACGATCGACAAGATCGTTCGCTTGGAAGGAGGCATCTGTATCTGGGCGAAGGGACCATTGACCA